CCACCACCAAAGAAACCGAAGCGCAGCCACGATCTACCAAGCGGCAAGTCTCTTACCTGCCCTTTTTGGAAACTCGATCCCAATAGGCACCGTAACTAGTTGAGACGGGAAAAATTTGTCCAGATAAGCCGGATTGAACAGCACCTGGCCCGGAAACACACGCCCATATACTACGAACCCTGCAAGTTAATTCTTCCCGACGGGGATGGTTACCGGAGGCACCATGAGCAGCCCGGTCCGGGATGTGTGCACAAGGAATGGGATCTTTAGCACGGAATCTCGCACTAACAGCAGGCTGTGCTACACAAGAAGTCTAGGGCGGACCTGTAGCAGTGGTTTGCAATTTGGAGCCTGCCATTCCCAGAACATGTGCGGTCGAGCTCGCCTTATACCGACCAGGGGCTGTCTGATAATTTCTGCAATTTCCGCGAGTACGTGCAACAGCAAGGCACTCAGACCCTGGTTGCCCGACTCCAGGTAGAGGGGATCTCAGCCCCCACAACACAGCAGGCTATGGCATCGCATCTTGAGGGGCTGGTCTCTAGCGGCTTGGACGTGCTGATCGAAGAGTGGCTGGCGCCGCGTGCGCATGGCGCCCGACCGCTCCTCCGGTGGCAACGGAATCCAGGACGACCAACCCCGGTCTGAAACATCAGACCGCGAGACGGCTGGGCGGTTCCCAGATAGATGGCGGCGTTGTCTTATCCAGTTCAACCGATCTTTCTTCGCTCCGCCTGGCGCCCCAGGACGGCAATATGCCGACTGCAGACATGACTCCCTTTTTGGGGAGCAGGGTGTCGAGAACGACCCATTCAATACGCAGTCGGATGCAAGTTTCCGAGTTTCACATTCCTGCTTCGTTCGAGGACATGGAGCTGGGCGGCACGTGGTCTGGAAACTTGGAGGATTTGATGAATTTCGGCGACCAACTGGAAGACTATTATCCGTGGGATCGCTTTGCCGGTCAAACCGGGAAACATGATTGAATGATTGTTTCATTTTTTCTTTATTTTCCAATTTTTTCGAAATAGATACCAAGAGGCCTCATTGTATTAGGGCAGGAATACGCTAATACACAGAAGAGCTACAATGTAATTTCGTCCCAGCTGTAGATGCCCAGAGAAGGGTAGGGGCTCTTCGCCACCTCGTCCATGTGACATGAACGAAGAAAGACTCGTGTCTCGGGTACAGAGGGCGGGGACAAACTACAGAGATTCTGCCTCGCCCTACAGTTTACAGCGTGTTTGCGGCGAGGCTCGACGGTTGTCCGAGTACAAGTTTGTGGGGGCCCCGTTGGGCGCGCAGATGCCAGGTACTTTGCGTGCCGTTGCCGCAAGATTGCTGCTGGACGAGCATGAGGCGCCAGGTCGTTCGTTGCCAAGAGTGGGTTAGCTAATAATTGCGGCGTCTTTCACATTTCAAGCTATTGAACGTGGCTATGAGCGAGCCAAGATGGTGGTACGAAGGTATTTCTGATCAGCCTCTATTTCATGCTCTAATTAACACCGTTGTCAATCTTCGATAGGGAAGAGGGGAGGGGGAGGAGAGTGGTTGGGGATATAACTAGGTAGCGAACACGGGTCTTGTACAAACTCATGATAAGGCACCTATCTACCTCGGTGGCTGGTAATGCTAGTTTAGAGGAGAGAAAATATATATGGCATAGTCCGAATTTGCCCAAGTATTAGCCACTCTATTTTCTTCACGATTAGCAACTAGGCTCAACCGCTATAAATGGTTTAAAGAGTGGTGGAAGAATTGTTTTTTAGGGAGGGGGGGGGGGGGGGGTCAGGGTGGGCGACGATAAGCTTATCGCCGAGATATTGAATCAATAATTGTTATCGCCGATATTGACGATATCGACCGATATCGTCGATATCGGTTGCTTAGTAAGCAGATAATTTTTTACCCCTCCTCTCCCCTCAATATCATCATCTTCATCGGCTACGCCTTGTAATATAGCTACGAAAGTGGCTCAACTACAAAATGTCCACTCCCTCGACACAAGATACCGAGGAATCTCTGGTATCTCAAGAAACTATTCAGTCAAGTCTACATGATCATCTTCGACAGCCACTATCGACTGAGCCTTCACACAAAGGCAAAAATCGTCTCTACTATTGCCAATACTGCCCTTGGTTTGGGCAAAGCACCACGAATGTACGACTTCACCTTCGCAAGCATGCTATCACCCTCGAAGCCCCATCTCGTACGGCATCTCAATCTCCTCATTCCTTATACAACAAGGCATCGGAAATCGATCAGACTTCTGAATTGGATACCCGAGTTATGAGGAAGATTCTCAACCAGAAAACCCTCAATGAAGCCCTTGTTGCTATGATTGTCACCCAAAATCTTCCCTTCCGGATTATCGAGAGCCCATTCTTTCGTGCCTTTTGTCAGGAGCTAAATCCTGAGGCTCAGAGTCTTATCTCATCACATTCGACGCTTAAACTACGGATTAGCAGCTCGTTCAATCTTCATAAAGATATTCTACGGAAGAAGCTCCAATCAGCGCTCTCAACAATCCACCTTGCTCTGGATATTTGGACTTCTCCAAATCACAAGCTATTCCTAGGGATTTGTGCTCAATTTGTGGATTTCGAAACCGAGGAATTAGTCAAGGCCCTAATCGCTCTACCTTCTATTCCTTCACACCACTCTGAGGTCCAGCACGATATTCTCTTCCAAACTCTTCAGGATTTCGGAATCTATCACAAGATTGGGGCATTTATCGGCGATAATGCTACCTCTAATGACAAACTTTGTTTACTTCTCGATTCGAAGTTTGAAGAAGAAGGCCTCTATTGGAAGGCGTCAGAGAATCGAATCAGATGTACGGGGCATATTATCAACCTAGCAGTCCAAGCGTTTCTTTTCCAAAAGGATGAAGAAGAAGAAGATTTCGAATCGGGCTTCTTTCGCAATATCGGCCCCCTTGGAAAGCTTCATAATATCGTCATCCACATCCGTGGTTCAGTCTCTCGTACGAATCAGTTTAAAACTCTTGCCGGCCGGAATATTCCTCTCGATAATAGCACAAGGTGGAATAGCTGGTACGAGATGTTAAGAGTTGCACTGGAAAAGGAATCAGCCCTTGATACCTATTCGAAAGCTTGGTACGAAGAGCTGAAGTCTGACTTTCTTTCTCCGCAAGATTGGGAGATTCTTCGATTTATCCAATCCTTCCTTAAGCCGTTTTATTCAGCAACAAAAACTACTGAGGGAGATCATGCAACAATCGACCGAGTTCTTCTTGTTATGGATGCGTTGGTTCAGCATTATAGGAGGAGCCAGGAAACCTTCAAATCTAATCCCTTTATCTCTCAACGAATCCAAAAGAGCTGGCAGACTTTCGACAAATACTATGCCAAGACGGAAGATACTCCGTATTATGCTGCTGCGATTCTTTTCCATCCTTCGAGGAAGACTGAATATCTCAAGTATAATTGGGAGAAAAAATGGGTCAAGCCAGCAATCCAAGCGGTCAAAACGCTCTGGATCAACTTCAAAGGAGCAGAAAATAAACCACAGTCAGCTCTTCTGATTGAGAAGGAGAGGAGCCAAGATCAGAATCCGAATCCGAATGATGATTTGGATACCTTAATGCGAGGTCTTGAGAACTTTCCAAGGCCACCAAGCAAAGATGAACTTGAAGAGTACTTGTCAGAGCCACCTCGTCAAATCGAAGGATCATCTCTCTATTGGTGGCTCCGTATAGAGCAACGAAGACGCTGGCCGAAGCTATCTCAATTGGCAATCAACATCCTATCAATCCCGGCAATGAGTGCTGAGCCGGAAAGGGTCTTTTCTGGGGCTCGTCGTACGATAACGTGGGAAAGAATGCGACTAGGAGAAAGTACAGTGGAAATGCTTGAATCTTGAAGCATTGGATTAGGTCAGGCTTACGGGGGAGCCAGGATGTATTCGAGAACGAGTTGTGGAGGTTGAGGCGGAGATAGATTGATAGCTGACTAAGCATTATCAATGTTATCGATATTTATCGACGATATCGCACGATTATCGGCGATAAGCGATATTTATCGTTGCCCCAGCGATAATATTTCGCCCACCCTGGGGGGGGTTGCGACCATAAGGCAGCTGTTTCCTAGAGTGCAAATTAGTTAACAGGTATCTATTTTGTCTAAGTAATTAGGTAGTTGGCTGGCTCAGCGGCACTGTAGTAATTAGATTTAGATATATTATAGCGAGGCAGAACGATGGTTTTTATTTAAATTCATTTTTTGTAATAATGGGTAAAAACAAGGACATGGAAAAGTTAATAAAAACAGAAATTGCCTTGAACACGAAAACAACTGAGTCAGTCAGGGAGACGGAGACTGAAAGGTAGGAAATAGAGATGAAAAGATGAGCTAACGCTACTTTTGTGTACTCCCCGTTGGTAAATAAAAAGAAAAGAATCGTTCACTTCTTGTCACTCGTAGACGGGGCGGCGTCAGCTCCGCCTTTGGCCTTGGCAGCATCGGCAGCTTCAGTATCCTTCTTGAGCTTTTCTTCCTGGGCTCGAGTAAGAACCCCTGTTCTGGGCGCCTTTGCTTTGGGAGCTTCGGCAGCAGCGGCGGCCTCGGCATCTAATTTCTTTTGCCCGGCCCGAGTCTGGGCCACCGTCCTGGCTGTGGTCGGCGCAGTGGAGGATGATGGGGAGGGAGCGACCGCGGAGGCTTCCGAAGAACTGGACAGGGAGCGCTTCGGCGCCCTTGCGGGGACGGCGTCGGCGGCGGTGGGGATTTTGGCGGTCAGGTGTCTGATGATTTCGGCATGCTTGGCTTGTTCGCGGGCCTGCGGGGCCCAGACCAAGTTGAACGAGGCGCCCGTGTAATTCCAGTGTTTGCCTGCAGAGGTGTCGCGGAATCCCAGTTTGAAAATGACATTGATGGACTTGTTGGCGGTATCGGACTGAGTGATATATTTGCGCTCGGCCCTGCCGTCCCCGGAGTTCCATGTAGACATTGGGGTTATCTTCTTCCCTTCCACAGGGGGGTTTGCGTCCACAAAGTTGAAGCCTGTGCGGTGGGTTGTCTTGGTTTCGTCTTGAAGAAAGAGTGTTTCAGTGGTAGGGTCGGTATCAGTGGTACGGTGGATACCGAAGAAGCACTGGTGCTGGTGGTAAAGCGACCCTATATCACGCCTTTCCCCCTCTCTCCTCTCCTTGATCTCCGTCCTCTTCATCTCGGACTTGGCCATCGCCATCTCGGCCTCGTACTCATACTCCCCAAAGAGCCTGGGTTCGAGGATGACGTCGTTATCTTCGGCAAGCCCAAATGACAAGAGGGTCCCATTCCTTCTGGGGCACAAGGTCTTGTTGACGGCAATGACATGGATATATGGTTTTGGATCGTTGCGCCCTTCTTGGTTATGGCTCGTGACGAGAAGGCTTTTCTCTTCTTCACTGACTTGGTAACGCACTATGGGTACGTTCTGGCCCCTCTCCCTGTTGAGCCTGCAGATCTTCACCGCGTGCTCATTCCGTGGACTGAGAATGAACAAGGTGCTGTCTTTTGCGAGATCTTTGGCGGTGATGAGCGGCGTGTCGCTCATTTTAACTGGCTGGGACTGAGACCTGTTGAAGCAGCGGGTTGAAGCGTGGAGGTGGCGTCTAGTGCTATTATCTGACGAGATGGGGAGATGTTGATTAGCGACGTTGGCTTGAGCTTTGTGAGATGGTGGAAGAACGGGGACGTACAAGGATCGCATCAGGGAGAGGGAAGAGGGGCCTGTTAAATAACCCCCAAAAATTGGTGAGGGGAGATCAGGAATATCTGAGGTCTGCATGGAAATCTGGCATTGGAATTGCCTCATCGGGGCATTGTCTCAGACTCAGGGGGCTGAAGACGGCCAGGTCTGACACCGAATCAGATCAAGCAGTTTCATAATTCATTCTGGGTTTGACAGCGACCAGAGAAGACGATTCATACGCGAGACACACGCGCCTGATGCCCAACTGTGAGTCGGGGCCTGTAGTCTATAGTGAGCCATGTCGAAGTCCTTTGTGATTGGAACCTCGCAAGGAGGTACGAGGCTGCGGAGGCAGCTTCCGTCATTTATCCATTAATTGATCATATGGGTGGAGAAGAGGATGGAAAGGTAATTACGGGGATCTAGGCGTAATTAATTATGAATTGAAGGAGAAGAAAGTCGTCGCGAATCGGCCCCTTCAAGCAGCTGGCCGGTGCCTCTGAAAGTTTACGAGCTCCTTTGAAACCAGCAGGGTTGATTCGCTGACCACGGCCAATTCGAGAAGGTTTTGTATTTGGTCTTGCTGTGTGCTTCTAAATAAAGTGGAGGGTTGCGACGGCGCTAGTCCTGCTCGGTCGAACCAACCGAGTGTTCATTAGGTTGTTTTGGCCTTGACTGGAACAGCGCGTCAGCTGACAGTGAGTCCAACAGTCCAGCAACCCAGCAGCCCGGTGACAGCCTGGCAGCTTGGGGCTTGGCAGCCTGACAGCCGAGCGGCGGCCATCATCGGCCTCACGTTTTGTTTCCCGAAGCAGCTATCCTGCCTAGTCCATCTGGTGATATGCGGCGAGGGAGGCAAGACACAGACCATCCAGGCCAATAAATCAGCCACTAGGCGGGATTGAAGCAAGGATCGTGACGGGGACCGAGTCAGCTTACCTTACCTTACCCAACCTAGCTGACTACCTTACCTTATCTTATGTAAGAAATTTGCGACATCTATTTTTATGGCCGCCACAGAAATTGTTTGGGAGCCACTGACGTGTAGTTAGGCAGACACCTGCCCTTTAACCGCATTTCAGAGAATTAGCCATGTTGTGTCTTTCGTCCAATAATAAAAGCTTGTTTTTGTTTTTCTTCCCCTCCAATTATTTCCGAGCTATGTGTTCGGCATTATTCTCTCGGCCTACCGCCTTATCTTTACTTTCCCGTGGCCCCCTTTTCGTGACATGTATCCATCGATGGGCTTGGCAGGGGTGGAACCACCATACCAGATAGTTACCGCCCGATGTTGCAGAACATTTCCACCTCGGGCCCGACTCCTCCACCTCTACCGTGCCACCTAATTAAGGCTGAGCTTTGGTGCCCGGTAACGATAGGGCTAGGGTAGGGTTTTGCCCCGCCGACCTTGAATGCCTTGTGGTAGCCTGCCCCCCGGCCTTTTGCCATTCAGCAACAAGAATGTTCTGAAGCACCACCCCCTAAACTGAAACTCATTCCAGACATAATTACCTTGCCTAGGTAACAGGCATTCGCGATGGATCAAGCGGCGCCCGACCTCGCGCCGCTCCCCCGCCCCATCCTTTGTGATGACACCTCACCGACCCTGGCAGGTCTTCCTACCGAGGTGCGGGTCAAGATTCTCGAGTATACCAACTTGGTCGCCCCCGGGAACAAAGTAGAATACGGCAGAGAGGATCGCGTGTACCGAGCCTGCCACGCGTCGCATGAAGTCGGCTGCCTACACCACAGCCCCGGCAATGGCATGAATCATACTGTCGGCAGTTTCTCCCACCGCCAGCACGCCGCCTCGTTTGCTACTTGTCGCTGCTGGGCTTCCCCGACCAATCTCTTTCTCGTCTCCCGTGCCCTTCGCCGCGACGCCGAGTTCGTCTTCTTCTCCATGAACACTTTCGTCATCCACGACGCCATCACTACCACGGGACGGCTCTCATTCTCCACGTCGTTCTGGCCTCCCCGGGCCCCAGGCGATACGTGCCTCTACCCGTATGGCTCGCTCGCTGTATCAACGTTTCTCAGGAGCGTGGTGCCAGAAGACTGCCTCCCCCACCTCCGCGCCCTCGAGCTGATCTTCCCGCCCTACGACCCCGACGTCTGGTCCCATTCGGAACACGCCGCGCTCCAGGACTGGCGTGCCACCGTCTCCTGGGTCCGGTCCAAGATCGACGCGCCCGCGCTCACCGTCAGCATCGCCCTAGGCGATCCCAACAACCAAAGGCGGGGCCGCCAGAACCTGGACGATACCGAGGTCGACAAGATTCTCGACGGATACGAGTGCATCCTGACCCCGCTCAGACTGTTGGTCGAGGGCGACGACGGCGGCCTGCGAGCCCTCCACGTGCAGACCATACACCCCTGGATGCGGATCAGCCGCGTGTCTATTATTTGGAGCTTGCCCGGCGGCCCGATATGGATGGCCGAGGTGGCGGAACAAGCCACTAATCACCTCCAGGAGCGCTACGTACAAGATCTCTTCCAGGGCAACGCGATCGCCGCCCCTACGCCATCTCGGCGTGTGCTGAGCTGATGGAATTGTTTGAGGGCGATTGGCCAAGGACGGACAGCAAACATAGCCGTTGAATAAATATTCATCCTCATCATCGTCGGCTAATTACTCATTCTCGTCAGCTATCAAAGTGTCTGCGGAGCGCTTCTGGACGACGACATCACGCATCAAAACCCACAACAGCTCACAGCCCCTGTTGCTGGAACCTCGCCCACACTTGAGGGACGTTGCGGCTACTTAGATCACTGGGGTACACGTTGTGGATCATAGCTGGTGGTGCCAGTCGATAAACACTGAGGTCAGCGGAGGACTACAACAATCCAGGGTCGGTAGAGTTTGGATCTTGGGATGTCTCTTGACTAGATTGGAATCGACAACTTGCGGCAGACAGATTGTCGTCGGTCACTGCCTGCCCGGCTTGTTGCCGCGCTTTTTCTTTTCCTTCTTATTTTTCCTTTCTCCCTTTCTTTTTTTCCTTTACTCTTTCTTTCGAGATCTGGATCGGCGTTTTCGGGCGTACACAGCAAGGTACCCATACATTTTACGGCGTCATGGGCAAGGCGAGAATTTTCTTTCCTGTTTTTTTTCCCGGAACTGGAATGGCGTTTGCGGGCGTTTACAGCAAGATACCCATTGCATTTCAAGGCGTCAGTTAATTCATGGCAAGGCGAGAAGTGGTTCACAGAAGGAAAAGGATCATTACTTCGCTATTACACAACATTGCAGAGGAGGGGTACGGCCCTCACTACCTTGATCATATTTTCTTTCCCCTTTGTATATTATTAGACAACAGATAGCAATCCCACACCATTCACAGCTTTCAATGCCCGGGTTGATCTCGCAGGGACACTGCCGTTTATTTCTTTTTTCGTACAATAATTTTCACCACCCAGTCTTGGTATCCTGCCTTGATACCCTCTGGGCTTCTCACAAGTAAGTAGACCCGGAATACGTCGGTTACGCCAATTTTCGGGAAAGATAAAAGGGGTCCCGTTATCTAGGAAGTATTAAATCCTTTTCCGATATCAATAATACGGGGCTCGTGAAGCCTTTACCGTCTTCAACGCCTTTGCCGCAACCAAGAAAGGCAAGGGAAGCCGGTAATAGGTCAGTAGCCACTTTCTTTCCGCGTCCAGTTTGTAATAATTAGCAAATCGTTTGGTTATTGTATAATTTCCAGTCCACATCAGACATTCTTCTTACATACCTTACTCATTACCAGCAACACTATTATACTATACTAATCAAATTCTAGGCCCAATCGACTAATCACTTGTCTACCGCCATTTCGTTCTTGGTACTCAACGCTGACCCGTCTCCGTCCCCTTTGCCGTCGTGTCTCGAGTCCACGTCCACGATTAATTTTCTTCCCTCCAACTTTCGCTGGCGAGGAGGAAGGAGTGCCGCAGGAGCTGCTGCCGTTGGTGTCACTGTTCTTGCTGCTGTTGGTGTTGCTGTTGCCGCTGTGAGTGGTAGTGGCGGGCCGCTATCGACCGATTTCTTCATATTGGCCGTGGATTGCGAACTTGAACCTTCGCCAGCCGCTGCCGTCGTCGGGCGTACGGCCGGCCTGCTGTATGTCGTCTTCTCCCTGGTGGCAGCGCTGGCGGCGCTGGCAGGGGCCTTGCCGCTGCTCGGGTCGATCTGGCGGCTGTCTTGTTGCCGTGATGCTACATTGCTGTGTGCTGGCGGCGCCGGAAGCAAATCGAGAGCCTGTGTTGCGGGCTGCTGGGTTGGTATTGCTTGCTGTGCTGCTCGTCCGCCGGCCCCGACGGTTGCTGTCTTTGCAGGTGGTCCGGCGGCCAGCGGCCATGCACTGGGCCCAAACATGGCCTTGGGGTCCCGAGCATATCTCTTCGCGAAATTGAATACTTTTGTGGCAGTTGGTCGGTTTTCGGGCCCGGTGGCCAGCATGTCTCCAACCATGGGTCCCAGACAGCCGCTCTTGGCGAGGTGGTTGACCCGCCGCCACCAGCAGGTGCTCTTGTTATCCTTGTCGATATATCTGGTGAAGTCTACTTCCAGCCCCACGGTGTGACAATGAGACTTGAACCTTTCCAACGACATCTCCCAGGGCTTCTCGCTGGACAATGGGATATGACCTCGGGCTTGAGCGACGAGAAGACCAGCCCGCCATATATCCGACTTCGGATCCGACTTTCTTCTGGCAATCTCATCCGGCGTCAAGAGGAAGTCGTATTTCATAGTCGATGGGTCAATATTCTTTTGGACCGAACTGCTGCCAGCCGTCGCGCCGGTTTCGCGTGGAACAAGAAAACAATAGCCTCCCGGGCCAAGGAAGAAGGTTAGCCTTGTCTCGCGGCCAGGGGTGATATTCCAGAAGACATTTGCGGCTTGTATGTTGCGGTGGGCCATGTTCTGGGTCGACAGATACTCCAGCGCACTGGAGACATCGCGGACCAAGTCGCCATGCCAGGGTTCGATGCCGTTCTTGAAGTTGGAGGACATCAAGTCCTCAACAGTGCCGGGACAAGCACGAAAAGCAAACGCGTTTAATGGCAGCCGCTCAAGGATATTAGTCTACGATCGACACTGGTCAGTAACGCGCGTGGCTTTGTTTCACATGATTAGATAATTGCGGAAGGGGCTGGTAGTGTTATCACCCACATGCTTCATACGCTTCGCATGCTCGTCGTCACAAATCAGCTGATCCAGCTCGCCTTTAGAGAAGCCAGGTCCTCCCGTCCTTAGCTCCAGGACAACAACGGCTCGCCCCGAGAGCTGGTGGACGTAATTCAGGACCTGGCCGTACCTGCTCCTACAATATGGCGGGTATTTGTGAAACCCACTCACCATGGACTCCGCGTCTGGCCTCGGGCTGACTATTCCCTCGGGGTCCAGGAGTTTTGAGAGCCCCATCAGCTGTATGCGGGCTGAGACGGGATCTTTCTGGTGCTTGGGTCCCCACGTAAATGTGAACGAAGCTCCGCTATTATTGTCCCCGATACAGATGACATGCTCCTCAGAAACTCTAGGCCTCTCGCGCATATTGCTGGCTAGTGTGGGACGGGGGATGAGATGATGGCTTCGTTCTCCGAACCCGTGTTCCATCGACTCACCGTTATTAGTTTCGTGCACGTAATAGTCGACCTCGCCGGGTTTCCCAGTTTCGTTGACTAGCATGAGCTCTCCTGTCGGTCGTGTCAACATGAAAGACAACTGGCGTCTGTGGTACTTCCCACTACCCGCGGGGGTGGTGTTCTGAAATTCCGAACCGCCGGAACTTTTCTCCGTCACGGTGTTGACTGGGCTCGAGAGAAGCACATGGTTTTCTGAAGTTGCTCCAAAGGTCAAAAAAGCCCCTGGTCTTCCCGGAATCATGGTCACGGGACCATTCACGCTGATGATGTATTGTAATTTGGATAGTATGGCCGGATTGGTTCTGTTTTGGTCGGAGAAAGCCTTATCTGCAGTCTCGTAGGCGATAACCATCCGGTTTCTAGCTTTGTAGTTCAATATGCAAATATTTCTCGCCTCTGCATTTCGTGGAGTGAGGTAAAAGACAGTATATTCTGGCACAGACATAGGGACCCAGGTCGGTGGAGGGGTATCAGCCGCCCATGATGTGCTGGCACCGGACATGTTGACGTCGTTGAGGCAGAGGAGTAGATATTTTGCTGCTGAACTGGGATCCGGAGTCAAAACGACCTAGAAAAACGCTCTAGCGAAGTCGGGAACTGAGAAGAATGGTGGCTCAAAAAATCAGAAGGGACAAACCCAAGTGCAGCTATACAGTTTAACTAAAAAAAAAATAGGAATGAGAGCAATAAGATTTTCATTCCATGCAGTAAAACCTAGGTGCCTATGCACACCAGGCCTCGTCCGAGTTGACCCACGAAGGTTAAAGATGGTCGGACCTGAAGACACGGTCTGCCTAGCACCTCGGTTCCGAGACACGTTAAGAGGGGATGCAAAGATGTTAGGGCCTTATGTGAAACGGTTGTGTGTCTGAAAGGCGGGTCTTATCCGGCCCGGAATTGTGGCTATGGTGCAGCTTGAAAATAAGAACTACTCAAACATGGAGAACAGGGACTAAGAGTCGCCCATTTTAACTACAAAACGAAAAACAAAAACAAAAAGAAAACCGGGGAACCACGGCCTCTCGTCGCCCGGGATAAAACACGCTAGTTTCAAGGAGGTCTCGTTCTCTACGGCTGGCCACCACAATTCCTCTGCCAAGGCTTCGATTTTAGCTGAACAGTTGGTAGCCTAACTCAGTTGTTGGTCAGATGGAATCTGAGATAATGGTATGTGGTTCTGGTGGGCTGGGTGCCTAGGGTCAGCAAGCATAAGATTTTAGGCAGTGTCTGGCCGGTTTTAGACATGTGGGGAATTAGTTGTTGGCTAAATGATGAGACATTGACGGGCGCGGCTGCTCAGATGCGGGAAAACGTCAGCTGACAAGAGACTCTTGTCGGGTACATGCATCTAATCAAGTCATTGGTGTCAAAATGAACAGCCACCTAATTGCAGCAGCGGACGGCCGACAAATAATCACGGCCATGGCGTGTTGGTTTCAAGCCAATCACTCGTCCCAACCCCCGGCCGTGATCAGTAATTGACAACAACCAACCACCTCACAAGAAACAGCCATTGCATGACCGCAAAACCGACAACGAGGCTTCCATTTCCTCCTTCAGAGCTGAGCAGTTGCCGCCTTGAGCTGAGCTAGGCTGGGCCAGGCTGAGCGAGAGGCCACTTTCGGGGTCACCCCGGTTATACTTGCCTTGGTTTAAAGTAGCATTCCGAGCCTAGTTCAAGAAGTTCTTACAGGAATTTCACAAGTTGATATTACCACAAGTCGTCGGTAGATGAATGGCTCGAATCGAGGCTCGTCTTTAACGACGAGCAACTACATCACTCTCATCAGACACAACAAGGGTGATATGTGCGTGGCTTTTGCGGAGCAGGTGGGAAAGGGTGAGGGCTTATCCATCCTCCGTTTCGCGACGGAGCCGCCAATTGGCTCGTCAGGCTTCGCTACTAGTCTACGTACATATACCGGAGCGGAGTTATAGCTCTCTACAAATGCTGCTAGATTCTCAGCGAAGTCCGCGAACCAGCTCAGCACATCATCCCGCTTCGCTTCTTTCGGCCAACCCCTCCAGCCCAAAGAGCGGATCGGCACCTTCCAAACAGTCGTCAAGAACGTCTTTGATGCGGTGTCTAGGTTCGGCACAGAGCTAAAATACGTCTTGTGGAAGTCTTGGAGGTCGACATACATTGTGTTCACATTATTATCGGATCTTTGTTAGCTTGCTGTTGGAGACTCTGGTTTCGGTTTTGCCTAGGGGGCCCGTTGGATCTCGATTTGTTGGTGATAGGTGATAGGAATGCCAAGCCAACAATGACGTATAGGGTGAGTGGTGGCCGACCCCCATGTCGTGGCGCAGTAGTGTGGCTTGTCTCAATATCAGCCACTGGGCGGGCCAATCGCAAGTCGAACATGATACTCGACGGGAGCGAGCTGCTCGGCTTGTTGGCGTCGTACATTTGGGTTTCGAGCAGTCCCTTGCAGCACGCGTTCAGCCTCTTCTTCATTTGTCTCATCCGAATGTTGGTCCTCTGTACCGACCACGTCTCAGCCGAGGATGTGACGAAGGCGTCCAAGTCGTCTTAGTCAACAAACCAGTAGCACACGAGCGGCAACAATTCGAGCGAGGTCAAGGTGACTTGGAAGAACCGTGCTGTCCTCTGCCGGTAGAAGGGGTCGACCGAAAACAGCTCCCTCTCGAAAACTTCGTACAAGTCCGTCGGAAACGTGTCAAGCCTTCTGCGCAGGTCGACCACGCTGTCGGCGTTGGTGACGCCCTGGAGCAGAGAGTTGACGATCAGTCGAACCCACAAGAAAACGCCATTGGCGCGGTTGGAAATCTCTTGGATGAGGTCGATACATGACTCATCGTCTTCCTTCAGCTCCTGGAAGTTCCTGTCCTTTTCGAGAGTATCTCGGACAAACAGCTTTATATCGTCCCGGGTTAAATCCTGCACCCACAGCTGCTGGAGGACATTCCCGCCGAATGCCTTCTCAAACTCGTTCCACGGCCGGCTGGACGCAGATCTTGGCATGTTGTGAGGAACCAAGCAGACTCACGAGTTGAATGATGTCGTCTGGCTTTCCTTCATACCCGTCGAGACCGTCAATAAAGAAGCAAAGCTTGATTGTCGGTTGCGTCTTTGTGTGGTCGAAGATGTTCTGGATGGCCTGGACGAGTTCCGCGACTTCTAAGCCAACCTTTGTCGACTCGTCCGTCAGTACAGCTCCGCTAGCGGTGTACCCTTGCCACTAGTCGGGATATGCGACCGAGATGAGATTGGGACACTGTCGAAGGATCTCGTACAGGAGCTGCCGTAGCAGGCCAGCCTATGACTTTTGCAGATTGCTTCGCCCTACATTCCAGAAGAAGAAACTCGCAAAGACCAACTGAAGCTGTTCGCCTTTCTGACATGTCGCCGGCACCCAGTGCATAAGCCGTTCCCAGACTGCAGGAAGCTCGCAGAGGCATTTCATCAGGGTTGACTTCCCGGAGCCAAGCTTCCCCGAAACCCAGTACACAGCGCCGGGGGACTCGAGACATTCGAAAAACGAGCCAGATCCAGGCGAGGCACTAAATGAAGCTGGCTCGTGAATCCAGGTGAATATTCCCTCGTGTGCCTTGGTGACTGTGATGTATCTGTAGTCCATTGTATCAAAGCACAGGCAGCTCAAGATGGCCTGTTCGGCTGAGAATCTGGCACCCTTTTCAGAGCCAATGGCCAGCTGTGCCATGATGGCGTCAATGTCAACCTTGGTGCCTTGCTGCGATAGCTGCCGCAAGAGATCGCCGAGGTGGATCCTAAGGTCCCGAATTTCGTCGGATCTTTGGCATCCAGTCGAGTCGCTGCTGCAGTCTGTCGATGGCATCCTTCCTTTTATTGCCCTTGAGGGCCTGACGGAAGCTCTGCCATGCTTTGTGCCGACCATGGGTCTTGATGCCCTGCAGCTCTGCAACTAGTTCATCAACTACCTCTTGACATGGCCGGCTCGAAGCTCGGAGGATTTTGGTCATTTTGAGGTGGGGTGGACTTGTCTGGGGCTGGCGGGATCGCGAACTTGGCAGCTCGTCGCTTGACATTTTGGGCCAGCAGCTCAGACTCGAATTTTCGCCACTTGTCCCACTAGATGATTTGTACAGGCCGTGTGCCGATGAGACGAGCTCGCGGGAAAATACAATAAATGAGAAGATGTTGCTCGCGAGACTGATGGCTGTTATGGCGTCCATGGTTATTGCTGCCGCTGCGCTACTATCAGACGCTCTATCCTCATTTCATCTGGAGATCCGAATGCCTACTCCCCAGGTTGGGACGAGCCACGTCAAGGATCGTGCGGGGTTTTTTTCTTTAGGAAGTGTGTGGCAGTCGAGTTTGGTTAACCGCCCGCAGTAACCTGATCCGCCATCATACATGTAAGAGATGCGCCGCAACGATGTCCATGCAAGCTGGGGCCCGATGGCTGGATCGTTTGGAAGACGGACTCTAAATATATATATCACGACAAAACCCCCTGCATATTGAGTTAGACGAGCATAGTCCCTACCATCCCAGCGAAAGATCCAGGGTTGAGTACCCGTAGGCAGTTCACCATTTCGCCAACTCACCAAAGTCAATAATAGCCCTAAGGGTTCTATTCGTAGTAAGGTCGCGTTGTGCTTAAATGTAGGTGGGCAATGGCATTATTTACCGTAATCAGGTCATTACCATATAAAGACAATTTATTGGGATTTGGAATGAAGATAGCTAGGGTGGTATTATTCTGATATCGAAGTTGTTTCACGCGTTCAGCAAATGGCTTCTGTGAGAGGAAATGGCACCTGATTCTTGTGGCTGGCCTGGCCGGTGTGCCCTGCAGGCAGGCAGGTAAGACAGAGTGACTGGGTCTGACAGAACTCCCCGCTGCTACTTCTACTTGAATAGGTATTCTCTGCCCGCTCTATGGAGCCCTTCAACAACGTCGTATCTTCACCTTCCAAAGTTATGAGCTCCAGTAGTCAACTACGCCGAGTTACAAAAGTCACTATTTAGTCAAGTACAGCAACCTACCAATAGCCTCGAATCGAGCACACTAAAAAGATAGAGGCATTCATGTTATTAATCAGAGTTATGAGACTTAATTTGTCGGAATAGAACTACCGGAGGGTCAGCTAGGTAGCCAATTTCCACAAAGTTTTGCACTAGTCTAGTCCCTAGTCGCAACGGTTTCCACCTTCATATATGAATAATTACTTCGGGATAGCGCGATAACTATCGGATCCGGATTGAGGCAGCAGAAACAAAAACTCCATTTAAAGCATATAAAGTAATAATCGCTCGCATCTACTAGAGGTGCGAGTCTCGTAACCCCGCGACGCAAGAGACTGAGCTCGGACTCCTTACCATCCAACCCACGATTATAATTAGGTATCTTAACTACCTACTGATCGGGGGAGATGCCAGGGAACTGTAACTAGGTGCCTCATACTGCCACTGCACATATTCTTCGCGGTCGTGCACACGATTACACAACCACAAAGCCTACAGAGCTGTCGTCCCTTCTCGCGCTTACGGTACCATCCACTTTGCTGACCCAGGCTCACTCGAACCAGCTCTGGCCTAAGTCAGCTCCGGATAATTAACGTTGCCTGGAAGCAACTTCGTATAGCCATACCTCGTCACCTCACGTGTTTTGCTGACTGCACTAAACCTATATGCTTTTTTCGATTACTTAACGAGATCGTTGACCGTGGTCTATACGCATGCGGCAAGATTACTACAAGCAGATACGTCGTGGCGAGACCCTCTCCAAGTGCAACATCGTATTCACCCTCGTCTCAGCGCCAAGAGATGCACTGGTCTAGCGGCTGCTTGTCGTCGCGGCTCCGGGTTCCGGCAGCCGAGAGTTCCTTGAAAATTCTTCATATTAAAAAGCCATCTGACGTCAAGTTGCCAAGAATCTCAGTTGTCTTGTCAGCGCGCTGCGTGACCATGGGCACAATTGGGATCTTACGAGCTCGCTCTAGACGCGAAGAGCGACGGCTGGATACGAAGGGCACGAGACGGGCCGTATTGGCTGCAAATTGGATGCATCGACAACGTGGCGCAGAATCTTGAGACTTTGATATATAAAGCGGCAATTGTCTCTGGTTGTCGAAAGTATCCGAACTTCCTCACCACGGCATCATTTGATCATCATCACAGCTCATCAAATCCTTCCACATTCTCGCTTACACACGCTCACCTGCCTCAGACTCTTCCAACACCTTCAACATGAAGTCATTTACCATCCTCGCCGCCGCCCTTCTAGGCTCTACCGTGTCTGCCGCCCCCGTCGAGCCGCGTGTTGTCGCGCAGGAATTCGACGTGACCGGTTTTAGCGCTGGCTGCGTCCCGCACGGCACCCAGTGCTCGTACGTCTAACCCAACCCCCTTCCACTCCCACTCAGAAGACTAACCAGGCTACCCCCTACAGAATCAGCTTCCAGGTCGCGAGCAACGAGACGCCGTTCCCGACGACGTGCACCTTCACGGGCGCGCCGCTGGGCGTCGGCTCGCTGCCCGACGTCGGCTTCACCGCGTGCGCGGACCCGTCCGTCGCTTGGTCATTCCGCGCCGTGCCCGTCGGGTCTGGCGCCGCCCCCTTCTACGAGCTCGCCCTCGCCACTGCCGAGCAGAGCCTTGCGGCTGCCAAGTTCTTCCCCGCGTCCGACTTCCCGATCGTTAATGACGGCTCGTCGTTCCACCAGACCTATACGGGTGCTGGTAGTTTTGTTATTGCTTAGTTGGCTGGATGCTTGCAGGTCCATTGAGCCCGGCTGTTAGGTTATTGAGCTGACGGCGGTTTAACGAGAAGAGATGGGCTACGAGTGATAAGAAACATAAAGAATAGGGTACCTAGCCAAACAAGGAATGCGATATTTTGTTTGCTTTCGTTTGAGTTTGTTCGTGATGATCTAGACTATTACACGCCTTTAACAAAAAAAGTGAACTTAATGTGCAATTTAACAAACAAGAAGGCGGGAATAGCCTAGAGGCCTTCACTTTTTCAACTCACTCTCCTCATCTATCAGCCCTCAGCACACCTGCTCATACGCACCCTGCACCCTTCCATGCACGAGATGACCAGCCCCGTATTCTGCCGCTCCGACTCAAGCGGCTTACCACGGTCCTCATGACGCTAGGTGCCCCTCTTTGCTAATTTTAGCCCTGGCAAACCACCATCTCTACATAAGCACCTAGGTCGAATTACGTTTAAATGGAAAGCAACTGTTCGTCGCTACCGTGCGGCCCCTAGTACTGTATCCGTAGGGCTGAATGATTTTAGGTACGATTGGCTGAGAAGAATCGAGGCGCCTGCATGGCGTTACGGCGCTCCAACCTGGTGGGCGCCATCACCAAGGCATAGCAGTTAGTCAGCAATCCAAGCCTTTCCCTCACCGCCCATTTCTACCGCATCTGTTTCCAGTCAGCAAACTTCCACTCCAGCGTTTCTACATATATACAGTAATCCTACAATACTTGAAAGTAAACTTAAGCAACCAACAACACGAGGCAATCAGAGACAGTAAGGGGTTGAGGCTCCCTCCAAAGCTTCCAGAATTACAGCCCAGGGTGGCTCGTACGGTTCTGCCCCATCGCTGAAATCAACCTCCCTACGTGCACATTCTATACCGTAATAGTGGCTGGGCAAACAAAACGCATTGATAGATACCAGGTGCCGAGCTTGAATATAGAAGGGCCTGCGTTTTCCATATTTAACTCCCTAGCCCTTAGTGTTGACCTGTAGGCTTACGGCCATCGTGTAATCCGCCATAGCCTCCCAACATTCAGGCTTCCTCATCACCTACGCCTAAGCTTCAGATCCTATATATCACTACAATTATGTGGCCAGGTCGCGAGCTATACATATCTGCTCATTTCGTCATAGACAGGGCGACCCACTTATGCAATCGCCCCCCTTTGCAATCGCCCACCACCATCACCGCCCACCACAAGAATCGTCAAAATACTCAATTGTAGGCCAAATTCTATAGAAAAAAGTACATTCTAGTCCTCGTCAATCGCTCTATATTGCTCAAGCCCACGGGCGATAATTTCTTCAGCTTCCTGGACCAAGTGTGCAGGCCTGGACTTGGTCTTCTTGGATCTCTTCTTGGGAGGCTTTTGACTAGCTTTTTGAGCCTCGTCAATTTCGTCAATAGTAGCAAATCTGTCGTTGGCGTCTATTTTGACCCTTTTACGTGAATAGGGTTTTTTGGATTCCAACTCGTTGGCTAAGAAGTCGTTTTTTGCCTTCAAAGCAGCGATTTCTGTATTCTTCTGATCAAGTGCCCTCCCTACCTTCGTCAACATAGTCCTGACGACCCTACCTCGGGGACTAGTGGCCGTCTTGGCTAAGCCCTGTTGCCTGCGGACGTCGTGACTACCTTGAGGTGTATTGAAGAGGTCGTTCCGGGTTGCCCGGGTCTTCCGGGGTGGTGTGGATGGGGGGACTGGTTTTGCAGCTTCGTCCCGGACCGCCTCGGGGTCGTCAAGTATACGAGCGGGTTGGAAAGGCCAGATTCCAGTCTTCCGGAAGCCGGATATGATATTCCGGGCTGACATACCCTGCGCTGAGGCGTCCCGGTAGCAAAAAAGGAAGCGTTGCTTGTTGATAGGTGCTGAGGCTGTGAAGGAAGCCAATTCGAGGGTTCTTTGGCGAAAATAGGACTTCAAAGCCGAAAAGACAGACCGGTCGAGTGGCTGGGTCTTGTGAGAAGTGTGTGAAGGCAAGTATAGTAGGTGTACGCGGTTTCTTTTAGCTAGAAGCATGAAGTCTTCGTCGATATGAGTAGCGTGTTCGTCGAGGATTAATAGGCGCCAATCGTCCTTCCTTTGGGGCTTTGTTTGAGGAAGATATACTTCCTTGAGCCACATAAGAGCTATTTTGCTATTGCTCCAGCCTATAGGCGTACAGTCGTACTTCCAGGTCTTGAGGACTGGTAGTTCCTTGAAGTTATCCGGGAAGTGTTGGCCTTGTAGATTTTCACCCGTAAAGATCACTACGGGCGTCAATCGCTTGCCCTCAGCGGTACCACACTCGATAACACTGACCCAGGTCGTTGGATCAGGGCCAGTCAGGACTGCCCGAGATGTGAGGGCATCGCCAATCACCTTCCCAACCGTAGTTTCCGTCTCTTGCATGCCATGTTCGTCTATATTGGCGATATTCGCAGGTACCAGCTTCTTGTCCTTAATTACAGCTTCCAAACGATCAAAAAAATGCTGGAATCTCTCACGGGTAGATCCTTTGACTCGAGACCGTTCTAATAAGGTACCTAACTTGGCCTTTACCCTGGGGTTGCGGGTAAAAAACCGATCTACCCAGCGCTCACCAACTCGCCCAGGGAGCCCGGCTTCGTTCAGGATCGCTTGTGCGAATCGTCTTAGCCGTGCACGACTTGGGGCACGCCCTGCAGCTTCCTCCTCAAGAGCCCACTCGGCGACGAAGGCTTCCTGGTCGTCAGTTAACTTCTGGGTGTTTTTTGGGCTTGTCGTGGATCCTGTTGTCCACGGCGTCGTCTGCTGAGGGTGGATTCAGGGATCCTATATAGGCGCGCTACTTCCTTCTGCTGAGCGCCCTGATCAACAGCCTCAATAGCCTCGGCTATTAGCCGCTCTCGTACGCGTCGAACCATCGTATTTTGAGCCTATTCCGACCAGTATTGAGGAAGTTGTTGGTGGTGGAAGGTAGAGAGTAGGAAGTTGGCGGTGTGGGGGAAAAATTGCAAAGTGGGGCGATTGCAAAGGTGGGTCACCCTGTCTATATGGCCGTTCCTTGACGATAGCGTCAAATTCCTGACTGTTGTTAGTCTGCCCAACATATATATAATAGTCAACTTACCTTCAATAAGGAGAAAAACCTGATAATCGCGCCTCGACCGCCTTCATTCTCCCTGCCTGCTCGGATCCGATTTTCCAGAAGCTCCTTGGCGATGTAGACGTACTTTAAAGCACTTTGTTCCATATCTTCGTTCGTAATTTCTGGGTTTTCCATCTGAGCGATGACCACTTTAAGCCATCGATCGACGCCAGACCACTGAAGGATATGGCCACCTAGCGCGAACGTCTGTTCCCCTTGTACCCGAAAGACAAAGTGGATAGTGCCAGACGGGAAAAATACTGTTTGTCCTGGTGAAAGGACAACGTATCTCCAATTTCCTCCAGTAAAGTTGTGTGGATCAGACATCCATGTCTCTTCTTCCTGCTGACTTGGTTGGGACATCCACCCGAAACCAATACGTCCCTCTTGAGTCGTAATCCAGGTCGAGAAACCGTGGCTGTCCATATGTGGCGCCGTATTATACCCCCCTTCAGACAGGAGCGCCCAGTCAATAATATTACGCCACATGTTCCAATCTTGCGCAGGCGCTGCTATCCGTTCAACACTGTTGCCTATCAGAGCTACATCGCGTATCCGGAGGAGGAGTTGGCAATTCTCCCCTTCTAGGAAAGATGGTAGGGCTGAAGGTATCGGGCTTTGAAGGTCGAGTAGATTCCAGGGATTGTTTGTCGACTGCTGTATGAGAAACCGGTCTTGGACATCTAGAAGGGTTTTTCTTTCACAAGATTCCTCTTGTAGAGCCCGAGAGGGTATCTGAACAGATACGGTTCGATTAAGCCCGAGATCTCTTATGCGGCTAAAGAACTGTGAGATTAGGCGGTCTACCCCCCTCCACTGAAACAGCTGTTGACTTTGTGTGAAGAGAGGTACGTCCACTTGCCTAAGCTCTACCTATTGAGATGCCTCCTCCCCGCTAAGAAAGTATGCTTCCCCACGCATTGGTGGCTTGCACTTTTGCACAATTTGACTAAACCGTTTGTTCTCCTACCCCAAGAGTCGAGTCTGTTTTCTGCGGATTGGGATTCCTTCAGCACCCGTTGGCGGTAGGCTTCGTCGCGAATTGTGTCGTGTTTCAGGCGGCATTCTTGCTTCGAGTCGGTAGGTCGAGAGCTACATGTGACGGCGCCAGCCTGCAGCACTCACTACCACTGCGCTAGAACCCCCAAAAGGATGCCAGAATTGCAAGTTGACAACTTGCAGCCTGTAGTAAGCTATATAGTACTGCTACGGCCATTGCGCGCCGTGACACTACAGGTCGGCGCCAGGTCGTCAAGCCGAGGCTTTTTTAGGGGGTTGTGGTTACTAATCTCCGGAAGCGAAGTGCGGCGCCGCCGGAGAGGGGACCCTTTATTATAACCGACCATTTGGAATCCCTTACTCACATCCAGTAGCCATTTAAAGGAGTCTAGGTGGGTTGCTGCTTCCGTGAACTTTTTAAGATGGCTATGACACATGTCCTGAAAGCGAACGTTAGGTGAGGCGAATATGAGTAGCCGCTTAGTCGTATAGAAATCTGACTTGTCTAGCGTATCGAGGAGTAGTGGTGGTATCTGGGGCGGATAGCATCGCTCCTGGGGTAACGTTTGGCGAATCGTTGGCCTGGAGTTTCTTTGCGGTGCTTCGTGGTAGTCTGGTTTTTCCTTTCGCGGGCGGAGCCGTGTAGCTACTATGGTGTTTGTGTCGGTTATATCAGTCAATTCGGGTGTAGAACCCCTGGACGGAATTTCTGCAAGAGTAGAGTCTAGTGGGGAGCTTAAGGGTATTGATAATCGGGGTTGGCTAGGAGAGCTGAGGGTGAGATGGTTGAGTGGTTCCGTAGTGCTAGAACCTCCACCATCCTCATTGGTGGATAGCCTGCTAGCTTCCTCCTCTGCCGAGGTCGTATTGAGAATTCTTCCAATAATAGTATCCGAATTTAGAAGATCCATTCCCGCTAAAGATTGAGACGGGGACTGGACCATAAGCCCGAATTGATCGAAGGTGAAGCCAGTAGGAAGATCTTCGCTTATAAGGTCTACGAACGGGAGCTGAACCCTATCAGGATCGCCTTTTTTCGCAAATAAAGCTTCACCTCTCCAGGCTGCCAGGTTCTGCAAGTCGATTGGCTCGATAGGGTTTACCCCTGCCTGAATACTCCGGCGCCCCGGGATCTGAAACCGTCGGAGTTGTCACGGCCGGCTTGGAATGAGGGCGGAACTCCTCTATTGGGCGCTATAGACGAAGATTCTAAACTAAAGGGAAAAGGGAAAAGAAGCTCAAAAGCCTCCCCTCGCGAGATTCTTCCAGGGCGTCTCAAGGTGGGGCTCTGGCTGGTCGGGTGGATCCACCCAACTGGCGTCTGATTAGTCAGAGCGTCTGGGAGGCCTGGAGGACCAGGCCCTCACAGGAATGCAGACTAGGCATCAGACCTCGGTGAAGGCGAAAGTGGCGGAAGGAAGAATGGCTAGGGTAATTCGGAGGAGGAGAGAGGCTCCACTGAGAGGCAACTTCAGCAAGGGACAGTGTGCAAAAACGTAAAGGAGGCAGCCTTCATGCACGTTGCATGCTTACTAGGTTATTCATCGTCACCCTTACCTGCCGGTGCCATGAAGGATGAATAAGGTGATCACCTGCCTAGGCAAGGCAACGTATATTAGTGGAATCTTCTAGCTGGTTCTATGATCGGTGTCAAAGTGTGAGACCACCCTATCTGTTCCTTCGGCCTCATACACATCCAGGTAAAAACGACTACGACTCCGCTAGTGCGGACTATCTTCTTCCCTTAAACTCCTAAGCTATAGACCGATGACCTATTCCCTGCGCTCACACTATAATGGCAACGCAGGAAATTGTCATTTGCTCTGGAAGTGTCGAGTAAAGAGGCTGTATTCTAGATTCAACTATTGTACGACGGCATAGATCTTCATCGGAGCTCTATTAGCTTATTTAAACTAGTTATTTCAACATCCTTAAAACACGAATATAGTCCTATAAACAATGGTAATGCCTCTTTATAAACATCCACTATACCGATACTAGAGCCTTTGAAAGGTTTTCAGCGAACAGTCTCTGCAATGGTGGTCCGATCGTGTGTACCCAGATCTAGGTCTACAGGAAAACAAGAAGTCTTTTTTTTTATTTTGGTAAATGGCAACTTTAGCCGGGGTGGCCATAAACGCGGCACAGGGGCTGTGCAGTACACACACCTCGCTCACCACAACTCAGGGTAAAGCAGCGGCGGCTCAGGGCCATGCCTGCCTATGGTAATTACTGAGGGCAACATTCGGGAGGCGCATAGTGCTGTTGTTAGTCGGTAATCTAATGCAGGTCTAGCAACGCCCGCGGCCATTGGCGGCCTCCACAGCCTCGCATGTTGACGTTGACATCCCCCCCTTTTTGCCGCCGTCCCACAAGACAGCCGCGTACCCGAGCCGAGACTGCCGGCTTGAAGGCACTTCGGGATGTCAGAAACTTTGGCGTAGCGTGGGACACATGCATGCAAGCCAAAGACGACATGTGCAGGCCAACTACCACGTGCTTGCACATATAGCAGCCCCGGCACGTTCATTTACAAAATTTCTTTCTCCCCCCTGCTTGACGCCGTTTCTTTGATACTTCATGTCGCTATCTCTGTCCGCCTCCATTATTGCCGCAGCGTCAAAATAAACATCAATCCACCCCAGCAATGGCTCCCCTCGTCCGCTCGGCCGTCTGGATGGCCACTCTCCTCGCATCTGCTAGCACCGTGGTTGCCCTCACTAGCGGCGAATACTCCCCAGCCGAGTACGACTACCCCCCAGAAAACTCCCACGCGTGCCCGCCCGACCACGACCGGTATCGCCCAGGGGGTGGCGGCGGCGGTGGCGAGCAGCCGCAGCAGCGCCACCAGTATTACACGGCGCGCTACGCGGGCTGCTTCAGCGACACGCGCGACATGCGCTCTCTGACAGGCAAGGTGACGTACGACGACTCGCTGACGGTGGCGCGGTGCGCGGCCGAGTGCGCGGGCTACGCGCTGTTCGGGCTCGAGTACGGGACGCAGTGCTACTGCGGGACGGGGCTGGTGCAGGGCGCGCAGCGGCGGCCGGAGCACGAGTGCGCACAGCGGTGCGGCGGCGACTACGGCGCCGTGTGCGGCGACGCTGACCGCCTGAGCGTGTACCACCTGTCGTCCGGCTCGTCGTCATCGCCATCGCCATCGCCATCGCCATCGCCATCGCCGCCGTCGCACCCGGAAGCCTACGTCAACGGCAACCGCGACCGCGTCGCCGGGTACCGGTTCAAGGGGTGCTGGACCGACAGCACAACAGTGCGATCGCTGGGCGGCAACTACGGGCCCGTGCTGCGCGATGATGCGATGACGGCGGAGCTGTGCGCCGAGTTTTGCCGCGGCTACCGCTACATGGGCCTCGAGTTCGGCAGCCAGTGCTTCTGTGGAAATCACCTGTCTGCCGGCCACGCCGTGCCCCGCGCCGAGTGCGCCGAGCTGTGCTACGGCGACAAGCGCCAGTGGTGCGGCGGCCCGGACCGGTTGAGTTTGTATGAGTGTGGCGAGGCGCGGCACCCTGCGCATCGCGGCAGTGGGTATTGAGCGCGCGCAGGCCTGGGGATGTTGTAAAGGATCCGAGCGTGCACGGAATTAAATAGTCGAGAAGATGCGGTATTTGCCTGTAATAGTGATTTCCTAACCCATAATATCTAATTAATCCACCGGGCACACAGCGCGCTCCCACCGGGGTTTCTAGAGACTTGCGTGTTTCTGTGATCCTTTAGCCGCTTGAGCTTTGTTCGCATATTGCTCTCGCACGCATGTGTCGAAACACGTGGATCTGTCCACCCTCTCCGCCGCCCCAGTGCGCCTGGTGGGCTCGATCATGGGTATGGCTTCTCCCCACGTCTTTCGTTCTGATGTCTAACACGTCATCGACTAGAAGAATGAACGCCACGTACGTCTTGGAAGGCGGCACGCTGCCGAATAGAATTCCCGCTTTTCGGGTTTCCACGTGTTGAAGCGGTGAAAAGGCACCACAACAAAACAAAAATAACAGTAGGATCAGGGCGAGCCGTAGGCTCAAAATGAGGGCATGAAGATCGATGTTTTCTAGAAAAGAAGAAAAAGGCGGTTTGCGTTGATCAGGGGTTCAGGGGCCGGGAAAAGGGGGCTTGTTACACCCTTACCCAATGTAATCTAGTACGATTTCTTCCTTTCTGTCTTGGGCCGCCCCCCCTCTGATCAAAGGTCGGCATCGCTCCTTGCATTCCTTTTTCAAGCGTTTTCTTTCAAATCATATTTTTTTAGTGTGAATTGAGGTCCCTGGACCAGTGCACGCTAGTTGCACGCTAGTTTTCAATGTTTCACGGGCAATCCACTGCCTCATCAGGGTATTAGGACTGAATCTTTTGTGTCGTAATTGATTACAGAGAGTCTTGGCAGGCGAGTTCATGCGTGATTGTGTCTTGATTGAAGTTTGGGTCCTGCCCCCTTTAGTTAATTATGGCTAGATCGTTATCTGTTTCTACCTACATGACACCTAGTTATAGAAAGCCGCTTTTGGTACACATGGTTTCCTCTCGCCTAGGGTAGTGTAGCCTCATGATTTCTAGATCCCGCCATATGCAGCGGCCTGCGTTGTGGCGGCCAGCACCACGACCCCGATCCCTGTTGCCCACCTTGCCAGAAGACAGGTCGAGGATTTTGGTTGAACAGGAATTCTTACTTGTTGCCCTTTCGCGAGCCGATCTACGTTTCGCACTTCACCATCCCTTGATAATGGGCAGCGTCGAGGTTTCCTAGCTGCGTGCCCCTCCCCTTGGCACTGTCGGTTCTCTTGCAAGCATCGCTGTGGGCGGTCTCGATCTCGATCTTGTTGACGTACTCGACGTAGGTTGGGTTCTTGGTGTAGTAGGACTTGACAGTGTAATCCGCCGCCACCTCGCCTTGGAGGTTGTCGGGCGGAGAAACAGGCTTCTCGTGCTTCATGTTCTTCTCAACCTCGTGGACAAGCAAGTCTCCGTAGTCACCCATGACGGGATTCAGGATATGCTGGCCGATGTAGGCGACAAGAGCTTGGTTGCCTTCGTACTCGGAGGTTCTGTACTAGTACTTCCAGCCGGCAAAAGCGTTCGCATCCGAGGCGGTCGAGCTCGACTGGCTCGAAACACTAGGTGTGGGGGTCTTACAAGCTCTACGAATCTTTGCTGTTGCTTCTGTTTAGGATCTGCGTATCGAAGGCCTGGCGTGGCCTGTGACAAAAGAGCCAGTCATCATATAGCGAAGTAACAGGTCAGAGACTTGTAGAGCGTTTGATGCGTTTAAATCAAGCCTAGGAACTCGCGTTCAACCTCAGCGATCAAGCTCCAGTCCCATGCTCAGCTTTTATTTTTTTTTCCTATGCGTATACACTAAACCCGGCGAGAAGGATCAGAGGAACTCATCCTAACTCATCGTGAGTGGAACTTTACCGGGAACCTACGGGCCACGGCACAGCGAAGGAAGGATTTGCTGAGCCTGATCCCTTGTATCAGACACACACCAAAAAACACAATTTATTATTCAACCATCGAGAGAAGCGTATAACTGTATATTCACAAAACTACCCCCTAGGGCAGCAACGACTTTACCTCCATTGGCCAAACACCAACCCAGCCGACCCAAGACAGTTTCGCAGCCCAGGTCCTGTCAAGCGACTCTACCGTGGAATCATTGCCTCCCATGGGCGCTCCCAGCTTCCCGCCTCCAAATTCCTAGCCTTGTCCCCTCCATTTTTCAGGTCGGGCATCCCGTCAACCCAATGGCGGCAACGATGCCTAACCAACCCCTAACCTTCGCATTATCCCTAGCTGTCTCTTGCCCGCCACCAGCCGCTCTTCACCATCTACTTAATACATGAAGACAACCGCGCCAAGCGCGCCGAGGACGACCGCAGCCGACGCAGTAAGCGACGCAGCGCCACTGCCAGGGGTCGAGCCGTACAGCCCACCTCCACCCCCGCTGCTGCTGCCCGTCGGCGTGTTGGTGGGCGAGGTGGTAGCCGAGCCGGTAGTCGACGACGACGACGAGGTGCTGCCACCGTTGCTGCTGCTGCTGCTGCCGGACGCGACCTGGCCGCCAAACACGTTGGGCGGCACGACCAGTGACGCTGTCTGGGCGCTGCTCTGGTACGCGGCCAGCGTCTGGCTGCCGCTGGGGTTGACCACGCCCGACATGCCGCCGTTGCAGTGTCCCGGCACCGTGCAGTAGAAGAAGATGGGGTCGGTCGAGTTGACGACGACGCGGAACACGTTGGCCTGTACCCAAGGAGGTGTCAGCAGGTCATTCACCCTTGCTTTTATCGACTGCCGGCAGACTCTGGCAAAGGAAGGGACGGACAGATAGAGACAAAAACTCACGTTCTCGGCCGCGCCCGACGTCGTCATGACGCCCGAGTAGAAGCCGCCGCTCTTGGACGGCGTGCACGGCCCGCCAAAGTCGCTCGACGCCACGCTGTGCGCCGGCTGGTGGAAGTGGTACTCGAGCGTGTCGCCCTTGCTGGCCGTCACCGAGCTGGGCGAGAAGGTGAAGCCGTTCTGGCCCACGTCGATGCGGACCGTGGCCGCGCTGGCCGACGCCGCGAGCGCCGCCGTAAGGGTGAGTATCCTGGCGTGCATGTTGTTTGTGGGTGTGTGTGTGTGTGTGTGGGTGTGTGTGTGTGTGGGTGTGTGTGTGTATGTGTGGGTGTGTGTGTGTGTGCGTGGGTGTTTTGTTTTTCTGTTTTTGGTGGTCGGTGGCTGATTAGGAAGAAAGGGGGTGAAGCTGATCTTTTCACAGGTCCCGGCAGTTGAATGGAGAGAGCGAGGTCGTCTTCACAAACCGTCACGGCTAACCTCAGGCGCCGCACTTGCTTGGCAGACCACGGCACGCTCTTATATACCGTGGGTATGAGACACGCGCAGCCAGCCTTGTAGGCTCGGCTCGCGTCACTGCTGGGCGGGAGCCCAGTTCATCGGGAGTGGGATGGGCCCAGGTCGAAGCTGGCTGCGAGGGGATTGGGCGGCAAGTGAAGGCGTTGTTTACGTGAGCCAGACTGAGAACGGCACGGATCGAAAGTCTGGGTCCCATTTCCGCTGCAGCCACAGGCCCCCCCGACCAAAGTCAGCGGCTCCTGGCCTGAGTTGGGTGATATCCCGAGCAACAAAGTTGAAAGTTCCCTTTGTTGGGTCGTGTGGGGCCCTGTGCCACCACTTGTCATACTTGACAAATCCCCGAGGCTTTGGGCTGACCTCTCAACGCTCGCCGTTCAAGCGCAGTATGCACACTTTTGGCGCCTCCAGCTGCAGCACGGGAACTTTCCGTCTCGGCGTCACCCACCGATGCCCAACTTTAAGCCACTCCGTGTCCAATTGATGCGCACCGCGGCGTTCAGGCTCGGCTGGATCCGAGCATTCGCTTTTCTGCATCCACCCCTTTTGGTACCTGAGGGCAGAAAAGGTTTATTTGGGGCTCAAAGAAGTCACAGTTATCCAACACCTGCTAGAGATACAGTGAAATGTGCAATTCCATTTCCTTGGAAAGACCCTGAATAAGTTGCATTTTGGTGAGGAGTTGCAACCAGCGGGACAGTCAATTGGTCAGCGCGCCCAAAGCCGAAGTGCTGCTTTGCGGGCGAGTGAGGCAGTGCTGGATGCCCAGAACTTTTGTGCAGTGCATGGAGCCAATCACGTCTGAGCCTGGCGCACAACCACACCCCGAAAGTGCCCGTCTAGCAGAAAGGCTACTGCGGGGCACTTCTGTCTGGGCTCGGATCATCGCCGCTCCTGCCGACGTCGCTTTGTGCTTGCTGGGCCGTCAATCTGAAATAACGACGCGTCACGTACTCTTCGACGTGATCGCCATCTTGGGGTTGGCTCTCCGTGTTTGCTATTTAAATGCTGAGTGAGAGCCGGAAATAGCCACATCCGGCGGACATTCTTCGGCGTCACAGAAGAATGGCCGATCGGTTTGTTTCCCATTAATAAGCGACCCTGACTGTGAATACCACTGTCAGCTTTGGACGATATCGCACCGTCTCTAAACAGATTTTCAAGTATTTCTTCCATCACGTCGGTTGGCCCAGAGTTTCATAAACCAGAGTTTACCTGTCGCGGCTCCAACTAAAAAAACAAATGAACGGGGTTTTATCGTACACGGAAGAGAGAGGAAAGGAAGTTTTACGCATAGGCTAAGCGCAAAGTGGTAATTAATGATGTGGTCTGTCAGAAGTACTGCACTGCATGTGATATGGGGAGAAAACGATGTAGATTGATTTATCTGTCTTTTGTGGCATGCCAGACACCTTATTCTTATACTTGTTTAGTGTCACCGAGGTGGCCGTAATGGTCGCCGAGGTGGCCGTAGATGGTCACCGAAATGGCCTTCTTTCTGATATGGTCTAATACGGCTCTAGTAGGTCGATCGGCCCTGCCTGTTCAACTTCGAATATAGACCGTCCTGCTTTGTCCCTTTTCTTCGTCCCCTTCTTCTTAGATATCACACCGAATGCGAATTCGTCCACTACCGCTAAGGTAGACTCCTCTAACATCGGCTCAGGCTCCGACGCTGCAGGTAATAAGGATTTGTCTTTGCCAGCTGTCGGGGTAGCAGGAGTTCGAGACTTCAAGCCAAACTCAACGGGATCCTCGACGCCAGAGTCGATGTGAAAGCCAAGATGGTCATTCGAAGCAATTTTGCTAGTCGCGGGAGCGAACACAGATTCTATAGAAATATCAGGCCACTTTCTTTCAAATTGTTGGTCGAAATGTAGTTACTCACCACCACGGATGCGCAAGTTCGCAAACTTCTTACACGTCTCAAGTCCGCTTTTCAGCACTCCGAGTTGTTTAGCCAGCTGCTCTCGAGTGAGTCGACTCTCCTCAGATTCCCCGGCAATGCGAGACACCAGATCATCAGACATTCGCCACACGTTGACGGGCGATAGGATGTTTTCCAACGCCGAAACAAGCTTTCCTTCGACGACCTGAACAGCAACGTCGTCGATGAAGCGTTTCAAAGCAACCTTCACTTTGTTAGCAAGAAAGTAGCGTAAACTGTAAATGTAGTGAGGAGAAAACGGCAGAATCGACCCAACGCCAGCCCTATCAGGGTGATGTTGCGTGTTAGTTATATCAACGAGAGAAACGTTCAGACATACCTTATAGTACGCATCTAGGCAATCGAGGGCCTCGTTCGCAGCGTGATGGCTCATATCTAACTTGCGATTCTTTGTCAATTCCTCGGCAAGTTCGGCTAGGTCATAGTACTCTTTCAGCCTGTTGGTTGATGAAAGCGACGCAACATTGAAGAATTCCTTCAAGATATCTTTGGGCTCCTTTGTCGACTCCCGCTCACGCCGAGTCTTTTGGACAAGGTCAAGAAAGTAGTGGTCGTTGTAGGTGATCGGATGGAAGTTTTGATGCTGGTTTAGGAGCTCTTTGGTCTTCTCTGTCATGGACTTTAAAATGTCCTTCATGCTTGGGTCGAAGATTTCTTCCTGGAGAGCCCTGTAGGCAGAACCATCCGCTACATGATCGACCACCATGTGCAAGAATCGGCAAGCTGCATCCCACACACTTTTGACGTGACGGGATACGATGAACTCCCATGGACGAGATTGTTCGACGAATAGTTCAGCAACAATCATTGGGTTGAAGGTGCCAGGAAGTTCTCGTCCTCGGGTCTTTTTCATCAGCTCTTCAATGTGGCTGATGAAGTTGGATCGGGACATTCTCTCGTGCCCGCCTCCAGCTTCCTCGATTGCCCAGTAGTGGCCGCGAACGGAAATTGTCGACGCAAAACCTTGGTTCAGGTTTTGGACGACGGCCCTGAAATGGCCCTGGTATTCATGCTCCGCCTTCGAGATTCCGAAGAAGGGGTCGGTGTAGCTTGCGTCGGTTGCAGCCTTGAGCAGTGTGAGGAAAGACTGGCTGAGATGGAAGAGGTAGAGGCGTTGTTCATGACCGGTAGCTCTAGGGGCGCCTAACCTCATCAACTTGCTCTCACAAGCACTGAATTTCCCATCAATCTCCTCAACCAGGCCCGGGAGTTCAGAGGCAATCTGCCTGAGGAGAACTTTGCTGAGTCGGCCGCGTAGCTTGTCGATTCCTAAAGACAACTGCGGCAACTGGGTCCAAACGCCGCTTTGAAAGAACACAACCTCCTCATTGTCGCGCTCTGCAAGACTCCAGGTCCCTTTCTCGGAGTCGGTGTTTCTCAGAACGTGCCAACCCAACCGAAATTCAACTTCCTGGTTCTTGGCGAGTGATACATAAAGAGCCTCGCTTGCAGCTCCCGCAGTCAGGGTGTCCGGCTTCGTTATGACGCCTAAAGTCCGATCGCCTGTGGGGTCTGCAGCCCGAGCAAGTTGGAGGACGACCTGGTTGCTGAAATCGTTCTTCGCAGAGACAACAGCAAGGATGATGCATCTCTGCTCTTTCATATAACCCTGGACAACCTCCTTGATGAGTTCAACATCAGAGAGTGTCTGGTTCTTCGTCTCCGCGTGAATCAACCCTGGAAGGTCGACAATTGTAAGGTGAGGCCGATCCGGACCCGTGATCTCGACGCGGAGGATATCTTTTGAGAATGCCTTGCCGTGGGTCGAGATGCCCATCGCAAGCTTGGCTGCCTCGATCACGGCTGGGAGGCTGTCGAATCCAGGGAGCCGCTCAGAGAAGCTGCGGAGTGCGACTTGTTCCGAGTCGCTGCGAGATTCATGGGGCACGATAGAAACGCTAGCGCCGATGTGAGGGGCCCTGCGGAGAACCAGTTCGGTAGGGAAACGCGTGCACAGGTTGCTCTGGACGGGGAATGAGACGCCCGAGATGGCTTCTAGAACCGAGCTCTTGCCGGAAGACTGGTCTCCGCACACGATGATCTGGGGCAGGGAGACATAATTGTTGATCCCCTGCAGCCGAAGGCGATCGATGGAGTCCAAGAGCTCCAGTTGATCTGCCGAACACAGTTTGTTCACGGCATCGCTGTCGAAGGTCACCATGGTGACGAGAGCAGCTGACCTGATTGAGATTGTAAATGATAGAGCGGATGGAACAAGGTTGTAGGATTGAAGGAAGGAAGATGTGGGGGGGCGAAGATTTTTTCTGGAGAAGATGACCTGGGGGGACTTATGCACCCTAGATTCTTGGTAGGAATAGTTCTTCAAGAACTTTGGCCTGGACAAGGGATGGGTGCAGCCTCTTCCGATGACTAATCATACCTGCCGACCGACATATGCGGGCAGACAAGAGGGTTCAATTGGCTCCATGCACGAATAGTTGGGGTGATTGCCACATGTCGGGCCTCCAGAGGCAGACTCGAGGCAGATTCTTGCACGTTTGTTTCGCTTTGCGACTTTCGGGCCGCTTGGACGGGCCTCCGCATGCAAACGCTGAAGGCAGCCATGTGAACTGAGTTGGCGTGGAAGACACCGATACGAGACACAGGCACCCGAACAGAGAATCGGCGGAGGGGCACTGGCGCAAATTTTTGAAAGTAGCTAGAAATCAACTTCTCATGAACAAATCAAAGAGCAGGGACAGCGTCATTGTCGGCCTCATTGCATATAGCCCGACTTTTACTAGGTTCAACCAAGGAATCACGGCGTTTGCATGCCCAAAACGACTGGAAAAGGCGGTGATCTTGCAGCCCAAATGCAAGGCGATTAGAATCTGTTGAGGACGATTCACTTCTGTGAGGAAGTCGCGAGGCAGTGACGAATACCCGCTTCAGCGAGCCAAGATGGTTTCGACTGTTTGGAGCGGGAAGGCGCAGACGACACGGCGCCAGCCACTTCACCAACAGTCAGATTCTGGACATTTAACTGGCCCGTTCTCCCCGGCCATTTCGTTTGCATTCTGTCTTCTGCTTAAATTCACAAAGAAGGTACGTACCCAGGACCGCAAATCTCGCTTGAGCGTGAAGTAGTTGATCAAATCTATAGCATTCTATGAAGCTAAGCTGCAATATGGTATCTCACACAAACGCCGGGAAATGCATGCGTCGTCCCACACCTCCGTCCACACACCTGTCGAGTGATGCAGAACACGAGCCTAAAACTTAATCCCCGACCTCAACACTTGCGCCTTGACCCATATGCCGGCCTTGATGAAGACGAGGTACACGCCCACGACAACCCAGGACACGGAAATGACGGCAATCCCGCCCGCAAGGCGCGCATCGACAATTCTCGCACGAGTGGCATCATTCTGTAACAACCACCCGAACACCGACGTTACATTTGCAAAATCCGCGCTGCTCGGGCTGGCCCCATGTCCTTGTACCTTGCTGAGCCTTTGTGCACTCTCAGTCAGAACCCGCTCCCGCTCGCGCTCCTCGATAACGTCTGCCATGCGCCGCGCAACCTTGTTGTTGATCCTCTCCCACGTCGCCCCCTCAGCCTGGCGGCGAGCATTCTGGCCGAGGCGCTCGCGCAGGGCGGGATCCGCCGCCAAGAGCACGACCTTATCCACAAAGGCCGCCAGATCGTCAGGCGGCGTCAGAAACCCAGTCTCGCCGTGGCGCACGGTATCGCTCGGCCCGCCCTCGTCCCTGGCGACGACGGGCACGCCGCTGGCCATGGACTCGAGGACGACGAGCCCGAACGTCTCGGTCGTGCTCGCGTGCAGGAACACGTCGGCCGACGCGTACGCCGCCGCCAGCAGCTCGCCGACCTGGAACCCCGCGAACACGACCTTGCCCCGCGCGGCCAGTGGCGCGAACGAGTCTTTGATCTCGGCCTCGACGGCCGCGTTGCGGTTGCCGCCGACAATGTACAGCCGGAACGCCAGGCCGCGCGCGTCGAGGCTGCGCGCCGCCGCAGCGAGGAAGTCGAAGCCCTTCTCGCCCGCGAGCCGCGCCACGCAGATGAGGATGATCTCGCCGCTCGGGGCGAGCGCCCTGCGCAGCGCCTCGCTGCGGCGCGCCGGATGGAACAGCGCCGTGTCGACGCCGCGCTGCAGGAGCTCCAGCTTGCCGGCCCCCACGCCGCTCTTCTCCAGGTAGCGCCGCACGAAGCGGCTCGGGTAGAACAGCGTGCGCACGCTGGGGTGCTGGAACAGGAACGACTGCACGCGCGAGAAGGCCGCGACCGCCAGGTCGCCAAACGGCGGCGGAAACAGGATCGCGCAGTACCCTGCTAGGTCGGTCTGGAAGTTGCAGATGATGGGAACCTGGCTCTCGCGCGGCTGCTGCCGCAGCTGCAGCATGACCTGGAACCCCAGCGAGGCCGGCGAGGCCAGGTAGATGAGGTCCGGGGGCGAACCAAACGTCTGCCTGTAGAGCGAGGAGAGCCTGACGGGGTAGACGATGGACAGCTCAGGGTTGTAGGGCAGCGGGTAGCCGTGGATGCGGACTTCGAGGTTCTGCACCCCGCTGCTGCTGCTGCTGCTGGCCGCGGCTTCTTCTTGCGGGTCGTCGGGTTTCGGCACAAACGTGTTGTGCTGCGTGTGGTTGTGCGGCGCGACCACGGCGACCACGGCCCCGTTGGCGCGCAGGTGGTTGACCAGCATCAGCGTCGTGCGCGACACGCCGTTGACGGGCCCGAACGACTCGGAGCACAGCAGGATCCGCTTGCCCCTCAGGGACTCCGGAAATACCGAGAGATCTTCCTCGGAACCGTGCACCCCCGCGGGAGCGGAGAGCGTCCCCATCTTATCAGAACCGCGTAAGCCGTGTAGTGTCGCTGCCAGTGTGGAGCGCAGCTCTGCACGATCTCCCCCTAATGCAGATTACCCGCGAACGTCGTTGGTAGGTTAGGTAACAGCCAGGGCGGCCAAACTCCGTTTGCATGTGGCTGTTCCTCGCTGTCTGGCTCTTTGACGGGGGAAATAAGCCTGCTGCTATTGGGACACAGACGTCAAGTAACCGCTGAACTAAGCGGATATGAATGTATCGTCTCGTATTAGTGTCCTTGAGCAAGCGTTATAGGTAGGAAGGTGTGACGAGCTGAAAGCTATAAATAGCGCCAGATTTGGTACTTGGCAGTAGCGGAGGCATGGGCTTCCTCGACGGCGTAGAAACCTTGTTGTCAGTGTCGACAAAGGGGCTTCGGTCGAGCCACGGTGATCAGCATCGGAGTTCACAAAGCCTGGCTGGCTGACAGTGCGGTGGGTCGGCAGAAGCCGTGACCAGACCCAGTGGTGGGAATGTCTCAGAGACAGGCTCGTGGGTGGACTGGAGTGGGGGTCCAGCTATCCGTTACAGCGTTACAGCGGGTTCGGCAAAGGCGACAGACTCGCTTTAGTCGAGAATCCGAGAAGGAAAGGCGAAAGCTAGACACGGAAAAAGAGCCACAAGTCGTGGTAGGTCTGGACCAGACTGCGCCGAGAACCTGGAGTCTTTGGTGTTGAGTGAATGCCCTACCGCAGCGGAGACAACAATGCAGCTGCAGATTTGGAACAAGAGACCAACACCTGTCGACTCGAGATCTCGACAGCATCTTATCCAAGACGAGCATGCACCAGACGAACAGCGCACAGCACGAGGCAGGTTGAGCTGGGCCCAATCAGCATCGTCTGCTCCCGCACACCCTCGTGTCGGCCAATAGCCATCCATAGTCCCTGGTAAACGACCACCGAAATCGATACCCGTGTCCAAGGTTCGCTTGGCTCGAGAACAGCTGTCGGCTAAGACCTGGTGCAGTGCTGGTCGTGCTTGCCACGGACGGTAGCGAACGGGAGTTTGGTGGCCTTGGTGGGGTTTGGCGGGGTGAAGCTCCAGGTCGAGCTTCCACCTAAGCTGGGCCCCACCCGACGCGGCGTGCCAAACCCGCCTCACGAATGTGCGAATAGGCTCCCGCCATCGGCCCAACGTGCCTAGGCCGGTTGGGTGCCGTTTCTCGCGAGCCTTCTTCAACGCGCGCAGCGACAAGCGGCGTCGGGTCTAGCTCCCGTCATGTGCACCCACCACCCACCACCCGCCCGTGCCTCATCCTCCCGATCTCTTATCGTTGCGCTTCAATCGGCCTCGTGGTCGGCGGCACTTCGAGCGACCCGTCCGCCTCGGGCCCCATTTCGAGTCGCCTGCCCTGTCGCCGGTGAACTTGGGCGCTTTGGGTGGTCTGCTGCCGCTGTCGTCGCTGCACCTATTGCCCGGAAGGCGGTCACTGTCGCATCGTCGGCGCTCTTTGGCTGGTGGTTCATTCTGGGGTGTCGTTATCGCTCACATGTCTGCAATTCTGCCTCGACTGTTCAATCAAGCGCGCACCAGGAAAACAGCCCGGCTCCTGGGTGGGAAACCTGCAGGCCTTTTATCAAGTCATGGTGAGACTGCAGCAGATCTACCCCACGTGGAGGGCTGACTTGGTGGAAATCAGGGGTGCAGCTTGGGAGCGGCACAAAGTCACCTGCCGCACGGCAAAACCTTGGTGCAGCGTGCGTACCCCAACAGGAGAGTGACTTGCTTTGCTCTTGCGATGCACCGACAGGGGTGGCCGGTCGACGCGTCCTGGCGATTTCTTGGTCCAAGAACGATTGGCCCTGAGGACGATCAGCCTGCAGCGCCTGCCTGCAGCGTCTGCAGCCTCCACTGCGCTGTGCAGCGGGCTGCTGCCAGCAGCTGCGAGCGGCCTTGGCCACGACCTTTGGCGCGTAATTTGTGAACCCACCTTTGTAGCCTTCAAATTTCCAATGGTTCCTGTTGTGGGCCTTAGGGGCTAGGCGGTTGCACGATGAGGCTTCCAAGATCGAGCAGCTTCTTCGGGTGGCCGACAATCAGCATTCTTCCGCTGTTCGGTCGGTAGCGGCAGGCCCGCCATGCGCTTAGCAGTTCCTCCTGAGGCTCTGCATTGAACCCCTGAGTCGTCCCTACGCCGCCGGAAGACGGCACAAGCGGTTCCCACACCTCGCGAACCAGGGTCCAGAGCTGGACATGACGCGCCTGTGCAGCCCAATCCTGGATTTGGCGACAGAAGGCTCCACCAAGCGCCATGCGATCCTCCCAATCCCTGGCTTCTTAAATTTCTTCGTGTCCCCTTCCGTGGGCCGCCGTCTCTGTCTGCTCTCCATCGCCCCCCCGCTCGTGGTCCCAAACTTGGCCCCTTCTTTCCGGGGGATACGGGTTCTCCCTCTAATACCATCCTCGCCGCTGCTTGACTTCGTCTGCCTCGGGCACTCGTCTCGCCCTCCCAGCCACCCCAAGGACATGTCCATCATGGTTCCTTTGACGCCGTCGGTCGTCGACTCGGAGGAGGGCGTCATTGTCGACGGATATTCCGGCTATTCCGCTCCCACGACTCCGGACGGCAGCATGTGCTTCAGTCCCATCTCAGCCGAAGACGGCTCGGCGAATCTGACCGCCAAGGTACGGTCCAATGGCAGATCGCTGACATCGGCGCTGTTCAACACCACGACCCGTACCCCGCCGGTTCGCAACATCTGCTGTGTCGGCGCTGGCTATGTCGGTAAGAGCTCTCTTTGCTGATCTTGAACTTTCTTGTGCCTTCAAACTGCCCCCGTGTCTCCATTCCGCCTCTAACTAGCTTGTTACAGGGGGGCCTACGGCAGCCGTCGTCGCGTTCCAAAACCCGCACATCCGAGTCACCGTGGTCGACAGGGACGAAACGCGGATCAGGCGGTGGAACTCACAGCACCCGCCCATATACGAGCCCGGTCTCAACGACATCCTTCGCGTGGCGCGAGACGGTGCAAAGGAATGCGTCGTCCTAAACAAGTCGGAGGAGACGAATACTCTCGACTCCGACGACGCCCCGAACTCGTCATCGGACGGCGACAGCGAAAGAAACGGCCATGTTAGGGGGACCACCACCGTCGGTACCAGACAACCGAACCTGTTCTTCTCGACGGATGTTGCGAGGTGTATTGGTGAAGCCGATGTTGTCCTTGTTGCCGTCAATACTCCGACCAAGACTCGGGGTGCCGGCGCCGGCTCCGCTACAGACATGACGGCATTCGAGGCTGTGACAGCAGTCGTTGCCCAGTACGCCCGTCCAGGCGCGATCATTGTCGAGAAGTCAACTGTGCCCTGCCGCACTGCTCAACTTGTGCAGGACACTGTGAGTTGAACGGTATTTGTCATTGTGAGGAGATCTGACATATTCTAGCTCGCGCTTCACCGGCCGAATGTCCACTTTGAAGTCCTCAGCAACCCAGAGTTCCTCGCCGCCGGCACTGCCATCAAGGACCTCCTCAGCCCCGACCGTATCCTGATTGGATCGAGTTCAACTCCGGCTGGCCACCGGGCGGCCGCGGCCCTGGCGTCCGTCTATGCCAGCTGGATCCCCCAGTCGCGCATCATCACGACCAACGTCTTCAGCTCCGAACTAGCCAAGCTAGTCGCAAACTCGATGCTCGCGCAGCGCATCAGCAGCATCAACTCCATTGCGGCAGTGTGCGATGCGACGGGCGCCGACGTGGACGAGGTAGCATCGGCAATCGGCTCCGATCCGCGTATCGGCAGCAAGTTCCTTAAGGCCGGCATCGGCTTTGGCGGAAGCTGCTTCAAGAAGGATGTCTTGAGCTTGGTGTATCTGGCCGAGACTCTGATCCTGCCCGAAGTTGCCGAGTACTGGCGGGCCGTCATCATGATGAACGAGTACGCCAGAAACCGGTTCGTTTCGCGGGTCGTGAGGTGTCTCAACAACACGCTCGTCGGGAAGAAGGTCACTGTGTTCGGATATGCGTTCAAGAAGGACACCAACGATACGCGCGAGTCTCCCGCACTCGACATCATCAGGACTCTGTCTGAGGAAGGGCCCCGAGAGATTGCCATCTACGACCCGTGCTGCATTCCCGCACAAATGACCGACGAGATCAGCCGATTCGTGGGCCCGGGCTTCCTGAAGGTCAACGGAGGGCCCGTCTCTGTCTACGGAGACGCCTATGCGGCCTGCGAGGGCTCTGACGCCGTGATGATCACAACCGAGTTTGACGAGTTCAAGAACACGGTGACCTCGCCGGCCTCGGGAGCTGCATCAGCGCCCGCACGACCAAAGGCTTTGCCCGTTGACCCGCGGCCATTTGAGCAGGATGAGCCTTCGGAGAACGATTTGCTCGCTCTCCAGACGTTCCTCCAGCGGTCAGCCACTGCGAGTGCGCCAAAGTCTTTCCTGTCGGATCCCCTGAACCGCTTCAACCTCGTGCCAGACTGCGACGGAGACTGCCCCGACTGTCACCTCGAGAAGGCCACGGGCACCACGGGCTACGGCGCAAACGAGGCATATGTGCCTAAGGCGCGGCTCGACTGGAGGAAGATCTACGGCCACATGCGGAGGCCGCACTGGGTGTTTGACGGCCGCGGCGTGCTCGACATCACGGAGATGGAGAGGCTGGGGTTCCGCGTCGAGAGCGTCGGCCGCCAGAGCCGGTTCTAAACGCCGCGAACCGGGGCACCTTTCTTAATAGGCTTGGAACACCTGATTTGCAAGCATTGCAGTAGTGCTCGAGACGAGCATCACATCACAACAAGGCGTTGGGGGCGGTTTCACAGGATGGGCGGTAGAAGAGGCATTCTCATCATTTATTTTGGGGGGGGTTTAATCGACGTTTGACATTCCGAAACTTGATGGTGACATATATTTCCTCTCTCCACAACATTGGCTTCAGGCCATGATGATCGCGAGGGCGTCCCCGCCGAGCCTGTGTCTCTTCGCATGTTGGATGGCCCATCCACGTGACATCAACTTGCTCAGCGGATTAATCGAGAGGCTTCGGGCGAGGCAGCCGTTGGTTCCATGTTCCGACGGCCGAAAAGAGGGCGTTTCCCTGGCCGTGTGAGAGTCTCATCTTTCGGGCGGCGTGGCTGACGGACGCGCGTTCTGGTCCCCGCGTGGACCCAGACCCGGGCCCCACCTCTCCCCTGCATTAGCTCTGCGGAAGCCCCTAAAAAGCTCGGGGTCATCGCACGCAGAACCCCCCCCCAGTGGCCCGAGCCCACTCGACCGCCCCTAGAAATGCGGCTGAAAAAGAGATTTGACTGTCTTTGGTTGCCACTGCGCTGAATTTTCCGTTCTGGGCCCTCTCCGGTGCCTGTGCTCGGCTGCTCGGCTAGAGCCTAGCTGTTCAGCTCCTCCCGATGCGGACTAATTAGTGCGCGTGTCGATAGCTGGCCATTGCAAGCCTGACTCGACGCACGTGCTATGTTTTGGGCAACCTATGCGGAGTACGGAGTACTCGACAGGGCTACAAAAACGCCCTGACCAAGTCGCAGGCAAGGAGACGCCTGAGTCGAGGTCCCCTATGATGTTGGAAAGAATTGTCAACGAACAGGATCAAAATACTTTTGGTGGTGTAATTGGCCGTGGTGTCATCTGGCACTTGACACCAGAGCCGCTGTTTGACATATTCCCCCCGGGTCGAAGTCACTTTGCGGTGCCACAACAACAGAAGGTGGTCTGGATATTTAGTTGAGCCGATATTCGCAAGCAGTTATTGCTGGACGCATTACCGCCTGGTAAGGAGGATGGGGTAGGCCGACTTGAGCCATGGAGCTGATGGAATGGGAGACAGTCAGATCAGGAAATTGGAATACAGCCTTGTTCTATAATGTTCAGCCATTTTCCGAGCACCTCATCTACCTTGAGCCGGTAACCCCCAGGATAGCAGAAGACTGTGAATGGATAGGGCCGAAATTGACTTGTGCAACGTATGACTTCAGACACTAGCGAGGGTGGAGGGCCGCTGTATCACAAGAGGTATGGGAGCCAATGCCGCCAGCCTTCAGTCATCCGAACTGCATCTGCTGTCTCTGGTTTCGGGATATTCTGTAGGGGGACCGGGTAGACCTGGTCACCACTTGAAGCACAGTCTGACAACTCAGCAGGATATAAAGCTTGCTTCTTCCCGCTGATGGACTTTCCGCTCTGCTGTTCCACAGTTTCAGCCACTTCACCAGTCGCGTCACTGGATGCACGTACTCGAACTCGGACGGGCCTTCGTCTCTTCGCATCGGCCGTTCGGACAGTAAGCGGGGAAATGGAACGTGGTTGCATCATCAAACATGGCCAGACTAGAAGCCGCGCTGTGTCTGCATCAAGTCGCCTGAAGACCATATTGGCAAGCCAAGATTCTCCTCCGAGAAAGCCAGGACCTCCTCTGCACTCCTCTTTGAACTCACTTTAATCTTCAAAGCCAAGAACTGTTATTGGCCGAAGATGGCGTTCGAAACCAAGCGACTTGTCTAGATTGCTGCACCTCTCGGGGCGCTTTTCCCGCGGGTCGAGGCCGACTGTTTGGCCCTAAACAAGACCCAGACTATCAGCGTGCCCCCTAGCTTCACCCCCGGCATGAAATAGCAGATTGAGATCCAACACACGATCGACGTCACCAAGCCGCTAGTCCCGAAGGACGCTCTCGTGTAGGACATTGACCTCTACCACGTCCAGCGGCACCCCGAGATCATCTCGTATCTGCGGGTGCGTGTTCCCTGTATCCATATCCCACATCAACGCCACGTCTAACCCTGACCACAGAACAACATCAAAGACGTCCTCATCCGCTGCTACGTCAACGCCGGGCTAGCGCAGACTAGCGACTGCGATTTCAAGACGGTGTGGCAGTCGCCGGCGTACAAGGGGCTGCTGGGAGGCACGTACAATGGGGTACCAAAAGTGTTGCGTCACCCTCTTACACACCCCCTTTTCTTCCAAAAATCACAACTTTATCAATTTGGAGCCAAAATAAATGCAAAATATACCAAAATGATCCTCATTCAACGCCCTTTGACTCTTTAAGTAAGTTCATCCCTTTGGGCATAGAATTCACCAATTTCATCATGACTTCAGGGGTAATTTCCGCCCAAGCCTCCTCAATAGCCTGCGCCATCTGCGTGACTTTTTTAATCCTGTGCCTTCGTGTCTCTATTTTTAGCTTTATCTAGTGCCATAGATTCTCAATGGGCGAGAGATCCGGGCTTTGTGGCGGCCAGTTAAGGGTCCTGACGTCGAAAGCCTTCTTCAAAAGACCTAGGAACCCGTTGTGGTGATAGGAAGTTCCATCCTCTTGTATCTGAACGCCGTGACCGTACTTCTCCTTCATTTGGTTGTAGAAAGGAAGGAAATGAGGAATAAAGATCTGATCGGTGTACTCCTGACGGTTGAGACGGGTCCCCTGAGTTAGTACAACAATGGGCCCTTTTTCAGGGCCCATGAAACATCCCTATACACTACTTTCGTACGGCCGCTCTTGAAGGTCGGTTGTTGACAGCCAGGGTGGCATTCCTCACCCGGGGACCGTGGAATATAGATTGAACGGCCGTCTTCCCCGACTTCGAAGTATGCTTCATCTGACCAACAGATCAGGGCCCAGGCAGTGTATTTATTGATACGGCGGAAGACTAGGCGCTTCTCCTTGTTCTTGGAGGACACCCAGGGCTTCTTGCGGGCACGCCGGCGACCTTTGTTGGCTTCCTTGAGGAGCCTTCGGACCGTTGAACGGTTGATCTTGTACCCAGACTTTGAGGGCGTTCCGAGGGCTACAAGGGTGTCTGACACTGTCTGTTCGAGACAGCGTTGTATGACGAATCAGCCTTCGATTCGCCCGGTCATCGAGCTTCTTTGGGCGCCCGCTTCTAGGCTTTGAGCCGAATGGGTTTTCGAGGCTATTAGCCAAGTTTTGCGTTACTTTTTGTATAGTCCTGTTGACAGTGGACCTGCCGGCCCCCACTTGCGCCGATATGGTGGTTGCGGTTGCTCCGAAGACGTGGAGAGCCCAAATCTGGGCCCCTTTCTCTTCTGAAAGCTTCGTTCTGAAGCTCTTCGAAATGCCGACCATTTTGCAGTTGAAAAGAAAGACAAAGGTGAAAAGACAGTGAAAATTTTTCACCTTGAATGTAGAGGGTCATTTGGCCAACCATGGATTTCGTGGCTTTTTTAGTGTGTAAGTGGCGCAAGACTTTTGGTACCCTATTGTACGTAACGATAGGGTGGGTGCCCCGATGAATCGCCCTAAATAAGGTGGCCTTTTCCAGCTTCCCCTCCTTCACTTCTTCTTGCTTTCTCCACAGGCTTTAACCACAACGCTTCTGTCTCGCATCTCCAGTCTCCCGGCCACAAACCCCCAAAATCCGCAAAATGCCAATGCCTCCATCCGACGAAGAGGCCCTAGCGAGCCTCACCCCCCAAGAGCGCGAATTCTACGACTGGTACGAAGTGAATAAACGTATCCACGATATGGACGAGTGGAGTCGTACTGTCCGTAACCACTAGAAAGAGCGTACGATGGAGTTCAAGAAGTGGACTTCCATATGGATTGATCGAATCTTCGACCGAGAGACATACGCCGTGCCCTCCAGCGAGCTCGTCGACACCCTCCGCCGCACAAACTTCCGAAATACGCAATCGCGCGCCGAGTGGCTGACAATGATGGAGATACGGAACCATGACTTTTTCTTCTTGGCGAGGCAAAGCTCGACGGCATATTCACTTGTTTTGGCCTCATCCCCGGCGCTTTTTACCTAACGCCGAATATGGGTGCGGGCGACTACACCGAAGGGATTTTGCATCGCAGTATTTTGGGCATCAATACCAGCATCCCCATTGAGTTCACCCCACCTGAAGATGGTGGCGGTAGCCCAAGCAAACGCCGCTACTAGCAACGGAGCTCGGGAGAGGATTCGGTTCGCTCGACCAATTCGGGTGATATCGATCACGGTCACGGATTTATCTTTGCCCAATTGGGACCTCTCTACGCCTTCACTGGGCCCCGTGACTAGGAAGAAGCGCGAAAAGCCATGACCTATGACGATATCATCGAGATGAGACACTGGACTGCCACTGGGTTTGGCGTTGTGATAGAAATCGACAAGAACGGCCGTTCGGGCGCCATCTGGCTGATCTACAACTTCTTTCTACCAAGATAACCATACAGATGTTGGCCCAATAACGCGCACTCACAAACCCGTCTTGGACCAGGAAACAATGCAGCAGCTCCCGGAGATAGGTCGCCTGGTTAAAGGATGCACGACGACCTTCACAGTGGCAAAGATTGCCGAGAACCTAGGGCAGTTGGGAGCAGAGAAGAGCTTCAAAATCGACCTCAGGGAGTTCGATGAGCGACAGCTAGTACGGGTGAAGATATTGGCGGCCGGGCAGGGTTCATATCTTGTACGACAGTTTATTAAGCAATAGGTATGTATCCGAAGGGGTGGGATACTTGGTGGGCGGAATTCAGAGGCGGGGTTCAGGGGCGAAATTCAACAGCGGCATCGTAGCATGTCCTCCCCTATCGAGTCATTGTAGATAAATGAAGTCATTCTCTGGTGCTTCAACGCCTTCTCTATTGCTGCCTTGTCCGAGGGCCCCAATTGGCCATCGAAGCGAAATTACCAGGTTTGAAATTAGGTTCTGTGGGAAGAAGTTTGATCGCCGTTTACCAAAGGCGGGAACCAACTCCTTCCCTGAAGCATAATAAAGCTGTCCTCATCATTAACGTACTTAGGAAAAGCATCCACCGTCTTACTTTTAATCAAGGGCAGTCCGACTAAATCCCAACCCAGGCTAAAGGCGCCATTTCCGTCGTAGGCTAGGTGTGACGGCAGTTAATAGTAACCCGAGACTCTCTCTAGCCCCCAAATCTTGTAGTCCGCTAATAGATACCCGGCTCGCAGTCGGGGACGAACTGCGCCTCTGTTTGCGGCCCATCGAGTCAGCACACCCGACGAAAGACACGCCACCAGGGGTTAAAGGGGGGCTGGACGCACTACACTCGGCATCGCAGGCCTCAAAGCACGGGGTGTCGCCGGTGGGGCACTGCTTGTACAGGCAGTCGGACGAGCAGACCCAAAAGGCCTCGGGGACGGCGGCGCAGGCGGGCTGGGCTGGGGCCTGGGAGGCTGGCGCCGGGGCCGCCGCGACGGATGTGACGGCGACGGCGACGACGGCCAAGAGCGCAAGGAGCGGGGAGTGCATTTTCCCTGTTCTCTTTCCGTGTTGCGAACTTGCGGTGCTTCAGGTTGCTGGTCACAGTCTGGGCTCGGCTGCGAAAGGGGGTACAGCGCCGCGGTGCTTCAGGTTGCTGGCCACAGTCTGGACTCGGCTGCGAAAAGGGGGTACAGCGCCGCTGTTGTCGGAATAATCACTAGATGCGATGCCGAAATGAGGGACAGCGAGGAGTGACGAGGAATGAATTAGGCAAATGACGGCGGGCAGGAATCGCCCCCTGTTTAGTTATTGCACGAAGAATGAAGACCAAGCAGCGAAGCCCCGAGGGACGTGGGGGGGGAGGGGATCATCATATATATACCGAGACAGTGCCATCTCGGTTCCTGCTGAGCAGCGCATTGCTCGCAGCTGCCGACCTGGCCTGGCCGCGCGTGGGGTGTGCGGCGCAATCCAACAGACTTGGGCGGTGGCATGTTGGCCAGCCCTGCCGCGCGCGGGCAGGATGCGCCAACTGCCTGCGCGGTCCGGCTCTCATCTCATGAGATAGAGGAGCTGTGAGCGTCGGTGCTTGTAGGCGGCACTTTGGGCAGCAATTTCAATGGTGCAGATTGCGGCTCCGTCGACAGTCTGCGCTGTGCTTTCGAGCCTTTGTTCGCGGGGTTGCTTGATGGGTGAGACCTGCATATCTCGGCGTTCTGGCCGTGGATCATGGATGCATTCCTGAAGGCGGTGGATCGAGGTTAGGCGCGCCACGAGGTCCGCGCCTCATCCGCCTGCAGCTAACGGGCTGTGATCGGGCCGGAGCAGACAGGTCAGCCTTTGAATGAGTGCGTCTCCTACTACCGTCAAATCGTCCCCGCATACTGTAGGTACATAGGCGTCTAAGAGCGGCTTAGTCGTTCAAGTCTTCGATAAGATCATCGAGGCTGTCATATTTGGTGTTGAAGAGCTTATGGCCGGCCGGTGGGTTCGAGAGTGGTGGTGGCGACGGCGCATTTTCATCGGGCGCATCGCTGATATCGCCAAAGTCGCTGAGATGGCTTAGATGTTCAAGAACGGACATTTCTATCACTAGTTAGTATAGTTAGTACTCCGCGACGAAGTAAGCGATCAAGAAATGAAGCCATACCGATGCATCGATTGAATGCAGTGCCGGCGATGTTTTTTGGTGGTTGTGGAAGGTCGGTTGTAGTGGAAAGGTGTAAGGTTCGGTTGCGTTGTGTAAAAAGTGGTAAATTACTGCGCGGCAGAAAGTTGCATGTACTGGCGGGCGGGGTATACAGTCAGGGTTAGGGTTATATATGGTGAATTATAGTATGCGAGGACGATTTGACGATAGTAGGAGACGCACTCCTTTTAATTGCTAGCTGAGCCCTGGAGTCGGAAGGATTCGACGCGATCGGCACCGGGTTGGCATCGTGCGGCTGAGCCGCTGACCGTGCCGCGGAGAGGGCCAACGTGCTTGCGGATCATTGTTCGGGCCGCGCGCTGTTGGCTGGGGCGTTCAAATCCTGTCGCTTCCTGAATGTTTGCAGATTTGTAGTTTTTGGTGGCTCTTCGGCTCTGGGTGCTGGCAGAAGACCACCTAGTTACAACATGATCTGAAAAGTTCAGACGGTGCAAGGTAATTGGGGTTACAGCGGCAAATCTACACGTTTCCTGTCAACTAGCCATGCCTTGTGCTGTCATGGGCGGTGTAGATTCGCCCGCTGGCCGCGGTCATGGCTAAGATCGGATGAAGGAATCCCAAGTCAGGGGTGGCTGCCCATGCTTTTCATAGCTGAGGCGACATGCTTTTCCACCGACTGACAGGACAGATAACCAGCTATGTCTCTGCAGTGATGGCCAAACTTCTTCGTCCTTACTCCATGGTATTCAGGTAGCTTGGCTTCACGATAGGCCTCTGCTATGCTCAACAACGGGCTGAAAGGCCCTTAGGACCCAACATTGGTCTCTCTACCGTCCGACCACTCTTAGAGTTCAGGGGCCAAACTGTTTGCCCTTGTGTGTGCCACCCCAACTCGCAGACTATTGCCACAACCGAAAAATCGTCTCGTCCAACCGCATGATGACAAGCCAACTGCCCATCATGGCTAATTGCGTGCCTATTGTTCTTTTGAGATAATAACTCTCTCTCCCTTCACCAGTTGGGAGCGACCAAGCTCGAGGCTGCACCGAGCCCAATCCACCTTGACCTCATTCTCCTGTCAGCTCTTTCTCAACGGCCTGGCCTCGCCAGCGCCGTGCCCCATTCATGCTACCGTCTCACTAATTATTCTCGCTATTGTTCGTTCTGCTTTGGGTCCTGGTTCGGACTGCAGGCTGGACAAACTGCGAAGCGCTCAAAATTTCTCTCCTTGCTCTCGCTTTCTGCGTCAGAACCTGGACACTTGAAACTCAGACCCATCTGAGTTGATGGTAGTGATTGAACCGACATTAATCGCCCGCAGACTTCATTTGTTTACCCTCGCCATGGCGCCGCTCCTTCCCCGTGCGGATAGGAGTGTGATGGTGGCCAGTGTCGACGGTGTTACCCTGCTCTTGGTCTGGATTGTCGTGGCTCTGCGGTGCTACACTCGGGTGCGCATCGTCAAAGCGTTCGGGCTGGACGACTACTTCATGGTCGCAGCAATGGCAAGTATACCCAGCCTTTGGGTAGGGTGCCTAGCCGCACACGAGAGCGCTGACCAGACCACACCAGGTGTCCTTCACCATCTTTATCGCGCTCGGCTCCGCGGGGCTCCGCTTCGGCGTCGGCCAGCAATCCCACACCCTCGATTTCGGGGACATGGAACTGGCGCTGGGGGTAAGTGATTTAAGACCAAAAAGAAAAAACACGGGACTGACGCATGTGTACCGAGCAGTTTTGGTGGGGATGCTACCTCAGCTACGGCACGACCATGACCTTCGCTAAGCTGTCTATCGCGTGGTTCCTTGCGCGCGTGGCCGTGTGCCCGGCGCAAAAGCGCGTCCTGTACGCCGTCATGGCCGTGGTGGCCGCCACGGGCGTCGCCTTCTTCTTCGTCGCCGCCCTGCAGTGCCGCCCCGTCAGCTTCTTCTGGGACAAGAGCATTGAGAGCGGCCAGTGCATGAACAACGACGTCGCCATCACCCTCGGCTTCCTGTTCGGCAACCTCAGCATAGTTACGGATCTGATCCTGACCCTGGGGCCCATGTGGGTCTTCTCGCGGCTGAATATGAACACCCGGACCAAGGGCATCATGATGGTGTTTATGGCCACGGGGCTTGTGTGTGTTGACACCTTGCTCTCAAGCCCGGGCGGACAGAAATGCTGACTAGAAACAGAGCCACCTTCGCCGCCGGCCTCCGGCTCGCGCACCTCAAGTCGCTGAACGGCACCGACTTCCTGTACGACACGACCGGCATCGCCGTGTGGTCGACGGTCGAGCAGGCCCTGGCCATCATGGCCGGCAGCCTCGCGACCGTCCAGCCGCTGGTCAGCAGGCTGCTTGGCGCTGCCTCCCGCAACGCCGCTCTGGTAGACATGAGCGGGCCTGCAAGCTCGGGGTCGCCCGCCCGCCGGAGAGACCCGCCGCCGAGCAACGGCGAGATATTCATGGGCGGCGAAGCGCTGGGCACGGACGGCATGGACAGCGAGCTGGAGCTGGCGGAATATCACCGCTAGAGCCTGGAGCACGGCGAGGAGGGCTCGCGAGAGGAGCATGAAAGGGGGAGGCATAGACCATGTCCACAGACCCGCGCGGTCTTGGGCGTGGGTCCCGAGAGATTGGCATCCAAGCATCATGTGGTGCTTGGTGTCTTCCATCGAAGCATCGCGTGGTGTTTCGGGGGCTCGGCACACGAGCCTCGTGGTGCGCTTGCAGCGGACGAGGTGGCGCATGCGGGCGTGGAGCGTTGCATATATGCGTTGATTTCGGGGTTGTTATTCATACATCTTTAGATTTGAATTGGAGAATTTTGGTCGCGGTATAACATTCTGTGCTGTGTGAGAACCACGATCTGCAAGTTTCACGAATACAACTGTCACACTCGACCTTGCCGCGTCGTGATACTGGCCGACTTGAAGCGCCGCGCGCCGCGCACCGCGGCCGGGCAGCTCTTCTCGTTCGCGTATGGGGAGAGTGTCTAGCAGCACCAGCCCAAGGTCGAAGATGAGCCTGCAGCTGCCGGGGTGTCCATGCCCTTTCCGACATTGGACAGGACGCCGTCGGCGACGCCGTTGACCTTGGCCGTTTCGTGATGGTAGTACCGGGCCACGCTGGCCACGGCTTGTTCGGTTGCGAACCGGAGCAAGCCGCCTTCCTCGTCCCGCCCCGAGAACATACGAGTCCTCGACGACCAGCGGCCGGTCGGGAGCGCCTTGGACCGAGCACTAGTGGTCGTAGGTGAAGCGGGGCGGGTCCGCCTTGATGTCGAAGGCATCCGAGCCGAGCCGCTCCAGCCAGCCTGTCAAAGGCCATACCCTCATCATGGGCCCGCAGAGGGTGAAGCCCGAGACGAAGCGACGACCGGGCTTGGGCGGAGAAGACCTCCCTGGCATACCTATATTCTTCTCCTATGTGCCGAGCTTTATGGTTGCTGGCCGTTTATATTCTCATAAGACTTTGGTAGATGTCTGATTACTCTCATTCTTTCCTTCATAGACTTCTAATTGCATAGTCCACCAGCAAGAGCCCTCGCGATATTCGGCAGCCGCGACTAGGCGAACCGAGCTCTCAAGTCGCATGCAGCACACTAGAATTGCGCTGCGCTCGAGTTTGACGCCGGCCTGGCGGAGGTCGAGCGACGCGTCAACGGCGCTTGTCAGTTCCTCCTCCACTCCCCGCCAACTAACCCTGCCGTCTGGGGTTAGTTATGTCCCGAGCCTCTCGCCGGCGGAGAGGGAGCCAAAGGTCGATGAGATCAAGTCGTGCATGGCCCTACCGTCGGACCGGGTCGTCCGTGGCGAATAGAACAACGACCATAACAGCTTAGTTCTGGAACCTAAACAAAAAGAATTAAAAAAAATTCCAAAGAGCGCGTCCGACCTCGGGGCGGGGGCGTCCCGTTCAGCTACCATTGTCTTCATTGAACAACACTGAAGGCGTCCCCCCACCAGCCCCCAACCTACCAGTAAATCTCACCCACGGATCCGAGAAGTATAGAAACGGGACAACAGGCTGTCAACGAGTGTCGGGAGGACCGAAATGAAGTTCAACTTTGGCCCAACCAGCCAAAGGATCGAACAATGCGAACAAGGTCTAGAATTGGCAGTAGCCTTACTTGTCAACTGCAAATCATCAAGTAAACAGAAGTCAAGGTAGGTACCGATAGTGACTCTGGGAACTGACTACTTAGCCAAAGCAATACACGGCTAGCAGGGGAACGGGTTCTATTGAGGAAATCCTGTGCCAGCTACAAGAGTTGATAGTGGCTATTGAAAAAAAAAACATACAAAGTTGGCCGAGGACAATGTCGATAAATTCTGCCCCAGTTGAACGATGAAAGTGATGAATTGCCCGATACGATCTAGTGCAATATGTGGCATAAAGCTCTGTGTTGGAATGACAAGGTCATTCGTACTGGTCACTACAGTAGCCGTTGCGAAAGGGGGGGGGGGGTTTGTGGTGTTGTATTCTTCTATGTTTCTCTAAAAGGATCACGAACTACGGGGACAGGATGCGGGTTGGATTTGGCGATGCCTGGAAGTCACGTGATAATTGCGCCTCATGCACGTGCCGCAGAGCGGCCCGCGCGCTGGTCAGCCACTGAGGCTGTGCAGCCCGTGGGCCAGTCATGTGCGACTGCATCCTCTAATTAACGGTAGTTCCCACACTCTGCATGCAGTAATTAAAGAATGTCGCCCAGATTTGAGTCACTTTGAGCCACTCTTCAAGCCACAGTCGGCTTATTCCGTCGTCTTACGTTTGACCTTTATTTGAAGATGTGTGTTGGTTGAACCAACAGAACAATAAGCGGCGGAGGCGGCGGCAGGAGGCGCAGGGCTACAGGATCTATATAAGGAAGCCTTCGGCTTCGTCCTTTGAACCTTTCTTCTAGCCTAGACAGACAATTCAATGCGCTATCAACTCCGATCATGAGCAACAAACAAGTTTAACCCAGTGCCTCATGCTGGTCATTAACACCTCGCCCACATCTAGATAGCATATCCTAGTTTCCACTCCATCCCCTCTCTCTTGCTACCCCGTCAGTCAAACATGGCAACGCCGGGGATGCTCGTCAGCCCTGCAAAGCTGGTCAGCCAAAAGATCACCATGTGCCGACCTGGGCGCCTCATAAATGAGCGGACTGCTACTTACAGCCGTCAACGGGCTCTCGAAAGGCGGGCGCCTTGGTGCATTTCATAGCCTCCTCGGAGGACTGCGTCTTGAGCTCGGTGCAGACGGCGCCGGTGCAGCGGGCGTTGAGGGCGCGCTGCAGCGAGTCGCCCTTCCACCCGAACACGTAGTCGCCGTGCTGCGAGTAGCCGTTGCTGTTTGTCAAGGTTAGTCCCGATGATCTAGCATACACCAGAGCAGAGGGGAAGATATATAGATAGATATATAGTAGCTGGTTAGTTAGGTAGGGGGCCTACTGGTCGCCGGTGCTCCACACAAACGGCTGCGAGCCGTCCTCGGGCCAGAGGTCTTTGTCGTTGAACGGCCGCGTCTGTGGCAATTGCACGCGGGTCAGCACAATGGGCGTTCTTTCAAAGCAGCAGGGTGCGGTAAACCCTGGGACCACAGGCCCGTCTGCAGCATTTCTGGAGCCAGGGCTGGCGCCGACAGAAAAGACAGCCAGAAAGACAGGAGGCAGCTTACGTCCCACACCACCTCATACATGACCTGCGGAATAGCCACGGGGTGCGTCGCCGGGCACGGGCCGCCGTTGTCGAAGGTGCCAGAGGCCGGATAAGCCACGTGGCTCTGGTGGTCGGGGCTATCGACATTCCTGCCGTCCCAGCAGGTCGGGAACGTGATGACCGACCTAATGCCACCCGGGCAGACACGCGTCGGCAGGCTCGCGGAGTCAGGCGCCGAGCACTCGACATTGGAGTTGTCGCCCGTGGCGGGTAGGCAGCGGTGGCAGACCTTTGGGTCGGGGCGGGCGGCGGGCGCGCGCAGGGCGGCGTCGCCGGCCAGCATGCGGAAGCCGGGCTTGAAGGCGGTGACGTTGGACACGCCGTCGTAGGGCGGGATGTAGTAGACGGTGATGCCGCCGACGGCGCGCAGGCCCTGGCTGACGGCCTGCGGTACGCGGCGGAAGGTGCCGTTGCGCGCGCCGAAGTAGAGCACGGCCGTCCAGTAGTTGGAGAAGTCTTCGGCGAACGTGCAGCTGGTGCACGACGAGGCCGCCGCCAGGTCGTGCGTCGCCGGGTCCATGGACGCGTTGAACGAGTTGCCCCCGACGATCTGGTGCAGGTGCGGCGATGGGACCAGGCCTGGGTTGACCAGCGGGTCGACGCGGTCGAGGACCAGCTGCGAACAGCTGAAGCGCATCATCTCGTACTGCGCTAGCACGCGCCCGGCGAGGAGCGCCGCGGCGGCGAGGGCCTTCCACTGCATGTTGCTGTTGGGCAGGACGAGGCGTGAGGTTACGGCACGGTCACTGGTCCGGGGGACACTGGTCCGGGGGACACTGGCAGGGCCGGGAAACTATTGCTAGCCATGTCTTCGGCTTCTTGGCACACAAGTCTAGACTCTTAAATACCTGGGGCGGCCGCCAGTTGTCAGGCAGGGCCCCCCCTCTTGTGCCCCGTTGTTGGCAGTTTGGCCAGATATTGCTTTATATTGGCCCATTTAGGCGGTGGACTTACATGGACGACGCAGCAAATCAGGGGCTGCTTTTCCGGTCAACATGCACAACCTTCCCGTCCCGCGTGGCCAGCAGCCACGGTCCCAGGGGTTAAAGATTTGACACCGCCGTCTTACCAATCGCGCCCAACAAGGCGGCCTTGGGTATCGAGGCGAAAGAGGTGTACCACAGAGCTACTCGGTGGAAGCATACCTCGAGTTTGTGCGTGCCGGGCCTGGTCTTGACTCGTCCCGCGTCGAACCGCCGCTTGGGGTGGAGATGCCGGCCCCTGTTCAGTGTTCCCCTGTTCAGTGTTCCCCTGTTCAGTGTTCATCGTGATAAATCTGGATTTAGAGCAAAGTTTACAGAAATGGGACTAAAATAGGTTACCTGACGGGTCAGGAAGGGGTCAGCTGAATAGAGCCTCTTTTTTTTCTTGTTTTTTGCCTCCGGCGAGCTGTCCTCGCTTTGCTTGAGGGAATGGGTAGCTGAGGTATTTCAGCAGCCCGTATAAAGTGCTGGTTATGTTTGACCAAGTTATAACCACAGCATCTCTTGTATTCGGGAGGGATCTGGTTCGGGGTCTCCTTGATCGGGCGGTGGGGGCTGCGGTTGAGGGACCCCGACCGAAGTCACCGCAGCGGCTCGAAAACACGCGTTCCTAGTGATATATTAGGAGGGATAAATAGGGTCATAATCGTAAAGTATTCGGCGTGCCTGTCCATAGCTGGGAAGCGATAAATCGTACGTGCGATTGACTGAGGTTGAATTGCGAGATTGAGGAAGAAAATGATTTACTTTTGGGGGGGGGGAAGCTGGCTAGAAAGTTGAAGGTACCGCACGGACGGCTTGACAGCCATTCTACCTCACGACAGCAAAGCGGCATTTAACGGCTTAACACGTCCGATGATTATCCGATCGACCAGTTCGACACGGAAACTGGCCAATCCCCAGGCGAGAAACTTTCGGCACCTTCACGGTAAAGTAGAAAAGACAGCCTCTCTACGCCACCTCCGGCTCGTAAGTTCGCCTACGGTGGTTGGGTGGCTCTGTTCAGCTGAATAATTATGTGGAGACTGATTTAGGCCCAAATCCTGTGTGCGACACCGTTGAACAATGGCGCTGGGTTGCCCATGGCAAGTTCCGGCAAATTCCGGCAAGTTCCGGCAGGTTCCGCATTAAATCCAATTAAATACGCCAAATGTGTGCACGGTTTCCGGATACAAATACGACTTATTGACAAATACCGACCCCTATTTAGCTCGGTTGCATTGTTCGATCCTGGGATGATTTGCAGGGGAATAAGAACCTTATCGACATGTCCGGGGCTCGGCGGACAGATCGCTCGCCCGTGGTTGGCTCGGGCACATGTCACCCCGCGTCATCGACTGCTCGGGGCCACCCGCTGTCGTGCTGGCTGGGGGCGATGCCGTTCTACGAGTAAGACACTATAAACCCGCATGGGGTGATGTTGCACATTTGCACCCCACTCCTCTCCTCTTGAACACAAAACTCCCGCCCATCTTTCTTGCCTCCGAGACCGCCTGACAAGATAACGAAACCAAAAGAAAGAGACAAAACCCGAAAAAGAAACCCCCAAAACAACCAAAATGAGCAAAGAAGTGCCGGCGACGATGCGCGCGTGGCAGTACACGTCGACGGCCGGCGGGCTCGAAAAGAACTTGTTCCTCAAGGACGACGTGCCCGTGCCGACGCTCTCGCCCCGCCGCGGCGCCAGCGAAGTTCTCATCGAGGTAGTCAGCGCGACGCTCAACCCGGCCGACTACAAGGTGCCCGAGATGGGGGCGCTGGTACGGGCGACCATGATCCCCACGCCCGCGACGCCGGGGCTCGACTTCTGCGGCCGCGTCGTGCGGGCGACGGCGGGCGTCGGCGACCGCGCGCGCGTCGGCGAGCTCGTCTTCGGCCGCATCGACCCGACCCAGCACGGCACCATGGCGCCCTACGTCGTGGCGCCCGCGCAGGCCTGCGCCGTCGCCCCCGCCGGCCTGGCCCCCGACGCCGCCGCCACGCTGGGCGTCGCCGGCATGACGGCGTACCAGGCCGTCGCGCCGCACGTCAAGGCCGGCGACCGCGTCTTCGTCAACGGCGGCGCTGGCGGCGTCGGCACCCTTGCCCTCCAGATCGCCAAGGCCCTCGGCTGCCACGTCACGGCGTCGTGCAGCGCTGCGAAGGCGGACCTCTGCCGCCGCCTCGGCGCCGACGAGCTCATCGACTACGGTGCCGCTGACGTCGCGCAGGTGTTGCGCGACGGCGGCCCGACCTTCGCCCTCGTCGTCGACAGCGCCGGCGCCGACCCCCGGCTCTACAAGGCCGCCGACGCCGCCCTGCTGCCCGCCGGCAGGTACATTCAGATTGGCGTCGTCCCGTCGTTTGCGTCGGCTATGAACCTCGTGTCGCGCTTCCTGCGGCCGGCGTTCCTCGGCGGCGGGAAGCACAAGTTTGCGTTCATGACGGTGCACCACGCGCCCGAGCATCTCGAGCAGATGGCGCGGTGGCTTGTCGACGGCAAGATCCAGCCTGTTGTTGAGGAGACATTTGCGTACGAGGACCTGCCGAAGGCTATTGCCAAGAGCAAGACTGGCCGCTGTGCGGGCAAGCTGGTTATTCATGTCGGCGAGGCAGAGGCTTGAGCGGGTTGTTGGTGGTCTGCTTGTAATTATGTGATCGGGGTCTGCTTGTAATTATGTGGTCGGGGTTTGTTTGTAATTATGTGTTCGGCCCGTGGGGATGTGTTGTCTTAAGAGAGGAGCAGGGGGAACGAATCATGGCGGGAGTTTGGCATAGGAGTTGTTTTACCTTTTAATTCCCCAATTTGGTTGTTCTGGTCTTTTTTTTGGGTGTATTCTGCCACTAATTTTGTTCTCGTTGATGCATTCCGGGCAGTTGAATCTCTTCCTTTTTGGCAATCATCATCGACTGTTCCGAATATCCAACGCTGTTCCATGTAATCACTGTTGTGCAAGTTAATTTATCTTCGCTGTTCCATGTAATCACTATTGTGCAAGTTAATTCATCTTCTCTTGTCCTTCATTTCTGCTTGTGTCAAATTTCTCAACGATAAGACATGGCCAAAGCTGATAGAAAACGCCGCCCCTATTAGTGATTTTCACCATCCGTGCAGCTGCTTCAGTCCAGGGTACTGTTCCCGAATTGTTCACCAACTGGTCTGGCCCGCTGAGCTGGGGGCCAGGGCTGGCAGTCTCGAAGAATTGCTCACCAAATATCGCAGCGGCGTTGGCCCGGTCAAGACCAGACTGACCTACGGAATTATTGCTCTGTGCTGTGGGGATCGGACCGCCGCGTCACGGATTTCTGGTTCGTATTCGTACTTCTTTCCGGATTTCAACGCTGCCCCCGCCAAGCCACGGCTTCCGAGTGTCTGGGTCGGAGACAAAGACGGACCCCGATTGCACCGACCGAGCCACTAACAACCCCCGTTAGCCCATTCTTGGAACGGTGGGGCGGTCGGGACAATTCAACGGGTGAAATGGCCCTCTGCAACTCATACCCATATTCCGGACGCAGCAGTGTAGAATAGACCTAGTATTGGAATTCCTGCTCAGTGGTTTCCTGCTCAATGGTTGTGTTGCAAGGACATGAAGAGCCCAGCTCTAGACTTGAGGAACGCAAGATTTCCAAACACTTGAAAGTCGCAGTGCTGCAAGTGACGTCCCTCCTCAACAGTCTACCGTCGACCTGGCTGGGGAGGGAGGCACTTAGCGAGCCGTTTCCAGGTTCTGTATTAGGGCAGGTCTGTGTCTGCAGTTTTGTGTCAGGGCAGGCCTGTGTCTGCATCCATCGAGAGAGCAGCAGCTCCATGCGCCTACGGATCAATCGTCAGGTGCCAGCCCGTGCCGCTCAGCCATTGCGGAAAGCTCTCCACACACGGTGCCGCAGGAACTCCGGCCTACCTCTCCTAGGCGGCCGGTATGCGGCCGGATGACGAGCATCTTCTGCTGGATGAGCTGGAGAAACGCGCAAAGAAAGGCCCCGCCATCCTTGTGCTGGCATTTGGCGCTCTGGCCGAGTTCAGAAAAGTGCTAAATCGCCGTGTTGAAGAATAATCAATAAATAACACAGGCAGTGAATTAGTCAAGGACGCACCTTGAGCACGGCGGGCTTGATCTCGGCGCGCGACGCCGTGTCGGCGAGCTGGAAGAAGCTGGCGTCCTTCCGGGGCTTCGGCCCCCTGGCTTGCCGGAAGCTGTCCAGCAGGCGCTGGCCGCCGACGTACCAGGTGACAAACTCGAGGTAGACGCATCCGAGCGACCAGACGTCGTAGGCGGGCGACACCTCGACGTCCTCGCCGCCGCCGTTTGCTGTGCCGAGCCGCGCATCCGACTCGGGCGGCCGGTAGCTGGGCGTCAGCGACACGCTGTCTGACCGCTCTGTCGACTGCTCGGTGCGGTTGAACTTGCCGACGCCAAAGTCGGCGATCTTCAGCGTGCCCATGTCCGTGCCCGTGCCCGTGCCCGTGCCGTCGGGCTCGGCGCACGGGAACCACAGGATGTTGGACGGCTTGATGTCGCCGTGGATTCCAAAGTACCGGTGCGACCTCGGGATGCTAGATTGATTGCTGCTACCGCTGCTGCCGCTACTGCTGCCTTGCGATTCCCCTGCCGCCAAATCCGGCCGGCTTGTTGGTGCTGCCATGCTGCCCCGTCTGCTCTGGGACCTGAGAGAGCTCATCGAGCTTGTGAGGTGGTGGTGGACCGCCGAGAGCCCCATTGCGATCCCCTCGCACTGCTGGGCCATCCACCGTACTGTCGACAGATCGATGCCCGGGCCCTCGTCGGGACGGCTGCTCCAGTACTTGGCCAGGTCGCACTCGGCCCGGGGCAGAATCAAGTGGTACGAATTGTTCTGCTCGTAGGTTGCCAACAGCGCTATGACGTGGTCGTGCCGCACCCTCTTGAGCATGCAGACTTCCTGTTTGAACTGCGACCGGCTCAGGCTGTTGGTCTTGTCTCCGCCCATCTTCTTGACTGCGAAGCAATGCGTCGCGCTCGAATTCTCGGGGTGGCAATCGTAGTGCTCCGGGTGGATGCTTGCGTAGAATATCTCGGCGTGTCCGCTGTTGATTCTGAATTCGTAACTGGTAAACGGTAGAATGACGTTGTCGTCAAAGGAGTAGTGCAGCAGCTTTCCTCCGTGATCCAGGCTGAGAACGGGAGACAGGACTGACCACTGCCAGTTCACAAAGGATTCCACGGACCGACGTCTCCAGAACCTCATGCACCTCACCTCGGTGCCGTCCCTGCGGTGTAATGCCGTGACCGGGGTCCTGAAAATTGGGTCCTTTTTTTTCGCCGTAATCTCTAGCGGGAGATGCGCATCGCACAATCCTTCGTCGATGAACTTCTTGATGGTGGCGTGGCGGTTGATGAGTAACAGGATGGCAAAGATCTTTCGCAGACATCCGCTGGCTCCAGCCCGATCCTGCATCTCCGTGCCAGGCGAAGGCTCATTGGCTCCCGACGAGGCGGCGTTTTGGTTCGGGGGTGAGCCGGTGCATATGATCTCGGCCTCTTCCGGTACCGTTCGATATCCCTTCCTGGTCCACCTAAGCCAGCGCTTTGGCCGGTTCCTGAAAGCCCGCTCGATTCTTGCCAGTTCTTCACTCACCGCTTTCTTGTCGATGATCAGATTCAACTGCTGGTTGGGAATGAACTGTTTGTGGTTCAATGATTTGTTCTTGTCCAGCGCGGCAAAAAGCTTATGCTGCAGAGTCCCCTCGGGGCCGTCGTACTCATACTCGATGGGACGCGAAGATGATGTCCACGAGCGTTTATAGCTGTTGAATCCCAGATCCGTGACGTGTATAAAATCAGATTCGTCGCCCTCGCCCTCATCCTCCTCCGGCAGCACTTCGGGAACCCCGTGAGAGCCGGAGATGGGTCGATCCTGGTCACGCTCTTGAAACTTGACAGTTCTCCGCCTCTCTGGCTTGGCAGGCTAGGAGTGGATGACAGGGTCGCAAATCGCAACGCATCTGATTAGCCTTTTGTCCTCCTGGCACTAGATGGGTACCTGGGGGCCGGGGGAGGGGCGTAGGTTATACAATTGGTTCGCTCTGGGCACTGGCAGGGGGCCACGACGTGCTCGGCGTTAGCTTCTCGCTACGTTCACCCTCACTCTGCGAGAACGACATTGTACTGTGCATTCGAGAAGGGAGCGGGACGGCCAATGGAGTCGAGGTATCATGCAGCGCAAACTCTGAGAGGTTACCGGTGGGCTGTTTTCGTACTTGAAGATGCTAGTACTGTCGATGCAGACTGGGGCCGCAAGGTTGGCTTTTGTTGTGTTGTTGGGGGTGAACACCGAGCGGAAGGGACCTTCCTGGTCGGAGAGGATAAGGCTCTATCCTGACCCCCCGGTGAACCCCCCGGTGGACGTGTTTTCCTCATCCCCCCACGGCATATTTTACAGGGTGCTTGACTTTGGATAGGCGCAAAAGCTCAATGAGAACCAGGCGGGTAGGCCAGAACAGGACCGGTCGGACTGCGAACCGCGCTCCTGCAATAAAGCCAGCCCCCGATCGCGTTTTGGCCAATAGGGGGCCCTCGTCACCGCAGTGGCTGGCTGCGATGTCGGTGGGGAATACCTAGACGCCAATGCACTGGAGATGATGGATGCCATCTTTGGGAGGGGAGGGGGGGGGGGGGGGGGGGAAGGCGGGTCTGGATCCATCGACGCCCGGCGGAAGCCTTTCTGTCCGTCTCGCCCTTTGATTATGTTGCATGTAATCCGGCTGCATATATGCTGCGACGTGATGAGGGCCAAGCTCTAGATTGACACTGTCAAGGGGTCCCGTACTTGGTTCGTTCCCAGATCGCAGTTTCTGAACATGCATGTGCAAGTCGTCGTGACCGTCCACGTTTCCGCCAGTTGTTGCGTTTTTTCCACTCGGGAAATTTCAGTTTCATTCGTGCACCGTAGGCTGCCAACTGTTTTCTGGCCATGTAAGGTATTGTTGTTGGGCATCGGCGCTGGTAAGGCTCTGACACTGGTAAGACTCTGACAAGCTGATAGTGGGGGGAGGGAGGGGGGCACAAGCTGTAGGCGTGGACACTGGCCATTGGCTTGGGGGAGGCGGGCTATGCGCTGCAGAACGCTAGGATTAGAGTGGAGGGTACGTATCCGGGCAACTGATAATAAACGACGGTCGCTGGAGCAGAAGCCCGGATGTAAGCATGCATTTTCTGGCGCACCCTCGGCGCTCTCTTCTGCAGTCAGTCACACCGGTGGCCCTCCCCATCACCGCATTTCCGTTTCCATCAGACCGCCTCCAGATTCGCAATGCCTCTACCCGATGGTCCGCGGACCGTCGCAATGGCCAGCCCCTCAGTCCCGTTATCGACTCTCGTGATTTTCCTATTTGTTCTTCACCGAACTGCAGGTACCCCCTTGCTCTCTATAAGTAGCCGAGGTGCTTCTTTTCTCTACCACAGTATCGTCCAGCGTCTGTTTCCTGCACCTATGTCGATAATGGATGAGCTTTTCTCGTCGGGTAACAATGAAATCGAAAGCAATTTCTCTACGAGGAAGCAGTACTGGCCTGGCCCTCTTATCGACAGGCTGGTTGAGGAGAATCGCGTCCGCCAAGAGCTGGACGAAGCCAAAGAGAAGTACGGCCAGGATCTCGTGGACTATATCTTCAGTCATGGCAAGAAGCTCTTCGTCATCGCAGCCGCGGCAGATTCCGACCCCAAGTGGCTGCTGAACGTGATGAAATTGTTCATGGCCAACCGGCTCAAAGACAGCGATCTGTCGGCAGAAGTTGGGCCGTCCCAGTGTCTCTCCAAGGAACGACTAGAACCGCTTACCAAACTCGACCCCAAGCTCTGGGCTCGGGGGAGGGTGCATAGATTTTGCGAAATGCAGTGGAGGATTGTTGTCCCCGTATTTTCGACAGAGAAGGACAACTACGATTTCGACGGGAGAGCCATCCTGCCCTTCACCAAAGAGAAGTCAATTGACAGCGGTGCATTCAGTAAAGTGCATAAAGTCCAGATTCAGGAGGGCCATTTCCAAGACCCATCCTGCCCCGTATGCTACAAGTTCTCCGCCGAACCCCAAATTGTCACCTCTTACTAAATAAAGCATGACAGAAATCCGCGTGGCCAAAGTCATTCGCTGTGAAGCAGATCGTACCGCCTGACCCCATCGAGCGAGAGAGAATCGCGAGCAGTTGGGCAAACGAAGCCCAAACGTTGAGGAAAATGAACATCCGTCATAAGGAGCACATTCTTCGCTTCATCACGGCCTTTACCAGACTTGACGACGGCTCAGACAAGTTGTACTACCTGCTCTTTGAATGGGCTGATGGGGGGTGCCTCAACGACCTCTTCGCCACAAATCCGAGGCCAGCCTTGACGGACGAGCTGGTGAAGCACACGGCAACTCAACTGCTTGGCCTTGCCGAAGCATTAGAGGCCACCCACGAGTTGGAGATCCGGCACGGCGACGTCAAACCCGCCAACATCCTCCATTTCCAGCCCACCAAGCACCGCATCATCGGCACCCTCAAGATTGGCGACTGGGGTCTCGCCAAATACCACCCCGACCCCACCGTCATGCGGCTAAAAAAGGGACAGCCGACTGACACGAGGTTCGGTACTACCGCATACGAGCCCCCCGAGGTCGAGCTCGCCGACGTCAAATATTTAAGCCGCCAATACGACGTCTGGTCTATGGGCTGTGTCATCCTGGAGATCATCATATGGCTCGTCTATGGCTTCGAGGGCGTCAAAAATTTCCGGACCGATGTCCAGGGCCCTTACCGAGAGTCGGTCCCCTTCTATGTGATTGAAGAGATCCAAGAGGGTACGATGAAGGCCCGGGCCAAGCTGCAAGAGACTGTTGAGGAGTGGATGGACTTCATTGCCCAAGAGCCCGTCTGCGATGGAGACACGGCTCTTGGGGAACTGCTAACCCTCGTTCGGAAGAAGCTACTGGTAGTCGAGCTGCCGCCCGACATGGGACAGACGGTCTATGTCAAGAACTGGGAGCCCGACGAGCCCAGGTCATCATCTTCGCTGGGCCCACAGGCCGAAGGGGTCCCCAGGGTATCCATCAGGGCACCCACGGCCACTGGTGACAAGCTCGTCGGCATTCAACGCCACCGGGCTACATCTGCACACCTGGTTGACGCGCTCGGCATAGACGGCGGTATCCTTGACGGCTCGGACCGGTCCGAATACTACTGGCTGAGGGAGGGCGTGGAGAGGCGAGCAGCGCCGAGATTCTATCGGCCCACGCTGAGACCTGCCCAAGATAGATCAGGCCACTTGATGGCCCAGTACAACCCACCCAGGAGTCTCGGGGCGGCAGCACGCGGCAGGGAGGATATCTCGGGGAGCATGGGTTTGCTTGCCATTCAAGATCCTATCGTAAGTGTTGTGCCTGCAGCTACGCCCCTACCCTTGTGACGGCCAAGCACAGCTACCCTTGTGACGGCCAAGCACATTACTGGACTTGAAGGGCTCACACACTGACATAATGTCTCAATCTGCAGATCAATGTAAGCCGGCGGCCTCGGTGAACAGTTAGGGAGACACGCAGTTAATTCCGCGTGTTCGCAGTATGTGAGTAATCCAAAGGGTCTACTTACCAAGTGAGTTGTGAGTTAACCAGGATGTTGATTCAATCTGGATAGACGGTACGTGCAAACATTCAATTCGCTTAGCCCCCGATCCAGAGGAGTGCTGGGGAGGAAGAGGACAAAGAGAGAGAACGGTGAGAGCAGGAGGGGAGAAAAATCGTTTGCTGACATAATGACAGCATGTAAGAACTCCTCCCCCTAGCCCTACTTCCCTTATCAGAACAAGCCGTTTGCTGTCTCCTCACCAAAATGCCTGCTAAACCGTCATATGTGATACTCATAGCCGGTAAGTCACAGAAAAAGACCACATCCACTTCCGGCCCGTGGATTTAGTGACTTACTGACGCATGGTTATGAGTAGGAAGTATGTTCTGGACTCATATCTCACCCTGAAATAACCAATCTTTCAACATGTTGACCGTCTCCGCAGCTCGACGACAAATGGGAGATACACACAGACGAGAGATTTGCTTCAAAGGTCATGTCACGCATCAAGGACTTGGCTGGCTTCACACTCCCTAAACCTCGCCGCGCTAGACTGTGTGACTCTTGCAAGAAGCTCGACTTCTTTCGGAGCCTAGGCTTTTCTGTCGAGTACGGGACATCAGACCTGGAAGTACGGTCGAAGGATTGCGACCTCTGTGCCCTATTTTTGAAGACTGCCAAGAAACATGACAGAGCTAGCTCGGGCAAGATTCAATTCGACAAGGAGCGATCCTGGCTAAGGTTCAACAACGCCGGGCCCCCAGTGCTCTCCATTTGCCGCAGCCTTGGTAATGCTACCCAACTCCCCTTTTTCTACGAGTCTGCCTTTTGACGCCGGGCTGATTGCTTGGTGACTAGACTCTCGACCCAGGCCCGACATTTACCTCGGGCTGCCCACCTTCCCCGACACGGGCAGCCAGACCCATTTCGAGATCATCCGGCAGTGGCTTTGGTTCTGCGACGAGAACCACTCCGATTGTCGCAGTAGCGCTTCGATCCGATGCATGCCGACAAGAGTTATCGACGTGGGCCACGAGGGAGACAGATATGTTAGTCTTTGGGAGACAGGACCGCAGGACAAGGAACAATACGTCGCTCTTTCCCACCCCTGGGGCCACGAGCCTCACTTCGTCACCGATGTCCAAAACCTTGAACAGCACAAACAAGGAATCATGCTTAGCAGACTGCCAGCCACTTTCCGGGACGCCATCCACACCACCCGGGCCCTGCGCATACGCTACCTGTGGATCGACTCCATCTGCATCATCCAGGGGCCGGGCGGCGACTTCCACGTGCAGGCCAAGCAGATGGAAACCGTCTTCAGCTCGGCGTACTGCGTGCTGGCGGCCAGCCGGGCACACAACCAGGTCGACGGCTTTCTACTGCCGCGGCGCCAGAGAGACTACGTTGCGCTGGCCGAGGCGGATGGGTCGCCGTTCTACGTCTGCGAGAACATCGACGACTTCAGCACAGATGTGCTCAACGGCCACCTCAACAAGCGTGGCTGGGTCCTCCAGGAACACGCCCTAGCCCGCCGAACCGTCTTCTTCACCCAGGGCCAGACGTACTTTGAGTGCGGCGACGGCGTCCGCTGCGAGACGCTGACCAAAATGAGCAAGTAAGCAAGCGCCCCTCTTTTTTTTTTTTTTTTTTTTTCACAAAAGGAAAAGAACTAGCAAAACAACCCCCCCACGCCTAGCAAACAAACCACAGCTAACAAACCGAAAACAGCAACCTGGCCGCCTTCCTCGGCGACCCCAACTTCCCGCGCATCGTCATGGCGGCCAGCCAGGGCGAGAAGATCATCCGGCTGCAGGACCTGTACAAGCGGTACTCGGCGCTGGGCTTCACGCGTGACAACGACCGGGCCATCGCCATGGAAGGGATCCACCGGCGGCTGCTGCACGCGTTCCACGCCGACGGCGGCTACGGCATCCTGGACGAGGGCTCGCACCGCAGCGGCCTGCTGCGCCGCAACCTGCTGTGGCACCGCCCCGCCAGCAGCCCGCCGCTGGCGCGCATTCGGTTTCCGAGGCGCGGTGGTGGTGGTGGCCAGCCGCAGCTGCCGCCGCCGCCGTCGTGGTCGTGGATGGCGTACACCGGGCCCATCGACTTCCTCCGCCTCAAGTTTGGCGAGATCGACTGGATGGAAATCCGGTCGCCGTGGTCCGAGAGAGGCGTGGCTGCTGCTGCTGCTGCTGCTTCTTCTTCTGTTGCTGCGCCGGCGGATGCCGATGCTTTGAGCAGAACGGGCGGCAGTGGTAGCGCGGCGCTCTGGGGGAGGGTAAGAGATATAGTTGAGATTCCTGAAGCCGAAAAAGACGGCAGGCTGTTCTGTGACACTTCTGACGAGAATGGCGCGAGGAACGGTAGCGACAGGATGCAGTGCGTGGTTCTTGGCGTTGAAAAGGGCTCACTGGAACTTGCCTCGCGCCACCACTACTTCATTCTCGTGCGGCCCGTCAGCTCCCCACAGATTGGTCTTGGTGGCACCGTATATGAACGGGTGGGTGCCGGGTATCTGCTCGGCAAGTATATCGAGGAAGGGGGTCAGGAGGCGCAAATTTGCTGAGAGTATTAGATGGAGCTAGCGCGGGACATTATCGAACAAGGGGCGGTGAGCAGATTGAATTATTCCGTGCTGGTTCACGGCAGGGAGAGTTTGGGCATGTGGGTAGAACGACTTAGAATGCAGAAAACTGTTGTAGAGCATAGCAGCGGAGCAGAACATAGCAAATTGGGTTCCCATTAACGTCCGCTAGTATTCCTTGCCGCTGCTGATTGAATGTCGTTGAACAACATGTTACAAATTAATTAGTATCAATACCAAATGGTATAAATATCAAATGGGCATTTGATGGGGCGCAAACTCATTGTTCTTCGGCTTTACGGCGTCCCACACGAAGTAGGGGTCAAACGAAAGTTATCTAATTGTTGAGCAGAAGAAATGCGGCAATGCTCCGTGGAAGTAGTAAGGGAAACTCCAACGCAGAAGATTCCCAGATCCTACTAACTACCACAGTGTCTCAAATGCTGTTCTGATACATTTTACGCATTCGAACTTTGAAGGGCTCTGGGTATCAGGGTTCGGGAGAACGATTGCTCTGCTAATATCAGGCATCTAATGGGGGCTCAGACCGTGCCTCACCTATCATGATTTAGCTGGGTAGGTGGAATAGTTCTACACATGAACTCTTAAAATGGGTTACAGCGTATCTGGTCCTCGTCTTGACCGCCGATTCAGGAGAAACGCAGGCCCAAAATAGATTAGAGAACCTTACTTGTTAGACATACATTGCAATGTATTATTATGGGTGTCACACGATCCACAATAAGACGAAGCGGCTAAGAGATGTTGCACATGTAGAAAGCAAAGATGAAGTCGTTGAATTTGATATCTAAGTCTTGATTCCCGAACAATGATTCTTCACGACCGCCTTCAACCCCCTCACAACGCCCTTCTCAACGCCCGTCAACATCAGCCCCGCCACAGCCCTCACCGCCCCCGTCCGCTCGCTCTTCAACCGCCACCCCCAACATCCTAATCATCCACCTTCCACTACCGCCACCAACACCCCGAACAACATGCCTTTATCACCGCCGATCTCTCCTTCTGACCACCATCGTCAACATCTTCACACCACTCTCACAGCCACCCAGCCATCACCACCACCAGAACCAACACGAAACCGACACAGCGCCCGTCTCCCTCTCCTAGCCACCACACTACCGCACCGCCGCCATCACCACACGTTCTCTCTCACTCTGACGACCGCCAACATCGTATCCATCAACATTCTACTTTCCACTACCACCATCAACGCCCTGAACAACACACCGTCGCCAACGCCTCTTCTTCTTCTGACCGCCATCACCAACACATTAACCAACACTCTGACAACCACCCAGCCACTATCACCACCAACACCGAACCGATACATCCCGCCTCTCCCTTTTAACCATCTTTGTCAACACCCTGACTGCCATGGCCACCAGCGCCGCCATTCGTCTCCCAGACCGCCGCCAACGACAAAACGACCGACATGCCACACCAACTCTTCCTCTCCCTGTCCACCACCATCAACACCTGCTGCGACCGCCACCACCACCGTACATTTTTTTCTGCGCCACTGCTTTTCTTTCTGACCACTGTCTTCGAGACCCCAACTACCACACCGCCATCGCCACCACCATTACTCTTTCTCTCTTCCACACGCCTTCTCCTTCCAATCATCCTCCTCAACACCCTAACTCCCACCACAACCACTCATTTCTCGTGACTGCCACCGCCGCCATTTCACCCCTTTTTTTCTCCAACCGCCACTGTCAGCACCCTGACTGCTCTGACACCATCATCGTTGCTCCGTCACCGCTGCTATTTTCTTTCTGTCGCCAATCTTCGCTTTGACAGTCCTCGTCAACACCGTGACTGCCACCGCCGCCATTGACACCTCTCTCCTTCTCTCGCCGCCGTCACACCCTAGCCGCCATCAACACCACTCTTTCTTTCTGCGACACCAATTTTCTCTCCGGTCCCCGCCGTCTTCAACACCCCGACTCCCGATACCGCCACTCCTCTCGACTGTCGCTGCTGCCATCACCGCCTCTCTTCCAGGACTCCGTCAACAAACACCCTGACACCCAAGACATTACCACCACCGCTCTCCTTTTTTTCTGTGACACCACTTTTCTTTTGGCCACCACTGCTGCTGCCATCGCCGTTCTTCTTGCGCTTCGCCGCCAACATCCTGACTGCCACCGCCGTCGTCAACTTCCTGACTCCCATCGCCGTCACTCATTCCTCCCGACTGCCACCGCCGCCAGCATCACATCTCCTCTTCCCAGGCCGCCGTCAACACCCTGACCGCCAAGACACCACCGCCAGTGCTCTCCTTTTTTCTGCGTCGCCAATTTCTGTCTGACCACCGCCGCCGCCAACAACCTGGCCGCCACCGCCGTCGTCAACACCTCGACTCCCATCACTGCCACTGCTCCAGACTGCCGCCACCGCCATCGCTGCTTCTCCTCTTCCTAGGCCGTCGTCAACACGCTGACCACCATGGCATCACTGCCACCGCTCTCTCTTTTTCTGCGTCACCGTTTTTCCTTTCGACTGCCACCGCCGCCGTCGACACCCTCACCAGACACTCTTTCTCAAGGCCACGCCTATTCTCTACCCGACCCCGCATCCCAATCACGTCCTCTTCCTCTCTCTCCCCCCTCCCTCTCTCTCTCTCTCTCTCTCTGTGTGTGTGTGTGTGTGTGTTTGTGTGTGTGTGCCCGTCATCTCCTAACAACCACTCTACATTCCAATCACCATCCTTGTACTGATCTGCTCAATCGGGGACCTGAGCGGTTGCTCAACACCGCTAGCGTTCTCGGGAATGCTGTAGACGGAAACGTGGTACGTGCCGACGACCTCCTCCTCTCGGTCCTCCTCGGCCGCGCCCTCGGGCAAGTACTCGACATGGATCGTGTAGGGCACCAGCTCAGTGCACCTGTTGCTGACTACCGGCCCGGTCGGAGCACTACGGCGCTCCTCGCCACCCTGTGCCCGGACCGCCACGGCGTCCGCCTCGGCACCGCCAGCCGCGGCAGCAGACTCGGCAGCAGCGCCCAGCACGTCGTCCCCAACGGGCAGGTCGCCCTCGTTGACCAGCTCGACGAACTCGTCCTCGTCCTCCTCCTCGGAATCCTCCTGCAGGTGCTGGAAGTCGTGGGCCTCGGCGTCCATCTCGAACACGCAGTTGCACTCGTGCTCAAAGTCGCGGCTCGCCCACTCCCACACCTTGCCCCCGAAGCTCGGGCCCTCGGCCTTGACCACCTCGAACAGCTGCTCCTCCATCACCTCGGGCAGCGTGCCCAGCATCGACGCCAGGTCCATCTTCTCGTCTTCGTTCGCCGCGTACTCGCCAAACACCTCGTCCGCCACCTCGCGAAGCTTCTTACTGCCGGCCTTTCTCAGATCCTTGGCAATGTCGAGGATCCGCCGGTAGCGGCACTGGTTGCAGTAGGCCTGGAGGTGCAGCCCCCCGGCGGCCTCGGCCTCCGGCTTCGTGGTCGGCACCGAGTGCAGCTTGCACGCGGCGTCGACGTGGTCGCCCGGCAGCTTGGCGGGCTCGACGTAGTGGCCGCACTCGGCGAACTGCAGGTGCTCCTGGCACAGCGGGCAGCTGAGGCGCGCGCGCTTGCTCTCGCGCCGGAAGTCGATCCACGACGGGTGCCGCGTCGCCACGTACCCCTCCCAGCACCCCACGCACGCCATGTGCCCGCACGGCAGCACGATGCCCGGCACGCGCTCGCCGGCCGCGACGACGGCGGCGGACGACGGCGGGACGCCGACGATTTCCAGCTCGTAGACTTGGCACATCATGCACAGCACGTGCGGGACGGACGTGGCCGAGGCCGTGTCGTTGATGTACTCTCGCACCCGGTGGTACATGGTCTCCTGGTGGATTGGCTTGTCGCTGGCGGGAGCGGCCTGCGCTGCGCCGGGGGTTGTGGTGGTGGCGGGGGCGGCCGTCTCCGGGACTGCAGCCGGCGCCGCGACCTCGACGGGGTCGTCGAGCAGCGAGTAGATGTAGGGGGTATCGGGAGTATCGGTCATGTTAATGATTTGCTGATTAATGTCACTGACTGTTTGTGATTACCAGGTAGAAGCCTGCTTCTTGGTGTCGGTGCGAGGTGTGATTAGGAAGATGTAGAGCTTGTTGTCGGGGCTCGGGTACTAAAGGGGCGAGTTGTCAGCAGCGTCGCTCGTGGCAAGGATGATCAAGGGCTGATGTCAAATGTCAATAGTCAATAGTCACCTTAACGGCCTCGTGAAGAAACTTTGGCTCGGTGGATATCGATAGGCACCGCTGCAGCCAAAATAGCATGAACCTTCCAGAGGTTGAAGTTGAAAGCGCTTAAAAGAGAAGAAGAATCGAAAGCCGGGTTGATGACTGAGGAACTGTTGTGAAGTGTGATGCTGAGTCTTCTCATGTCATCGGAATACGCGCTGGTCTGTTGCATTTGTACCAAATCGACGGTGCCAGGTTGTGGAGTTGCCCTGTGGGTTGGGGGCGAGTTTGCGTGCCAAGGCGAGCCTTTCCGCGTACCCGCAGCTGTGGGCGGCCTGAAGTGGCCGTTGCACGGCGCAGTTTCAGCCCTACCGGCCAGTATGAGTGTCCGCAATCAGGCGTGGATTGTGTCACGGACCAACGGCAATCACACAGCGGTCAGGCCCAGGCCCAAAGCCTACACCGGGAATTCCGGTGTCGCGATTTCCGGGTTAGGGTTGTTGGGACTGGGTGCGAGCTAGAATGCAGGAAAATGGATTCAGGGGTTTCTGTCGCAATTGGTTGGTTGAAATCGGTGATAGGTTTGCCTGTCGAGTGACCAATTAAAATGCTGGTGCGCAACCCTAACCCTGACAAAATGAGGTTACTCCCGCCGTATTCGAGTCCCGACCCCCAATAGGCAAAGATTCGAACAAAGAAACCAGGTAGACGAGGGTCCGGGGGTATGTATTATGTATTAGCTCAGAATTGAAAGGGAAATCGTACTTAAAGGTATCTCATAGGGTTTAAACCATGCCAGGGTAATAAGGTCACGAGTCGAAGCTCCCCTGCACGACCCCAATAACTCACTGTTTTGTTTTGTTACACATGCTCTGACCCCTATCTCTTACTGCCGCAGTCAGAAGCATATTTCTTCCCCAACGACGGGCCCACTAATTATACGAGCTCGAATTGACCAGGGAGGTAAGCACCTTTTCTGTGAGTAATCCCCAGTGGATTCCCCTTGAATTGCCCTCTGGGTTCAGTTACCAACGCCGTAAACAGCACAATTTGCCGGTCTCTGACACCATCATTCACGTGGCAACCAAATCAAATCCTTTGCATTGATCACCTCCCCTACGTCAACAGCAGCGCCCGAGCGGATGGTGCACCCCCGTCCCGACTGGCCGCCAAGCACGCGGCCCGGCCACGGCGACTGCCAGGCGGGCGGTCGCCATTAGGCTGGCATCTGGGCTCGCAGGCCACACTACCGGCCAGCTACCCCACAGCGGCCGCGATCGTCTGTTGAAGATCGGATAATCTGTCACAGGCTATCCCGGTACGACGGACCATCAAAATGGACTTGGCGCCGCTCAATCGTCAACCTGAACAGCGTGCACGTAAGATGGCCATTAATAGTCAAACAGGTGGCGAGGCTGTGTTATTTTTAGTTTGTGATCTCGTAAACTGTTCATCTATTGTTGTCGTCTGCCAAGTGCCTTCGACACCCTGCCCTAATCCTCAAACCTGCTCCTAGCCCGGATCGAGTCAAGGCACATTTGATTTTGCTCCCAATTTCCAGTGGATTCTCACATGTTGGTCCATAGGTACTTATTCGAGAATTAGTAGCTGTGTATAGATGTATGTAGACTGAAATGCCAGCTAAATGTCGCTGGGGGGACAAAGGTTTTGTCGCAGCAAGGTCTAATCCTGTAAACAGCCGGCACTGTTCGTGCGCTTAGCAGAGCACAAGACATACAATAATATAAATGTTGGAATAACGCGCGAGTCAGCCACACAGAGGTGGCTGTGGTGGCGCATACATCAGCCACGCAGGTGGGGTGGAGGCGCAGGGCCCCGGATTTCCACATAAGTGGCCTACGGCCACCTCTTTCTTCTAGATACACATAGACATCAACAATCAACACTTAAACCACCAGTTTTCGGCGTGCAGCCACGCCCTATTGCTTCCAGTACCAGTACCTGGTAATTCCAACAATAAACAAGTATCAATTAGCAAATTTTTGTTACACTATTGAGACTCGTCACAGTAATTAAGTTATTAGAAATCATTTGAATGTCACGCAGTAAAGAAAGCAGAGATCGCGGACGCCAATTACCTATTTACTGTACAGTAATTAAACCTCGTAAAAACACGAGAAAGTAGACACTGGCATATTCCAGATCGGTCAGTCATACTGGTATTAGTAAGTCAATATCGTGTTCCCCCAAAACGATGGCATCATCGTTGTTATACAAAAAGGAGACTAGCGGTGCGTACCATAAACATTTCTCTCATCCGTCTCCTTCCCGCCAATACTCCATGAGGTGCGAATCCAGCAGAGCTACTCCAATATTAATGACCAGGCCAACTTCTTCCTCGGGAATAGTGGCGGTGCGTGCCATAAACAAATCGCTCCTCCTCCGTCTACCAACCCATTCCCTCATGATACTCCATTCTCCGTGACACCTGTTCCACACCACCGGCTTAAAACTCGTCGTCGGACAGGCCGATCAGCTTGCGATTTTCGGGGGTGCCCTGGATCGGCATTCCGCCTCATCCCAACTTGCCAGTGAGTGCGGCCATTCTGACGCGCTTCTAAAAGTGAATGTCATAGGGCAGGCAAGTCTGAAAGTCCCATAACCGGTCGGGGCTTGGCGTAGCAGAGGCACTGGTAGGCAAGCGAGCTTAAACCGGCACATGGGACAGCGCATGCCGTGCAACTACTGCTTCGCGCACATTCGCACCGTCATCATCTGGAACCAGCAGCCGCGGCACATCATGTGGCCGCAGTGCATGGCCACGGCACATCTCGAGGTCTCCAGTGGGGTCTGCTGCGCTTGGCGGGATCCCGATGATGTCGAGAGCTTTGAAGTAGACGGGGCAGCGAGCCGGGGTGGCAGACGGCCTTGGGGCCTCAAGGTATTTGCGGATGTCTCGCCACAGCGCCGCATCCTCGCGGCGGTTCTCATCGGCCGTGGTAACAGATAGGGGTAGATGTACCTGCAAAGGGCGCGAGATCCAAGGTGGGCCGCGTGTCTCGCCATCACCTCCTTGTCTCCGTCGGCGGGACAATCGCAGAAGAGCTCCCCGTATCCGAGGAGCGAGGAGAAGATGTCCCTGAGGATACCCCTATAGTCTTCATGGGTTGTGAGCATCCTGCTCCGGTGAGGCTCCTTCATGATAATGCTGATCCAACGCCGTACCCACGGAGATTGGGGCAGGGATGGAGACCTATACCGAAGGACATAATCCCCCACCGATAAATGCGCCATTTAGTTGTCCATTGTGAAATCCGTAAATGAATGTGGTTTTAGTAAAGGGGAAAGAAAAGTGAAAGCGTTTGGTGTTGTCGGATTGTCGTAGACTCTTTCGCGAAGTCGTTTTTTCGGGATGGTTGGTTGGTGGTGAAAGGTGATGCCGCGACTAACGTGCAGGCCGGTCTGGTTCTGGTCGGTCTTTTGCTGGGGCGTACGTTTTTATATCCCCCAGGCGATGCAGATTTGCACTCGTCGTCCGCTGCACATCCTAACTGTTTCTGGAAGATATGTCGCAGATGTTGAGCACCCGCTCTTCTTCACCCTGCCAAAGGGCGAAGGTCTCGGCATTGGCACTGACCACATGCACGGACCGTGGGCGTGGCCGGTCAGCGCCCGGAAACGTATTGTTGCTCCGGCTCGGGCCCGTCTCGAGTCCGCCGGCGCGGAATGGTCGGTCGACGGAAGGGCTTACTCTTGCGCAAGGTTATGCCTTGCGCGGCTAGGTTCTCCGTTCGCTCGGCCTTGGCCTGTTTGACCGCCTTCTTCGCTTTGAGACGGAGAGAGGCTTCCAAGTTCTTTTCCTCGCGGTAGTTCTTGTTGCGGAGCTTCGAGACGTGGTTGACGTAGTCGTACCTGTGCTGGCGGCGTCCGCGGAGCACCGGCTCCCAGTCGGAGGTGGGGTCGGGTGATGGCTCTGCCTTGGTTGTTTCTTTGCCTGGGCTTGTGGCCGTGGTTGCGGTCGCCGTTTCCTTGGTGCTAGATTCCTCCATGGCAGGAGGAGTAGAAATCTCCTTTTGCGGGGTGGTCGACATGGTGGTGGCGAAGCTGTCCGTGTAACATAAAGACAATGCTAGGGGAAGCAAATGCAAGGCAACGCCGTGCAAATCGAGGAGAGGGGCAGCAAAGATCCGCGAGATGGCTGTAAAAGTGTGTAATGCCAAATTTTGAAAGAAGTTCGGGGTCTGCGACGCGACGCGACGCGTTTGGCGGGAGAGGTGAAAGGCCGTTTGGGAGTGCAGGACAGCAGATTTATAGGTAGGTAGGAATCCACGTGGACTGGCTACAGCGCCCCCGGCATTGGGCAGCCAAGCTGTTTTTGAATAGCACAACATCGGACGAAATTACCACCTAGGTCACGCTACTAGCGGGTGACGAACGGCGCCTGTGCCTCCGTCTGAAAGTCACAGCAATAGAGCCGACCTCGTTTAAGCAACGACCGCAACACATGATTTCTTCGCCCCGGATTCTGGTTCTGGAACAAGATAGCTGTTAGTATATCAAGGGTTCATGAAGCTCTCTAGTGATCTTGGGTACTAAGCAATCTGTTCGACAGCGGGTGACGAATGTTGCCTCCGCTGTCGTTAAAGTTACTGCAACACAACATGGCGTTCGAACCCAGACGGACAAACAGTCTCAACAAGGTCGAGACAGCAGCCCGCTAAATGCTTGAAGACCCATGGCAATGAATGCGCCTGAGCTGAGAGATTCGAGGTTGAGGATAGGCGAGACGATGATGTCCTCATGACAGATTTGGTGGTTGACGTGACACCGAACTCCCGATTATGCAGCGGGCTTTGTGCCTTCTAGCACCGTCGGCACTCGCGAGGATCTATCGGGTGTTCCAACGGGAGAACAACAGCTCTGAGCTCAACAGAACCACCTCATTGAATACGAGCCAGTCCCCTCCCCGGCCATGGAGATGACCAACAACGACGGCACCCGGCGGGAGGGAGGGAGTACATTGATGAGAAGATGGGGCAACAGGCTGTCGATCTTGATCATTTTTCTGATTCCGAACAACTAACTACTCTAGTATTGGAATAAGTCCAGCTACGGTTTGGAAGACGCTGGGGTTGAAATACCCTAGGGGGGGACAGTTCGCTGCTGCCAACTAGAATCACAACCAGCTTGCCCTAGGTAGCTTGTTTAATGTTTGGGGAGATTTTTGCAAGGAATCACTGCAGGGAAGCGGAAGAGGAAGGAGGGAAACAAGAAGAAAAAAGGCAAAGGAAATGTATCGGGGGAAACTAGTCAAGGAAGACGCAATGACTTTCACAGTTTCTCGTTTACGTTATATTTGCATCTTCTTCAGCCCCTCACATCCCGGACTTTGAAGAGCCTGCGCACCGTCAATCGGGGCGCCGCCAACGAGCTTGATAGGCTCGTTGTTGAAGCTGTGTGAATTATTGTGAATTTTTGGTAACCAAATGGTTGATTGTAGTAACTACTGCGTCCCACAGTCAGAGGCTCAGAGGTACGAGTGGCTAGACGTACAGGTAATTGTTTTCGAGAAGGGCGGGCTCCGCGGGCTGGTCGAGTTTGGTGAACAAAGGCAGGTGCTGATAAGAAATTTTTACAGTCATTCGTCTTGGATTACCCCGCCCTAGTCTCGAGGACCCTTTCGAAAACGCCCGCGTAAGGCACGCTTGTTGTAATTTACAGGAGCATATGCCTAAAGTGGGTGGCTAAAGACTTCGGTGCTTCGGGCACCATTACATTACGACAGAATAATTCTCTGACGGTAAGAGAGAAATTCAGAACGGAGAAATTGTCGAATATCAACTAACAGAGTGCCAAGTTATGTATTTCTGGGCAGTCAGGTAGAAAGTGTCGAAAATTACGCGCCCGATAGAATGAAACATAAACGATTAAATGCTGGTGCTCGCGAAGCCGTAGCGGGCCGGCGCGGCCCGTAAAGTGCGTGCAAAGATGTAGTGCGCTCCTAAAAATTATGTTATGTTGAAAGTTTATGTTACCCCGCTAGGCCCAAAATATAAGCCTTACGCCCGAGCGTAGCGAGGCACCCCCCTAGTATTTATTACTATACTAGGGAAGAAGTAACCGAGGCGTGTATGAACTTGGTTTTGGTAGATATATGCGCAAGTCCTGTGCGCCCACGTAGCCACGTGGGCTAGCACGTAACCCGCGCCACCTCCCTCCTACACCAAAGGTACGGTCATGAATGTCGCTATCCAACAGTTGGAGAGATAGAAGGCCAAGAAGGAGATCGAGGGCGAGAAAGACTGGAAAGACGAGAAGGCAAAAGTGGCGGTCGTGCACGAGTATGGTTGAAGTAGAAGAAAAAAGAAATTTATGGGAGCAGCTAGAAAGACGGGGCATTAAATAGGTGAAAATTGGGGCTGGCTGATTGCAGTCTGTGCGGAAACGGGGGCAAACTTTTCAGCCCCTGCCACGGAATTCCGGCGGCAGCAAGAGCATCTAGTATAGGATGAAAAAGAAAAAAGGCCTTTGCACCCCTAGTACCTCCTAAATTAGCGCTCCCCGTAGGTGATAACGGCTTCCCAGGTTTAGACAAACAGCGTCTCGTGACGTCAGTTCAGCAGCAGAATTCCTCAGGTGACTGATGCTAGGTAGGTACACTCAGCCACGCACGAAATATCTTCCAGATATCAAAAGCTGGACGCTGTGGAGGCTTCATTCTTACTCGCACATAGTGCCTCCCTCCCGGAGCACACACCTAGGTAGTTCATTTCGTTATGGCTAGTAATGCCTACGGTTTTATGCTGCTTGTGAGCCTCTAATCGTATGCCAAATAAGCTGGTCACTTCAAAAGAATAACTTGGGAAGCCGTACGTATGGAAAGGAATCTTGGGTAGCGCAAATAAAAGCGTGTAGAAAAGCAGCCGCTAGTGTCCAGCAGAAAAAAGCTTGCGTGATACGTCATCAGATCGAACCTTTTTTTAAGCTCCAGTCAAATTCAAAAGAATTCATCAGTGCCCTGGGCGTTGATTGCCACGCCTGATTTGAGCAAAGGGCGAGGTTCCAGGGCTTAATTCGTCCTAAGTCAACGTCATGTAATCCCCAATTCGCAAGTAGTTTTAATATTTCTATCCTGTCGAGTCCTTGGGATCGTAGTCTTGTAAAAAGATGGTAACGTGGTGGACGGTGTATGGTTTGCGAACTATTTCAAGCTTGATGGAGATGGACAGGCCGGCCGAGGCATTGTCCAGCCTCCTCGGCAAAATCTAGTCTCTGTGCAGGTCGTGGGGCGTGGCGCCCGATGTCTCCGAGGCTTCGAGCTCGCCGCGGATGACTTCGCCGGCGTATGACAGGAACTGCGGGTAGTACATGGTGGACCGGCTCGACAGTACGCGGTGCTTGTCGAGCACGTTGCTGGTATCTGGGGTCCACGTCTTCGCCATTGGCGTGGCCGGCGAGGAGTTAGTTGCCGGCTTCTCCAGGTCAGGGAACAGGGCGGCGTATGGATGCATTTTATCTTTTTTGTGTTTGTGGAAGCCGCAGAAGAGCAGCAGAGGAGTCACGCCCGTCGGCTGATCAACATCATTGTCCGCGCGGCGGAATTCGAGGTAGAGCAGGCCGGAGAAGATGGGGTGGCCGTCGGTCATGAAACTCTGGGTGCTGCGGTCCCAGTACGAGGGGTCTATCTCGCGAGCGTTCCGCAGCGCGAGATCGCGCGGGTTGTCGGCGCTCAGTCGGGGGTTCCATTTCGGGCTGTCATTGGAGATGCTGAAGCCGAACGAGGACCTGAAGCGGGATAAGAGGCGCGGCCACGCCGACTCAGGCACGGTTGTGCGGACGAGTATAGACCCTGGGAACACGTCGTTGTGGTCTGCCTTGACGGAGTCAACAAGGAGCTCGCCGACCCTACGGCGGACGAAGCCGGCGGGGGTCTTTATTAGAGAGATAGCAGCCGTCATGGTCAGGTCGTGGGACCGTGCGTCTCGGCAATGGAGATGTATCCAGTATTCGCCGGTATCCGGGTGAACCCGGAGATAAGTACGAAACTTGACCCCTCTGTTGGTGATGGAGAAGGCACGGAGGTCGTAGTGAGATGGGGAGAAGCTGTTCACCAGGCCCTCGCATTGGGCGAACAGGGCAGGAGACGTGGCAAAGATGCCATGGAAGGACACAGTCGAGTGCAGACTTGGGTCGGACCACGCGAAGAGCGACATGTCGTTGGTGGCCATGGCGACGGCCTCTTGCAGGCGCCGGAACGCGTTCTCGCCCTCGCCATAGATCATAGGCATGTTCACGTCGAACAGGCCCAGAAGACAATATGCCAGATCTTCAATCCGCGTCGTCTTTCGGTTCGCAGCCCAACTCATCCTCCTCCCGACGCAGCATCTGTGGAGTGGTGCCTGATTAAGCAGGATCCATATGGGGATTGTGGTTATGGCAGAGAGAAGCTTGCCCAGCGAGACTTTGGTGCCTCTCATTGTCCAGCCACAGTCGTAAAACTCGAGGTTTCGTGGGCCGATGAGCTCCTGCAGGGTCCAGCCCCTCGTGAACCAAGCGCACTGGGGCAAGTCGCGCTCGAGCCTTTTTTCTCCGGGCTTGGGGGACTCGGCGTCGTCCAGGCCCATGGGCGTTGACTCGGCGCCGTCCAGGCCGATGGGCGTTGGATCGAGGTCGGAGAGGTAGGCGTAGCACACGGTAGCGTTCCTGTACCATTTGAACATGGAGTTGATGGCCTCGGAGAGCTCGGCGCTGCTGCTCTTGTCGATACAGCACGTGTCGACCCATGCGTATTCGAACCCCTGAGCTGCCGCTAAACGACAGGTCTGCGCGATCTTATCCCACCCGGCCTTCCTGGAGGCACTGTCGAGGTTCTTGATGTCGTCAAAGGTGACCTCGCCGTCGCCCCATGTGTGCGATAGTATTGCATAGCGTTCTGGATACAAGACGCTTGTCAGCGAGTAGTCGGCCGTGTTGAGAAGCCACATTTCGGCGTAAAGCTCTGTCTACTGGCCGTGGTTGTGCCTGAAGACGGTTGAGAACGGGGTTGTGGAGCGAGAGATTCACCGCCGAGCGACGCAATGCGGGGCAGCGCTCCAGCTGTGAGTGCGCTGGCGGCAGGAGGCAGCAGCTACAGAGCTCGGTACTATATACAAGCCAGCACAAGCGTCTTTACTGAGTGGCAACACCAGACTTTGAGATTTAAACGTTACAACAAAACTATGCAAATTATCCAAGATAATCTCGGTAATCTTTTAAACATACAGTCCCTTTCTAGCTTAAGTTGAGTCTAGACAAGAGCGTGAATTCCCCGTAGTGGGTCACTAGGACTAGCCTTCCTAGCAAACGAACCAGGGCTGCACGGGTGCTCAGCATAGGCACGGCAAGGCAGCAGCTGGCAAGGCAGCAGTTGCCTGGCAGTTTGGTTCAACAACAAATCACTGAAGAACATGTCACTGAATCGCACGGCTAATGCGGTTTTGATGGACCACAGCTGAGACATGAAGAAAGGTGGCAAAAACTGTTTCAGTGAACAGCAAGTCCGCAACAAGGTGTTGGGCTAGAGGGCGGGCAGAGCGTAGGACCGAGAAACAGAAAGCCTGCAGCCACATGGATCCGCGTTGAAGAATCCGGCTCAGACTACCACTCCCCGAATGAAACGTTGCCATAGCCACGATAGGTTCTTCCCTATAAGCAGGCAGCCTCAAGTCTCCTCCCAAAGGCCTCAGGTCCCTACTCATAACCACAGCAGGCCGACGACCGCATGAGGTTTCAGTTGCTGAATATCGTAGTGGCGTTTTGGGGTTGCCCTCTCGTTGCATGCTCTACAATTCTATGACGACCGAAGAGTTAGAGGCCGGCCGCAGGGAGAAAATCCAAGAACGGAAAAGTCAAAGGCTAGGCTGTGTTGCTCGTCCGTTCGTCCAAGCCGTGTTAAATAGCCAGGGGAGCAAGAGGAGCAGCTCGTCACTTGCCTTGAGCATTTTATTTGAGAGGAACAACATGCCAGACACTTCCTCGGAGGTGTGAGCAGTGACCAGGGCGTTATCGACAGAAAGGGCGCGAGAGTCAACGCAGAGTGAAGGGTCGGTCGGTCCACGGCCAGTGATCCCCGAGACCTGTGGAGCATCGTAGCGCTGCGGCTGCAGCCCAGAGCCAGCTCGAGTCAGCCCGTGTTTTGTGGGAAACAGGGAGGAGGAAAGAACGAAGGGTCGCTGCTGCTAATGGCAACGAAAAAAAAACATGGAATCAAGGTGGAGCTCCTTCTACGCGAGGCTCGAGGAAATAATCGCCACACCGGGCCTGGCTTAACTAGGTAAATACCTACCTTAGGCAAGGGCTTAGTATGCGAGCAGCAGCTTTGCCATTGAGCTGTTTCCCTTCCTGGCCTAATACCCCTGTCAAACTTTCATTAGCCCGGCGGCCTGCAAATCACATTATTGCTCGGAAGAATATGAGGGCTGTTGGGGGCGTTCAGCGCCTGGAATGAGCAATCGCTGGGACTGATGGCGTCAGCCCAGCGCTTCCCCAACCTAGCCCTAAAGGCCTGATGCACCAAATCCCGTCAACTCAAAGCGATCTGATGATGCCACTGCGCCAGCACACCATCATGGAACTACTGCACCGTCCATCAAAAAACATCCATCAAAAAAAAAATCCAAAACCGATAACTTTGTACTAACTATATACACACAAGACGAAGTGCTTTGAAAAATTCAGAGTGCTAATTCTAGTTTCTGAACCTGCGATTTATATGTTGCCTCGTCAAGGCCTAAACTCACGATGAGTCGGTTTGCCACCCTGTTTGGACTGCTTGCGCTGACCGCACATCACGCACTCGCCGACTGGCAGTACCGCTCACGGCCGGACCTCTCGCCGCCGCGCCTCAACATCACCATCCCCGCCACCGACGACGTCGCGCCCGGCTACATCTTCGTGACGCCGTACCCGGCATCCAACGGCCCGCACGCCGCCCCCGAACAGCCCGCCGCGTACATCTTCCGCAACGACGGGGACCTGGTCTGGAGCAGCCTCGGCTACTTTGCCGGCTGGGTGGGCAACTTCCAGGTGACAAAGTACAGGGGGCAGGCGGTGCTGCAGGCGTTCCAGGGCACGCTCGACCCGCTCCACGGCCACGGCTACGGCACGGTAGCACTGCTCGACGAGACGTACCGCCCCGTTGCCAGCCTGCAGAGCCTGCACAAGTTGGTGTCGATCCACGAGTTTCGGATTGTCAACGAGAAGACGGCGCTGGTCGAGATCTACCAGCCCACGCCGTACAATCTCGGGCCGTACGGCGGCGCCGAGGACCAGCAGTGGATTGTCGACGGCGTGTGGCAGGGTGCGTGCTTCCTGTCCGTATCCGTTTTTCTAGTCCGTGGTTGACAATGAATAATCCCCTGCAGAACTCGATATTGAGACCGGCGAGCTGCTGTTCGAAGGGCACTCGCTTGATTTTGCCGATCCCGCCGGTATGCGCACGTCTCTAACTCCTCCTCTCCCTCTTCCCTCTTCCGCCCTCTCCCACAACCTACAACCCAGCAAACGGCAGCTAGATGACTTCCCTAGTCCCTGGCTAACGCACTCCCAGACAGCGCCACCCCCCTCCGCGGCAGCACGGGCACCACGAGCGGCGAGGCGTGGGACTACTTCCACCTCAACAGCATCGACAAGGACGACGAAGGCAACTACCTGTTGTCAGGCCGGCACACGAGCACCATCTACAAGGTATCCGGGCGCGACGGCACACTGATCTGGCAGCTGGGCGGACGCAACTCGTCCTTTACCCTGCTTCCCCGAACCAACAACAACAACAACAACAACAACAACAACAACAACGACAACCCAGAAGAAAGCAGCACCGCGTTCGCCTTCCAGCACGACGCGCGCTTCCTGGGGCGCTCGGCCGCCGGCGCGCTAGAAACCATTTCCTTCTTCGATAACAGCGCTGCTAGCTCTTCGTCGCCGTCGGCGTCATCGTCGAGCGCGCGCATCGTGCAGCTGAACCACACGGCTGTGCCCCGCACGGCGCGCGAGCTGCACCGCTTCCGCGCGCCCGGCGGCCTGGCCGCTGCCTCGCAGGGCAACGCGCAGGTGCTGCTAGCAGAAAACGGGGACGCGGGCGGCGTGTTCGTCAACTGGGGCAGCTGCGGCGCGGTGTCCGAGTTTCGAGCCGGTGCCGATGGTGGCAATGATGTAGCGCCCGTGTTCCACGCGTTCCTAGACGCCGCGGGCGCCGTGCAGAGCTACCGCGGCTTCCGCTTCGCGTGGGCGGGCCGCTCGCGCGAGGCGCCGGCGCTGGTGGCGCTCTGGGGCCGGGAAGCGGGCAAGGCTGTGGCGCATGTCTCGTGGAACGGCGATACGGTAGCCCGCGAGTGGGTGTTTTATGCCGAGGCGGTGGGAGAGGAGGGAGCCGTAGCGCGTAGGCTAGGGGCTAAGCCGAAGCTGTCGTTTGAGACTACGTTTGAGGTTTCGGAGGAGGCCGTGAAGGTGTTGGGGTCGCGGTTTGTGGTTTTTGCGGTCGCGCTGGACGCTGCCGGCGAGGTCGTTGGGCGGTCGGGAAAGGTGCCTGTCAGGGATGATGTCCACGGAGGAGCTGGACAGGAGAATGGGTTTGATGCGGTAATTCAAGGGGCGGTTGAGCAGTCGGTTTTCGGGGACTCTGTGGCTGGCGACGGCGACCTTTAAGATGTTCAAGTTACCAAAGTTTGTGAGAACTGAGTACTCTGTTCTTGGTGGCTTAGCCAAGCATGAGATCGGCCTAGAAGTTACCCGGCGCTTGACGACTTATTTATTTTAACCATTTACGTAAGACATGCTACTGTAGCTGCTTGGATGGCTTGTTTAGAGCAGGCACTTGGGAAGTCTACTCCGAGTCCATTCCGGGGTACATTTGTCTCCCATTCTGTCCCTAGCAAGCAGTTGAGCTTTATCAAGGCGCCATGCCTTGCTACATCCAGTGCTAACCTACCACATGGATGTTGTCTCATTTTCTGCCTCCCGTCATGTAAACAGCTCTTCACACCGGCGAGAATCACACTCCAACACAAACCCAGTGCCCCAACCAGAGCCCTTGGCAGTCGTCCTAAGATTGCTGATTAGTGAGTGCCCATGAGTTGAGTCACGAATAACTTACGGTTATCTGGGTATTCCAGTGGTAACTACACGGAACGAATGTCAGCCATGCTTCGGTGTCTGGTAGTCATTGTCGTCGAGACAACGTGTAGGAAAAACTCACAAGTCTTCCAGACGCAGAGACCCCTTATGCTTGTCCACAATCCCCTCGCAGCTATCCTCATTCCTGACCTGGTAAAACGTCTGGCCTAGAATCGAAAAACAGAACATTAGCTCGTTGCGACCACACGTTTCCCGCACAGAATGGCAAAACTCACATCCCGGCGAGACGCCGGCCTGGATCGGCGAGGGCTGGGCCAGCATGACGCCGCCCGCCATCATCGGCAGACCTGTCGCGCGCGGCACGTGCAGGGTCCTGGCCGACGAGGCGCAGCGCCCGGCGTCGGTGATGGTGATGGTGCGGATGGTGGTGACGGTCGAGCTGGTGAAGATGATGCTGCTCTGCGTCACGACCACTTTGCTGGTCACGGGGACTACCTGCGTGCTGGTCTCGACGCTCGTCGACGTCACGAGCACGTAGTTGGTGCCCAGCGGCACCGTGACCATGATCGTCTGCGTCTTTTGGATCGTCTGCGTTAGCTGGACGACCTGGGTCGTCTGCACCGTCTGTGTTGTCTGGACGGTGCGCGTCTGCGTGGCTACGGCGGCTGCGGTTGTTGTGGTGACGACGACGACCTGGGTGTTGGTCTGCTTGACGGTCGCGGTGGTCTGCACCGTCTGCGTTACGAACACGGTCTGCGTGACTGACGCTCCGCCGCCGCCAACACCGCTGGTGACTCCGGTGCTGACGCCGACCGACGTCGGGTTCCCCGGCGTCGTCGCCACAACCGACGACGACGGCACCACGCCGGCCTCGCCGCACAGCCCAAAATCGGCCAGGCAGCCGGCGCCGCAGTGGTCGGTGGTCTTGCCGCACCAGCCGTGGGGCGAGCAGCACTGCCCGTACGACGACCCCAGGCAGGTGAGGCTGCCTCCGCACTGCCCGTCCTGGGTTACCTGCAACGTGGGCACGGCGGCGCCGGCCCCGGTCGTGGCCGTGGCGACCGACTTGCCGGGGGTCGAGGCGACGAAGGCCGGGTCGACGCAGTACTGGGTGCCGACGGCCAGGCTCTCGCACTTGGTGATGGTCGGGTTGCCGCGCAGGAACTGCGTCACCGTGATGCCCGACGCCGCGGCGATGGACGCGCACGTGTCGCCGGCCTGCGCCGTCACGGTCCGCGAGCACGTCCCAGCCGCGGCCGCCAGAGAAAACCCCCCATAATGATGCGCGCCGAGTATCGCGACGACCAACGCCCTTGGCAGGAGAAAGAGTTTCATTGTTATTTGTTGATCTGTCGGGCGGCGAGGGCGCTCGGTGTGCCGCTCAGGAGACCATTCCTGTTCCTCCGCTCGTTGGAGGCGTGTGTGTGCAAGGCGAAGATGCGAAACGAAACAAGACGGGAAAGAATTTCCAGACCAAAGATCTTTTCAGGGGGGGCTGCTATAAACTACCAGGTCAATATGAGCACCGATAATAACAATATGCCCGACCCGCGGGTGGGAGAACGCCACCACGCCATCCAGGGCTATAATGGGAACACGAGATATACCGAGACGCTACCTATTCGGAAGGTAATATGTCAGCCTAGAAGGATTGGTGCACGTCCAGTGGTGTGCCGCGACGGCAACGTGCCAGGGAGGTGTGATTCCCACTCGACATGCCACATGGGTATTCGTGCTGTGATCGCCCCCGCGGATGCCGACTGCAGAGAGAGACGTCATCGAGACTCTAGAGCAGCAATGACGGCACTCGCTGCTATCTCCAGGTGGGATGAAGTGGGACTCGGATGCCGTACAACGCAAAAGAATTTGCGATGCGATACGGTAGACTAGCTCTGTGCGGACAGGCCGCGGATTCCTGAGATGGTGACCACCAGGCCGATGAGTGTTGCTCGTGGTGGTTTTAGCCTGCCAATCAGCGGGCTCGCTGCTTGAGTGACGGGCCGGGATATTGACTACTGCCCAATCTGCATGGCAGAAAATCTCCGGTTCCCGTGTCGGTAATTCGGATGGCACGGTGATGGCGGTCGGTTTCTGGCAGGTCGCCAGTCAACGTTGGGGCTGCCTTCAGCCTAATACAACCAGGTTAGTGGGTGGGTGCTGGTCTCCTTCCCGTCCGAGACGGTTGCCACTGTGTTTCCCCAAGTCTTGGCCCGAGTTGTGTGCCTGAACAACCGGGCTTCCCCATTGCTATTTGGTCACCAGCTGTAATTATTTATAAATATTTAAACTAGACGAGTAGGAGTTACTTGCTCTATTTAATACTTTCAGACAAATCCAACCTGGGCAAATTCCCCTTAAAGGGGTCACGATCATTTTGCCGTGTCTAAACTACGAGGAGGTAATAAGGGAGGGACAACTCCCTGAGCTCGGGATAGGCGGCGCTAGGGACTAGGGGGGGTGGGGGGGTTGTCCACCTGCTCTGCCATAAAAAAACATGTCGAGTTTTACCGGTGCACGTCAACAAGCACTGTACCCCCACTTCAAGTGAATGAGAGCCTCCGCTACCTTTCTATATTGTGGGCACTACGTAGTATCTAGAATATAATCATATATCTTAATAGACGTTTGTATCGAAGATGGGGTCTGATCTCTGGTTACAGACGTTGCCACGCAAGCACTGACGAAACCACCCAACGAGAATACCGGGAATAATTATGGACGAGCAGCCCACTGTGAACAGCACTGGACCCAGTTCACGAGCGTGGGTTATTGCTATCTCCGGATATGGCTGCCTTGGCTCTCAGGACCATTCGTGACCGATTACCATCGTTAGGCTGTCGAAAGAAAGGCAGATTCTTTTTCGCGGAAACCAACGTGGCAAAGTTCATTAGTTCTAAATATCTTACGACGGCATTTTATGTCGCCTGCTCAAGGAGGGACTTGCGACAGTTAGGTCCATCAAAAGAGTGAACGGCTTATGAGCAGGCCACGACTACATATGTGGAATAATTAAGTTGAACTCCCAGTCTTGGGGCTCGCCATCTTCACAGTTTACGTCGGTATGAAATGGGGAAAGTCTACATGAACACCGTTCAGGTCTCTCTACTCTGATCCTATTTCAGCCCGTACATGAAGAGCTTTGCGCCTTAGCCTAGTTATGTAAGTATTTATCCCGTGTAGGTTCTGTTGACAGCTTCGCTCTAAATAATTTGAAGCAGGGTCTGAAATCCAAAGCAATCCGCTTTCTTCTTTCTCTATTACTCGGAGGTTTAACATCGGGTGATCAGTATTCGAAACCTAGCAGACACACATCCAGTCGGGGTTGTCGGATGATACCTTTACTCCGTCTCGAGTTGATCGTGACACGTTTCATCGCAGTAAACCCATGTTTCCTTGGATTAGATCACAAACATCAGAGAAATCCAAACATATCTGAACAAGTCGACACTGCAACCTTGTGGCTGCTCGTCAGATTGCGACAGTGATCAGAACACCAGGCAGAGCAGAATCTACCCGCTCACCTTTGGACAGGTATCCTCAATGCTGCCACTTCAAAACTCACTGATTGCCACCTCATCAGTCGGCCGTCAGCCAGGCTGGCAGCTCACTCGGCCGCAGCGATCTCTGTCCGCAACTCTTCTGAGTACGCCTTCGGGAACGAGGCGGGGACACTGTGACACTGTCGAGATTATTTTCGACCCGCAATGAGCAAGACTGGGCAGGACAGACAGACAGACAGACAGACAGACAGACAGACAGACAGCAGACAGACAGACAGCAGACCGCGCGCCCCGAGATCAGACCAGGATCAGCCCAGGGTTGGCTTCCAGACCTGCGACTGCTGGGAGAGCACATCGAGGCCATCACAAGCAGCCAGCACCGCCTGTATCTGCACGGAATTGACTCGTGATGCCGGCAGCGCGCGTACGATCACGGGCCCGTTGGCGAGCTGGCTGTGTGCATCAAAAAGTAGGCCCCTTGAAGGCCTACGTCCAATGATGCAAGTTGTTGAGATCAGTTCACCATCGAAACGCTCCGGGAGTCTGTGCGGTGGGTTGCTGCCGCTAGAAGCCCCGAACGACAACCCTTTTGGTGATGATCCTATATTTAGCCTAGCGATCCGTGGGACTTGTCGCTGCAGGTGCAGAGGATCCATTGAAACGTTGCGGGTGTGTGGGGGGAAGCTGGAGCTGGACAACAGTAGTATGCGGCGACGATGAAAAGGGGTGTGCGTCGTCAGCGTTGAACGTTGGGGATGCATTGCTGTTGGTCGTTACAGAAGGTAGGGGCGATTGGGCGAGAATGTTTATGACGCGGGCCTGAACCGCTTCGAAACACCCCCAACAACCACAATCGTACCATATCGTGCTTGGCCAAGGAGATGGGGGGTGGAAATGAAGAGGAGTGAGATTTTCATGCACACGTCGATCGAAACAAGCATGAACCGAGGGATAACAGTTCGGTGCAGACGCACCGACGTGGCTGGCGCTTCTCGCCCGTGCCCCCCCGCGGATCCCCACAGCTTTATTGGACTTTTGGGCTACGGTCGCGCGTTGGTCAGGGAGAAAGAATGAGCGGGAACTCGGCATTTTGAAGTCTGGCCGAGGCCTGGCCAGGAAGTCGTGACCTTGATTACGGTTTTCCAAAGTTCGGACGTTGCGTCAGCGTGAACGGGGCTGTAACCGGCTTAGGCCGCAGGGGAGTGGGAGCCTCAGTCCCGAGAACGAGCTTTGGGCCAGGGATTTGAGGCTCAGGTTGGGGGCCCCGACCTCAGCCGGCGCCCGACGGGAAGAGCGCTGCGCCGCACTTCCCGTAGCGCGTCGCGCCACAGCCAAACGTCGGCCGCCGCACTCTCACCGCTGGGTCGTGGCGTCTCAACGACCGTCGACGAACCCGCAGGAACGCCTGCACGACACGAGCACATGTGCTGCCAATAAGCGCCTGCACGCTTAAAGTTGCGGTTCGACTTGCGGGCTGCAATGGACCTCGCAAAAACGTTGCATCAAGATCGCACGACTTGTCGTGTCGAAACCATTGGCTAGAAATGCCCGACTCGTGTGTTCCAAAGTCGTTTGGAGTCTGGGGCACTAGGGAAAAATACATACCCCACCCCAGCTCTCCCTGCCTCGTGGTGGGGCACAGGAGGTGCAGCCCCTGTCTCGATGTCTCGACGGCTGTGGGGCAGATTGTGGCTTGCCTGTCCCGATACGGAAAAGGCTGATCTTGATAAGGCCAAAACTGGGGCCTCTGAGGTCTTGGCCAGTGGCTGCCGTGGCTGGTGGCTCGGTTCGATGCCTCGTCTGAACCAGGGCCGACACACACCAGCGTCGCAGAAAATGTTACCCAAACGCCCAAACGCCGGCTCGCGGGCCTGTTAGCGCAGGCCGAAAAGCAGCAGTGAACACGAGAGTTCCTTAGGGCAGCACAGCAGTGTAGTCCCGCTCAACAAAGCAATCAAATGCCAAATGTGTCGCAACGAGTCCATTGTGTCCATGTTGGGCCTGCTGTGCCGTCTACAATTGCCGCCGGAACAAAATGAGAGGCGACAAATGACGGCGTTTCGGAGCGGGAGGCTGCACAACAGATGCGGCGCAGAGACTCGCTCGCCAATCGAGGGGTCCATTGGCCCCCCGGGCCAGCGCCCTGGCCTGTGCGTCCAATTGTGGGCACGGTGGAACAGCGTGCGCCTCAAGTCCTGGACGCGTCTCGAGTTTGGCGACCTCCTCCGACTCTGCATGTTACATCAACCCGTCGATCCGACAATGCCATGGCGCTTTGCACCGCTGGCGGCGCATTGTCGCTGGGCGATCATACAACAACTCACACACGCCCCCAGCAGGCGGAAATTGTCCAACACGCCATGCGCTTTCTTGTCACCCTTTTTGCTGCTACAGCGCCTGTCGCCGAGTCCAGCAGTCGCTACAGGGCCTCGATTGCCCTGCCCGTTGCGGCATCGTCGCCTTGTCAGGTCTCAATCGACCCTCGGCCTCCACCCTGCACCCCCCTACGACACACCGTCGTGCGCGCGCCTGACTAGCCATCGGCCCTGCTAGTCTCAACCTCGCCCTTGCGCGATTCGATGTTTTTTGCGCCGTAATCTTTCGAGCAGTCAATATGGGACACCTGCCAATTGCGAGTCCAACATGCTGCACTCCCCACCCCCCGTGGTGCCCCTTGCCATCCCGAGTTTGGGGTTGGGCTCCGCTGCCCTCCCATGGCGCCCTTGTTGTCCGACCTCGATGGACCTCGATGGCCTCTCGTGATCTCCGCCCAGCTTCGTCCGGTTCTTCCATGCCATTGGCCGGCTGCTCTCGTTGTCGCGACTGGCCTCGACCTGTCTCCCCTGAACATGGTCTCGTCTGTTCCTTCTGCCACCTTTCGACATTCGATTTTCTGAGAACTCACGCCATAGATCTACGCAGGCCCAGACCGTCCCTCTTCTTCTGTACTCAATCTGTCTCTACATCGTACCACTTCCCCAGTCTTTCCCCGAATCCACATCTCCCATTCGCCCCTTTGGCTTGTTCAGAGGCCCACCCGTGAGACCATATACTTCCGCCCGGGGGATCTTGATCTCCCTCGCATAGTTCCTGCCCAGTCTCCTTCCGCGTAATGGCCGTTTCGTTGGGCAGTGCTTAATCTCTTTTGTTCTATTCTTACTACCCCTCCCCGCGGCCCTCTGCCCTCCCTCTTTCCTCCTCACTTCAGCTTACTTCCACAGTCACGTCTTCACTGACTGGCAGGAGGATACTTCACACTTCTCCTTCCCTTCTCCGGGCGGGTCCCGCTTCTCTTCGACCTCGCCTTTTTCGATCATCGATCAACAGACCTGCTTCCATAAGCGGCAGGGGAGCAGGTTCACACGCAACTACGCGGCCGGCCGTCCGCTCTACGTGTCCTCGATTTTATCTTCTCGCCGCCGGACGGATTTGGCACCTTTGGACTGGATGACTTGGTCGGCTGGGGACAACTAGACTGTGTATAATACGTTGGGGCAAGAGGAGGGACACCACAACCAACACGATGATCTGGCAAACAGCGCTTGTGGCCTCGCTCCTGGCGTCGGGGGCCCAAGCAGGGATAGGATCTCTCGTCGCAGAGGGAATGACGCGCGGCAACCCGTCGGTGGTGCGGAGGTTACAGGAAATCGCCAAACTGACTCTCGTGTCGCGCGGGTTCTTGGACGAGAGGCAAACACCAACGGTGGACAGCAACACGGTCTTCTCGCCGGATGGGACCATCAACATGACGGCTTGGGACGACCAAGCGAACAAGGCATGCAATGCCGCACTCAAGGACCTCAAGCTGGCCTCGAACCCGTCGGGGGCAGTCATTTGCTACAACCTGCCGGCCCTCAACAACGTCACGGGGACTTTCGAGGCAGACTTGAGGCTCTATCAACTTAACGAACCGACTGGAGACTTTGCGGGGATACCGCCCGAGAAGATCCAGGTCGGGCTCACCTACAAGGGAGCGTCGGTATCACCAGTGACTTCACAGACAGCATCGACGAAAGTGGTGGCGGCAAGACAAGCTGCGGCGGGCACTGCGGTGGAGGCTACGGGAAACGGACCACTCAAACTCCTTCAAACGTACCTGTTTGTTGGCCAAATTGACAAGACTCAACTGAGCAATCCAGTGGACACGTAAGTTCATTTCCTTGACCTACTGGTATGCTGTTCACTAACTCGAGGTTTTAGCGCTCGCCTGCAAGCACTTGTCATGCCCGTCGTGACGCTCAAGGCCAACAACACCCAGGGCCAGCTCGTGAGCACGAATGTGTCGTCGAACGAGGCCGTCTTCGTCACGGGAATCTTCTCGGGCGTGGTGTTCATGAGCACCTTTCGCATGGCCGAACTCGCAGTTCAGCAAGAGGTCTCCAACATGCAGAACGGCACAAGTGCCTTCGTGGTTCCCGGCATGCAGATCCTAATCTTCCCCGTTGGCCTCATCATCACGGGCGCGTGGACGCTTCTAGGGGTTGCCGCCTACGCATACGGCACCTACTCCCGATACCAGTTCAGGGACCAGTTCCTGAAGCGCATGCAAACGCTCGAGAAGTCGAACACACCAAGGATATGACACGACACTTGACGCACTTCTTCTGTCACATCTTTTGTTGGGATATACCATCAACGACGCTCCCTCCTGGAGCAAAGCAATACTTTCTGCCATTTTTTTTTCTTTTAGTCTGCACTGCGCAGTATTTATTTTACAAACATTTCGGCACTCCCGGCTGCTTTATTCCCATTACATAGCAGCAGCCGCGCCCGTATAACCTTGTCACATAGCCAATACTGTCTGTACATATCTCCATGGCATTGCCGACGCGGCTCTGCCGGCGGCTAGACATAGACGTCCGTCAAAACAAAGAAGTAAAAGATCACTAGTGTCCATTCGCGTGCAAGTTAGTAAAATGTCTTGATGCGCCGTTTTTCTGTGACAAGTGCCACGTGATTGCGTTCAGGGGTTGCAGGGTAAACACCCGGCGGGTCGTGGTGCTGCACCTCCACGAGTGACTTCCCCCCTCTGTTTTCCCGGCCGGGAAACGAACACAGACACTGACGCTAAGAAAAAGAAACAAGACATGCAAAAAGAAACACTAGTGACAATCGCAGCCACACAGACAGCACGAAGCCGGCAAAAGATGGAAAAAAAGTTATCCGCGGTGAGGATCGAACTCACGACTTTTGCATATCTAGTAGCCCAAAATAGGTTTACATGTATAAGAGCAACACGCTAAACCGCTGCGTCACGCGGATATTTGGTTGCAAATTGGATTCTGGACCGCTGCCCTATAAGGCGCACGCGCGGATACCCGCGGGAAGCGTCGGCTTACCTACCGAAGCTGCGGTGTAGTTAGTGACCTCAGCCCCGCCCCCACTACTACTGACAATTGCTGCGCTGCAGGGACCTACGGTTTTTACACCTGTGGACAGCGCTCTCTCGCTCGCCCTAAATGGATGTGTTTGAGCGCCGCCTTGCCTGAAACCCCCCAGCGCGCGCCCACCACTCGCGCGCTCTTGCGGATCCTATGCCGCGATTTCCGGATATCTCTGCTTCTGGTAGAGCAATGCCTTTATCAATTTCTTTTTGCTTCTTTTGCGCTTGGTCACTGTTATTGGGACAGAATTGGTTGGCGGGGTTTTCCAGTGCGTTTTCTGCCTACGAAGTTAGCGCACCCCGCTTCCAGATTGTGGCTGATGTTGACGTTGAGGATTTCAGCGCAACAGCGATATATGTTGTGGATGGATGAAATTTAGATAGGATGCGCGTTTGGAGGGATTTTAGATGAATGATGCCCTTTTAATCTTGGCTTTTTGGGCTTAGAATGATGGGACGACTGGCTGGCAGCCTGGCGCCCTGCTTTATGCGAGATCTGGCAGCCGGCTGCAAGTACCATCTCGCATCAAAGCCGGCGCCGGATGTAAGCGCACATTATTGTCTGGCACCCTAGAGTGCATGAACCGGAGATGCAGCCGCGCCAGACTTTTACGACGAACTCTAACCGGACGGCAACCTGAACTGTCAATTGGGCGTCTGTTTCGTTTAGTCGTATTTTGTCTTACGCCCATGGGCTGCTATTACCCGCCTGCTTTCCTGCTCAGGTTCCTTCTCGCCCGCACCTTCCGCGCCGCTCTCTGCCTTTCTTCGCTTCTCGCAGCCACCATTCGAGCCGCCGCTAAAGCCCCGAGCCTCGAGTTTAACAACGCTTCCTATTGATTGCAGCGCACGCTAGCCTGAACAACTTTCCCCTACAATTGAGTTTCTACAGAGACCAAAACGAAGATGCAGAGCGCGAGTTGAAGCTCAAAAGACGAGACAAAGGACGTCGAAGATGAGGTAGACGAGTTGATCGGCCAGGTGGAAGTAGAGGCGCAACGCATGGTCGAGGAAGGAAGGAAGACGCTAGCTGCGCTGGAGGAAAAGAGACGAGTAAGGTCTCCCTTCAGGCCTGCAATCTACTGATCACAACGCGATGTGCTGCTTCATGTTTTGGGATATCCCGCTGACAATGGCAAACTCCTAGGAACTCAATCGCCTTATCGACGAGTAGCTTCAGGCGTCGATGCCCGCCCCTCCCACGAGGGCGAGAAGGGGAGGCATGCGGACCGCCAGAATGCCACTGGTTATCGCCGCAGAAAGTAAGCCACCGGAGCTTGTCAAAGTCGCAGAAGAACCAGCAAGTAACTCGAGTGTCGAGGCTCGTGAGAACGACGACAGCCACGAGGTCGACTTCGTGCCAAAGCCTGCTACGGATAGCGTAGGGATTTTCCCGACCGAAGATTCCCACGACGCCGGCTTCGACTCTTTGAACGAGACAACCGATGTTGAAACCCAGCACAGCATCTCGGCAACGGCTTCTGGCTTTGGTGTAGAAGAGACTTTTACTTGTGCCTGTATAACCCCGCTTCTTCCTGAGCCATCATTTAGCGAAAATTGCTTGGAATGGAAAAAAAGTTCGACCAGTGCCGAGGCCAAGGCCTAGGGGATGGCCACATATACGGGCCTTCTGTTGCGGGCCTATCTGGATTATGCGCACCAGGAGCTTGGCCTGGCCATAGTATCTTCGAGTTTCCCGGCGTACGTAGATATCGGGCGTCGGTCGGTAAGTTAATAAGAATATAGACTTTTTTGTTCCTGACCTTCTCTTTATTCTCTATACCTCTCTGTGAATCGTGTAGAGCATTTTCTTGGAACCTTGGACCGGAATAATCGCAGCAAAAACAGATATAGTTCCACCATATCACCAAGGCCAGGGATCGGGTTTCCATATGCTTTTTAGCATATTGATTCTTCTTGAGTACATCACACCCCTGGGATTTGCCGTAGAAAACGAATCCAGTGGTAGCTAGAGTAAATACCTACCACATATAGGGTATATTTCTCGCCCAAATGCCTGGTCCTCGTGAATAATTAGGTCGAGTCCTACATAGTCAAGCGGGGCTTAGAAGACAATTGATGTGACTTTGGAAATAGTATCGGTTGCCTTTCCGAGTATATATGGTTCATAGAAGCGATCTCTCTTTGGCCCTTTGAGTTGTATGCCTAGCTGTAAACGCGGGTAACAACATCGTGATGTGCATGTAGAAGACGACGGTGCATTGTTAAGTAGTTGATAGAAGTGAGCATTGCATATACCGGTGTGATCGAAGAAGGTAGTCGGGGATGACTTTGCAAGGCATAAAAATCAGCTTTGTGACTAGTTTCCTGCTCCTCGTTTTCACAAAGGCGCCATAATCCATATCCTAGGTAATGTCTGCCTCCTTCAATATTTACTAGGTTGCAAGGCGCGCCGGGCGTAAGGTATGCCTGGCCAAAGGTGAAGGTATTTTATTGTGCCGTCTTGTTGTTTTACCGCGATCTGTACTTTTCCGGTGTAGTATGAAGAACTTGAATGCCCAGTTACATCACCATAATGCTAGGGCTAGGTCAACGGATGAAGCTCCGTAAACCACTTGACGTTGTTGAAAGAAGTGCGTTCGGCCGCTATATCGAAGAGGACTGAGTCCTATATTATACTTCCTACCTTGAAAGCTTATTGGACTTGGCCCGCTGTGCATCAACGGGGGCTCTAGGGAAAATTCTCCCCAACAACAGAGTCTATGGTGTTCATGTAGTTGAGACCATCCCACTCGAACAACAGGTTCGAAGGCGTAGTCTCTGCAACTGGTTGCGAAATATCATTTCCTCTATGACGAAAGGTAGTAGGGGTTGCCGTCTTCTGCTTCATAGCCGAAATCGCTAGTTGGTAGGGGCTTTCTCTGGCTTACACCAGTAGCACACAGATTTTGTAAAACGTATTTTCCGCATTGGTGATGTTTATACCTTTTCCAAATCTCTTTGCTGTATGCTATACATGTCTCTGTCTCGCCTTGACGCCCCTTTTAGTCCTTTCCCTTCTTCTTGTTGCTGGACTTGTTGTTTTCTGTAAGGAAGAGCACCCCAACTTCTTGTCTCGCGCGCACACCTGTGTGCGCCCACCACCTGCCACCAACTGGCAGCGCCACCAGAACCACACTGTGGCACCACGCTTCCACAGCACACACGGGACTTGGTCTCCCAACCATGTGTATAAGTGCGGCCCTAGATTGAAGTCTTACGCCAATACCAGTCATTGCTTACCCTCCCGCCTTCTCTTACATTTTCTTCGGGCTTCTTCGTGACTGTTGCCGTTGTATAGACTCTCCTTACTTCAACTTGTCACGGCCACCACCGTAGACCCCTCCATGCAGCTGACCCCGCACTAGCCCCAATCTGGAATGCAGGTCTTGGCACCCAAAAAGTGGTGTGGGCCCGTGCGCTGCCCCGCTCCCACAAGAAGCCTGCACACAATAATTGTTGGATTACTGCACTTCAGGATTTTTTACTGGCTTCAATTGATTGTCTTCTCTATCTTCCTGGCTTTCTGGCAGTGCCAGAAAGCCTCCTTCTTATACTACTATTGTGGCGGCAAAATAGGTGGCAAAATGAGTGGCGAAGTAGGCCGCGAATCCTTTGCCTAGCTCCTTCACAGCCCACATTCCAGCATGTTCCATCTGACAATAATTCCTTTGTAGATTTTTCCTTTCTTTATCTTAGAATCCTTTAGACAATGGTATAGCTATATTAGCGATCCTTTTCCTTCTGGTTATTGACCGCCGTCATATTATTCTAAGATCACTATTTTCCACCTGGGAAGGTTTTAATATCATACCCGAAAAAGAAAAGACCCGAATTGACCGACGAGCACATCGCGACCACGATACCCCGAACCCCCGAAGAAGCCGCTATCGCCGCGCAGCTGGCCCGTTCAGAAATTGATTACGACCAACCCGCTCTGGAGGCCCTGGTGCCGCCGCGCGAGAAAGCCTCGTCGTAACACCCCGACCTGGCGCAGATGACTGCCCTGCACAGCTCATCTCGACTATCCATAGAAGCTACAACCAGTCTCGTAACGACTGACCCTGAAGAGACTCAGATTGAGTTCTACAAGCGAATCAAGATGACCAAAGAAAGATTTGACATGACCATAGACTAATGGCGTACCGACGCTACCCTCAGAGCTAGAAAGATCGCAGAGTTCTACGGACGTCGTACCACGGGCCCGGCCTTCCAATTCCGACCTATGGCCGATAAGGGTATTAACGCCTTCTTAGATTATGACGGACCCTGCTTACGAGACGACTTCGCTCGACTGGTGAAGGCTAACGAGGAAGCTGTCTACCACGAGTTCAAGTTCCGGGCTATCCTGATGGCGGCCTTGAGAGTCCCGAGCTCTGATCTATTGATCGTCGCTAGCCGACTGAACGCCAACCAATAGATAATATTTGAGTGGTCCGAAGCGTTTCGCCAGACTATCGAAGACTAGGAGAAAGAGTATACGAAGAGCTTGGTCGACGCTAACGCCCGCGTTACGACCTTAGAACAGGACGTCCAAGACAAGACTAGCGACCTATTCGATCTCCAGCGAATCGTTTTAGAATAAGCTATTCTATCTTCATAATTGCCAACCCCAGCATTCTGTGGAGCCCGTGCTCCCTTACAGACAGACGACCCTAACAGTCGAGTGGTTTGTAATAATTATACTTTCGAAATAGGTCAAGTACGCCATTATAAAAGCCCTCAAATTAACGCTTTTTAGGATGCTAAAGTCTAGGATGTAATTTATTATAGAGGGGTTATGTAGAGTCACGGTCGCCACAGGGCTCATGTGACAGGATTGATTCTATTGGCTGCATTGTGTTAAGAGTATGGCCTATGCGCACTGCCTCCCACGTGCTTAGCACCACCACCTATTTCCCCGCGCCCTGCGCGGACCCCGCGATAGATTCCTTTCTCTTCCTTAGCTTTAAATCCACATTCGTTACTGCCTTCAACCATTGACATCTCTACTACGTAAGGCGGGCCGTCACATGTAAGCTCTGGTGGGGTTAGGCTTCAGTGGGGTTCGGTTCCTGGCCCAGGCTCGCGCTATCATGTGACTAGGACTTGGCAACTCATGCGCGAGTGCGTGAAAAAATGTTGGCCAACCCCAACCAACGACAGCTCAATGTCACATCGCAAACATGGAGCCCACGACCGCGACAAAGGTAGAAGAAACGGCATATCCCAACGGTCTTTCAATCTCTGAATTGATTTCCGCACATCCCCGCGTACGGCTGTTTGTTCATCCGCTACTCTGGACATGGCAACACCTCAGCCTCTTGGGTTGCAAGTTCTCGGATAACGGTATTCTCTCCCCGCCTCCACCTACGACTATTCTTCCCTCCCCAACCCGTAACCAACCAGGTATCGGCAACGACAACGAGGCAACTTAGGCAGAGCGCTTAATTGCAGAGCAGTATAGCGATACCAACTTAGCATGCGCCCTTGCGACATCCAAACGCTCTCACAGCAGGTGGTGGGGTCTTACCCGACTCTTGAAAGAAGAGTGTCACGCGCATTCACAGGGCAACGGAAATGAAGCATTTGATGCAGGGAGGTAAGGCTTGAATTGTCTGAAAAGGTCTAATCTCTTGTCTCCTTTGGCAGGGCCAAAAGTCTCTCTTTTATAGTTATGAATAGTGGCAAAAGCTGGTGGCGAAGAATCACATAGCAGCTTCTAGATCTTTCTTGCTCACTAATCCCAATATTGTGACAAAGAGTCCAAGTACCATAGGTAAGTTTGTCCACTTTTTTTATCGCTAAAACAATCTCGGCTTTTCCCACAACGAACTTCGCTAACCATCCCGATCGCCCGTCATTCTAGAAACGAAGTTTGCTTTCGATATAACTACATCAGGGTCGCCGATCTGCCGTGCAAGTACTTCGCCTCGTCCTCACAATCTCCGCCCCCGCTCACTCAGCTCGGCTACCTCCACTTGGACGAGCTCGCGAGAGAGCGGAGAAGCCGCCGTCGACATCTCACCAACAACCCCAACCCCTACGAGGATCCATACCTTATCGCGCTCCTCATCGCGCTTGCGCAGGAGTAAGTGCGTAGGCAGCGACTCAGCAATCCGGACAGATGCAGCATCAACGACGAGAATGCTAGGCATAAGTTGTTCGACGGCTCGACCAATGTTCCCTCGCAAATGCTCCTAGTTACTAGTCTAGACGATACTACATGGTTACACATCTATACTAGCAACATCTCGGCCGAATTTCTCGACAAGTTTGACCACACCTCCCGCCGTCTGCCCGCCCAATTTCGGCTCGAAATGGTCATCTCTCACCGGCGGCTCGCATTTGAACCATATGAAACACTGTCGCAGCGCCTCACAGCCGTTGTACAGCAGACGATCGGCAAGTACGGTTATGTCAGCGGCTGAGGAGTGGTGACAATGCTAAAGAACGTTTGATGTGATTTCTAACAACCGTCAGCCATTCCTGCAACCGTGCATGCTGTGGGGTCTTACAACGTAGTCCTGCCTGTCCTTACGAGCGGCGTTACGTACGCGCTGAGATAGCCCCGAGCTTGAGATGAGCTTGAGATGCATCGTCAGCAATGGTCTTGACCTTGTTAATGGGACGGGGGCTGCCACGGTAGTTGCTGCCCGAGAACACGGCCAGGTTCATCAGGCTCACATCGTCGTTGGTCGCGGGAGACGTACTGGTGCGGCCCAGGGCGCTGGCCTTGTCGGAGCCGCAGATGGTGAACTGGAAGTTGTAGAGGGTGAATGCCTTGCGGCCGCCGGCTCGACCTGTGTTTCACGCGTCAGCTCTGACAAGAGTCAAAATCAGGGACAAGAGTCAAAATCAGGGATTAGCTCAGGCCGTTGGCACCCACTTTGACAGTAAAGTCAATGTCGCTCGTCGTGTACGCCGAGCCCTGCGACACGATCCGGGCCGATGTCGGCTTGTTACCCAAGACGGGCTCCCAGACTTTCCAGTCGACGCACACGGTGTAAGCGTCAGCGTTGATGTCTGCGTGTCGTGGTTGAAGAGCGGCACGTTGCCAGTGACGGTGACGTTGCCCTAGTCCGAGGCAGCCTACAAGGCGATGCGCGTCCAGAGGATAGCGCTAGTCGGGTACGGGTCGCCCGAGGCCACGCCGTGCGTGAAGAAGGCGAGTGCGAGCGCACACTGCCAAGCTAAGAGGTGCATAGCTGCAGATTCAGAGCCGTAAAGGAGTAGACAGAAGCCTTTCCCGAAAGGCCTCAAAGGGGTGGAAGGAGCTAGGCTCTTGGAAGGAAAGAGGCCTCAAAGAGAAAGAAGAGATAGGAGAAGGACTCAAATGAATGGCGCAGATGAGCATCTTAACGAAGTCTGCATCCTCGCACTTGGTGAACACAGCTCATTTCTGTTTTACCGAACATTTCAGGGGCCGCGTGAGGGGCGTCATAGGGTCCGGACTGTGATGGAGGTAATCCGAAATTCGCATGGCCGGTAGGCAGGCCAGCCAATCACTTCGATGGCATGATGACCAGCTAAGAGGCGCAAAAGCAATAACAAAGCTCGGGGTTTGATCTCTCTCTTTCTAATCTCGCTCTCCTGCCAGCTCGAATGCAGGGACTTTGTGCAGGCCGTCCTTTCCGTGGCTGACCCTCGACGCCCCCGATTACCTTCCCTCCCCATTCAATTCACTGCCAAATCAATGCCGGACGCGTCGGTGATCGCAACGGCCTGATGTTCCACTCCGGAAGGCGAATATGGTAGTCCAGAGCCGGGTAGCTCTCCCACGTCGCATTCGCAGACAGCAGGGCTCGCCGAAGCAGAGCGCGTTCTGAACCTGCAGATACACCATCTCGTTGAACTTCTGGCCCGCAGTAAGACCCGGAATATTCTCAAGCATAGACATCCAGTGGTGCCTGGAGAAGAGGATGTAGGGCTTCTCAAGACCGTAAACCTCGGCAATTTTGTTATCGCGCTCGATTGGACTTGAGCCATTGTCTCGTCGGACGAAAGTCGGACGAAAGTTGCGAATCGGTGCCAATGTACCTGTAGGAATCACCAGGGTACCGGTACTGGAAACAGCATGGCGCGCTGCGCGCCGTAAGGTGGTGGTTCAAGTGATGGATTCGTTTGTGTCTGTCTTCTCTTTTATCTATCTGAACAGGTGGGCGTAGGCCAATATATATGCATCTGTCAGGCCCGCTCCTCCACAGACGTTGCTGTGGCCAGGAATGCGGAGCCGCATTCCTTGGATCAGCGCGTCATTCCAGTATGTTATTCCAACAGTACCCAATGGGCTGGCAATTGGGGAGTAGTTGTAGGGCCGACGGGGGTAAGAAATTACCCCCAGGAGTCAGTTTCAGGCTGTTGTTGGGTAGAGGAACGTGGATTTCCTGAAGATTGCGCCAGATTTCGAGCCCCCGCTGGTAGCCGTCCCAGTCGAAGCCATTGTGGGGGTTTGGGACTTCTTAGAACGGGACACCTGTTGGGCAGTTTTGTTAGATGGTGAGTGTTCCTTCTTACAGCTATCGTTTACAATATGGCCCTGTGATTCATCTTACCTTGCTAGAGTTCTCTCTCTAGACTGATCGCTTGGTCGTCAAAGAAAAGCTGTGAATGGATTATGTGAAATCAGCAAACTGGGATGTTCCGGTAGCTCCGATTCTGTGGATAGCTGGTAAGAAAACATGACCATATCGCGGTGTCTCATTCTGCTCCAGCCAAGATCTTTTTGAAATGCCTGTGATGTGTTACTGACATTTCCTTGTTGGTATTTTGCGAAACGATCGCGATTTGTACGCCGTTGGAGATGAGTTGGGCGAAAATGATTGGAATGTCGGGCGAGATTTTGACGTCGAAGTTGCGATTCCTAAACAAGCCTGATCAACGGACGCCTCAATCAAGCCTGCTTGACTTCTTATCTGGCACAGAACGAACATTTTGTCTGTGATGGCGGTGCTATCCCCTACTAGCTCGTGGTCCAGCGCCTTTCGTCTCGAGAATGAGGCTTACCAGTATGCCCATGCTTCTCTCTTCTGTTCCTGTCTGGTCCAGTGTGGCTGAGCTGGCCCCTGCAGCTGCCTGCCTTGGCAAGCGGTGAGCCAATCGGCCCCAACTTGGCAAGCGGTGAGCCTTTCGGTCCCAACTTGGCAAGCGGTGAGCCAATCGGTCCCAACTCCGCTGCAAGATCACATGGACAATGCAGGTAAGCACTTGCCTAATTTGGGCTGCGTGGCTTTCTGGCGGGGAAGAGTCATCGCCATATTCAGGTAGATGGAGAACCGGCGAGGCTGCCAGCGTCTCCAATCACCCAGCATACCCGTCCCATACCGCGAATGATCAAGCGCACCATCCTCATCCTCTGCCAGATACCCGCAATGGCAGCAAACGCCGCATCGGTCACCCCCAGCACCGGGTCGCTGTTCGACCCGGCGCCCAGCCCAGCCCAGCCCTTCACATTTGTCGCCAATAGCACCGATCCTAGCGAGTCGCTGTTCGACGTCGCTAGCGAAGCGATCCGGCTGCTGCGGGCGGCCGGCGAGACGGTCGGCGTGGGCGAGTCGCTGACGGCGGGCGGCGTGCAGGCGGCCATCACCAACGTTCCGGGCGCGAGCGCGGCGTTCCGCGGCGGCGTGGTCACGTACGCCACCGAGCTCAAGGCCAAGCTGCTCAAGGTCGACGAGGCGCTGATCCAGCGCGAGGGCGTCATCCACGGCGACGTCGCGCTGCAGATGGCCGAGGGCGCCCGCGCCATCACCTCGTTCCCCGGCGCGGCGCCCACCACTTGGGGCATTGGGACCACTGGCGTCGCTGGCCCCGCGCAGCAGGACGGCAAGCCTGTCGGCATGGTATTCATTGGTGTCGCCTCAGTTCATGGTGGTAGCCGCTCCTGGGGCCCGTTCCTCTTTCCCGGCGACCGCGACGCCATTCGCCAGGCGACGATCAAACAGGCCCTGTCGCTGTTGCGCGATGCGCTGGCTGCTCGGGTTGCTGGCCAGACGGCTGCTGGCCAGACGGCTGCAGTGGAGGAGTAAGCTGTTGCATTAGTTGTGAGTGCGCTGATGGCAATACCATGCATTTTTATTAGGCTGACATGTGACCCTGAGCACTTAGCAGACTGGTGTACCCGAACACCGGACCATCATCTTCCCATATATTGTTCCCTCGGCTTAGATGGTAGATCCTTCATGCGAGCAAGACAATGTGACTCATGCGAGCAAGACACTTTGGCTTCGTATCCAGAGATAAAGCAGTCATATATCATGGGATTAGAAAGAGAGAGAATAAATTAGAAATACATGTTCACGAGACATAGTTATTCTCTCCGCTGCGTTGTGGAATCCGGTCTTTGTTGGCTCTACATTGCTGGGGCTCTACATTGCTGGGGCTCTACATTTCTGGGGCACTACATTGCTGAGGCACTACGTTGCTGAGGCTCTCGCTTTTCCATGAATAACCATGTCCGTCGCACCCGCGCTCAGTGAAACCCATCACAGGTGGCTCGCAGCACCGCGTCCAGATGGTGCAAGCTCGCGTCGTCCTCCCTGGCCGGGAGCTGGTTCCCATCGCCATCAAACCGCCAGCCGTACATGAAGAAAAGCCCGAGCAGCCGCGCATCCTCAATACGCTCTCTGTCATGGGGCGACGCGCCGCCGATGGCGCGGTGCAGCTCGTCGTAGAACAGCGCGCGCAGCTCGCCGTGGTTGGCGTGGTACGCGTGCTCGTTGCGCGCCGTCTGCTTGTTGGCCGCCTTGGGGATCCCGAGCAGGTTCTCGATCTCGCCGACCGACATGCCGAACGGGCCGATTTGTGTGTCGGCCCAGTCGCACACGCCCGTCAGCGCGCCCGTGCGCGCGTCCACGTGGATGTTGTTCTCGAGCAGGTCGCCGTGGTTGGGCACGAGCGGCCAGTTGTTGGCCGTGATGTCCTTGACGCGTGGGGTCAGATGCTGCAGCACGCTGCCGAAGCGCGGCGGGAGCCCTGCTTTGAGCTGCTGGAGCTGGGCTAGGTATGTGGATTGCAGCGCTGCGCGGTCTGGCTGCGGGAGTGCCGCTGGTGTCTGGTGCCATGCTGATGCAAAGAAGCTGCGACGAGGTTAGCTGGGGAATTGAGCTCGGAAGGAGGGGCGGGTCAAAATACCGAGCAAAGTCCGCCAGGGTTCGTCGCAAGAGGGAGCAGCCATCTGCGTAGAGACTGTCCCTAGCGAGATACATGGAGACGCCTCCGACATCCTGCATCGAGTAGACGCATAGCTCGCCCAGCCTGCCCTCGTCACTGGGCAAAGGCATGAACCCGGCATAGGCCGTGTGGACGTGTCCTAGAAAGTCCAAGTCGAGGGCGGCGCTGGGAGCCCTGAACTGCACCACTTGGTTTCCGGCGAGGACCGTGTAGCTGCTTCCACCCTGGAGTCGTGTCGGCGTGGCGGGCTGGCCGGTCATGCTCTGGGCTCGGTCGTCGCATTCCGCTTGTGTGGTGGGACCGTTTGCCTGGAAGAAATTGGATATCTGGTACGCTGCGAGGGCGGCCAGGCTTTTCTCCATTGTTACTCGGTCTGGAAGTGGACGGGATGAAAAGGAGGTGATGGCCAAGAGTCACGCGCAGTTTCGAAGGTGAGCGGGGTGGCTGGGGCCTGTCACACAGTACATGCGGTCAGATGTATCTAGGGCGTACCGGGATACCTTGCAATGTGCATTCAAGTGGTGCATATGCAGCGTATCGGCTCGAATAAATAGGCAGCCATAAGACACTTTCGCAGTCCGTCTCGCCGTAAAGAGCAGACATCGGAACTCGCAGACATCGGAACTCGCAGACATCGGAACTTACATCGGAACTTGCAGACATCGGAACTTGCAGACATCGGAACTCGCTCCACGACTAAGCTTTTCCAACTCAGGTAGGTACCCCATACATGTTATTTCCCCCTCGTTTTATCCACCCGGAAATATCAATCTCAACTGGTCCTTGTCCGGATACGTCATCCTAAGGTCGGTCTGTGCAGCCTCCATCTTTCGTTCCTGCCTCAGCTGCCAAGTCCTTTGTTACCCTTGGACAGATGGCCAACTCCTCTACGATCGAGTATGGGCCTGAAAAATAGCGTGTCTACGTTGTCCACGCCACATGCGAATAGTCAAGGCTGACTCGGCCAGATATTGTTTCTGTTCAACAACACCATATCCTCCCTCGTCGCGAGCCTAGACTACATATGATAGTAGTAGACTACTAGACCTTCTCGGCCTCGGTGATCCTAACCCACATGTTCCTGTGCATGGTCACGCACAGCATCGTCTCGTCCCACGGCTGGGTGGGGTTGACGAGCGAGAGGTCAAAGGCGCGCATGAGCTGTCGGATGTCAACAAAGCCGCCCTGAAGGGAGAGGGACAAGCTAAGGGGGAGGGACAAGCTAAGGAAAAGGGACGAGCTAAGGAAAAGGGCCAAGCTAAGGAAAGGGACAAGCTAAGGAAAAGAGGCAACACACCTCGAAAACGACCTTGTTGATCTCCATGACGGCAATGCCGCGGCCGGCACACGTCCAGCGGCCGCCGCCCCACAGGATGTCGAGGGCGCGCGTCATCTTCACCTTTTCCTCGGGCGCGCACTCGAGGAAGCGCTCAGGGCGGAACACGTGGGCGTCAGACCCGAAAACGGCCTCGTCGCGTGTCAGCGCCAGCACGTTGTGGCCGATGGCGGTGCCGGCCGGCACGAACAACCCGCCGATGGTGTCGCCGCCGGCCGGCACGCGCTTGAAGTGCCCGTAGTTGACGGGGTTGCGCAGCCGGAAGCCCTCCGACACCACGGCTTGCAGGTACGGCAGCTTCTGCGCCTGCTCGAGCGCGATGACGGCGTCGGCGCCGCTGGAGAGACCGGGGCTGCGGGCGACGGCTTCGGCTATCTCGCGTTTTAGCCGGCCGTACGCCTGCGGCGACGCCATCAGGTGCATCATGACGCCGCGGATTGCCGTTGCCGTCGTGTCGGACCCGCCGCCGATCTGCAGCATCGCCTCGGCTTCGCACTGCTCCTGCGTCAGGCCGTGCCGCATGAAGCCGCCCTGCGGTTGTGTCTGTCAGTATTGTTGTGCTCGGAGAGGGGAGGGGGGAACACACAATGGCGTCGTTGGTCTGCCTGTCGCGGCTCGCAAAGCGCTGCGCGATAATATTGTTGATGACTCTGCAAACACCCGTCAGTCAGTCAGCCAGTCAGTCAGTCAGTCTGGAACATCAACACCGGCCAGAAAACCCACCCCATGACCTTGCCCACGCCGCGCTTATCGGCCGGGTGCGGCCCAAACAGGCGCAGGCCCAGCGGCGAGAAGGCAATCCGGCGCAGCAGCGGAATGTCACACCCCAGACACATGCCAACCAGCGACGCGTCGACGTGGTCATTCCAGCCGTACACGTCGCTGCCCTCGTCCAGATGCCCAAACGGCTTGCCGTAGCCCAGCCGGGTGATGACGTCCATGGCGAAGTGGCGCGAAAGCGGCGCAAAGTTGACGGGCCGGAACACGCCGCCGCCGCCGCCGCCGCCGCCGCCGCCGCCGCCAGTCCCAGTCCCCGCCTCCTTACCCGGTCCCGCCGCCGTCGACAGATACTTGCGGCGGATCAGCGCCAGCAGCCTGACCACCTGCGAGTCGACGGCGGCCTCCACATCTGCCCCACCCCCGTTCTCACGCCCGTTGTACGCGCTAGCAGTGCGCGCCTTGAACGCATCGTGCTCGGCATTGTCCAGCATGTTCAGCAGATTCGCCTGGTTGGGCCGGAACACGAGCGCCGTGTACCACGGGTCGCGGGCGTACGGCGAGCGCACGCGGGCGATGCGCCGCAGCTCGTCCGCGTCCGACGTCAGTAGGTAGTTGGGCGCCACGCGCACGACGGGCCCGTACTTCTTTGCGAGGTCGGTGTAGGCCGGCCGCGTGGTTCCGCGCACCGTGTGCCACACCATCCACAGGTACGAGAATGATGCCAGTGCCGGCCCCGGGATGTGTCGCAGCCGGTGCCATGATGCGAATGCCGAAACCAGGTACCAGGTCAGGAGTAGTATGCTGAGCCAGCCGCACAGCGCGGCCGCCGACGCCGAAGCGAGCACGCTGGCCAGAGACATGGTGCTGGTGCCTTGTGTGTCTTGTATAGGGAGTCGTTGTGTCGGCTCGTGAGATGGCAGCAGAGAGAGGTGTTGAGATTGCTCCCTCTCTCTCTTGCTTTCTTCACTGAGGGGACAGATGAAGGGAGCAGAAAGCCACCCGCTCTGCTATCTGCTCTGTCTGCTCCCCCGCCTTTATGACCGACCGCAGGGCTGGCTGATTGGGCGGGCGCTGGCTGCTGGCGTGGCGTTGCATTATGAGCTGCAAGTTGGTCACGCATCTCCACGCCGCAGCCACGGCCCTGTGTGGGAGCACCGTCTCTGGCCAGTCCCAGGGACCCCGGCGCAGCGCGGAACGAATCGTGGTCGCGCGGTTGGCGCGCCGGACCGCCGCCCCCTGTCGCCGCAGCCTGCTATGCAGCGGCCGGCATGGGCCCCTGTTCCGCCCCTGTTCCGCCCGCCGTGCTTCCGGCTTGGCCTGCCTTTTTCTTTGCTGGTGCGCCGTTGCTTGCACCCGGTCTGTTCCCCCTTTTTTACTCTTGCCAGTCAGCACTTGATCAATTCCTCCAGAGGTTCACTTACCGAAGAGGATATAAGATGTTGTGTTGTGGTGACCATGTGTAGAAAGTGCACTGGCAGGCTAACTCTAGGAGGGGCTAATCCCCGTACTAAATGTGCGGCGAGAACCCATGGGCGGGCTGGTGGGCCAAGCGTTCAACCAGGGCTAAGCCCCGCAACATATTGCTTAGTAGCCACATCGCCATGCCCTTGTGAGCATTCAGCGCTCGACAGTAGAGCGCCCTTGTGAGCATTCAGCGCTTGACTGGAGCGAATAGTGCATAGCCGCGGAGCAGAAGTTTGGGGTCTTCACCGCGAAGTCCTCCGTACCGCGGCGTGCTAAAGCCCTTGCAACGGGCAGAACCCGCAGTTCTCTCTTCGGTGGAACGTATCTTCATGTCCGGCAACGCGACGTATTGGCCCCAGGTGAGTTTCTCCTCTTTAGAGACTTATTACTAGCTGGTTTATCTGCTATGGAATATACCTATCGTTCATTCTACCGGTTATCCAAGTACCACGCCAACAAACATTCACGGATTAGAGCGTACTCAAGTACCTTGCTAGACGCACCCTTTCATGACGAATCTGGTCGGTAACAACAAGCCCACCATGCAGGCAAATAACCCGCACTACTCCCGCAGACACGATCATGAACTGTCAGCCAAGCAACAATTTTTCACATACCCCCCCCTGCTTTTGCATTCTTCCCTCCATTCTGCCTCCGGCGGCCTCCGGGGGTGCCTGCGGCGGCCTACTCGCTGCGCTCTAAGGGCGTGCCCTAGCAACAGACTCGATTAGTGCCTACAAACGTACAACTACTTGAAACCCCACATCTCACACTTACTCACCCTTGCCCCCACATCCACACTTACTCACCCTTGCCCCCCTCGCTCTCATTCAACCACTTATACACGACCCGTGCATCCTTGCCGCGGTACCGCTCGTCCGCCATGGCCTCCTTGAACGCCCCCAGCGTCGGCTCATCCAGCACCGTGCGCGCGCCCACATCCCTCGCAAGCCGGCTGCCCATGCCCAGCACCTTGGCACACAGCTCAATGCGGAACCCGCCCTCGTAACCCCGGCTGCTGGGCACGTTGGCCTGCACGCCCGGCACGGGGTTGCTCTTGCTGGTGACCCAGCACTGGCCGCCGCTGGCGTTGATGACGTCGGTCAGCAGCGCCGGGTCGAGCCCGGCCTTGACGCCAATGTTAAGCGCCTCCGACGCCGCCAGCGACGTGATGGCGCTGAGGTAGTTGTTGATGATCTTGAACGCCGTGCCCGCCCCCACGGCCCCGCACAGGAAGATGCCGTCGGCCAGCCCCATGTGCGCGAGGTACGCTTTTGCGATGGGGAAGATTTGCGCCGAGACAGACGGGACGCACCCGACCATGAACGTCAGCGTGCCGGCCTGCGCGCCCATCGGCCCGCCGGACACGGGCGCGTCGACGAACGTGAGCGTGTTGCCGAGCTGGGCCGCGCTGGCTGTGGCTGTGGCGCTGGCGACGGCCAGGATCGTGTCGTTCTCGATGGTGCCGCATTCCATAATCAGCTTGGGGTCGGGGGAGGACGCAGTGGCTGCGGCGGCGACGGCGCCGGCCAGGATGCCCGTGTGCGCGTCCAGGTAGACGGCCTTGACGGCGTCGGAGCCCGGAAGCATGGTGATGACGGTGTTCTAGTGGATTTCACGCCAGCAATCGGCACGTTAGTTCGGCATTTGAATCTGGTTTTGGAGGTAATGTCACACCGCTGCTTGGGCTGCCTCGAAGCCGTTTTGCACCACATTCACCGGCCCCTGGCCGGCTGTCTCGAACTGGAAGCGCGTGAGGGCGTCGGCGTTGACGTCGCACACCAGCAGCGTCTTGTCGGGCCCCAGCCCGGCGCGCAGGTTCTTGGCCATGGGGTAGCCCATGACTCCGAGGCCTAGCCGTGTCAGCACTGCTTTGCGGCCAGTCATGAAGAAGGGGTCGTACCAATAAAGGCAATCGTATCTGCCGGCGAGGGTGCCATGTTTCCTTCCAACTGTTGTGTTTGCTGCGGCTGGTGGCAAGTTGGCAGGGAGAGAGATCAAGACTGTCAGACAGTTGTTACACGGAGACTAGACAGTTCTTACATGGAGACTAGAAGCCGAACCAGCGGGAACGGGCCACATGCCGCCACTGTGTGCTCGAGTCTGCAGCTTCACTTCCCCGCAGCGGCGTGCGGCCTTTGGGTTGGGTGTTGGGGAAGGACGCATGCAACACCGGCACCTCGTCTCCAACGCGAGCTGAGGGGAGATGACCCCGCTTGCGACGGCTGTCTGTCTGTCTGTCTGTCTGTCGTCTGTCTGTTGTCTGTCTGTCGTCTGTCTGTCTGTCGTCTATCTGTCTGTCTGTCTGCCACTCCTAGTCCGAGTCCTCCGAGCGTAGCGAGCAGCCCGCCTCCGGCGCCCGGAGGGCCGCCGGAGGCAAAAGAGAAGGCAGGTTAGTGTTATTACTTGTTATTCCTCACAGCCTACCGCTTGAGCCAGCCTATGTACCTGAACCTGGGAGCAGATCGTGATATTAGTGTGGAGTGGTGCAGTCAACAAAGATACTTGGTACCTCATGATACGCGTGGTTTATATGCATGCAGAGCGCATTTGCACAGGTGACAGTAGTCCACCTACTAAGTAATGTTAAATCACAAACAACACAGCCAGCCCATCTAGCACAAGCCGGGCCCATGGTGCTTTGAATCCCTACGGAAGAGCCTTTTCTAGGGGCGTAAACCAGGATCCAGAACACGAGCAGAAAGCATAATCACAGCGTGCCCGGCCAGAAGCGATGCCGATTGCGGTCCCTCCAGACAGCATCATGCGCAACAACCACCTCGACCTCGACATCCCCATCGCCGTCACCGTGCCCATCAGCAAACCTCGCAATGCGCCCGAGCGTGCGCCGCGCAGCCCCCGTGTCGACATGCACGCTGCGCAGCCCACCGCACCCGTCGTCGTACAGCGCGATGCCCTTCTCGCCGCGCAGGATGCGCGGGTCGTGGCAGCAGTCGCCGCCCAGGTACACGTACCTGCGCGGCGCCGTGCGCAGCAGCAGGTTGACGTGCCCGAATAAGTGGCCTGGGCTGTCGACGACGCGCACGCTGCCGTCGCCGAACAGGTCCAGCGCCGCGGGGAAGGCCGGGTCGTCAGTGTCATTAGCGGGCAGCGGCTCCCAGCGCCACGGGTAGCGGATCGTGGGCGGGAGGAGCGCCGCCATGGTTGGCGTGTTGGGCGTGGGTGCGGGTGCGTGCTCTGCGGTGTGCGAGTCGTAAGGCGATGCGGGCGCCGGCGGGAACTCCAGCGTGCGCGCGGCCGGCAGCTCGTCGGCGTTGAATAGCGCCGCCGGGTACAGCGGGCCGGCGCCGTGGCGGAGCAGATTGAGGGTGCCGGCGCCGACGGCGAACACGGCGCGGCCGAAATCGGACGGCGTGCCGACGTGATCCCAGTGCACGTGCGACAGGATCACGACGTCAACGTCGGTGGTCGGGTCGAGCAGCAGCAGCTGCTGCTGCTCGCCGTCGGTGGCTGTGGGAGAGTGGCCGCGGCGAAGGCTGTCGGCGCAGTCCGGGGACACGACGACGGGCTGCCGCTGCGCGATGTGGGCGCGCTGCGCGGGCGTGTAGCCGTCTATGTTGCGCTTGACGCCCAGATCGAAGAGGACTGCCGTGGTGGCGCCCGAGGGTGCGGTGTGCCGGACCAGGAAGGACAGCGATGGGACTGTGGCGCGGAGGTCGGGGTCCGCGTCGGTCACGAACAGGCGCTCAGGCAGCGTGAGGTGACCGGCGTCGAGCGCCGACACGGTCACGACGGCGGCCATGGTGGGTGTTTTGGGAGCTAGTCTTGGTGTAGTCCAAGTTTGTGGTGAGTTGCACTGTTCCTGTACCGTGCCGCCTGGTCCAAGTACACGAATTACCCCGAGCAGCGAGTTTTCTGTAGTTGTAGACATTTCTAGTTCTAGACATGTCTTTGTCCCTGCGGGGAAGGGCACCAGAGCTGCCGAGTCGACGGCACGCGCGCCAACCCCGCTCGGCTCTGTTCCAGCAACCTCTGTCCGAGAGTTTTTATTGCGATCGATGCTCGGAAGCAACCGGACAGAGCATGCTCTGACGTATCGAGCCAACTAACGAGCCAACGAACGAGCCAACGAACGAGCCAACGAACGAGCATGCTCTGACGTATCCAGCCAACTAACGAGCCAACGAACGAGCACGGAAACAAACAGACAACACCGAACGACTAAACAGACACACCGAACGACTAAACCGCAGACATGGCCGCTTCCGCCCTGCCCAGCAGCATGCGGGCGCAATTCCTCGACGCGTTCAACTCGCCGTACGCGCTGCGCACGGTGCCGCTCCCCGTGCTCACGTCGCCGCACGACATGCTGGTCAAGGTCGACGCGGCGTCGTACTGCCACACGGACGCGGTGCTGGCGGCCGGCGGCATGGCGCCCAACCCGCCGGCGTTCCCGCACGTCGGCTGCCACGAGTTCGCCGGCACGGTCGTCGCCACGTCGCACCCTGCCGCCCTCTCGCACGGCTTCCAGCCCGGCGACCGCGTCGGCGTGCCCGGCCGCTCGTTCCACGCCTGCGGGACCTGTTTCGAGTGCCGCGCCGCCCCGGGCGCTGGTAGTGACGATTCGGACCCGCCCGGCTACTCGGTGTACTGCGCGGGCGGTGCCGCAAACCTGGGTATTTCCGCGCCCGGCGGGTTCCAGGAGTACGCGGCCGTTGACGCGCGGCAGGTGGCGCCCGTGCCGCCCGGCATGAGCGCGCCCGAGGCGGCCACGCTGATGTGCGCCGGCGTGACCATCTACGCGGCACTCAAGCGGTGCGGCGTCGCGGCCGGAGGGCGGGTAGGGATCGTGGGCTGCGGCGGCGGGCTGGGGCATCTGGGTTTGCAGTTCGCTGCCGCCATGGGGCTGCGCGTGGTCGGCGTCGACAATGCGGATGCGCCGCTGGATCTAGCGCGGGGCGTGGTGGCGGCGCGCGGGGTCGGGGGGGCGGTGCGGGTTGTCGATGCGCGGGCCGACGAGGCAGAAGACGTGGTCACGCAGCTGGGCCGAGAAGACGGGCGGCGGGACCGGGCGGACATGGGCGTCGACGCGGTGGTGATTCTGCCCGAGAGCCAGCGGGCGTTTGACTACGGCGTGGCACTGCTGCGCAACCACGGGCGGTGCGTCGTGGTGTCGTTCCCGCGCGACGGGTTCCGGCTGGCCTCGCGCGACGTCGTGTTCCGCGACATCTCGGTCGTTGGGAGCCTGGTCGGGAGCAACAGGGTGCTGCGCGAGATGGTGCTGTTTGCCGCCGTGCACGGTGTCCGTGCCTCCTTCAAGCTGTTTCCGCTCGACCGGCTGAACGAGCTCGTGGAGGAATACCACAAGGGCGCCGGCGGGAAGCTGGTGGTCGACATGACGGCGTAGTGCTGCTGCTTTATGGCGTCTTGAGCTGCTGCTTTATGGCGGCTTGAGCGTAAGCTGGGTCATGTCTGCTGGGAGATACTATACCAAGCAACCGACAAGGCCGCGGTGGGCTCTTGGGTTGTTATGTATTTGGAGTTGACCTATTTAAGTTTTGGACGAACACACGGTGGCGTCAGTTTGTAGTTCTATTTTATTCCTGCTCTAACTCGTAGGTCCTGATCCTGATCCTCGACCTACAACTGGCCCTATTTTGGTTTTTGGTATTCACCCTGGTCACCCAGTATGAGATGAATATTTATCTCAGTTAAACCTAGCTGTTCAGAAGGATACTCGTGGATTAATCGAGGTTTTTAAACAACTAGCTGAACAGATGGAGAAATCTTCTGGGACTTCTACCCCTGATGAAGTACTTAGACTTACATCTAAGAATGCGGAAGATTTCTTAAAAGTACTTCAAGCGCAAAATCATCTTTTTACTCTCTCTGCGCATAATAGGATGACGTGAGCAGAGAATGTTCGCAGGAACATGTATGCACATATAGATCTCTTTCCTGAAGAAGAGACTAATATAAACTCAATTCCTTTTAAATTGCCTGAATTATAGAAGGCTTATTTAGCCAAAGTACAAACTATAACTGAGTATAATAACGAAGTTGTATAAGTTAAAGAATTTTATGCTGCGTTAAATCACCATAGAAACGAATCTGTTAAAAAACTTGACAAATATGAGAAAATTGTCCTAAAAAGTCTAAGTAAAGACCTTGTTTTAAGTAAAAATACTAAACTAAAAGGGATATTAAATTGAGAATACGTTAAGGCCAAAAAGGTCTTTAATACCCGAGATAGATATTTAAGAATGAAAGTAAGAGAGATATTAGAAAAAAACCTAATACTTGTTTGAATGACAAGGTCATTCGTTCCATAGTCACTGCAGTAAGCGATGCGAATGGGGTGGTTCTGGTGGTTGTATTCTCGTCTGCTCTATGTAGAAGGATCACGAACTACGGTAACAGGGTGCGCATTGGATTTGGCGATGCCCGGAGGCTACGTGATGGTTGCGCCTCGGACACGTACCGCATAGCGGCCCGTGTGCTGGTCAGCCACTGAAGCTGTGCATCCATCCCGTTGGCTGGTAGTTCCCACAATACTAGACTGACTATCTTTTCTACTCAGAATATTGCGTAAAAAAGTGGTTTTTTGATTATATATTTAATTATAAATTTATTTTATAAAATTTCAAGTCTCATATTTCAAGTGATTATTTTTTAATATCTAATATAGATTCTAAATCGGCTTTTAAAGAATATATTAAAAATCTTTTTGAACTTGTTAAATCTTTATTTATACAAGTAAGAACCCCTTGGGAAGGAGATATTTAAAATAGCCCTAATTCTATCGGTTTAGTAAAAGGTTTAATACTTTGTGGAGTAGTTGTATAATTTATCTTGAGTGGAGCTTATCTAATAGTTTCAGGATTGAATAGATGATTATTGCAGAACAACGCAACATGACGACAACGCAACATAACGAACATCCTCACAACTCCTTGTATCGCAAGTCACATAAGGTCAACTGTCATAGCCAATCGAGAATAAAACACAGCAGGCAGTCCACTATGTTCGCTGTTGTGTGCAAGGTCCCTTTTTCGACCCACGACAACGATCTAGTTGTCTGTAAATACTCAATTTGAGTGACTGTTCAGGAGTAACAAACACAGCCCCTTTTCGCCCCTGCCCGAACTTGAACTACCCCAAAGCTATCACCACCGCAAAGCTACCACCCCAAAGCTATCGCCACCCGCCTAACACAACAACACCTACACGCCTGCCCCCTCCACCATGTCAGCATACAAGTGCAGCGCGCAGCCAATGACATCGACGACCGCCCAGGTCTGCGCGCCGCGAAAAATCGTTGCCCACACGCGCAGCACGCCACTATTGATCCGCCTCGCCGTCTCCGGGTCATCGACGCCCAACCCCAACGGCACCGCAAACTCGGTCTCGTCCAGCATGGTCCTGACAATCCCCAGCACGCGCCGCTCGCCGGCCGCCAGCACCGTCCTCGCCACGGATACGGTCTCGAGCCACTTGCTCAGCAGTAGCGCGCACTCGAGGCTGCACAGCGCGTGCTGGATGCTCCACAGGAACGTCTGCGCGCGCGCCACAAGCCGCACGCCGATCTTGACAGGAATGCTGAGCGCGTGCGCCGCGTGCAGGAGCGCGCGCGGCAGCCGCGGCGCCGTCCCCGGGGTGGCTGGTAGGGGGAGGGGCAGCGCGAGCAGCGCGCGCGCAATGGCCGCCGGGTCGCGCGTCCCCAGCGCGCGTCCCGGCCCCGTGTCCATGGCCAGCCGCACGTATGCGAGGCGCAGCAGGGCCGTCGAGTTGAACGCGACCGGCCCGTGTGGCGTGTTTGACGGGCTCAGCGACGACTCGGGGCTGCGCTCCCAGCTGCGCTGCCAGTTGCGCAGCGCCCGCTCCAGTGGTGCTGCGTGCTCGGCCGGCAGCTCGGCCAGGCGGCGGGTGGCGCCGAGAAAGCCGGGGTAGCTGCTGCTGGCGGTCTGACGTACGAGGAAGATGTGCTGGATGATGGCGTGGATCAGCACGTAGTTGCCGAGGGAAGACGGGCGGGCGGCGGCCGCGTCGGCTTCGGGTGTGAGCTGGAACAGGCGGCGTAGGGCGTCGTGGAATAGCGGGGGGCGGCCAGGAGTGACGGCAGTGGCAGCGCGCCACTCGGCGGGGGTGTCGGCGCGGAAGGCGGCGGCGGCGCACGGCAGGCGCAGGCGCAGCTCGGCGTTGAGGATCAGCGGCGGCAGGTCGTATACGATGGTGTGCAGGTTGAAGAAGCAGAAGACGATGTGCTTGGTGCGCAGCACCGACTCGCGCCGCGCCCAGCCGGCCCAGCAGCACGGTGCCCCCGAGGAATCGGAAGCGGCCCCCGAGGAATCGGACGCGGCCCCCGAAGGATCCGACGCGGCCCCCGAAGAATCCGACGCGGCCAGCCCGTCGTCGTCGCGCACCACGCTCGCCAGCACGCTCTGCAGCGCCACCGCCTCGCGCGTGATGGACCCGTCGTTCCCCCACGTCGCCATGGCCATCAGCAGCAGCAGCGCCTGCGCCGACTGCATAAGGTCGTCGGCCGGGATGGCTGCAGCGCACGGCAGCCCGCTGGCGGCACGGGGACAGCCAGATGTTGGCTCAGGGCTGGCGGTCCCACCCGCATCGCCATCTCCAGCCGGCTCTGCGCTGTTGTCTGTCACATTCCCCTCAGGTCCACGAACAGCAAGACCACCTTGACAGCCATACCCCGGGTCCGCGGCGCGGGCATCGCTCCGCCGGATCCGCTCCAGGGCGATGGCGCGCGCGGCATGGAACAGGTCGACGCCGCGGGCCTGCTCGAAGCAGTACTGCGCGCCGACGGCGGCCATGGCCAGCAGCAGCTCGGCCGCCACAGCGCCAGCGGCCATGGACGCGACGTGCAGGAACGGCAGGTGGTCGTGGAAGCCGTCGACGTAGGCGCGCACGTAGCGCGCCAGCGCGAGGCGCGTGGGCAGTGTGAAGGTCTGCGGGAGGACGGCGGCGAACGGGCTGATGGCGTCGGCCATGGCTTGTCGGTCTGCCGCCGAGATGTCGGAGACGTGCTTTGGGGTTGGGGCGAAGAGGGAGGGGGAGGGGGAGGGGGAGGGGGAGGGGAGAGGGACAGGGAGAGGGAGAGGGAGAGGGTGTGATCTGGCTCGTGTTCGTGGTGCTGCGCGGGTTCGGGGTCGTCGGGCTGCGCGGGTTCGGGATCGCCGGGCTGCGTGGGCTCGGAGTCGTCGGGCTGCACCGATGGCAGGCGCGAGCCGAACTGCGAGAAGGAGCTGGTGTCGTGGCTGGTATTGGAGGAGAGACGCTCTTCGGGCATGTTGTCGCCATCGCCGGCGCCGCGCAGATCCCCAAACGGCTCGAACGAAAAAGGGGGCAGCGGCTGCTCGGACGGCGCAAAGTGGAACGACGAGAAGGCGCCCATGTCGAGGAAGTCGGTGAAGCTGTCGAGCACGTCGTCGCCAGCCGGTGCAGGTGCAGACGCCTCCACGGCTGGGCTCATCTCTGACTGCTGCTGCTGCTGCTGCTGCTGCTCCTGCTGCTGCTGCTGCTGCTGCTGCTCCTGCTGCTCCTGCTGCTGCTGCTGCTCCTGCCGCTGCTGCCGCTGCTGCCGCTGCTGCTGTTCCTGCACAAACACAAATGCCAAGCCATCAGCATCATCAAACCCCCCGGCGCCGGTCCCGGCCGAAGCGGGGTATGCGGCGAACCGGGGTGATGTGGTCAGCACCGCGTCGAAAGCCGCGTCGTCGGCAGCCAGCATGGCAGACTGGTATTCTCCTAGCGCCAAGATCGAAGTCTCCAGACCCAGCGGCTGCCGGGTTTGGGGCGAGTGTCTGGGGGTCAGGGGGTCCCGGGGGGGCGACGGCTGGTGGCGCCGCAGCCCGCCCCCGCTTCCGCTGCCGCCCCCGTTCCTGCCACGGGGCGCCCTCCTGGGCCGCTTGGCGACGCCGTCTCCGATCGACACGGACGCGCGGTGCGTGGCCTGGGTCCGCGGGTCGGATCCGTCTCGGCCGTGCGAGAGCCGCTCGTGACGGATCAGCAGGTCACTAGACATGATGATCAGCCACGCAAACCTCCCGTCGGTTCTAGCACTCACCTCCGCGTGAACCTGGAGCCGCACTGGCTGCACAGAAACGGGCGCTCTTGCGTGTCTACGGGGAGGGCATGAGCGGCTGAACATCAACAGCATCTATCTCTCTCGACACTCAACACTCAACTCACGGGTCCGCTCATGGCGCTGCAGGTGTTCGAGGCGGGCAAACAGGCGCTGGCAGTGGGCGCACTGGAAGCGCTTGGGCTTGACGACGATGTGGTCTAGCGTGTGCGGCACGGGAGACAAGAGGCTGGTCATGCTGGATGTGATTGTCAAGGTTGCCCGTGTGCCCGTGTGCCCGCGTGTGTGCGAGACGGCGAGACACGGCCGCCGCTGGGGCCAAGACTAACTACCCCTCATGCTTCTGCACGCTGCTGTCGTCCGCCGATCGGCATCCACTCCAACTCCACCAACGCTTCGGCCGACATCTCCATGGGCCGTCTGCTACGCGATCGGGTAACCAGCCCATGTCCCGTAGCCGTGAATACTTAAGCCACCAGACCCGTGAATGCTTAAGCCACCAGACCCGTGAATGCTTAAGCCACCCAGACCCGTGAATGCACAACTAGAAACCAAAGGAATGAATGCCAAATCCATGGGCCATATTAGCCACAATGCCATGTCACAACTCCCAAACAGCCTTACCAACCACGACACTAGACTGCCAACCACGGCACTAGACTGCCAACCACGGCACTAGACTGCCAACCACAACACTAGACCGTCTTGGCCGGGGCCCCCAGCTCCCTCGCCATCTCGCCCTTCTCCGCCATCTCGTCCAGCACGCGCTCGGCAATCTTCATAGCGTCCACGCCAGCCGGCACGCCGCAGTACGTGGTACAATGCAGAATCGCCTCGCGGATCTCCGCCTCGGACAGCCCGTTGTTGCGGGCGCCGCGCACGTGCACGGCCAGCTCGGGCCCGCGGTTCAGCGCCATCAGCATGCCCATGTTGAGCAGCGACCGCTCACGCCGCTCCAGCCCCGGCCGCGTCCACGCGTACCCCCAGCACCACTCCGTCACCAGCTCTTGGCCTGGCCGACTGAACTCGGTCGCCCCGTTGGCCAGCGCCCGCGTCACGTACGCGTCGCCGACGACGCTGCGCCGTACCGCGAGGCCGGCTTCGAAGAGCTGCTTGTGCAGTGCGTCGAGGCTGGGGTCGGTGCTCATGGCGGCTGTGTGTTTGGGGTGGCTGTGTGTTTGGGGTGCGGGTGAGTTTGTGTGGGTGGTGTGTTTTGTTCTGCTTTGTCTGTTTTGCAAACACGATATTGATGTGACGGCAGTAATGACTTGGAGGAAGGCGCGGTAATGACTTGGAGGAAGGCGCGGTAATGACTTAGAGGAAGGCCAGAAGATTTGGATAGATAGCTGATGCTTCAAGGACCAAGTAAGGCAGTCAAGCTGTGCGCGGGGAACCCCGAGTCATATTGGCACCAGCTTCCCCAACATCGCGTCGTTGGGGTCAAACTCGACGCATTCATTTGGCATGACACTGGTTTATTTGGCATTACACTGGTGCTTGTGGAGGCTCTGGGGAGAGTGGAGGCGCGAGAGGGGAATACTGATTCGCAGTTGCACATCTTGGGGTATTCTAGTCTGGCTGTGGCCAGGCAGTCTAGGTCAAGCACGTGCAGTTCCATGTAGGTATTCAAGACATGTCCCATCGATACACACCAAACAACCGCTCAAGTTGAAGATACAGCTTAGGTAATTACGTACATACGAGACACACACAAAACAACCGCTCAAGTTGAAGATGCAGCTTAGGTAATTACGTATATGCGAGACACACAAAACAACCGCTCAAGTTGAAGATACAGCTTAGGTCATTACGTATATACGAGACACACACAACATCACGCGGCAGCCCCTGAGGCGGCAGCCAGCTCGGCGATGATGGGCGCCGCCACGTGGGCCGTGTGCAGGCTCAGCAGCGTGGCGATCTCGAGCACCTCGACAATCTCGTGGGGTGTGGCGCCGTAGCCCAGCGCGTTCTTCATGTGCAGCTTGAGGCCCGGCACGTAGAGGTGCGTCGACGCGCAGTCGAAGGCGCAGTACACGAGCTCCTTCATCTGCAGCCAGCACGGTCAGCCAGCCAGCCACAATTACATGTCCACCGACAATTACATGTCCACCGACAATTACTGTCCACCCACAATTACTGTCCACCCACAATTACTGTCCACCCACAATTCCTGTCCACCCACAATTACTGTCCACCCACAATTACTGTCCACCCGCAATTACGTGTGGGATACAAGACGACATACCTTAGGCTCCAGCACGCCCCTGCCGCCCGTCGCCGCGCCGGGCACGTCCTTAGTCCAGGGCACGCTCGAGAACTCGAGATAGGCGGCAAAGAACTCCGGGTCGAGCCTGAGGAAATCCTCCCAGAACGCATGCCAGTACCCGCGCTTGGCAGCAAACTCGGCCTTGAGCCGCTCCTGCACGCTGTCGAACGGCTTCGCGATCTCGTCCTGGAACAAGCCCTCGTCGCGCAAGACATCAACGAGCAGCGGCACGCCAATGTTGCAGGCATGAATCCCCAGCGTGCTCGCCAGCTCGACGACCTCGACCAGCTCGGCCACCGTCGCGCCCTCGCGCAGCGCCGCCGCCGCGTGCGCCCGGACCCCCGGCGCGTACAGGTGCGTCGCCGCGCTGTCGACGGCCAGCCCGACCAGTGCCTGGTCTTTGCGCGACAGGTGGCCTTTTTCGCGCGGCACGGCGGATAGCGACACGCTGGCTGAGAAGAATTCGGGGGATAGCGCAAGGATGGACGCCCAGCCGTCGTGGAAGGCGTCGGCGCCGAGCCGGCGCGTGAACGTGTCGCGCTGCTGCTGCGTCGTCTGCTCATCTGCGGCCATGGTCACGGTGGTGTGTGCTGGTGTGTGCTGGTGTGTGCTGGTGTGTGCTGGTGTGTGCTGGTGTGTGCTGGTGTCTGCTGGTGTCTGCTGGGGTAGGAGCCGTCGCGACGCCAGAAGAGATGAGGGAATAGCCTCCTCAGGCGAGCCTGGGCCGTGTCTGGCCGGTGCATTGCATGTGTGGTCAGCCCCCGCCCCCCGCACCCTCGCTGAGCTGCGATGGCATCTCTGCTGGCATGCTGCCGTACCCCTCTCGGCAGATGGAAGCGAGGCACTTCGCTGGCGTCTGTGCTGCACGGTCAGTTGCGTGTTCTGACCCCCACATTGGACAGACATGAAGCTTCTCCGATGCAGGAGCCAGGTGGTGAGGGGAAGGGGAAGTCGTGTCTTGTGGGGAAGCGTGGCGTTGGGGAAGTCGTGTCTTGTGGGGAAGCGCGGCGTTGGGGAAGTCGTGTCTTGTGGGGAAGCGGCGGCGTTGGGGAAGCCAGGAGATGGTAAATGGGGAAAACCTGGGTTGGCGTTGTTGGACGGCAGGTGTTGGGGTAAGGGTGTGATCTTTTTCCAGAAAAACCACCCGGAAATCTATCCCCAGAAATAAAGACCTACACAATAGGAAAGGTGCACACCACGTGACTCTTTCCGAACTTTTCAAATCCCAGAATTCCTTAACAATAAAATGAAGGGTACAAGGCAAGAGCGACTTTGGTAAAAATATTAGCCCACTTTCTTCGAGGTACCGTCATTTCTGGCGCTAGCCTTCCGAGCCTCTTTCCAGGAAAAGATTACACTCTTATTAGTATTATTATTAGAAAGGAGACGGATGAATAAGATGAAAATCGACTTTGACGTGCCCCAAACGCAGGATGGATGACTGAGACAGCTGTATTGGGCAGACTTGAGAAATATGTGCCGATTTTCAACTTGCAGCCGGCAGACAATTCTGCTTTGCCAAGTACGCTTTGACCTCCTTTGAAAGTCAGAGGTGGAAGTTGCTCCTCGGTCGGGTTGATGGGCAAATAAGCAAATACATTTACTTCCATCATAAACCTTCGAGATAATTAGAGATCGATATGGAGAACACCACGGAGCGTAAACAAATCTTGAATGAACCCCGAAAAAGGGTTTGATACAATGTGTTTACTATCCCAATTTCCAAGTAACTGGACTAGGCTTTGCCGTCGATAAAGAAATCAGAGTGAGACGTTCTAGCCGAGTCATATTCACGGCAACTCCAAGTTCAAGATGAATGTAATAACTGACAGCAAAAAGGGCACTGACAGCAAACAGGGAAGAACAAATAGCCACCCAGCAGAATAACAAACAGTCACCCAGCAGAATAACAAACAGCCACCCAGCAGAATAACAAACAGTCACCTAGCAGAATAACAAACAGCCACCCAGCAGAATAACAGCCCTACCCGTGCTCAACTCCAGCCCCAAAGAAGCGGCCCTGATTCTTCTCGTCCTTCTCCCACTCAACATCGTGCGCAAACACGGCCTCAACCCCCGCCTCCTCCAACCCGCGGACCATGTCGATAGTCGCTTCAGCGCGCGGCCGGTCGGCGTGGATGCAGCACACTTGGCCGTGGGCGTCGCGCCACTCGCCGATGCGCCGCTCGCCGCGCAGGATCCGCCGGTCGTGGCACGCGTCGCCTGCGAGGTACACCCAGCGGGTGGCGCCATCCTCGCCCTCACCCTCGCCCTCGACGCGCGCTAGCAGGTTGACGTGGCCCGGTAGGTGCCCCGGCGCGTCGATGACAAGCAGGCTGCCGTCGCCAAACACGTCGAGCGTGGCCGGCAGGCGCAGCTCGGCGAGCGGTTGCCACGGCTTGGTGAAAGGAGCCGCTTCTGCAACAGGTGCAGTGTTACTACTGGCCGAGGGGTCGGGCAGCTCGATGGTGCGCGCTGGGTCCAGCAGGTCCGCCTCGAAGAACGAGTGGCTGCCGCGCAGCTCGGGCGAGCGGGCCGCCAGCACGTCTAGCGAGCCGTGGCCAACGACAAACATGCTGCGGCTAAACGGCGCCGGGTCGCCGACATGGTCCCAATGCACCTAACTAGAGTTGGCAAGACAGCCGAGACAACACGGGTCTAGATATAATACTGCCATCACGGATGAAAATGATTAAAAATAAAGTAAATGAAATAAAGTAAATAAAAATAGAGTAAATGAAAATAAAAACAAAGCACAGCTCGCACTTTATTTAAACCATATTCCGTGATAGTTATGTGGAACCGTCAACAAACAGAAAGCAACCCACGTGCGAGTATACCACAAAATCAATGTCATGCGGCGTTAGCCCGCCGCGCGCCAGGCTGTCGACCACGTCGGGCCGCGTGTCCATTGGCTGGCGCAGGGCGACATGGCGGCGGATGGGCTCGGCGTAGCGGGCGACGTCGCGACGGACGCCGAGGTCGAACACGACGCGCGTCGGTTTTCTTGCCGTGCTGCTGCCAGGCGGGACCTCTTCGTGCTCAACCAGGAAGCACAGCGACGGCACCGTGCTCCGCGCCCCCGGCGAGCACGGCTGCACAAAGTTCTCTTCGGGGATCGAAAAGTGCCCGCCGTGCAGCGCGCTGACGCGCACGATGGCGGGCCGCGGGCCTGGGGTGCGAGCGGTGGCCATGGCGGATGAATGAAGTGTGAGTGGCGGGCGAGTTGGGAGAGATGGGAAGCTGTTGAGTGTCGAGTATGTGTTGTAGTCCCTTCACTTCTCCAATCCGCCGTCTAGTGTCATCTTGTCTCCCTGGACTGCCCCCTCCCCCGCTCAATTGCGTCGCTGCTCTATTCTCCGGCTAGTGTGTTTCCGTCAGGATATATGTGCATCTTGTGCTGTTAGTAACTGCATGGCGTGGCATGGCATGGCATGGCTGGACTGTTGCGGCTGTGAGGGTCGTGGACCAACCACTTGCAGCACGCGTATGAGACAGCCAGATGGAACGGTATTTGTTTCTGGCGCGGACCTTGCACTACCATCTGATGCGTCGCGCTATCCAGAGGCAATCTCTCACCCAACTCAGACAAGGGGCTCGTGGCCAGAGAGCGAGGCAATCTTCTAGCAAGACTACTGAAATCTGCAACCAGCTGCGTGGTCAATACCATCCGATTAGTTAGTGGCTACACCTTTGACAAATTCCACCTTTGACAAATTCCCCTTCTCACATACGTAGCTACAGGAACGTGAACATAACAGTCAGAATGAACAAAGCCCAATGGAGCAAGCATCTATCATGGCCCTTCACTTGTCTGCCCTCGTAGCTCTATCTATTTCCTTGTCTGCCCTCTTAGCTCTATCTATTTCCTTGTCTGCCCTCGTAGCTCTATCTATTTCCTTGATTCAGCCATAGAAATGAGTCGCTCAAGGGCTATCACAACAGTGGATATCGCGATAGTTAAAATGGCAAAGCCACGCGGTCGAAGCCATTGGAGAAGCCGCTTCCCCGCACGCAAGCACCGGTTTTCTCTTGTTTACATACCTCGAGTTCTGCCTGCCTACAGCCTCAGCCCATTGCTACCTCACATCCTCACACGCTACACAGGACCAGTCATCAACTTCGTGGCACTTTCTTACTAATTACAGCATGTCGTCTGACAGCAGTCTGCCCCTTGCCATGGGCTTTGTCGGGCTGGGTGCCATGGGCAAGCCGATGGCCACCAACCTCGCCAAGGCGCTCCCAGCCGGCGCGCACCTGTACGTGCACGACATCGTGGCGGCGGCCGTGGACGAGCTGCACGCCTTGTTCCCGACAATCGTAGTCGAGTGCGGCAGCGCACGAGAAGTGGCGCAGAACGCGGTGCGCGAGACCCCCAATCCCCCTTTCCAAGTTCCCTCCAAAGAAGAGGAAGAAAAAACGCTCGCTAACACACCCCCAGGACGTCGTGCTGACCATGCTCCCCGAGGGCGCGCACGTCAAGTCCGTGTACCTCAACCCGTCGACCGGCATCATGGCGGCCCTCAACCAAACCAGCACAAAGCTGCTCATCGACTCCTCAACCATCGACACGGCCACGAACCTGCACATCCGCTCGCAGCTCGCCACGCACTCCCCAGGGACATCCTTCTACGACGCGCCGGTCAGCGGCGGGGTCCTCGGCGCGGAGCGCGCGACCGTCGCCTTCTTCGCCGGCGCGTCCCCCTCAGACCCCACGCTCCCGCGCCTGACATGCCTCCTGCAGCCCATGGGCAGCAAAACCATCCCGTGCGGCGGCGCATCGCTCGGGCTGGCAGCCAAGCTGTCCAACAACTACCTGTCGGGCCTGATAACCATCGCGACATCCGAGGCCATGGACATGGGGATGCGAGCGGGGATCCGGGCCGACGTGCTTGCGTCCGTGTTCAAAGCGGGCACCGCGCAGAATACGATTTGCGACGTGTTCAATCCTGTGCCTGGCGTGTGCGCGGCCGCGCCGTCGTCGCACGGCTATGTCGGCGGGTTTCGTGTCCAGCTGATGCGCAAGGATATCGGGCTGGCGGTGGCTCTGGCGCGGCATGTCGGCGCGAGGAATGTGTTGGGTGCGGCGGGGCTGGGCGTGTATGCTGCTGCGAGCGAGGCGGAGGACTGTAGGGACCGAGACTCGAGGGTTGTGTATCGGTACTTGGGCGGGAAGGAGCACTGGGAGGGGAAGGAAGTCGCTGCGGAGTGAGTGGTTGGGGAGTGTGTGGGCGGGCAAGGGCCTTTCGAGCGCAGCGAGCAGCCCGCCGCAGGCGCCCCCCGGGAGGGCCGCCGGAGGCAACGGGGTGAGCAAGTGATAGTTACCTAGCCTGAGTGGTGGCCTGGACGGGAAGACTGTTGCAACCGGCTTGGTTGTTATTTACCTGGCTGGCTAAAGACAGGAAAACACTGAGGTTCAAAGGTGGGTGCCTCTTGGTCAGGGGTATTGAGAAGCATTGGTGAGCGGGTGAGGGACTCAAGTCACGATCGGGCTTGGTTTCTGAATATTAATTATTTACATATGAAAGGTACATGGCTGCGTACTATTGTGTGCGTGATTATACATTAGACATGGCCAGTTACAGGCACAAATGTGCAGATATTAATCATCCTCTGTCCCTGGGTTTCGTCATGAAGAAGAAGAAGAAGAAGTAATGAATAAATGCCATGCCATGCCCTGCCCTGCCATGCCCTGCCCTGCCAGGCCGTTCTGCGCCTACTCAAAGTCGAGGCCGTGCGGGCGACCTTTGCGCTTGGCCGACCGCGGCGCAACATCAGCGCGCTTGCCGTTGCGGGCAGCGGCGGGCGGCAGCGAGTCGAAGCTGAGGGCGTACTTGGCGACCGAGTTGGCGATGCTCTTGCTGTTGAGCAGGAAGGCGTCGAGATTGAGGTTGTTGACGTCGTCGCCGGGGCCGTGGTAGTTGACGTCGTACGGTTGACCGGCCTCGCCGCCGAACAGGGCCGCCTCTTCGACCGTCTTGATCCCCTCGGCGCCCGTGAACAGGCCGCCCGCCGGGATGCCTGCGTCGATGAAGGCTGAGTAGTCGGACCGTCCGTCGAACGCCGACGGCACGTGCGCAGAGCCCTTAGCCGCGTAGAAGTCCTCAAAGTCCTTCTCGATGATGTCGGAGCCGGCCGGCCCGGCGGTGCCGAACCCACTGCCGTCGCCGTCGTAGATGCCGTAGATGGGGTTGGGGCTGGCGATCATGTCGAAGTTGAGGTACGCGCGGACCTTGGCGAGCTCGGCCGCGTTGCTGCTCAGCTGCTCGACGTAGAAGTTGGAGCCCAGCAGGCCGAACTCCTCGCCCGACCAGAAGCCGAAGCGTACGGCGTTCTTGACCTTGAACTGCGACAGCGCGACGGCCACGTTGAGGATGCCGACGGTGCCGGAGCCGTCGTCGTTGATGCCCGGGCCGTCAGACACCGAGTCGGTGTGGCCGCCCAGCACCAGCACGTTGTCGTGGTCGCCCTGCTTGGTCTCGGCCACGACGTTGAAGGTGACGCGCTCCTCGACGACGGCATCGACGTCGAGGACGACCTCGACGGGGCCCGCGGCAACCTTGGCAAGGATGGCCTCACCCTCTGCCTGCGTGATGCTGACGACGGGCGCGTACGCGCCAAACGGCTCGCCGAGCGTGCCGCTGATAGTGCCCGGCGCGTTGTTGTAGATGATGGCGCCCACGGCACCGGCTGTCTTGGCGTTGGTCGCCTTGATGGCGAACGTGCAGCTGCCGCGCGAGATGAGCACCACCTTGCCCGCGGCCTCGGCCGGGAAGTCGGCGGCGTTGCAGCCCAGGTTGGACACGGCGACCACCGTGCTGGTGGCGGTGCCGCCGGGCGTGTAGGTCAGGATATGGGCGTCTACGTCGCTGCCGGCCACGGTGAGCTTGGCCGAGCCCGCCGAGAAGATGTCGGTGAAGGCCTGCTTGGTCACGTCGTAGTAGTCGAGCGCCGAGAGCGTGTTGTACAGGTAGTCGACCGTGGCGTTGTGACCGGGGCTGCCAAAGGCGCGGTTGTGGCCGTTGGCATCGGCAAAGTCCTGCAGCTTCTGGGCGCTGGCCACGAGGCCATCGAGCTTGACCAGCCCCTGGAGCTGCTCGGAGCTGACCAACGGCTTGCACTTGGGCTTGGACGCACCCCTGGGGATGGTGGCGGCAGCCGAGAGGGCCGGCAGCGCCAGGGCGACGGAGGAGAGGACCCTCATGGTGATCGAGAAGTGCAAAAGAGTGACTTGGGTTGAGTAGTTAATAAACAAATACACTCGATCGAGGGAGGCGGTGGCGAGGAAGAGACGAGAATGCCACCAAGGGAGCAGCCGCCGGGGCAATTTGTATGTCTTTGGCTCGGGCGTGGCCTGGCCGGCAGCGCTGTTACCTGCCTCTGCTGCGACGCTACCTACACGCCATCCTGCCTTTTGTGGTCGAGATATTGTACGCTCGCTCGGCGCCACCTTCTCGAAGCCGCATCGCGCGGAATTGTCGCAGTCGGCAAGACGAGCACGTCGACACGCCCAGACGGCGGGCCGCCCCAATGCGGCAGTTACGAGTGCCTCTTGCATCAGCGGCCCTGCTGGTGGTCTTGGCCTTGTACCTGGCGGTCTTGGCCTTTGGCTTCGGTGCGACTCTGACGGGCCAAGCCATGGTTCGTTAAGGGCAGGTCGCGACATTGCGCACTTGGCAAAGCGACGGCAGCCAGGCAATTCGACAAGCGCACGTTGCTTGGCACCTACCTACCCAATTTCCCCCTGCCCCCAGTTGGATCGGAAGCCGCCATCTTGGCTAAGCAGACTAAGGCCGTTGAAGAGCCCCGCAGGGATCGGTGCCTCACTCGTGGCTCGAATCATGAGCTTATCTTGGCGAAAGGGGCACTAGTGCCGATGTGGTGCTCCACTGCTTTTATTTGCCTCGCTTGCGCCATTGCTGGTATTCATGCGTTCGCTGAGGCTGTGCTGCGTGCACCAAGAGCTGTGCTGCGTGCACCAAGAGCTGTGCTACGTGCACCAAGAGCTGTGCTGCGTGCACCAAGAGCTGTGCTGCGTGCACCAAGAGCTGTGCTGCGTGCACCAAGAGCTGTGATGTATGTGATGAGTTTGTTTTCTTCTGTGTCACGTTATTGAGCTGGACGAGGGGATTCATAAAGCCAATACTTCTCTATCCTCGCTTTCCTAGCCGCTTTGCCTAGTAAATATCAGAATGCTGACCATGCTGTCGTCGATAGTCTATCCTCCCCACATACAAATCAAAGATATATCCAGAGTCAATCCTTTCACTCATTTCTTATTTCCACTCTTGTTCTTGCTGCCGCCGGCGGAGCTGCCAGTGGTCGCGCTCAATGGACCAGCTGCCGAATCCATCCCTTCAGACGCGTTTCCGAGGGTCGCCTTCGGGTTATCGGGACGTGGCATCGGCCAGGACTTTGGCAGCTTGATGGAGGGGTTAGGGACTGGGTGGTGTGCCTCCCAAAACTGAGCCGATGCGGCGTATGCCACATCTCGTGCATGGAGCTCGGCACCACCTCTTGGAGCCAAGCCCTCCCTTTCCAGTTCAGCCAGAACGCAAACAACATACTTCATGCATTGAGCTGGCATGATCTGCCCAGCAACCTCCATCATTCTTGATATGTCAGCCCACAACACCCGGCCAATGAGGACTCGATTGTTGGGCTTGTCCGTGTGGAAATGGGCTTCTTTCATTTCCGCGATATACTCTGGCAGCTCCTGTCCGTCTCGCGTAAACGAATTCATGGGCGTTTTGTCCGGGTTATGAATTGACGAGAAGCGGAAGGCATCGAGCTGGTGGTGCACAGCCCCGGAAATCTGGTCTGGAGCCAAAGTGCCGTACACAACAAAAAGAGACCAATGACCTTTGGTCTTTGGGGTTTCGTTATACTTGTTCGGGTCCTTGGGTGGCTTCTTTGACGGAGGGCCCGACCAGCCGAGCCATAGCTCCGAGTCGGGCAGAGGCTCGGACGTTGGAGCAGACATTGCAACACGGAGAGTGAAGTATTGCCGTAGGGCTGGTAGGTACCTCTGGTGCTATTTCTGACAAGTGGATAACCTGACGACGAGCTTGACTAGCTGACTGTCGTTCAGCACGAGGTGGTAAAAGGAGATTGCGAACTTGTGAAGATGCTGTTGGAAATGCTGCTGCCAGGACAGGTCCCAGAAAGATTGCTCCTGCAGAGACATCTTATACGCCTCCATCGCCGGGCCCGCGCGTCCAACGGCTATTGCACAGCTCTCGGTCAGGCGCAGGTGCGACTCGAAACGTGGTGCTGGGAAGCTCTGGCGGTCGCGTGCCGGATACATGAGATGAACGGGCTGGCAGCCACGGGCTTGTAGCGGTCCCGCTGCTGTTTGTTATACGCCCAAAAAGTTGGACTTGCAAAAGTCTAATACGCCTCATCCTCGGGCTAGCCGCTTCCTGCCTGAGGTTGCACGGCTCAAACAGGCGCAGGTGCGACTTTGCGTTCGGCAGCTTCTGGTAGCTCGAGTGGCACAAGAGAAGAGATGATCGGGCTGGCAGTTGCGAGCGTGCAGTGGTCCGCCTGTCCGGTGGTGCACGGGAGAGGCATCGCGGCCCAAGCGGGCAAACAAGCCATCCGAAGTAAGACGACCCTGCGGCAGCGAAACGTCGAAGTGCAGAAAATTATCGTGGCTAGTATTCTTAGTTGGCATTTTTGTGATTGCTGTTCTTGCTTGCAATGTGCAGTTCTGCCTTGGAAATCCCAACTCGTGACCAGAAAATTGCTCACGTCTCTAAAGATGCGCAGCATGTTCGGGAAACGGACATGTGGCACAAGCACAGACAGCCAGTAGACAGGTCTGCAATTTCATCTCACCTTCGCCACGCTTTCCCCTTTCCATAAACGGCTCGAAACGCCAGACTCGCAGAGCCAGCTGCAATTGCAGGTGCAGGAGAGAAAGAACTACTGGCATGTCATGCTCCGAGCCGAGTCATTCGGAGGCAGGCGATGAAAATTATAACACAGGAGGCTTTCAGCATTTGATTGTCTAGGTTGTCTGAAGAAGCCATCCGATCGAGGCCAGGTTTTTCCTGCCGCCCAGGGCTGAGGGATCAGTGCAGCAAAAGGTTAGGAACTTTCGATTGAGATCCGAACAGGTTTGGAAGGCGCAATCCTAGTCAAACTCACATGAAAATACTAGCTCACAGACGCACCTACCGTTGTTCATCCGAATACTGGCGCAACCTCCATGTCACTCGCTCTTGCCTTGCCTGCCAAACTCGCGCCCTTACAGTTACAGTTGCGCTTGCTAATTTTTAGTTTCGCATAACTCGGGTGTGGGTGACAACTGGTACTCGAGCTCGAACCCCGCTAACAAAATATGCTCAATGTGGGAGGAACGTAGTACTCGCAGTGCTTCCAAATTGCCGGTCTCATTAAATTGCAAGCTCTTTACCTTAGTCTACCTAAGGCACTTGAAAGACGAATAGAAGAAAAAAAACTTATTTCGTATTTTCTTCTTTCGTCTAATCTAGAAGTTGGTTACTTCCACCGGAGGAGAAGACCACTACAATCAAGAAGCGACACGTGTTGGAGACAAGCTGCGCAGCGCGTAATCTTAAGGTACCGAGGTAGTTATCGAAGAGATTTACTACGTCGAAATACTCCATATATATCTTTCACTTTGAGAGATTATACGGCAGTCCTAAATTGTCTCAAGTTCACCGCAAGCGTCGTTGGTGAGCAAACAACGACTAAGAGCTTGGTGTGTATCTTATCTGTTTTAAAGGACGTCACGCCCACGGTGCACAACACCCGATCGAATGAACATGTGATAGAATATCGATATTCAAGCTCAGGAGTCGGGAATCCGAGGATTTGGACTGCAATAACTAACCAGACTCACCATAGTTACTGACTATAACTGATGGCCTAGGTCTTCCTTTCTTCGCCCAGAAGTCCGGCGGCATCCCCTAGTGCAACCTAATACCGGGACACAAAGGGAAGAAACCCACCCATGTATATCACAATGCGCTTTAGTGTACCGGGAGCACGATCACACAAAAACAACTGTTACTAGGAGTGTAACAACAGGGAAGTACTCTACCACATATTCTTTACCGCTGGTCCGGTCGTCCTTATACCTGGCACGCGTATCCGTCCGAGCAGAAACTAACAAGCACGAGGTTTCAAGTTGTCCCTCCGCCTGATCGAAGGCTATACAGACCCTGGTAGGACGTAGCAGCCCGACATGGAGGTGTATCAAATCTCTGCGAGAACAGCTCGGTTTACGCTTTCTTTAATTTATTCACATTGCCATCATCCTCGGCACTTATCACTCATCATTCTCTGTTCCAACTTGCACACCAAACTCATTCAAGCACGCCGTCGAGCTCATCTGTTTCCTAGAACCAGCATCAGAGACCACCTGTCTTTTGACGAACTTCTACGGTATCCCACCACTCTATACGGCGACATCCTAGGCTCCCACTTACTATGGGGAGCTGTACCTGATGTGGACAGATCTGGAGTCGGAGAAGTCCCTGGCGTTGGTGGTAAAGACTCTGAAAGAGAAGCATAAGAAGTAAGGACAGTCGGGCCATGTGTCCGCTTCAGGCAAGGTGTCAAAACCTAGGGACAGTGGGAAGGTGTCCAAGAAACCCAAGACTCCACAGCAAGTCAAACGGACGAAGCATTAGTCTCTCATGATTGTACCCCCGGGCTGGCAGAATCACGCGGCCGAGCATAATCTCAGCAAAATTCCAAATTGCCGGCGCTATCAAACTCTTTACAAGAATAACTAACTCGGCATACAGATTAGCGAGGCCAATTTCCACGTTAATAAACCCCACCTCTGGGAAATTGTTTCGCAGGTAGCGATGGGCAACGGTATACTTTGGGTCATGACCTGCGATATCTCAAGTAGCCAAGGCCTTATTACCGCCACAAATATCCGTCCGGGTGTCCCAGCCACTAAGCAACAAGATGCCAAGCTCCAAGACACGCCCGCTGAACCTGATGGATTGATAATATTCGTCGCAGTGATAATATTCGTCGCAGTATGCGTCATAGAGTTCCTTGTAAAGCGAAGACAGCAGTCTACACATTCTTGGCCGCTTCTCCGTCCAGGCGATCTATTTTGAAGCCCGCGATGACAGATTTACGAATCTCTCGGGCCAACGGCCTTTTCATTCTCCAAAGACAGTCCAAGTCTTTGGGTCTGAGCGTCGCCTAGTCCAGGGCCGTGGCTTCGCTGCGGCAGAGATGGTCCAGCATGCTGCCACCGCTGACCTCGATGCCGACTGGACGGCGTACTGTGACCACAACACTTATTAGCCATCAAGAGCGTAAGACGCCCAAGTAAGTAACGCGGCACGCGACACACACATGCCGCATACAGAAACCAGAGAGTCGGTAGGTGGGACAGTATGAGTTCAATGTGAGACGGCGGAGCGTGGTACGTCGCCCGCGGCTCAAGCCTCTAACACCGCAGCGTCACATGGGACCATCATGTGCGACCGCCACCGGAACCGGCAGAGGCTCCAGCCGCGGACCGATATCTCCCATTTCACAAGGAGACGGACGGCGCTGGCTGCGATCCACCGACGCGGAATAATTACTACCTCCTCCACGGCGGCGGCGGCTCCGGGATGGCTGTTTTCTTGGCTTTTCTCCGTCTTCCGAGCTCGGAGAAGGATGTCCCCGAACGGCGTGCTCTATGATTTGATCTGTGTGCTTCTATGATGCGGCAGCTCCTTTGGGGATGGATCTGAGGCGTCTTTGTACTCTGTGATTGGGTCTAGCAGCTTCCGCTGACAGTTCGCTGGCAGTTGGTCCCTTATGGCGTCTTCGATGGTGGTCGTGAGAGTCTTTTGAATCGACAGGACCAGGCTCTGGGAGAGGGGGCTGGGGGGCAGATCTCCATCAGCTTGGTTGTGATTTCCTGCGTTCCGCATGCGTTCCGCATGCAAGCCTCTCCTCCAGCCTCAGATGTCTCTCCTCTGCCGCGCTCGAACTGGTAAGGCTGAGCTCGGAAAGTTGAGTCTTGAGGTCGTCAAAGCGAGACTCCATGCGTTGCCTGTGTTGACTGTTAGCGCTGTCCGGAGATAGCCAACTGGCAGGGACAGAGCCAGCAGCATTCGCTGGCTAGCATAGCCGTGGGCAAGAACAAGGCAAATTTCTAGAGTCGAGATGAGCCTTGTATGACTGGAGCCTATCTGCTTTCAGCACGGCCTTGGCCGACTTCCAGGTGATCTTGGTGCGATTTTCTGTGGCGCCCGGGAGAACCGTTTTTGCCGGGCTCTCGAGGGTTTCGAGGCCCATGTGACACCTCCCAGGCAGCTTGCTCATCAGCTCTGCGACGCCAGGGTCCGTACCGTGGCCCGCCATGTTGGCGTCAATGCCGTCGAAGAGGTCACGGACCAGCTCTATGTCGGCGAGACGGCCTCGCAGCGAAGCAGGGGCGTCGGCGACCGAGGACCAGAATGCGTGAATTTGCTTGATTCTAGCCTCGATCTGGGCTGCAACGGTGACGAGTGCCGTGATGCTCGTCATGATGCTCACCGTAATGCTCGCCGTGATGCTCGCCTTTATGCCAAGAGGATCCATCCTGACAGCAGTGTTGAAAGCAGGTGGGAAGATGGAGACGTGCCCCTAGGCTCTTACCGACTATTGATGTTGCAGCTTTGTCCGGCGAGAGACGTTGAGTTTGAGCAGGCTGCGAGAGGCAGCCACCGCACCGATCTGATATGGGCTAGAAATGCAGCACTCTCCATGTGATTCTCATACTCGTTGGAGAGCGAGCCCCGACAGCTTGCATTGTGGCTGCGGTGCATGGCCCCCGAAAGTCTCGGAGCGTGTGGACAAGGCTCTGGTCGTCGCAACCAGGTTCGTCGCATAAATATTGCGCATGTGAGCAACAAGCTGACAAAGTTTATGATGAAGTCTTGCCACTTTCTAGAGCAGGGCTCTCGGTGCTAATTTGGCGGCGTCAACTTCGGCTCTCATCAAGCCGTCGATGCTCGAGACCAAATCGACTCGTGGTTAAGTATGACTCGTGGTTAAGTATGAAACCCTCAATGCCGACCCATTGCCTTCCGGCTACATTTCCTACGCCCGAGATGCATTCACAGACACCGGAGCCTCAAAATAATTAGATCGTCAGGCATGTTACAATGTGAAACTCTAGGGGCATATTCATACCTCAAATAACTAAAAGTAATTGCTGGTGAAGCGGTTCAAAAAGCACCACAACACAGCAACAACAACAACAATAATGACAACGTCAACAAAACGTCACGGCGGCGAGCCGCGGCTGATCTATGCGAAGCACTGGTATAGGAATTCATGGCTAGGTAGTTAAATATAAGAAAGAAAAGCCACTATTGCGTGCACTGGTTCGGGATAAAAAGACGTGATTTCTAAAGAAAGCCTAGGGAAAGTTGTTGAGAAGCGATGCCGATCTCTGACCAAAGGGAGGGCGGGCCAAGAAAAAAAGAAAAAAAGAAAAAAATCGTACATTGTTTCATAGAACACCCGATTGGGTACTGGTAGCCGAGAGCTCGTAGTATGGTCTCTACTTAGAATGCTAAATTATTGTGATGTGTTTCCTTTAGTATCGAGTCTGTTGATTAACCCACCTGGGGACCTAGGAACACAATGGTCCGCAAAGGCCACCTCGCTAGTATTATGCAAGAGTGTAAATAGCGTCATTCTGTCTTTCCCGGCTTCCTTGGTGTCCGGCAGGCTACTGGGCGGCTGCATTCAAGTCCCCGATTTTCCCGTACAAAAACTCACCGCAATAGTGACAAGTGCCCGGGGCCCAAAGGTATGAGTATGGAAAAAGCAGTTACGTACGAATATGGAGTACGTGGACAGCAGCTTATCAGTAATTAGCAGACTTCGGGGTACGATTATACATCTCACATCATGTCCCACCGTCAACCTCCCTCTCCATCCTCTCACACCCCCTCTCCTGTGCCACGCGCACTGCGCAGTGGGCGAGGTGCGTCAGCTCAGCAATGAACTCATCCACCATCTGTATGTGCAGCATCTCATTGCGCGTCAGGCGCCTGCGGCGAATGCCCTTAATCAGCTCCGGCGCAGACGCCAGCAGGCCGAGATCCGCCTGGGCGGAGCGCGGATTGAGCGGGTCAAGCAGGATACTGAAAAACAGCGTCACGACGGCCGACATAGGGTAAAAGGCCAGCACGGACGTCGACTCCTCGAGCAGGGCGTGGGGCACGGAGCGCAGGAACAGCAGGGTGGAGCGGCTGGCCTCGATGGACAGGGCCAGCGAGGAGCTGACGCCCTGCTCCTCAAGCTCGGCGACACCGCCGGCGACGTGGCCGTTGGCGCCCCAGGCGCGGCAGCGGCCGGTGGCGCGGTGGATGGTGGCCATGAGGTAGTGGTACTCGAAGTTGATGACGAGGGTGCGCACGCCGTCGGGGGAGCACTCGGTGAACTGGTCGGCGGCGGCGTCGGGCGAGACGGAGAGCAGCGGGCGGTGGTTGCGCGGCACCGACAGGCGCCAGCGCTCGAGCTCGTCGTCGAGCTCGCGGATGTCCTTGAGCAGCTCGGCGTCCGACTTGCGCAGCGCCTGCGCCGAGTACAGTAGGTTGCACGTCTTGGACTTGAGGAAGGCCAGCCGCAGGTCGCCGGGCAGGATGGGCACCGCCGTCTCCTCCCACGGCGCCGAGTCGGCATATTTGTCCTTGTCGAGGTACTGCACGGCTAGGTAGCCGGCGGGCAGCGTCAGGTCGCAGTGATTGTCGTCGATGGACGGCGGCTGGCCCGTGCGCAGCGAGATCTCCTTGTCGAGCGAGTAGCACAGCCAGAACAGCTGGCGCAGGTGCCGCTTGGCCTGCGAGGCGGATGGCGTTGACCAGGGGTCGGCGAGGAGGTGGCCGCCGAGGAAGAAGACGATGCGGCAGGCCAGGGAGTGGAGCAAGGTCGAAGACTGGACCTGGCCCGAGAACAGCTGGTGCGTGGACTGGAGTAAACGACGTCAGCAGGGTCGTTCTGGCGGCGAGAGCCATCTGGACTGTGTAGATACTGACCAGCATTAGGGCCGTCTGCAGGCCGGTCACGTTGAACTGCTGGAGCAGCACCGGCAGCAGCTGGTGGGCCTTGAGTGCGAACTCATCGCCGTCGATGGACTCTTTCACGGGGCAGCCCAGCAGGGACACGATAGCGAGAAAGGCAAAGACGCACGCCTTGGCGGCGACGGGCTCGGGCGACGAGGGGGCGCAGCCGTTCCATGGCGTGTAGGCAACGTCGATGGTGTGCTGGAACAGGGAAAAGTTGATGAAGGGGAAGACGAGCCTCAGGTGTGACGTCTTGAAGAAGGCGACAAAGGCCTCGGTGATGGACCTGTCGGGCAGCGAGAGGCTAATGGGCGGCGGCTGGATGGACTTGGACTGGGCGTCAAGAGACGGGTGGGCGGGGCCGTGGGGTTCCCACGACCACGGGTCGCCTAGCTGGGCCGGGAAGCTGGCCCGCTTGCCGGTGCGGGCGCAAATCAGGGCCTGGCACTCGGGCGAGAACAGCGGGATGCCATTGTAGCTGCTGATCTCGCCTAGATGGTAGCCGGCAAAGTGCAACTTGCCAAAACAAGCTCCCTGGGCGCCAAACTCTAGGTCAGACGGCAGTGACAGTGACAGAGGCAGCGGCAAGTGCGGCGGCGGCGGCGGCGGCGGCGGTGGTGGTGGTAGCTGTGGCGGCGGTGGTAGTTGTGGCGTGTTTACGCGCGTGTGAGAATGCGAGTGCGAGTGCGAGTGCGACTGCGGAGAATCGGAATCGCGAGTGGACTTCGGAGTTTCTGTGAGGCCCGGCTCGTGTGACCGGGAGCTTGGCCGAGGATTCCGTATGTCCAAGGTGGTGGGGCGGTCAGCGAGATCCGCTCTTGCCGGGCCGGGACTATGGCATGGGCTCTTGCTGGCTCTGGTGGCAGCCCCCCTCGGCTGGAGGGCTCGGTTGAAAGTGCACGCCAAGCCGTGATGCGTGCACCAGTCGCACAGCGGCACGCCTCTGTCGCACTGGATCTGAACTCGCCGGCGCGTTTAGCTGTTGGCTTTTGCTGCAGTGGATGGAATGTGCAGTAGGTAACAGAAGGGGATGTGCAGAAGAAAATGTGCAGTAGGGACAGAAGGTACCTTTCGTTTGTGGCACGCGTCGCAGGCTCGTCTTCGGGACTTGGGGACGCGGACGCGGGACGGAAGCATGCTCAGGGCGAACGAGTGCCTCAACTGGGCGACGGCCTCTGCAATTCGCCTTTGGCGAGCCGTTATAGCGGCATTGCCAGGCAAAGATTGGTAGGTGGTGCAGTGTTAGTGTAGAGGTCAGGTGGAAATGGAAGGGGACGGGAGCCGAGACAGAATTCGGATGGGTGCCGACGGGAGTGCTCAGATCTAGCCAGGCCAGGGGCTCTAATAGGTCCGAGGCGTCGGCCGAGCAAGAACTCCCGTCCCCGTCTGCGCGTGCGCTTGGAACCCCAGGCACGCACTGTGAGCAGAATCGCCCGAATTGGCTCTCATATTGGGCTCGTAAAGCTGTGCGACGATTGAACTGATGCCAATTCCACTGCATTTTACCTCTTTGAAATTCCTTTGGACCTTTGGAGAGCCTGGAGAAGGAACGGGCGGGAGCTTCGCAGACTCGGACTCTGAGACAGACAGTCGCCGCTTCTTTCTTGCACGGATCAATGACGCGCTGTTCCTGGTACGCCCCGCTGCAATGCCGTTTCGAGTTCGGACCCTAACCCAGCAACAGTTAATCCTCTGACTCAGCGGCGAAAACTGCCACCACTGACAGGCCAGCATTTGGTGACTAAGCGGCATTGCTGGCACATGGCTGCAGACTGGCTGGCGGGGCATCCTCAATTCCTTCCCCCACCAGAAGAAGACATCGAAATTTTTGGAATTTTCCTCGCACCCACCAACCCACCACCGACACACTGGAGCGCGAACAACCGCGGCGACCGACGGCCGACGGCCTGGTTTGTCAGCGCGATGGTATTTCCATACACCCATGGCAAATGTGATTCGCAGTTGAAACCCACCGCCGCAATTCGCCCTCGCAGCACGGGACATGGACATCGCGAGAATACGGGCTCGGGAACGTGCTGTTTCCCGCCCCCCCACCGAGAGGTTGCGAGAGCAAACACGTTCAACGTCGACGTTTGCCTTTGAACCAATCGTTGCACCTGTCCAATTGCCAGACTTCAAGCCGCACTTCGAGCCGCGCCACTTGTTGTTACCAATATTTCGGTCGGCGAACGGATCAATTATCAAGCATTTCGCGCGCGCTTTCTGGTTCTCAGTGGAGCGCGATGTCGAGACACAGCCCCATCGCCAACTGCCAAACAGTCTGGGCCCATCTGCCTTGCATGAACACCTATGTCATGAAATATTGATCGGATTATTTTCGTCCATGGATTGTCGATGCCCCTCCTGCCCAGACTCTGTCATCGGCTTCGATCTTGCCGCTGACAAGCAGTTGCCTGCTAGAGCTTTGCACATTGCCATCCGTCTCTCCGCACACTCCACCGATGCGGCCGCTAAGAAGCGGCCGGCAACCCTGGAGCTGCTCTCCCCAAATCACCAAAGGCTTTCAAGCCGGTGACTAAGCGGCGCTGCTCTCGTTGGACCCTCTCGTACAGCACTCACTAGCCGAAATAAGGGGCGACGAGGAGCTGGATCGTTCTCAGATGGAACACACTCACCATGCTTGCGGATCGCAGCGCTCCACGGCTGTCGAAATTTGCCCCACGCTGAGGGACGCTGCAATAACTTAAGACGGCAGCCCTTTTCCTTGGGACTGAATCTCGGGCCTCTGTTGTTCTTGCACGACCTTCTCGGCATCCCATCACATCACGCTCGTTCGCCGCGCCGCCGACGGCAAAGAGGACGGACCATGTCCGCCCCCAGCGAGAGCATGCCCCAGGGCACCCTTCAGGTCCACTCCCAGGGCACCGAGTCGCCGATCCCTGGCTCCGTCGTCGAAGATGCAGAGTGGCATTGGCACTTGAAGCCCAAAATCGAAGAGATGAGAGACCGCGACGACCGCGCCGGCGTCCCTCCCCGCGAGCTGGGCATCACCTGGAAGGACCTCACCGTCCAGGCTGTCAGTTCCGACGCTGCCATCCACGAAAACTTTACCTCGCAGTTCAACATCCCAAAGCTCGTCAAGGAATCCCGCCACAAGCCGCCCCTCAAGACCATTCTCGATGCGAGCCACGGCTGCGTCAAGCCCGGCGAGATGCTCCTCGTCCTTGGACGTCCCGGGTCCGGCTGCACAACCCTCCTCAACATCCTGTCCAACCGCCGCCACGGCTTTGCCTCGGTCACGGGCGATGTCCACTACGGCTCCATGGACGCCAAGGAGGCCGAGAATTATCAGAGCCAGATCGTCATGAACACCGAGGAGGAGCTGTTCTTCCCCACCTTGACGGTCGGCCAGACCATCGAGTTTGCGACGCGCCTCAAGGTACCTGCGAAGCTGCCCGACGGCACCAGCTCCCCCCAGCAGTACCAACAGGAGACGCTCGGCTTCCTCCTCGAGTCGATGGGTATTGAGCACACGCGGCACACAAAGGTCGGCAACGAATTCGTCAGGGGTGTTTCGGGTGGCGAGCGGAAGCGCGTCTCTATCATCGAATGCCTGGCCACGAGGGCCTCGGTCTTTTGCTGGGACAACTCGACCCGCGGACTCGACGCCTCGACGGCCCTCGAGTACATAAAAGCCGTCCGGGCCTTGACCGACGTCATGGGCATGGCGTCCATCGTGACCCTTTACCAGGCCGGCAACGGTATCTACGACTTGTTTGACAAGGTGCTCGTCCTCGACAGCGGGAAACAGGTCTTTTACGGCCCCGCCAGCGAGGCCAAGCCCTTCACCGAGTCCATGGGCTTCGTCTGCCGCGACGGTGCCAATGTCTCCGACTACCTCGCCGGCCTCACGGTGCCGACAGAGCGCCTGATCCGGCCGGGTCATGAGAACACGTTCCCGCGCAACGCCGACATGCTCAAGGCAGAGTACGAGAAGTCGCCCATCTTTGCTGCCATGACGGCCGAGTACGACTACCCGACTTCAGACGAGGCCAAGGAATGCACGAGGCTGTTCCAGGAGGGCGTCGCCGGAGAGAAGAACCGCCACCTCGCCTCGGGCAGCACCCTCACCGTCAGCTTCCAGGCCCAGGTGATGGCCTGCATCGTGCGCCAGTACCAGATCCTCTGGGGCGACAAACCCACTCTCATCGTCAAGCAGGGCTCGACGGTGGTGCAGGCCCTTATTGCCGGCTCGCTCTTCTACAACGCCCCTGAGGGCTCCATCGGTCTCTTCTCCAAGTCGGGTGCCCTATTCTTCTCGCTGCTTCACAACAGCCTACTGTCCATGTCCGAGGTCACCGACTCGTTCAGCGGGCGCCCGGTGCTTATCAAGCACAGGTCGTTTGGCCTCTACCACCCAGCCGCCTTCTGCATCGGCCAGGTCGCTGCGGACATCCCCGCCATCCTCCTGCAGGTCTCCCTCTTTGCCCTCATCCTCTACTTCATGGTCGGTTTCACCATGTCTGCCTCGGTATTCTTCACCTACTGGATCCTGCTGGTGGCCGTAACCATGTGCATGACGGCGCTTTTCCGCTGTGTGGGCGCCGCATTCAGCACCTTCGACGGCGCGTCCAAGGTCTCGGGCTTCCTCGTCGGTGCCCTCATCATGTACAATGGCTACATGATCCAGAAGCCGCTGATGCACCCCTGGTTCGAGTGGATCTTCTGGATCGACCCGCTGGCCTACGGCTTTGATGCCCTGCTATCCAACGAGTTCCACCAAAAGACCATCCCTTGCGTAGGCCCCAACTTGATCCCCAACGGCCCCGGCTATGGCGACTCGGCTCACCAGTCCTGCGGCGGGGTTGGCGGCGCCATACAAGGAAACACGGTCGTCTCCGGCGAAGACTACCTAGCCTCGCTGTCCTACAGCCACAGCCATCTCTGGCGCAACTTTGGCATCATCTGGGCATTTTGGGCCCTGTTTGTCGCCCTCACTATCGTGGCCACTTCGCGCTGGAAGTCATCGTCCGAGTCCGGCCCGTCGCTTCTCATCCCCCGCGAAAAGGTCAGCGTGGTGAGATCGGCGCTCCAGGTCGACGAAGAGTCCCAGGTCGACCACAGCCGCGAGAAGCGTGTGGAAAGCAGCAGCAGCGATTCCGAGGGCACCATGGTCGACAAGGACGCGACGAATATCAACGGCAAGAACAGCAGCAACGGCAAGGACGAGCCGGATCTTATTCGCAACACGTCCGTGTTTACGTGGAAGAATCTGTCCTACACGGTCAAGACACCACATGGCGATCGTCTCTTGCTGGACAACGTGCAGGGGTGGGTCAAGCCCGGCATGCTGGGTGCGCTTATGGGCTCTTCCGGCGCCGGAAAGACTACCCTTCTCGACGTACTCGCGCAGAGAAAGACGGAGGGTGCAATTACCGGGTCTATCATGGTTGACGGTCGTCCTCTACCCGTTTCCTTCCAGCGCTCTGCCGGCTACTGCGAGCAGCTTGACATCCACGAGCCCTACACCACTGTCCGCGAAGCCCTCGAGTTCTCTGCCCTCCTCCGCCAAGGCCGAGACGTGCCCCGTAGCGACAAGCTCAAGTACGTCGACACCATTATTGACCTCTTGGAGCTGCACGACATTGCCGATACGCTGATCGGCCGCGTGGGTAACGGCCTAGCGGTAGAGCAGCGGAAGCGCGTCACCATCGGCGTCGAGCTCGTCTCGAAGCCTAGTATCCTTATCTTCCTGGATGAGCCGACTTCGGGTCTCGACGGCTCCTCGGCCTTCAACACGGTGCGCTTCCTCCGCAAGCTGGCTGACGTCGGCCAGGCTGTCCTGGTCACCATCCACCAGCCGTCGGCACAGCTATTCTCCCAGTTCGACACGCTCTTGCTGCTGGCCAAGGGCGGCAAGACGGTCTACTTTGGCGACATTGGCGAAAACGCGCAGACGGTCAAGAACTATTTTGCCCGCCACGGCATGCCGTGCCCTGACGAGGCGAACCCGGCCGAGCGCATGATCGACATTGTGTCGGGCAGCCTGAGCCAGGGCACCGACTGGAACCAGGTGTGGCTCGCGTCGCCCGAGCACGCCGCCGTCGAGACGGAGCTCGACCGCATCATCGCCGACGCCGCCGCCAAGCCGCCCGCGACCGTCGACGACGGCCACGAGTTCGCCATGCCGCTCTGGCAGCAGATCCGCATTGTCGCGAACCGCGCCAACGTGTCCATGTTCCGCAACGTCGACTACGTCGACAACAAGCTTGCGCTGCACATCGGCTCATCCCTGTTCAACGGGTTTTCCTTCTGGATGATCGGCGACTCGGTGTCAGAGCTGCAGCTCAAGCTGTTCTTCATATTCCAGTTCATCTTCGTCGCGCCCGGTGCTCTCGCGCAGCTGCAGCCGCTTTTCATTGAGAAGCGCGACATCTTCGAGGCCCGCGAGCGCAAGTCCAAGATGTACTCGTGGATCGCCTTCGTCACGGGCCTAATCGTGTCCGAGTTCCCGTACCTATGCTTGTGCGCCGTCCTATACTTTGTGTGCTCGTACTACACCGCCGGACTCCCCTCAGACTCGAACAGGGCTGGCGCCGTCTTCTTTGTCATGCTGTGCTACGAGTTTATCTACACCGGTTAGCTCCCCGATCCCTCCATACCATTCTAGTCTAACCCCGAACAGGCATCGGCCAATTCATTTCCGCTTATGCGCCCAACGCCACCTTTGCTGCCCTGACCAACCCTCTGCTCATCGGCCTCCTAGTGTCTTTCTGCGGCATGTCACCCCATCTCTGTGCCAGGGACAACAACTGACAAGCTGTGCAGGCGTGCTCGTTCCGTACCAGGCCATCCAGACCTTCTGGCGGTATTGGATCTACTGGCTCAACCCGTTCAACTACCTGATGGGCAGCATGCTGACGTTCAGCATCTGGGGCGCCGACGTCAACTGCAGCGAGGGCGAGTTTGCTGTCTTGGACCCGCCTAACGGCACCACGTGCGGCGAGTACCTGGGCGGCTACCTGCAGGGCATGGGCGCCGCGAGCAACCTCGTCAACGCCGACGCCACCGCCGCCTGCCGCGTGTGCCAGTACACGGACGGCAGCGACTACCTGCGCTCGCTCAACCTGAACGGCTACATCTACGGCTGGCGCGACGCCGGCATTTGCGTCATTTTCGCCATCAGCTCGTACGTCATGGTGTACGCACTCATGAAGCTGCGCACCAAGACGTCCAAGAAGGCCGAGTGATTTTCTTTCTTTTTTCATCGCATCTACACACGGATGGTCCTGAATAAATATAATGGGTGGCCGGCCATTTTACGATTACAGTATGTATGGACGGGTAATAGACGCATCGCAATGCATCGCACTGCATTGGACCGGCATTTTGGGTACCGCCTAGAGGATATAATAGACTGTATCTGCATGGCGTAGATCTCGTTTCCTTTGTACAGCCTCTGCATATTCTGTTTCGGGCATATAATTGCCGTATATATATGCATATAGACTGCTTGGATATCTGCAGATACTAGATTTTCAAATTCGTGGGATATTGTTAGTATAGCATTGCTCGCACTTCTTGTTACCTTCATTGTGACCACCTTGATCTGGCGTACCTGCCTTCTCTCACAAACCTCGTCAAAAAAAGTCAGGTAAAATTTTAATACTTACAAAATGTTATACTTGAGCAATAGTAATTTAGGTATAAACCGTATACTAAACCTTCATACGCTGTTAAGGCCCAAAAAAGGCACCTACAAAGGCCCGCAAATTTATCTAACACAGGAACCGCGGATTTCAGTCCAAGCTGTGGTATCAGTCCAAGCTGTGGCATCATACAGAAGATAGGGATAGTGCCAAGAACAGCTAAGAAGGTAAAAATATTCAAGTAACCAAAGACGAAAGAGCGATGTGATCCGTAGTAGTACTCGCAAAGTTTTCTTTCACATAAAGTGCTAGAAGTGAAACGTACGTTAATTTTCCTGACATAATTATCGGTGATCTACTTACTCACAAATATATCTCGGTAAACTAGATGGAAGTTTGGGAGTAGTAAAATTGCAGCTCGATTCTACATCTCGTCCCATTATCCCGAAACCGGCAGCCTTTGAATGGGAGAAAGTACGGGTTAACCCAAAATAGGTGCTGGGCAGGGAAGACAGGTGGACAGCCCCAACATCTTAAACTTGCTAGGGTAATAATTCCGTGAACGGATCCCGAGGGGCAGATGAGTTTCCTACCACTTTGCAGTCACCAGTCTCAAAGAATATATCTTTATAGACGTGATAATCATGGCTCAGTTCTGCCTCAGCTGATTTCAACACTGGTAAACAAGCAGACAGTCCCATTTTGGGGTGTTCGTTCTTTGTTTGGGAGCAAGGATAGCCCGCATTGGTTTCCCAATCGGCACTAACGTTGAAGCTGGGAGCGCCAAGCGCCACAGCCCCTGCACTATTGAGCACGGAGAAGCACCGGAAACGGCATGACAGCGACTGATCTGATTGGCCAAGAGTTAGAGGTTTGCTTGCACACCACCAGCTGGGCGATGCCGAGAAGTCAAGGCCTGGCAGCAGCTCTTGGCATGGTCAAGCCAAATCTCCCAATGGCCAGCTGAGCCCCGGCCTTCCTCTTCGAGCTGTCACGCAGGCGTAGCCAGACCATCCCGCCGAGACCGACCGCAAGGCACTGCATGTCTTGGCTGCTGGCAGATGCGGAATGGAGGTTGCACAGCTGGGTGAAACCCACGGACGGGAGGGCATATATACCTGAACGATGGCCTCTCGATCGAGACTCAAAACCGATAACTTGTTTGCTTTCATCCAACACATGACCAACAGAGGCCAGCAACCAACATGCTGCCCCTTCTCTTTTCCCTATCACTTCTCTCGCCCGGCCTCGCGGCCGTGGCGCCGCGGCCGCGCTCGGTCATCACGCGCGGCGACGGGTTCGTGCGCGCTAGCGTCAACGCGGTGCAGCACGCGCCTCGGCTGCGGGCGCGGCAGAACGCGGTCGACCTGGAGAACATGGACAGCGGCACGCGGTACGCCATCGACGTGGCGGTGGGCACGCCGCCGCAGACGGTGTCGCTGATCATCGACACGGGGTCGCCTGAGCTGTGGGTCAACCCGCGCTGCGACACGGCCAACGACGCGGCCGCCTGCGCCGCCGAGCCCCAGTACGACCCCGACGGCAGCTCGTCGCTCGCCGACACGGGCGTCACCAACGTCATCACCTACGGCAAGGGCAACGTCTCGATCCAGTACGTCTTCGAGACGATATCCATCGGCTGTAAGCCCACCCACCCCTCCCTAATATTGAACACGCAGCCCCCATTGACAGCCCCAGCCGCCACCATCACCGAGCAGGTCATCGGCGTCGGCCTCGACTCGTACGACATCCCCATGGGCATCCTCGGGCTGTCCCCCGACACGGACGGCACGGCCGACTACCCTTACGTCCTCGACACAATGGCGTCGCAGGCCGTGATCGCCAGCCGGGCCTTCTCGCTGGACCTGCGCAGCGTCAGCGACCCTTCCGGCGCCGTCATCTTCGGGGGCGTCGACACGGGCAAGTTCTCCGGCACCCTCCAGAAACTGCCCATCCTCGCGCCCTCGCAAACCCCGACCGGCGCCGACCGCTACTGGGTGTCCCTGACGGGCGTCGGCATGACACAGCCCGACGGGTCTGCCGACCGCACGCCGGCCAACGCCATCGACGTCCCCGTGTTCCTCGACTCGGGCGGCACGCTCAGCCGGCTGCCGACGGCCATCTTCCAGGCCATCGGCAACAGCTTCCCGGGCGCGCAGTTCGACGCGCGCAGCGGCTTCTTCGTGGTGCCCGACTGCAGCGCGCTAGCCGACAGCGGCGGGACGGTCGACTTCTTTTTCGCCGGCGACGTGGCCGTCATCCGCGTGCCGTTCGCCGAGTTCGTGTGGCAGCCTGCCTCTGCCGGCAATAGCGCAGAGTGCCTGCTGGGCGTGCTGCCTGACGATGACGAGCCGGTGCTGGGCGACTCGTTCCTGCGCGCCGCGTACGTCGTCTTCGACCAGGACAACCGCGCGCTGCACATCGCGCAGGCCGCGAGCTGCGGCGCGGAGAATTTGGTGGCTATTGGGAAGGGCGTCGACGCGGTGCCCTCGGCCACGGGGCTGTGCGAGGGTGCTGCGCAGCCGACGAGCGCCGGCGACCTCGATGTCGCGGCCACGCAGGCGCCCACGAGGACGTTTTCGGGCAGCGCGCCAGCTGTCACGGCGCCGCTTGGTGGGCCGGGGCCTGTTAAGTCTATGGCGAAGACTACGGGTACGCCGAACCCTACGGGCCTGGCGGCGCCGAAGGAGACGGCTGATAAAAAGAATGCGGCTGTTGGTGGGGTGAGTGTTGGCCTCGGTGCGGGTGTGGCTTTAATGGTTGCAAATATCGTTGCCTGGACTCTGTAAATAGGGGTGGGATTTGATTTTTCGAAGACGATGGGTGACAGATTTTCGTGATTCGCATGGATGGGAGTTGGTTCTTTTTGGGGGTTTTTTTTGTCTTTGCATATGTACATAGGTGTAAATAGGATTCGGCGCTAATAACCCTATGGACGGAGAGAGTGTTGATAAGGCAATGGGTTATTTGGTTGTGTCTCTGTTGAGAGAACGGGAGTTTAAGTATTTAAGAGCTGAATGTTTAAATATTATCTTTATTTGTTCTTATTTATTCTTTTGAGCTCAAGAATCCATCATCAGTCATCCGGGACTTGACATGACTCCTTTGTTCATTAAACCCTGCTCCTTCCCGGCAGTTTTAAGGTTTTTGATGCCTCGAAGACTTGGAGTACGAAAATAGATGCTCTGTCGTCTCTTTGACAGCTTCAGTTCTGCAGACGAAAAACTAAACCCTCTCAGTCTGAAACAGAATAATGAAGATTACGCGGATGCAAACCTCACAGCCTCTTGCTCTCTTTGTTTCCGGCGGCCCTCCCGGGGGCCCCTGCGGTGTGCTGCTCGCTACGCTCGAAATGGTACGGTATATAGTACAAATTAAAGGCCCGAAACCTTCAAGGTGTATTCATAAGTCGCCAGGCTTCGCCTTGATTTGGGCAATTATATTATTAGTTTTGGAAAGACCGACTTGGCCTCAAATTGAAGCTCGAAGCCTTTCATCGTTGACGTCGCTCTTTCCAAGAAACGCTAACGTATTTTATAAGCGAATGCCCCATATAAGCGAATGCCCCATATAAGCGAATGCCCCACGCCCCACTACTCTACCACAATTATCTACAACTATTCCACCACAACACTAGGAAATGACAATAATTGAACTAGGAATAGATAAACCAGACAATTCTCCAGCCTCCTGACAGGTTCTTGCATTATGGCCAGGCTTTCCACACACACCACAACACCGAGCCTTCGTACGAGCCCCCCTTGCACTACCACCACTTTGCCTTGTTTCCTGGGCTAACTGCTCACCCACGGCCTTCTGATCTAGTAGATCCTGTGCTTGTTGTACAGTAAGAGACCCTCCAAGCCGTAGACGTGTTTTTTAGCCCTCCGTCGCTTACTAAGCTCCTCATTGGCCTTTCGTAATGCCGAGACCTCTGTACGTAACAGGGCCACCTCATGCATCATAGCCATTGTACCTTTAGCCAATTGGTCCACAGCAGTCAGCATAGGTGTCGGAGAGCTGCCTTGGTGGTTAGATATTCGGCCTTTAATAAGCTCCTTCTGTGAGGTAGCCTCTTGGGCGTTTTGTGGAGTCTGAGATAGCCAAGGTAGTGCGGTGTTTGGTGGTGAGGCTGGCGGAGTTGGAGTTCGAAGCCGAACAGTCATCTTAGAAAGTACCCTGCCTGGATCATGCGGTATAAGGCCAGCTCCAGCAAATGCTCCTTGGATGTTTTGGTCGATAAAGGCGATGAAAAATGCCTCTTTGAATGCATAGAGAAAATCCACCTTGGTGATATGTGTGATGTACATCCGCATTAACCCCTCGATTTGATCGCCGTAGGCCTTCTTCAATGGCCCAAAACAACCAACATCTAATGGCTGGACTAGATGTGAGGAATGCGGAGGTATACAGAGTGTAATAATGTTATACTTCTTGCAGTAGTTCTCGAAATCGTCGGAGTGGTGGCTTTCGTGGCCGTCAAGGATTAAGAGCCGGTATCTCCCCTTTGTACGAGATGTTGTATGGAGATCGAAGTGTTTGATAAAATCTAGGCCTTTCGTATTTGTAGTCTAGCCGTTGTCGGTTACTCCGATGTACCAGGTCTCCGGAAGGCCACATTCATACCAGCCTTTCTGGTGGTATTTTCCTTTTAAGAGGATGAATGGTGGGATAGCCCAGCCTTGAGCATTTACTACTTGGATAACTGTAGCCCACTCACGATTACCAGGTTGGACTTTTTTAGCCTTCCCATAGCCATCAGAGGTAGTAACAACCATCCCAGTAGTAATCATACCCATCATAAAGCCAGTCTCATCGAAATTGTACATATCGTCGTCAAGGATGCCGTACTTGGCCTTGGTGTTATGTACTAGGGCAAACCACTCGCGAATAATCTCTGGATCTTCGCATTTAGCCCTCTGGTAGTCGTATATACGCGAAAAACGCGTCCGGAGCTCTAGTTGGCGTTTGACGAAGTTGTGAGCCCAGAGCTTACCGACAGGGGGCGCGTCGCGTTCGCGTAACAATCGGTTGACCATATTTTCCACAAAACGAAGCCGAGGAGGAAATGCGCGTGTGCAAAGCTCGCTTACATACTGAACAATCGTACTCTCCTCTAGATCCGTAAGTTTCCGTGAGTTGGCTGGAATATCGCGTCGTGAAGGCTGGCCGGCGCGTCGGCGCCTAAGAGTCTTAGGATCGACTTGATAGATCTTAGCAGCGCCTCGAATAGTAAGATCTGTATCTTTTTCGAGAGCCTGAATGGCCAAGATTAGCCTGGCTTCTTTTGACGGCGACCGCATTTCGAGTGGTGGAAAAAAGCGGTGTTGTAGGTGGAGGTGCTGATTTGTGTGGGGCTGTGGGGCATTCGCTTATATGGGGCATTCGCTTATAAAATACGTTAATCAGAGGCTCCACCGCCAAATTCTTTCTCACTGCAGTACTACTACGTATCAGCAACCGCCCACTAAATGAGTCCTCTACCAGAATGGAGCCATGGTGAAAAGGATAACGCCCTCATTAAACAATCCCCGTAAATCCTGGCATCGTTGCATGTGATGTCCAACGTCATTCCAACACCAGCGTGTAATAATGTCGTTCGCGCTGAACGCCAGGGGTATGATGACACTCGTTAGAGGGAACTTCCAACTATTGGGGGCGAAGAAACAACACTTACCTAGTAAATATAGCAGCATTTTAGGGTGTTCATGCTGTCTCGTCGAGCAACTGGTAGTGAGGGAGTGCGTTGTGCTGTGGATGCTAAGTTAACTAACCCAGATTTGGCCAGGCCCTACATTTGGCCCATGCGCAAGCCACCATGCACTTACACCAAGGGTGATTGACCGATTTTTCTTCATCACACCGCAACTTCCTCAAAACAAGACCAAATTCTTCCATTTCTTGGTTAATCAAGAGCTCAATCAATCCTCTATTTACCATGCCTGAATACGACGAATTGGAGATACTGACCGCGATGAAGTTTGTGCGAGACGGCAGCAGTGTGCGTCAGGCGGCAGCAAAATATTGTGTGCCGAGGAGTACACTTCGGCACCGGCTGGCCGGCACAAAAGCCCGTTGCATTGCGTTTGAACACATGCAGACTCTAGATAAGCCTGTGGAAGAGCGTTTGACCGAGTGGATCGTCATGCAGGGTGCCCTCGGCCTGCCTCCTACGCATGCGCAGGTTAGGGAATTCGCCCGCCGGCTGGCCCGGGAGCTCGGGAAGCCTGACGAGATCGGGGTGAAGTGGGTGCGGCATTTCATGGCCCGGAACCCGACCATTAGGACCCAGAGAGCACAGCGGATCGACTCGGTGCGCCTCAACGGAGCTACGAAGGCAGCCGTGACGGCCTGGTTCGAATACCTGGCCCTCCCGGTTATTCGGGGCATCAAGCCCGAGCACCGTTGGAATAAAGATGAGACAGGCATTCTTGAAGGCCAGGGTTCCAACGGCCAGGTCATAGGAAGCTCAGAAAACAAGGTGTTGATGAAGGAACAACCCGGATCTCGCAGCTGGACTACCTTCGTGGAATGTATCTCTGCAACTGGCCAGTCCCTACCTCCTGCGGTCATTATGAAAGGAAAGACCGTTCAACAACAACACTACCCAGAAAAGCTCAAATCCTTCGTTGGTTGGCACTTCACAAGCCAGGAAAAAGGCTGGATTGACGATGCAAGGGCATTGGAATGGCTTCAGAAGGTCTTCATTCCTAGGACCCGGCCAGCCAACGGAGAAAAACGACTACTTATTATTGACGGCCACGGCAGTCATACCACCGATGATTATATGTGGTCATGCTTCCAAAACAACATCTACCTTCTTTATTTACCTCCACACGCTTCTCATGTTCTTCAACCTCTCGATTTGACTGTCTTCTCAGTCCTGAGAGGGCATACAGGAAGGAGCTCAATAGCAGGCCGACGTTATCGCACAGCACGGTTCTAGGGCGCCGGCTTATGTTGCTTTGTTATTTAAAAGCCTGGAAAACCGCATTTCAGCCCAGCAACTGCAAGGCAGGTTGGCATGCCGCCGGGTTGTGGCCTGTCAACAAGCAAAAGCCCCAGCGAAGCAAGTTGTTGCTAGAAAACAGGAACCAAGGCACCACAAATACAGCTTCACAGGCCCTGGAGGAAGCCAGGTCATTAACTTACCTGCAGCAACAGGTATATGATAAATACGGCGTCTAGAAGACTCCTCAAAAGGTCACGGAGCTCACGGTCTCCCTGGCGAAATTGAACATACATTCGGCGGCTCGCCGCACTCGCCGTACGCTATTCAGGAAGATCGAAAAGGCATTCAACATCAAGGACTTCGAATTGGCTAAGCTACGACGTGAGAATGAAGCTCTCAAGGCCGAAATTGAGAACAAGAAAGGCAGCAAGAAGAAGAAGGTCCAATTGAGCCCGAATTCCAAGTTTGCTACGATTGAGGACATTCGCAAGGCACAGAGGGCAGCTGGGCGCGATATTGACAGTTCAGACGAACCAGAGGGCTCGGAAGATGAAGAAGAAGACGAAAGTTGCATTGTAATTAGTTGATTTGACCTTTTTCTATAGCTTCAAATGTCATGCGTTGCGTTGTGTAAGTGCGGGCGGCGCCCGGGCCAAAAGTGGGGCCTGGCCAAATCTGGGTAAGCTAACTTATGTGCCAGGAGTTTGTGTAACAGCAGTAGACTGTAGAGTTGCCTCCCGTCAATATTGATACTAGCTGAGCCGGCTAGACCTTTCTGCGTAATGATCTGCCAAAAGTGTAAAATGTCTTTGGATGTAATCTGCGCCAAAATGGTGGCAGTTCGCCCGCGCGCCCTTCTGTCAATTGCTTAAAAGACGTGCATTACAACTGTCGGGACACAACGACCAACACAACCAAGGACATAATTACAGCTACCTATATTGCCAACCGCATGCTAGCCCTATTACCCAGCGCTGTTAGCGCATGGGCAATCTGGCTAAAGGGCAAAACCACGGCCTTGTTCTCGACTCCGCAGCATGTGCTGCTGCATGAGCCACGCCAGCAGCTACTAAACACGGCATAGGTAGTCAAGGAAACTCTACCAGAGCCCCCATTTTCATTTGCAGATGACTCACGGAGCTTTACTACCAGCGAGCAAGTGTAAGAGCGGGCGAGTATAAGAGCGGGCGGTTTGCAACTCCAGGACGCCGAAGACCCACCCCTGTCTAATTAGACTCAAGAAAGTACGGGAAGCACAGCAAGCCCCACCGCTCGACCTGATTACGTCTTCACGACCGCAATTTTACTGACCGCAAAAGAAAGCAGAAAAGAAAAAAGAAAGAAAAATATGACAGACCCAGCCTTCCAAATCAACACCCCCCGCCTAACCCTGTCCTACCTCCAACCCTCCAACGACACACACTGCGACTTCCTCGTCGCGCTGTACAACTCGCCCGAGTTCATCGCCTCGTGCGGCGGGTCGCCGACACACATCACGAGCCGCGATGCCGCACGCGCGCTGCTGGCCGGCCGCTTCCGCGCCGAGCACGCGCGCAACGGCTACGGGACGTTGCTCGTCAGTTTGAAGACTGTGCCCTCTGATAATGGGGATGTTGATGGAAATGGAATCCCAATTGGCACCGTGGCGCTGATGCGCGGCGAGGAGCCGGACCGCTACGGCGCGCCGGACTTGGGGTTCGCGGTCCTGCCGGGGTACATGCGCAAGGGGTATGCGACGGAAGCGGCGCGCGGGCTGCTAGACTTTGTGGCGGAGCGGATGGGGGTTGTGGAGGTTTTTGGGTTCTTTGACCCGGCGAATACCGTGTCGGGGAAGGTGTTTCGCAGGCTGGGGTTTGGGGACCGTGGGACGAGGGCGTTGAGGGTTTTCGGTGGTGCGATTAGCTGCGTGTGGACTGCGCCGGGCATGGCGGAGGATCTGGGTGTTTACGGGCTGTGAGGTGTTGGATGGGTGTGTGTGTTTCTTGTCGAGGGCGAAGTTCCATCGCGGGATAGCCATGTGCCTGTGTCTAGTGATCTAGACGGCCGTAGTTATTGACTCGAATAGTGGATGTCGGATGCTTTGTTCAGGGCCGGAAAAGCTTATCGCATCACAGCATGCTTGAATGCCGTAGACACTGTCTACAGGTACTTAGAGGCTACAAGATGGTGAATGTGAAGCCCAGAGAAGATGCCCAACGGTTTAAGCAAGTACAGGACTGTTGCAGCTACAAAGAATACCGAACACCCCAACCACAGCTTAGAGCCGCAAATCACTAGTTATTCTGGTAGCTGAACTTGTCCCAGAAGCCGTTCTTGGTCAGCTCGACAGCCGCCCTGGTTGCCTCGTCTAGGTCCTCCTCGGGTAGGCCCAGCACGCTGTTAGCCAGGCCATGCACCGACTCGTAGTCACCGCCGCCGTTGGGGAAGAAAGCGCGTGTGTACAGCACGCGGCCAAAAGCGCTCCGGTCGCCCTTCTGCAGCTCCTCGAGGCCCTTCTTGTACCGCTCGGCCGAGCTCTCCTTGGCAATCGTCCAGTCGGCGTCGGTGGTGCCGAGCACACGGTGCAAGCTGTCGAGCATGTCGCGCTGCGAGACGCGGAAGCTCGACACGTACAGCAGCTTGTTGGCCCAGGTCGCCACGGCGGGCGCGGTGTCGCGCTCGTCGTCGGGCAGTTCCTTGAGGCTGAGCAGCGCGGCGACAGCGCGGCCGCACTGCGCCCACGTGCTCGTGTTGATCTTCTCGGCCCCGTCGTCGAACAAGGTCGCGGCGCGCTGCGCAATGTCGAAGCCGTAGGCCGACGGCCCGGCCGACACGCTCCACTCGTACCAGAAGCTGCAGGTCAGGGCGATCCAGGCGCTGACGCCGGCGGCCTCGATGGTGGCGACGTTGGCGCGCACCGTGGCGCCGTGCAGGCTCTCGCGCGCGAGCGCCTCGTTGGTGAAGTCGCCGCCGTACGCGTTGGGCATGACGTACGGCACGCCGGCCTTGGCGGCCGCGGCGACGAGCGCGTCGTGCGTGCCCGGCGCCGCGTGGATCGACAGCGAGATGATGAGCACCTGCTGGCCCGCCATGGCTGCGACGAGGGACGCTTCGCTGGCGTAGTCGGCGCGCACGACTGCCACGCCCGCCGGCACCGCGCTGCCGCTGCCCTCGCGCGAGATGGCCGTCACCGTGTGCTTGCCCGTCGCCACGAGCGCGGCGGCCATGTGCTTGCCGACGTTGCCGCCGGCCTGGGGTCTGGTTAGCGGGTGCGACAGCAGACGGCTTGGGAGCGTGGCAACTTGGAGGGGTGGCTGGGACTCACCCCGATGATGGCCACTTTGGTGACGGCGTTAGTGAAGCCGGGGCCCTGGTCTTTGGCGTATTTTGGTGCCATGATGAAAGTGTTGAAGCGAGTTGGAGCGAGTCTTGAACTTGAGGTTGGTTCGAAGCCTCGAATTCGATGCAGAGTTGAGTCTTGGAAGAAGAGGTTGCTTGCTTGGTGAGGGAAACAGTTGAGGAGGCACGAAGACAGCGTTAATTATATAGGTATCTAAGTCCAATATCCTAACAGTAATATCGAAGGCTGCGGTTCGGAATTCCGCCCACTTCGCAGGCCGTGCTATACGAGAGCTGGACGCCGCCACGATATCTAACGTGCAAGTGCCGGATGCGGCCAACGGGCGGCCAATCAGGGGCCTAGCAATACGAGCGCAGGACTAGCGGCAGGGGCGTGGGTCGGAGTTAGCAGCGTAGCGGCCCTGCTCAGCACGAATTGGCCCGACAGCCGAGTCCGTTGGCGCCGGGTCGTGCCGTGTGGAGCTAGCTGGTGGTGGCTGTTGACTGTTGGTAAGCAAGACTCTGGTGACGACATCGATCGAGAACGGGCGGTCGAGCCGCCCGAGACTGCGGCTCCAATTATGAACCTCGGATATTTTCGTTGCTTTGGGAATTGCAATTGCTATTGGTAGGCATTGGGGTCATCCGCGGGGAGATTCGGGAGCAGAAGGGCAGTGGCGATAGGTCAGCGCAACTCTTTTTCAGTGGGCAGATAGATATTGTAACAAGCAGACCAACGAAGAGAGATAATTCTGTTGGAACAACGCGCTAGTCAGCCACAAATGTGGCGATGGAGGCGCAAGCAGCCACAGATGGCTGTGGAGGCGCAGGGGCGCAGGGCCACCGAACCTAAATAAGTGGCCGTAGGCCACTTCCACCTTCCTTCTTAGACACACATAGACACCAACGAAATCCAACACTTGAACCACCAGTATACGGCAGTGCGCCCTGTTGATTCCAGTACCAGTACCTGGTGATCCCAACAAATTCCTCCCGTTCAGATGCGTAAAACAGCGAGAGCAGACAAAATTGTCGTATTCTATTCTAAACAGCCCGTGGCTGACAATCCTCAACTAGACATAGACTACTTATAATAGGTTACCTGACGGGTAGTAAGGGGTTAGCTGAACAGAGCCTCTTTTTTTCTTGTTTTTTTGCCTCCGGCGGCGCCTGCGGCGAGCTGTCATCGCTTCGCTCGAGGGAATGGGTGGCTGGCCGAGGGGTGCTAGTCATGTTTGACCAAGTTATAACCACGACATCTCTTGTATTCGGGAGTAATCTGGTCGTTCGGGGTCTCTTTATAATTAGGTATAGGGAGGATCGGGCGGTCGGGAGGCTAGCCACAGCGCCCGGGTTTGGCGCATCAGACGGTGGGGGCTGCGGCTCGAAAAACACGCGTTCCTAGTAATATATTAGGAAGGATTAATAGGGTCATAATCGTAAAGTATTCGGCGTGCCTGTCTATAGCTGGAAAGCGATAAATCATACGTGCGATTGACTGAGGTTGAATTGCGAGATTGAGGAGGAAAGTGGTTTATTTTGGGGGGCGGGGCTGGCTAGAAAGTTGAAGGTACCGCACGGACGGATTGACAGCCATTTCTACCTCACGACACAGCAAAGCGGCATTTAACGGCTTAACACGTTCGAGGATTATCCGACGGCCAGTCCCCCGAGTCCATTTCGACACGGACGAAAACTGGCCAACCGCTGTGCGAGAAACTTTCGGCACCCTCACGGTAATTCAGCTGAACGGAGCCACCGTAGGCGAGCTTGCGAGCCGAAGGTGGCGTAGAGAGGCTGTATTCTAAATCCAACAATTAGACCATGAACATCGAAATATAGAATTATCACGAGAATTTGTTTTGGTGGTAGGATAGCGGTCAATCCGTTGTGGGTGGTCCGTGCGGTACCTTCAACTTTCTAGCCACCTCCCCCGCTAAAATAAGCCACTTTCCTCTTCAACCTCGTAATACAACCAACTTCAGTCAATCGCACGTACGATTTATCGCTTTCCAGCTATAAACAGATACGCCGAATACTTTACGATTATTACCCCATTAATTTCTACTAATATATTACCAGGAACGCGTGTTTTTCGAGCCGCCGCGATGGCTATGGTGAGGTCCCTCAACCACGGCCCGATGCGCCAAATCCAGGCGGCAGTGGCCAGCCTCTCGACGGCCCGATCCTACCTAAAGAGACCCCGAACGACCGGATTCCTCCCGATAACCAGCACTTTATGAGGGCTCCTAAAATGCCTCAGCCACCCATTCCTTCGAGCGAAGCGAGGGCAGCCCGGTGCAGGCGCCGCCGGAGGCAAAAACAAGAAAAAAAGAGGCTCCGTTCAGCTGGCCCCTTCCTGATTAGTCAGGTAACCTATTTTGTAGAATAAGACGAGACACGTAAGGGAGTTGGCAGGGCAAAAGACGCACCAGGAAGATATTTGTTAGGCAGAATAAGACGAGACAGGCAATTGGGAGTGGCAGGGCAAAGACGCAGCAGAAAGATATTCGTCAGTTGGAAGATGAGAGACAAGACGAGACACGCAGTTGGGGGTGGCAGGGCAAAAGACCACCAGGAAGATGTTCGTCAGTTGGAAAATGGGAGAAACAAGACGAAACACGCAATTGGGAGTTGGCAAGGTAAAAAGACAAACTTGGGAGTTGGCAGGCAAAAGACAATCAGGAAGATATTCGTTAGTTCGAAGATGAGAGAATCAAGACAAGACAGGCAATTGGAGTCGGCAGGGCAAAAAGACAAACTTGGGAGTTGGCAGGCAAAGACGCACCAGGAAGGTGTTCGTCAGTTGGAAGAAGCCATCCCGAGACACGTCTTGGCTTTTGCTGGCACTTGCGAGCGTTGGTACATGGTTTCGGAGCTCGGCGGCGGACGGGCAGGCATTCCCTGTAATGTTGGGGATGGAGGGGTGGCGAAACGGGGCTCTCGGGGCTGTCGGAGCTCGGCGGCGGGCGCGACGGGCGAGGCAGTCCCTATAATGTTGGGGATGGAAGCGGGGCGGTGGGGGGCTGCCGGATTACTCAGTGTCGGGTCCGGGGGCAGGCAGGGCGGTTTTTCAGGGCAGGCAGCAGGCAGGCAGGCAGGCAGGCAGGCACGGGATGAATACCCAGGGAATGCACTTTACGGCGGATAGCAGCGCCGATGGGAATGCATTTTGCGGGAGTATGGCCTTTGCGGGAATGGCCTTTGCGGGAATGGCCTTCGCGGACAGCAGCGCCGATGGGAATAGCCTTTGCGGGGGAATGCTTCGGGGAAGGCGCTTCGCGGCGCACATCCTTTGCCGAGCTGGCTCACTCGGGCCGGTCGGCTACCCAAACGCCCGGACTTCCGCAGCATCCCAGCGCCAGCGCACGGCGTTGGGGGCCCCACAGTCACATGCTGTGTTATGGTGATGCTTTTCTGTGGAAGTGCTGTGGGTGATGCTTTTATCTGCGTGCAAGTGCTGTCATCGGTAATGCTTTTCTGGCGTGCAAGTGCCATGTTATGGGTGTTCCATGTTGTGGTTGTGATGCTTTTCTGTGCAAGTGCTGTTATGGGTGATGCTTTTCTGGCGCGCAAGTGCTGTTATGGGTGATGCTTTTTGGCGCGCAAGTGCTGTGTTGTGGGTGGAAGTGCCATGTTATGCGTGGAATTGCCATGTCCTACGCGTGACGCTTTTCTCTAGCTGCAATTGCCGTTCTACGTGCGATGCTTTCTCTGGCGGCAAGTGCTATTCTACGTATGATGCTTCTTGGCATGCAAGTGCTATGTTATTTGCTTTCTTGGCGTCGAAGTGCTATATTATAGGTATGATGCTTTTTATCTAGCGTGTAAGTTCGACGTGTGATGCTTTTATCTACGTGCAACTGCCATCTGCTACGTGTGATGCTTTCTCTGGCGGCGCCACTCTACCTGTAGTGCTTTTCTCTGGCGGCAAGTGCCATTTGTCGGATGCTTTTATTTAGCGTGCAAGTGCTGTGATGCTTTCTCTGGCGTGCAAGTTCTACGTCTCATGCTTTTCTTTAGCGGCAACTGCAATTCTACTTTTCTCTGGCGTGCAAGTTCTACGTCTCATCATTTTGTTCAGCAGGCAGCTGCCATTCTACGTGTGCTTCTCTGGCGCAAGTAACAATTATACGCAACTAATATATTCGCGCGAGTGCAATTGTGCAGCGCCATATCGTGATACAGTACGTACAATCGTGCAGCGCCATATTATAGTATAGTGCGTGTAAGTGTATACGTAATATAAGTGCCATTCTACCTATACTTTCTAGCCTAAGGACCAATTATACGTAACTAATATATTTACGCAGTACAATTGTATAGCGCTATATATAACAGCTATAATATGCGAAGTGCTACTAATAGGGATGATTCTCGCCCAAGACAACCGCTCGTTCTCTACCGAACATTAAGCCACACGCCTATAGCGCGCCGGCCAAATAGAACTTGTCAAAAAAACCACCGTATTACCTCGTCCACCATTGTCCTAATGAATGATTAATAAAGATAGGGCATTGCCTTGTCGCCGGCCGCAGAGTTATGGCCGTAAAAAAACTTATTAAAGGATAACGAGGCGCTCCGTTCGCCCGTTGGGGTAATGCTGAGGGGAGTCGTTAGATAAAAAACAACGCATCGTCAAAAGGTGTTCAGTTGGTGCCCGAAGGCCCCGCCTCAGGGTATTTTTCCTCTCCAATTGCAGCAAGAAGCTACGCAGTGCGTGGCCGCCGCTCATTGGGCAGCTGCCCGATGACCACCGCCGGGCTTTTGATTACGTCAAGGTTGGCGATTATGCGTATAAAAGGAGTCTTGCTCGAGTCCTTGACAATGTGCAGCTGCCGATTGGCAATCATGCCAATCGATCGGTGCTCGAGGCCTATAACTTCCGCCAGGATGTGAACCGTGCGCCGTTACAACGGAGTCATGTTGTTGTCCCGATGCTCGTTTCGCTTGAAGAGAGTCAACTACGTATAAAAGTCTAGCGACTCTCTATTATTCAAGTCGACGTCTCCTATAATAGCTAGTTAATACCGGACGATAAGGGCCGGGGGACGTAAAGACTCACTTAACTTAGGGATAGGAGGAAATATAAGGCGAGGAGTACGGGCGGTATTAGGCCTTTAGCTAGCCTCGGCGCTCCTTTCGCGCGAGCTCTAGACGCTCCTTCTCCTACGACGGCAGCTTCTTCTTATATAGAATATTATTACAAACCACTCGACTGTTAGGATCGTCTGTCAGTAAGGGAGCACGGGCTCTACAGGATGCTGGGGTTGGTAATTATGAAGATAGAACAAAGGGCAAGTGTCACGGCCGGCTTGGAATGAGGGCGGAACTCCTCTATTGGGCGCTATCGACGAAGATTCTAAACTAAAGGGAAAAGGGAAAAGAAGCTCAAAAGCCTCCCCTCGCGAGATTCTTCCAGGGCGTCTCAAGGTGGGGCTCTGGCCGAGCTTCCATTAGTCAGTTGGGTGGATCCCTCTGGCTGGTCGGGCGGATCCACCCGGCTGGCGTCTGATTAGTCAGAGCGTCTGGGAGGCCTGGAGGACCAGGCCCTCACAGCAAGCTCCTATCGCACGGGTAATACAGTCAAATTGGAATGCCACTCAAAGTGTATGAGTGCAGTGAATGTGTATTGCTTGCTTGCGAGATCAAGCAAGAGCTATCTAGAACCGTAGGCACGGTTGTTGTATATATCTATCTACTGGACCAATAACAATGGTCCCACTGTCCTGTGGTCCCGCGTCCGGGACGCCGGCCCTCCGGGGCTGTCCCGTGTCCCCGGGCCCAAGTGCTCGGGACCCTGGGACACCTCTGATTGGTCCACACCAAACAGGGAGTGCCCCACCTTCACGCATTTACGCAGGGATTCGTAACACATAGCCAAATCCACCAACTGCGCCCGGCACCCTGCGCCCGGGCCACATAGGCCAATTTTTACCTATATTGAGGGCATCTGCTGGATCCACCAAAACCTTCCTGTGACGAACCTGGTTCGTACTGGACCAGCTGCAGAAGGCAGGCGCCTCAGGCAAGACTGGGAGCCCCGCTTGTCGAGAGCCAATCAGACGGTGCCCGGTGCCAAGAGGGCTCTTGGCACCAGGCAAACGGAAGGACGGCCAATCAGAGGTGGCCCGGTGCCAAGAAGGGTCTTGGCACCAGGCAAATGGCCCGGCACGCTAGCAGTGCCCGGCGCTAGGCAGCTTCTTCCTGCCGGGCAAGTAAGAGCGCAGCTCTTACTGGCCCGCCATAATTAAATAAATACGATGACCGTGTCCACGGTCTTAGATAGTTCTTGCTTGGTTCTTCAAGCAAGCAATACACATTCGCTGCACTCATACACTTTGAGTGGCATTCCGATTTGACTGTATTACCCGTGCGATAGGAGCTTGCCCTCTGTTCTATCTTCATAATTACCAACCCCAGCATTCTGTGGAGCCCGTGCTCCATTACAGACAGACGACCCTAACAGTCGAGTGGTTTGTAATACTTCCACATTCAACCACAACACCACAATACCGTCAATTGAGCTATACCAACAACACCACGATTTTATCGCCGCGCAAGTAGGTGCGCCGCTTCATTTTCCATCTACAAGACTAACTAGCGATAGAAATGGTCGCGCGGGCCTTCGCCCGGTGAAAATGAAGATGCGGCTCCCTCTACGCCCGCGCCCACACCAGAGCCCGCGCCCGACCCCCTCAATGCCTCCGCCAGACCACATGCTTCTCAACCACAAATACGACTCCCTCGATGACCTATTCGACGATTTATATGACTGGGCGGCTTCTACGCTCTTCGCCGTTAAAAAGCTTTGTATAGCAAACAATTTGAAGGACTTCGGGCCTACCTACGTCAACATTTGTTACGTAAGAGACAAGGTCCGGCCGAGTGAAGCAATTACACGGGATCCGAGGACTATCAAATGCAACTGCCCTTTCAGCTGGCTAAGGCCTTAGCTACAAACTAACGCAAATAAACCTAACACATAGTCAACGGCATACACAACCACCCGCCCGCTGAATCCCGTACGAATCTAGTCGACAGGTTCCTTCCTGAGTACAAGGCATTTATAATGACTTACTACGATAGACCCGCTATCTCAAACCGTGAGATCGCGAAGGATTTGCGTAATCGGTTCCCCGGCATCATGTTCAAGCGTAGGCAGCTTCGAAATCTACGATATACCAGTACCCTACGAAAGGAGACCCTTAACGGACATACACCATTCCAGGCCACGAAGAAGCTACTTGACGACAAAAAGATCTAGTATTCCGTTCTTTGGTCCAAAGAGAATGACAAGAAGCCAGAGGGTCTTTTCTGGACAACGCCCTAGTTTGAGGAGCAATGGAATTAGATTCTACGAATACAGCGACCTTAATGCAGCCTTGCCTCATCTAGTTGACTGTGCGGTGACAATGGCGTGAGTTCTAGGAGGACCCTCTGCTAGCTCCTTCATCCCCTCCGCTAGGCCGCTTCAAGAAGTTCAAGAAGAAGCAGACACCCACAGGCACGCAGCCGCTTCATTCACACATGTCGTTGGTGTTTGCTGGGACCTGGCCCCCACAGCCTCCCCACATACCCCTATCTATACCCCGGAGCTCGACGGTTACCTCTGGCATTCAGCCTGAAGGCGAGCCGGAGAACGGTGCCAGCCCTGCCGGTAGAGCCGTGGCATGCACCGATCGGCGTTGAAGCCAAGTCACGGGCGCCGTTGGTCAGGTGCGGCCGCTGCCAAGCCAAGCGTCACTGCGCGTCGCCTGTCGCCCGTCTCCTCTCCAGGTTCCACCGTTCCCGCGCGCTGATCACATGCGTGGGTGGATGGAGACGATGGCCCACTGCTGTACGCTCTTCGCGGGAATCGAGGCCCACTCGCAAATCACTTGGGCTGCGGGTGGCGTGGTGCTGGCGGGGCAAGGTTTTTCCTCGCTCGCTCGCCGTTCAGACCCGGGAGCAAAACTCGGAAAGGCGGCGGCTTGGCTGTGCGTCGTTGCTGGTGGTGTGTGCGTTCGGTGTTGGCAAGGAGTATTGTTGGTCCATTATTTTGACAGTTTGACTGTGGAAAGCATAGTCATGATATGGTCAAATAAATTAGAGAAACTGTGAGTTCAATGCGTGGCTGTGCTTCTCGTATTCTGCAAAAAAAACAGACTTCAAAATGGAATTTGCCCTTACCCAAGCCGGGAAAGACGGGGTGCCAAGAAATCCAAGCTTTGCACAAGACGCTGTGGGCATCAGATAATAATCATGAACCGTGATCAGCCCAGGCTAACGGCTCGTGTCGAGTTTGTCACTTTGGCGGAGCGGCCTTGAGGTACCGAGGCGGTTGTGACGCGGATAACTGAAACTCGGCCTGGCGTTGAAGAGGGGCATATCCTGAGACAGCAAAAAAGCTAATTCTGTTTCTACGATACCATCCTCTTCTACGGTACTGCACCCACAATAATTCAGGGATCACCCCCAAAAGGGGTGGGGTTAGCATGATGCGCGGCAAGGTCAAGGAGGGCAGTAATAGATGCTTGGCAGCTAATTATTTCAGGACAACTGTTGTAGTTCAGGAGTGTATACGGTGATAATAAAAGACTACGCATAGTTCTATAAAGTTCAAACGCGGCTTCACAGATTAACCCACTCGGAGCAGAACTTGTTCTTCTTTACTGTTGCTACTATAGAGTTATTATCGCGAGTTTCAGATGTTCTTGTTCCTGCTGGCCGTGACCTCGCTCCTTCTAATGTTGCATTATATCATAGTGCGTGCCAAACTCAACAATCAGGGACGACTAGGTAATTACTGCTTAGTCTTTGGATTCACTGGGCAGATAATCATTCTCCATTAGGCTCAACGCATCGGCTAATCGTGATACAAAGACGTCATAGACTAGAAATTTGAAGAAGCCCAGCTTAGGGAAAAGAATTTTGCGAAAGAGAGCACAACCACGTAAGTGCCACAAGTGAAGAGTTGGCATCTTTGCTCGCAACTGCTTTAGCCCCCAACTCGCAATTAATTTAGCCCCCAACTTGCTGCCGCATTTACCCTAACTTAGGCCACGCCGCTCTTTCGACTAAACCCATTCTTTATGAAACTCAAAGGTTGATTCTTTGTGTCGTTGTGAAGTGGGGAGGAAAGGCAGCCAGCCCCCTTGTGGAGGTTGCTAGAAGCCTGGGCAGGGAGCCAGACTAACTAGAATGGTTTACGGACAATTTAGCCAGGAGTGGCGAATACGACGCGCCCGTTGCAACGTAAACAGCTGGCAGCGGGCTACAAACGGCATCGCGTTAGCGCCCCCGTCTCACCCAAGCACTGCGGCGATCTTGGCTGAGGAGACTCGGTATTTGTTTACAAGACACGCAACAGTGGGTCTGGGCCGGCGTAATTGGCTTTGCGTGGTTCTAGGATCCCTCGGATCTCCAAAACTATAGACAGCTAAATTCAAGGCACCTGTGTTTAGGTGGATATGGCAACATCGCCTCCATCTCCAACTAACTACCTAACTAGGAACGGGAAACCATTCACATTTGCGCCGTAGGTTCTGTCTTTGCTCTGCGAGTCCTCGTTTGTGTCGGTGCCCAAAGGCTAGCTAGTGATGAATAAGACGAGTTAAAGATGTGATCAAAGCCTATAAGTCGGGGATGTGGTTGGTTGATTATCTGCGCGAAAGGCTGGCTGTTAAGAAAATTCGAAAGTAGACTGAGACCCGATAATTATATCCTCCCTTTTGACTGCTTAGGTTTTCTCTCCTCTCTACCCTGTCGTTATTGAAGGTGCAGGGCCGTATTCTGGTCAGCGTGGAGCTAGTGTGTTAACGACTAGAAATTACTAAATAATTAGGGGCCGAATTACTTAGGTTAATTCTGTTTTGGGTTGTGCGATTGGTCCTACTCATCTAGCTACATCGTCTCTCGTGTCTTGGATGATCCTATCTACTGAAACCTCCTCTCCGTCTGGTCTGGGCTGCCTACACATATAGCCACGCATTGTAATTACGTCAAAAACGGAACTAGATATTTGGGTTCGAGTTCTTTCTGACAACGATAAAGGCAATAGACGTCAACGACACGCAGTGCAGGAGAATAGGGTAACGTTACCCTCATGCAAAATGAACCCCGACCCTTTACCTGCAGAAGTGGAGATTCGAACAAAGACAACAACAACCTCGGCCATGCAATGCACGCACAGCCTCTCAAGGCCTCGCCCCCGGCTCAAGAACGAAAAGATCCAACGTAGCGGCGCTCTCCTTCCTGCGAATCCTAAAATTGGGCGTGTGGCCGAGCTGCCTGAAAATCGCCAGCGGCTTGCCGTCGGGGGCGAGCACGCACTCCTGCGCGCCGCCATCGAGTAGGATGCACAGACAGAAGTCGTCGTCGATCCCGCCGCCGCTGCCCGAGGGTCGTGGAGGGGCCGAGCCGAGCACCCGCGGAATCGAGCTGGAGGTGGTGGTGGGGGGTGGATCTGTAGCCACCGCCTGCGACAGCTCGTGGAGCCGAGCTAGAGCCGGGGATGGAGCTAGGAGGAGAGCTGAGCGTCGGCCGCACGCGGAGGCCATCCCGCGAATACTCAGCCTCGACCGGGGCCGGAGAGCTGTGGCCACTGCCTGCGACGGGTCGCGGCGGAGCGCGCGGAGTCGAGTCCAGCGGCAGTCACGAGCGGCCGTCGGGCGACGTGGACGTGTCGTACGTCTCGCAGGACTGGGGCAGATTAGTGTTGTGCGCTACCTGGGCGGTGTTTAGGGTGTACGTGTGGGATGTACGGGTTCGGTATACACACCAAGAGGATGGCGCCGTCGCCAACGCGACTGCCCGCGTCGGGGTTGGCGTTAGTGTTCGCGTTCGCATTCGCGTTCGTACCCCGTGCCGAGCGGCAATCGGATATTGGACCTCGGCGGCATTGCGTTACCTCTTTAACTCTACACAGGGCTGGAGATATTGCGCCAGATACCGGAGAGGTCGCGCGGGTGTAGTTCAGAGTTTAGCTCGTGGGCTGACAGGTTGGTCTGGGCTAATTAGGTATTTGATACGCAAACACAGACGCGTTAGCAATGTCCGCGTTAGCAATGTCCGCGTTAGCAATGTCCGCGTTCCACATTCGGGGGTCCCCGCCCGTCGCCCGGCGCCCGCTACCCTGGTCATGACGTCAAGGTACAAACAAAATGTCGCTCTGCACGTGGCGGCCGAAAGGGGCAGAATAACGCCACGAGTCGTCTGAACTGAAGCTGACGTCGTGACTAGAGGCTGAGAAGTTCTGACTGACTCTGAAATAACCGTGTTCACCACCTGGCTTTAGGGTGTGTAAGGTTGTTATGTTACGGTCGGGGTCGCTTCAGAATTCGAGTAGAGACTCTTTCTTTTATTGTTTTTTTATTCTTTTACATGTTGTCGTTTTCACCGATGTCAATTGTTGGTTGATCTTACGTCGTCAGATGCTCCGAGCATCGACTTTTAAACCGTGTACAAATATTAAATGGACGCATTTAGGTAATCGTAGGAGCTTAATACATAATAGAGCTCAATGTAAATTGTTAACACCACGGAGCCACATCGCGGTAACTGAGGTAATTATGACTTGTGAAGCCGCGTGCAGCTTGCCGACGAGCGAGGTTGGAGATCGAAGAAAGTCGAACTACCGCTTATGCTTAAAAATAACACAATTGGACCAAGTTTAGGTCCACAGTTTTCTCCATTCCTACTTTATTTATTGGCCTTTCCCGCTCAGTTTGCGGAGACAGACCCGTAAGACCGATAAGATCGATAAGATCGATCTGGTGTTTTTCAAATCAGCCAATTGGAACTAGAAAGCGAGGTAAAGGTGGGCCAGAATACGGCTACAAGGAAATGTGGGCCCTTACTTAGTTCAAGAAGCGGTACCAAGGGAATTAATACCACAATGCTTGTAGATATAAATGGGCATGATAAAAAGGCAACCGCTCCGAATTTCATATAGCGCCTGCCGAGTGCCGACTGACCTGCGAGGGCACTCGGCGCAGCCTCTCGACAGCCCTTAAGCTATTTACTCGCAAAAGAGCGAAGGACCCGAATGACGCAAACGCGCCTTGCCGATATCCTTCCCGACTGGCAAACAAACAAGCAACACCCCGGACCACAGTCAATACCATAACTATACGGCCGCAATATCGCCAGTCTCCGATGCGTCGCTCAAGAAACCAGTTCCGCCGGCAGTTGCAGGGCCCCCATCCACAGCACCAGATGCTATAAATGTCAACTGTAAATTATTTATGACCATGCCCTCCGCAAACCGATCGAGAAGTGTGTGTGTCTGTGTGTGTGCGTGTGCGTGTGCCGCGGTTTTGGCAAAATAGGGGCGCGAGAGCAAATCAATTCCGCGCCCCAGCCCTGATAGGCTTGGCTAAATCTTGGCGATATTGCTTACCATGCTTGCTGCTGTCGCTCACCTCCCCCCCAACAGCCGCGGAACCGCTCGGCATTTATTTCCACATCATCAGGATGAGCCGCGCATGGGGTCGCGCAGACAGGTTTCTGGGGAGATTTCCTGGGGAAAGTCTGGTTTTCTGGGGGCATGTAAAAGGCTGGATCCGGCCCGCCTGGGTCCACCTCCCGCGTCTTCCCCCTTTTTGTTCTACTGGCGTATTTTGATTCTCGTCACTCGGCGTACTGCTCCAGAGTCCATCACGTACCACCAGCTCCGGTTTGCAACAGCCGCAAAATGCACTCTCTGGGTCTCCTCGCGTTCGCGGCGGCCGTTCAGGCGGCTCCGCAGGGTTTTGGTGGCGGCGGCGGCGGCGGCGGCGGCGGCGGAGCCATGCTGCGCTTCGGCTGTGCGCAGGCCGTCATCGACCGAATTGATCCGTGAGCAAAGTCGCGTGTAGGGATGTACAAGACCAAGACTGACTGACTGACTGACTGCTGCCAGCCTCGTCGACCCCGGCCAGGTCCCGTCGCCGCACGTCCACCAGGTCGTTGGCGGAGTGCGTATTTCTGTCCCTCTCACACTTACTGTCACTAACCACGACCCAGAACGCCTTCAACGCGACCATGGCGGTCACGGACATCTCCAAGGTGGCCAGCTGCACGACTTGCACCTTCTCCGAGGACCTGTCCAACTACTGGACCGCCAACGTCTACTTCCGCGCCCGCAACGGCAGCTACAAGCGCGTGCCGCAGATGGCCAACGCCCAGATCGGCGACGCCAACGGCGGCCTGACCGTCTACTACACGGCCCCGGGGCCCAAGCAGGTGACGGCCTTTAAGCCGGTGAGTCGATAAGCCTGTTTTCTACACGTTGTTATCACGTACCACGTGAGAACAGACCGCTTACACACTCGCAGGGATTCCGCATGTTCTCGGGCGACCCGAATCGGCGCAAGTCGGCGGGCCTCGGCAAGAACATGCAGAGCTGCTACCGGTGCTTTACGGGGCCCAACTTTGGCGGCAACACCATGTCGCCGTGCATGGACCCCAAGATAGACAGCGAGGGCTTCCCGTCGACCCCGTGCCCGGGCGGTATCCGGTCGAGCGTCATCTTCCCGCTGTAAGCTGCACAACCCGGAGGTTTGAGAGAAGCTGCTGACTGTTTCATGTGCGTGCACAGCTGCTGGGACGGCAAGAACCTCGACAGCGCGAACCACATCGACCACGTGGCGGCGCCGACGGGCGGCCCGGCGTCGTTTGCCGTCACCAACGGCAAGTGCCCGGCGTCGCACCCCGTCAAGATTCCGCAGATCCACTTTGAGGTGTGTAGTACTCTTGCAGGCCACCCGTGGATGGATGACGTGCTGACTGTGGCAGATTGTCTGGGACACGCGCGCGTTCAACAACAAGGCCGACTGGCCCGCGGACGGCTCGCAGCCGCTGGTGCTGAGCCACGGCGACACGTAGGCGGCCCTTTCCCACCCCTTTCTCCCAAAACAAACCCCCGACCCCCACTCCAAAAGACAAGAAACGATCCACCCACGCACTAAATAACTAACCCTGGTCGAATAGCACGGGCTTTGGCCAGCACGGCGACTACGTGTTCGGGTGGAAGGACGACGTGCTGCAGCAGGCCATGGACAAGAGCTGCTTCGGGGCGACGTGCAGCGCGCTCAAGGCGCAGGCGTTTGGCGCGGCGAACAAGTGCACGGTCAAGACGGCCGTCAAGGAGAACACGGACGGCTGTGAGTTGTTCCCTTCTCGCCCCTCCTCTTTGTTGATGAAATTTGCTAATGGTGTGTTTCACTAATTAGGGCTCGACCGCCTCCCTGGACAGGGCATGGACATGCCGGGCATGAGCGCGTGAGAGGGGGCGCTTGTTTTGTTCCGCATGATACCGAGTTGGATGATTTGAAGTGTGAGATAGCGCTTGATCTCTTTTCTTCGTTTGTTGTTGTCATAGTTCTAGCCCGAGAGAGCCATACTACGTAGTTACTACTGCTCGAGTATCTGTGTGTAGACTCTCTGTCCCGTGGGGGTCCTTACTGTGTCAGCAAGAGAATTCGTTCTCTAGTTACTGACTCTGAGTATGTCCTGCTCCGCTGGGTTAGTTCTCTGGCTATCCCTTCGAGGGTACGTACCTAGGTAGGCATGCAGCTGTTTTTGAAATGTAACGCCGATGAAGCAAAGGCGGTTCCGAAAAGCATCGGTTCGGGGGGATTTATAGCGCTTGTCTATCTATGGTGACATTCGCGAAGCCTTTCTCTCACAATATACAAGGGCCAATGATGTATCGTGTGCATGTTAATATTGATTGGTGTGATCACTAGCAAGATAGTTGCTAAGAGCAACTAGAAATTCTGAAGAGGCTAACCTGTACGGATTAAAGGTATACAAACGCCGGTTTTGGCTCCTACTCCAAATGTCCATTCCAGTAATCCAGCCTTTAGCCCTTGACTTGTATTCCGCAAGAAAGCGCACCTCAGATCGTGCAGCAGTGACCCATCTATGTTGCCCGGCCATTCTATTGCCGGTGGCTAAAAGACATAGGAAGAAAAGGGGATCCTAAAACATATCCCCCGTGACGACCCGTCTAGAAGATATGGGAAAGAAAGGACTCTTCAAAAGAAAGCCGCGCCAAACATGACTCCAACCTCGAATTCCAACTATATCCCATAAAATCCAATGTCCTGATTCCAATGTGCTGAATCCGATACGACAGCCGTGGGTGGAACAACATATGCTTGGATGACACGGACTCTGTCTCCGAAGAAGGATATGACTAGCGGCTGCACCAGGATGATTACCGGTTAGCTTTCGCGGGAGGGAGAAAGATGGGAGACTAGGGATGGAGTACTCACGGCAATGGGAGTCGACCATGGATCGGGATCGTAGCGTGCGCGATAAGCGCCAGTCTGTTTGAATATAAGGGAGAATAAGGCCCTTATCCGACTAATAGCATTGTGTTGCTGTCAATGCGCTCGGTTTCGTAATGCGTAATGACACAGCCTAGGAAGTCGCCAATCTCAATCATGAGCTCGGCGCGCCACTTCCACCATGTACCCAAGGCATCCTCTTCGCCAGCGGCAAGGTATTCCTCTATGGTATTGGAGTAGTCTAGCTCTCGTTGGTAGGCGGCGCTCGCGTCCGAGTACGGCTCTGCATGTTTCCGTACTGCCTGGGCACATGTGGCTAGATGGTGGTGCCAGTTAAGAGCCGATCTGGGTATGGGGCTCAAGTGCTTTCTGACACTGTCGGTGAGCTGATGGGGCCTGGTGAAGTGGTCGCTGTCGCGACGATGGATTCGCTCCGCTGGCGGGATGATATTCTTGACATGCGCAATCAACGGTCCGATATCTTGCGGCGAAGGCAGCCAGTCTGGCGCATCGGCAGCCGATTGTGGGTAGATGTTGCGCGTCGTGAGGATGCCGGAATCAATTGGGAATTGCTCGATGTTGCCCTCCACAAGGTCCGACCAGTTTCTCTTGAGATGGTTGAGACCTGGAAAGAATGGGAAGGGCGGCTTCGTGCCGTTATCGTCACGAGACGGGATTGAGGACATGGTGATGTGATATGAGGTGGATGGGCTACTCGAATGATTTTTTGATTCCCGAGCGGTGATGTGTGTTTGGAGGTGTTGGAATGGGTTTGGGGGCAGTCGACGCGGAGTGTAAAAACGAGTTTGTACCCACGGTATCAGTGGGTCGACTCTCGTGCTCAGCATGGACCATAAATACCAGAAAGGGAAGGGGCATTAGGTTGCTAACATGACATTTTATGAACACAAGGTAAGGTACCTAGGTACTTAAGTATCTCACCTACTAAGAAGCTAAAAAGGTCTTTATTATCATCTCTTTAATTTAATTTCATATCTAGTCTATATAATTAAGAGATAATTAATTATGAAATATAGTATTCTTACTATTGAATACTTGGACCCTGAGCATTGAAAATACTGAAGATGAAGATACCTCGCCTTGGCGATTTCCGAGGGGTCTAATCGCATCTGACTTGTAAAGTGCCAGGTCGTTTGGGACAGAACTGTCTACTTGAACAGCGACCCTGACGCCATCTCAGCGCCTCTGTTCAGGCAGTAACGAAGCACCTACTCAAGCCCGCCTGTTGCCTAATTTTCTCGACTGGCCCAAAATCGGATTTTGCCACATCCGTTCATTGACTTCCCACCACTAGCAATCTTCTCTTTATCGCCTGGATAATATAACACTAGACCCCCGAGTCTCTACTTGCTACCCTCAAACGAATCTCGAGCCCTGCTACGCCGGCACGACGGTATTATTAATCATGTCAAACACCCTCCCGACAGACGTAGCCTCCTGGTACCAGGCAGTAGACGACATGGAAATCGAGGACAGAAAGCTTGGCAAAATCAGGGCCGGCGGTCAATTATCAGGATCTAAGACCACGTGGGCATCGTTTCTCCAGCTTCGATGCCTCTGACCTCGTCACCTCGATGCGTCTCGTGCAGGGGACCTCCTCAAATTGGCCGGCCTCTTCACCGAATCTGAAGGGAATTTAGCGCGCCGGCTAGTGGATGGGAAGCACCACGGCCTGGTAAAAGCCCATGTCTTTATTGACCACCTCAAGAGAACCGCCGATGCTGTGCCACACGCCCCTCCAGGGCCCTCTACCCAGTGCAGTGCCGACGACTTTGGTGCATTTGCAATCCCACGGAAGACGGTCGAGCTGCTCCGAGCCAAGCGAACCCAGAACCCCGGCTGCCAAATGATATATTCGCCCCAAAATCAGGCAGAGTTCAACAGCGAAACCCTTACAAAAGGAGGGCACAAAAGGAGGGCACAAAAGGAAGGCATCCAGGGGATGGCTAGACTGGATTTTAAACGTCCAGGAACCACTAGGTCTACACCAGATCTAGACGACTCCCTGGTTTTGGATGACGCCGATAGTATGGATATGGATGGTGAGGGTAGCCTGATAGCACGGGCACAGCGGCGCTCACTAATCTTACGCCAGCGGCGCTCACTAATCTTACGCCAGATGACAGAAGATCAAGACCAGTCAATGGAACCCTCTCTATCGTCACCATCATCTGCCAGCTCGACCCCAGCCCCGGTACCAATCCTAGCCCAGGCAGCTAGTGATGAGCCGAAAACTTGGGAACCAGTGTCGCGATTTTCGGGCCGGACCCAGTACGAAGTCCAAACATCGGACTGTCTGTTGCCTGCCGCCTCTGAGAAGATGGTAGACGTTGGAGGGCTAAGAACGGCAAGATTGACAATTGCAAAGGTTTCCATGTTCCTGGCGGGACAAGTTCTCGCTATATTTCTTGGACTTGAATTTGCAGAGAACATTTGAATAAGCTGGTTTTATTGTAGTTGAAGACGCGCTTCTGGTTATTGTTCCGCGCGCGAGATCAATGTAGCGTGAAATAGAGCTAGGCAATGCAACCCCAACAAAAGCAGCTAGTTAATACACCCCAAAAGAACAGAGCATCTTCTCATATCTCTGAGGTCGCGGCGATATATCATCAGTCATTGCTGCTAGCTCCCTTCCATTGCGCCTCGCTCTTTAACCTCACCACGACTGTTTCAACTCCAAAGTCAATGCAGCTCAGCTCCAGAATACGCCGCTCGGTCCGAGATCCCGCCCGAGATGTGTCCCCCTTGTCATGGTCTCCTGATCTGCAGTCACTCAGAGCAGACGAGCGGATGAGATAATGCAGATGAACCCATGCCCCAACCGGGTGCCTTGCCCATCCCCTCCTAATTAGCACTGCGCACGAAATCAACCTGAACTCAACCACGACACGTAAACGCCGAACCATGGCCGGATGGTCGAGCAAGCAGTGCAAAGCAATGCAAAAGGAAAATCATTAAATAGATGGATACCTAGACGAATCCGGACTGGGCAGCCCATCCGGCACCCCCACTCCCTTCCCCCCAGCAACCCACTCATGACCCATCGCCCCTGTCGACGCCACGGAGGCAGAGGTACGCGGCGGCGGTCCACGAAAAGTCCCCGCCGCCACAGCCCTCGCCCGTGTCGGGGTCGAAGTACTCAGCGAACCCGGCGGTGGTCTCGATGACGGCGAGGGTGGCCTCGCGCAGCTGGTCGGCGAAGGCGGGGTGGGCGTTGCGGTGCAGGCCGTTGATCAGCAGCCAGTTGATGACGGCCCACACGGGGCCGCGCCAGTAGCGCTTGGGCTCCCAGATGGGCGTGCCGGGCTCCGTGGTCGGCAGCCCGCCGAGCTTGCCGGCGGACCAGCGCGCCATCTCGGCGACCATGGCGCGCGCGACGGGCGCGTCGAGGTCGAGCGCCAGCACGGGGACGAAGCCGGCGTGCGTCGACGCGTCGACGTCGGCGCCCGACACGAGGTCGCGCGACACGAAGCGGTTGAGCGCCGGCCGCCACTGGGCGAGCAGCGCGGCGCGCGTGCGGGCGTTGAGCGCTGCCAAGTCGGCGGCGTCGGACGCGCGGCCAAAGTCGGCGGCGAAGCGCGCGAGGTCCTCGCCGGCCTTGAGCAGGATGGCCGTGGTCTGGATTTCGGCGATCTTGAAGGGCGCCGTGGCCCACTGCTGCGCAGGGTCCCAGCCGGCATCAGCGTACGTCTCGACCAGGTGGATGAAGCGGGCGTAGTCCTGGTCGTGCGGGCGCATGGCGGCGGCCACGTGGTTGGTGTCCTTGCGCACGACGGGCTTGATGGTGGTGGTGGGCACGCGCGCCAAGGCAATGTCCCAGGCGGGCGAGTTGTCGCTGCCGCTCTCCCACGGGTGCAGGAGGGCGACGAGCCCCGTGTTCTCGGGGTCCCGCGCGGCGTACCACCACCGCTGCCACTTGAGGGCGGCCTCGTAGAGCGGCAGGGTGCGGGCATTGGCGGCGGCCGGGTCAACCGCGGCGGCGGCGTCGTGCACGGCGCGCAGGGCGATGGCGAAGACCGGGGGCTGGGTGATGCCCGAGGTGGCGACGGTGTGCGAGGTGCCCCAGACGGCGGGGCCGGGGTAGTAGCTGTCGGCGCCGCTGAGGTCGTGGAAGACGATGTGGGGGATCATGCCGTCGGCCCACTGGCCCTCGACGAGGCGCTCCAGCTCGCGGAAGGCGCGGTCGACGTCGAACTGTGCAAAGCCCATGGCCACAAAGGCCGAGTCCCAGTTCCACTGGAAGGGGTACAGCCGGTGCGTGGGCACCGTGTAGCCGTTGCGGTCGTTGGCTTCGAGGATGGCCTTGGCCTTGGCCACGAACTTGTTGTCTGGAGGAGGCATTTTTTTTTTTTGGTGAGGGATGCAATTGCACGCAGTGGGCTGGGCTGAATCAAACAAGAAGGGTTCTGCGAGTGGTCGAGTAGAGTAAAGAAAAGGGGCAACAGCGAAGGTGGTGGCCGAGATGTGCCGTCAAATTATATCCAAATCCAAATCCAACTCCAAGCCGTCCGTCTTTGCACTCGTGTGGTCTGGTCGTGTTTGGGCTCTTGGACTTGGGTGTCAGAACAGGCTCACGTGCATTAGACTGCTGTGTGACGAGAAGCTGGTTTCTGAATTATCACGCAGCCAGTCAGCGAGGCGAGGCCGCGAATGGGGCCAGGTAGGGCAGGGCCAGGCCAAGGGGCACCTCAGGCAGATGGCGCGGCGCAACCCCACGCCGTGCGTAAGAAACAGGGCAGCCGGGCTCAGGAGGCGATACTGGACCAGGCCGATTGGCGCTCCTTGTTTCGGCGGCTGCAGTGGTGATTGGGCCTTTCGTCGCTGGCTTATCTCGCGTCTGCTTGCTCTGCCGCATTGAATCCCGTCGCATGCCGTGCGCGGCTCTCCACTAGGTGTTGGGAAAAGTGTTTGTTGGACTGTTGGCTTGTTCCCTCGTTGGTTGGTTGGGCAAGCAGAGCAACCAGGCAAGCACCCTCGAGGCCGGGACTGGACGCTGCGGTTTGCGCAGGGGCGCATTGCGGGCATTGCAGGCAGGCGCGGGCAGGGTTCGCAGGGCAGGCACACAGGGCAGGCACGCAGGGCAGGCACACAAGGCAGGGCTTGGATTGCGGGCGATCCTGATGGTGTCATCTTTTGGCAGCACAGACACCTTATTCACGGGAGATGCACCCGCCCCGGGCGCTGCTGCTGCCGGAACGCTGCGGGGGGGGGGGGGGGCAGCGACGCTAACTTAACACAGCATGCTGTTGGCTCTCTCGGAGTCGGGAGTGGAGACTGCTGATTCTTCAATGCGCGGAGCTCTCCGGGGAGGGGAGGGGGCTTTGAGGGCGGGTGTCGTGCATGCGCGGTGTAGGCCGCTGGTAGGACCAACCGCGAATCTAGTCATCAGCGCAATTGTCTCAACACGGAAGGCAGTCGCTCTTCGCTCGGGTCGATGTCCCAGAAAACGGGAGCGGTCCTTGGGGCTGCCACACCAGGGTCGATGCATGATGTGCATTATAGGGGGGCGAGGCCCCCAACAGCAACACCCAACGACGGGAGACCCCTGTTCTGCGGGATTCTCGTTGGACTCCCGTCAGTGGACGCTGGGCTCTGCCCTATTCCAGCGGGATTCCAGCGCGACGATCGCCAACGAGATCCGGGCTTCCCCGGACACCCAACCCGCGCGCGCCTGCCACCCACGCGCAACGGGAGACCGCGGCCAACAGCAGCGCCAAAACTGCTAGCAAGGTTACTAGTGAGAGAACTAGCAGCTCCGCGCACCCGCGTCTTTGCATCAGACGAGCAAGAACAGCAGCAAATAAACTACTTTAGCCACGCTGTTCCCTCCCTGCCTTTGCTCCTCCCCCGAGTCCTGTTTGCTTCCCTTTGCTCCTTCCTGATCCGCCGCCATTCCCTCGCCATCCCACTATTGCGAGTTGGGGTTGGCTTCGACGAGTTGGCGAGTGAGCCAAGCGACACAACACACCCTCCTGTGGCAGGTGGAGCCGTCGAGGCCACCTCTCTTTTAATTTCGAGTCAATGCTCGCCGGGCGCGCTCGCTGGACGCGCTCGTGCGTTTCGTGCTTCGTTGGCTGGGGACTCTGGGATGGGTACCCGACGTGCGACCGGAACACATAATTGATCGTTGAGGGGTGCATCGAGAGCACTTTGTAGGCGGGATTCCCTCTTTCCCCGCCGGGAACGCTTCCCGGGCCGATCACCTGGCCCGTCCCGGATTGGACGACCAGGCGCCATTGGAAACGGGGCGCCCGTCTCGTCCAGGCGGCGCAACCGCCTTTGGGCCCGCCCAACCTGGGCCGCCCAAGCGTGGGAGAGGGGAATTTTGGAGGAGGGGCAGCGGGTTTGAGAGGGCCGAGGCTGCGGCCAGCTTCGGGGAAATCGGGAAGCCGAGATCGGATTCCCGCAACTGCAGTCCTGACATGGCTGTAAGACGATCCCGACCTTCCATGCTCGAAGCACGCATCAAAACCCGCGGTCGTGGCTGGGAGACAAACAAGCCATCCTGCACGTTTCCGTTCTTTTTTTATCTTTGTTTCCTGCATTAAATGCCGGAATACGAAGGAGCGCCAAGGCAGGCCCGAATGCAGCAAACCGCGCCTGACCGCGGCACCGCCTATTTCCGCGACCCGTGTCAGCTTTTGGGCTGCCGGGCCCTGTCCAGCAACTCCGGGCAGCAAGGCGTCGAAAATTTTGCAAAATCGCCGAGGAACAGGATCCGACGAGAGTCTTGGCTCGCCGTCTTAAACCCGGGCCGTGATTACAAAGGGGAGGCGTGGGACGTTACGCGGTTTGTGCATCCAAGTTGGCATCCAAGTTTGGCACCCAAGTTTGGCACACAAGTTTTGCATCCAAGTTTGGCATCCAAGTTTGGCATCCAAGTTTGAGCAGGCTCGTACTCGGTGGTACCATCCGCGGGCTCAGGTAACCACCTCAGTTGTTTGTTCATGCGTCACGTTTGGCCGGCATTGACGGATTCTGGGCTCAAGCAAGGCTCCCTGTGGCTCACCACGGTTGTTTGCTGAATTGGAAATAATCAGTTTTGTCGGCCCTCACGATTTAGGCAGCTGCGACAGTGCGGACATATTTCGGCTTCCGACAAATGATTCCAGGTGTCTTGCAACTCCAACAACCGTACCTAGCTTGGCGCAGTAGAGTCTTGCTCGCCCGGAGCTTCTCTCGGGTTTTGAACACCTGATACCGGGACGTCCAAGGCGTGAGGCTGAAAGAGCACATGGATGATTACTTATCGGAGCTGGTGGCTTGGCAGTTGTGCCAAAAAGCACCTGCTGTACGACTGGCGTTGATCTTACCTTCACCTGGGCAACCTACCATTCCGAAGTCACAGAGGCGCAAGTTCAGGTACCCCTGTTCCAGCTTGTTTACTCACTATTGCGTCCTGGAGATGTACTCCATCTTAAAGTGACACGCTACGGCACCGGATTCAATTCTGCAGGCTAATTTTTACTTTCTAGGCTGAGGTTTTAGGTATTCAACACTTCAAAGCCTAATTACCGAAAATCCAATGATAAAAAGGCGAATGGTAGATGACTCAGGCTACTAACTTTAGACTCTGGCTGCTCGTCATATTCCCCTGACACTCGGTGCTGAAGTAACTAACACGGTCAACAAACTAGAATACGATCTGCGTTGGAGGGATTGATACTCAGCCGATGTAGGCTTAAATCCGGTACCGCAGCGTCTCACGTTGAGGCACGTTTGTATCAAGGACGATATGACGAATGGGGGTTACGAGCTCTCCAACCACGCCGCCGCGTCATATTCATCCATACACTGCGTGTATTCGGTCCCCGCACCCACCCATTCCTTGATCCCACCCACTAGGACTAGGCTTTCCATCCCACTGTCATCCTGGTCGCAGAGGTAGTCGTCAAACCAGCCCGCCGCACGGGTTCCGCGGCCGCGCGAGGAAGCTGTCGCCGTTCGGTTAGTTACGTACTGTGTACTGTGACTGGGAAGAGAGGACGGTCACATACAGCAGTACCAGATGACCTTTCGCACGCTGGCGGCGCGCAGGACGGAGTACAGCGTCGGAATGGCCGGGTAGAGAGTCTGCGCGGGCAGGTTGACGGATCCGCGGATCGTGCCGCCCTGGTAGGTTGTCAGTGTCAAGGTTGACAGTACTGACGATCAGAGGGAGGCGGTGAGGCATGATCAGGAGACAGTAACTAATTACCTCGTGGTCAACGCGTCGAAGATCAACGAGAATGAAGTTCGGGGAGCTGGTATTGTTTTGGTCGCTGAGCTGTGCTTTGAGCATCGCCAGGACCTCTTGGCGCGTCACGCTGTCGGGCTGCGCATTCCGGGGGGCGGCGTAGGCGGCGTACCACGGCGGTGTTGACGCCGTCTTAAGCTTTGCCACGGGTTTGCCGGGTTGTGGTGCAGACATCCTCGCTGAGTGATGAGTCGGTGTGAGTAAAAGTAAAGGTAGGAAGTGTTCGCCTGGGAAGAACCGGTACGAAGAGCACAGCTGAGGGGTTGCCATATTATGAAGCTAAAGATCCAGCGTGGTCCAGCGCAGCGAACAAAAGGGGGGAAGTATGTCACCGCCTCGTTTTGATTGGCGCTTGGCTTGACCGGGGTCCGGTTGCCGGTCACACACAGCGTCCGTCCCGATCCTGTGGGCGAGGTCATTGGCACATCCGTTCACGAATCTTGGGGCGGAGTTGTGATGAGTTTGGGGTGCGATGCGATCAAGTACCACATGCACTGCAGCAATTAATTCGTCCAGAGTTGCGAGCCAGCCAGCATGAGCCACGGCGGCACATCCGTTCCCGAGCAGCCTCTGGAACCCAACGTCCCCGTTGCCGAGCCTCCGCCCGACGGCGGCTACGGCTGGGTCATTGTCGGCTCATGTTGTGGCTTGGCATGGAGCCTGCGCGTCACGGGGCTGGTTACGATGGCGGCGAATGGCGCGGCCACGCTACTTGTGAGGGACAGGAATCGCCATATAAACCCGACGCAGTTGGGCTTTGACGTCGGGCTGCTGAGGCGCAGGGAGGTGGTGCTGCTGCTGCTGTGGGCGTTTGTCAGCATGTTCTGGTACATTGTCCTGCTGTTTTCGCTGTCCGACTATGCGCTGCAGGTCGGCTTGCCGAGCAGCCAGGCAACTGATGTTGTGGGCCTCTTGAACATCCGCACGGCGGTGGGCCGGCCGGTTATCGGCATCGTCAGCGACCGCTGGTCGAGGACCGTGACGGCGTGTGCGCTTACGTTTCTGTGCGCTCACGTTTCTGTGCAGTGTGATATGCTTTGCGCTGTGGATTCCGGCCAACTCGTTCGGTCTGGCGGTTGCCTTTGCTGTTCTCCGTGGAGCAATCCTCGGCATTTTCTGGATGGTGCGTTGCTCTGCCATTATTTCTCCGCAGGCCACCACAAATCCTGGCATCACACTTACAGGCTCTGTTATAGACTATCGGCCCTCTCTGCGTCGAGGTCGCCGGCCTCAGAAACCTCCAGTCGCTGCTGTCTCTGTCTTGGGCTGCTGTTGTTGTCCCCACAACTTGTAGGTGGCAAGCGCTTTCCCGTCATGCAAACGTTCTGCTGAATCTCTCCAGTGGCCGAGGTGATGGGGCTGCGACTGCGCGAGATACCCGCCCCGCGGCCGTACCTCTATGCTCGGATATTCGCTGGCCTCGCGTACATGATTGCTAGTATCTTCATGTTCGCACTATGGCGTGTGATACAGCGACGTGAGACACCTGCTTGGCTGTGAGGGACGAGTAGCTGGTGATGGCGGGGCGGAGCGCTGAGCGGCGAGCCTTGCTGTGTTGAGCCCTTGCGCCTCCTCGCCCGTATGTGCAGGCATCCTCTCTATGAGGCCGTCGCTACGCCTGCCTGGGGGAACCCCTAGGCGCACCCCCGCTAGCTAGTCGCCAAAAATGCCCGCATATATCGATAGCGTCAGGACCTGGACTAGCGCTAGGTAATTACCTAACTGAGTGTTGGTTGACATCGTTGCTGGTACTCTAGCAAGCCGGGGGTTTCTCAGCCCATGACTTTCGAATTCCTCTTTGGTCTCGAGGGAGAAAAGTGGCCAACGGCGTTGTTTGGACCTGTGCAGCCGCCCTCGTGCCCCGTGATTTCGCTCGTCTGTTTCGAAGGCGCCTGCAGGCCTCGTCCCACAAGTGCGCATTTCGTGTGTGCGCGCCCGAGTCTGGGCTGGCAGACAGCAGTGCGTCTAAGCACAGTAACTATGGACGCCCTGCAAGGCTGCATAGCTTACGTGTAGTTGTTAGGTACCACGAAATTCAGAATTTGCTTCCTTCCGACTTTTGGCATCTCGCACGGTTATTTAAGCAAAGTTCACAGCAGAGGGTTCTGCTCAATTAAATTAAGTAGTTAGTAACTTCACTTTAAATGGCATGTTTGTGTGCTTGATTCTTCGAGTTTGAGCTCACAACACCAGCTATATATAGTCAAGCTGACGAATGTTTCATTTTTTTCTGTATCCTCACCGTATCGTCTGTGTTAACGATCACCTGCCTCCCTGAGTACACTGCACTATGTGCATTCACTAGGCGCCTCTCGGTTAAAGTGACGCCTCTCGGGCAAAATTGCATCTTTGCTTGTGATATACACTCTGGGCTCCCACGCTTCTTCTTGTTCTGTTGTTATGTCCCGCTTTTTGGGGTTTGTTCTATTAATATGTTATGATAATAGGGATTAGTGGGCAAAAGAAGGACCTAGAAGCTGCCACTTGATTCTTCGCCACTAGATTTTGCCGCTATTCATAATTATGAAAGAGAGACTTTTGGCCTTCCCAAAGGAAACAAAAAGACAGACCTTTTCAGACAATTCACGCTTTACCTCCCTGCACCAAATGCTCCATTTCCGTTGCCCTGTGAATGCGCGTGATATAATGCCTTCTTTTCTCTCGTTTTGTTTCCTTCATCTCTCGTGCCTTTTTGCCTACAGCCTCTTCTCCATTTCTGTCTCTGATCTCATTTCTCAGTAGCCGACCAACTCTACCGACAATTTGCACATCTGCAGCCCTACCAACAAGGCCTGGACTCAACACTTCGAGCCGACCCAGAACCTTTTCCGGCAAACCACGGCGGACGCGACGGGCAGGAATACGGTAAGATTTACGGCTTTCTTCGGTTGGTAGGAAGATGACGTTTTGCGGGGCGCACAACTGGCGGTGCATCCCAACGTGAGGAACTGGCTCCAGGACACGGAGGCCGACGTGGAGCTGTTCTTCCACACCGAAGTATCCAACGCGGTGCTCGCGAAGTGGAACGGCTACCCGCTGGTGACGCAGCCGTCGCACGCCAGGAACCCGGCGTCCGGGATGGCCGCCGACGAGATGGTGGACGCCATATACACAGTCGATGTCCAAAATAACGTAGGGACGGCGAGGACAGTCATCACAATCGGCGAGATGAAGAGGAACATTATCGCTCCAAGGACATGGCAGAACGGCAATCTTTATGGCAACAGGGAACAGCTGAGGCTGTCTCAGGAGCTCGGTGGGTACGGCTATCTTGTCTCTTTCCGCTTTTACGCCGACCGAAAGTTATCTAAACTAAAGGCCCGCCTTTTACTTGGATTGCCTGCAAGTATGCAGCGCCGCACGTGTACTGCTTCGATGGCGACACGCTCCTCCTCCAGCTCCAAGCCAAGCGGCCATCTGACATCGCGTCGGTCAGCTGCAAAGTGGATTGTCGGTGCTTCCGCTCACGGCCAGCAACACGCCGCTACGGCTCGCGCTGTACAGGTTCCTGGTACAGGGTTTCGACGGCTGCAGAGAATGTACGCCGTGCAGGGGCTGACAGTCGGGGGCTTCTCGGTCGTCGACCGTCGCTTCTTTGACAGCCGGCCAATGTGGGACGACGATGGGGCCAAGACCTTTATCCAGCTAGCGAGCTACGAGCGCATAGTAGATCCTCGCACGAGATGTCTGAAGTGGAGGACCCCCAATGACCCGACAGGAGTCAACGACGTGTGGGAGACTTGGTGGTTCTGGAATTGATTGTTTTGAGGTGATGATCCGTCTTGATTATAGCATGGTTTCTTCGCCATCTATCTGTATGAAACCCTGGCGCCATAGCGCGTACTGCTTCTTGTTGAAGAAATCAGCTAGGGAATTCACATCCAGTCTAATATACTCCTCGCGTTCTTCCTTGGTTATGGGGTTTTCGTTAATCTATTCAAAGTCAAGGGTCATTGCCTTGTCGCCCACGACATGACAGTTATCAAGACTGGAATCGCCATGTGAGACACCCCACTGGGCAATAGAAGCAGTGCCTGCAAGAGCATACGACGGAAGTCGGCCAGCTCCAGCAGACATCCCTCGGACGAGACCAAGCTTGCGCCACCAATGTCGGATAACACTATCGCTTTGCTGCCATCGACCCTGAGCTCACCCAGAAACTTGGGGATGACGACCCCTTGCAATGAGCGAACTCGGGCGTAGGTCGCTTTCTCTGTATCAAATTCTCCGTCCCAGCCGTCCTTCTGCTTCTTCAGGATGACAAGGGGTTGAAGGGGTTTCTAAATGGAGGGAACATGCCCTGCGCCTCCACCACCACCTCTAGCTAACTAGCGCGTTATTCCAACATTATTTATCATGACAACATCCATCCCCTCCCTAGCCAGCAGAAAGACCCCCAAGCTCACTGCGCCTTGCGCTCGATAAACGCGAGCATGAGCTGGGCACCTCTATAATAAAGTGGCCCTTGGCGCCTTCTATAAAGGCTTCGCCTCCTCGGCGGGCGTAAAGGCATCGTCGAAGCGCGAAAAGCACCTTGACGATCAGGTTGCGCTGTTACTCGGGGGTTTTGGCGAGGTAGTAGAGGCTTTGGATACATCGTCAGTCATGCATCACAAGAGTTTGATACAAGTGTCTAGTGCAAGTGTTTCAGCAACCGAGCTTACCTGAATGTCAGGGTCGAGGCTGTCGTGCGGATCCTCCGACAATGACGCCAATGCCGGGATTGACGAGGCCGACGCCCACGGAGAGCAGAGTACGGCAGAGGTTGGTGCCGCGCAAAAAGTCGATGCACGAGCCGGCGCGACTGCATCTCGACATCGTGGACAGCGTTGAGACCCAACTCCTCAAACTAGGCCACAGCGCCAGTCTGTCGTAGGCTCCGTTGCGGATCCAGTTAGTGACTTGAGAGTTTCCTTGTCCTTGCCGTCCAGGAGCAGCCAGGATTGCGGGCTAGGCTAGTTAAATGTTAGCTTGCCACGAAGAGAAAACGAGAAAGCTTTAGGCTGGATTACAGTAGGTAACGGCGTAAATAACGCCCTAAATCCAGGTGGAATATGCCATCCACGGCCACGGGGTTCTAGGGCTCTCGGCCCAGCGCTAATTTATTAGTCAGAGGTCTAATCAACAACATAGACCTACCAAGAGGCCTCACAAACACAATCTTGACAACCATTTGCACTGAGCTGCTGAGCTGGGGAAAAGTCACAGCAGCGGAAGCTCCGCCGTCCACCAACACAACAATAAACAAAGGGCATACCACAGTCCGCTCTCTCTCTGCCTAGATATATGGCGTGATTCTCAATAGAACTCAGATGATTCGATCGTTCTAGGTTACTGGCAAGTTACTTCCTCTCCTACTATCGCGACTAACTTGATTATCTAACGAGGCACGCCAAGCGACCGAATCTTGAGAAGACAAGAGCCCCCTCCCTCCCTTGTGCCCTGTTATAGAGCTATTCTTAGGCTGTTGTTCATTTTTCCCGTCTAAAGAAAAGGCGGTACTGTTCTCTCCTTGTATGATCGTTTTTCTTGTGGGTGGGTTTTGGTAGATAGAGGTGACAGGCTGCTGCATCGAGATAGTAGTTCTTGATGTTGATTCCAGCTGGAGATCATTTAGATCATTTCTGACAGTCATGGGCCGAGGTCTTGGAGGAACCTACTCACTAATCCTTTATTTGTGGAAGCATGTTTCGTACACCTGGAAATTTGCCGCCATCTCGTTTCACATATTCATTGTGCTACAAACCATCCCCCCAGAGCTAGGGACAAGTGCGCTGTTGTTCTGCAACAATTTTATAGCTCCGACGACCACTTCGCCTTCTTTCCCATCGCCAACCTTGGCCACATTCCCAACCATAGCCGTCGACTTGTAGCAAGACCTCTTCTCCACCCTCACCGAGTATAAATACCTGCAAGGGCGGCCGGCCACGGCGGGCCCAACCCGCGGAGGACGCCGTGACTTGTGGCAGGCTGCCGGCAGGCGGCGGCGGCAGTCTCACGTCTTACGCACGACGATAACGACAAAGACGACACCAACGATGCTGCTCCTTCTATCGGTTTGGTAGATGGAAAAATGGCGCTCGTCCTTAGGATGTAGCACTGTGAAGTAGACTGGATTGTGGTCGGCGACTAGATGAGTAGAAGTGTCCTAAGAAAGGGCCTGCGACGCGTGGATGATGATGGTAGGATTGGGTTCGATGGGGAACTGACGTCTGCCGCGAGTACTGTGGACGGCTGGGAGGCTCTGGAGTATGAATAACCGACCTATAGCAGGGTTTTCCCTTGAGCTAGTGTCGAGTATCTATCCCTAACTCAATTTCTTTTCTTTCTTTTTTTTTCTTTTTTATTTTTATTCTTTTTATTATTTTTTTTATTTTTTTTTATTTTTTTTTATTTTTTTATTTTTTTTTTTTAAAAAAAACGCGCCTATCCATCTCGCTCCAGTCATCTTGACCGCCGTGACGCCTGACGAGTAAGGTGGGTAGGCCTCGAGGTCGGCCTCAGCCTCGGCCTCGCATCAACGGCTCGTCTTCTCCAGGTACTGGCGCACAAGCTCTTCAGTGTTAAGATTCTGGGCTGCCTTTTTGGGGCGGAACCCATACCCAAAAACTGTCTCGACTGGCGGGATGAAGGTGTAGTGTCAGCAGCAGGAGCAGCGGCTGGAGCAGCAGCTGGGGGGATGTCGGAGCTTAGCACATGAAAGATAAAAACTTACTTGCGAACGACACATGGGTCTGCACAAAGATCCAGAGATACCACAGATATTCTAGCACGACGCTATTGATGCGCTTGTTAGTGACATATAGGTTGCGGGAGCGAAGCCTTAGCTCGGCGACACGAGGAGCGCGGATTTCATAGAGGGCTTTGCTGGCCATGTCGGCCACGTCCCGGGGCACGTGTCGGGCACCATCACTGGTTGTCATGTAGTGTGATAACAGCAGGCTGAAAACCACGGCGTCTTCCAGGGCCTGGTTCGCGCCAGAGCCGCTCGTGGCCTGGAGAGTGTGGGCCGCGTCCCCCAAGAGGACGGATCCCCGCTGGCCCCAATGCGGTAGGTCTGGGGTGGTCCATACAGGGTACACGCGGTCTGTGGAAGAACATTGGATGATGTCGTTGATGGCAGCGTCGCGCCAGGTGGCATGTCGGTCTAGCAACTGCTCCTTGATGGTGCTTGCCTCCAACACCGTGTTTCCCGCCGGCGCGTTGGGACTTCCCCAGTTGGACCACCAGGCTACCCTCCGCTGCTCTGGCGCCGCGGCCGAGCAGTAGCCAAAAGACCCCGCGGGGCCAAAAGTGAAGACCATGCTCTCAAGGTCGGTGACCGAGGTCGGCAGGTCCATGTCTACGAAGCCGCCGACACCTAGGAAGCCTCTGTTCCCGGCCTGCCGTCAGCGTGTGCTCCTTTTTATTCTCCCGCCTGTTTCCTCTCGACGCCTGTTTCCTCTCAACGCCTGTTTCCTCTCGAGATTTGAATCGGGAGACATTGGACTTACTCGAAAGCTGGCCCATAGCTTGACTCATCCTCGTGGCCGAACAGTGCCTTCTTGACTACGCTACGTACCCCATCGGCGCCGACAACGAGGTCAGCGTCATCCCGACTCCCGTCAGCAAAGTGCACGACGGGGCGACCTCGGGCGAGGTCAACCTCGGTGGCGCGACGGTAACAAACGGAGTCATCATAGCCGACGTGCTCATGCAGCCACTGCCACGAGTCGAACCGCGGGCATGACAATGTGTGCTCGGCAGGAAGTTTGCCGTCGGCCGTGGGGATGACGGCAAGCGTATGGCCGCGGGCCGACCTCAAGGTGTAGTGACGGTTGACGTAACTGCGTGCCTTGAACGTATCGTAGAGCTTGTGGTCGATAAATCGCAGTAGCCGCACCGCGGGCGGCTCCAAGGAGATGATGTTGCCGACTGTAGCAGCCGAGTCCCGCGTTGCTTCCTCCGGCGAAGCAAGCCCGTCCCGGCCAGATCGCAGCCGCACCGCACGCGGATCGTGGGCGTCGTACAGGGTGATGGTGTGTTCTGGTGGGGGCAACATCCGACGCAGCAAAAGATATGTCGAGACGCCGGAAAATCCCGCACCGATAATAATGATCTTCATAGCTCTTGTTCAATGCGAAGTTGTGTTTGAGTACGGTGTGTGGTGCATTTTTCAGACAATTACCTGGGCCGTCTACCCTTGGATAAGTACCTATTCTAGTCTAGAGCTACATAATGGCATGCGAGCGTCCACGCTGGGTATAATTACCGAGTGTGCCGCAAGAGAGAAAATTTGCGCACATTTTGACCACATGCATGAGCTGCACATGGGGGTGGGTACCTTGGGGTTTAAGAAGAGACACCAGAAACATCTAGCCTGGGCGAGTGGGCGCAACTCCCATGTTGCCAACCATTATACGACGCGACCGCCTCCCTGCCCAAGTTCCCAAGCTCCCTATCGGCTGCAGAGAGAAACAGCGGGAGGAAAAAATGAATTCAGCACAGGCACAACCACAGGCACCGGGCCGTTTAGGCGACCCGAGCATGCACCTGGCAACCGACCCCCGGACGCACCCAAAGCTCCTCGAGAAGCTGCGAGCGGACAAGATCGAGGGCACTCCCACCTTCGTCGCCGCCCTGTCCCCGGACGCGCCGCTCGGCGAGATAGCCTCCTTCACACGCAGAGTAGAGGACTACCTCGAAGAGTACTACAAAAAAATCGACCTCGCCCCCGTGCCGGGCGAAGGTTCGTATGAGCCCGTCATCCGCAGCGAGTGGCGCATTCCTTGCGACGATAGCAGGGAAATCCGGCTCGTCGTCCACCGTCCGGACCCTACCGCAGCGCCGGCGGCAACACTCCCCGCCGTCATCTACCTCCACGGCGGGGCCATGGTCATGCTCAGCAGCACCAACCCTCTGCACACCTCGTGGGCCTCGGCACTCGCCCGCACCGGTCTCATCGTCATCTCGCCCGACTTCCGCAACGTGCTCTCCAGCAGCACCGACAAGAGACTGCACCCCTTCCCCGCCGGTCTCGATGACTGCGTGGTGGCTGTCAGGTGGGTCGCCGCGCACCGCAGGGAACTCGGCATCGGCGCCGACGACAAGATTGTCCTACAAGGTGAGAGCGGCGGGGGAAACCTCGCGCTGGCCACGGCCCTGCGTGCCAACCGCGAGCGCTGGCTGGCGGGAGCCATCGACGGCGTGTGTGCGTGGGTGCCGTACATCAGCGGCGCGTACGGGGCGCCGCGCGAGTGGAAGCTGCGCCAGGGGCTGGCCAGCCTGGTCGAGTGCGACGGGTACATCATGTCCTGCCCCAACAGCACGCTCAATGCCCGGCTGTACGACCCCGAGGGGTCCCATACCCGGGACCCGCTGGCTTGGCCCTACTGGGCCGCCGAGAAAGACCTGCAAGGCCTGCCGCCTCACCTCATCATCACCAGCGAGCTGGACTTGTTGCGGGACGAGGGAAATGCATACTTTCGCAAGTTGGTCGCCGCAGGGGTGCGCGCTGTGGGTCGCATGAATTTAGGCATCACACATATGGGCGAGCTGAGCTATCGGCACGCGGTGCCCGAGATTTATTTGGATAATCTGTGGGCGGTTAGAAGTTTCATCAGCTGGCTCTGACGAAGCAGTATATCCATCACCAAGGTCCCCCCCTGCCCCCCTAGTTTGTAGGCAATCAATCACCACCTCAAGTTCGAGTTCACACCTTGGGAACAGCGGAGAGAACAGGTTTGCAGGCCATCAAACGTCCGGCCCCGGGATGCTTTTTTTTTTCTTTTCTGTCTTCTAGGATTGAATTTTGTACGTGACAAGACTCCCCCGGCACGAATACCTCCAGTCATCACACAGAACAGCCAGCCTAGCAGCGCCTCTCTCCGTCTCTTGCACCGTTGCGTGGTAATCTCCAGTTCTAGATGGACCTGTGAGCTTCAATGTTCAAGGACGAGAGGTTATCATAGACTTCTGGAAAACACAGCAATCTTACACTTCTTAAGGTGCACGATGCGGCCCTTGGTGTTGGAGGCATGGCTGCCGAAGGATCGCTGGTTGGTCATCTCCTCACGCGAAAGGTTGCTGGAGAGAGTCTGGGCTTGGTCGACAGCCGTGGCGGGAGCCGGCCAAACTGCTTTCCAGGGTTGGTTTTGGGGAGCCATTTTGGGAGTGAATTGGTGTCAAATGAACGGTTAGATCGTGGGGGGGAAAATGATGTGATATTTCTGTCAAATTTTGCAATTGCTTGCTTGGTGGGATTGATGGTGATATGGTGATGGGTGATGGGTGATGGATGATGGGTGATGGGTGATGGGTGATGGGTGATGGGTGATGGGTGATGGTTGATGGGTGATGGGTGATGGGTGACGGATGGGAGGCTGGCTTCTCATATAGCTGTGAAATGACTCAAATATCATGCTCCCCTGTAGCGTTCGACTTGAGGTTGTCGGCATATACCTCTTCCCTGAACATTTACCTTCGGAATCAATAGTTTTTTAGACAAACACGTACCGAAAATGGCGTGCTCCCACATCGCTGAGCGATTTGGCGTCGACTTAGCCGGCCCCCGTGGGTAATGGAGAGACGAGATATGATGGGTTGTGCCGATGCAGGGAGGTACCACAGGCATCCCACCACAACTCCGACCTACGTGTATACCAAGTGCAGGTAATCCCTCATTGGGCATGGCAATTAATTAGCTCATTACAAACCGCGAGCCATTGGCCCCTGAGCCCGTTGGCGGAGTTCTAGACTGAGGGGGATTGAGTCTTTTTGCTCCCAATTTGTACGATCACTGGTGGGTGGTTGGCGATTGGATATCGATAAACGGGGCCTTGGCACCCGACGTGTACGGAAGCCAAGTGGTATTGGTTGCATGCTGCATCCAAGAGTCAAGGTCTCTGAGATGAATACCACGAGGGTAATGGTCACGTTAATCATGTGTTCATACTACGTCGCATCCCGTCCAAAGGAGGGGGGCCAGATCGTCAACCAAGACAAGAAGGTGAGCTAGAAGATGTTCTGATGTCCAGCTTTCCCATCCATCTGTTGTGACGGGTCTCTCACATCTTTAGTTTTCCCTCGTCGGCAAAATCTTCTCTTCCTTCGCTCACATTGACCATGGCAGTCGAGTCCCCCTTCGTCGCCACTGTGCGGTACGTCAAGCGCGACGAGACGGGAGATCGCACCGGAAAGCCCTACATCCTCCACTACGCAGCACCAGAGGGCTTTCCGCAAAACAACTTCGTGATTGAGCCCGTCCACGGCATCCAGATACATAACCTCCGCACAGCCAAGCTCGACTACAACGAGCACGGCATGACTATCGCAACCATCGACGACAGCGGCTTGGATCTCGACCGCTTCGATGACGACGACTGGGTCGAGAGCGTATACCTACCCCGGCTTCACGAAGCTATCTGCCGCTCTCTGGGAGCTAAGGACATGACGGTGTTCGACTGGATGTTGCGGAAACGAGCCCCATCGTTTCCCCGGCGTTGCGAGGGCGAGGACAACGTCGATGCGCACCAGCCGTCTTTGTCGGCTCACATCGATTACACCGAGGCTGAGCTCGACTCGCGCGTCGACAGCTACTTTGGGACTGACAAGAACAAGATGTTGAGTCGTCCCTACCAAGTCATCAAGTGCGTTTGTTATGAATCCCTCCTGTCTCGTTTTAGATCGAGCGCGACGATATTGACCGCCCGTCAAAACACAGCATCTGGAAACCCCTCTCGGGCCCATGCCGTGACTTTCCACTCGCTTTCCTCGATCCGCTGACCGTTGATGCCTCCCAGGACCTCTTCAAGGTGGATGAGGTCTTCCCGACGGTGGCGAACGAAGTCTTCCAGGTCTGCTACAACCCAAAGCATACGTGGTATTACATTCCTGATCAACTAGCTTCGGAGCTGGCTGTTTTCAATGCCTTCGATTCAAAAAGGGGCCAGAGTTTGGCCGTCCCACATTGCTCGTTTGATTTGGGCGATTCAGGATCGGGCATCCCGAGACATAGCATTGAGGTCAGGGCTTTCGTGTTTTACTGAGCTGCTACACCCTTGGTTGTCGGGGTTAGGTATTGGCGTTTGGAGGTCAAGATCGAGGGAACTCATTTGCTAGCCGACCAAAAAAATAAAAAATAAAATAAAATTGTGGTGAAAAATCCCTTCAAGAGAGTTCTGCCCGTGCTCTGCCGCGCTTATCTTACCCATCTCTGTTTAGTTGCGTTGACGGAAGGCGCAGTCGGATTGGACACGTTTTCTGTTGCATAATTACATGTTGGACTGACGTGAACGATGATGATTGATTTGGGTGGTCCGCGCGCGCCCCCACACCCCCCCTTTCCCTTCCCCCTGCACCTGCCTGTCCTGCCACCGCGGTCGCATTGCACCATCACTTGCTTGGCGAGATGGTTTGAGCAAGTTTCGAGCAGTGCAGAAAGCTCAGACCAGCGATCGATCTGGACATCAAGGTCCCTCCCTCCTTATCACTCCTGCCTTGGCTTGCCAAACAGCTAGTTAAATCCAAAGGGGTTCTCGCCCTCCACGCCAGTGACAAATGACAGGGATGCATTTCATAGGTTCCACACAGCACTACCCGCGCGACTGTAAATGGAACTAGTTCCAGTGCAGACCTTACGCGCGTCAACTACCGAACAGAGCATCATGTCGGAAGCAACTTCGGAGCAGGCGAAAGCAACTTCGGAGCAGGCGAGACACGACTACGACAAGGCTGCCTCGGGCTATGCCGGCTACAGCGAGCTCCCCTCGGGCCAACTCGAGGCCGAGCTCGTCCGCATCGCCCTCGGCGACTGCACGGGTTGCACCGTTCTCGACCTTGGCGGCGGCATGGGCCGTCACGCGCGCACGGCTCTCCAGCTGGGCGCAACGGCCGTCGACCTCGTCGACATCTCGGCCGGCATGATGCACGCAGGACAACAACAGTACGGTGTCGAATTCGATGCCACTGCTAGACTTCGATTCTGGCAAGCCGACGTCGCCCAGCCGCTCGACCACTTGCCCCTGCGGAAGGAAGGCTACGACATTGTCATGGCCAACTGGGTATTTTCGTTTGCCGGCTCGACCCAGGCGCTGCACGCCATGCTCGCCAACGTTCGACGCCATCTCAAGCCTGGCGGCCGGTTTGTCGGCGTGCGTGATGCCGACCCGTGGAGCCCCGTTCTGCAAACGGGTAAATATGGCGGTCTCTGCCGCGACATCTCCCCGATCCCTGGCGGCGTTAGGTACGTCTGCGTGCTGCAGTCCACCCCGCCCGTCGAGTTTGTCGGCACCTGTCTCGAGGTCGTCTACTCGGGATCTACGGCTGTCTATGAGCAGTTTGGATTGTCTGAGGTAGCTACTGTGCCATACACCAGCGCCCCTGTTGTTCAGAGGGATCCTGCTTTCTGGAGCGAGTTTCTGCAGAGGCCCTGCCTGGCCGTTGTTACGGCTCGCGGGAGCATTAGGCTCTAGGTATAATCGACCACAGGTGCTAGTGGAGCCCCCACACAAATTGCTCAGTATTTGTCTCGTCTTCCATGTGCTTGATAAGCCGAAAAGCATTAAACCTACAGAAGCCTTATCCTTGTCGTCATCTTTCTGTCCTTTTTTCTTTCTTTTTTTCCTTTTCTTTTTTTTCTTTTCTTTTATTCTTTTCTTTTTTTCTTTTCTTTTTTTCTTTTCTTTTTATTCCCTTCCTGCGTACCTCCCCGGATCCTGCCAACCCCCTTTCCCGCCTCGGTGTCACACCTACCCAACGCCACCTAGTCAAGGTATCCAATGCAATCCCCCGTTGTTCCCGATCAGGAGGAGAAGGAGGAGAAGCGGCAGACGACAGTGGCGGTTCTGTCGCTTGGGGCCATACTCTTCCTTACAGCCCTCGACGTAACCATCATCTCGACCGCAGTCCCGCGCATCGCCGACGAGTTCGGGTCCGCGCTGGGTTACACGTGGGTGGGGAGCGCCTATGTGCTGGCTCACGCGGCCGTTGTCCCCGTGTGGGGCCGCATGTCCGACATCTTCGGCCGTAAGCCCGTCGTGCTCGCCGCTCTCGCCGCGTTTGCCCTCGGCTCCCTGCTGTGCGGCGTCGCCGTGTCGATGGCCATGCTCTTGGCTGGTCGTGCCGCTCAGGGCGTCGGCGCCGGCGGTGTGCTTACTTTGGTGTATGTGTGTATTTCCGACCTCTTTTTGCTGCGCGACCGCCCCTTTTACTTCGGTGTCATGGGTCTGGTCTGGGTGCTTGCGTCTGCCATAGGACCTGTCTTGGGTGGTGTTTTCACTGGCCTTTTGACTTGGAGGTATGTGCGTTGTACTCTTACTTGCTACCTGGCAGGAGCACACTTGACGTCTGTGGGTGTCTCGTCGCGTGATATCACAATGAAGTGCACCGTGATGCTTCTGGTCGCTAATATGGATGGCGGGTGGCTCCGGCACAGCCGCTCCCTTCGTTGCTCAGATGGTGTTTCTATAGTGAGTGCTCTCCTTTTCAATCCATCTCGCCCTCCACCCTCTAATTGCAGGCACATGGCTACCAAGCCAAGGCTAAGTAAGGTGGTGCTCTACATCCAGTCAATCTCCCCATCTGCGCCATCGGGTTCATCGCAATCCCGTTGGCCCTCAAGTTAGACAACCACCGGACGCCTCTTCGGCAAGGCCTTTTAGCTATCGACTGGATTGGGAGCTCTACCGTCGTCGGCGGCACCATCGTCCTCCTGCTCGGCCTCGAGCTAGGGTCTGTCACCGGTCGGTGGAACTCGCCTATAGTTCTTGGCCTCGTACTGTCAGGCGTCTCCCTGCTTGGCCTCGCCTGTGTCCATTTCTCACTCCCCCGACTCACACGTACACGATACCCCCTGATCCCCCTCAGCCTCTTTGCAAACCGCTCCAACTGCGCAGCATTTGGGGTAGCCTTCATGCACGGTTTCGTCCTCATCTCAGCAAGCTACTGGCTCCCCCTCTACTTCCAGGCCGTGCTGGGCGCCACCGCGTTCCAGTCTGGCGTCTATCTGCTCCCCTATGCTCTATCGCTATCCCTAACATCGGCCGCAGCCGGCTGGGCTATCCGGAAAACAGGGAGCTACCTATGGCTAGTCATCAGCGCCATGGCGGTAACAGTGCTGGGCTTCGGGTTACTGGTAGATCTGAGCCTGGAACCGACTATCCCGATTAAAGCGATTCTCTACCAGCTCGTGGCTGGCGCGGGCATCGGCCCCAACTCCCAAGCCACGCTCATAGCAATCCAGACGGCCATCCCGCCCCAGGAGACGGCAGCGGCAACTTCGATGTTCATCTTCACGCGACAGATGGCCACGGCTATATCCATCGTCATTGGTGGTGCCGTATTCAGCAGCGAAATGCAGCGCCAGTCAGAGGCTATTGCAGCCGCCTTTGGCCCCGGGTCGGACCTGGCCGATATGCTTTCGGGACGCCATGCGGCGGCGAACGCTGGGCGTGTTGCACAGCTGGTAGGTGATGAGGGCGATGTAGCCCGCGAAGCATACAGTATTGCCTTACGGCACATGCGTATCGTGTACGCCGCCTGTGCGGGGGCTGGCTTGCTTTTGAGCGTGTTTATCCGTCATCGGAGGCTTAGTGAAGAAGAACCTGAACATGACATGGCTCACGCTGATTTGGATACTGCCCAGCACGGGTTGACGGATTCCGTCCAGGAAGCTGCTACGATTTACAGTGTGAAGGAGCACAGTGTGAAGGAGCCGGCCGGAAGTAAAACACCGATTGGATGTACTGACTGACTGGCCAGCGGTTTCACTGGGGTGGCTGGACACAATCCACCTAACAACAATGTACAATACATTCAGAGACAATAACTGCCGTGCGCCCCTGTAGTTAAACAGGCACGCAGACGAAAGGTACCCAACACAGACTCGATATAGGAAGCAGAATATTCCAGGCCAATGCAGAGCCCTGATCTTCTTACTTTGTCGGAACTCTCATCTCAAACCCGACAAGCTTCTGAGAAACGTGCAACGTCATGTTACCTAGCCAGGGTCAGATGATCCGAGAGTCCAGCCACTGAAAACAGGTGTTGGATTTTCGAGGCTCTAACCAAGCCCCGAAATCGCCGGCAGTCTAACCTGCGGGCGTATACAGGGCAATATGTTGGGCTTAGCCTAGGAAAACTCCTCTTTTTCGGGGTAAAATGGAGTCCCCGGCTGGCATGTTCCCAGAGCCTACCACTTCAACTTACACAAGAAACTTTTGCATTGATCTAATTTTGTGCCGTTTTGGTGCAGATTTTCCAATAACAGTGCTGGCAATTCCCGTGGGTGTCACCCCTGACCTCTACTCTAGTCTGAATATAACGGGGCTGTAATGATCATTTGATAACAAAGCATCTTCGCTTCCAACCCTGGATGTGCAGGATTATCAGCCGCCAAACTTCTTCTGGCGCAGAGGCGATACTGATGAGAATAAATACATACTCAGAGTCTAGACGTGTCAAGTTGACCAGGGTATCGGATCGAGAAGGGGGAGGGGGGTAGGGTGTGTCGCCAAGACGAGTTCTTGCAGGAAACCGAGAACAACCGACCAATACAAACTTGCGCAAATGCGAGCAAAAGACAGACCCACACATTCACACGCACACACACACACACACACACACACACAGAGAGAGAGAGAGAGAGAGAGAGAGAGACACACACACACAACTCTCCTCGAAAATTGCCGGTGGCAGACAGACGGACACGACAGAGAAGCGATGCAGCTTCGTGACGAAATTCAGTCTGCTCTGGCACTGTTGTCGCTCCAGATTTTCCGAGCTCAGCAATAATTTTTTTGGAGTCCTTAACAGGCACCTGAGATACTGTCAAAATTCTATCTTCTTGACGGAATTCGTGGAGACAGCGTACGTGAAATATCATGCACGCAGAGTGTCAAAACTTTAAGGGATCCAAGAATCATCCCAGTTAGGTACCTCGCCCGCCTGCAAAAAAAAAAAGCCCAGTCTGCACCTAATTACCCATCTGATCACCACGAGTAGGCATCAACCTCCAGCTCAAAGGCCGTCTTGCCCTTCCTCCCTGCCGCCACGACAGCAGCCCGAACGTCGTCACAAAGCCCTCCGGGCCCGGAAACCACAACCCCGACACGATGCCAGCCGGCATCAGCCTCCTCGGCGATCAGGGCGTAAACGTCAAACCGGCTGCCCACGCGCACCTCCTTGGTCAGATTCGCCAGCCCGCCGAGCTCCACGGCCTCGACCAGCGGCCGCGCCGATTCGGCAACGCTCCACGCTAGCTTGACGTTCCAATGGCTTTGCGCCCAGGGGAGGACGCCAGTGATGCCGATGCCGCCCGCAACGAGGAGAACCCGGTCGCAGCGCAGGATGTCCTCGGCGTTGTTGTTGGCGTACGGCCCGTCCAGGAGGGTGAGCATGCCGCCGTGTGTCTTGAGATAGCTTGTGATGCCGCTCTCCTTCTTGATTAGAAGTGTGATTCCAGCGCTGTTTTTGGCATGGTGGATTGAGACTGTTTTCGCCTGCGAGACGGCGAGGTGCTTCTCTTCGTCCTCGTGGGGGGCCTGCGAGGGAGAAGGGGTCCTCTCGCTCGAGCCCGGCTTGCGGAGCATGTGCCCGGGGATGACGGAGAAGGGGTGGTTCTCCCAGGGGCGTAGTGGATCGAGCGTGGGAAAGTAGACGTAGGCATGCTTGCCCGGCTTGGAGCCCCAACGCACCCCGGGAATATCGACACGGATGTAGCCTTGGCCGAGGTCCGTGATTTCGGAACGCAGGATGCCGCTCTGGAGGACCCGTCCGACACGCAAGAGGCGGTCGAAGAACCAGACGGCGATGCCGAGGTACACCCACAGCTCGTAACCCCAGCTGGTATCCGGCCAGGCGATGCCCATGGCGCCGTACCACAGCGTGACGTGATACCAGCAGCCGGCGACGACGAAGACGGCCAGGAGAATGTGGAAGATGAGAAAGAGCTCGTACTGGCTCTTGCGCACGTACAGTCCGCTGAAGAGGACAGAAACCACCGTTGCCATGGTGGCGACGGCGCCCCAGATCCACCAAGTCGTGTCGGAATCATCCGGGTAAATCTGCAGGCCGATGATGGAGTGGACGACGACATAGAGGGCGAAGACGCGCGCCACCCAGCGGTGCAAAAGCAGGAATGTGGAATGGGACCAGTTTGATAGCCACAGGAGGGCATTGTTTCGGGAGGAGAAGAGAAACATGATAGGCAGGAGCATGAAGCCCAGTGTTCCTGTGCGGTACAAGACGTAGGCTGAGATCTCGTTCCATTGCGTCGCGAACCAGGCGTTTGGCTGGCTAGACCTATAGCCGACTGCACTGAGAATGACGTTGAGGGCGACAAATATGGCGATGTAGATGCTCTGGCCCACCGTCGGCGCGTTTCCGAGTAAAAACGGCAGCGCGCGGACCTGGTATGTTCCCACGAGGCTAGGATAGACAAGGTAAGGTTTGACCTATTGCGAAAGTCAGCTGCCAAAGCTCAGGAACCCCCTTTTTTTTTCTTTTGCGGGAGGAGAGCGTACCGAGCGAATCAGCCTAGATAGAAAAGGAAAATGACCAATCAGAGTGAGCACGATTGGTAGACCGAGGGAAGTAACGATTATGGTCAGGCTAGAAGCAGGGTACGCAGTGTCAGAATGGACTTGGATAGCAAGAGGGGGCGTGAGGACAGTACCTGTAGTCGGATTCGACCAGCCCTTCCCGTGCAACATTACCCAAAACGTTCCACTGGGCCAGGTAGCTGTCGGGAGAGACCAGGGAGGTCTGGTTAAGGTCGGTATCGGCTTCGGTCAGCTGGTAGGTGGGCGGCTTTGGAGTGACATTGGCGAGGGCGACCGAGTAGGGCCATTTGGGGGCGACCTTGCTGCTGCCGGTGACGGACTGTTCCCAAAACAGCTGCAGCTTCGAGATGGGGACGTCGTGGCCGGCGCACTTGTCGCTGAGACACCAGGCGACTGAGGTCAGAAACCATGTGTCCTCGGCATAGCACTCCGGCGGAGTCGCCGACATGTGGCTGTCGCCATGACCGTTGCTCATGGGAGTGCAAGACAACATGTATGAGGTGAGAGATCGCAGGCATGACTCGGCACAGAGCGGATCGTAAGGAGAGAAGCCATAGCCAACGAGTAGGGCCTGGCCAGCGGCAAGCACTGGGCTGACTAGAAGTGCCGAGTAGGCCAAAAAGACAGACGCAAAAGCTGCCATAATGACTGATGTGCAGCAGCCTCCGCCAAGCTAGGGTCTCGACGGCTTGAGGAGGGGGGAGGGGAGGGGGAGCAACAGAAATGATGTTTTGGGGCCTGCCGGCAGCAGTCAGTAAGCAGTGTGGAACGAATCTGATTCCCGCGGGGAAGGCAGAGGTGGGAAAGGATTTCCCCGGAAGGCAAGAAAGAATGCCAGAAGGAAGTACGACGCTGTCCATCTTATTTACCGACAGACTGCCGGGTAGCAAGGCAAGGTGTGAGCGAGTATGAGCGAGTTTCTCAGCGTGCGCCCCTCGTCCTGGCGCCAGGGTTCAGGCAAAAATTCCGCCACTCTGCTCCAATCGAACAGGACGAGGGCATTGTGGCGTCGTGCGGCACTTCTGTGCGGGGTGGCAGATGGCAGGGGCATCTGTGGTACACGGTATCCCAGTCATTGGAGAAGACCTCAGCGCCGAGAAGGTGACATCCTATGGGTGTGGGCAGGATACCCGGTATGTAACGGAACGTGCCGAATGTCAACCGCATTGTAATGAGCTTCGGCGATGCAGCGCTAGGAAATTGGTCAACTTCTATTCGCCGTGTGAATTGGTAGATGCAGGGGCCTAGTTTCATAAAGACCTGTTTGCCAAGAACAATCGTCAAGAAATCAGACTAGATGTGGGGGCCGCCCTGACGCCGACAGTCTTGGGGAAATCATAGCAGCTGTTGGCCAGTTTCCAGTTGTAGCTGGCCGCAGGCCGCAGATGGCGTATATCAGCACCATTAGCCAGTTCCGGGGCTTTCCCGTGATGCCGTCGATGCGTAGCGCGCCCCGCCACCAGGATTCGTAATTTTTGATAGCCTCAGGATCTTAGTCTTGCTGCAAGGGGTCAGCTTCCTCGCCTAGCCGGGACAATAGCCCCTCGAGATATCGGAAGAGGCTTTGCTGGACCCGGCCGGCCATGAACGTTGCGTTGTGTACGAAGCTGTGCTAATGGCGATTCCAACCATCGTGCCGCTCGCCGTGCTGGCCGGCAACGGGCCCGCCGACGTGAGCAGCGGCCGCGTCGAATAAATCCGGCCAATCGCACTCACGAAGCCGGCGAGGAGCAGGAGCGCGAGCAGGTCCATGAGGAACTGGCCGATCGGAGGAGCCATCTCTGGCAGTTTTGGCGTGCCGTAGGGACGAGGGACGGGGTTGCAAATGGGAAACCAAAATGTCCGGCAAGGCGAGCGAGGGATCTTCACGACAACGAGCTGGGGCGAAAGGGGCTCGCACAGTCTAGGGTGATTCCTATTGATAATTCATATAAATAGTAACAGACGAGAATACACAGAGACACACACCAGCACGACTGCGGGAACCAGCATCATCAGCGGCAAGTGCGCAAAGCCAGCGCTAGCATCAACTTCAACAAATCAAATGTGAAACTATATTTGTTTGCATTTGACCGCAAAAACTAAATATTGAACTAGCTTCAGGCTCGACTTGGTTAATTTAACAATAACGTTAATTTAACGGCATCCTCCGCTATAACGTGTTTGAAAAACCATTACTTCCATACTTAAAAGTTGTCAAGGTGTACCACACAACTTCAAGACTCTCCCTCTCTCTCTGTTTCAAAACATCATCGCATTCCATCTGCATTCGATCAAGTGTTCCTCCATTCTAACTCTATACTCGCAGTCACTTGGCTCAAGCACGGATAATCGGCAAGTCCCGGGTACCTCAGAGAAGGGAGGATAGACCCGGGGGGCCGAGGAGCTTTGATACACCGAAACCAGAACTGAACTTCCTGTTCAACGGCGCTAGCGGCAGAATATTGAGGCTCACGAAGCTGTGTTTTTGCACACCTGGCCGTCGTGTAAATGTATATGCACAAGCCAGGGGGAAGATTCCGATGCCTAAAACCCTTCAGAAGGCAGGAGATTTCTGTAAGAGGTGCTCTCGGTTGTCTGGTGACATTTTACAAAGCTTGGAACGGTTTAGAGATGAGAGCGTCGGCTCCGCCGACAAATCTGTTGCCGAGCTGGGGCCGTCTGAAAGTTGGTTTCCAGATTCTTGCAATCTTTGTCGCTTGTTTATCACTTTGAGTCGCAACCAAGGACCCGGGGTTGATAGGAGAACGACTCAAAGACTCTTTACCTTCTATTACGGAGGAGCCTCTGGCTTTACAATCATACCCTCAACGGTAACGATAAACATCGAAAAGGATCTGCACCGGACTGGATATGCAACCGTCGTTAACCAGGGGGATAGCCATACGGGAAACCATTTTGAGAACCATACGGTGAAACGCGTTGGGAGCCATGTTGATGGCTATTTCTTCTCTGACGCAAAGGCGCGGCTTGGATCGTGCTGGGAGCATGGACCCCAACAGGGCCCTGACTGGTCTCGTGTGCGTAGCAGCACCGGTTTTCGGCTTATTAACTGCTCCACCCACGAGATTGTCAAGCTCCTGAAAAATGCCGGTACGCTGCGCTGAGCTACGTCTGGGGCCAGTCAAGCGAGCCCCCTTCAAAGGAAATCGACTCCCCACCAAGCTTCCGCTTGTGATTAGGGATGCTGTGACGGTTGCTAAACGACTCGAGATATTATACTTGTGGGTCGACCGTTATTGTATCGACCAAACCAATGAGACAGAACTAGCTGCCCAAATAAAGCTGATCAATCTTATCTACGGTTGCACGTTGGTTACAATATTTGCCGCAGCAGGCGAAGGCCCCGAACACGGTCTCCCAGGCATCACGAAAGGGAGAGACGAGTACCGACAACCATGCGCAAAGATAGGGGACCAGCTCTTCTCATGGACCATGCCAAGTGCCCCAGAGCTCGTCGCAAAATCGAAGTGGAACACCAGAGGTTGGACGTACCAAGAAATAGTGTTTTCAAAATCGCAGTTAATCTTAACGGACGATCAGGCATTCTTAGAGCAGTACTTGATCGAATCCGAAATCAGCACCTGCTCTGAGGCATGGAACGACGATCCGTTTTCCAGTGTTAGGTTCGCTGATGAAAACCGCATCCTGCACGACGGCAATGATAATGCTTCCATGGAGCGACACATAGCCGAGTATTCGAAACTTCAGCTGACAAACCTCTCGGACGTCATCAAGGGCATGGAAGGCATCTTCTCCAGCTTGGCGCATCAGAAACGGATTTTCCAATACAGGGGGGTGGTCCTCAAGACGGAAAGAAGACAGGAATCTGAAGAATACCTAGCAGAAGAGAGTGAAGCTAGTGATTTGGTGAAGGGCGGCTCGTTGCAAAGGGGCTTTTTATGGTATACAGTCACGGAAGCAAAACGCCGTGCCGCATTCCCTAGTTGGTCATGGACTGGCTGGGTTGGGGAGTCAAGCACCTATTAGATGACAGCCAGGTATTCCACCCGGAGAGCATGAAAGCATTTTTCGAGACAACTGATGGCGGCCTAGTTTCCTGGGAGAGGCTTAGTAGGATGGTTGTTGATGATTGTCTGCCGACAAACCTTACCGATATTCTCTACCTCGATGTCTTTACAACTTAGCTTCGTTGTAAGTGTACTTAGCAAACTCCTCCATGCAATCCACGAGTCGGTCTCTATTAGAGCTCGGCTTGAAGCGGCTGCCGCCGTCCACGGGATCGTCGGCGTCGGTGAAGCATGTCCACGCCTTGTGGATGGAGCTCTGGTTGGGGATGGCAAACATGCGCATCCAGCGCCCGAGGATGCGCAGCGAGTTGACCGCGTTGAACGACTGCGACCCGCCGCTGACCTGCGCAATTGCCAGCGTGCGCCCCTGCGTCGGCCGCACCGCGGCCGTCGACAGCGGGATCCAGTCGATCTGGTTCTTGAAGACGGCAGTCTAGTACGCGACGCAAAGAGCGGCTTGTTAATTTGGTTCTTGTCACGGGGACACTCGGCGGAAAACGCACCAGATTGCCGTGCTGCTCCGGGCTCACCCAGACACGGCCGTCGCTCCACCTGCTGAGCTCGCGCACCTTGGCGTGGTCGTGCTGCCGGTCATCCTTGACCGGGAGGCCCAGCGGGTCGTACACGCGCACGTCGCTGCCGAGGCGGGAGAGCATGCGCGCGGCTTCGTAGGCGACGAGTTTCGAGTATGACCTGCGCATCGGCCGCACAACATCGTCAGCGTCTTGGGTACATGCCCGCCACATGTTGTGGGTCGGGGCGCAAACCGGTCCCTGAGACTCCCATAGAGCACGAGGACGCGTAGACTGTCCTGTCCCTGCACAAGCAGCTCCGTGTCGACCATGTGCGCCACCGTGGCCAGCTCGAGCTTCGCCACCCAGTCCGAGTTGGCTATTATGTCGTCGAGGAGGAACGGGCGGTACTTCTGGCGCACGGCCGGGTCGTCATCGCCGGGTCGGATGGCAAACGAGCGGAACTGGTACGCGGGGTCGGTGACGGGCTGCAGGTGCGCCCTTGCTGCCTCGGTGTTATTCAGGTCGCCCATGTCGGGCTGGTGGCGGACAGACGGTGTCGTTTGAAGGGTAGATGTGTGCTGGGTGGTGGTGCTGGGTGGTGCTGGGTGGTGCTGGGTGGTGGTGCTGGCTGAGACGAACCTGCGCCTCGGAATCCGGAGGGGGATCGTGCAGGACCGTAAGGGGCGGACAGGCGGACGGCGCAGCATTGGGCCCGAGTTGGGAGAAGTGGATAAAAGAAAATCGGTGAGAATGGTCAAAATGTGCACAGGAAGGGGAGTGCACAGGAAGGGGAGTGCACTGGAAGGGGAGCAGCGGCTGGAGGGAAGGGGAGGGAAGATGGTATGTCACTCCTCAAACATGATTGGTGCCAGCTCTCGTGCGACAGGGGTCCCAAAAACGTCTTCACGGCGTGCATAATTAGAAGCGGGACAAGATGTGCTGTGTGATTCCGTCTTGCGGGTTGCCTCAAGCAGCAGTTGAATTGTGTTTGTAGATCCATGAGCGTTTAGACTCAATTAGCAATTAGGCAGGCTCGTCAACAAGACGTTTGTACTAGATCTGCTCTGCGCCCGGGCTGGTACATGGTAGTGACCTCGGGCCCAGCCAATGACATGAATTCAAATCTTGCCATTTCCTCGGCTAGCACCTGCCGGGTTGCTTGCAGCGCACATCCTACCCACTCGCCAAGTCTAACCAAGAGACTCGTTTCCTGATGTCTTCTTTTCCCCTGACAGATTGAGGTTAGGAGTGCGGGGTGGTAATTAGAGTCTCTGTTGTTCGAGTTGCGGCCACATGATTCCTGTTGGACATATGTGGACGTCTTTTCTCCGGAAGAGGCCGTATAAATCGTAGTAAAGACTGGATCGCTTACGGCCCTGAACGTTTACATTGAAGAAACAAGCAAGTTCTGCCTCTGGCGGCCCTCTAGCGGGCTGCTCGCAGCGCACAAAAGGGGGTAGAAAGGGGGTAGAAAGGGGGGGTAGGTACCTTTGGTAGAGAAATGCACCTCCAATTCTGGCCAATTGTAGGCCTGAGAGCTGCAGCCAAGACCACCTCAACTTTGCAGTTGGTTGGTTAGTTCCGACACGGCGGGCCCTGTGGGGCAGAAGGGGAGACAGAAAGCTCCTCCTGAGCTCGCGCCAAGATAACCCCGCTATCGACAATCCCACCAACTCCATTTCACATCACGTCACAGACAGCCCGCCGTTCCGTTAACCTAGCAATTACACCAGACCACACTCGCAACATGTCGAACCAAGACTACTACAACCAGCAGCAGGGCTACGGCTACAGCAATCCGGGCCAGCAGGGCTACAGCAATCCGGGCCAGCAGGGCTACAACCAGCAGAGCCCCTATCCGCAGGGCCAAGGCCAGGGCCCACCTCCGAATGCCCCGCAGCAGGTTCGTTGCACGTTGCACGTTGCACGTCGCATTCGCAATGGCATTTGCAATGGCCGTTGCGCGACGCGCCGGATGCGCGGAATGCGCACACGTAGCTGCGAAACTCTGCTAACTTTACTCTGGCGCAGCAGGGCGGCTACCCGTATTCCCCCAACCCGAAGTACCAGCAAGGACCTCCGCAGGGCAACCCGTACGGCTCCCCACCGCCCAGCGGCTACCCCTCGCCGCAGCCGCCGCAGTACCCGCCGCAGTACCCGCAGCAGTACCCGCCGCAGTACCCGCAGCAGTACCCTTCACAGCACCAGCAGTTCAACGCGCCCAATCCCTATCCCTCGCCGCAGCAGGACCAGGGACAGGCGCAGTATTACAACCAGCAGCAGCAGCAGCACCAGCAGCAGCAGCACCAGCAGCAAGGCCAAGGCTACGGCGCGCCCGGACAGTATGCTGAGGGCCAGCCAGGCCCCGGACAAGGCGACCGCGGCATTGGCGGCACGCTCTTCACCGCGGCCGCTGGCGCCGTGCTGGGCCACTCGGCTGCTGGCGGCCACGGCGGTGGCGGCGGCGGCGGCGTCGGCGTGCTAGGGACGGCTCTGGGCGCTGCGCTTGGTGGGAGCGGGGCGTACGTTTGCTCTTTTCTGCTGTCTTTCGGGTTCGATGAGCGGTCGCTAACATGGGTTTACAAACAGCAAGCTCGGCAAGGCCAAGAAGGACAAGAAGGACAAGCACGGCAAGGAGGGGAAGAAGGACAAGAAGCACAAGAAGAAAAGCCACAAGGGGAGCGGCAGCTCTGGCTCGAGCGGCAGTTCGGACAGCAGCGACTCGGACTAGGTCTGGGACGAAGGCAGAACAGAGCCGAGATGCAGAATGGCGCTACCTGTAGATGGCGGCGCTGGGTATGTTGATTTAATAATTTCCAGTTTTGCTTTGGACCTATTTGTTCGCCCAAGTCTACGTGCAAGGTTTGGAATAACTTGCCATGGCAGAACTGTATTCCCCTGCACGACAACTTGAACCCGCTAACCTCTCCGCCGAACCCGCTCATTCATTATGAACATGTCGCTCTTCAAAGAGAGGCAGACAACCTTGCTTCACATTTATTCTCAGCTCTCACGACCAGGCAACACGGACGCTGGCAACAAATTCACCTAATCTCTATTAAACCATAAGGAGCGCATGTACTGAGTCTATACCAGCATTTACAATTTATCCCCCGCCAGTGTCCCTTTGCTCCTCCCGTCTGCAGCGCATCTCAACCCTCACTCACACGCCCTGCGAGCCGAGCGGCGCAATAACGCCAGCAACCTTGGGCGCGGTCGGAAACTCTCCATTCAGAAAACTCGTGACTTGCTTCGCATAGAACTCGGCATACTGGAACAAATGCCCATGCCCCGAACTAGGGAACATGACAAAGTTGGCGTTCGGGATCTGGCGCGCGAGCTCGAACGAGTTCGGCGTGCCGACGACCAAGTCATTGTCCCCCGCCGTCACCAGCACGGGCTTCTGCACCGTCTGCAGCAGCGCGTACGGCAGCGGGTCGGCGTCCCAGCCCAGGTACGCGCGGATCAGGCGCGGCAGCCCGGGCCCCGTCAGGAAGAAGGCGAACGGCGGCTCGCCGTTCTTGCCGGCCGTCGCCGCGCGCCCGCCCGCCGTGATCCGGCCCAGCCAGGCGTTGCCCTCATCCCGCGCGGTGAAGGAGGGGAAGAAGGCGTCGGCGGTCGCGGCGCCGTCGGGCACGGCGCCCATGATCCCTGTTTGTACCTCTGCCATGGGCGGGTGCCGCGGCGTGCCGAGGCTGCCCGAGGGCCCCGTGCCGGCCAGCACGAGCTTGTTGACGAGGTCGGGCGCGTCGAGGACGAGTTGCTGGGCGACGTACCCGCCAATCGAGAAGCCGAGCACGTCGACGTTCGTGACGTTGTTGGGGAGGGTCGGGAGGAGGGAGGTCAGGAAGGCGATCACGTCGCCCGCGAACTCGCGGATGGACAGTTTGACTTCGCCCCCGCTGAGGCCTATGCCCGAGTAGTCGTATGTGATCACCTGGCGGCCGCCCGCGGCGATGCCGTCGACGAGGAGCGGGTCCCACTGCTAGGGGTTAGGTTTGGATGATTTGGAGGGTTGGTTGGGGGGGTTTGGTTGGGGGGGGCAGGGCGCGTACGAGGTCAATGGTAGAGCGGAAGTGGTTGAGGAGTAGCAGTGGTGGAGAGCCAGCGGCGGCCGGCGTGCTGTTGCCGATTAGGCGGTACGCGAACTGCGTGCCGGCGACGGTGAGGAAGAGAGTCTTTGCGTTGGCTTGGGTCCACATTGTGGTGTCTGTTGCGCCTGCTGGTGTGGTTGGGTTTGGTGATGTTGGTTGATGTTGGAGATGTTGTTTGGATCCGGCTGTTGGATCCGGCTGTTGGATTGGATGGGTGAGTGTGATACAGAATAGAAACTCACCCGGGAGCCGTCTGCTCTTTATACTTGTCTCTTGCGTCGCGACATAACGCATGCCACGGCACGGGATTTGGAATGCACAGTCGTGAGCGACAGCACGTTTGGTGCCCTGACTAAGTCCTTGTTTGTCCCAGCGAACCGAGTGCGCCGCTCGCCTTGACAAAGCGCGGCTGTCGTACTGCTAGGCTGTCTAGAGCCATGATCACTAATCGGGTCGAGGTAATCAGGACGGGGGTCGTCGAAGTAGCTGCGAATTGGCCAATCAGAGGCCCGCGGTACTTTGTTGATTACAATTCCACGGCACCCTTTGCGTATAATTGCCCCATTGATGACTTGCTGAGCTAGGCATGCTTGCTGAGCCAGGCATGCTTGCTGAGCCAGGCATGCTTGCTGAGCCAGGCACACTGTCGTCGCCGTGGACTACGCCACACAGCTGCCTCGGCTAACCTGATGAGCGCTCAATTGGTAAGCTCCACCATTTAGTTAACTACCTTACCCGTGGAATTAGTTGGGGACTGTTGGAATTTGTTTTGCCTGTCCCGTTTTTTAATTCACCTAATTATTAGCAATCACCATCATCCCGAACGCCGACACAGTCCCGAGACTCGAACTTCTGGACCGGCCGCCACAATTACTGACCGGCATCAGAGATTGGCATTTCTTTGGTAATCGTGTGGCTCAATTCCCCGAGTTCGTGAACCCTAGACGGAAAATCTTTACTGGCGTGGCCCGGCGTCGCGCAGTGGTGGTCGCCGTCCAGCCTCGATCTGGTCATGGCGGACTCATGCCCGGGAGGCAGCAAGCTTGCGAAAGCCGATCCTCTTATTGGGCCTGTTGTCTCTTTGTTGTTGCTGCCTCGACTCGGATTGGCTGGCCATGACATGGTATAGTCTAAAGGACCTCGCCTGCGGACACGCTAATGCGACAGATCTCACAGACATTGCCGGCGGTGCACGGGTATCCTGGTAGGTGCCTGGCGGCTGTTCAGGGTCGATCCTAACTCAACAACAGCCACTGCTGACGTTGGAAAGCCATCCTGGCTGTTCACGGAGATACTCAGGCCGTCTCTTGCATGGCTCATGCCCTCCAGTTACGCTTCCTTCTGTCTGCCTGTCTGCCTGTCTGCCTGTCTGTCTGTCTGCCCCTAGGGAGTTGGAGAGGCTGTCGCGGAACAACAACATCAACCTGCGAGCACCAAGGCGCCAGCTGTTGAGCATCTTGCAAGGGGCCGTATAGCTAATAGCGTGCCATTGGCCGGCTCGTTCCACTCGCGCTGTCATGGGCTTTAGGAACTACGCTGCTTTGCTTCTTTCTTGCGAGCGGCCGCTGGCGGTTACAGAAGCCCCTTTACGAACAGTCAAAGTTCCAGGCATTAGAATAGTCAGGTGCGGAAATATCTCCAGCCCCTTGTTCTGCTCTAGATTTTACTGCACAGCGTCGAGCGCCTGGTCAAAGGCAGCCCAGGGGTTGGGTTTTCACAGCAAAGCCGAGGACTAGAATCTGATTGCCTTGCCTTGATAACCCGGAAGAATGGCTGTCTCTGTCTTGTTTTGACTGATTAACACACCAGGATCTTTGAGCAGCGCGAGTGGCAATCCTGATGTGTGCCCTTCAAATCTGCTGAACCTTTGGAAACAGGTAAGTTCACATTGCTAATCACGCGGCTGTGGCATGCGAATCGTGTCGATTCAGCTAATGAAACAAGCAGGACGGAGACGGAGATACGCGTTACCGGCCTAAACACAAGACAGGTTTGGGTTCCTCGTGAGAGTGTACGACGCTCGGTGCCTGGATTTCGGGTCAGGGAGCAACATACACCAACACCGGCACCAGCCAGACTGTCACAACTTTATGCACCAGTTCATCCGTCACCCCTTCCTGACAGCATGGCATGAAACAGGGAAACAAATCCACACACGAGGCGTCGAATGTCGTTCAGTCTGTACATTCTGTTTATTCCCCATCCCGAATGCACCGCTCGACTCGCAGCCACCCAGGCTAAAAAATGCAGCACTACAAAGAACCTAAAGAGGGAAGAAACAAGAGAGACGAAAAGAACTAGGCCGCAACCGCCTCGGCGACCTTGGCCGCCTCAACCACCACAACCGCCTCGGCCTTCTTCGCCAAAGGTGCCACGTCGACAACCTCTGACGCCTCGATCACGACCGCCTCGTCCTTGGGCCGCTCAGCGACAACATCCACCTCCTTCACCTCGCCATTCGTCGGCACAGCCACGGCCTCCTCCTCCTTTGCCGGCTCGGCGAGAGCAGCCTCCTCATTCACCACCTCCTCCTTCGGCCTCCCCTCCCTTTCCACCAACCCCTCGCGCACAAGCGGCAGCACAAAGCGCCCGTAATCCACCGCATCATTAAAGTTGTCGTACCCACGAATGGAAATCAGCTCGCAGCCCAGGTCGACATAATCCAGGATCGAGTCGGCCACAGTCTGGTAGCTGCCGACGAGCGCCGTCGACGCGCCGCGCGCGCCCGTCGCCGTCACCGTCGGGTACCACAGCGCGCGGTCCTGCACGTCGCCGCGCGCCGCGATGGCCAGCAGGCGCTGCGACCCGGCGTTCTGCGGCGCTCCGGGCGGCGCTGCAAACGGCACGCCCTCTTCCTTCTCTTTCGCAGCCGCAGCCGCAGCCGCATCCGCGGTAGAAACAGGCGGCGGCCGCGAGCCGTACGGCGACTTATTGGTCTTGAGCAGGTCGAGGGTGCGGTGGGCTTTCGCCCAGGCCAGGTCGTCGGTCTCGGCCACGATGGGCCGGAAGGTGACCCAGATGCGCGGCCACTCGGCACGCGGGCGGCCGGCCTTCTCGGCCTCGCCGTAGATGCGGTCGATCTGCTGCTTGGTGTCGGCCAGCGGCTCGCCCCACAGCCCGAAGATGTCGGCCAGCTCCCCGCCGACGGCGTACGCGGCGTCGGACGATCCGCCGACGGACACGGGAATCGTGGCCGCGCCGCCGTACGGCCGCACTAGGTTGCGGAAGTTGGTGAAGGTGTAGTACGGCGACGCCCAGTCGAACGGCTCGGGCGACGCCCACGCCCGCCGCAGGATGCGGATATAGTCGGCCAGCCGGGCGTAGCGCTCGTCCTTGGACAGGAAATCGCCCTCGCGTGCCTGCTCGACGTCGGACCCGCCGGCGATGAAGTGCACGACGGCGCGGCCGCGGCTGAGCTGCGACAGCGTGGCCAGCATCTTGGCGGCCACGGTCGGGTACACGGTGTTGGGGCGCAGCGCGATGATGACCTTGAGGTTCTTGGTGTGCGCGGCGATGGTGGCGCCCTGCGTCCACGGGTCGTAGTACGACGAGTCGTACGGCACCAGCGTGTAGTCGAAGCCGTACTCGTCCAGCGTGCGCGCGTACCGCGCTTCGAATTCGGGGTCGATGCTCGCGCCCGGGATCGGCGCGAGCTCCGTCGACGCGTTGGGGAAGGTCACGCTGATGAACTCGGTCGGCATGGTGGCGGCGCTGTTTCTGAAAGACTTGAGAAGGCTTGTTTGTGTATTTGGGGACAGGGGGACTAATGTGAATGTCTAATGTGAATGTCTCAGTAGTTGATTAATTAATCTACAGCAGACAGCAGGCAAGTTATACGCGCGGGCTCTGGCGATCCCCGCGCCGATTACAAATGGGCCGAGATGGCGACACGAACTAGGGGATCACGCAATACGGCCCGATCTCGGATGCGGCCGTCTCGACTCGGCGGCCGGCATACCCGCGCGCAAATCTGCGGAGTACTTTCTGGCATTAAATAACACACTAGAATAAAACTATATTACATTGGGATAGCGGGCCATGGGCGTGGGCATGGGCATGGGCATGGGCATGGGCATGGGCATGGTGTTGGCGCTGGTGTTGGTGCTGGAGTTGGTGTCGGGGCCGGTGCGGTAGGCGATGCGGATGGTGGCGCGGTGCTCCTCCTTGAGCACGCCATCTAGGCTATCCTTTTCGCTGTCGTAGCCGTCAGACTCGGGCGCCTTCGGTCTGGCCGTAGCCGTGGCTGCCGTGAGGTTCTTGGTGTACCGCGCCGCCGACCGCTGCTGCGTCTTGCCCGAGACCTCCTTGGCGATGAGGCGCAGGAACGGGATCGACGCCGCCATGATGGTCACGGCCGTCTCGCTGGCCGACCAGATCAGCAGGTCCGCCGACGAAAAGGTAAAGTCGGACGACCGCGCCGTGCCCGTGATGAAGTACGACTTGACGATGGCCGTGATGCCGGCGCTGTTCGTGTCTGGTTAGTTCTGGCCTCTCATGATGGACATGGCAACTCACAAGACGCCCAGGCTCATGGCCACCACCACGCCGACCTTTTCGCGCGTGCCCATCTGCAGGTGCCAGATCAGCACGGTCGGGAAGATGGCCAGGATAAAGTCCATGGCGGCCGAGTACGCTGTGTATGTTAGTCAGGGGTCACCGAGGGAAGGGGTGAGATAGCCACACGCACCGCCGGCGCCGATGCCAATGTTGACCTGCACGCGCGAGTCCCAGCACGAGCCCGGGGCGTCGAGGTTCCAGGCCTTCTGCACGGGCGTGCACTGGAAGAAGAGCGAGAAGCCGCACACCCACATGACGAGGTTGAGGCTGACGAGGATGGTCCAGATAACGGCACGCTGCCACGGCCCGCGCGCCAGGTGCAGCAGCGTTACGGCGAACGACGACTTGCTGATGGCCAGCGCGATAATCCCAAAAAACCGCCCAATGTACAACAGCTCCAGCGCCACCACCAGGTTGCCCGGCGGGATCAGCGCCTTGCGCCGCCCGATGCCGTAGTTGACCGCCACGATGGTCAGCGCCGAGTACGTGACGAGGCACAGCTGGTAGTGGACCGTTTTAGCATCTCGCAGATATGTGTTGAGAGAAGACGCAATACGCACCCAGGACGCCGACAGCAGGTGGTCGTCCCAACCAAAGCGCTTGCCGTAGCGCGCCTTGCAGAAGAAGCGCAGCAGCATCAGCAGCAGCGACACGCCCGTCATGACGGACAACGAGATGACGATGCGCGGCCCGTTGGTCTCCTCCATCAGCCGGCTCATGGCGCTCATGGTCATGCCCATGTTCATATTGCTGTTCATGTTAGAAGGCGTCGGCGTCGGCGTGGCGTCCGGGGCGACGGGAAAAGGGGGCTGCTGAGCCGCCATTGTGTAATCTGAATCTGAGACTGAATCTGGCTCTGGCTCTGGCTCTGGCTCTGCGGTCTGCTCCTCGGTTCTCGATCGGCGCGCGGAGAGACTGGTCCATGGTACGGGGAAAAAGAAGAGTCGAAAAGTCGACAGTGATGCGCCCCAAGCCTTTTTCCCCCGGCCGGCCCTGCGATCCCTTTTGATCGTGATCGCCCGCCCCGTCTGTCGTTCTGTCCTCCCCACACGAAGCCGGTGATGCCCCCCGAAACCCAATCCAAGGCAGCTGAGGTAGGACCACGGTCTGTGGTGCAGTTTAGGCGGCATCAGCGCGCTAACACGCCGCGCCGCGCCCGCCGCCCGCCGCCTGTTAGCACATTGACCCGGCGCCGACCTCACCCTGGGCGATCAAACAGCAGAGCACGCAAACACGCAACCAGCAGCCGCTGCTCGGGCCCCACACCGCGGTTCGCCGCAGGGGCCTCACCAGTTCCCGACTGGCAAGACAGACTCCATGCCCACTGCAACGCCCCCCGGATCCTCGAGGCTAAATAAAGCCGGCAAGCTCGGCCTGTCCATCCATCCATCTCATCTCTCTCTGCACAGACAGTGGGTCGGACCCTGCCGACGAGCCGCCACCTCCATCGCTTGCCCTCAGCACCTGTGACCGCCCGGTGTTTGCGTTTCGGATGCCATCTTATCCTCTCGCCACCACCACACCACACCCGCCGCTTTGGTGTCGGACATCAGACGCTTGCAGTGCCTAGACCGGATGAAGGGGACCCGCGGCCTCGCCATCCATCTCGTCATAACTCGTTGGCTGCTTGTGGGATGAAGGAAAATCCCCTTCCACCCGGGATGGGAGTAGTCGTGAACAGAAGCGAAGCTCCAGAACTAGCTGCACACACTGTGCCTCACGTCGCCTCCAGCGGCCCTCCTGGGGGCCACCTCAATTTTCAAATCTCCAAGCTAACCGTCAGGGCTACAAAACGCCGCCCAAGTCGAAAGCTCCTTGGTCAGGGTTAGGCGGGTTGAATCGCAAAAATCCGTTTCGAGGAGCTGCTTGCGGCTTGGCCGGGGCGTTTCTATAGCATTAACGACTCGACGAGTAAAATGCTGTTCCACTGTCTCCATCATAGGTAATGCGAGAAATGTTTCTAGTGGGTCACTGCGGTCGGAACCAATCAGCATCACACCTATCACCAGAGGGTCAGGTTTTCGACCTGTCGGCAGCACAGTCTCCAAGGCTGTTTCCGTTTCCCAGGCATGGAGTTGGGGGCTTGGCCACCTCCGAGCAAGCAGCCAATTAGCACTGTGACTCACTGAAGCTCCAGGTTTTCCGACACCCTCAGCACCCTCGCATTGCACAGGCTCGCTCTTCGGCCCCGATTTCCCGGCGCATGTAGTGGCTATGTTGACGGTGGCAACTAATCATCATCGTGTACTCCTGGAGTACTGGAGCCTCAGGGTTTTTCGACCGACCTCATCAAGAAGAGGCTTGATACAAATCTAGCCGTCTTCGGATCTGAGGTGTCGTCCGAGGGCCGCGGCTCGTTTAAAGTGGCGTCCGCACCCCCCCCCCATTGATCGCCATATTCCAGGTTCTCTTTGCAAGAGAATCGCTTCTCGCCTGAGTGGATGTCTTCGTGCGTTTTACGGTCGTAGTTCCTGGCGAAGGCCGTTCCGCACACAGTGCAGATAAAAGGACGTTCGTCCGTTTGTACTCGCAAGTGAGACTTCATATTATGTTGGCGAGTGAAGCGCTTCGGACAGAACGTGCATTGATAAGTTGCTAGATATCTCTGAATATTGCGACGCATCGCATTCGGATTCGGGATGTTGGGAAAGTTTCCTCCAATTCCAAAATATCAGATTTGCCGTGACCCGTTTCGGATAACCACACTATCAAATTCGTCTATGCCGTCTAGAATAATATAGGTCTTGCGGCTCTTTAAAGCGATGTCTAACAATTATTTCGCAAGTTCGCGACTTGACAAGGTGGCTTGGCCACTAGATGTTAAAGTCTCCTCGAAGTGAAGAAGAAGAAGAGATGCGTCCTGTGTGAAGAGCTGAGAGAGGATTGCCCTTGACATGGGAACGAATTTGTGTCGCTCTGGATTTCCGTGGGCGAAGTAGAAAAAGGCCACCGAAACGCCATTCAGCTCTTTCACACGCTCGATGTTAATGGAGGCCAGCACGGATTTGCCTTCGAAATTTTAGCTAAGCCTCGAAATAGCCATTTTAATAGTATTAAACCTCTTACCTACGCCTAGTTTTCCGTCAATCCAGAGGAGTGGGGTTGAGCAAAAGAGCGGCTCAACCCATTCTTAAAAGGAGTTGTCTGCGAGAATCCATTGGCAGGACTTCGGATTCCAGGCCCTGGGTTCCAGACAACGCTCATGAGCGGCCTGGACATTTGGGGAAGATAGCCATTGGAACACGGCCGTCTTGCGTCGCCTCTCTTTAGAAAGCTTGAGTTCCCGAAAGTTTGCTTCAGACTGTGTGCGTATATTCTGAACCGCTTCGAACTCGACAAGGGAGCCTCTGGTCTGAATAAGTCGACGATGACGAGCTAGGTTGTTTTTCAGTAAGTCAATTTCCGACGCAAACCCCTTCCAGCTCGTCTGGAAGGGCGATCGCCACACTATGAGTTGTACGACTTGGTAAGCGTGTGGTGTATTGGATTACTCGACAGGGGGACGTACGTTTTTGTCGGAAGTATTGGAGAGCTATGACATGAACTCTAAGGATGTCCTCGTATATCATCACCAGTAGCTGCCGCATATGAGCATTTTCCGAGAATAGGTCTCTAGGATTTCAGAAGTAAGATCTACTCCCCGATCTGCTGATAAGTGTCCAGCAGGGAGTCGAATGCCTCGGCGAAGCTCGGCGCTACCTGGGTACGGTATTGTCAACAAATATTCTAGTCAGCCTCTGGGCTGGGTTAATTGAGCCTACCATGATGAGGAACTTCAGCGGTCCCTGCAACTGTGAGAAGTGTTATCGATGTACTTGTACTACAAGCGCAGAGCTGCCAAGAAAACCCCGGGCGGGCGCTTACCCAAATAAAAGCCAGGATCTCTGATGCATTAAAAAAGACTTCAATAACCTTGCCATAGACAGGGTGACCCACCTTTGCAATCGCCCCACTTTGCAATTTTTCCCCCACACCGCCAACTTCCTACTCTCTACCTTCCACCACCAACAACTTCCTCAATACTGGTCGGAATAGCCTCAAAATACGATGGTTCGACGCGTACGAGAGCGGCTAATAGCCGAGGCTATTGAGGCTGTTGATCAGGGCGCTCAGCAGAAGGAAGTAGCGCGCCTATATAGGATCCCTGAATCCACCCTCAGCAGACGACGCCGTGGACAACAGGATCCACGACAAGCCCAAAAAAACACCCAGAAGTTAACTGACGACCAGGAAGCCTTCGTCACCGAGTGGGCTCTTGAGGAGGAAGCTGCAGGGCGTGCCCCAAGTCGTGCACGGCTAAGACGATTCGCACAAGCGATCCTGAACGAAGCCGGGCTCCCTGGGCGAGTTGGTGAGCGCTGGGTAGATCGGTTTTTTACCCGCAACCCCAGGGTAAAGGCCAAGTTAGGTACCTTATTAGAACGGTCTCGAGTCAAAGGATCTACCCGTGAGAGATTCCAGCATTTTTTTGATCGTTTGGAAGCTGTAATTAAGGACAAGAAGCTGGTACCTGCGAATATCGCCAATATAGACGAACATGGCATGCAAGAGACGGAAACTACGGTTGGGAAGGTGATTGGCGATGCCCTCACATCTCGGGCAGTCCTGACTGGCCCTGATCCAACGACCTGGGTCAGTGTTATCGAGTGTGGTACCGCTGAGGGCAAGCGATTGACGCCCGTAGTGATCTTTACGGGTGAAAATCTACAAGGCCAACACTTCCCGGATAACTTCAAGGAACTACCAGTCCTCAAGACCTGGAAGTACGACTGTACGCCTATAGGCTGGAGCAATAGCAAAATAGCTCTTATGTGGCTCAAGGAAGTATATCTTCCTCAAACAAAGCCCCAAAGGAAGGACGATTGGCGCCTATTAATCCTCGACGAACACGCTACTCATATCGACGAAGACTTCATGCTTCTAGCTAAAAGAAACCGCGTACACCTACTATACTTGCCTTCACACACTTCTCACAAGACCCAGCCACTCGACCGGTCTGTCTTTTCGGCTTTGAAGTCCTATTTTCGCCAAAGAACCCTCGAATTGGCTTCCTTCACAGCCTCAGCACCTATCAACAAGCAACGCTTCCTTTTTTGCTACCGGGACGCCTCAGCGCAGGGTATGTCAGCCCGGAATATCATATCCGGCTTCCGGAAGACTGGAATCTGGCCTTTCCAACCCGCTCGTATACTTGACGACCCCGAGGCGGTCCGGGACGAAGCTGCAGAACCAGTCCCCCCATCCACACCACCCCGGAAGACCCGGGCAACCCGGAACGACCTCTTCAATACACCTCAAGGTAGTCACGACGTCCGCAGGCAACAGGGCTTAGCCAAAACGGCCACTAGTCCCCGAGGTAGGGTCGTCAGGACTATGTTGACGAAGGTAGGGAGGGCACTTGATCAGAAGAATACGGAAATCGCTGCTTTGAAGGCAAAAAACGACTTCTTAGCCAACGAGTTGGAATCCAAAAAACCCTATTCACGTAAAAGGGTCAAAATAGACGCCAACGACAGATTTGCTACTATTGACGAAATTGACGAGGCTCAAAAAGCTAGTCAAAAGCCTCCCAAGAAGAGATCCAAGAAGACCAAGTCCAGGCCTGCACACTTGGTCCAGGAAGCTGAAGAAATTATCGCCCGTGGGCTTGAGCAATATAGGGCGATTGACGAGGACTAGAATGTACTTTTTTCTATAGAATTTGGCCTACAATTGAGTATTTTGATGATTCTTGTGGTGGGCGGTGATGGTGGTGGGCGATTGCAAAGGGGGGCGATTGCATAAGTGGGTCGCCCTGTCTACTCGGCCATTGTCTTCAAGAAGGGGTCAATCCTCTTCATGTACACCAAACGTCTTTTTCTTGGATTGCTCCTTCTGGACGGAGCTGAGGGTCGTGAGGACGTCATCGAAATTGGCGAGCTGGAAATACTGCGACTCTTCGCTTGTCAATTTCGCCTTTTTCTTGAAATCGTCCAGGACGCGACGGAACTGTTCGCTCATGTCAATCTTGAACCTCAGTAGCACGAGGAAGGAGCTTGCCTGTCGTGTGCAGTGCTGGTGACAAAGAGTGCGATGTTGTGGCCGCTCGGATTTAAAGGTCCGCACATTTGTAAGAAGAAAGACGAGAAACTTGGGACGGGAGCCTTGCCCATCCGGTATCCCAGGGTTGTGCCTGCCGCCAACTTGCAATAGACCCGACATGCGGAAAGAGCGAACAGCGATGCAGCTAAGTTCTGCTGATTGGGTCACAGTCGAATAGTCCGACCCCAGCCCAACGGCTGTGCAACACACCATTTCCGCCGTCAATTTGCCGCCCGAACCTACTGTCAGTTTGAAGCCCTGCCACATCAAGTTGGCGAAAACGTTACAGCTCCCTCGCTCTTTGCCCGCCGCCGCCGCCTCCATCAATCTCAACATCCATGTCGCGCTTGTCTTGTGTACGCCACAACATTCACCAGTAAGGGCGATTCTTCGAGCCTCCTTTCGAAATTGGATAACGTAGGGCAAATGCGACAGCAGCTGACTTTCACCCCTGGTTAAAGCGCCATGAATATGGATGGCAAACATGCGTCGAAGAGATACTACAGGCGATAAAGATTCTCAAAGCGGCAAGCGACCACAACACAACGTGGCTTGGGCTGGTTTACAAAACGGATTCCATGGCGACTTCTAGGAAGGGTTCTCTGCTATAACCTAGCCAAAACTCCGCCGCAAATCCCTTTAAACACCCCTTTAAACAGCAAGTCAAGCACAAACCCCCGTCCTCCAAAAACTCACCATCCATCACCCATCAACCGCACCGGCAACAGTAACATACCAAAGGATCCTAACCGCGCTCTCACAGTTGACATCGCCCATACGCGCCTTCTTCAGCGCAACCGACACCAGCAGATCCCCACACAGCCGTGCAACTCGGTCGACCGCCTCCCCACCACTTCCACCACCACCACCACCACCACCACCGCCGCCGCCGCCATCCTCCCCCACACTCCCTGCAGACGACGACACGACCTCCAGCTGTGCAAGATACCCCAGGAACTTGAGCGCGCGCTGCTCGCTCCACGCCCCGTCCCTGACGAGCACGCCCCAGCGGCTGCGGAATGCTGGCGCGTTTAGTGGGTACACGTCGCACCAGCCGCGCCCGATGGCGATGGCGAATGCTTCTGCCTGGCTGGGACTGGGATTAGATGTGGAAGTAGGAGAAGGTGAGGGGAGTGGCTCGAACGCAAACAGCCGTGCAGTGTGCGCCGGCACGTCGAACGGCTGGTGCAGCGTGGCCGAGCTGAACTTGCGCGGCACTTCGTAGTGCGTGTGCCCCCGCCCGGCGCCGACGGCGTGCGAGAACGGGGATGTGATTTTCCACGCGCGTGGCATGGTTGCTGGTTCTATTGTAGTGGGATTCAACGGCAGAGAAGTAAAGGTAATCCCCAGCCCGCGCAGGGAGGGCTGGTGAGCCTGCGGCTTCTCGAGGACGTACAGGTTTTTATCGAGGCTGCGCAGGCGGTGGTTGCGGGCGTGCAGCGCGTCGGCGTCAGCTTCCGTGTCGTCATCGGCCGCTGATGACAAGACGTAGACCGTCTTACGTGCGAAGCGGCTGTCGCTCAGCTCGCGCGCGCTGTCCAGCAGCATGAACGGCGCGTTCGCATCGTCTGACCCCGTGTACACGTTGCCGCCGCGCTGCCGCCGCAAGACTAGACATACTGGGAACAGTACCTCGGCCGTGTTTGCGGCCGTAGCCGGCGTAGCGGTTGGTGGCCCGCTGCCGGGCTTGTGCGTCTTGCAGTTGATGTACGCGTGCACGTCGTCGCTGTGCGCGTGTTTCGTGTTCGCCGGCCGCAGGAGCAGCGACAGCCGCAGCCCGCGGCTCGTCATCAGCGGCGGCATGTCCTCGACGTCGTCATCGGGGACTGCGCTGCTGCTGGTGTCGGGAACCAGCGACGAGTACGTCCACAGGGCGCGGTTGTGCAGCTCAAAGTCGTCGGGCCCGTCGGCCAGCGGGCGGCGCGGACTGGCCCCCCGGCTACCACTCGCTCGCGGTACGCCTTTCCAGTGGTGCTTGTTGCTGAGGAACTTGCTCAGACCCCAGGCTAGCATGGTGTAGTCCTCGGCCGTCTTCATGATCTCGTCCTGCAGGCGGAAAAAGGCGCGCGAGCGGCCCTCGCCGTACAGCAGCGGCATGTGCACCTTGAAAACACCCAACAGGCAATACGCGGCGTCCTCGCCGCGCGTCGTCTGGCGGCCGGCGGCCCACGACATGCGCTCGGCGACGGTGCACGTCGCCGGGTCGGCGCCCTCGAGCACGCGCACGTCGATGCCCGTGATGCGGCTGAGCGCCCGCCGCAGGCTGAACTTGGTGCCCAGCTCGCGCCAGTCGTGCGAGTAGAACTCGACCAGCGGCGGCGCGACGAGTTCCTGGAGGGTCCACCCGCGGCTGAACCAGCGGCTGTGCTCAAACGTGCGCGGCAGCTTGTCGTACTCCCGCACGATGGACGGGATGGTGCGAAACGCCGGCCGCGGCGACTTGGGCGGGCCCGGGCCCGGGCCCGGCGACGGCTTGCGCGCGGGGCCGGCGCCGGCGGCAGGGGTGGGCGATAGCGTGTCTGATGTGGGCGACGGCGGCGGCACCTGGGACACGTCCGACATGTAGGCGTAGCAGATGTGTGCCTCGTGATACCAGCGGTACATGGAGTTGATGGCCTCGGACAGCTCCGCGCTGCTGGTCTTGTCGATGCAGCACGTGTCGACCCACGCGTAGTCGTACCCGTCGGCCACGGCCCGGGCGCAGCAACCCGCCAGCTTGCCGTAGCCAGCCTTCTTGCGCGCCGCCGCCCGGCTTCCGCTGCCCGCTGAAAGGTCCTGCAGCGTCACCTCGTCGGCCCCCCATGTGTGCGACAGGATCACATACGGCGGCGGCCGCCCCACAAACTCGACCAGCTCCAGCGTGTCCGTCTTGAGCAGGCGCATCGTCGTCGTTGTCTGGCGGTGGGCTATCGGATTGGCTGCGGCTCTGCATGCCCACGGCCGAGAGGGGGGAGAAACTGGAGAAGGATTTGCAGGGAGCTGCAGCTGCCTATCGCGGCCAAGTGTCGTGACATACATGCACGGTGCTTCGGCTTGATTGCTGATTGGCGGCCTGTTTCGTGGTGGATTGCCTCTGTGCAGACCCAGCCCCGTCATCTTGATCTTTCCCATTTCATTTTTTTTATTTATGAAATAACTAACGGAATAACTGACAACGATTCAGCAGTCCTTGTTCACAGCCGCCACTTGGCAAGCCGTGTCTGCAGGCGCAGATTCAAATGTCGTGCAACACCAAGAGACGACGCCACCAAACCAGCCAGCACCGCATGCATCGTGACACTACCAACGCATCTCAACCAGTGACTACCAAACTAGCCTCCCCACAAGCCACGTCTCGAAATGATAACAAAAAGAAAGCAAAAAGGGTAGTTGGGGCCACCCGGCGATTGAACCCGGGACCTCTCGCAAGATTGCTTAGGTGTAACCCTAAGCCTGTGGTGGAGCGAGCGGAGCGGTCTGCAGAGTTTTTAATACATACGAGAATCATACCACTAGACCAGGAGCTCTAGAACTTGAGTGAGTGGGACGTCAAGAGTTGCAGTATAAACAGCCCACTTTTCCCTTCTTTTTTTTCTTTTTTTTTCTTTTTTTGAAATATCGAGCTGTCTCCTTCACAACTTGTTCTTATTATTGCTAGTGACCTACTACCAATGACTTGTCCATTGTGGCTAATTATTGGACGATAAGATACGAGTTAGATAGAAGCCAATGACTCATGCTAGCCCCCTCTTTGCCTCCGGCGGCCCTCCGGGGGCGCCTGCGGCGAGCTGCTCGCTGCTCTCGAAAGGGTGGATGCTGTTGATGTTCGTTGTATCGCTCAAAGCAAAACATGCCGGTATTTTGACTGCAACTTGCCCAGCAAGAACACACGCTTTTACACCTCACTCAGCTCTACCTGCACACTTCTCTACTTGCATACTTAATAGGGATCCAGTCAGCTTTTAAATTCCTACTTGCTATCTACAGACCCAACCACCCCCTCCACACCTCCACACACCACTGTTACACAGTACACCCACACACCAGGCTAAGCGCTGAGCCCGAAAAAGGCCATGTCCATGGACTCGTGCTGCGGCACTGTGTGGCCGACGCCCTGGGCGCTGTAGCCGACGAGCTGCGCCGTCGTGGCCGTGCCGTCGCCCCAGATGGTCTGCGTGTACCCGCTCTGCGGCGTGTTGGTCGCGTTGCGCGACGTCGTCAGGCCGAACACGTTGGACCACTCCTTGAGCTGTTCCTGGTCTGTTGCTGTTAGAATCTCCCTCGGAAAAGGGGCTCCCCCGGAAAAGGGGGGGAAGGGGGCGGACTAACAGTTGGGGTAGTGCAGCGTGTTGTCGGCGGTGCCGTGCCAGCTGCGCCTTGTCAGTAAATCTCTCAACAAGGTCAGCAGATGGAGACAGAGAAAAGGGAAAACAAACATCTGCAGGCGCGGGCGCGGGCCCGTGTAGCTGGGATAGTACGACCGCACCAGATCGCCCCAGGCCTGCGCCGTCTTGACCAGCTGGCCGTTGGCGCACGAGTTGGCCCAGCCGGGCGGGTCCTGGGTGGCGGTGGCGCCCGACACGGCGAAGCAGCCGGCCGGCACGCCCGAGTAGACGGACCCGGCCTTGAACACGTCCGGGTACGCCGCCACCAGCACGTTGGTCATCATGGCCCCCGACGACGTGCCCACCGTGTACACCTTGTTGACGTCGCCGCCCAGCTTGTCGACCGCGTACTTGACCATGTTGACGATGGTCTGGCTGTCGCCGCCGCCGTTGTGCGTGAGCGCTGGTCGTGTCAGCATATTTGTTTCGCATCCAACCATGTACGTGGGGGTGTATGTTGATCTGCCCAGGACTCACTCGCTTGCGACGACACGTCAAAGCACCCGCCGCTGGACCGCGAGTTGGGGTAGATGATAATGAACCCCAGCGAGTCGGACAGCGGCTGGTACTTGGTCTCGGTCGAGTACTGCTGGGCCGAGCCCTGGCAGTGGTGCACGGCGACTAGGATGGGTGCCGGCGTCTTGAGGTTCTTGGGCACGTGCACGTACATGCCCAGCTTGGTCGGGCCGGCCGAGAAGTCGTTGACCTTTGTGATGTCGCAGCTGCCCGAGGCGGCGAGCGCCACGAGCCCCACGACGGTCGAGAGCAGCTTCATGGTGGCGTGTAGACAAGACGCTAAACAGGAGATGGGCGTGGCGGCTTGCGAGACTTGGCAGACACTCACAGACAGTCTACTTTAGCTAGCTGTGGCCCGTCTGGGGGATATATACACCTTTTATACATGCCCGTCCACGTTCTTATGACTTATATCCTAGCAGCAGCAGCAGTAGCAGCACACAGCTGGCCCTGCCTTTTGTCCGGCGCCACGTGTGTGCGGGCGCCCCATTGGGGGGACGAGAGTCGTGTTTTGGCTAATGTGGCCCGTCGGCGAACCCTGTGCCGCGCTTCTTCCTGGCAGAGGGACGGATGGAGGCTCAGCGCGCGAGAGGCAGAAAAATGCGGAGGTGCAATATCAGCTTTGTGCCGAGCATAGATTGCTGCCAATATGTGCCCCCAGCGCGCAAATGCGGGGATTACGCGTGGGCTCTGTCAGTGTCCGGGGTCGACGCCGCAGCTCCGATTTATTATTTCTTGTCATCTGTCTCTGTATTGCACACTGAGCCATGCAGGCCCCCCTTTTCCCCAGCCGGTCCCTGGACGGTTCAGTGCCCGAGTGCCGGAGTGCCGGCCGTGAGGGGAAGGGCAGGGATTCGGAGAGCATCATCACCGTCTTTGGGGGGGGGCAAAATCAAATTGCCATGTTAGTCCCCCCTGCCTTTCCCACACAGCCATTCATTATCTCGCGCAAGATATTGCCCACGGCCAACCGGTACCTCACAGGTCCCCCGTCTTGGCAGGGCTATCCTCATCTGTGTCTGGTCCTGTCGCCCGTGTGCGCGTAGGTGCCCGTGGCGCCGACGATCCATTGGTATCTGTGCGTCGCGCTGCTGACGTCGGCGTGCCAAGCGTGCGCCTCGTCTGCGAGCCGGCCGACCTGCCGCTCCAGCCGCCGCAGCGTGTCGAGCTGCATCTCGAGCGCCGGCAGCCGTCGCCGCCGCCCCTCGTCGGCAAACCACCCCTCCCCGCCGACGCTCTGCAGCGCCCCGAGATCCGCCTCCAGCCCCTCCAGCCGCGCCCGCACGTGCGCCATGACCGCCAGCGCCTGCACCGCCGCCCGCAGCTGCTCCGCCAGTACCCCGTGCCTAGCCTTGGCCAACCGCCCTGCGAGCACCGCTGCTGCCGCCGCCGCGCGCGACAGCTCTGGGGGCGGCGGCGGCGGCGGCGGCGGCGGCGGCGGCGGCGGCGCAAATACACCAAACACCCACCGCAACGCCCCCAGCAGCGGCGACTCGCTTTCCACCTCCGGCGCCGCATCGGGCCACCGCGCAGCGACCTCGGCGGCTGCGGCGCCCAACCGGTCCGCCAGCGCCGCCGCGGTCGCCAGGTGGCGCGCGACGGCCACCAGCTCGCCGTAGCGAGCGCCGTCATCCACAACACCCGCGCGGTGCGTCCCCGTCGTCGCCGTGTCGCGCAGCGCGGCATCCTTCCAGCGCGCCGCCCACTGCTCGAACGCCGCCACGGCGCGGGCCATGTCGGGCGGGATCCGGCTGCCGTACCCGTACGACTGCGAGAGCAGCATGCATGCCGGGTGCGGGAACGCCGCGGGATCCTCGTCGGGATCTGCGTCTCGTGTTGGATTGGAGCGGCGACATACCCGGCTGAAGAAGCGCGCCTCGCCGCGCCCGAACGGGTGCAGGTCGCTGTCCCACGCCGCCCACGCCGCCCGCATCTTATCGACAAACACGCGCACGTCGCGCGGCGGCGGCCGGGGTCTGTACTGCGGCACGCCGGGGTCCGGGCACGGCCGCAGGAAAGCGCTGCTGCTGCTTCCCACGGATGACGGCGGCGCAGACGTAAAGTTCGCCGCCGCCAACCTGAAGCAGTCGTCAACATAGACCCGCCAATGCTCCCGCCCACCGTCGTCAGCCTTGTGCCATGCAGCAATCACACCCTCCACCGCCCTCCGGGAGTCCTTCAGCGCGGCCACCAGCGGCGACAGCAAGTTCCCGTCATCGCGCAACCCCACATGGTCCGCGACCGCCGGCCACGCGAACGCCGCCTGGTCAAGGTGCCCGCCGAGGCTGGCGCACAGCCGTGCCATGTCGTCCGCCGTCGTCGCATTACTCCTGCTGTGGGGAGGAGTCCCCAGCGCGTCGCCCGCCAGCAGCGCACCCAGCAGCAGCCCGCACAGCGCGGACGCGAGCGGCTTGATGCCGCCCTCGAGCGGGGCCGCGCGCGCGAACGTCTCGTGCACGGCTACGTCGGCCGCGTCGGCTGCGAGGTGTGCCTGTGGAGGCGCTGCGCGCGCGAGGCCGGTGATGGGTGTTGCGCGGAGCTTGTGGGTTGCGCGGAGCTTGTGGGTTGCGTTGTTGCGTAGTGGCGGTGGTGGTGGTTGGTCAAGGTGCGTGTCGCCGGGCGCGTGCTGCGGGATGCCGAGGAGTATGGCGGGCAGCGCGGCCCACGCGAGTGTGATGTCGGTTATGTCGCCGAGCAGCGGGTGCGAGGCGAACGGCGGCGTGTCGGCTGGGGCCGTGTTACGGTTGTTGTTGTTGTTGTTGTTGTTGTTGTTGTTGTTGTTGTTGTTGTTGTTGTTGTTGTTGTTGTTGTTGTTGTTGTTGTTGTTGTTGTTGGTGTTAGGATTGTAACTGCTCGCCCAGGCAGCACGGGGTTGCAGTGTCAAGTTGGCGCGCCGCAGCACCTGCGACAGGAGCGGATAGACGAGGACGCAGAGGACGGCCATGACGACGAAGCCGCGGCATGTAGACGGAGCGGGTCGGTGCTGCGTGGTGGTGGATGTAGTCACATGCAGCGACGACGCGTCGGACTCGCTCGCTCGGCGCTCCTGTGCGTCGGCAGCCAGAAAGTCTAGGGAGTCGTATCGTGCTAGGTAAGAGATGTCGCCGTCCCAGCTGGATTCTTCGTCCCGGTACTCTCCCTCGCCGACGCCGCTGGTCCTGTCGTCGACCTCGTCCTCGTCAGAGAGGTAGCCGTCGGACACGACAATCGTGCGGCCCTTTTGCCTGTAGCTGTCGTCGGACAGCCTGGAGCGGAGACTCGTGCTGAGGGCGCGGCCGCCGGTGTGCATGTGTTTTGGCATGGCTGTGTTTTTGTTGTTGGTTGTGTGGTCAGAGTTCGTCAACCAGCCAGAATTCGGCCTACAAGACGAGCACGACGGGTTTGAGCGTTTCAGGGCCAGCATGAGGTTGAGGAGCGTGTCCGGATCGGTGTGATTGTTTCGGTAGCCTGCAAGGACAAAAACGAGCAGTGCTTTGTTGCTGGAAGCTGTTCCGGAAAGGGGTTGCTGTCATGGACAACAAAGACGGCGGCTGGCTTCACGGCCCTTAAAGAATGTGCCGACTGTTCCTGGCCCACCGTGTGCTCTCTGGCTGTGTTAGGATAATAACCATTCAAGAGATTGTCTACTCCCAAACCTAAAATAAAGTTGAACATAAACCGCAATGAGGCTCTTTGAGACAAACCAATGCAACCACCATCAGCATCAGCATCAGCAGTGCAGCAATCGCGGTCCATCAAGACAGAAGCAAGAACCGACCTGATTAAAGCAACAAAAACACTCTGTCCGAGGGCGGCGCGACAAGCTTTACTACACCAAGTGTTCAGCCAATTGACAACAACCTCGTCCAGCTTGAGTCTGGACAAGGTAACCCGTGATCGTTAGTGAAGAGCATCCTTATTCCAGCCCTCTTCAAATGCGGGACACGCTTGAACAGCCGGTTGCCATGTCATATGATTAGAATCGTTTAACTAATGCGACTTTCATGCTGAACCTGTGATCGTTTCGATTTCTTTGCACCAGTTGAGTTTGCGTTTCTGATCGCCCAAATGCCACTGCTGCCAGTACTTGCTGTCGGAAGGAGCCGCATCTAAGCCACATATGGGCGCAGGTGGCGCACATGCTAGACTACTTACAGCCTAGGCTGTGTCAGCCGAATGCCGCATAACTACGGTATCTACGGAATAGGCTATGCCCACCTTTCTGAACCTTCCGAACACAAGCACTTTTTGCCCTCAATTAATGCAGCGTTGTATGTGACACTTGCCACTTCTAATTATGGTTTGGCCACAAATCACATTTTGCCCCTTCGTTTCCTGCACACGTTACCCACGGAGCCTAGTCTCGTGTTTAGCCTAATCACCAAAATGACACAAGCCTCCGTATCTGCCTCGCGCTAGGATGATCCAATAACGCCATTCTATCCCAACAATCAAGTTCGCGTATCTCGTTTCGCCGGAACTTTGCGCACGTAGCACTCGGTGCAACTGTCGGTCATCCACAATGGCCCACGCCGGCGAAGACAGGGCAAGCGAGCGGGGAGGCCTGCTCGGCGGCGATGACGACAACGGCGAGACGGCTGCCTGGGAGAAGAGGCCGGGGCGGATAAATGCGCGCTTGGGGGCGTGGACGCCGTGGCTGGTCCCGCTGGTCGCGTTGCTAGCCGGGTTCGTCGTGGGTGTGCTTGCCAGTAGTATTGTGGGAAGCGGCCACTCGAGGACCAGCGACGCTTCGGCTCTGGCGAGGATATTTGGCAAGTCCCATTTTGCGCGTCGTTGCTTGGCTGATTTTGCGCGTTGTTGCTTGGCTGATTTTGCCCGTTGTTGCTTGGCTGCTGTTTTTTGTCCAGAAACCGAACCAGTGCTGACCGCCAGCAAACCACCAGCGCCTCGCGTCCCTGTCGTCTTCGCGCCGAACAGCACCTTCGCCAACGCCACGGCCACGGACGCCGAGACGGACGCCGCGTGGGCGGGGCTGATTCCGGGCAAGTTCTGTCTTCCGGGCTAGCACCTAACGCCGCTCTAACACAGCAGCACAGCCGGGCGAGGGTTCGTTCGCCTCACTGACGGCGAGCGCTCCGGCTCCGGCAACCTCTCCGACACCAAAGTCGTCTCCGTCTTCCACCAGCTCCACTGCGTAGTAAGCATGCCACGTCCGTCCCCTGCTAGGTCTCCCCTAGCAAACGTCTCTAAACAACACTTCCAGGACATGCTGCGCCGAAGCCTCGCCGCGTCAGTCGCCAACCCGCTCGAGTTCAGCTACCTCGCGCCGCAGCTGGCGCACCACTGGGGCCACTGCCTCGACTACTTGCGCCAGGCGCTGACGTGCGCGGCCAACGTGACGCTCGAGACGCTGCAGGCTGCTACTACTGCTACGACGGCTGCCGGGCTAGCGGCCGTCAACGGCTGGAGCACCACGCACCTGTGCCGCGACTTCCAAGGCGTCGCGGACTGGGCGGCTGCGAACCGGGCGACTGATGATGGGGGATTGATTGACTGACTGACGGGTGGTTCGGTTCCCTGTTTGCGGGTGCGAATACAAGGCGAGAATTCGACGTCGCTATTATTTCGCTCCAACTCTTTAGATTTCACACCCGGTTGCCTACGTCGCGCCAAGTAAAATTGGCTCCCATAATCATGTCCTGGGCCGAGTCTCTTCACAAGGGCTGTGGTCCCTTCAGACTGCGAACCCACCGCAGGCGGCCAGCGGAGAGAGGCTATCTTCACTCAACTAACAGTTCTACGACACCGAGAGCTTCTCGCATAGTGGTTAGCCAGTCGACGCCCGTATCATAATGGGATGTGGGAATTGGTCAATCGGATGAACCTGAGCGATGGGAAATTCCCGAGACCCCGAGGCCGTCGCCGCGCTGCGTGGTAGTGCCATTAGAGCTCTTCCGTCAGAATGGCTCAGTGGGCAGCATACTACTGTGCACATAGTAGCCCGGAGATAAGTGCCGTGCTTAGCAAACAATGTCAAGTCGAGTCGGGCCGTGGCATGTTGGCAAGGGATTCGGCTCCCCGTAGTCTAAATTTCGGCCGTCTGGTCTAATGGAACTCTGCGTTCAGGCGCGTATAGGATACGCTAAGATGGGAGGATGGACATTGTATCCCCGGAAGGCGCGGAACAGGTTCTCGCTCTGGCGGATGCAAACATTCAGAAGGGTCGAGTTTATTGGTGGGGGCCGAGGGGGCCATGACTCAACGGCGGGCCCAGGAAAGGAAGGTGACTGACTGGGCTTGCTGAGTAATTTGCAGATAGGGGCACAGAGTAGCCCCATCTGGGCAGCGCTTGGCTTGGCAGGAACCCTGACCCGCCTGACCAGAGCGTCGCACAGGCCGAGGACGAGCTGATAGTGGTCTGCCTCAGCGGTGATGGCTGTGCGGCGTTGCAATATCTGCAAGCAGACAGATTCCAGGACGCGGATAGCATACAGAATCCGGATTCAAGAGCTGCATTGTTTTCCATTTTTCCACAAAAGAATCATGTCACCTCACCCACAACCCCGGAGCAGCGCCGCTGGCTCGCGAACCGCATGAAATACGGCAGAGGCAGCCACTAGGCACGAAGGAGTTAGTGGGTCCCGCCGAGGTCACGTCGTGTCGGGGAACCGCCCACGGCGGTGGATGCCAGGCACCTGTGCGGCACAACAGGCACAATCTCGTCTACTGCTCCAACAGTCTTGGCTTCGCGAGAATGGGGGAATGCAACCCCACCCCTGCCCGTCAACGACAATAAATACCATGGCAGGGTTCGATCCTGCAGCGACAGGACTCCACTCGCTCTTCTTGTCCAGTCGTTTACGCCATTTTTTCTGTCTTTTTTGTTTTAGCAACATAAACCATGGCGCCGTCAACCGCCGTCTTGGCGGCCGCGGGCTGCTTCGCCGTCGCCTCGGCCCTCCACGCGCAGTCCTTCCCCGGCGCCAGCGTCGGCCACGGCTTCATCTCCATCCCCGTATCGGCCGACAGGCGCGCGGCGGTCCTGGCCAAGCGGGACGGGTCCGGCTACTCCGACGTCTCCATCCAGAACCTCCACATCTCGGGCTACACCATCCAGAGTCAGTCTTCGATCACCATGACATGGCACTAACCATAAACTGACGGGGCGTGGCTGCCAGTCGAGATCGGCACGCCGCCGCAGACCCTGGACGTGGCCGTCGACACGGGCTCGGTCGAGCTGTGGGTCAACCCCAACTGCGACCGGTCGTCGCTGGCCAAGAACGAGACGGTCAACGGCCAGACGATCACGTACGGCGACAGCGTGCTGACGGACCCGGCCGAGTGTCGCAAGCGCGGCCGGTACGACGCGTCCAAGTCGTCGACGGTCGGCGACCCCAAGATACCGAGCCAATTTATTGTCTACGGCGGCCAGACGACGGCCAACATCGACTACGTGTCGGACAAAATCTCCATCGGCGGCCTCAGCGTCGACAGCCAGATCTTCGGCGCCGCCACAGACTCCAACCAGACGGGCATCGGCATCATGGGCTTCGGCCCCGCCCGCGGCGGCTATAACAACTCGGGCACCTACCCGCTGTTCCTGACCCAACTGGCCAAGAGTGGCGCCATCGCGAGCCCCGCCTTCAGCCTCGACCTGCGCGACCTGGACAACGCGACCGGTGGGTGCTGTGTGCTGCTGTGCTTGTGTCAAACAGGACAATGCGCTCGCTGACTGCGTGCAGGGTCCATCGTCTTTGGCGGTGTTGACAAGAAGAAGTACATGGGCGCGCTGGCCACGATCCCCTTCCAGACCGTGTCGAGGAAGTACTCCAACAGCGACAGCACGTACGAGGAGCACAGGTACGCCTTTTACTCGTGCCCCTGCCTTGACTCACCAGTCAAACACAGCCCCCCCCCCCTATTTAAGAAAAAGAAACTAACACACCCAGCTACTACCTAACCGTCAAATCCATGACCCTGGTGCGGCCTGACGGCTCGACCAAGGGCTACGACATCGGCGGCAGCTTCCTGACGTCGCTCGACTGCGGGTCGGCCAACAACTTGCTGCCAGTCGGCGTGGCGAGCGCCATCTGCAGCGACCTCAACGGCACGGTGACCGACTCGGTGGGCTCGTGCAGCGTCGACTGCGCAGCGCGCCAGCGCCCCGGCGGCGTCACCTTCGGCCTCGACGGCAAGGACATCCTGCTGTCGTACGAGAACATGATCGAGGAGTTCGCCGGCTCCAACGGCCAACCCTCGACGTGCGTCGTGCGGAACAGTGATAATGTCGCGTTTGTGAATCCGTTTACCGGGATTCTGGGAGGTGAGTTGGTCGATTGATGAAGTGTTTAAAGCGAACTCTAGCTGACTGAATATCTGTAAAAACAGCGCCCTTCCTGCGGTCCTCGTATGGTAAGCCCCCTCCCCCCAAAACAAAAAAAAAGGAATAAAATCCCATCCCTAACAATTCCGTAACAGCCGTCTTCGACTGGGGCAACAGCAACCTGCACATCGCCCAGGCCGCCGACTGCGGTACCAACATCGTCGCCATCGGCAACGGCACCAACTCGGTTCCGTCGGGCAACTCGGACTGCACGTCACCGGCCGCCAGGTTTGTTGCCAAGTTCGGTCTGGCCCTTGGCGTGGCTGTGCTCAGCGGCTTTGCGCTCCTCTAAGCTCTATTTACAGGCGGCGGATTATGGGAGGAAGAGGGGAATTCAAGATTTTGGGTTAGTTAAAGAAATCAGTGTTGATAGGCGTTAGAAACGACTATGTGACGCCGTGTGTAAAGGGGCTATATGGTGTTAGTGATGCAGTGGCGGCGGCAACGCGTCTAGACTAGTTCGTAATTGGGAGTATTTATTCCTTAGACAGGTTTAATTACTGGATGGATCTTGTCGAATCTTTGGCAATGATCTCGGTATGAAATTAAGTAGATGGGGAAAAGAGCTGGATAACCCCCACTGTCTCACCGAAAAAAAAAACCCTTTTAAACCTCGGCGTTTACTAAGTGTAGGAGTCTGTACTTTAGATTTGGTGGGACTTGCCATCAAAGTAGAAGTACACCTCCCCCGGGGTAATAAAGGTTAGCTCGTGAATTGGCTGGGGGTTAGCCAGGGTGTCAGCTAGCCACACGTAATTTTCTCCACAAGGTCACTTTTTCTATTGCAACATACGGATTACTTCCATTCGAAAACCACGCTAAATCCACCCACAACTTCAATCCACCGCATCCACCGCCCACAATGGCCACACGCATCGCGATTACGGACCTTCTTAACCCACACCCACACACACACACACGCCTTCGCCAGAGCCACCTTCAACGCCTCATCGATGCCGGGACCTTACGCGCGACGAAAAGGTCGAAATTAGGGCCTTATGCAAATACTGTCATTTTTCCTTCGAAGAGATCGCTCGGCCGACCAAACACACACATCGTCAGGTCCAAAAGGTCTGTGTTGGTCCCCTGACACCACAGAAATCGAAGGGTGGCCGTAAGCCCGGCATTCGGACCCCATATAGGCAGCAGCTTAAAGAGTGGCTCGAAGATAACGAAGAAGCCCGGTTCGTACCATGGTTTGACCTCCGAGCAGTACGACCCCGACGGATTAAACGAACTGAAGCCAACAAGCGGGGCCGGGTGACCTGGTGTACAAAACAGTTGCGTTTAAGGCCTAGGCCGGAAGACTAGGAATCGGTACTCGTAAGCGACGAAACCTGGGCCACTAATGACCCTATGTGGAAGAAGTGGGTTACCGTTCACGATACCGAAGATCCGGAAAGCTGGGCTCTGCTACGGAGGAAGCCACACGAGTGGATGTTCTGGGGCTCCTTTGCCGGCGCCCGGAAAGGTCCGTCTTTCTTTTAAGAGAAGGAATATGGCGGTATAACGGCTCATAAATGCATCTTCTTTATCCTTCCTTTGGTGGGCTTCTTCCATCGGCCTGTCAACGCCAGGGCGAAGAAATCGTCTTTTAACAAGATAACGCACCGAGCCATAGAGCCAAAATAACAAAACAAGCATTCCGGGACTTAGGGATCCAAGTTCTGAATTGGCCAGCCAAAAGCCCAGATCTATCACCAGAGAGAATGTGTGGCCCTGGTTGAAGAATTGGGTAGAGAGCCACTACGATATTCAGTCCCTGAGCTCCTTGGAGCTCCGGGTGGCTGTTATGGCTGCGTGGGATGCAGTCCCAGAAGATTTTTCACTACGGCTTGCCCACAGTATGCCGAGGCGGCTGCAGATGGTCATCGAAGCAGGTGGTAATATAATAAGATTTTGATCAAAATGTAGTATTTTGGGCTGTTTCTTTGACCCCCGAACCCCTGATTTTGCTGTGTGGCTATGGCTCAGATAGGTGGCAAATTGTGGTTTCTTTAGCGCCTCGGCTGTACCACACTAACCTTTATTACCCCGGGGGAGGTGTAGGAATCTGGGGGAGTGAGGATTTGCAGGGACCCGCGCAAAATATGGCTTCTAGCCATCGATCCTTGGTCTTGACCGTTGCTAGTTCTTCTCAGCCTGGCGGGAATGGAGGGTGCGTGCGGCACGGTCTGGATTCAAGTTGCAGGTTTCTAGCTAGCATGATAGTCTACCATACGGCGTTTTTTCTCTCAAGTCATTTTATCTACGTCTGAGCCGAGTGGGCGTTGTCGTCTTGTTCCGTGCAATAATGATTCTTTGATCGTCCAACTAGCAAAACACATTGAGCAAAAATGGCGAGAACGCAATCTGGGTAGGCCGTGTGTCCCCAGTGCCTTTCTATGGTTTCTAATATATACCAATACCGATCGCCATCATAGACACCATCTACAGCGGCGCGTTGGCGACCATGGTCGCGCTGAACGGCACGTCGGCCGACGAGTGGCTGCCGCTAGTCGGCGGTGCGGCGCCAGCCGTCCCGCAGACTGTGCTGGACTTCGGCCGCGCCATCGGCGGCAGCAACAGCAGACTTGCCTCGGCGATGCCGCCACTTAAAAGCCAGCGCGCCCGCGGCTGGACGTTCCGGGAGGGCATCCCGTCCAAGCGCCACGTGTACTTTACCCGCCACCAGGTCTACTTTGCCTGCCGGCGCATGGCGTGCCAGGAGTCGCGGTTTGTTGCTCATGATCGGAGTTGACAGCGCATTGAATTGTCTGTCTAGGCTAGACGAAAGGTTCAAAGGACGAAGCCGAAGGCTTCCTTATATAGACCCTGTAGCCCTGCGCCTCCTGCCGCCGCCTCCGCTGCTTATTGTTCTGTTGGTTCAACCAACACATATCTTCAAACAAAGCTCAAACGTGGGAGTGGGATGTGCTGCCCGTGAGCTGGTGGCTTCCGCGGTCGGGCGACGACGACGACGACGTGTGTCGCGGAAAGGGCCTTCCTCCCCTCAGGTTCTGGGACGTGAGCGGTGTCGAGATTCCCGGCGAGGATGAGCACTGCCGCGAGCCAGGGACTTCCTGAACGAGAGGAGGAGTTAGGGACGATTCTAAGCGAAATCCCTGCACAGGCTCAGCTCGAGGTCTCTTCAATACCCCCACACGCAATCTTGATCGAGGGGATTGTGCTTGAACACGAGCTTATGGTGAAAACAAAGACGGTTCGCCAGCACTCGTTCCGTGGCGAGTATCACGTGGAGATGGTCGAGTGCATGGATCTGGTCTTGTTGACTCCGAATGCCGGAATTGAGCACTGGTACCTCGACGAGGCCACGGGAAAGTCGTTCGAGCTAAGGGTTCCAAAAATTTACCGGGGCACACTCTTGTCGATACAGTCGGTAGATGCGACCCGTGATGAAGCTGTGGACGAGGATGCCGAATCCGAGACGCAGGAGGACAGGGGGCTTTGGCAGCTCAATATGTTACTCATTGCTGAAACAGGAGGGATTGCGCGCCGGCTTGGTGTCTGCGCTGTCAGGACTCTTAGGGAGCGCTGTAGGGAGTTTCTGGCAAGCAGTAAGGCGCGGCTAGAGAAGGTAGTTTTGTCCCAAGTTCATGTAGGTTCACGCAACTTCATGTAATTAGCTTCAAAATATGAACTTAATTAGTAATTAATTTTTAGCATAGCCCCATTACTCCCACGACTTGCCTTGTCCTTTTTATACAGAAGCTGTGGTGGAAAATTTTTGCTTCCGCGAAACCACAAAAACAACAAGGCAAACCTCGGCCCGATCCTCCGTGCCCTAATAATTACCCCTCAGAATACACCTAACCTGGGCTAGTTTAAGCATAAGCGGCGAAGTTTCACACGAACTGGTTGAGAGAGATCTGGAGATGACCGTATGTTGTAGGCTACCGCTGTATAAGCAGACAAAAAAGACAACTATTGCCTCAATACCTAAGCAACTGTGGTTATATAGACATAGGCTGCAAGCCCACACCCAGGACACCACATTATTGTAGTCTAAAAAGAGAGAAAAAAAAGGATTCTCGTCCCAAACGCCAAACCAGCACTCCCGCCATTCGCCTATACTTATCAACCAATCGAAAAGCAAGACGCCACCCAGTCCCACAGACACGCTTTGCTACGCTACCAGTTCAAGACGTTGTAGATGGTCTTCCGCGGGTCGCCCTCGGTGTCGACCAGCAAGCTCTTGCGCCGCGACTCCATGACCTGCGGCGTGTTCTGCTGCGCAAACATGCGGTTCATGGTCTCGGACTCGGCGCTAAGCTGCGAGCGTACGTACGTCGCGACGGCGTAGACTGGTAGGCGTTAGTTGGTTAGTAACCATGGTCTATATCTTGGGCTGGCGGTGAGAGGTTTTCGATGGGGAGGGAAAGAAGGAGAGGAATTGAAAGGAGAGAGGTTGAAGGAAGGGAAAAAAGGAGAGGAAATTGAAAGGAGAGAGGTTGAAGGAAGGGAAAGGAGAGGAAATTGAAAGGGAGAGAGGTTGAAGGGAGGGAAAGAAGGAGAGGAAATTGAAGAGAGAGAGGTTGAAGGGAGAGAGGTTGAAGGAAAGGGGCAAAGGGGAAGTGGATCGAGACCGAGTTTAATTGATTCAAGGAAAAATCGGAACAAGGAAACCAGACTGACCTGCTCCGGCGACGACCAGGGTTGGGACTATCAAATTGGGCGCTGTCCTGGATGCGTGTCAGCTGGTCCCCGTGCCCCCAATTCATATCAGAGATGGACGATGAGATGCATACCTTGCCACGGGCATTCTCAGGGCGGCCGTCTGGGCTCTGGCGGCTCTCCGCATGGTTGGCTGAAAGGCAGTGGTAGACATGGTTGGCGATGTGTTGGCGATTGATTGATCTGGGTTCACAAGTGACAATTTCCTCGCGACTCTGGTTTCCTCCGACTCTGGTGCTTCAAGTCCAACGTTTCACAAAGACCGAAATTGAGTGCCAGAGAGACCAAATACTTTCTTTTTTAATCTGCATGAAACATTGCACGACACGGCGAGACACCTACTTCTTATTGCGCTGTTTGGTCGTGCCTAGCCGGCGACGCGCGCGGCGAGGCGTTGCGGCTGGGCAGCGGTTGTGCGCCGATGGTCGGCTGACTTTTGCGGCGCGCGCGTGGGCCGTGGGGTGATGCCCGGCGCGCCGGCGTCGCGGCGTCGTACCACGGTGGGCGCAACGTGGTGCCACCGGCGCGCCCCGCCACCCCACCCCCATTCGGTGCAGTCTGTCAGACCAGAGGAGCCAACGCCATGCCACACTAGTCCCCGGTCCACCTTTTTCGTCTGCTTTGCGCTCTTATTGGTCGTGTTTTTTCTCGGGAATGATGAATCAATCGTGAATTCGTGATCGACTGGTCCTTTTTGGTTGTCTTTTGATATTTTTACTTTTTCTGTTGGGGGTTTTAACTGCCGATTATTCTAGTATTACCTGTAGAAATCCTTCGTGGCCGCCATGACCGTCTATCCCGACTCTCCTGAGTGCCATGGCTTCATGACCCGGGAAACCTGTCTGCGTACAGGTTGACTAATAACAGGTCCGGGGAAGTAGGTTTTAGTCAACATGTTGACTGGCTGGCTTGCAACTAACAGGTTGACTGCCCGCGAAGTCAACTCCGTCGCCGGCTCGCTACGTTAATGCCTTCCTGACCGCTCAGGTTGTTATGTACCGCACACCTACCGCACACCCCCGTCCAAAAAGCTAGAGGCGAGAGGGAGGAAGGCAGTGCCCTGGAGCTTGCGGAAGGCATTGCACCTGACGAACGAAGCGACGCCAGCATCTTTTGAAAGGAAGGAGGCTGAAGGAAATATAGGACTAACAAACAGGTGCACTTGCTAGTTCAATCTGCAAACGAATAAGAATAAGCGGTACGGAGCGTGTACGTGTCCAATTATTTACATTGGTCGGGTACCCATTTGGATAGTATGATGGAACGAATAGCAGGCTCTACAATGCAACGCTAGAGGCGCTAGATTTTTGTGACCCTTTTCGACCTTACATCTCGGCCGCTACCTATTTAGGCAGCCAGCGGCTATATGGAAGCGGGGAGGGGGGAGAGACAAAGCCTTGGGGGCTGCAGTGGGAGACCTTTATTAATCCTGGAAAAGGAGCACCCTCTAGCATAGTCTTGGTCCGTCGCAGTCGCTGCACTTGGGCGGGGATAAAGCAGCTTGCGTCTCGCTCTCAGTCAGGCTAGCCAGTTGCAACAATCGACAGTCTCCTCGGTGCAGCCCTCTCTATCTCTGCAATAAATTACTCCACGACGTAGGATTGGGGGCTAGCGGCTCACTTACTACTCGATAGGGCTTTGAATCCCCGCCTAACGGAAGCCCGCCCGGATAGTCAGTGCCCTACCCTAGGCGCAGGTCAAGTTAGATTGAGTGATGCAACACGGCCCAGGGTACGTGTTGATCCAGGTCTGATGGCAGTTGTTCATGTTCAGTGTGAGAATTTCGCAGTTACATGACCAAGGTGTCCTATTCTAATAAAAAGAAAATCCACCTGATACCATGACGACGTGGGAGAAGTGAGAAGCTCACTGGTTTATTATCGCAAACACTCATTTCGTCTCTGCCATGCCGGTTCACCGTGAGTATCCTTTCACGGTTCCGGTGAGCATGAGAGCGGCCTGGGCTCGAACTATAATTATGGCTTGGCGTATTAACCCAATCAGCAGACTACAGCTGGACCGTATAGGGGGTGGGCCAGGTTGACCAGCGACACTCTCGAGGACCGGTCACCTATAGAATTGGCTCTTCCAAGAGTCGTCTTGAACAAGCGCCAAGTGCCTGAACCAAGACCTAACTACATCACTGCCAAGTCCACTACCAAGACAGCCAACGAAAAGTACTTGACCATTTCTCCCCGGACAGCTCTCGCCTCCACCAGCGACCCGTGCCCGCCCAGGCAGTTGAGCCCCATCGACATGAAGTGGTTGGGGTAGCTGGGCACTGCTACCGAGATGTGTGATGCCGCGTCGCTGGCCTAGTCGGCTGCCAGGTTGGTTGAGACGTCGCGCCTGATGAGCGGGTACCGTGGCTGGTACGATACGTTGAAGCCCGTCGCGCAGACAATTGCGGATGTCAGCAGGCGGTCTGGTCTCGCGAGGTCGAGAACAAGAAGAAGAAAAGGAAAAAAAGAAAAAGATACGGATAAAGGGGTAAACGGGTACAATGGAAATGAAATAAAGGGGAAAAGGGGCGACCCACCAACATCACACTCAAAAAAACCCCCATCAGCCGTATGTACCGCGCCCTCACTGGCCTGTGTAATGGCACTATTCGTCAACAAACAATTTGCCCCTTGCAACAAACGCCTCGAGATGCCCAAACCCGGGCGACACGCGGCGGCATCCGAGCTCCCAGTGCGGGATCGCCGGCCAGCTCTCGTGCACCGGCACGCCCTGCCCCGAGACCAGCACGCGGCAGTGCTCGACGCGTGTGCGGGCGGCGTGCGACACCGTCACGCGCCACTGGCCCCGCGCCTCGTCCCAGTGCGCGCCGACTACGCGCGTGTTGAGCTGCACGTCGCGGTCCAGGCGCCACTTTGGGGTTGTCGCCTCGATATATACGAGGATATCGGGCCCGCTGGCGTATAGCCGGTCCCAGGCGGGGTTGGGGTCGGGGTCGAAGGGGAACGCCTTTCTTTGCGAGTGTCGGTGGCTATCAGGTATAGTGAAGTGAATGGCTGGGAGAATCACGTAAATATGCGCTGGCACGTCACACTGCTCGCCCGGGTAGTCGTTCATCAGCCACGTGCGCCAGCGTGGTGCAGGGCCTTGAAGATGGTGTGCTCGACCACGTCGCGCAGCCCGGGCATGCCGTGCTGGAACTTGTACGCCATCAGCAGCCCCGAGGAGCCCGCGTCGACCGTGATCGCCTTGAGCTTGCGCGGCGCGAACGCGAACTGCGTCCCCAGCTTCAGGTGTCGAGAATCGAAGATGCCTTCAGGTTGACGGTTACTCTTTAGTCTTTACCGAGGGCCAGCTTTTTTGAGAGAGGGATTGATACTGACTAGGCAACCGATTGTAATCGTGGTAGTGGTGCCCGAGTTTGCTGCAGCGAATCTAGAGTTTGGCCGAAGTCGAAATGCTGAGCATTAGTTGTGAAATTGTGAGGTATAGGAAGCTCACTTCTTCAAGCGGCGGGATTCTGTGCTTCAGGCCCTGTGTCGGCAATCGCATTATTATGAAACAGTCACACTGTTGTCAAACAGTTGAACACTCTGGAACACCAACAGGGTTATTTGCGGTGGTGTTTGCCGGCTGAGGGTGTTCGTAAACACGGCCCGTTTACTTCGCATTCGTGTAGTTGAGTCGAACAAAGCTTGTCTCTTGCCTACCGAGAGCCAGGCGGTTGTCACAGAATGGAGCCAAGACAGAAAATTGGCAGGCATTTTCTACGCGAGGTGGTAATTAAATCGGGTCTAGCTCTAGTTCTAGGCCTGGTACGCTCTATTAATCACTTGGAGCTTCCTTTCCACAGCGACGTTGAAGCAGCAGGGACACCACAAGACCAAGGATTGCCTCCTTTCAGGGTGGACATGAAACAACTCGACACCTGCGCTCTCCGCTTACCGCTTCTCCTTGATCTCGAACACGCCCGTCGGCGCGGGCTTGCTCAGCGCCCAGGCAATGCCATTCCCCACGACATCGTCCCAGTGCTTGGAGGCCGACAGCTCGTCACCGAAGCCGCGGAACGCGTGCGGCACGCCCCGGAACAGCGTCACGTCGGTCGCAACCCTACCTCCCAAAAAAGAATCAGCAATCAACACAAACACATTCTCGCACGATCCAGGGGCACTCACCCGGCCTCGGCGAGCTTCTTGGCGAACAGCAGGCCCTCGTCGCGCAGGGGGTCGAGGCCGGCGACGCCGAACACGGTAGGCGGCAGGCCGCGGACGTCGGCGGGGGTCGCGTTGCCGGGGTTGGCCAGCAGGTCGCCATCATGGATCTCGCCGATGCGCAGCAGGTCGACAAACAGGCGGATCACCGACACGGGCAGCATCGGCGCGTCGTGGTTCTCGACATACGACGACAGCGCGACGTCACTTAGCTGCGCCGCCTGCGGCCCGTAGTGGTCCGGGTGCACCAGCAGCGGGATGACGAGGACCTGGCCGGCGATGCGGGGGCGGCTGGCGGCCACGCGGCCGAGGTGCTGGCCGAGCACGAGCGCAGCCGTCAGCTGCGCGCCGGCCGACACGCCGCCGACGACGACGCGGAGCGGGTCGCCGCCGACGGCGGCCATGTTGTCGTGCAGCCACTCAAAGGCGTCCTGGGAGTCGAACCAGGCGGTGGGGAACGCGTGCTCGGGCGTATGGCGGTAGTTGACGTTGAGCACGGCGACGTGGCCGCGCAGGGCCGTGGCCGCGCACGCCGCGTCCTCGGACGCCAGCGTGCCCGTCAGGAACCCGCCCCCGTGAAAGTACAGGTACACGGGCAGTGGTTCGTCGGCTGGCGCGTCCGCCGGCCGGTAGCTGCGCGCTTCGATGCTGGCGCCGTCGCGGGTGGTGATGCTGTGGTCGCGCATCTGCACCAGCGGCCCGAGTACCAGCATGGCCTCGGCCGACCCCTGCTCGTGCTGCGGGATCCGGCCGCCGACGCCTTAAATCCGCGGAGTGATCGTGAGCGTCCGACTCCGAGTCCCAAACGGGCAAATCAAGGGGGTCGATCAGCAGCCATTCCAGCAGTGCCGAGGCCAAGCCAAGGTGCCACAATCCCCTCTCCTCACGCATCGTCGGGTGCTCCGCCGAATCGGGCTGGAGAGACTCTACGAGGTGGAGCGGCGTCGGAATGTTAGATCCGAGAATTTAGTTATGCCAGATAGAGTAACATTGCCATTTCTGCCTCGACTTGAGTACGCACTTGAATGAGATGCTGAAATGTTTGTTCTAGAGACTAGGTAGGTAACTAACGTGGGGATATCAGTGCACTTTTCGTTTAATTCGCAGCCCACGACTTGAGAAACAGATAAAGAGGTAGGAATTTATGTCTGTCATTAAGTTACCTTGAACTCTGCACCCTGCAGGCGACACATTTTAAGCTCGTAAGAGATTCAACGAAATTTCCCAGTGTCCAGTCTCGCGGTGCTACTAAAGTTGGCTCGAATCTGGGCGAGTGCGAATAGTTGGTAATTATCACATTTGGTTTGGAGATTAGGTAATTAGCTTTTGTAATTATCACACAAGCCATTGAGTAGACGTCGTCCTTGAGACTCCAACTATAGACGTTAATTGGGCCTCATTCTTGATAATTAACACGGAGACCGGAGACTCTGCACCGGCTACATCAACAGCAGTGTTTGTTTATTTTCCTAAATTGGGACCTCAGTTCTGCAATGGAATTGTTCACTCTATGAACTATAGTGGCTGCCCACCTCCGGGACTCGTAATTAGTAGAGTTGGGTTCCCGGCCAACGCTCTAGTTAGCTCATACATTATCGCTAATAGTCTCTCCGGAAACTCACGTTGAGAATTTCTACAAACTTTCCATCTAGCATTACGTGGTCCTAATGCCACGCTATCACCGTTAGTGTTTATTAATTATGAACATAAGCACATTACGCTCTAAGCGAATTGTTGAGTTCTTGCTATTTCTGTTTATGCTCTCTTGATTTTTTTTAGCTTCGAGGCTTGAACCCATAGCGAGGCCTGTTGCTAAATGGTACAGTATGTGTACAAGTACAACCACCGTGTCTATCGTTTTGCAACTCTGTGACTTGCTCTGATCCATAACAGTTCGTCTGTTCACACGCAGTTATTGTTTACTATCACCGACCTCTCTGTTCAGTATAGTGTAGTTGAACAGAATAGGGCCATCTTAATATTATTTATAAGTCATCGCCTCCAACCAACTTCTCAAACTTGTCCTCAAACTCACGCCTGCCGACAGGTACTCGCTCTGTCACCAGCAACCAGAACCAACTCTCGCTAGTAGCTAGTATCAACTATCACCAGCAACCAGTACTTCAGGAACCAGTGCTTCAGCAACCAGTACTTCAGCAACCAGTACTTCAGCAACCAGTACCTCAGCAACCAGTACCAACTGTCAACAACATGGCACCACAGCTGCCACCCCCCCGAAAGTACTGGATCGATGCCTCCTGCGACCAAGCCGCGGGCGGCAATTTCAACAAATACATTGACGAGGCCCGGCACTGGGCCGGCCGCGCAGCTGCCAAGATGACGAGCCCCAGCGACACCGACTTTGCGCGCGTGTTCAACGTGCTCTTCAAGACTCTGGTGTCAGACAACGTACCGTTCCCGCCGCCCATGCTCTTTCAGCGCATGAACGACTTTGTCCCGGAGAACTACTGGAAGAGCCTGCCGGCGCAGGTACGCCGCGTGCTCTCCGACTTTGCTAACAACTGGCAGCGCACAACGCAGCGTCGCGAGGCCGACGTGCGCATCTACAGCGACTTTGGCAGGCGCTGGCGCCAGCTGCCCAGCGGCGAACACATCGAACCCGTCAACCACGTGCTCAACCTGTGCTCCGACGAGGAGGACGAGAACGGCGACTCGGAGTGGAGCGAACTGTGGGCAGGCGACGCATTCGTCAGCCACGAGCTGCCCGGCGGCCTGCTAGTCCCCGGTGAAAAACACAAACGCGTCGTCATCGACATCTGCCGCGGCGCCTGGGCCCGCCAGGCCCAGCTGACCCCCGGCCGCCCGCTGCGGTCGCTGCAGGAGCTGGTGTCAGTCTTTGGACCCAACGTCGAGAAGATGAAAATTGACAGGATCGGCCAGACTTTGATCGCGCGCCTGATATTCCATGAAATGATGCACTCGGTGTGCTACGGCCTCAATGACCACGACACGGACGGCATGGGCACGGCAGGCTGGCAGTACTGCATGAAGCTGAACAAGGGTGCGGGCGCGACGGGCGCCGAGTCGCTGGCGTACTTTGGACTGTGGGCGGCGCTGGCCGACGCCCGGCCCGCCGGCCAGCCGCGCGGCGGCTTCACCATGCACCGCAGCTGGGACAAGATCCCCGGCGACGTCGACCTGGTCCCGGAGGAGGAGTGGGATTCTGATGACTATGACGAGGAGGAGAAGGAGGAGGCCGCCGCCGCCGCCGCCGCCGCCGCCGCCAAGAAGGTCGACGCCGGTAAGTGGAACTCCAAACACAAGGACAATGGTGCTGTTCGCGGCGAGATCAAGTTCTACACCAACATTACCAAGTAGTGCTGCTACTGGCATTGCCATCTGAGATGATACATGGAGGAAATAGCTAGAGCATTGTTGCAGATGTACTACACACTGACTACAAACGGAGTGTACTTGTTGACTGAGGAGATGAATATATTATTGTAACCTATACACTCGAGACCCTGTGACAACATTTGATGCTGATTTCCGAGTGGCTTGCGTTAGAACTAACGTGATTTAAAACCCCCAAATAACAAGTTTCCGGCCTAGCCGCATGTATAAGCCGAAGAGCACGATCACCGAGCAAATATCATTGCATGCCAAGGAATTAGACAAGAAAGGAAGACCACATAGGTAATGGGCGTAGATAAGGGGCTCAGGGGTCGGGTAACAAGGGGCTTGTTTATAGCCTAACCTAATATAATCTAGCGTGCTTTTTTTCCTTGTAACAATTACTGCAAGAAGCAGGGCCCCAATTCTGCGAGATCGATCTCCGGCTAGCTTTGCATCGCACGCTGTTTCCGTCCACCAATCAATCAATTACTGCCTTAGTCTGTTCTGGCAATCAACGAACGCCCTCAGCTTGTTCAATTCCGTAACAGATTTAACAAAATGATAATAACACTGTCACAGGGATGTGCGTGAGAAATCGAAAACGGGCATTGTTTAGATATCTATGTGTCACATTAATAGGATTAGCGAGCAAAAGGAGGACCTAGAAGCTGCCACTTGATTCTTCGCCACCAGATTTTGACACTATTCATAACTATAAAAGAGAGAGACTTTTGGCCCTCCCAAAGGAAACAAAAAGATAGACCTTTTCAGATAATTCAAGCCTTAGCTCCCTGCCAGCGATGCCAATAAAGCAAAGCAAATAAAGGAACGACCAGGTTTCCTTTATTTGTTAAATTCGTGCCTCTCTTTGCTTTACGTGATGCCCGCTTTGCTTTATTTGCAAAGGGTGCCAAGACCCTCCGAAATAGGTTGTTCCGGCCCGGCCCTCCCAAACAAAACCAGGTCCCAGCCAGCCTGCCCCTGAGTCTTCACAACCGCCGCCCTCGCAACAAACACTTGATAAATACAAGTTGGCCAATCTTCTCATCCAACAGCCGGTGTCTCTGACTCGCGATAGTCAATTTCGCTGTACTAAAGACCCGCTCGCACTCGTCACTCATTGCCGGGATGCTCAAGAGCTCAGCTGCTACCCGATATAGCAGGGGAAACCGGTTATTTTGAGCAAGCCACCATTGAATCGGTACATCACAGGGTACAGGCGGATCTTCAAGGTATGTGGCCAGCTCGTCAGACGATCCAGGTTCCGGCTCCTCGTAAAAGTCTGGTCCTAGAAGGTGCTCGTGGAATGGCTTGAGGTCAGTCCCGATGCTGGCGGTTGTATTAGGGGGACTCTGGCTGGCTCCAAGCCTAGCTATCTCGCTTTTGATGAACCCCTTAGCGTCAAAAAGCACCTGTTCGGCCCGCCCAATTTCGAGGGTCTTGTAGATCAGTCTCTTTCGGTAGCCGGGATGAAGGAGGACAGCCGCCCAGTAGACTGGGCTCTCTTCCATGATATCCAGGTAGCTATCAAGCTTGTGAATCGCCTTCGTGAGGCTTACGTCAATAGCGCTGAAGCCGCTGGGGCCAAGATCTGGATCGGGGACGACGGAAGGTTGTTGATAGAGTGCCCGGGCTCGCCTACGAAGGAGCCGAGGGAGGTCTGGGTTCGCGACGGTAATGTTTGAGCCGGGAGGGGCTTGTTGGCGATAGGTCTGGCGCGCTAGACGAAGGTCTTCCAGGATCTTGTAAGCGGTGGGAATAACGCCTGCAAAGACCGCCCGGTTCCCCTCCAACTGCTTGGTGTAGATGTGAAATGGCTTCAAGATACCTAGTAGGGAGGATAAAACAGTCCAGTCCTCGGTGTTGAGTAGGTCGGCTGCGGGGAGCCGCTTCTTCACATCCTTATGGCTAGCAAGGCGGTGGGAATATACGCCAACAGAGTCCCGGAGCTTCAACGCCCTCTCTATCATCGAATATACCGAGTTCCAACGCGTGGCGTTATCCGATTTGAGCAAGCCGGCGTGTTCCTTCGCCATGAGGCCAAACTCGTCTAGTTCTTCCTCGGTTATTCCACCTCTTGTGATCTCGATAAACTCTAAACGGCGTTGCGGGCCAGCCCTGACGAACTTGGCGACGTTATGAAGCTTTCCAAGCGGCCCGAATGATCGCCACTGCTCCAGTTGTTGATTCTCCTCTAAGGCGTTCCTGTATTCGTAAGTTCCCTCGTTCAAGGACCTGAGCCGCTTCTTGTTATTGCCCTCGATGAACGCCTGGGCAACGAGGTTGATAATATGGCCGATACAACGGACGCGCTGTTTCGAGTGGCGTTCGTCCACCGATACCGGTGATTCGGACGGATGGAGGAGCTGAAGAAGATGGAGGATACACGTATCGTTCGCGTCTGCGTTATCTGCCTGAAAATAGCCTGTATTACTACTCAAGCCAAAAGATTGGATGACTTCGTGGATAATAGGAGCGAGGTTCTCACCGCTGTGGCTTCCTTTGACGGGCGCAAGCTTCAATAAACGTGCCCGGGTCGCGCCCGAGGTGTCAACGAAGTGCACTACGATACCGAGCAATGCGTAGCTATTAGGCGAGATCCAGAGATCGAAGGAGACGTGTTTTCTTGATGGGAGTGCTGTCTGGAGCTCTGCTTGAAGGTTAAGAACCTCCTTTCGATCGCGGTCGTTGACCCAGGTGCTGATAGTTTGATGGGAGTTTGGGAGAAGGTTGGCCGTTGATGCTGGGTCTAGAATAGAGAGTATAGTACGAAAGTCAATGCTTTGGACCACAGAAAACGATATATCAGAAGTCACAATCTAATTCAATAGCGCAGACTTAAACCTTTCCGCCTGGGTGTAAGATACTGGTGGCCTCAGGGAGACTTGTTGTAGGTCCGCTACCGACCGCTGTTTTTTAACCGGCGGCTCTCCTTCTTCTTGTACAGAATCTTCGTATATCAAGTTTTTGGTGTGGAGGTGGCTGGCGGCGCTGGTAGTAGCCTTTCCGGTGTAGAGAGTGTCAAAGCAGCGGGAACAGCACCACCAAGAGGGACCCAGACTATTGTTGACCACCTGCACAAGCCAATATCCATAGGTATTGATCCCGCTGTTCCTAGACCGCTTGCGGCGCTCCCATTTCTCTAATATAAAGGCTTTTCCATCGCGTGAGGTTATTTTGGGCCGGTCGAGGAGGTCGGGAGCGAGGTCTGCCTCTGGGATGTTGATAACATCGAGGATCTGCTTAGGCATGCTTCGGAGTACCGGGCGGCGCGTTGCGTTCAGGGTGCAGCTGGGCCTGGCAGGATTCGGAATCGTCAGGTCGATGCGACTACCAGGCTCCATTGTAGAGGGTGGTATTGGTACGGGTTGTTGAGGTTGATGGTATTGATGATGATGGTGGTCAGGGCAAAATTTGATGGCCAAGGTGCCCCGCACAGGCTAGAACCAGGGCCCCTGCCCCACCCCTTTCTTGGCAAAGAAAGTAAATAAAGCAAATAAAGCCCTGACCTATTTGCTTTATTCCGAGGGCGCTTTGCTTTATTTACCAGTTGCTTTATTTTCTTTGCTTTATTTAAGTTGCTTATTGGCATCGCTGCTCCCTGCATCAAATGCCCCAATTTTCGTTGCCCTGTGAATGCGCGTGAGACTATGTTAAGCACGTAATCATGCAAAGATTTTCAACAAGAGCCAACAGTCACAGAAATAAAAACGAGAACTCGAAATGCCCGGCGGCGGACGCCTCGCTTCCACGAGGCAGAAGTAGAGAGCCCAGCCAAACCCAACAGGAGGTAAACGGCGGAAGCGTTGGCGGGCTACATTCAGCTATTTGGACGTGTCAGAAAACATATCTTAGTCTCGCCAAAACCGGTGCTGGGAATGGCTTGTGCTTGCCGGTTCTCGTTGCAAAAGTGGCTGCCGGGGTATGTGCACACCCACTGGTAGCCGTAGCGGTCGTCGCCGTCCGAGTCATAGTAGACCTCCCTGGGCGTTGCGTCAGCACAGCGTTCTGCCATCCCTTCAGTTCCCATCAAAGTCAACAGCGGGTGTCTTACCAGCCCGGGACGTTGGCGCCGCAGCGGTCGTTGACGTCGTGGAAGGAGGCCCAGGCGTTGCCGGACGTGCACACCTGGGGGTGCGACTTCATGTTGCAGAAGTAGGCGACAGAGCAGCCGACGATGGAGTAGTAGTTGAGGCGGGCGCCGACGGCCGCGCCGGCGCCGCACTGGTTGGCCAGCGCCGTGGCCGCGGCGCCGTTGTCGTTCCCGTTGAGCACGGCCTCGGTCGGGTCGCACGTCACGGCCCCCGTGCGCTTGGCCAGTGTCTCGCCGCGCACGGCGAAGACCTTTTTCGCCGTGTCGACGTCGCCCAGGCGCGTGTGGTTCTCGCTGCCGTCCTCGTTGTAGCTGACGGCGTACACGCCGCTCGCCTGGCCCGCTGGCACGTAGAAACCCGCAGCCGCTCCCGCGAGCGCCAGCATGTTGATGACTGAGAAGCGCATTGTGGGTGGGACTAGGGATAGGGATGGGGATTAAGCTGAAACTGGAAACTTAGTGTAATAGAAGCTGGAGGAAGCAGGTGCTTGCTGGAGCGGGACGAAAGGAAGGCTATGGGGCGGAGAGCTTTCCTGTTTATATACCTCCTACTTTTGCCGTCACAAGTTGGCCACTTAGCTAGGTGGTCTGCGTGTGGAAGTTGACACCAGCCATCCGAAGCAGCCATTTCTGTGTATGTGAGAGCTATTAGTAGAAAGACTTTCCTATCGAGCAACAACGGCTCCGCTGACGGGCCGAGCGCTAACCCCTGTAAAAGGCTGTCTAGAATCGCAAGCTTGCGACCTTAGGCTATATACAGTACAGCAGCTGCGCCTTTCCCACGCCTTGCGCCTGCTGTGACGGCCACTTTTTCTCGTCTACATCTAATTTGAATGCTATACGGTAGGGCCAGGTTCACAGGAGATGTAGCGGAGACGCGAGCGTCACCGCTGAGAAGACATCCATGGGCACAACCTGTAATTACTGTTTCTCATTCACAGCCAGTCTGTGACTCATTTCTTGCCTTTGCATATTGCTAGCTTTCTCACGACATCATTGCCAGACGTTCTGCAACCCTGCATCTATGACTCTAAAGCATCAAATTCTGTTGTAATGTCTGATGAAAGGGCTGAAATGCTGATCACGTCAATGATCTCATCGCACTGAGTCCCAACTTGCCACCGGCTCTTCATGTGCGGCGTCGATTTGGCATAAAGTTTCCTGCACCCCAGCGCATATCCCATTGACCAAACCTCAATCTTGCTGAGGCCGACTTGCGTCTCTTGGCACATGTAGAAGCCACTAGCCACTGGCAACAGTACAGGCAGGAAAACAGCCCGGGGTCTCCGGCGATTCACAACCTGGAATTATGGAAGATCAAGTCACTGCTGCCAGCACCTCGACATAGGCAGTTACCTAGCTCCCTATTAATTTAGTTGTGCTCACCTGGCTGACACCGTGCTGCGTGTTTCTGCTGCAGTGCCAGCGAGTGAAACGGCGTGCAACCACCACCTTACAGTCCACACGGCGCCTAGACAACTCTAACCGGACAGCACGAGCTATGCCAAAAACAAAAAGACAAAAAGAAGATACAACACCAGGAATTCGCTGGTCGTCACCGACCTAACTACTCTGGCGGCCGCTAGTTTATCGAGGGGAGAGCGGACGGGATCCCGAGTTCTCTAGCACCTATGGTCGTATGTGGCAGGTGTTGGCGCTGCAAGACATTGACGTACCGCAACCGGGTACGACTACGGAGCAGAGATTGGGTGCGCTGCGTCCGAACATGCAAGAGACATGCAATGCACGCCGCGCATTCATGTACCCCGCCGGGCGACGCGCCATCTTCGATCTCGATCAGGCCAAGGGCGGGGAGGAGTGAGGCCTCAGGGGCTCGTGGTGCAGTATGGTGGCGCGCGCCTTTCTGCGTCGAGTGTTGTTGTTCATTGTCTGGCTGCGGGCAGGGCAGGTGGCCAACTGCATCGCGAGTGAAAGCAAGAGCGGAAACTGATCAACCCGAGTCGCGCAGTATCCTCGGCTTCTGCGCGTTTTGTTCCTTGGCTGTCTGCTACGTCTAATGTCTTTGCCACAGGGCCATCTGATCTCGGTTTGGCAGGACATCCTTCGGTGGTCACCCCGCCGTCGGCCAAATGAGAGGCCGACAAGGCCGTGTTGCTGACTTAGAGCCTGCGACGATCGTCTTGTACTTCACTTGACCGGCAGAGCTTTAGACTTCCGCATACACGCGAAATTCATAGGGTGTTGCATGTTGAGCCCGTGTGGTCACAAATGGTTCGGAATAGACTCAGGTTGGGTCCTGTCTACGTTGTAGTTGACCAGTGCGGCAGCGGTTTGTCTGTCCCCAGCGGTTTGTCTGTCCCGGGTTGACTGGCCATGTTTCTCACCGAAATTGAGGCAACATCTATGGTCACTGGTGTCTTGCTCGGCATATTATCCGCGCACCCTCAAGGCGTGAAGGCATCGTCTTTGGCTCCTCGCCACCGCCGCCGTGGAATCCGACTCGGGGGTTTGGGATTTGGGGGCCGTAATTAGCACCCAAAGTTGCACAGACTGCGAAGTAACTAACGAGCAAACACGTTAATTGTCGCTAGATTGGTTCTCCAAAAGGCTGAACATAGCCGTCTGCGCAAACCTCGACAGTTTAGAGCAGGCTAAAGACGGGGTAGACAGCACGCCGCGAACATGCGCCCGGCCGTAGCCGAGCACAAGCCTCTCTCAACGACATGCGAAGCGGGAGGGCCCTGCGTGCAGTGCCTCGGCAAGTAAGAGAGGGCAGTGATAGGTGGAAGACTGCGCGGCGCCCCTTGAAGCGCTGCTGGATCATGTATGAACCGGCGCTGCAAGAGCGGCTGAGGTAATTTTGAAGTAATCCCGCTCAACACGGAAGGTCGTCCAAGCTTCATTCAGCCGGCACTATATTTGGGCCTCCGCGGTTGGATATGAGCCAGTTTCTCAGATTGCGATTGCGCATTCTCGAAATGCTGTCCAGTGCCCTCTCCTGCCCGACACCACCTCCCCGTCGATCCAGACCAGGTTATCAAGCGCTCGGGTCGGGGGGTAGCTGGCGCAGATGCATGGATAGGTGCAGAAGGTCTAGAGCTCTGCGGCAGAAACTGCAAGCCTCGGTGTCGACTTGCCGCGGGAATCTAACGCCAAGAGCCTTGGCAAGGCCTCGGTATCGCCTTGGTATCGGCTGGGAGCGAGAGGCGTGATGCTGCGAATATATCTCGCAGCGTAGCTGCCCCAAGAAACGTAGTCAGGCCGCCTGGATGGCGACGGATAAGGCGGACGCGGAGGCAACCCCAGAATTGACCTTCCCCAACCACCATTAAGTATCTCACCACTCTCGCCTATTTTCGGCCTCCTGCCTTTTCCAGGAAGCCAAGCGACGTGATGAGCGCTTCGTCCACGCTGTGCACCGGGTCCAAGGCCGCACGATAGATCGAAAGTAAAACCGAGGCTAATAAATTGCACGTCCTGGCAGCGATAGCTAGATTCGGCAGCGAAAGGGTCGGCACACCGCACACAGAGCTTGGACGCAGTGAGTGGCCTGCATTTCGATGCGCGTCCAGCCGGTGTCCGGAGCTCTCGGCGTCACGGGACCTACCTATATAGGGAGGTGAACAGGAAGTGAAACAACGAAGCTCGGGCATCGACATTGTAGTTCTAGCTTCTCGGTGGGTGGGACTATCCCTCGGCACCAAGTGCTAGTGGGCACGCGCAGTTGGGATCGCCGGTCTAAAAACGTTGGACAGGAAACAACTCGAACCAATCAATGGGCAGCTGCATCGCACCTTTTCATTCGCTGGGCTCAGGTCCCGGCTCCTTCCCTTTTTGCGGAGCAGATCGAGGCCATGGTCTGCAGGGCATGGAGCCCCCCGCCCTTGGACCCCCCACAGATCGAAACGGCACCTCCCGTAGGCGAGGGACGCGGCAGGTTCGCGGCGCAGAGGGGGCGGTGCCATTGGACACCGCCGTTGGCGGGCTGCCATTGCCCTCCCTGCCCTGTGCTGTCCCGACTGGCGGTTCCTATCACGTGCCAAGATGGGGATGGAACAAGTTCGTGCTTCATCAAACTCCACAGCTCAATGCCAGCAGCGATCTATCCCGCTGGAATGGAAGCGGCTGCTCATGCTCCTGCCCGCCCTGGTGATTTGGGGAAGATTAGCATGCGACTCGGGATGAGAGCGCGTATCATCGTCATTGGACGCTCCAATTGCGTGCGCTCGATAACCGGCCGTTCTGGGCGCATGGCGGTGGTGTGTTCATTACTTGGGATGACCAGAGTTTGCCTCCAATGCCCTCCCTCTGTGGCGCCCAGCGGTGCGTGCAGTGCTTGCAGCAGTATGTGCAGCAATAAGTACTATGGCCGCTCTGCAGTGGTGGCCGCCGTGCGTTTCAGCGCAGTCATGCCGGCGCCCGGGAGGGCGATCTGCCACTCGAGCACCAGCATAAAGCTGATCGCAACTTCTCGTTTCGGAACACTGATAAGAAAAGTCAATTTCGGACGGACCAGTCGCTAACCTCCTCCTGCCCCTCCTCGCCCCGCGCTCTTTCCGTAAAGTGGCTCCAAATTCAGCCGTCGCGACCGGGTATTTGGCGAGTCTGGCAGGTGCTGTATGCCCGCCCAGTGGTCGGTATGGTAAGACACGGCAGGAGCGATCGGGAACACAGGAGTCGTGTAAGACTACCTAAGGCAGGAGCAGGAACTAGACGGCTCCATGTAGTGCCAAGCGGCAGCCGAACATGAAGTCCAGGCGCTGCCTGCCCGCACCTTATCTCCCGACATCGCTTCCCCAGACTGACGTCTGATACATTGGACGACGTGGAGGTGACGACGGGTCGAGGTCACGTTCTTGCACCATTGCATGGCGAAACCGCCCTACTCTATCTGCGCTGATTATAGGTGGTCGGCCTTCCGCAAACTCTATCCCAAACTTTCCTTCTCGGGCATCTCCCCTCTTTTTCTTTCTCATCCGCGTAGCCCTCAAGGCCGTGCATGGTCTCGTCTCCGTCCTGACGCCTCGAGTTGTAGCCTAACGACAGCATCCCGCACATCGATCCTCTTCTCAGCCAACATGTCTGCGACAGTTGAGAAGGCGCCCGGCTCGTCGGGCTCGGGCGGCGATGGCCCCCCGCTGGGCGAAGAGAAGAAATCGGTATGTTTCGGCCTGTCGCGCCGTCGCCTGTCTGCTCGCACGCAGGGCAATAGCCTCCCTTTGCACTGACTGCTAATTGCTAATTCGTCGCCCTCCTCGATGTAGCCCGTCATTGAGTCGTTCGAGACTCGCATCCCCATCGAGGCTTTCAATGTCACCGAGAGGGACATTGAGGAGGCCAAGCTCATTGCGGGCACCTTCACTCTCGAGGATACCAAGCGCGTACGTACTAGTGTTGCGATCTAACCTGCGGCGGCGCTGATGTGAAACCCAAGTTGATGACAGAAGTCCACTTGCAACATTCCCGCGACCCCAACTTTCCGATAGCGGTCATCCAGAAGATTGAGGAGTTTCTCGGTAGGTTCTTCCCGTGCCCCACTCCCCATGGCAACCTAGCAATGGCTCAGCCAACCGTACTGGCCCTGACTAACTGGCGCCACGTGCTATGCAGGCAATGAGGCCGTCTTCGAGCACCCCGAAGACCACGAGTTCTTGATCCAGGAGATGAAGATCGAGGCCGCTCTCATTACCAACAACTCGCCCTACGCAGAGGTGCGGGCTGTGGTCGACAACCATGACGACCCAACTACGCCCGTATCGACCATCCGCGCCTGGATCATCGGTATCTTCTTCGCTTGCTGCATCTCGTTCATCAACTCGTTCTTCGACGTCCGCCTGCCGAGTATTTATGTCATCGCCACGGTTCCCCAGCTTCTGGCCTACCCGGCTGGCAAGTTCCTGGAGCGTGTGCTCCCTGATGTGGGCTTTACCATGTTCGGTGTGCGACACAGCCTCAACCCGGGCCCTTTCAACCGCAAGGAGCATATGCTGGTCACCATCATGTCCAATGTCGCCAAGAGCACGCCATATACGAACTACATTGTCTGGATTCAGTACCTCCCGCAGTACTTTGACCAGTCGTGGGCCATTAGTATCGGCTACCAGCTTCTGATTGCTCTTTCGACCAACTTCATCGGCTATGGCCTGGCTGGACTGTGCCGCCGCTTCTTGGTGTATCCCGCCTACTGCGTGTGGCCCGGATCGCTGGTCACGATTGCGCTCAACTCGGCCTTTCACGACTCTGCCACGGAGACAGCCGTGACCCCGGGCCCCTTCAGGTCGATCTGGAAGATCAGCCGTCTTCGCTACTTTGGCATCGCCTTTGGCCTCATGTTCGCCTACTTTTGGTTCCCCAACTACATCTTCACCGCGCTGAGCTACTTCAGCTGGATGACGTGGATCGCACCCACCAACCCGGACCTTGCCACCATCACGGGCGGACTCTCGGGCCTTGGATTCAACCCCATCCCCACGTTTGACTGGAATATCCTCACGTTCAACCTCGACCCGCTCATGGTGCCCTTCTTCTCCACGTTCAACTATTTCATGGGCGCGCTCATTTCGATGCCCATCATCGCTGCAATCTACTATAGCAATGCATTCAACACTGGCTACCTTCCCATCAATTCGAACCGGCCGTTTGATCACTTTGGCAATCTATACAAGGTGAAGTCCATTATCAATGAAGATGGCATTTTCGACTCGGAGAAGTACCAAGCCTACTCGCCACCCTTTTTGTCGGCCGCTAACGTGGTCGTGTACATGTTCTTCTTTGCCATGTACTCGGCCACGGTGGCATACGGTGTGCTGTATCACCGCCGCGAGATCACCATGGGACTGCGGGACGCGTGGAACAGCATCAAGCCAAAGAAGAACCGCAAGGTTGAGAATGAGCGGAAGACGGACCTCGACGTGCACAACCGCCTGATGAAGGTATACAAGGAAGTTCCCGAGTGGTGGTACATGATCTGTCTAGCCATCTCCATCGCCATTGGCATGGTTGGTATCGCTTGCTGGCCAACCCATACGACACCGTGGGTTGTCTTGTACGGCATTGCTTTGTGCTTGGTTTTCATGGTGCCCATCGGCATCATTGCGGCCATGACAGGCATCGAGGTCACTCTCAACGTGCTCGCCGAGTTTATCGGAGGTGTCTGGGTTGAGGGCAACGCCATCGCCATGTGCTTCTTCAAGTCGTACGGCTATGTAACCTGTGCTCACGCCATTTCCTTCTCCTCGGATCTCAAGCTCGCTCACTACCTCAAGATTCCGCCTCGTTTCACCTTCTTTGCCCAGATGGTGCCGACACTCACATCTACCCTGATCAGCATCGCTGTGCTGCAGTACCAGGTTCATATCGAAGGCATTTGCACCAAGGACGCGCCGTTCCGCTTCACTTGCCCCGGTCCGAACACCTTCTTCACGGCCGCGGTCTTGTGGGGCACAGTTGGCCCTCGTAAGATCTGGGGTGTTGGTGGTCAGTACGCGTCAACGCTTGTCGGCTTCCCGCTTGGAATAGTCATTGTCGTCTTCTTTTTCTACCTCAACCGCAAGTGGCCGAGAAACTCCATCCTACGGAACACGCACCCTGTTGTCATGATTGCCGGCGCTCTGTCCTGGTCTCCGTACAACTTGATTTATCTCTGGCCCGCGGTTCCCGTGTCGGCCTTTTCGTGGTTGTACCTAAAGAAGCGCTTCCTCCCATTTTGGTCAAAGGTGATACACATTTGCCCGTCAATTATCCAATCCATTCTGCAAAAAGCTAACTCGGGTGCGTCTTACAGTACAACTATGTCACGTCTGCGGCCTTTTCCTGCGCTATTGCTATTTCGGGCATCGTGATTTTCTTTGCGCTCCAGCTTTCGGAGATCGAGTTGGACTGGTGGGGCAATAATGTTCTCAACGACGGCTGCGACGCCGAAGGCGGTTGCGTGCGTCTCACTCTCGCTGATGATGACTACTTTGGTCCCAGAATTGGCGAGTTTAGTTGAGAGGCGAGCGCCAGACTGCCTGGTTGCGCCGTTCGGTGAGGATTGCGGGAGTTTATTAGGCGAGATGAGGGTACATTTCTTCAGGCGTACATTTCTTCGGGCGTAGGTAATCATTGTATTTCTGGACAGCCTTTGCGATGTCTTAATACATCTTCCTCTTCATGACTTTGGTTGCAATTGCCACCGTGTACAATAGGGTGATGGTGTTGTTTGAGAAGGGCCTGGAATTGAAACGTTCTAAAACGTGTTTGCCCGAGAAGCGCTCACCAAAACAAAACAAACGACGGACGAAACAAGCCGAACATCCAAGAAAGAATGACAGACCGAATGAGTGAATATTCATTTCATGAAGATACGAGACCCGCCAAAAAGGGGGCTGCCTGTTACTGGAATCGAACCAGTGATCTTTGCATATAATCATCGAATGGATACAAGTGCAACGCATTAGCCACTATGCTAAACAGGCTTGAGATGTTTATTTCGACTTCTTGGCAACATTCACCTCTATCGCGACTTATCGGAGCTCCGTGCTGAAATAAAGTGGAGTCATTAGTTAGGGTGATGGGGATTCGTTGCAATTATCTAGGTATGTGCAAGTAAGGTATAGTGTGTGCGAAGATGTTTTCGGGGGCATATTTTGGTGTTTTATTAAGATTATTAAATACGGGATGCTGCCTTGTAGCTTATTAGAGGGTGATGTGGCGAATATTAGAGTGTGCAGTGGGAGGAGGAAGTTGGGAATTGCTATATGGGAGGCATGAAGGGGGAGACCTAGGGTTTTTTTCGATGTCTTAGAATTCGATAAGGAGATACGATAATGTATGTTATCGGAAGAGTAATATGCGAGAGGGGCAGTGATTGAGATTGATGGCGAAAAAGGGCATATTGAGGCGTGAAGAGGTTGGGGTATTTTTTAACGTTTTGTACTTTAATAGTAGGGAGATCTCTAGTTGTTACGGGTTTCGGATTATGCGGTGATCAAATAATGTAGTGATTAATTAGGATTGATATTCGGAAAGTGCTGTATAGAGAAGTAGTAAGGAAGGTTTTGGGAGTTTGGAATGGCGGCGTGGAATTGCAAACTACGGTGGTGAAATTTTGTTTTTAGAGTTTTTCTTTTCACTTTCTTTTCTTATTATTCTACTTTAAAAAAACAATTTAAGATGCCTATTGTAGTTGCCATGCATACATCGTATCGGGAGACCCAATCACTCTCCGCTAGGCTCTATTGTTTATTTTGTGCCGAATCTTAACGTTCGCCGCTTGGGGTCTGGGTTTGGCATGGCTACCTGTCTGGATGCCCCGGGCACCTCGTGTATGAAACCACCGTAAATACATACCTGCTACTGTTTGTTCTACCTCGAATCGGTACCATGTTGCTGTTTGGGTTCCGCGTGATTATTAGGTTGCCTCGTCTCGAGCCACTATTGTTTCGTGAACAATCAGACTGCCACTCTGTTCCTTGGACAATCGGACTACCGCCGACCTGTGCCGTAATTAACGTTTCCAAAAGCTAGCCTGAAGCACCGATATCATTAGTCGTGTATCGGAGACATCTGAGCAGAAACTGAGAAACTGAGAACCCGAAAACCCGAAAAAATAAATAACAATAGGACTCGCCGCGCGCTGCGCCGACTGCACGGCTGAAAGTCCACGTCTATATTAAACTGCCCTCCCGTCAGCTTCGTGAAAGTTTGACAGCCTTTTGTCATCAGCCATCACAGAAGGCCAAAATCAGTCCGCTCTCATCTCTCTCTCACCAAACCACAATATCTGAACCAAGAAACATTCGCCGCCACATCTACCTCTCTCCTCTTCGCCAACCGACACACTTAGCCTACTGCCACCACACCTCTCTTCAACACCCTGCACATAAATATAGAAAATCGCCGCGATGTGCCACCGCTCGCGAGTCAGTAAGCCGTCGTGCGGACACATCTGGGTTCATCAAGCCGTCTGCCCGGTGATGTGGCACCGACGCCGTGACGCCCATCTCCCGCATCGAGTCGCTGTGGTGCCCAAAGTGCCGCGCCAAAGCGGCGAGCCGGGGCTGGCTCTGCTGCAAATGCGAGGAGTGGAACACGGCCCCCCTCGGCTCCAACTCGAGCACCGAGCTCGACAAGCATGTCCTCAACTACGGTATCGACTGTATGAACTGCGGATCGACGATTTGCGAGCACTGCAAGAAATAATATCCTGGGTTTGGGTTGTTTAGGAGTTAGGCTGTGGAAAGAGCTGAGCTGCGGACACGGGATGGAGTTGTGAGTAGAGCTGGGTATAGAATATGGATGGGGTTATTGGTTGGGTTGAGCTGGGCACTGGGTTGCACCAAGCTTTCGTCTTTTTTTCCAGGACCCGGATAAATCCAGAGCCGAATGGCTCGAGATATGAAAACTACGGCCAGGTTGTGTTATCCGATGGACATTCATAAATAATTGCGGTATTCACGACTCTCAGTCTCCTCGCCGGTTTCCGTTTAGTGGTTTGATTTAACTGACGAGTGACAAGTTCTGGAAAATGTCGGTTTTCCGCCACCTCTTTGTTTGCTTTTTGCTCTGACTAAATAGGACATTTAATGTAATTATCTGGTGATTTTTGGTGCTTCTGCTTGTTGTCTAGCGATTGTTTTCTGCACCAACGCCTCTATTTAAACTAGCCATTACCATGACCATTGTGCTTTGACTCATAAGTGGAAATTCAGCTTGTCAGTCACGTCGGCTGCCCTATCTAGGAATAGGTATATAAAGCGAACGGCAGTGCTACTAGTTCTGGCTTTCGCATTCACCAGCATCCCCTCCATTCTCTAAGCAATTCAACAAAGCGAACAAAAGCACTCTCACAAATTACACAATCTCAACACCCCCCCCCGCCCCAATCAACAAAACAACCAACAAAACAACCACCATGTGCTTGTGGAAGCGTATGCACAGGTCAGATTGCGGCCACTACTGGTTCTGGCTGGATGAGTGCTACAGGGGCATGAGCAGATGCACCTACATAATGACACCGGGATATCAGGATAGCATCGAGGAGGAGTCGGGCAACTGGCTCTGGTGCCCCAAGTGCAAGCGAGCAGAGGGAGCGGCGTGGACGTGCTGCATGAGTAGGACCTACAACTGGTTCAGCATGATGGACACATTCAACACGGCCACCGAGATGTCGCTGGAACTGCTGAACGCCGGCATCGATTGCCGCGAGTGCGACCACGTGCTCTGCTCGGACTGCACCGTCTACGCCGAAGATACAGAGCACACAAAGGCCGACTCTGGTGAGGCTTCCTCCTCTACTGCTTAGTGGTTGAGAAGGTACTTTCCACGGCCAAACGGTTGGGCCTTGTTTGCAAAATCGTTGTATGTAGTCTCTGAACAGTTAGCTGCGAGTCATTGGTAGCGAAACAACGCGTTGGTTTTCCCTCGAAATGCTTTTGCTGCACAACAAGTATCACAACAAGTATCCCACCATCCGAATGCTTCCGACTCTTTGTACTTAGTATCAATTATCTTTGAGCTTGGACAACCATCGATATACCCTTAGATGCCATATTGACCGGGCGAATACTTGGGTCAAATCTCTTTTGCATTTTCTTTTGGGGTTTGGCGGCAAGAAATGGCAATTCCGCCTGTCTCCTTGCAAAAAGTCTAGTACAGCAATTGTCCCAAATTCACCGCATTGGAAGTAGTGACTCGCGACTTTGCGTTTGTGTGTATGTGTGTGTGTGCGTTTGTTGCGTCTCTGGGGGTGAGAGAAGTGCTCTTCAAGGCAATGACGCATGACTAGTGCCTAATTATTACCAGGCACTCTAGGAAAGTTGACTAGGTATTCAGCTGCAGACCCAAACAGGCATCGATTGCAAACTTTGAGTCTTGAGGAAGGCCAGACAGCCATCGAGCGAGGTCTCAAGAAAATAGTTATGTGAGTGGCGGAACTCAATGCGTTAGCTCACTCCTGAGCGTGTTCGCATTCCTGACACGTAGCTGCTCTCCACCCAAGGCCACTGGCCATTACAACCGGCCCGTAGCAGTGGCGACTATGATTTGACCTAGATGTCCGAAAACACTCGGCCTATTAGTTAACCTGCCTGCTGGCAATTTGTCTCACAAAAATATATTTACAGATCTAGACAAGGTATGTAAATCCCACGTGCTACTCCATTGCATCCACTGACACAGCTTCACGGCATCTATCACCATCCTCTCTTCTCGGCTCTCACACTTGACAACAGCCTACCTGTCTTATCTAGGTACCTTACTCACTGATCTTGCTACTAACCTAGAAACTGCCATGTGCCTGTGGGTATCACGTCGTCACTAGCCGCAGTGCGGCTATTGCTGGTTCTACTGTGAACAATGCTACCTGGAGCCGGCGTGTCTAATAGAGCCGAGCTACTAGCTGCAGATCACCGAGGAGTCGATCTGGGGCTACTAGTGCTCCAAGTGTCAGCGCGAGGATGACAGATGGATCAGCGGCTGCCAGTGCTACCAGTGCAAGGTCGCGAATCACGCGTGGTCACAAAGGATAAGCTCCGACGACGCGACTAAGACGTCGCTGAGTGCGCTCACCTACGGCATTACCTGCAGCGGGTGTCAGCACACGCTGTGCCAATTCTGCACCAAAAAGTAGTTGGATCATGCGCTCCTGCAACGGGAAGCAGGCAAGACGGAGACATGATCCTACCTTGTAGTCAAGTACCGAGATGCTTTCTGTCTGGTAATCTGGCACATTCCGACACAGGAGACGATCTCGTCAGATCTAGGTAGTTAATGGTCGTTTAAGGGGGCTGGTTTTTGAGCTGGACATTTTTGGGGCTTTTGGCCTTTCTTTTTTCGGAGTACCGGTTCACGAGTTAGAGCCATAATCAGGAACACAGGGCCATTCATGGTGCAATTGCAAAAGATGTCGCGGTGACCGTTTGCCGAGTGTTTGCTTGTTAATGAAGGGAGAATCTTGTCATTCTAGCCACAAGTACTTAGGAGTAGTTACGCGGGCACTTGAGATATCACGGAATAACTGCGCAGCCACTCTCCTTCTAGCTAAATAAGACATGAAGAACGACGCGCGATTCCTGATGCGACTGACTGTTTGTCCAACTGGCAGAGGACTTGACCTTGGAAGGTTCGCGGCAAAAAGCAGAATGGTACTAACTGTGTCGAGTCTACCTTCAAGGGAATCTGATAAAAGAAACCCTCGACGAATTTTGGGAGACGCGGACTAAGTACATAACTAACAAAGCAGCCGTAGTCACAGAGCAATGACCCCAGACCTCAACTCAGACCATTCCCGGTCGGCTCCTGCTGCAGCCACCTCGCGAGCGCGGCCGGGTCCGCCGCATTCTCCCAATGCTCCACCGCCCAGCCGTCCACGAACCGCCACACGCCGCAAAATGGAACCGCGAGGTCGTCGCAGCCCTGCCTGGTGGCGCGTAGCACGCCGAGGACGGCGCCAAAGTGCGCGTCAGCGATCATGCCCTGCACGTCCATGCGCAGCGTGCCGCGCGTGGCCGCAACGAGGGCGTCTTCGTGGGCCTGCGCGGCGGCCAGCCCTACGAGCGGCGGCCGGCCAGCCGCGCCATCGACAACCCTAGATGCCGAGACGCGCCGGTCGGCCGGGTGGAGAATGATGTCGGGCGATGCTACGTCGGATATCCGCCTGACGTCGGAATAGAGGTAGCGGAGCAGCGCGGTCGTGTCTTGGAATGGCGGGCCCAGTGGGCTGGCGGGCCGCGCGGCGGCTTCGTGGGTCTTGGCTGGCAGGCTGCCGTTGCTGCCTGGCTGGTCTGCCGTGCTGCAACTTGGAGACCGTAGGGATTTCATGTTAGACATGGCGAGTTGAGTTTGAGTTTGTCGGTGGTGAGTGTTATTGTTGTTGGTTAATTAATCAGGTATTATTCGGCTTCGAGTTTCGCTGTATAGAAACACGACGAGGATTTGCAGCGTCCAAGTTCATTCACCTGGGTCGACATCACCGCCTCAAGTTGGTGACGGGCCTCCGGACATCCGAACGTAGTGCGGCGGTCATAAGGCGGACACAATGTCGCAAACCTACAAGTAAGCGCGAAACCTTGGTCACAGCTGAATAATCAAGATAATCTAAACTATTTCTGCCAACATGTCAGGTCGGCGGTGCCGTCTTGCAGAGGTTGACTGGCATTGTTGTAGCTTTGCCTCGCTCTCGTCGGTCTGAGCACTTCAAGTTGGAACCTGTGCGGTGTATTCGTATATATAGCAATGACCGCAATATCCACTCGCTGCAACCTCTGAATGACTGGGTTTTCTTTATATTTTTTGCTTCTTTTTTCCTTCCTTTTTTGCTGCGAATAGTTCCACTCTCATTACAAGAGAACGCGCGGCTCTTTCGGAATGCAAGCTCCTATGAGTTCGCCGTCGTGAGTCGAGATACTCTGTAACATTGAGGCATTGGAGAGTCTGACTGAAAGTGAATGGTCAGAGCTCGTGATGGCGACAATATTGTTTGTCAACAAACGAAACACCCAAAGGCCCCCACACTTCTCGCGTTGCCAATTAGGTCATCGAAACTCTGATCTTTCAACAGCCCACTTGCAATTGGAAGAAGCTGCCTGGGACCATTATTGGTTGCGGCACGTGCCTCATCGCTTGCACTGACCGCTACAGCCAAACAGACAGAGTTGCAATCCAGCCCGGAATGGGTGGCGGTTGGAAGTTTTGCCTCGTTTAGGAGTCGAGCCCTCTGCGGGCAGGCAGCGCGCTGCAAGCACAGACAAATGATAAGGTTGCAGCATGCGCTGGTTGGTGCTCCTTCCTTCACTCCTGCCAGTGCAAAATCAAAATCCCTGCACCCCCATGTCGTCACACACATCGGCCGCCTAGCTGCTTCAGGTTATCGGGCCGCTTTTTGCCCACCGCACTGTGGAGCGCAATCTTCTCACCGCGCGAGGTTGCTTTGCTCCTGCGGGCGGCGGCGGGGTGTAGTGCTTTGTGGGCTTGTGGGGGGTTGCACAGTGCACCCAGAACGCTGGAGGGCGGCCCACAGTGGACAGAAAAATGGGTCGATCCAAAGTTTTCCTGCTGCCATCTGAAGAAATGTCTCGGTGACATGTCTCAAGCTGGGATCGCGCCTGGATCTGAGAACCGCCAGGTTAGCGATCAGATGCTTGGTGCAGAAAGGTAAATCGACGTGGGCCGAGGCCTTGAACTTGAATCTGACAGAGTCAAGCGCGACTTCTTCACCTGCATCGAGGGCCCTCCTGCCTCGGAGCTCACCCTCACAATCAGCAACGGCGGAGCGGCCGATTGGGCGTCGCGATAAGGCGTCCGGGGCAAGAGCAACCAACCTGCAGGGATCGCCTGGCCTGGCCAAGGTCCTCATCTCGACGTGCCCAATAGCTGCAGCTTGACGCCCCCCACCTTCCCCATTGCTGTTGCTGGGGCCCCGTGGGATGGAGACTGAAGAAGTCGAAATTCTCACGACTGACAACATCTTTCCTAGGACTGCAAGGAAAGGAACGACGGACGACGCACGGAAGCAACGAACAGCCTGACAGACGGAAGGGAAGCTCCACCACGCACGGCATCACCTTGTCGACAGTGCAGTGTAGTGCAGTGCTTGCCCGCGAACACCACCGGCTCTTCCCCAGGTTCCTTGGCTCCAGGCATCTTAATCTGGGCACTTGCGCCTGTCGCGTCATCAGCCGTCCACCATGGCGACGGCAAGCAGCGATGCGGCAGCCACTGACCAAATCCCGGTGCGTACACACGGCTCCTACGGAGAGGCGACCAATGATGCCGAATCGGCCGACGACCTGCTCGCCGCGCTTGGCTACAAGGCCGAACTCGTGCGCACGCGATCGACATGGCACGTCGCCTTCATGTCGTTCGTGCTCGCCTCCATCCCGTACGGCCTGGGCACGACGCTCTACTACCCGCTGCAAGGCGGCGGTCCTGTTGTCGTCATCTGGGGCTGGGTCCTCGTCAGTCTGATCATCCTGTGCGTCGCCGCGTCGCTGGGTGAGATCACGTCCGTCTTCCCCACGGCCGGCGGCGTCTACTACCAGACCTACATGCTCGCCCCCGCCCGCTTCCGCCGTATCGCCGCCTACATGTGCGGCTGGGCGTACGTGGTTGGAAACATCACAATAACCCTTGCCGTCAACTTTGGCACCACGCTCTTTTTCGTTGCCTGCATCAATGTCTTCGAGTCTGAGCCTGGCGTCGGCATCTGGCAAGCCGAGGTCTACCAGGTCTTCTTGACCTTTGTGGCAGTCACGCTGCTGTGCAACGCTATTTCGGCCTTTGGCAACAAGATCTTGCACCACTTAGATGTGCGTATCAGAGTCCCTAGTCATCTTTGGGCGCTGGCTAACCTCTATTCTGTGCTAGACATTTGCCATTTACTGGACCTTTGCCGGCATCATCGCCATCATGGTGACCATCCTGGCGGTTGCCAAAAACGGACGCCGCAGTGCCGCCTACGCCTTTGGCGACTTTGAGCCCACGTCTGGGTGGCCCGACGGCTGGTCGTTCATGGTCGGCCTGCTGCACGCTGCTTACGCCACGTCGTCGACGGGCATGATCATCAGCATGTGTGAGGAAGTGCGCTCGCCCGCCACCCAGGTGCCCAAGGCCATGGTCATAACCATCGTCATCAACACCTTTGGCGGCCTGCTGTTTCTCGTGCCCCTCATGTTCATCCTGCCCAATGTCGTCGACCTGACCGCCTTCGCCCAGCCCCTGCCCTATATCATCCTGTATGCGGTCGGCTCCCCGGGAGGCGCTTTTGCTCTCCTCATCCCGCTCCTGGTTCTGTCCATCCTCTGCGGTACCGCTTGCACAACGGCTACTTCGCGCTGCACCTGGGCCTTTGCTCGCGACGGTGCCATCCCAGGTTCCAAGTGGTGGAGCAAGGTCCACCCGACGATGGACATACCTCTGAACGCCATGATGCTCACCATGGTTGTCGAAATTCTGCTGGGCGTCATCTATTTTGGCTCATCCGCCGCCTTCAATGCATTTTCGGGCGTTGGCGTCATTTGCCTGACACTGTCGTACGCGTCGCCAATTCTCGTGTCGATGATTGAGAGGCGAGCACAGGTCCAAGACTGCAAGTTCCCTCTAGGCAAGTTTGGCTGGTTCTACAACGGTGTTGCCATTGGTAAGATACGCTCCAAAAGCACTCATTCGTGTTCGTACAGTACTCCATGCTAATTGCGTTGTCGGTCGTGTCCATAGCCTGGTCGTTTCTCGCCGTGCCCCTGTTCTGCATGCCGTCTCTCCTCCCCGTCACAGCGTTGACCGTTAACTACGCCCCTGTTGTGTTTGTCGGATTTTTTACAATCGCCGGCGTGTGGTACTTTGCCTGGGGCCACAAGAACTATCGGGGTCCGCCAACCGACACCATTGGCACCGCTGTTGTGGATCCAGTGACAGATATCGACGCCCTCCCTTCGAAAAAGGTCGAATGAGAAAGGGCCAGCAGGACGCTACTTCTCTCGAGTATTCTTAATAGCAGCAAGGCACAACCCGCGGGTTAGATAGATGAGCACGACTAATTAGGGCGGAGGCGTTTGGTGCCATGTGGTCGGAGAGAGTCTTGTTTTCACCAACGAGTGTTGATGTTGAATATTTGTCGCTGATACCCCTTTCTTGTGAGGTCCCGATTTTGCCTGCTATCTCCAAATACAAAATTCGTCTTACAATTCTTCCGGTTCCGACGCTGATGAAGAGAAAAAGAAAAGGCACTATTTACACAACATTCCCCTTCACCTGATGCAAGTCCTTGAGCTTGATGTCCTTCCAGAACGCGGCGCAGGCCAGAGCGGCAGCCAGAGCCACCAAGCTCGTGATGAGCATGTAGCGCTGGGCATCGCCGTAGGCCAGGCTAATGCCGGCGCGGATTTCGGTCCCCACGCGATAGCCAAGCTGCGAGTAGATGCTGCTGTAGATATTCTCGATGGGGGTGCCTGCGGGCAAGTGTCTGGCCAGGGCGGCCGGGAAGGTACCTGCCCAGATGGCGCCGGCAACGCTCGCTCCCACGGCATACCCCACGCTCCCGAACAGGTCCAGGATGGCCAGGATGGCGGCGAGGTGCTGGTGGTCGACGGGCGCCATCATGGCCATCTCAGCAGCCACTACCAGCGGCCCGCCGGCAAAGGCCACAAAGATCTGCGTCATGATCACGAAGCCAATATTGCTATCAGGCTGCCGGAACTTCACCATGAGACCGACACCCAGAATCATCAGCGGCAGGCTGAAGTACAGCGCCACCCACTTGAAGCGGCCCGTCCGGCGGATCGCGTAGCCGAGCACCAAGGCCGAGAAGCACGACCCCACGCGGTAGATATTGCTGATGTACGTGGCCTTCGTAATGGTCTGGTTCCACACCACGATAAGCATCGACACAAAGTAGCTGCCCCACACGGCCGAGTTGAAGAAGACAAAGGTCAGCATTATGCCCGCCAGTAGCACGGTCCGGTCGCCCAGCAGGTGCATGGGGATGAAGTTGACGGGCGCCAGCAGGCTCTCGTACAGCACAAACAGCACCACCAGCACGACGCCAAACACGAGCATGCAGATGATCAGCGGCGACCGCCACTCCTCGGCCTGGTACCTCCAGATACTGAGCGGCAGCAGCACCAGCGCCATGCCGCCCGCCAGCAGCAGCACGCCGAGCAGGTCGAACTGCACGGCAAAGTCCCACACGGCGCGGCCCGTGAGGCGGCGGCGCGGCGGCGCCACGACGCCGAGCTTGGTCGCGCGGTGCTGGCCCCACAAGAACAGCAGCGCCAGCGGCAGCACCACGACGGGCGTGATGATGGCGAACACGCCGAACCCCCACCGCCACCCGGGCCCGTGGACGAAGGCGTCCGAGATGGGCCCGCCCACCCACGGCGTCACAATGTACGGCGACGTGGCGAACGCCAGCATCAGCCCTCTGTTTCGGAGTGCTGACGTGTCAGCGATGAACACGGTTAGGCAGTAGCTCACGCCCTGGGCTCTGCAGGCAGAGAAGGATGTCAGCGAATGCGTTCGTCACGATTGGTGTAGTGTTATGAACTTACCCGACGAGCGAAAACACGTCGGCGGCGGCATACGTCTCGACGTTCTTGCACACGGCCATCATGACGAAGCCAATGATCCAGATGATCAGCATGAGAATGATGCCCTGGGGGCGGCCCCACAGGTCGAGGATCTTGGCCAGCGCCAGCTTGGACAGGCCGGCGATGATGCTCGCGATGACGCCGGCGATGGGCGTCAGCGCGTGCGCCGAGAAGCTGCTCGTCACGAAGGGCGACAGCGACTGGACGACGACCTCTTGGGTCGACGACACGAAATATATCAGCCATATGCTGTGCAGTCACTCAGTCAGCCATCGATATTCTATTGTGAAGGCGTTGCATCGAAGCCTCTTCCGGCGCAGTGTACCCCTAGAAAGGACGTGCTCCTAGACAGGAGAGGCGAAAAATGTCTCACCATGCGTAGGCCGCGACCAGGTGCCACTTGCTCCAGACGACGGCAGCGGCCTCAATGTTGCGCACGCCCGTCTGCGCATCACTCGAGATTGTGTACTGCTGGTCCTTTTCCATCTCGGACAGCTCCATGTGCGGCTTTTCGTGCGTCGAAGGGGCGATTGCCCCGGTGCCGGCGCCGTTGCCGGTGACGGTGCCGGCTCGGGCCAGGTCGACGGAGGGCTCCCGTTGTCCCATGGCGGAATTGGCAGTTGTCGATTGAACCAGACGGAGTCGGTGGCAGGCCTGGCAGCACGTACGCCGACTAGGTCAATACTCAAGATTGAAGACTAGTGAGCTGGAGGCTCGATCTTTGAGACTGCAGGGACCTCGTTGACAGTTGGTCGGCGAACGACGGCAGAGATAAGAGAGAAGCACACAGCCAGCCATTCCCAGAAGCCGCTCTCCCGGGGCTGCGAGATGAGAAGAACTTGGCTTTTTCCTGGCTGCCCATCCCCCCACCGCGGCCCCGATGTTCGGCAAGGGCCAAGGCGCAGGCAGGGCACCATTGGACGCGTGCATCCGAGGTCTGCGGGCTCTCGACCTGGATTTGGCAGCGGCGGCCCTGGGAGACGGCAGCCAGCGTGCCACTCTGGCCGACGCAGCGTGGCCGTAGACCCGTCCAGGGCAAGGCACCGTGGATACGTGGGCAGGCGGGCCAATCCGAGCAGCGCCAGGGGCCGCCAAGCCATCTTATCTGATGATCTGATGATCAGATAAAAATCCACTTGGTCACATCGCGCATGCGGGCCAAGCCTCCTAAGACTGCAGCAGCGCCTCGCCATTGGCTCAGAGGGGTTATTAGGCGAGGTTGCTCACTCTTTCGGCCTGGCACGCTGCGAAACCGGCCGCTAGGAGTTCCCGGAGTGCGTGTTGCTGCCAGGGGCGGCGCGGCTGCTGCATTAGCCACTGCTCTCGTCACTTGAAAAGACTTCCCTACTAGACTAAGTGTAATTGCGGTGGCACCGTGGCAGGCCATGTATAAAGAAGTCGGCGCCCGCGAGGGCCAGCAACACACCACTCACGCCCCGGACCGACCTTTTCATTCCCCACTATCCAGACCTCACCAACCAGTCTACCCGTGACCCGTCTCCAAGACCCGCCAGACCGTTCAACAAAGTCAAAATGAAGTGCTCCGTCGCCGCTCTCGTCGCCGCCATGGCCGGCGTCGCCATGGCCCAGACTCTGGCCGACTTCATCCCGGAGTGCGCCGTAAAGTGCCTGACTGACGGCGTCGCCGCCGCCACAAACTGCAAGCCCGACGATCTTGACTGCCTGTGCATCGCCGACAACTACCGCGCCACGTACACCAGCGCCGTGTCGTGTGTGCTTGCCGCGTGCGGCAACGACGTCTCAGTTAGTATGTAGATCCTCATTCATGCCTTGATATTTACCTTATTCGTCATACGCGATTGTTTCTCTCTGGACTTTACACAAGCTAGTTAACTAACCCGCGCAAAAACAGGCGAGGTCCTTCCCGCGGCCGCCCACATGTGTGAGGTTGTCGTCGCTGCGGAAACCTCTTCGTCCAGCTCCTCCTCCTCCACCACCACCACCAAGCCGGCAACAACCGCGCCCTCCGCCGCCACGACAACATCCAGCGGCCCGCAAACCACCGTCGCCTCCTCCACCACTGCCGCGCCCGCCGGCAACAACAGCACTGTCACCACCTCGGCCCCCACTACGACCACCTCCTCCGGCGCCGCCCGGCTGCTTGCCGCCGTCGCCGCCGTCCCCGTGGCTCTGGCCGCCGGTGCTCTGTACTTGTAATTAAGCGAGGGTGCTTGATGCTTGGGTTGACTGAGTATGGGCGCGTGCGAGTCGCGCTGCTGCTTGGATTGGGAGGATAGGAAAAGGAAGGCGTGTAGGAAAATGTATATTTGATGATAATTACTAATTGGAAGACATATCTGATCATGGTCGGTATTTGCGTGAGAGGTTGTGTGAGATTGATTATATTGTTATGTTTTCTCATACTTCAGTACTATTCGGGGCTGCGAACGGTTACAGGAAGGGCGACGTGGAGAAACAAAAGATAAAAAAGAAAAGAAAAAAGATACCTCGCCCGGAACTCGAACTGGCAACCCATTAAAAACAAAAATCGAAGGGGGTTCAAAGGGACCACGTCTTCTCCACCGCACAAGAACGTGAACGTTTGACCAAACCGGCCGGGTTCCCTGTTGAGGGATGACTGCTGTAGTTACTTCGCTGAAAGGAAGGACAAGAAACAGGGTATATATGTACCCATGTGCTCTTTGTCGTTCATCCCATCGCTATCGGGACTAACTCTAGTACTTGACTAAACTGCGGGGTTTATTCTTGTTCTTTTTTTGCTGCTCCATGAATATTGTGTTGTCTGCTTCCCTTGGCCGCCCAGGTGAAGGTAATAATTACTCTTCCAAAAAGCCACTTCCTCGGACACAACGAGACCACCCTAATTACCTAGGTACGTAAGCTATAAATTGTTTTCTTACCTCAACGTCGAGAAAAGATTTCCAGTGTGGAGCTACACATGATTAAGGTCTAAAAATAATCACAATATAAACAGCGATGGCTGTTATGATAAGTTATGGATATTGCGATTGATGGGATAAACGCTGTGAGAAGCGCGCTTTATAGCTGAGGAATATATACCTGTTGTATAAATAGAAAGATAAAAGAAAAGAAGAGGGCAGTCTGGAGAGATTATGATAACACCGCCCTATTTAAGTTGATTGCTAGAGGTTGTAAAATTGTGAATGTGAATTGGCTAGATAGCGCATCTCAAACTAGCGGATGTTGCCGTGGGGATAGACCAAACCATACGGACGGTAATTAGGTAGACTCAGTTGCAGTTGTTCAGAGTCCCAGTCATGGGCAAATGGAAATGATTATCTTCAAGCTGAACGAGGCCACCGAAGCTAACATAAGGTGGTGTAGTCATTGGAGAGAGGCTGTGTTCGCACCTCAATTGACCCAAAAGTTTGTCGACTAATTGGGGGTTAGGCGGTTGGTTAAGAAATAGACGACAAAATTGACTGATCGGATGAACCCTCGAGCCTTTGGTTGTAAATAGGCGAGGATATTAAAAATTTAAGAGTTCCGTCCGAGTGGCCAATAATAAGCAAACAAGGCAGAACCTGAGTTCCTCTCAGTAGCTTTTTGAGCTGTGCGTGTTTTGATGTTATTCTGTCACGCGCATTCACCGGGCAACGGAAATGAAGCATTTGATGCAGGGAGGTAAGGCTTGAATTGTCTGAAAAGGTCTAATCTCTTGTTTCCTTTAGCAAGGCCAAAAGTCTCTTTTTTATAGTTATGAATAGTGGCAGAAGCTGGTGGCGAAGAATCACATAGCAGCTTCCAGATCTTTCTTGCTCACTAATCCCAATATTGTGACATATTCCTAATTGGAGGGTTCTCCATTTTTAGTCTTCTCGCCTACTTGCGACCTTCGATATGATATACGGTGGATATCGGTACTGATGGCCGAGACTTGTGTGTTTTGGGATTCTTCCGCTGGACAGGAAATTTGGGATCTGGGGAGAGAAGGGATATAATTTCGACGCGGGCAACCGGGTTATTTCGGAAGGGCGAGAGTTTTAGTATCGGGTCGGGCACGCTATCAACAGAGTCAATAAACGGTGTTGTCCTAAGAAGCAGTGCTCCACTGACTACGTTTACGCGTGAGGCGCTAATATCTGGGTCGGGAATAGCCTCAGTTCTACTATTGCGCGCAACTGCCGGCCTTAGTTGGTATCTCCACATCTCCACCAGAGTCTGGAACTGCAGCTTTTCGGGCCCGACTCCAGAGTCTAGAAAAGCTGCAGTTCTAGACTCCGAAACATAGCAGGAAAGATCAAAATATTCATTTGGGTTAGTCTGAGGTCGGTGTTTACTTTACAGCGCACGTGTGCAAAGCACGGCGGCAGTGTCGTCTCTTGTCGAGTTCATCCCATCCGATTTCGCAGCAGAATCCAGGCACGCATTGTTGTATTCCGGGAAGGGCCCAGAGGAGAGATTTACAGAACTCCACTTTGATCGCGTTAATACCGACAAAGCTTCGCCCTTCATTTTACAGACGGTAGACAAAAAGGAGAAGACGCGACTAGACCGCACAGCAAATGCGCGCACTCGAAACTGCTAGCGAATACGAACAAGCGCCTTTTTGGAGCGCGTATTGCCTTCAAATCCGGACTGACATGTCTTCAAATAGCCAGCCAAGGAAGCGGGAATGGAAGGTGCAATGGCGGCAAACGGACAGGTGCGAGGCCGTTTGGTCACCGCTGGTGGAGCCGCGTCTTACCGAACAGAGATTTTTTTTTTCGCACTCGCAGTACTCCGCTTGCCACACGCTAGCGGGGCGAGTCCACTTTTGCCAACACAGGTGTACAGGCAGGTGTGCAGGCGGATTCCTTCCAGAAACAGGTCGCAGCGGAGCACGCCATGCACGCCAGCCAAAATATGACGTACAAACAACGCGCCGCGCCTGGCATGGCCCCTACTCGGGCGTCTTGGCCGTCATTCTGCCGACATGGGCCGCCGACGGGGGACGACGATTCCCTCGACTCAGTGACGCCGGAGACTGCCTTTCTGGCCGAGGACGCCCGCAATGCCTCGAAGGCGTCATTTGGGCCCCGGGATCACGCAAATGCCTCGAGCTGTCCAATTTGGCCGCGTGCGGTCTGGGTCGCTCATGACGGCGCTGCCCGCGTGGTCTGACCTGACCTGTCCGTTGCTTGGGGGGTGAAGAAGGCGTGCGCTCAACTGCTTTAATATCAGTCTCCTCGCATCGAACTTTTTTTTCTCTTTTTTGTTGTCCGTTGTACCCGGTCCACCCAGCAGACTCTCCCCATTGCCCACTCCAGGCCAGTCCACTCTCTGGTCATTCCTGTTGTCGACTATTCCGCAATCCGTGTGTCGACGGCCCATCTTTGCGGGCAATCAGATCGACTGTTGCTACTGGGACAGGGGACTAAGAGAGAGAGGTCTCAGACCACACACCACAACCACAACCACAACCACACACAACCATCCGAATGAGGACACCAAATCTGTTCAGCAGGAGGAGACCTGCTGAGGCAACGGCGGCCGGCAGCAATGCTGGTGCCGTTTCCGTTTCCGAGGGCAAAGATGGACACGTCCTCGAGGGCAACGACCACTTTGACGAGCGAGTTGGTGAGCAAGCCCAAATTCCAAATACACACAAGACACGGGAGCTAATGCCGACATCAGGCGAGCTAGAGCGCAAGCGTGACGCCAAGAGACAGATTGGAATTGTGTCAGCCACCTTCCTCATCGTCAACCGCGTCATCGGCACCGGCATCTTCGCGACGCCGGGCACCATCCTGGCCCTGTCGGGCAGCGTCGGCCTGTCGCTCTTCATCTGGGTCGCCGGCATGCTGATCGCGCTGGCCGGCACGGCCGTCTTCGTCGAGCTGGGCACGGGCCTGCCCACCAACGGCGGCGAGAAGACGTACCTCGAGTACATCTACCGCCGCCCCAAGTTCCTCGTCACGGGCATGTACACGGGCTACGTGATCCTGCTGGGCTGGGCCAGCGGCAACTCGGTAATCTTCGGCGAGTACATCCTCAACGCTGCCAATATCGAGGCCGGCCGCTGGAACCAGCGCGGCATCGGCCTCGCCTGCATCACGGCCGCCTTCCTGATCCACGGCACCGCCCTCAAGTGGGGCCTGCGCCTGCAGAACGTGCTCGGCACCATCAAGATCGCCATCATCCTGATCATTGTCGTCGCCGGTTGGGTCGCCCTTGCCGGCCACATCAAGCTGCCCGAGGACGAGAAGCCCCACAACTTCGCCAACGCCTTCGAGGGCACCACGGGCAGCGCCTACGGCGTCGTCACGGCCCTCTATAATGTCATTTGGAGTTATATCGGCTACAGCAACGCCAACTACGCCCTAGGCGAGACCAGAAACCCGGCCCGCACCCTCAAGATCGCCGCCCCGCTGGCCATTGGCGTCATCTCCATCCTGTACATGTTTGTCAACATTGCCTACTTTGCCGCCGTGTCTAAGGAGGAGATCCTGCGCGCGCGCCGCCTGGTGGCCGCCTCGCTGTTCCGCAACGTGCTGGGCACCGGCGCCGAGCGCGCCCTGTCCGTCTTCGTGGCCCTGTCGGCGTTTGGCAACGTGCTCAGCGTCATCTTCTCGCAGGGCCGTCTGGTGCAGGAGCTCGGCCGCCAGGGCATCCTGCCCTTCTCCAACTTCTGGGCCAGCAACCTGCCCTTCAACGCACCGCTCGCCGGCCTGTTCGAGCACTGGGCCATCTGCGTCATCACCATCCTGGCCCCGCCGCCCGGCGACGCCTACAACTTCATCCTCAACCTCATTTCATACCCGCTCGCCATCGTCAACACGTTCCTGTCGGCCGGCCTCGTGTACATGTACTTCCACCGCGTGTCGTACAACTGGTACCCGCCCGTCAGCGCCACGCTGCCCGTTGTCGTCTTCTTCATGCTCAGCAACATCTACCTCATCATCGCGCCCTTCGTCCCGCCCGAGGACGGCCAGAACATCTACGAGAGCCTGCCCTACTGGATCCACTGCGTCGTCGGCTTCGCTATTATCATTGCTGGCGGCCTGTACTGGCTCACGTGGGCCGTCATCCTGCCCAAGCTGTTCAAGTACGAGCTCGTCCAGGAGAAGGTTGTTGACGACATTGACGGCTGGGAGCGCAACGTCTTTGTGCGCCGCCGCCTGGGCGCCGCTGCGCCGCTCGTGCCCAACAAGCACCTCGACCAGCACACCCCCGTGGAGGACACTGCTCCTGTTGAGCCGCACTTGCACAAATTAGATACCCCCCTGCGCGACCAGCATGCGTTGTAATGTTTCTTTTCTTGCTGGATGTAATGTTCTTTTAATTAGACTTGGCAGAAGCTATTGTTGCGGTTTCTTTTTTTTTTGCTCCTTCTCTTCAATCGTTGTGGCGAGATTTGTGTTTCCATCTTTGGCAAATCATACCATGGGCGAGCGGGCGCATTGGACACTTAGACTTGGTTAGGAGAAGAAATCTTGAATTGTCTGCCCGTTGATTACCGGTTGGATGTTCCAGATAAATTCCCCATTGCGTTTGCTCAATTAAGGAAGTTGGAAGTAAGCATGCGACCATTGTCCTTTTCTCTTCTTCTTGAGTCTTGTTGGAATTCAAGTCGTGTCAGTCCCGCTTTCTCGCCGTCTCAACTTGCGCGTACAAAACTGAGAACAAAAGCATATGTTCTGCTTTGGGTCTGCTGTGGTATGTTGATCCGGAGACCAGTATGCTAATTAGCCCTCAGCGTCGGTCAAACGGAACCACAGACAGCTGTCGCAAGTATCAGTTGAAGACATTGGGGGAGGAAGGAAACCTGGGTGTAGTCGCGGCGAGCTTAGAAGATGTTGAAAGTGTCTTTCTAGACATGGGTGGCGACAGCAATATTGTCCTGGCGTTGACGACGCTGCAGATACGGCTTACGCGTGGCTCTTTGCAGTTTTGAGTCAGACAAGGAAGTCTCAAAGCAGAGCTGCCCCAGAATACCGACAACCAGGTTGGCGGTTACCTCTGTTTCAGCCAAGCCATTCCGGAATCCACATGCAGTGCTGATCGACCAGCGATCCCCAATGCACACCCATCTCCACGAGGTTTAGAGTGCTGCTACCGCCAACAACACGACACACATGCTCGGTACCTTTGGTATGCGACCCTCACCCAACGGGTGCAGCAAGTAGGATTTCTCTTGGCAGGCTAGCAAACAGACAGTCGGGCGGCCACAATGGAAACCATCGCCATCAGCTTGGCGCGTGGGCAACAACGCAGCAGGCCAAAAGCGCGACCGCCTCCCTCCACCCGCAGCCGCGGCATGATTGAAAATCGCGAGCTGGCTATTGGGTGCTTGCAAGATCTGCCGCGCCTGCCCCCCCTGGAGACCGAAAGTCCGTCCATAGTAGGCGCGCAGACAGGCGAACCAAAAGGGTAGTCTGGACGGGGGAGGCAACGCCCGTCGGTTTTAGCCTGGATCCGCAAAGCCGGCCCAGAAAGACACAATAATTGAGGACAAAAGCGAACAAGCTTCTCGTGCGACACACGCTATATATGACGCACGATATTAATTCCCGCTTTCGCTCGCTCTGCTGAGTTGCTGCTAACCCCGCCCCTCGGAGAGGCACCAGCACGGCATGGGAATCTGCCCTTGCATGAAAATCCGATGCGAGAAATGTCGAGCCGCACCAGTCCCCGTCTCCCGATTGGCGGCGCCTCCAATTAGGCACCTAGCCGAGCTCGACGTGTGATCTGGACCTCCAGGACACAGGGAAACGTTGCAAATATGGCTGTCGTGATAGGCTTGTTTATACGGGGGCGCGGATGGGGGTTCTAGAAATACCTATCTCGATCTGCTAAGCTCTAGTAGCGGAGACACAGAGACCTGTCCTTGGTAAACAATTGCTGCTGGCGGCCAAATCCCGACGACAGACGCGGATGGGCCAGCGTTGCATTCTGCACCCTCGGCTGTCGTGCCAAGGGGGAGGCCAGCCCACGAGGGCGGTCGCCCGCCAGGCACGCCGGTACTTTCAGCCGCTCGGGTGCCACGAAGCGTGCGAGCGAGCAAAGGCCCCGCCGCGTCTCTACCGAAATAGAAGCACGTTCATGTCCAGCATATTGAGAATACTAAACCCATCACGGCGGCTGCGGAGGGGTGCGGCCAATAATTACCGCCGGGACCTATCCCTCCCTATCTAACGCACCATGCCCGGATAAAGCTCTGCCATATTCCCTCTATCGTGGCGGCTCGTTTATATATCGGCGCTGTCTCTCTCCCTTCCCCCTTCCCAGCCTTCGGGAATCCGACTGCTTGCTCGTCTGTGTTTTATCTCTCCAACCACAACCCGTCCGCCTCCCGCCCCCGTCCCCCGTGCTTGGCATCTCCCGACTAATACCACACACACATACACACACACACATACACACACACACATACACACACACACATACACACACACACACACACACACACCCTCTCCCTCCCTCCCTCTCAAAATGGGTCTTCTCCAGCTCGCAGCGGCCGCGCTGGCCCTCGGCGGCAGCGCCGTGGTGGCAACACCGGTGCCCGAGGCCGAGGCGGTGTCGGCGGCGACCAAGTACTGCGAGGCGTCGACCAGCATCTGCTACTCCGAGTTTGCGAACCCGGCGGGCGTGCTGTACCGCATCGCCATCCCCGACACGGCGACAGTCGGCAATTTCGATCTGCTCCTGCAGATCGTCGCGCCCAAGGCCGTCGGCTGGGCCGGCGTCGCCTGGGGCGGCGTCATGACCAACAACCCGCTGACCGTCGCCTGGGCCAACCCCGGCGCCACCAGCGTCGTGTCGAGCCGCCGCGCCTCGTGAGCCCCTCACCCCTCTATAACATCTCGGTTGGGAAGGCATCTAACGGGAACAGATCGCGCACGTACCCCACGCCGTTCGCCGACGTCAGCTACACGGTGCTGCCGGGGTCGACTTCCAACAGCACGCACTGGACTGTGACGGCGCTGGCCAAGGGCCTCAGCTCGTGGGGCACGACCAAGCTCGACCCAGCGAGCACAGCCACCCAGTTCGCCTGGGTTACCAGCGCGACCGCCCCCGTCGAGCCCGCCAATAACGCCTCGCGCTTCAGCATCCACACCGCCCACGCCAAGTGGTCGCACGACCTGAGCAGCTCCAAGCTGGCCAACTTTACGGCGCTCGTCCAGAAGGCCGCAGCCGCGAAGCCTGCTACGCTCTGATTTATTCTCTGTCGTTTGTGGGCTCAAGAGTTGGAGATGTGGTCGAGCTGTTAATAGTTGGAGTGGGAAAATGAGAAAGAAAAAGTACCCTAGAAACGGACATGGCAAAGAATCGTGTACTTGCGTGGCTATCTTTAGTGTGTGTGTGTGTGTGTGTGTGTGTGTGTGTGTGTGTTGCACTCGTGGTCCAATTCTGGGACTTATCTGCCTGTTGGTCAAATCTACTGTTACCAGAAATTGTGATTGTCTACCTAATTCACTAAAGAGACACGCAATCGCAATTAACCACTAATTAATTATCAAGCCCTGTAGGGAACTCCATACGGACCCTGAACGTGATTGCATGGCGGCCGTGTTTTTTTGGCAAACCAATTAGATCCCAAGTCTAGAAATGATTTGAAATCAAATTCACATCGTTGGATAACCAGCTCACAGTCTATCGCTAACCCCTCATCAAGGGCTCGAATGGTAATACGTGCATATTAAATCTCCAGCGAAGAAAGGAAATACTTCTCCATGGCGCTGGCAACCAGCCGTTCCACCGCGTTGGATGTGAGCGCCAATCTACGACAAGGCTAGCTAATTCCTCACGTTGTCTGTCGTCGAAACAAGATGCTCACCGTTGCGTATTCGCTTCTGTTCCCGACCAGCCTTTGAGGGTTTCTATTCCAAATAACGGCTTGATCACGTTTAGCCTACCGTCAACTTGTTCTGGAGTGGGTCCCGCTTTGGGCTTTCAAACACGCTGGTGAATCTTGAATCCTGGCAATGTGAAGTCGAAGCAGCTATGCACCAGCGTTCCCTTGGTTACGGGGCTTGGAGCATAATTATTATTCCCGTTAATCCCACGCGAGCACTTTCCGGTGGAATTTATCTGTTGGTATCTGTTACGCACAACGCTGTCCCATAGAGGTGGTGAAAGTGCTTAATTAGAAAGAAAGGAGTATGGAATGCCTATTTGGTGCAGGTACTGAATTCCCGTTTCTAGCATGTAAGCAAGCCCTCGTTGTAGATCGGCGCCAGTAAACATGCCAGTACAGTCCTATTTCCAGTATCTCCCAAGTTTTGTAAGCGAGTCGTTCACAAATACTTGCTGAGTTGCTGCTGGTGCTGAATGCAGCTTTGTTTCACTCGGCAACGTCCTGGCTATATTTGACGACGCCATTTTCGCAGGGGATGGCAGCACGTATTTGGAATTGCACGGCCTTGAATTGTCAGCAGGGCCTACGGATGGCTCGTCTCCGTGGCTGCTAAAAGCCGGCTCGGGCGGCGCAACCTGCGCGGACACCGAAGACGCTCTGCATTGTGCGTACTCGGCAGCGGCTGATGGCTCTACCGACGGTTCCGCAATAAACGAGATGCTCATATAGATCAATTCTTGTTTGCGCGCGGCGACGTGATTGGCCGCGCACGGGCAAAGGCGCCTAGATAGGGGGGCCCCTATTAGGCAAAAAACACAAAGGGTCCGCACCCCGGATCACTATGCCAGATGCCGTTCCCCAACTTTGAGTGTTAGCCTCTCCTTTTTTGTCTCCGGCTGCCTAATATACCGCGGTTCTCCACAGCGAAATTCGGAGAGTGCGTCCATCTGCTGGAGATACTTAAGGGCAGCACACGCAGTCCCAAGCAAAGGCCAAGCAGTGTGTGTGCCGTGGTTCCTGGTTTACGACGACGACGACGACGACAACGACGGCGGCGACTCTCCTACCCAAAACAACCAACAAACAATCCACCGCCACCATGCACTTCACTCTGGCCTCGGTCGTGGGGCTCGCGGGGCTGGCGGCGCAGGCGGCGGCGCACGGGCTGGTGGAGAAGCCCGCGACGCGAGAACCGGGGACGGCGACGGCGGCGGCGTGCGGCAAGACCATGGCCAAGTTCTACCAGAGCGACAACACGTCGTACCCGGAGGCGCTGTTGCGGTCGAACCCCAAGGGGCTGACGGACGGGTACGACGCCAAGAAGTGCAACCTATGGCTGTGCAAGGGCTTCCAGTTCGCCGACAACACGGCCCAGGTGCAAAAGTACAAGGCCGGCGACGTGGTCGATCTTGAGGTCTTCATCCGCATCCCCCACAAGGGCTACGCCAATGTGAGTGTGGTCGACACGACGACCAACACGGTCATCGGCCCGCCGCTAATCGCCTGGGCCGACAACTACGCCGCCACCAACCGCCCGCCCGCCGACCAGACAAAGTTCAGCATCAAGGTGCCCGACCTCGGCGCCAAGTGCACCACGCCAGGCGTCTGCGTGGGTTTTCTCTGCCCCCTCCTGCCTGAGGGGTAAATACTAACACGGAACAGGTCATCCAATGGTACTGGCTCGGCCAGGGCCAGACGTACGAGTCGTGCATCGACTTCACCACGCCCGCGCCGGCGCCCGTCGAGCACGAGCACGAGCACTCGCGCCGAGCCATCCGCGGCCAGACGCGGCAGTGAGCAGTGGTGTGTGACGGCTACATGTAGAGGAGATATAGGGTCTGATAGAGCTGAACTAAGCAGGGGTCTGTGTTGTGTTTGTGTACATACATCATAGGTACCTACCTACCTAGGTTCGAGCCATGTTAATTGCCCCATTGGTGCATGTTGAGCCAATCTTTACTCGTGTCTTCTTTGTTTCTCTCTTCCTTTCACACCAACGCCATCACGCGGATATAATGCAGGGCGGATACAATGCAGTGAAAATTTTTCACGTTTCTCTGGAATCTCCCGATATATTGCTGCGGAGGCTTTGTGACACGAATGTCGGCGTTGTTTGCCTGTCTTTGATCTGCTTTGGTGAGATTCAGCTCTTGGGCCTTCCCGTCGAGCCCTTTGTGGTCGTCCATGCTGAAACGAGGCCAAGGCAAACACACAAAGACGAAGCGACAAAAAGAGTAAACTTTAGTAGGAAACACACGACTATCTGAGACTCGGAACCCGATATGGGCAGAGCGGTCGTTACAAAGGCTTCACATGATTAGTGGTATAGCGACTATTAGACTGCTAGGCACGAGGAGCAGTGACCTCGCCGATTAACGAATTCCGTGGCCTGTGCCTGTAACTGCAAATACATTTTATAGTGCGACTATTACATGGATCCATCTCACCTAAGAAGGAATTGCTGCAATTTTCTGTGCTCAATTCGAAAAGTGTAATTATGTTTCATACGCCGGCCCAGCGTGTTATCAATTTTGCCCAGTAACGTTAACGTTAATTACTTTCTAAATAAGTGCAAATAAATATTTTTCTCCACCTCAAACAAACCATCTCTCTTTATCCATCCATCCATCTATCCATCTATCCATCTATCCATCTATCCATCTATCCATCTATCCATCTATCCATCTATCCATCCATCCATCCTTCTTCTGCCTCGGAACGTTCTTTCGTCCGCAAGCCTGCCTTACATGACAACGTCGGTGGCGTAGCCCAATAATCCATTCATGCTAACACCACCTCAGGGTTAGGGGTCCACTGCAAACACCACCACCCCTCCACCACAAATAAAGCCTGCAGCTGCAGCGCCAAGCGGCACAGCCTCCAACCCAAAAGAGCCCGCCAGCCACTCGTTGGCACAGCGGCCCCCTTGTCCTGAGGATCGGCGCGTGTTCCGAGGTTTCGCCCTAGCCAGCCACGGCGCAACACACGTCATAGGTCGGCATCGCAATAGCTTGGGCACTAAAAGGGGAAATGAAAGCGCTGCTCCTCCTTCTTCCTGGGCGTTGAAATGAAAAGGGCAATGCGTGCCTCTCTTGTCCGTCTAGACTGGGCCGTTGCGTAATCATCTGATCTTTGCTCTCTTTTCGTTTTTCATCCCACCCTCTCATCCGTCGTGTCATCGCATCTCGTAGCCAGCGCAGATTGAAATCATACTTGGAAAAGACCTGCTATTCCTGCGTTCTTCTTTTTTCCTTTTCTTGTCACTTTTTTGTTTTCACATTGCTCGCACACCACCGAACCCCCCCCCCCGAATCAACATCTCCAGTTGCGACAATGGCACCCAACTGCAGCGTGGTCCCGGAACAAGTCCCTAGCGATGCCGGCATCGCGGGCGCAGGCGTGAGTTTTCCCTTCATCGCCAATTCCACCACGTCGAGGCTGCCGCTGACCTTAATGCCCGCACAGGTGCTGCTGTCGTCGACCATCACGGCCGGGCTGGTGCTCGCCATGTCGGCCAGCCTGGTCCTGCAGGGCTTCGAGAGGGCGGCCAGGCGCCCGCAGAAGCCGTCGGTGATCCGGCGCAAGCTGCTCAGCGGCTACTCGGACCAGCAGATCATAGTAGGGATCGGGGTGCAGAGCGTTGGGCTGGCCAAGGCGTCGACGCTGGTGCCGTACCACTTCTTCCTGGTGTGGATGCTATCGTTACTCGCAACAGCGACGCACAACGCGACGCTGCTGACGTTGGTGCACGACTTCCGCCGCGACTGGGTGCTGCGGTGGCTGCGGCAGGCGCTCATGTTTGTCAACATGGCGCTGTCGAGCGTGCTGGGCGTCTACGTGCTCGAGAGCAAGGTGCGCGGGCTGCCGGCGACGCTGCCCATCGGGTGCGTGTGGGTCGTCGACTCGCGCGCGCCCGCTGTCAGCGGGCTCGACTACGTCGGCACCGTCGTGACCATCGCCGGCAACGCCGTCATCTTCGCCCTCGCCACCTGGTACTTGCACAACCGCCGGCAGCGCTTCTACAAGGCGGTGCAGCTGGTCGGCCTGGTGCTGATGGCCGGGATTGCCATTGGTACGATTTGCTTTGCTCTCTCGGAAATAAACATGACTGGTCGGAGCGATGCTGACAGAAAAAAAAATAGGAGCCACTGCGCGCGCGTACCTGCTGTCGCAGGCGTTTGGTAACCCTGACGTGGCGCTGAGCGATCAGGGCGAGAAGAGCTGGTCATTTGGGCAGCTGCTGTCGATGCTGATGTTGATCCTGCCCGTCATCTCGGCCGTCGAGATCATGCGCGGCGAGATCGCCGTAGCGCCACCCGTGGCCGACACTGCCGGCGGCGACGAGCACGACGACGCGCAAGCGCTGTTTGACGGGCAGCTGCGGGACATGAACGCCAAGACCATGACGAGATTTTGAGGAGCTTTGCAGCGATGGGCCAGGTGGGATTTGTTGGCAACAAGCGGAGGGAGCGAGACGGCCGACCCGGATCGGAAGAGTTGGTAATTGATTGTTTTTATGATACCCAGGCAGACACGAACCAGAATTCATCATCAGACAGGCATCGAAGCCAGTTCGTCACTCGCCACACATTCAGCACGCAAGTCAGACTCGCCCATTAGGCCCCCCAAGCTCAGTCGGGTAGACAGATGCCTGCAGTTCCTTGTCTCGATGACTATTTGATAATGTTTGAAACGTGCAATGCAAACTGAAACTTACCGCCAGAGACTTACTCTAGATACGAAAACGAAGCAGTGAATGGCTCACAGGAACGCCTCAACAGCCTCCCAGAATTCGGCTGGCGCTTCGCACATGGGCAGGTGGCCAGCAAGCGGGACGACCTTGAGCTCGGCGCCGACACCACCAGGCCCCAGCAGGCCCCTAAACCCATCCATCGCCTTGACGAGGGCGCCGTTGGCGTCTCCCTCGCCGACGACAAACAGGCCGGGCACCGCACACGCGGGCATGGCGGGGCGCATGTCGTAGTCCCACAGCGCCTGGCACGAGAAGCGGAAGCCCTGCACGCTGTTGGCAGCGACCATGTCGCGCATCGACGCAGCCACGCCCGCCTTGGCCGCCATTGTGTGGGGGTGGAACCAGCGGCCGACCGTCGCGGCCGCCAGCTCTTTCATTCCGGCGTCCCCGCTCTCGGCCACGGCGATGCGGCCCTTCCATGCGGCCGTGTTGGCGGCGCTGGACGCGGCATTGAAGTCGCAGGCGACGAACTTGGATAGAAGCGCCGGGTGGCGCAGCGCAAAGTTGAGCGCCGTGGCACCACCCATGGACACGCCGACGAGGGCGTGCAGGCGCTGGATGTGCAGGGCGGCCAGCAGCACGGCGAGATCGTCGGCGAGCATGTCGAGGGTGGCAGGGACGGGCGGGTCCGCGGGCACGGCGTGGCGGCCGCGCGTGTCGTAACGCAGGATGCGCAGGTCGGGCCGCCTGGCCTTGAGGATGGTCACCAGCGCATCCCACATGTGTAGCGAGGTTAGGAGCGAGTTGCAAAACGCCACGGTCGGCGCGCCGGGGGCCGGGTTGCCTTCGAGCCGGTAGGGGATGCCCAGGCCGTCGGCGGTGGTGACGTGCGCGCTGATGGAGGCGGCGCCGGGGACGGTGGCGACGGAGCCGTCGGGCGCGGTGAAGGCTGCGGCGCTAGGCAGCTTGGACAGGGAATGCAGGTCGCGCGGGGCGGGGCCGAAGACGTAGAACAGCTCGTAGGCGCGGCGCGTCTTGGTGGCGATGTACTGGGCGAAGACGGCTCCGCGGCGCGGGGTGCTCTTGGCCGCCTCGTGCTCCTGGCCACCGAGCCCGTTGTCCTTGGCAAAGTCGTGCAGCGCCACCAGACGGGCGGGCTGCTGTGCGGTCGCGCTCGAGCCGGCCTCAATGGCGGACGGGGTGCGGAAGATGCGGCTACGCAGCCAGCCGGGCACGCGCGACAGCATGGGGATGTGCTCTTCTTGATACCACTTTACCACGGCGTCGTCGGCGCCGTCGACGCCGGGCTTGAGGGAGATCTCGACGGAAACCAGGATCAGACCCTCGGCGTCGGCGTCGGGCAGGTGCTCGGCGGCGACAAAGGGCGGGGCCTGCGTCTGCGTGTGCTGGGTGTGGACGAGGTCGAGGAAGCGGCGGTCGACGTCGACCTGTCCGATGGTGTCGGCCTCGCGGGGAGAGCGGTGGGCGCGCAGGTCCGTGTAGGTGGGCGTGTCAAGCAGGGCCATAGCGGTGACGTCGTAGGTGGCCAGAAAGTGCGGCTGCTGGCTGTCGGTCGCGCGGTACCGGAGTCCGCTGCCGAACATGTGCGGCATCCGCAACCGCGTCGGGCCGTGCTCGTTGTTGTACCACTCATGAAACTGCTCTGCCGACAGCCCCTCGGACGGCTGCATCGTCACGTAGAGCATGCCCGGTCCCGCCATGGTCAATCAAGCAATTGTCAATCAATTGGCCTTGCCGAAGATATACCCCTAAATCGATTTGCTCCCTGCCGAGTCTTGTCACTTTTGTTTGGGAGGTCAAGTCAGTTCAGGGCAGTGCAGGGAAGAGAGGAGAGGAGAGGGGAGAAGAGATGAAAGGAAGCGGGCACCACACTGGCGCATGAGAGGCATTAAAATGGCAATCAACGGTCGTGTCTCTTGCCTCCCGTCAATTGCAGGTTGGCAGCGGCCAAGCAGATAGAAGGGGTGATGCGGTGGAGCTCGGCTCTTTCTGCGGCTGCCCGCGGGCTTGCGGAGTTGATCCGGCAAAGCGTTTTCCCGCCGCTGGACGTGTGTACTTAAAAGCGAGAAATGTTGAAAAGGCTTATCGCCAACCAATCGGAAATTTTCCTCGTATCGAGAATGACCCACAATACATATAAACCAACCAACTCTAGTTCGGCAAGGTAATCACGTGAATTGTCCCAAGCAACGGTTCAAGATGCAATTAGTTGCATACGTTCGCCGCTTCGGAACATGGAAACAGGATAGCGTCAGTGTGGCCGGGAGATATATACATTATGCGCACACCCACCTTTTCTTGAATCCGCCCGCGTTCTATAGCAACCTTGACCACTGGGAGCTACATGTGGCCAATAGGCTCGTCAAAATACACCGCCTATTGACATACAGCGAGGAATTCAGACAATATTATCAATCTGGCCCGTGATCAAAGTTGACAGTAGCTTGAAGGGTCTTGAATTGTCTTTTCTGAATCCAATCTAATAATACAGGAAAGAAGGCCTTTTATGCTTCCAAGAAAAGGACAAAGGAAACCTGGTTCAACAGTCTGTTTAGTCGTACTACGTAAGGGACTTAGCCGTAGCAATGGAGAAAAAAGAGGGCATTCGGAAGTCCGGGAGCCCGGAAAAAGGGATCAGGGCTGAAAGTCATAAATGAAGGGATATGCAGTGTTTGGAGGGATATGCAGGTATGTGGTTTGAGAATGTGGCTCAAAAGTGGCTCAAAAGTGGGCGACAGTCAAGAATAAAGAGGCCAAGGACAAGTTTGCGGCAGCCACGAAAGGTTACGTCCCGGATCTGCTTGAACCCCTGGAAATTCCTATTCACGAACTCCAAAAGCATATGATTCGTGTGGGGCTTCGGACCTCGGATAATCATGGCTAGGAAATTCGTCGACAATGCCGCCCATTTGCCAGAATTGGATATAGACGACAAGACTCAGGAGAACGGGATAATCAGGATGTTGCAATATGTACACATTATTCACACTCATTATCCCGAGCTTAAGGATCCCGCTTTGGAAGCCGAAGACCTCCAATTCACCCAGAAACATCTCGATGGCTTGAAAGGCGGCGCCTAGGAAAAGCACGCCGCACACCTCAAAAAGACTTTGAGCCCCCAGAGTATGAAGGAGGCTATAAGTGCTGCCGGAGCGAGTACCTAAAAGGCTTTGAGAACATGGAGGAAGCTTTGGAAGCTGCCGGATCAGCTATCGGCGGCAGCCCCAGGAAGACGTATGAGGGTACCAAGGGCTTGGGCCACAAGGGAGAAATTCGAGGACCGCGCGGATAGGGACCAGTTCCTCCACGCCACGGACGCAACCAAGTACAGGCTCCTCATGGGCGCTCCTGTTGCCATCGCAATGGCTACTGTGATGCTCGGGCAACATATCCGACACGATGTATCATCAGGGATGAAGGCAATGATGGGAATAGGAAGAGCAGTAGCAGCAGTACCGCCCCCCACAGGCACGGACTCCAGGCCCCCGAAAACTCCCACGTTGAGCGTGGCGCCAACACGGAATAAAAGCCTCTTAAATGGTCGGCGGCACGCACCGGCGGCCGCACGCAGTGGTCAGAGGCGGCGGCGAGAGATTGTTGCTGGACGGCATTTCCTCATTGGTAATAGCAGCGGAGTAAAAAAAGGCCGGCCCTTGTGTGAAGAGAATGAATGGCCCAGTCTGAAAACTGGTGCCAGAGCGTGCAGTGCATGCCCTCTCGTGGAGCATTCTTCAGTCTGGAAACTGAAAGGCAGGCCCGCTAGTTCAGGGATCACAATTAATGATAAAAGGCTTGGTTTCTAAACGAAGGCTCGAAGAAAGAAAAGAAAACCCAGGAGCGATGCCGACCCCTGATCACTGTTAATCCAACCCAGAACCCAGGTCTACCGCCAATACTGCAAAAACATGCACAAAGGCGCCCGTATAATTTTGAGAATGGCTACTTGTTTGACTAGTATGTGCCCGAGACAACTGTCTAATTAACAGTGAGAACCCCTCCACTCCCGAAATGCCTCGTCCCATTTTCCGGCCGGAAGTTGATGTCCAACGCCGATATACACATGCTATTTTCCCCGTCCGTCCGTCCGTCCGTCCGTTCCTTACCGGGTACTTACTTACTTGACACCACCCACTACCCACCCACCCCTAAAAATGCCAGACGCACCAGTGTTGAAGATGCAGCAGCAGCAGCAGGAGAAAAAAGAGCATGGCTTCCATCTACCCATCCCGGGCACCATCTAAGGCTCGCCCCAGATCTCGTCGGCAATCTGGCGCACGAGCGCCAGCTTCTTCTTCTCGTCGTCCTCGGTCAGCGGGTACCCGGTCTCGTGGGTGCTGAAGCCGCACTGGGGGCTGATGGCGACGCGCTTGAGGGCCTCGTCGCGGGTCTGGCCGCTGCCGGCGGCGACGAAGTCGGCGGCGCTGTACACGCGGCGCTTGATCTCGTCCTTGTCCTCTAGGTCGCGCAGCTTGGTGCTGATGGCGCCGATGACGACGTGCTTGTCGCGCGGCAGGAACTTGAGGGGCTCGAAGCCGCCGGCCCGCGCCGTGTCGTACTCGAGGTAGAAGGTGTCGACCTTGAGGTCCGTGAACAGCTTCTGCGCAATGATGTCGTACGCGCCCTCGGCAAAGTGCCGCCCGCCGATGAAGTTGCCCCGGCACAGGTGCACCCCCGTGTGGAAGTCGGCTGGCAGCTTAGAGATGCTGTCGTTGTACAGCTTGATGTACGCGTCCAGCAGGTCGTCGACGCTACCGATGTTGTCGGTGTCCTCGGCCCACCCCTGGCGGAACTTGTCGGAGCAAAAGTCTGAAAAAAAAACTAACATTAACAATTTTCCTTTTTTTTAAAAAAAAAAAAAAAAAAAAAACTGAATGGGCCGTCGACTTACACGCCAGACCGGGGTCGTCAAACTGCACGTTGCGCAGGCCGGCCTCGTACAACATGGCCAGCTCGGCCTGGTAGACCTTGGCGACGTCGGCAAAGTACGCGGCGTCGTCGGCGTAGGCGTCCTTGGTGTAGGCGCGGCCCTGCTTGTAGCGCATGTGGAACCAGGCCGGGGTGATCATGGTGAGCTTGATGTTGGGCCAGTCGGTCTTGGGCACGGCGGCCTGGACGAGGCGCAGCTCATGCAAATTGGACACGGAGCGGGCGCGGTCGTGGGCCAGCTTGGCGCCGGCGATGACCGAGTCGCCCGGCATGACCTTGCGGTCCTTCTCGATCAGGCTGACCACGTCCGGGTGGTACAGCCGGAACATGGCCGCGTCGGCGTCCTGCAGCCGCACCGTGCCGACGAACTCGTCCCACATCAGCCCCCAGAACCGCGTGCGGTTGTACTCGCCGCTCGTCACCGCCTTGAGCCCCAGGTCCAGCTGCAGCTTGACAACGGCCGCGACCGCCTCCTTCTCGACCGCCGGCAGCCCCGCCTCTTCGGCGCTGATGCCCGTAGCCCGGATCGCCTCGCGCACCTCGAGCAGCTTCTCGGGCCGCAGGAGGGAACCCATGTGCTCGGCGCGGAAGGGCGGCATTTTGTCGGTGGGGAGGGGTTGTTTTGTTTACTGGTCGCTGTGGTGACGGGGTGACGCTATTCCGATGTGCTGACGGGCACTTTGTTTTCTTTTTTTCCTTTTTTTCCTTTTTTTTCTTCAATGCACGAGTTCCGATCAAATGGAAAGAAGAGACGAGACCAAAACGACACGCGCACGAGGGGAAAAGAGGGCCTCCTTCCCTTTAAAAGACCGACGACGCGACGACGGCCCTGACGAGCGGGGTTGCGTCGCTGCCCCTCCACACCCTCCATACTACCTATGGAAGGCAGCGCAGAGTCGCATCGTTACCCATCAGCTGGGTCGCTGGGCCGCTTCGGCAGTTCCATTTCCGCCAGACGCTCCCTCGACGGGGCCCGCAACCCCATTGCCAGCCGTCTTGGCGCTCCGCAACCCCCCCTCCCTGGGCACCCCGAGGAATGATCGACCAGCACGCCAAAAGGAGAGCAGTCCAATACGGCCAGCCGTGCGGGGTAGCACAGGCACTCTGGACCGTGCAGCTCGCAGCATGCAAATCTCTGTAGGGTGGAGCCCGGCGAGGGGTTTCTCCTCCGCTACTCAGTCGTTCGTTCCACATCTCACCTCGCCTGACGATGGTCCGAGAAGCGCTGGGTTGGTGGGCCCAGACGCGGGAGGGTCAATGGGATCAGTTCCTGACCCAATCGCTCCCCTTCGTACTTCTTGGCCCATGAGAGTTCAGTTGAATACAACGACCCAGGTAGGTTTTAGCCGGTCAAGACACCGGCCAGTATTTGTATCCCTCTCAATTAATTAGTGGCTATTTTAAGAGTCGAACAACGGTCTAAAGACGGACGGCCTTCGTCGTCCAACTTCCCCGTCAGTCACTTATCCGCTATCTAGTCTCGTCTACGGTCTGAACGGTGCATGGAACGCCCATCACAGATGTTGGAAAAGTTAAATGATAAGTCAAGTAACCAAAGAAAACAGAAAGTTTGAAGTTTCGATTCCAATACGAAGTCAGAAAAACCCCATTCTAAATTGGAGCAAGCTCAGCGCCTGCGCCTTCTCGAGTCATCTAACTCACAAGCGACCTACAGGCGCAACCCTGAACTGAACTCTCAAAACAGAGCGGACGTGTGAGAAATACATACCGCAGAGAGGGGCCGTGTTCCTATTCGATAATTATTTCGGTGCCCCTGTATAAATGGCGAAGAGAGTCGAGCACGTCTGAATTGCCGTTACGTCATCGGCGTGGTATATCGCCTTGTAGCAGTGCCAAATTGCGTGAGCTGTGGCGCTGTTAGGCAACCTAGAGCCAGTCATATTGAACATTTACAGCATCCCCCGGTAGAGGTTAGTCTAGGCGGTGGTGAACCGCGTAGCGGAATTAGCTTGTTCTCGGCGCTCTCCAGTATTTATTATCTTGACCTCGGCGCGCATGTTCTCCACCTCAGCAGCGTAGCTGTTCATGTAGAGCGCCGCCAAGGTGTGCTAGATGTTCTGGGCAGTACGAACATGTCGATGGCGGCGCCCAGCGCGATCAACGTTATGTGGTGGTCAGCTAGAAGTTTATTCGAGTTGCTCTGCTGATATGACATAGTTGGGGTGTTTTTCGGGCGCCGCAGTAGAGAGGTGTGTGCCACCCGGACATCCATCAGTCTTTGATGTCCTGAGAAAAATAATACCGAGAAATTCGAGATGGAGAGACCCTTCCAGTTGGAATTTGATGGGGTAAAGATGCGAAAGAAAAGAATCCGTGCAAAAATTCTGTTGCTTTCAGGTGAGTAAAGAGAGTAGTTTAATACCGAGCATAATCGTGAGAGTTCAAGTCAAATAAAGAGACGAACGATGTCCGATAAAGGTAGGTTGAGATATTACTCATGCAATTCATCTAACTAAACTTTGCCTGTAGAGCTGTTTCGCTACCTAATTAGTCTTCTAGGGTGCTGTAGTGCTGCCCTCGACTGTTCCGCTAAAGAGATTCTGGCGGTGGGTTTCGAACCCGGTGCAGCATTTGACTTGTATTTGCGGCAGTGGCTTTGACAATTAGACACCTCCGCCGCTTCGTCTTTGCCTAGTAGGTTAGGGTAAATTTTTTTGCCGAGCAGAAGCTCGAATGCTTTGTCCACTGCGGTGGCATTGGAATGTGATTTGTAGAGTTCTCGTAACGCGTCCTTGACTTTCAAGACCGTTTCCTTAGGTGGTGGGATGGGTTTGTTCTCGGGGCCGTGATTGGGGATTAAAGGTTGGCGTCTTGGTGGGTTGAGAACTTGAGTTGCGGGATGAGATAACGAGATTGTAATGAGACTTGGAAACAAGGAAAAGAGTGATGTAGAGAAAAGAAGGCAGATATCTCCAGCCTTTTGTGAGTCTAGAGGCCTTTATTTAAATAAATGAGCTCCGTACCTAGCGTGGGGTGTTGAGTAAGGGGGGGGGGTGCGGGTAGATCACCAATAGGGAAAGGGCGAGTATAGCGACTGACCGTTGATGACTAGCCCCTGTTGATCATTGACGCCTGTAGGGCCATCTCGTGTGGAAAAAAAGGTCGGGATGTTACACCGTATCTTGGCAGGCTGCTGGCGCGTTTACATGGCGAGAATTGGCCTGCGTGTTGATCCTTGCGGTCGTTGCCGTGGCCGGCTTGAGTCAGCACCACCTGCCCGGTCGATTTAGTAACCTATTTTGGCTTCGTGCCACAGTCAATTTTCAAGGTAACCGGGGTTATCTGTATACTCAAACAATTTTCTCTCGTCATTCGATCTAGGGCAGCAGCCCCTGTCGTAAAAGGTCAAGCCAAGAAACCTTCAGGGATTGGATTGCAAGCGTGCGTGTTGTCAGGCGTTCGGTTGGTATTTGGAGCGCATGGGATTGTGACTTGTTGCCGTCCCGGCTGGCGCACAGTTATCACCAATTAGCTGCTCCACGGCCCTAAAGGCACGGTTTGCTTCCATGAAGAAAATAAAACTCTTGGAAGGTGCGTACCGCTTCAACTCAGTACGTCGTTACCCACCTTTTCTCTTCATATCCTGCTGCTGATTGGTTCAACTGATAAGATTGGAGATGTCAGGCAACCCTAACCCTATGTCAGCGCATCTCACCACATGCTGCAAGGTGAGTTGCAAATATTCTCATATATCCGTCTATCAGGTCGCTCATATGTATCCACGATGCTTAGATCTAGCCCCTGCCCCCATATCTACATAAAAATATCAGATCCAGCCTCAGCCAGGCTTACTATGCACAAAAAATACATGCTACATACACAGCAGACATGCACCAATATCCACCACATCAGCCACCCCCAGATTTGAGCTCGATGTGAGATTCTTCTTCCATTAATTGTAGTCAGGAGGGTACTTCCGCTCGAGTGCCTGAGGATACGTCCAAAAGACAAGCAGGGCAAAAACTGGGTAGCTCGCTTTCCGCCACCGCGGCACATTTGGCCGGTGAATTCTTGTCATGTCGTACTCGCAAAAGAGAACGACATTGCCAAGGATGTTCAAAAGGCGGAAGAACCTTGTCAAGTTGGTCAGCGTCTACAAAAATTATATAGGAGCGCTTTATCACTCACATGTTAAGCCCGAACATGACCAGGGCTGCGATAGTGCTCCTGGGGACGGGATTTTCAGGAAAGTTGATGATGTCGGTGGAAATGTAGTAGACCGGAGGGATCCATAATGCGAGAATTGTCAGCTCCAAGAAGAGCGTCCAGTGGTACGTTTTCCGCCTGTTGCCCCTGAACACCAGAAACCCGAGGCAGACCCAGAGTAACAGGAAGGACGTCTTGGTTCGCACAATTAGAATCTAGACAGCACTTGAGAGGAAATACAACTGCCTGGCACACTCACCAGAGTCGGGGCAAACACCAAGACGGCGTCCCTGAAGTACCTAAACGCCAGAGCGGCACCGACAATGCCCAGGCTGAGCTGGAGCCAGCCGAGGACAAAGAAGAAGAACAAGGCATCGTTGTACGACTTGTAGCACGTGCGGTGGAACTGCTCGTTGCCGTAGGCAGCGCATTCGGTGATGGGAGTACCACACCAACGGCAGACCCAGACATTGTCGTAGTTGGCGAGGTCGATCTTCCTCCCGACGCGAATCGGGGGGTCACCGAGCTGCAGGGCGCAGTCGATGCAGCGGCTAGCCAGCGGGTAGCCGGGGTCTGACGAGCTGGATAGGAGCAGGCGCGAGCGGAACGGGTCATGTAGCAGACACGTCTTGCAATGGCCTAGCAGCTGCATCTGCAGTTGCATGGGGCCCATCAGCGTGCGGATCTGGCTCGGGCTGGCCAGCGCCCGGAGCTGCTTGCACGTGCGCCGAAGCCGCTCGATGTCGGCAAAGTTGAGCCGCCTCAAAATCATGAGCTGGAGTTCCGGGGGCAGCGTGAGCAGATGGAGCTGCTTCTTGGACGCTTGGGGCATGCTCAAGGACTTGTCGCCCGCCTCCCCCTTCTCGACGTCAGGCGCCTTGCCCTTGCCTTTGCGTGACCTGGGGTCATGATGGCTGGCGAAGGACGAGATGGAATTCCTGACCGTGTCGGGGAAGCCACCCCCAATGAGGCCATGGAGGAAGTTGCCAGTCGGAGGAGGTGAAGCATGAGCCTGTGGTGGAAGTTGAGGTAGAGGCGGCGGCGGCGGCGGCGGCGGTGGTGGTGGTGGTGAAGGGCCAGATTGATGGGGCGACGTTGGGGCTGTCGATGTCGCGCTGGTGATCCCTGTAGGCGGCTCCGCTTCAGCAGGGTCCATGCTCTCGTCCATTGCGGGGGTGGGTTCGCAAAGACAAGCCACGAGCCGGTCGGTCAACGGTGCACCGAACCATGCACAACCGCCGGTGAGTGTGTCACCAGAAAATAAGTCGCGTGTATTGAAAAGACCGTGGAAGGACCGACTTCTGGATGAGCAACGGTGGAACGATGTTAATTGCTAGCTGGTGGTCGGGTGTGCCGCACTCGCCCGTCTGCGTGGCGTCGTTGGCGCAGGTGAAACGGCCCTGGCAACAGTCCTAATCAGTTGCAGTTAGGGGCAAACTGGCGGGCGAACAGGCTGAGGCTGAGGTTAAGGGGGCTGCCGCCTGTGTCACGCGCTGGGCGTGCTGGGCGCGATGCCGTCGGGATTCGCTCGGCTGGCAGCCTTGAGAGTTAGCGACGGCGCTCTCAATCCGGAGATGAAACCAGGCTGGTAGTTGTAGTCCGCGTTGTGTCGCGGAAGACGAAGGGCGCCGCGGCGGTCATAACCTCCCAACTCTCGTCGGGCTACATGCATCGGTGGGACGCGGGGCGCTGGCACTCGCGCTGGCACTGGCAGAGGCAAAAGGTAGAGACCCGAGGCAGGCGCGGGGCGCGCTTCATGCGACGGACAGGATGGGGGCGGCCGCCATGTCAAGTCAGCTGGGTTCCATTCTGTTTGGCCATCCAGCCCACAAGGTTCAGGCACAACCGGCTGGGGCAGCGCGGAAATGCTCCGAGCCTAAATCTGTTAGGACATGACCTCGATTGGCGGGGCGTTTTGGCCACTCTCGCTAGCTACTGCGGGGCACTGACAGGTTTCTCTGTAACACGCGAGGCAAGGCTCAGGCCGCGGGGAAAGCCTTCCGGTTCTTTCCATTCAACCAAAGCACCACACCAGTGACACCACACCACATACGGTCAGGTTAGGTAAACAGCTTCCGACTTCAATATCTCCCCATCAAAATCGAGCTTCCGTGACATTGGGCTTCAACCTTTTCAGCTGCTTCTGCGGTCCCAAGCAAGGCTTCCACGTTCGCCTCAGGCTCGCGGCTCAACACTGCTTCAGACCACCGCCTCTGCGTTTTTCTTCAGCGTCTCTTTTGGCCTTCGTGCCTGCCTTCCCACCAATGGATACCTTAGGAACGGCCGTTTGATATTGCAAAGGCGTCGCACCGCCCTGTGTGCCTCGCCGTGCAAGCCAGTATTGCTTCTTGGTCGGTTTTCCAGCAGTGCATACCAATGTGCAGCCTTGTACAGACAGTAGTACTCTTTGACCTGCATTGAGTAGAGGCTCACTGCCGTGTTTGCTCTGCCGATCTTCTGTCAGGTGTGCCACTGCCAGCCTTTTTTGGCCCTTTTCCACCAGCAGCACGCAGATCATTCATTGGACAAACTCACCTCAGCCCGATATGCACCTTTTCTACCTAGGTAGTATCTGGGCAGCGCGATCTTTACTGACGTTTGAGGGGCTTCCATGAACCATCATGAACCATTTCACTGCTGGGTAAACAGGACGGGCAAAAACAAGCATCGTTCATTATCGAGCCTCTAATGGTTACACAAACGACCTACCCAAGGTAGTTTACCGTACTGTCACTGCCATCACCGCTGCTGCCCATGCTGTGCTGCGTCTGCGACGTATAGCCGTCGTACTCTGTGTCTTCCGTCACAGCGTGATAGCCATGCGGGAAATAGCCCCGGTTCATGGCCTCTGGCAGGCTCGGATTTGGCATCTGCACCGGCAGACGTAGCGGGAGCTCACTAGGCGGAGACATCAGCGGCACGTTCTGATCGGGATAGCTGCTCACGGGCATGCCCGGGTAGTGGACGTGCGGGTGTGCGTGGCGGTGCCCCCCGTAGCCGTCGGAAGCCTGCTGTTGTTGCTGGTGGTGCTGCTGGTGGTAGAATATGTCGTCGGCATAGGCGTTGTTGTGGTTGTTGCCGCCTCGTGGGGTCATGTCGTTGTGGTATTGAGCCCCGAAGCCGCTGACCCCGGAATCCGTCAATGCCATCCGGTGATGGTGCAGCCCACTTCCTTCCTGGACAAGCCCAGGCCCAGGGGCCGGCGCCGGCATCACGTTGACAGGGCCCATGTGGGGCCCACGCCGCCGGTAGCGGCAGCAACCATAGCGTCGCCTCCCATCGATACCGGATACTCCACGCCGCTTGCTGGTGCTTGCATGAGCGACTGGCCAATCTTGACCCAGGACCCGTTACTGTTGGTGTCTAAGGACGACGAGAGGCTGCTGCCGTTGCTCGGGCTGCCGCCGCCCTGCTTCTTGGGGATGTTGCGCGGGAGCGTGAGGTACCGCTGGTCTTCCGGGCTTGCTGTTGCTGCTTGCTTGCTGGTTGCCGGACCCCGCTTGCGTCTCGGCTGGCCAGAGAGATTATTGGTCTTGGCTCGGCACTTGTCAAAGACGTGCTCGATATGTTCATTGCACACGGCGATGCGCCGCTCAACAGAGTCCCTCACGTCCCCGTCGTCTTCCAAGCATCTCATTTCCTCTTGCTGCATCCGACGCCTCAATTCTTCTTTGTTGAGGTCGTCCTGAAACTCGAACCACACTTCGTCAAGCTCGATCGGGGGCACAAATTCTAGAGCAACTCGTCAGCATACTGACAGAATCTCGAGATCAGGAAAAGGGGCGCCTGAAACATACCAGGGTCCAACGGGTCAAGGTCGAGCGGGAACAGGGTGCGCAAGAGGCTGTCCCATGTGTCAATCTTCGAGTTTGCCTTGCGGCCGTTGAGCAGGTCCTCGATCCGCGACGTGATGCCGCTCTCGGGGTCCGGACTCGGCGGTACTTCCTGGGGCGTGCAGATCTCATTGTTGGGCACTGCCAGGTGGTCCTCGTAAGCCTCCTTTGTTTTCATGTCCTGCTTACACCGCGGGCACGCGAAGACAGAGGCGCTTCTCGGCTTATGGAAGTTCTTGACGTGGCGTCTGTTCCGGGTTAGCGGTTGGGAACCCACCCTCTGCCGTCCGAATCACGGCTGGGAGAGACGACTTACTTGAGCTGAGAGATGTCGGGAAAGGACTGCACAGCGCAGCTCTGGTGGTCTCGGACATTGAACCTGACGGGGTTCCTCTTGCGGAACGGGCAGCTCAGGTTTTGGTCCTGAGGCTCCGACATCAGCTTGGGCTTCTTGCCGCCGGGACCCCCGCCACCGCCCGGGCCGTTGCCATCGCTAGACCCGTTGTTGTTCGGGTCGTTGTCGCCATTGTCTAGAGGCCTCTTCTGGCCGCCGTTGCCGTTGCCAGTGTCCTGCTTGTTGCTACGGCCTGCACCTGCGCCGGCATCGCCACCAGCCCCGAAATATCGGGTGGTCGTCGAGCCAGTGTCTCCCGGAGAAGCCTCGTGGACGAAATCCCCAGGGTTAGGCAGAGCGCTAGCGGGAACCACGTGCGAGAGCTCGTCCAGACAGTAGCTGACCGACTTGTACGCCTCGGCAGCCGCGCCCGTGTGGTCCAGGTCCTTGAGCTCGACGCCGAAGACGTCGCGCAGGAGCCTGTCGCAGACGTCTTGGACCAGTCGGTCGCGCGGCTCCAGACGCAGCACGGCGTCGTCTTCGACCATGGAGTCGGACGTGTCGTCGTCCGGGATCCAGTTCTGTTCCTCTCTGGGGGACTTGCAGGCTGGAGTGTCCCTCGCGTGTGGATTGTTCGGTCTGGTATCGACAGGTGTTATGCCGCCGTCGTCGTCGTCATTGTCGTCCATTGGCGCCAGGGGCTCATCAGCGATGGATCCGACCCGGCTCAACATGGCCATGTCTGGAGCCTCGACTTTGACGGCGGTGTCCTGTTCTGCCTGCAGCTCAGGGCTGGTCGGGGGGCTGAGCGAACGCCCAGAGTCGTTGTCAGCTATTCCGAGGTTCGTGTTGTGTCCGGGGTGGGCGGCTGCCAATCCGGAATACGGTGCGGCTGACTGGTTGGATCCCCTCCGAGAACCAGGGGCCGAACCCGTGTGAGACAGGCTCAGGCCTGGGTGTCTCCCAAAGCTTCCCCTGTGGGAGACTGGGGTCATGGTTAAGTCCTGGAGCCGGCGGGGCCTGGGTGTCGGTGTGAATATGGGCGTCGGCGTGTTGTTTAGGGGTGGGAGAACCTGGAAGGGTGAGCTCTTGTCTAGGTCCGTCAAGGCGATCGACAACGCCCGGGATGGTCCTGTCCGGTAATAGAAGCTGGAGTGGCGACTAGATGACGGGCTTGCGTAATCGACGATGGTGGGTTCGTCATGGAAAGTGGCTGCGACGGGACTAGACGGTTCCGTGATGCTGGACGCGGTCGACATGGACGAGATGGTGTCGGTACGCCCTTGGAAAGCGCTCCTCCAGCTGCTGTCGGAGTCTTGTCTGTCGACATGCTGGGTCGGCACGGCGTCCTTTTCTCTTCTGGCGACGACACCGCGATGCTGTATGTCGACTGGCGCCGGCTTGTTTGAAGAGGCCATCAACGGGGCTTCCGCATGCTGCCCCGCAGTGTCGGCCGAGGCCGGCATAGTGGGGTCCATGGAGACGATTGAACTGGTGCGAAGGCAGTCTGCCTCGTTCTACAACGTATCGAGTGGTGGTTCTCGTGGTTCTGGTCCCGTCGGTATCCGCAACAGAAGAGACCTAAGGTCGAGAATAAGAGGTTGCCCGTTCTCACCTGTTACAGATGGAAGGACGAGGGCTATTGGGCCCCGTTAAATCGAAACGTACGGCAGGGCGCGACCCAGCCTTGCTTATCATTGAAGGCTCTCGGCTTGGTAATTTTGGTCACCACTGCAAACACGAAACATCAAGGGGAAATGGGTGTATAAGCCCTGCCGCAACGCAGGAAGAGCCAGCTCAGACGAGCCGGTTTATTTGACTTCGGCCCGTTATTATTAATATTAACTATTTCATGGCCATTGGATTCGGAATGACTAGTTCTGGGATGCGTCAACTGGGGCACACCCATCTCTTTACAGCGACTGACCGACAGGCCACCTGCCTGGCCGACTCCTGAAGTAGGTGGGCGGCGGTGCCTTGGCAGCTGGGCAAGGCGGAGTCGGAGCAGGTCGGCGTTCATATTGGCGGGCGCAGGCGGCCTCATGCAAGCCATTGAGGCACGCAGGTGCGCCATTGGCTCGAACCAGGCACAGACTGGCTAGATTCAATCCGAACCCCCCATCTCCAACCAAAGCTAGCCCTGCAACTGCTGTCCCGTCATCATTCATCAGGCTCTCAAACACAACTGTCGCAACAACAGGAACAGGCCCGCCCAAGCTCGGCGGGTTTGTATTGTACGGCAGCCTCGCGTCGCATAACCTGTTCTCGTTCTCCAAAATTGCCACCTCGGTCAAGTATTGAGGTTCGGAGCCGGGCTTGTCGCCTTGCGCGAGGCATTCTTCCTTTCTCCCCTCTTTGGAGTTTGCGCGCGTTGACAATAAGCGTTTGTCGTTACCTGAGCGATTTTGGAGGCTCAACAAACATCCCACAGCCACTATGTACGGAATACGCACATGAGAACGCCTTAAGAAGATCATTCTAGCCACAGCTGATTTACCAGAACTAGTCTTAAGGTCGTCGCATTGCTCATTGTAGTCTTAAGGTCGTCGCACTGCTCATTGCTGACGTCTACTCGTTATTTTTTCTTCAATTTCTTTAGCTTGTTTTTGATGTTATCCCGATTCCCCTTGATCGGTTTACACTTGATCCTCGCACTGTCTCCTCTTTCATCCTTCAACGAATCCCGATATCCCACCAGCCTTGCCTAACCTTCTCAACAGGCTGCCGTCATCCCATCATTTGCTCTCCCAACTCTGCCAAGCATTTATATTATCACGGATAGTTCCGCACTTCTCGTCGTTGTCAACAGTGTCGCTAGCTTGGCACCGCCAGCGAGAGCGTCAAACTAGGCACTTTACTCCCCCTCTCAATGACTCTTCCTACAATTGCTTTGGTGTGCACTGCGCCCCGTTCCCAATCTTTATCGCGCTCTAGAGTCGATGGCTTTAGGCGCTGCTTTTGTACTCCCTTCGGTATTGACTCAAGTTCCTTGCCATTTTCTGCCGCCCACACTCTGTCAGGTGACTTGACACACCGGTATCCTGGTCTTTCTCATTGGCGACGAAAACGCGCGCACTCGTTATTCTCGATATGAGCACGGCCCTCTGTATTTCTCTTTCTCTCTTTTTGCAGTCCACATAACAGACTACTCTTTCCAAGTTCACATCAGTATCCAATTCACGCAATGGCATACGCATGCGGGGCGAGGTTGAGCTTCTGGCCCCGAATATAGATTCGAAAGGCATACAGTCACAGATTGACAGCGGCCCCAGTCTGAACGAGGACCGGGCTGCTGCGTGGGAATGGAGGTGCTGACCATAATGAATCATACCCAAATAAGTCACCGCACTCTTGGTACCTTGGGTAAGAATGATGGGAGTGCGTTTAGGTAGAAAGACAACTGAAGAGTACAGTACAGCACAGCGGAGTCGGTGTGCACTGTTCTATCGCTTGCTAGAATGTTGGAAATGTCATAAAAGGAAGGCAAAACAAAATTACGATCCAACATCCTCACTAGAGAAAGTATTCGGGTCTTACATAATTTTAGAAAAATATAACCATTTCCGTACCTCAAGGTGACTGTTAACAAGCATGGTCTGCTCGATCGCACTGTGGATTCCGTAATTGTTAGGTTCGCAGCGGGCCACGCCACAGTGGGCTTGAAACCATGACAGACCGCGTGGGCGGTGCTTTGGCCGTGACGCCACAGCGAACACTGACACGGTTGTGGGGCTGGAGCGACAACCTCAGCTTTGAAGTCTGGCCTCCATCTTGAATCCCAGAGCAACTTCTTCAGTCCATTTTGGCCACTGCACACACGCTCGGGGACGGTGCAAACTGGCTTGTACTATGGTCGGCCATCTGATTCCCACGTCTTCTCACCTTTTTCGTCCCCCCTGACGAGCTAGAGAGGTGAGCACAAGGCAGGCACGTCCGTCGGGCGCAGGCAGCAGAGCGCCAGACTGCCGCCCGCCTTAGGCCTTGCCGCTGTCGCTGTCGCTGTCGAGGCAATCTCCCCCGCCAATTCTTCAGCTTGCCGCCTCTGCGCCGTCATTAACGAACAGCGGGCAACTGGACTGAGCTTATTCCCTCCTCCGTCCATTTCGAGAGAAGAAGCGATTCAATTACCCTACGATGTGACGGCGCTTTGCACTGTCCGCGCGGGCCTGTCCTTCTGTCCGTCTTCTCGGCTGGCTGCGCGGCGCCTTCCATCTCCTCGAACTGGACAGTTGGCCCGTGCGCACGCTCCTTCCACTGATGGGCCTAACTGTGAGCTCACCGCGGGCGGCCTGGAACGGGACCTTGGGTGTGTCAACAAGAATTGCAGGCGCGGCAAATCAGAACCCAAAGGCTCGCTTAACGGGGGAACGCCAGCTCTGCGGGAACAACAAACAGAAACCTCCATCATCGCCGCCCCTCTGAATTTTCGACCCGTCAACAACGAAAAACATCGCGATCCAAGATTGTCGCAAATTCATCCACAGTCTCGGTCCCATCGCCGCAGCCCGCGTCCGTCGCAATCTGGACTTTTACTGCGATTATCCCACGCGCTCAAATTCTTGTACGCCTTTTTAACCCTCGGAAAGGAAAAAACTAATTCGCCCCAACCACCCCGCGCATCCCTCCTCGGAACGCAGAAATGGCTGGCGGAAAGGGCAAGTCGTCGGGCGGAAAGAGTTCAGGAGGAAAGACGTCTGGAGCCGACGGTCCCAAGAAACAGCAGAGCCACTCTGCCCGCGCTGGTCTGCAGGTATGTTATGTCGCGTCATTGCTGCGATGCGCCGGCTGTTGTTGCTTCCATGTTTTGCTCGTCCATTTTTGCCCTCCTGCCCATCGCATCACGCCCACCCGAAAGCAACTTCCAGCCACGCGCCCGTCCTGCATTCCCGAGCTACACTCGCACACGCCCACCGAAACGACGGCCTAGCCCCCATATCAGCCATATCCTGTCGCGCGCCATCCTCTGCGACTCGCTATTTGTTTGATGCATCGACCTTTGATATCAAACTCGATATTCTCTCGACAGAAACCCCACGATTACCTGCCCCGAGGGCCGCCTGCGCGACGCCATTTCTTTGTCCCTGCTTTCGCCCCTTCGGTCGCGTGCATGCCTACGGTGCTGACTTTTTTTCTCTGCAGTTCCCTTGCGGCCGTGTCAAGCGTTTCCTCAAGCAAAACACGCAAAACAAAATGCGCGTTGGCGCCAAGGCTGCTGTTTACGTTACCGCTGTTCTGGAATACCTCACAGCCGAAGTGCTCGAACTTGCAGGCGTAAGTGCCCCCCTCGTTGGCTGCAGCGGATCCTGGTAGAGCCTTCCCTTGGCCTTTGCTGCCAGCGCCCACTGCGCCATCTCTCGTCACCCCTATGACTAACCTGGCTGTGCCCCAACAGAATGCGGCAAAGGATCTGAAGGTGAAGCGCATCACGCCACGCCATCTGCAACTCGCCATCCGTGGTGACGAGGAACTCGACACGTTGATCCGGGCCACGATCGCCTTCGGAGGCGTCCTACCTCACATCAACCGCGCGCTCCTCCTCAAGGTTGAACAGAAAAAGAAGGCCAAGGCCGCCGAGGCATAGAGGGTCGGCCCACTTGCAAACAAGACGTGATGTGCACGGTTTCAAAAGATACCCGTCGAGTATTCGAACTCAACCCCCGCCGAACCACCGACGAGATCCCTTTGCACGCGATATATGTGGTGGGAATGATGGAGTAGGTAGGGGATTTTATTTTGCGAGTTACGCTGTTGTCTCTGGGGGACTCTCTTATTTATTTCCCTTCTTTTATGTCGGAGCTCTTACTCGTGAGTTGGGTTCCCGTCGAGGCCCTGGTTTGTGGAAGGCGGCTGCTTATGGGCGCCGCGACGCGCGGGATGGCGGCATGGCGCCGGGTCGCAGGTGCCGGTCTCTGGCCGAGAGACGGCAGAGCTAGTAGTGCTTGAAGGGGCACCCCGCCGTGGTGGCTCCGACATCTGTACCAACACGACTTCTGATATTTAAGGGCACGCCGGGGACACGGGTCTGCCGGCTGGTGGGTTAGGTAGGATAGGTTTGTTAGGTAGCTGGAATACTAGGTGATTGAGATCTGGTTGACTCTGACGGCGTGTTCCTGTCTTTGTTGTGCGTAAAGTGCTCTGCCCTGTTCCGCTACGGCGGTATCATAAACTGTGTACCAAACAAGTATATACACCATAGGGTTCCTGCAGAACTAGGCTTTGCTTTGCTTCTGCGCCGGGCACTGAGGGCAAATGATGAGTTTGGTGGTTTTCAGGAATGAGTCAAAATATTACGCCGACGTTCATCTTAACTTCACACGCTAAGTACGAGGTGCCTAGTGAGGGAGAAAAAGATCGCGCAAGTTCCAACTATGTCATTCGATCTATCGCATTATTATTATACATCCAATCCATGCACCTGCACAGCAAGTAAGGCAAGCGGCCCTGCCCTGCCCTAGCCCTTTCCCCCATAAAGCGCCTCCATTCTCGTCTTCGCGTCCTCGTCTTGGGTTTCGTCGGCACCTGTATTGCGCAACGCAACTCATATTCTGCAGTGCCATCCAAGCCCCAGATCTAGGCTAGGCACACAGTCCATTCCAGCTGTTTTCTTTATCCGCCAAAGCAAAAGAAATACAAACGGACGGAGCACAACGGTCGTCTTCGAGCCGCTTCCGGGCCGCTACCGACGCAATCCCTTACTTACTCCTTGCCAGTTGCCCCTAATTAACCAGCCCAAATCCCGTTCGACATGCGCTCTTAGATAATTCAGATCCGGCGTGGAGGATATGCTCTTCCCTCCATGTCCTAGTCGTCGCCGCTGTCACTGCTGCTGCTGCTACTGCTACTGCTACTATCACCGTCATCAAACCAGGAAACCGACCCCGGCCGCGGCGGCGACGCCAGGGCATACGGCATATTGTCGTCGCACTTGCTGCCCTCCGTTGGTTCTGAGCACTGCGACGCCGCAACGGCCGTGCCGAGAAGGTCGTATTCCAAGACCGAAACGTCGCTCTCCTCCTCCCCCGCCACCACGCTGACGCAGTACAGCCCGTAAATGGCCTCCAGCTGGTCCAGCTCGTCCTGGTCCAGCTCCAGCTCCGTGTCGTAGTTCGAGGGGCCGGCGGGGGACAGTTCGTCGTCGGCGTCGCTATGAGACAAAGGCACGACGACGGCGGCGCGTCTCCGACGGATCTGCGCAGATTTATTTTTTTTGGGTGATGATGTTGACGAGACTAGCACGGCGTGCCGGCCATTGCCGACGGCGCGCGCGCGCCCCTGTATGCACGCGCGGTACACAGCGTGGCGGCACTCGGCCGGGAAGTCGCAGTGCGTCCAGCAGTTGTGCTCGTCGCGCACGTACATCTTCTCCTTGGCACGCTCGACGCGCGCCGCCTCGCTGCCTGCCACGGGCTCCCATGCCATGGCGATGGTGGTGTCGCTGCCGCCGTCCAACGAGCCGCCGTCGTAGGCCGCCGTGCTGCTGCTGTCGGCGGGCACGTACTCGAACTTTGCATATGCTTCCATGGCGCTGCTGGAGCCTACACGCCGGCGCTTTCGGCCGGTTTCTGCTGCTACTGATGATGCCTTTGAGGGGGCTTTCGCTGTAATGTCGCTTGTGGCGGTGGCGGCGGCAATGGCCGTGGTGCGGCGAAAGGCGCCCCAGGCAGCCCAGGCCGTGTAGTCGAACTCGGATCTGCAGGGGCCGGCGGAGCTGCGGCGGTGTTTCTTCGTCTTGACCCCCAAGCTGGAGCCCGACATCCTGCAGAACTCGTGGTTGCACTCGAGGCAGCGGCGGGTGCATGATACCCGGTAGAGGATGAGGCAGCGATGGCATCGCCATAGCCACGGGTACGGCTCCTCGGGCGGCGGTGGCTGCGATGTGGGTGGTGATTGCGGCACTGTGAAAACTCGGGCTGCTGTGAACTTGGCGCGGGGCGAGTAGGGGCTGGGGGGGACGGTCAGACTGAAGCGCTTTCTGGCCGGCGACACGGGCGTCATAGCCGCGCCCGCTGGCTTAGTAGGGTTGGTCGGCGTCGCGGCTGTGTTGGGCGGCGTCGGCGCCCGCGAGGGGAGCACGATGCTAGTTCCATCGGTGAGGGCCAGCCGCGGCGGCTTGCCCTTGGACCCAGCTCTGGGAAGCATCTCCTGGGCTCGGATCTCTGTTTCGACGACTTGCGAAATTCAAATAGCGACTAGTCGAGTCCTTCTGGCCGCGATGAGCGCTTACGTCGGTTCAGTCTGATCCTGCTGAATATAGTGCCGAGTGAAGAAGAAATAAGTCTCGCGAGAGTTACTAAATCGAGAGGTAACTATGATATGAAAAATTAGATGTGATCTGTTCCTCAAGGCCAGTTTGCAAAGGTGAGACAAGTGAATTGCAACGAAAAGTGAGAACAGAAGATAAGTAATAACCAATAAGCAAGACAATAAGGTATTGATGAATCTGCTTCGAAGAAGGCAGGCAAAGGACACAAGGTCGTTTGAAAAGTTGAAGAAAAGAATCTCGCAACAATAGCGGCGACAACAAGAGCAGAGCAGGGGGGGCAGGTTATTATTTGAAAGGCGGGAAAAGAGACAATCATCTGGTTCAGATCGGCAAGACCCAAGAACCCTGCCGGCCGCTGGAAGAAGCACGCTCAAAATAGTAAAGCGGACGGCTCAAACGCTGGTGGCGGTGACACTCGGTGCAAGAGCACAAAGCCTCTTTCCTAGATAAGCACTCTGACGTGTGAGTGAAGGCTCCTCCAGGTCCGGCCCGTGCTAATTTGAGCACCCAGTCCCGCTCGATGTAGGACTTGTTCTTTGTTCAGCAGCTGTTCCCGTGCCCCTTGCGTGTTGATTCGAGGCAGTATTTGCGGGAAGCAAGTAGGCCGTGGACAAAGGACTAGCGTGATGCTGTTTATACTTGCGGCACCAAGCACCGGTCTGATCTCTTTGAACTGCGCGAGAATAAAGGCACGGTTAGAAGTGGCAAAGGAGCGATTAGACAGGTACTAGAATCAAAGACACCGCAAAGCGTAAACCAATAGACATCTAACTTGCCGCTAATCCGTTGACATCTGGCTTGAAGACATGAATCGACCCGTGCCTCATGCGCGAACTATTTTACCAGCTCCGTCTGCGGGGAGGGACAAGCGGCCGAAGCGATGAAGTCAGCCAATTTGCATCAGCCTAGACTAGGGCTAATCCCACACGTTATATGATACATCTAAATATATGCTCTACGTAAGTCGACGTAGCTAGGCTGCGGAAATAGATTAATGATCTGCCCGTTGCGGCGTTCTCTACTCGTCGACAAACAAGACCAAGTGTGTCATAGACGCTGGAGTTGTGCCGGACCATATCGAAAGCTGGTTTTCAAATTCCTCAACAGCAGCTTGGATTTTCGTCTCACATTCGCGGAGCTTGTCGGCAACTAGGGTGGTGTTCTAGGATTCCCAGCTCTGACTGGGTCTGAAATAGTCCTGCAACTCCTGGAGCACTGCCTCGCTGTATGTAGCGACTTATTTCTGCCCGGATTCGTAAACTTTCTCTTCCATTATATGCCGCCGAGAAGAATCGGGACCGAGAAGCCGGAAATAGGAAACGTCTCTGCAGACAATTAGGCGATGCGTCACAAATGGCCAGCGGCGACCAAAGGTGAAGCCTAACTAAGCGCCCTGGCCCACGCCAATCCAAACGCCCAGTGCTGGCAATAGCAAGTGACCCGTCAACTTGAGAGTTCCGGGGTCATGCATGAAAGAGTTCATGGCGCCGGCCAGTTGGTCGAGCATGTGGTCAGGAATTATTCCCGTGCCGTCCGGATGTCGTGTGCCGTATGGGTATAACATGGGGTCTAGGTGTTCCGTGCTGCACATGCACTGGTTCGGAAGGTCGTAGACGCAGCAGAGCAGGACACAATAGCCGGCGTCGTGGAGGCAATCTGTGAGGGGACGCAGTTTCTCGAGATCGAAAAAATCTCCATTTTTTTCGTCATCGTGCCTGCATAGCGTTGCCTGGGACATCAATGTAGTAGGCCGATGGATCTCACGTCTGTAGCTGATACAGAACCAGAGGTGAAGCCTTGAGGGGAAACCCATCGCCCGTCCGTCCAAACAGTATTGGGGATGTCATTGGTCTTCGGATTGGGATCCGCTTGAAATAAGGTCGTGTCTAATCCGATTGACATGGTTAATATTATAGAATATGGGGTAAGATGAGCGTGTGATGGCCACGAGATTGTGAAGAAGCGTCGTTGGCATTGAATGAAGAGTTAGAGAAGGGGGGATGGTTCGCAAAGCCCCAATGTCTTTTTGGCCCCGGGAGGAAGCAACGGTTCCTCCCACACGACCAACTTCGTCCCATGGGCATGGGAAACGAGAGTTGGCCAACACTTGTCAGGCTCGGAAGGAGCCGGCAACGATCATGGAGTCGGGTTGACGTAGCAGGCTTCGTCGCGTGGTTCAATACGCCTTCCAGGTTAATGAGTACTTTGCGCAACCGATCCCCCGAGTATCGGCAAACCACTGCTTCTCCGAGAGCCGGCTTCCATTGTTAGTACGGAAATTGATGTAAGAGAAAAGGAAGCTCGCAAATTTGCAAGAGAGAACAGAAGCCGTTGCCACTTGGATCCTGGGTACCATTATTGAGGCAGATTGATTTTACATCACCTGGGAAAGGTGCGAAACGTCCCGCCCCGTCACTAGACTTCTAGTGGTGGCAATAACATGGAGCTTATGCTGATGTCGCCTTCCAGGGTCAATATTGGACGCGGGTGCCAATCCAGCGTGGCAGCAACCTGGAAGATGAGATCATGAGGGAAGGTGTTGCGGAATATTCCGTAATAAAATGCGGCCAGCTAGCTAGCCAGCCAGCCAGCTAGCTAGGGAGCTAGGGAACTAGCCGGCCGGCCGGCCGGCCGCAGCTCACGCAGCCGAGTGGAGCTGGGCTCCTTCAAATAACAAAAAGCACGTCAGGACCTCACCACCCCCGCGATTAGCGATTTGCGAACCGTGGCAGCCCCTTTTCTGTCTCGTATCAACGTCCAAGTTTAATTAGCAAACGTGCCCAGCTTCCCACGCAGTTTCTCGCCAAAAAAGAGGCTTCGAAAAAACGGGCAGCAAAGACGCGCAAAGTCTCAGAGCGCCTTCGCCGTGTAACAAATCCGGTCGTCGACAGTGCCGTGATTACCAGACTGCAGCCCAGGCATATCCATCGAGCTGCATGCACATCGTGGGTGGCACAGAAGATGCGCCATGAACTGTGAATGGAAGTTCCATCGTGGCCTGGGCAGGGAAGGTTGCACGGGAGCGCGACCGTATTTGAAGCCTTTCCACTGTTCCAGCCTGTGTCCAGTTTTGAGAGCTTCAAACTGTAACTTTGAGCTTTTCATCGGTTACCTGGGCGGGGTTCCTGGCTGAGCCGGTAACCAAACGATTCGACGCCTGCTAATGTTAAAATTGGAGGTTGGCCGGCCCATAGGACAGGAACGATTCGCGTGGCGTGCACAGCGTCGGTTTTTGTCCGCGGTCTGGGCCAATGGAGCCACGCAGAGCCAGAGGCCTTAATTCAGGCGGTGCAACTTCGAGGTCTTCCGGCAAGCTGGGACGGCCAATTGGCGTGGATTGGGGATGCGTACGAGCATGGAAAGAGGGCGAGCACAGGTGAGACGTCCCCAGCCGCAAAGCAACACACGCCTGCGTGCAATGGAAGGAAGTTTAGGTGGAGCTCCACATTTTCCACCTTGCCTGCCCACTTCACCTGCGCCCGCTAGAAGTTCCCCAGAATTTAATGTACCTAGTAACATCCCGCACCGTATGTACAGTAATGTACGGTAATACAGTCCCTGTAGGACTTCGGTAAGGCCAGCTGGACGAAGCACGTGGTCAGAGGCCAGGTCACGCATTTACTTCCGTGGCGTTTGTGCTTTTACATTTAATTCGCATTTTACAGCTCAGTTCTTCTAATAAATGGGGTTATTATACGCAAAATCCTATTTAGTGTTGTAAATGTTCCTCTCGCTGCGCTGCGCCGATGGCAGATCAGGTAAGGTCCTGTACTGTCTCTGTATTTATGGTATTGGCAGGATATTCTATCCCAGGTCCCCCGCTTCAGAAAGGAGAAGATAATCGCAACCAAAAGCTACTTCGATCCTTTGGGCTCCTCCTAAGATGAATCTGCCCCTTGTAACTCTCTATTCGCTCGTGTTTGGTCCGCTGTTTTTTTGGTCCTTTCGTCACCTGGCACGGACGGCCAGCCAGTGGCTACAGTCTGCAACGAAACGACCTACTTCCGTTGCCACTGTTGGCTGAGTCTCCATGCAAGTCCCGCAATGTCAGCGCCGTCGCCAATCCCATTCGTCGAGGAATTGATGTCTGTGGGCGGCCTACAAGCTGTGCCAGTTCCCAATGGCCAGCGCCAGCCATTCAGCTTGCATCCCATGACAAAATGCTATTCCCTCGTTCCTGTTCCTGTCCATCCCCAGTCCCAGCAAAACGGCCAGAGGCTGCTAAGCCAAGCCCAGTCTGTAGCTGACTATCCCTGCTGATGCTCACGCCAGTTGCCTTGCCACGCCCGCTCCGAGTCACGGCTGCGAGTCGCAAATAGCGGGCGGTGGCACGCATCGAGTGGACATGGGCGCTGCTGCCTCGCTCGACTCACCCGCTCTACCTCTAGTGCTCCTCCGCTGTTGATGATGGCACCGCTCAATGGGTTCGATCTCATGTACGGACATCAAGCACGACTTGCGGTAAGATACCTTAGAAAATTATCCATGATGTATGTAATCATAATGTATGTACGAATACGAAGTTTAGCTGCGAAGCAGTCTAGTTTTCAGGCTAGATCTCCAGTGTTATAGTTCAATCCCTCAATGCTGTTAGTATGGTACTATTCCAGATAAAAGGAACATTACTATCTTGCGGTTCGTCCTATATGTTTTTCTCAAAGAAAAGGGGTAGGCTTTGGAGCCTGTAATTTAGAACCCTAGAGGCCTAGCTCTCATCTATACATGTCTAGTTGGCCGGTTTATTTGCATAATACTCATCCTACCCAAGTACCAACGATCGTTCGAGGATTGGACTACCGTCCGTGGTGGGGCGAGCTCGGAAAGCGGGCTGCTTCCGCTGTGGTTATATTTTAGGTCCCGCCGCTGGGAATCTCGCACCGCACCTTCCCGTTGGCGCCTCACCCCTTTTAGCCCCTTGCGCATCTTCCTTGACCAACGAGGAAACGCGGCTAGAAGAAATGTTGTTATTACTATTGCGGCTTCGGTCACGCCCCGCGTCTGAAGCAGAGAGCTTTCTCGGGGTAAGAAACAGAGTCAATTAATCACGAAGGGAATGCCTACCCAGCCGCAGACAACAATGTGTACCTTCCCTGCTCCGTATCAACACGGCTCGACGCTCTTGTTGTTCTTGGCCGTGCTCAACATGGTTGCCTGTATTGTGATCTTGCAGCTTGCTGCCCACAAAGACTGCCCGACGCCGGCGACCTCCCATTCTGGCGCAGTAGAACCCAACCGACACGTGCAGAATGAAGGCACCCAAAGTGTAGATCCTCAAAGTTGGAGCGCAGGTAATGTACGGAATCCTAGTTGGAAAATGTATTCGGCGAGTATTTTGCATGCATGTAGCAAGACAGAGCCCTGGAGCTGTAGGAGCTGGAGCAAGAACCCCAGCTGCAAGCCCTCGAAACGGGTGCGTGCACGGTGACTTGCCTGGCTGCCGAGCTACTAGCTTTTTGGCAGCAAACCCACCTACTCGTGTCTCGCACACAAAAAAAGAGGTTGCTCCAACCGTGCCTCTACTCTCTTCTTTTCTGACAGGCGCACCTGCCACTTTTCTCGGCTCATTGCATCGCCTCTCCTCGCCAACCCAATTCTCCAGCCCCCAGTGGCCTGCACCACCCCACGACGCCGACGAAACAGCGACGACAGTGAATGACCTAGATCTCATCCATCTTCGTTATTCTAGACCCGGCCCTTCAGCATTTCTTTTCCCCGTCTCCGTCTTCGCCTTTCTTGCGGAGACGTGCTGCTGCTTCGGTTGTGGGCCACTTTGCCTCTCGCTCTTTCGCTCTTGGGCGAAGCCTGCAGCCTTTTCCGCGTCATTGAAAAATCACGCCGCCCCTCTCCACTCGAAGAATCTGCATTCCAACCGTCCACCTGCCAAAGCAGCCGCCGGCAGTCTGTTCTCGACAAGCCGATCTTTGCTCCTGGCTCCCCCTACGGCGCCTTTTCCGTCTGGAAAAAAAGTTAATATCTGACTTTCCCCCCACCCCCATCCACGCTCCTTTCGAGACCACTGTCTGGGTCTGGTCTGCTGGTCGCTAGCGCCAGCTGCCTCGACCGCCTGTTGAGAGGGAAATGAACAACCAACCGCCAGACCACTTCTTTCCTGGTGCATATCAGATGAACAACACAAATCGGTCTCCCGGCGCCACGAGGCCCGGCTTCAATACCACGGCCGGTCTCCCGGGCGTCAATCGCATGAACCAGCGCCAGATGGACGCCGTTGGCCAGACCCCTGTTGCCATCTTTGCTACCGCCGACGACCGATTCGGCACCTACGACAGCAATGCATTCAGGCACAACAGGATACCGCCCACGGCGAGCTTCGCCGCGGACAGCTTTGTTGGTAACGCCCAGGCATGGGCCTATAACGGCGGCGCAAATACCGTCAACGGCGTTATGGGTGACAACAGACTGCGCCAAGGACCTCGCCGGGCGATCCCTTCAGTCCGTTCCCTCCCACTTCTTGTCTCCCCCGACGACAGACGACGGGGCTTGCTGATACCTCGTATGCAGGAATGGACGATGCCCGAACAGCCTGCGCTTGGTAGCCAGGCCCTCAATACCCCGTCGACCCAGTACTCGGCCATGGCCAACTTCAACAACTCGATGAACCTCATGAATGGCGACGGAAACTTTGCGAATGACCGCCACGGTTACCCAAGCAACCTGGGCTACGATCCCCGGCACGACGCCAAGTCGCAGGCTCAGGCACTGGCACTCAGCAGCGACCTCATCCCCACCGCCATTGTGATCAAGAATATCCCGTTCAACGTTCGGAAAGAAATGCTTACGACCATCATGTCGGAACTTGGATTGCCCCAGCCCTACGCCTTCAACTATCACTTCGACAATGGAATCTTCCGCGGGCTTGCCTTTGCCAACTTCCAGAGCCCCATGGATACGCAGTCTGTCATAGAGCAACTTAACGGGTATGAAGTTCAGGGACGAAAGCTGAGAGTCGAGTATAAGAAGATGCTACCCGAACATGAAAGAGAGCGGATCGAACGGGAGAAGAGGGAGAAACGTGGCCAACTCGAGGAGCAGCACCAGCCGATAGCTCCGGGTTTGCACACGCAAACGTCGATGCATTCCTTGAACGCTGCCCACACCGCGAGGTCGCGCAACTCGCCATTGCGTAAGTTTTTGGGTCCCCCAACCTTTTTGTCCAATTTGCTTAATCTGACCAGCAGCCACCACAGGAGACGTGGATCTCAACAACCCCGACACTCTCAGCTTCTACACCGAGTTGACGCTTTTCCGAAGCGATCCGAACCGTGAGATCATCGTGTTCCCGAGCACCATCACCCCTCAGCAACGGCGGACCGTCCATATTTTGGCGCATAATATGGGCCTCGAGCACCGCTCAGTAGGCGAGGGACAGAACAGGCAGCTCCATGTCGTCAAGGATACCGGGGCAGCGCCGTCCATGCACATGCCAGCCGGCGTGTCGGCTGACGCGCATCGACGAGGCCTGAGCCGTGCTGCCACGATCGATTTCGCCGAGACCCGTGGCAACGCACCAGGTCAATATGGAACTCTGGGCAGGCAGGGCAGGCACGGGCCGACTCTCGAGCTCCCGGACAGCCCCGATGGGGGAATGAATACCCTTCGCGGCGTCAAGTCATTTGCCGACTTGCGCTCCTACACTCCGAGCCCGTCTTTGTCAACGGTCGGCTACCCACAAGGGGGCAACGTTCACGCTCCGAACGTGGCCCAATACGGAGAATACAGCGCCAGTCTCGGCGGCCAGAACAGCTCGTTGCCGACCCCGACTACGCCAGGTACTGGGTCGACCAACGATCCGTCTCTGCTGATTGACAACCTGGGAGCGATGTCGCTGGGCGACTCCTTTGGCCCCGGTCGGCTCCGGCCTAGGGAAAATCCCGGCGCCATTGGCAGTCAACGCCCCGGAATGAACGGGACCAGCTCTCGGAGCATTCCCGAGCGCCAGCCCCACGGGCCTAGCGGCGACTGGGGTGAGGGGATTGGGGGCTTCGCTGGGCGAGGCCGCACCAACGGTCACATGCAGCGTGGAAGTGGTATGTTATACGTCTGATGCTTTTCTCTGGCCCTGGACAAGACCGCTGATTCCAGAGCTAGATTCGTCTGATGCGGCGCCAAGGGGAAACGGGTCGTCTGGGGCATCGAGATTCTAGTCGGACCGAATCTCAGGTCAGCGCAGCCGTTTCCTTCCTCCAAAGATCGAACCGAGCACACCCATTGTCTGTTATGAGCATGACTGCTCGGCAGCAAGAGAACTTCGCAAATCGAAAGCATCCCGTCGCCATACCCGAAAAGGCGATCGTTCGCGCAATACCAGCCTACAACATGCAAAGAAACGTACTTGAGCGAGGGCTACGCTCAAGTGCTTCGAGATCTCTTTCACCTCTCAGCAGCGCCAGATTATTGATTTACTTCACCTTCACACTACCTATGCTCCCGCATACGCACATTGTAATATTTCTGTTTCAGACGCCCTCAGTCATCCATAACGGGTATCTATAACGAGTTGACTCTTTCACTCGTATCGGCTTGGCTTTTTCTACTATTTTAGTTAAAGCCGGGGTATCAAGGTTGGCGAGGTTTTGGCTTGCTTTTTGCTCCAAATACTAGCCATCTAGGTACTCTCAACCTCCCTTTCTCCGGACCTCACACTTTCCCGAGACGATGACCACGATCCGATGCCACCAAAAAGGAAACAAAGAGATGAAGAATTTTAGGATACAAGACTTTTTTACAGTTTGATGGGCAACCATTTACGCCAACGGCCTGGTCGGAACTCGGCATGTTTCCTTGACGCTGCGGTGCGGACCAAGAGTTGGATGGGGTTGTGTTTCGCACCGTTTTTGTCGCCCAGTCTGCCTTCGTCCTCGCGTGTAGGCTGATTGGGTAGAGGAAAGAGATTTGCTATCTACACTCGACTACGCCTTTATGACTGTTATGGTTTTTTACGACGTTACGTCCTAGACGGCTATGACAACCCTTTGCCTGGCGGTACGCATGTCTTCCGGCTCGCTAGCAATGACATAGTACGCTACGCGCATTCCGTTCCACCCCCTTGCCCTCACCCCCCTCCCTTCGCCCCAGTCTAATGAATGCCTGGTGCTCCGTTTGCTCGCGCGTTTTTCTCTTTTCTTTCTTCTTTTCTTATTGACCCCTAATAAGATGATGCCTTGAATGTCGCTTGGTTAGGCTCCATCTTCTCGGAGATGCCGCACGCCTTGCTATTGGGGTTATAAAAAGTACGGCCTGGTTAATATCGGCCCCTCGTTGGATTACTTGTTTTGATTGTCCGCCAGATCTCCGGAGCCAACCAAGCCCGGTGAAACGAGGCGGTTTCTGGCGGGCCTGGGCGTTGATGGGTTTTGCATATCAGCTTTTGGCTTGCATTTGTTGTTTGTGTTTTTGTTTATTCGTCTCTTTTTCGTTTCTCTTTTTCCCTTCACGTATTTTGTTACGTCTGTCTTTTGTCGCTGAGCGGGTGTGACCGGAATTTGGTCGCCGAGCCAAGCACCCCCGGTTAGATCTGCATGCAGTTGGTTGGCTGTAGAGCAACTCGGTTGTTTGGAGGACGATTGCCTCGCACACCCTCGATTCGTTCAGGACATATACCACGCCTTGTCTGGATTTGGCCGGGCTGAAGGGTGGGTGGGAGGAACACTAGCACACATGGGACCGAGGACATGTCGGCTTTGTGTCTCAGGCTTGAGGACAGGCACAAATGGAGGTCTGGGTTCGAAGAAGGCATGACAGACAATGGAAGATGGGAGAAGACGGGGATGAAGACTGAGTTAATGATGATTCGCGCGGTTATCCTGTACTTAGGGTGCTCGACGGTGACGATGCCAGGACGCGATGACAAAGCGAGCGATGGAAATAGCGAGGGTGCAGCTTGAGAAGCGATGGTTCAGGATGGCATTTGACAGGATGCATTGCATATATGGGTAATACTAGCAGCTTGCTTGGAGTACGCTACATGACATGGGCTCGAGAAGCAATGCTTGGAATTTGAGTTTGTTAGGGAGCTATCCACCGCCGATCTACCACCATTCCTCCATTTCAGAGCCTATTGCTGCAGCAACTTTTGTTTACCCTGGGCCCTCAGCGTGTCGCGCACGGCTTTGAGCACAATGTGATGCACACTCCTCGGGGCTGCGACAAAGCCAAAATTTGCTGTGAGCTTTCTCCCCTTGGTCAGGTCAATATCTCTGCCGTCGACGTCTGTGATGAGGCCGCCGACCTCTTCGAACAACAGCATGGCACCGGCGTGGTCCCATATCTTTCCGTGTCGCGACCTTGTCTTGTAGACCCAAACAGTAACATTAGCCAGGCCGAGCGCCAGCACAGCCCACCTCGGCACCCAGCCGAGCAGATCGCAGCCGGGGAACGCCAGGCCAAGGCGCTGCGCGACGGCCTCGTGCGCCTCGTCGACGCCAGAGTCGAGGTGCTTCCAGCACGTCACCGAGCGCAGCCCGTCCACAGAGACGCCGTCGGCATGGCGCGCAAGCTGCCGGGTTTCTTTTTCTTCTTGTCCTTGTCCACAGATAAGCGGCCGCGCATACGCGCCGAATCCCCGCACCGCAAACAGCAGACAGCCCCGGCCGCTCGCGTCGACATGGCCGTCCGCCACCGTCGCCGGCGCTGCCAAGTCGGCACTCAGCAACGGGCACCCGACCACGCTGAGAACCTGCCGCCCGCCCTCCACCAGCGCCACGTTGATCGCGTACTGCTCGCCCCGCAGAAACGCCCGCGTCCCGTCGATCGGGTCAAACACCCACACGCGCCCCGCGTCCGCTCCCCCAGGGACCGTGTCAGAGTCGGCCACGCCGCAGTCAATCAGCTCGCACACGGCCTCGCCGCTGAGAGTCACATCACTGTCTGCTGTGCACCGCGCAATCACGTCCACGACCACCGCAAGCAGCGCCGCCCCGTTGCTATGGCCACGCAGCGCCGCAGCCGACTCCTCGCCCACGACGCCGTCGCTGGCGAACGCCGCACGCAACTTTGCTGTCAGCACCGCCTGGATCGCGAAATCGGCTACCGTCACCGGGCTCAGGTCCTCCTTGATGTGCGTGTCATTGCTGCTGCTTCCCGTCTGTTGCTGTGAGGAGGAGGAAAGGTGCGCTGCTTGGACTGTGCGCGCGATCTGCGCAGCGGCCTGCACGGCCCCGATCGCGACGGAGAGCTCAAGCCGGTACTGGCTGTCCATGCCGGTGGTTGGTAAGGCAATATGTAGGTAGATAAGGTTCAAGGTAATGTAGATTGGCTTTCCGAATTGACGTTTTGCGCGCAGCGGAAATGCAAGGTTTGTTTGCGGGACTTTTTGGACAGCAAGCAACGAGACCCACTCACTCACTCACTCACTGCTCATACATGCAGACAGACAGGTCCGTCCCTAGCAGCCTGCAATTGATTAGCTTTCATGACTTCGCCTAACATGCTTCGCTTCGCTCCGAATGAGTGAGTAGGTAAGTAAGTAATAGCTGAATGGACGACACAGTGCAGTGGTGGTGTGTGCAACGTGCAACCCTGCGATGACGAGATGGAAACCGAAACTTTTTCTTTTAAAAAGAAAAGAAAAGAAGAAAGATGGGCGCGCTTGGGACGGCATCGCTGCACCACACACCACGTCTTGAACTCGAGAATGAGTGACTCAGTGAGTGAGTGTCGTCTCGGATCGGCTGTTGCCACTGCCGCCGCACATCTTTCCGAGCCTCACTTGGAGCTTGATCGGGTTTGTGTAGTGGTGGAAGGGACGGGAGAAATGAAGAAGGGGGATGAGGTGAGGCCGGTGTGAGTCAACATACTTGACAATTTTCTCACTTTACAAATGCTATCTTACCTTGGCTTCCGATGTATTGGCTACTGAGTATCATGTCACTTCCAAATCACCTTGCTACTCTCTCGTCTCTTTCGGATAACTACCAAGCCTTGTCCAACCATCTCAGAGCCACATGCAATGAATGGCATTGTGATTTTATTATACACGATAACTCCCCTGTTGAAAATACAAACTCACCACCAGTAGGGCCGCGTGAACGACACGAGCACCCCCTTCCTTCCAAGTCCATACCAAGTCCATACCAAGTCTCAAAACAGCCTCTCAACCTCCCCAATCTGACCCCACCGTTTCCGTCTCGGACCAAGCACCTACCTCCACCTCATCATGCATGGCCACTCGCTCACTCCCTTCCCTCCGGATAGTCTCCGGGCCGGGCCCACCTAGAAGACGCCAGCCCCTTGTTTCCTGGCGGGAGAAGAGGACTTTCCTTGGGCTCTGTACGCGCATTTCCTACCGCAGAATTCTGCAAAGGTATTACTGCGGGGGATTTGCATCCAGGTGGAAAGGATTTCTCTTTCCCGAATGTCCCCCGCCAACCTGCAAAGGTGCTCGGCTCGCCGGCGGTGCCTGGCAATGGCATGAAGTGACGGCTCTGTTGGCCGGCTGGTGGGCTCAAGAGAGAGCTCGGCTGGGCGGCGGGCGGGCCAAAGAGAGAGCTAGGTTGGGCGGCCGGTGGGCTGAAGAGATGACTCGACTGACCGGCCGGTGGGTTGAAAAGAGGGCTTGGCTGGTTGGTGAATGAGTTGAAGAGAGGGCTCGACTGGCCGGCGGGTGGGCTGAGGATATGTCTCCGCGGGGAAGGTGACAGGGGCCTGTGGAATTGCTCGAGTCTGTCCATCTCTTTTTTGGGGTTCTTCATTATGATGTCGTCGTCGTCATCTTTCATCGTGACATCCTCGCCGCCGTCGGATCCGGCTGTTCGGTCCTCCGGAGCATTGGAAGAGAACGGGGGTTGCTGGGGGTTCTCGCCCTTGTTGGCGTCGTTGCTCGTGTTGGCGTCGTTGCCCTCGACGGCGTTTTTGTCCGTATTGATTCTCCTGCCCTCATGGGTGTTCATGATTATAGCTAATCTGACGGCCATGATGATTGCTGATGTGGTGGATGCCGAAACTGGTTAGTTATCCAAGACTTACTTGTGCACGTGAGCGGCGGACAGACGATGGACAATTCAAATGGAATGAAATCAGGGGACTGCTGGCCCTAATAAGTACTTCCGGGTTCCGAGTTGAACTGCTCAGGCATGTCAAGTGCTACTAATGGAAGTGAAGACAAGGTCAAGAAACGGCTTTGGAGACGAGGCCAGAAAGCAGAGCTTCATTCTGTTTGTCAGATTGCCATCCCGATCCCGTCAAGCATTTGCTAGTGTGAAAGAAAGTTTGACAGCCAACATACATATTTCCATATGCAAGCACTGGCGCTGAAGAAAGAAAACAGCGTGTCGAAGTGCGAGGAGGACCAAGTAGGTATGTCTTGTTGAATAGAAACAGATAGATTCTGAACCATCAATCTTTGTGCTAGGTGGGATCAATCACCTGTCCATCTGAAAGAAATACATCTGTGAGCATTTAGAAGACATGTCTGGCGGGAAGCTGCATGCAAATCTCGCACGGCATAAAGCAAGCCAGCTCGCAAGTACAGTCCATCGCGCGGCTGATCTCTATGGTCCGGCCTTTTCACAATTAGTTCACGTGTTTGGAGAGCAGCAAGAGGTAAATGCATTTTCAACCGATTCTATTGTCGCATCTGAGGCCGCTAGATGGGTAGCCGCAGAGGTTATAAGGGCTTACCTTTGTCAAGATATTTCGGTAACATGATTAAAAGAGAGAGAGAATGATCATTACTTACTATGAGAGAAAACTATTGAGGAAATCACTTCCCCTTGACTCTAAATTAGGCAGACAAGACAAAAGGAGACAGCTTCTTGTTCTTCAGCCTCCCACCCCCTCTAGCCCCAACAGCAAGCGGATGCAAATTTCATCGTCGACAGGCAGCTAATATCCCGGAAACACCTCGCTTAGCGATATACAGGCTGCAGGTATTTGTCATGCACCATCGTTATCGGCAATCCGAGCGTTGGCGGGCGGAGGCTTCTCACCACAGCTACCAAGGCTGAGGGGGGGCGGAGAGCAGGTAATTTTCGTGGAGCAAGCCAGGATTTGAATACGGAAGGACGATCTAGATCGACCAAGGGGCCCCCAGTTTTGTGAGCGGGCCGGGCTTTCATCTACCAAACAGCGCGGCGATCATGTCTGAGAACCGGGACCCTCGACGGGAGATAAAAAACCCCCCGCGCTCTTAAACATGCGAGTCTTCTTTTTTCCTCATTTTCTGTCAAGTGGAACCAGGCGAGACAGTCGGCCAGGTATGACAGCTAGCACATGCCGGTGGCGCGCTCGGTGCTACACTACAGTGACCAGATGGATGGTGTCAATCCTCGGGCTGGGACCGAGAGGCTCTAATTGCCGCGGGTGTCCAGGCCAGTCACGCGGGCCTCGACGCGGAGCCGTCTGGGACTTCTAGAAGCGGCAGAATGCTTCTCTGCTAGTCTATTCTCTCCCGCGGGACATAGCGCGCAGGCAATGTGGACACCATCAAATATATGGCTGGCCGCGGTGCACGGAATAGGAGAAGGGGGGGGGGGTTGGGAGAGGAGATTCCGGGAAGACTTGGACTGGCAACGGCACTTTCTTGGCCCGCAGACAAGTCGCCATTCATTGCTGGCCATGTCCAACTATCTTACCGCCCTGGGGTAGGTAATTAATCGCCGCGGTCTGCTGTCAGAAAGGAAAAAACAACTAGAACAAAAAAGAAATCCCCGGACGCCTCCTGGAGGATCGGTGACGCCCTGGGCTGCTGCGGGCTGAATAATTACGTGACACCGTGGATTGAAATCCCTGTCCCTTTCTGAATGGCGATGCAGCGGGCGGCACACCAGCAATTAGCCTCTGGACAATAGGCACAAGATCCGAGCGCGGAAACCAGCGGCGCCGGGGGTGCGACGTGATAATTGGCAGGGAGGCGACCAGGTCTGGGTCTGTGTCTGTGTCTCGGTCTCGACTGTTTATTTACCTTGGCTGGATTGGTGTAAGCCAGGTCCTGTTGGGTCCCATACCGAAAAATGAATGTCGAATGCGGACGGCGAAGAACTTGTGTGAGCTAGGAAACCATTCAAGAGAAAGAATAAAGCAGACCCGACCACGTGCAAGGTGCTACTGCCGTGTCGCCACCCTGCTGTACTTAGTGCCAGCCATATCCAGACGACGATATTCGTCTCTCAATATGCTTCGTAGGCCCGGGGCGGCTCAGGCGGGTTTGAATTTCGAAAAGGGGCAAGGCTGTCCTCTACAGTCCACACCCCAGACTGCTCCCCCAGACTGCCCCCCCAGACTGCTCCCGCAGACCGATCTCCCCCAGACCCCAGGCTGCCCTTTCCCCTGCCCCAGACGGCGGACTCCACGTTCCCGAGTCCCCCCGGAGACAAGAATAGCTGGTTCGGGCAGTTTCCGTGCGTCACTCACTGCTCGGGTTCTTTGCCGCTGCGCCTCTGATTTGACCGAGCGTGTGGGGAGCAATGACGGCCAAATAGGTCGAGCCTACTGGAGGGCAGTTAGCAGGCGGCGGGCCCACGAGCGTGACCACAAAGAGTAATATACTGGCGTGGGCCTGCCTGCTTTTACCCGGGAGGCTCAATATGAATATGGGGGAGGGGCGGGCTAATCCCTGTCTCGGCGCGTGGCCAGGGCAAGCAAACAAGCAAGCAGCCTGTGTGCCGTGGGGAAGGGGAAATGAAAAAGGAACAGACAGAAAAGAAAAACAATACCTAGTTGGTTCATTTACACGGCGCGCAGGCATGCCGGAGCTCCGGCAATTGTCGACGAATGCGGCAATGGCGCTAATAACGGCCACGACACGCCCAACCCAATCACTTATATTATAGCCAGATGACCGAAGACGTTCCAACTTGTTCCGTAGCATCGGCAGTTAGCACTTGCCACGAGCCTGAACGCAGCGCTGCCTTGTCGACCGGGTCGTCGCGGGCCATGTTCAGTCTGTAGATTGAATAGGGGCAGGGGGGGGGATGATTAGTGAAGGGACGAAAGGGCAGACAGAGTCTGGGGGCAAAGGGCAACAGTATAAGTGCCTGGTACGACATCATCCCCCCTGAAGCTATCCTGGTTTCTCGCCTTTCTCCTTCCCTCTTTACCACCTCACCCTCACCTGCAGCCAGCCCTTCTTTTTGGCCGAGCACAGTCAGTCAGTCCCAGAGCGAGAGTCCAGTCGGCTGTTCCCCAGCAATCGAGACAAGAAAGCAGAAAGAAGGAAGAGAAAAGAGAGAAAGCAAAGATGCATTCGTGGGCCACCCTCGCCGTGGCGCTGCTGGCCAACGGGGTGGCGGCGCAGAACATGCTGCGGTTCGCGTGCTCGCAGCTCGTCGTCGACCGCATCGACCCCCTGGTCAACCCGGGCGTGCGGTACACGCCGCATCTGCACCAGATCGTCGGCGGCAACTCGTTCAACCTGACCATGGACATTAGCAAGCACGACCTCGCGGCCCAGTCGTCGTGCACGTCGTGCACCTTCAACGAGGATCTGTCCAACTACTGGACCGCCGTCATGTTCTTCAAGGCCAAGAACGGCACCTACAAGCGCGTGCCCCAGGTCGGCAACGGCGGGCCCCAGGGCCAGCTGGTCAACAATGGCGGCCTCGACGTCTACTACATTCCCAGCGGCAAGGTCACCGCCTTCAAGCAGGTAATTATCGCCCTTCTAGCAAAAGTAAACATTGGCGGCTGACACCCCTATGCAGGGCTTCCGCATGCTTGCCGGCAACGCCGCAAACACAGATAACAGCAAGGTGTCCAAGGGCAACATCTGCCATCGCTGCTGGACGTCGACCAACGACAACACGTTCGTCGGCGGCGCTCCCTGCTCCGGCTCCGACACGGTCGACATTCCCCAGGACACCAAGTGCAAGATGATCCGCCAGACCATCATCTTCCCCGCGTATGTGCCTCTCTCTCTTTCTCTCTCTCTCTCTCTCTCTCTCTCTCTCTCTTTCTGATTCTAATACTGACCCCCTGGAAACAGATGCTGGGACGGCAAGAACCTCGACTCGCCCGATCACAAGTCGCACGTCACCTACAGCGGCTCCGGCGCCAGCGGCGGCGGCTCGTGCCCGTCGACGCATCCCGTCAAGCTGCCCCAGGTCATGTACGAGCTGATGTGGAACGTGTCGTCCTTCATGGACAAGAGCATCTGGCCCGACTCCGGCCCGGCCCTCATGTACAGCATGAACCTCGGGTACGTTCTCCCCTCCTGACTTTCAACAGCAGAAACTGACAGAGTATAATTAAAGTGGCGCTGCCGCCCACGGCGACTACGTCTTCGGCTGGAAGGGGGACTCGCTGCAGAAGGCCATGGACAAGAACTGCAACCTCAACAAAGACTGCCCGGCCGCCGGCCTCACCGCCCAGACGCCCGCGAAGTACAACGCCTGCAACATCAAGCAGCAGGCTCCCGAGACGGTCGATGGCTGTGAGTTTTCCTCTCTCAGATCTGCACAGAGCAAAAGTACTAACACACAAAAAACAGGGCTCAAGGCTCTGCCAATGGGCGAGATGGCCATCAAGGCCTAGACTCGCCGTTGCGCGCGGGGTGGGGGCGGAGGACGAGGACGAGGACGAGAACGCCCCTCGGTGTCTGTCTGACGTCTCTCGCGAGGCGCCAGAGTCGCGGAGAGAGGCCACTGCTGTTGCCCGCTGTGTTGGGAAGACGGGTAGCCAGCAGGGAAGGACGAGGGGGGTGTCTTGCTCTCTTACTCTTTCACTCTTGGGCAGCAGGGGAGAAAAGAAGCGAAACAGGAAAGAAAGAAAGGAAGAAAAAAAAAAGAATAATATTCTGTCTGTCTGTTTGGGGAGAGTGAGGGCAGGTTTTCTTCTCCCCCTTTTTTTTTCGCTGGCCGCTTCTTCCCAAGCCAGCAGCAGCGGCAAAGGCGACAAAGCTCGAGATGTGAATTTCCCTTCCACCCCCCGAACAACAACATCAACAACATCTTTTTTTCTCTCTCCCGCCTTCATGTACGATTTATTCCTACGCCCTTATTTTTCGTATCCTCATTTTATTTTATTTACCCACCATCCATAGCACTAGCCATATATTTCACTGTTGTCCCTAGTGTCGTGGGCGTCTGTCTCCTTGCAAAATCTGTGAAATCTCATGAATCCAATGAATGCTCACCCCCTTTTCCCTCGAACCATGTTTTTCACACACATAAGTTCAACCGACGTTGTATTGATTATTAGCGTCAGACCACCACCGCTATCGTCTAGGAAACGGTTTTTCTTGGTTGCGAACGAGACGTGGACATAGACGCAGAACGTGGCAGCAATCCCACAGATTCCACAGTCGTGGTGTGCATGGGGCGTGCATGTACCGAACTACAGCCACGATATTACGTATATGACGCTGGAGGTACCGAGTCCCGGGGGGCTGCCAAGGCTTTTGCACTTCATCTATCTGCAGCTGTTCATATTGCGTTGCGGGGGTGGGGGATCCTTCTTTCTGGTTCGTCGTGGTGGAATGTCCCCTCGGTTTCCCGCTGTCATGTTTCCTCCATCCACCATGGCTCGGCATTTTCAACCGACGGGGGGGAACTTGGATGAGCTGATTTCTTAAACGGGAATAGAAATAGATACGAGATGGAGCTTGACTCTTCACATACTGGTGTCGTCGGACGGTAATCAAAAGAGCCGCGCACACCAGACTCGGGTCTCCAACAATTGAATCACTTCTGCGTATGAAATCGAGTGTAATCCATTCCTCACAGGCCGCTTCTCCAATCAAGCCAGCACATACACCAGCTATCACGGCGAGAACCACATCTGGCTAGCCCACCAAGCGCTAGCGAGGGGACAGGCACAGCGACGTAACCAACTGCTAAGAGAAAAGCACTTTACCTTGGGATCCATATCGTATTCTGCCTAAACCCGGAAACTTGCATATACGTAGGCCAACACCAACACGGGGTGCCTGCTGTGCCACTGCCAGGGCTAAGCGGTTGGGGAAGTTTGGTTGGAAAACGAAATAAACAACTACGTGCGTAGCTAGACAAGCGGTAGGTAGCGAAGAGACATTCTGCTGGCTTCTAGAAGTCCTAAATCCATGTCTCGTCCTCCGCGTCGAGTCCCGCGTGACTGGCTCTTGCAATGCGCGGCAATGAGAGCCTCTCGGTCCTAATTAACCCGAGGGCTGTCGCCGTCAATTTGGGCACTCTAATTACCGCCGAACCGATTGCGTCACCTACCCCCTCCTCGGCAGCTGTGCTGAAAAGCTTCCCAACGCCAACTCTTGGATTGCCAATAATCTACCTACGACGAATAACACCTGCAGCCACTAGAATATTCATCTTGAACAGGGCCGGTTTGGTGATGAATGGCTATCACCATGTCAAGTTTATCTATTTGCTTTTGAGACCTTTTAATGTGTATGTGGTGATGGGTATGAACCATTTCACTTTTGTGATAAATCTAACTGCGGAAGCCCCACCTTGAGGAAGGCCTCATTGACGTAATTAATACATCTGCTATTAACTGAGTTAACCTGGAATCCAAGCATCCATTGCTTTGTCCAGCGAGAGCTAGATCAAGACACGAGGGTAGCCAAGGCTGAAGAGCCCACCCTTCCTCCAACACACACTACTACGTGCACCGACCTGGGAATCTCTGTTCAGGGCAAAAGAATGTGATTTTCTAAGGAGTGGTCCAAAGGGAAAGCCGAGAGCGATGCCGGTCCTCTGATCGGGAGTAGGGCAGGCCATTCACCTTCTATGAAGTAAGCGGGTGCATGTCGCGCAGTCTGTCTGCATAAGGGCACTTCCCGGTCTCGGGAAAGGTGGTGGTCGAGCAATAGTTTTTGACGTTCCCGCTATGACTGAGCATGGGGGCGCGGATAGCGGGTCTTCTGCCTCCCGCAGGGCCATTTGAAAATCCATGCTCCGCACATAGCGGCTGCTAGGGGGTTTCTGGTAGATATTTAGAGGAGGTCCTTATTGATAAGATGCAAGTGTGGGTGTTGCTCGAGTCTTGGTGATGTTGTTGCGTAGAAGGCTTGGTCGACGGTGGTGTAATTAGCTTGAAGGGCTGTGAAATCCCGATATATTTATGCCTATACATCTTTCTCGTTTCCTGGCCCGTTTGACTCGTACTGTAAGATACTATTGTGAACGAACGAACGCCGCTGTGGCAATTGGGTCGGCTCATTTGTGTGTTGATTATAAATGGTCGCGGGAGCTGGCTGAACCGTGCGTGGCCCGATCGCGCCATTTATAAGACGGAAACGAGCCGACATATTTCCCGTAATAGTGAGTGTTTACAGGCTTGCAGCGGCATTTTGGAGTCTGAGTCGAAGGGGTCAGGAAATTAGAAAGATACCTGCTCAGATTTCACAGGGACAGGAGTCAATCAAACCCCCCACGCACCCACCCTCTTGGCCTCTTCCACATTGCAACCTTTTCCTTGGCGTAATGTCCTCGACAACGCGGGGGCTAATGTAGGTCGCGAGGCTGCTCTTAGTCACCGCGACGAAGTCGATCTTGCCAAGCAGAAAACAGTTTTCGTTTGCGGAAGTACTTCTCGTCGTCTCCATCAAGTAGGGCAACGGCAATTTGCACATATCACCGAACTTGGTTTTGTTGAGCTGTTCACAGGGAGAATCTAGTGAGTAGGTCCTTCGAGCGGTCACGAGGGCCACAGTCATGGTACCGGAGAACTTGTTCGCCGCTGGTAGTTGTGCAGTCGCCGTGCTGGTGTCACTCGTGTTGAGATCATGGCGGAGATTGTTTCCGTCGTACGCGAGGGTAGCGCCTGCTCGGTAGTATCCGAACGAATCATCATCGACCAATGTTAAATCGTCGCCACTAGTTTTACTCCACTCGTCGCCCGTCAGCTCATCGGCAGGTTGGTGCCAGCAAATATTGCTAACGTTGATGCATGGAAGCGTGACATGGACGAGAACCGAGTTGCGAGGCAACCCAATGTCATTAACCACGTGGCGACGCCCGTTTCCTGAGGTTGACCTGCCTTGGCCGTCGACGGTGGACGGGCCGTCCCAGCCAAGTTGGCATAGCCTGCCGCGGCCCTGAGATACGCTCTCTTATCGAAATACCCTTGGCGGTTGTACTAATACCACGAGCTGAAATCCGTATCGGGGTCGACCGAGCTTAGGGAGACGGCGTCATGAGAAATATGGAAGGACGCGTCCCAGTTGACCGAGCCAGTCAGGGCGGGGCTGGTGTAGGCCTGGATCATGACAGCGATCGCGGCAGCCAATATTGCCCAGCTGGGAAAGTCTCTCGGTATATCCTGCAGGTTCTGGAGCCCAGGCAGCAATTTCCACCGGATAATTTTGAACACAGTCGTCCGCGTACGCGGCACGGTCCGCGTCTTGTGGGCCAGCATATACCGAGCAAAGGCCCACTAGACGACGGCGGACCGGAAGCCGGTGATGACCTTGATGGCAACGAGGGCTACCGAGATCATGGTCGTGATGTCGCTAACTCGAAGAAGCAGTTTGCCGTCGACATAGTGTGGGTTAGACCCGCCGCCTGCCTTGTATCCGTCGAGCCCAAGCGCCATGGCCAGCGCAAGTGAGACGCAACACGCTGCATGGACAAACAGGACAAGCCACGCCTTTGTCGCTGCCGGGGATGTCCATTTAGTTTCCGTCTCTGGGGGTTTGTCGGGCTGTTCCGGCATAGCTTTCATCTTTATAGTCAGGGACTGTTTTAACAGACAAATCGAGTATTCTAACTAATCCACCTACATATAACTGCTATTTGTTAGGGTTTGCCTCCCAGATGGTGATGGTCCTGCTGTGGATGTCAAGGTAAACAAATGAGAAGTTAAGGGAGACATTCCCAGTGTGAAGCGTCACGAGACAGTCATAGTATATGTTTGTTAATAATCAGATTCTTGTTATTCCCTCTTCTAAGTCCTCGAGTCCCGACTTATATAGGCGGTCTCGCTACTTAAGTAAGCCTGAGCCCGTTCTCCCTAATGGTACTCACGTGCCTATTAGCGAGTCTCTTGTCCTCCTTAGCGGCCACCCTGTAAACCGTAACACTATTCCTCCTGTCCTCGCTCGTTCTCCTTTGTGCTGTTGTATTACTCCCAGTTATTCTTATATATATCTTTGATATATTCTCTCTTCAGCTAGTCTTTCTACTAAAACTTATATCCTACTACTTCGATTCACTTTTTATTCCTAACCTAACGTACCTACCTAACTAGTATAAACATTTTAACTACTACTAGAACAAGAAGACTAAGGCTAAGTAAGATAATGAAGATAAAACTAGATAAAAAGCCTAGTCCTTTGTAATGATAAGGGAATCCTAGCAACAGGAGAGGCCTGGAGGGTCGTACGGGATACACGGTTAGGGAGGCGCAACCACAATCAGCCCTCACTTAGCCCTAAAGCGGCAAGAGCTCAGCTCTGCATCCAAAAACAGATTTTGGAGCGCTTAAGTTTCGTCTGCGTTTATGGTGGTATCATCAGACGAAACTCTTGCGACTTTTTGGGTAGCGCATATAGCCACCTATTAGATCCTTCCCTCCCGGCTCAACTGCGGCTCAGCCTAGCATCAGTCCTCATCAACCTGGCTCAGCTTTCTGCTCACCCTTTAGCTGAGCAGCCCTCTAAGTCCTGAAGCGTCCCATTTCTGGGACGCTTCACTTTGTTACTCCCTGACGGCTTCTTTCTATACCTTAGAGATCATGGAAACTTTAGCCGAGAGGCTACCTTGGGGCCTCCTTCTCGGACAGGTTCACAAATCCTGTCCCCTTAGACATGGATCCCAGGTTAGTCCCAAGGATGCGGGCTTCAGACCCGAATCCTGCTATGGTAGGAGTCAACTTGGAGCAGTATGCCTTGTCCTAGGTTCCAACGGTCCACAACTCTGACGCGCGTCCTTTTTCGTTGCCATGGGTACTTTTGCGTAGCTCAGAACACTTCTCTTAGTGAGCAGCAACAGCAGCACACTCTGCTCTGCCGCCACGCCCGCAGACGACACGATGTTATGTAGCTTTCGACCAATTGAGGCGCCAGCCTCGGCAGTGCACTGTTCGCTAAAGGGGGTGGACTATGGAGCTGGCTTGGCTTGGGCTTGCCGACTTCTCGTGGCGATGAATGCTGGGCTGCTTGCTATCTATGGTGTTTTTTTGCAAACGGGTGGGCCGAGTTTTCATACTCAAAGTTAGTGGGGTACGCTAAAACCCAATTCCATTGGATGTGGAGTTGAACCTTGGTCAAAAAGACAGACCCCTCGCTCCGGTGGGGCCACTCTTCTCTCTCACTCTACCATCTGGACCTCGCCTTTTCAATCGTGCCAGATTCGATCGCCCTTGCCAATCACCACCACTACCAAGAGAGACGGGATCTCCACACCATGTCAGGTCTGTCTACGCCGCAGCGCACGGCTGCTGCCGAACTGCTGCTTGTATCGCCGATTGCGCTCGGCGACCTGTCCCTCTCCTCTTCAAGAAAGCGCCGAATCACGCCGACGGCCGAAGCAACGTCAACCAAGAGAATCGCAGTTATCACCAGCCCTAGCGCTGTGAACTCTTCACTCAATAGTATCCGTCAGTCAAGCCTCCCGAATCCACTCGGTTGGTTCCATACGGCCGAGCTGGGTCACATCGGTAAGGACTTGGCATTCACCCTTACAAAATGACAATACTAACCTGAGACTCTAGACTAGAGGCTGCCCTTATATAAAAGCACCTTCCCAAACCCACTCTTCCAAGGCACGCCGGCACAGGGTCCGCAGATGCCAACGCCGGCGCGACATATCATTTTGCCGTTCGACCTCCGAGGCCAGCCCGGAGACGTCTTTGACCCCGAAAAGCGAGATATGGTGCAAAGCATCTTTCCGGGAACAATCGGTATTTCGTGCGACGGTTACTTTGTAATGCTCTAGCTACGTACGCTGCCGCCGAAGCCTTGGCCACTTACTATTGGCGGGGTTCCTCTCTACCTCACGTTAGAGATGAGCCTAGGCCCCATTCCACGAGCTCGGGCAGTCGGCTGGAGGAATGGCTCCATCGCCGAAGACCAAAATTGCAAAGATATGGAGAATTGGGAGCCGCTATTCCACGTCATCAAGGATCACTTTCAAGACCTTGAAGTCTCGATTACCGAGGTCATGTACTGGGGCAACTGTGTCATGGTCGTCCTGAAACACCAGCATGTTGATATGGACAAACTACCAGTCCGGGCCGCCAAGATAAGGTGTCTATACTTGTTTGACGATGAGATGGGAAGACCATCAGCACCACAAGCTCGCCGCCTCACCGATCTTACCCCGGGAAATCCCGACAATAGCCAATACGACACTCTGCAACCAGGACTAAGGCTGACTTCTTCCTACCTGCCGAGCAATCTCGATACGTTTCTCTCGACTACATCTGGAGTTCTGCTGAAGGATCGAGTTGGCAGCGAATTCATGACGGTAGCCTCGCATGGATTCCCGGCCGAATGTGGCACTCAAGTCTTTCACGCGCTGCCTAGCAACGGCCGCAAGATTGGCGAGCTCATTACGGAGGTTTCGCATACAGATATCGCGCTCGTCAAGTTGCAGGATACAGAAACGTTCTACAACGAGACGTTCCAGAGCGACAACAGCACGATCCCGCAGCATATCCGGTTCAAAACTTTAGTCCGAGTCCAAGGCCGTCAACGTTTCGAACTAGTTTACCTCGATTCGCCCGATATAGGCCTCATCGACGGATCATTCATGGCGACGTCATTCGTAACAATCCCCAGTGATGACAACTCACCAGAGCAACGATGGGTCTTCACAACTTGGATCTACCGGGCCGAAGACTCGGCAATCGAGCTTCCTGAAGGAATGTGCGGTAGTGCTATCTGGAACGAGGACGGAGATGTCTTGGGCCTTTTCAGATACGCTCCGAAAGAAGGGGTGATGAAGGATTGGTACGCCGGAATTGCTGCTGATGAGCTCATTAACCGAGGGTTTACGCTCGTCAATACGAGTGATAGCACGTGAGGATGCCTCCGGGAGGATGCCTCCGGGCACTGACAGCCGCCAGGCCTCATCACCCACCCCGCCTTCGGGCACTGACAGCCACTCAACTTTTTTTAGGACTCTTCCCGGAGCCCCCTCGGGCTACTCCCACAGTACTTAACACGACATGAAAGACGATGCTGTGCGAGCGCCGCACCAGCCTAATTAACAGCCACCATGCTCAAATCGCATCATCCACCATCATGTCATCACCTCCCCGCAACGTAACGCAAAGAAGGTAACGGAGGCAACGGAAAGTAATGCAGGCATCGCGATTCTAGCCAGTTTTAGAGCAGCTGGCATATTACCATGGGTGAAGCGCGCGGGCGAGCTGCAGTGCCTCCCGGAGCATCACAACGCAGACAAGAACAGGGACAAAGTGGCTGCCTGAAATGGCGATAGCATTCGGCGAGCTCTCTGGCTACTAGTTAAGAACAAAGTCTCTAGTCATCCTCCAGCCCAGCAAAACCGCTAACCTTGTGGCGGAAGAAGCGTCGAGAACCGGGTATGGCGCACGCGACAACAAAGGTAATTAATTAACGAGCAAACTGCAATTATCTGCTCCGTAAATAGACATTCTCCGGTGTCTAACCAGCTGCAATGACGTCCCAGTCGGCACTTACTATGAAGGAGTAATGATTTCCTGCGTCCGTTAGCATCCTAGTCAGATATTGGGGTCACCCTCTAGGCTTGGCAGACCCCAAAGGTAATGATCGTTATGGGACCCGAACCCATTCCTCCGTTAGAGCACTAGGCGCTTAACCATGGCGCCAAACGACCTTTGGTAGATATAGTTATTCACAAGCCCGAAGGCGAAGGCGTACTCGCAAGCCCGAAGGCGAAGGTGTACTCGCAAGCCCGAAGGCGACAAGGGGTGACGAGGCCTTGCGGCGGTCAGAAGAGGTATGAGAGAGATAGTGACTTAGAGTTATCAGGAGTACGGATATCGGGTTGTTTTGATGAAGGGGATGATGGGCGAGGAGCTTTGCCTAGTCTGCTGGTGCGCGTGAGTTGTCTAGGGACTCCTTGACCCATGGTTGCCTAAACGTGCCATTCCCCTTTCTTTGGAAGGCTCTCATCCTTGAACAAGGGCAGATCCTGGCCAACCGTTAAACTGGGGGTGAGGTAATATGGAGAGGGAGCTTACCACGAGCCATTTTGGATCGATTGAAGTTGCGTTGTCGAAATACGGCTTGCTGCCGGCAAGATGGTATGTGGTGAAGACGATCCATTGGGGCTCATTGGCGTTGAGGACGCTGGTAGGCGAAAGGAGCCCGGATGAGTTGCCAGGGACGGTCCTGTATTCGCAACCTCTTTAGAAAGTGGCGATCTGCGTGCAAAACGCGATTGCCAGGGTCTTGCGGATACTAACGGAGTCAACCATGCTTACTTTAAGCTTGGTTGGTCGGAGGAATGCAATGAGATCCTTGCGTATCCGGAGAATATCCTCGAGGACATGGCGGTTCAAGAAATTGTCGAAGCACCATTCGTCAAGGTCGACTCCGGGATTGTTCTTCTTCTCCCATGCATCCTCGAATGCATGAAAAGCATTCAGAAGGGGGATATGGTCGGACCCCGCTCTGGCCCATTTTGATTTCATCATGTCCGCAACTTGCTGGAATTGTTTTGGACGGACAAAGATCGAGCCCTGTGCAGAGGAGATGGATGTAAGATCGAGGATATCCATGGTGCAGCCTTGACTGTTGGCGACCACCATGGCACGGTACCAAATAGGGTCCAGTGGACACTTCGCAGCGTGGGTGCTGGAAGGAGTGAGGGTACCGTTGTCATTCAAGAATTCCCTACGACCACTTGTGTGAGACAAATGCGCGCGAAGGGGTTGGATCGACATACCAAGCGCGGAGGTTATAAGCGGCACGCGACACCGGCTCGGGATGAGGTAAGGATATCCAATCGAAGTCCATGACCTTGCTGTAGCCAGCAGCTGCGAGGGTCAGGATGAGCGACTCGAGTGGCTGGCAGAGAATACCTGGTGTCATGGACGGGGTAAGGTTGTCATATGTGGCCTCGGTGTAAAGTCGAACGCAGACGCCCTTCTGCGTTCGGCCTGCCCGGCCCGCCCGCTACCGCGCGGAGGCTTGTGAGATGGTCTGCAACTGGAGCACATGGATTTGCAGACGTGGGTTATATACCTCCTGTCTCGAAAGACCGGAGTCGATGACATAGACAATACTATCAATTGTCAAGCTCGTTTCCGCGATGTTGGTGGCGACGATGCACTTCCCGAGTTTCGCTTGCAGCCAGCGCCTGCTTCTGGCTGTCTTTCCGGAGGGCAGAGTAAAGAGGGAAGACAGTGAGGTTTGTCGTGTTCGCTCGAAGAATATCGCACACGGCCGCGATTTCGTCTACCCCGGGTATGAAGATCAGTATGTCACTTGGGCTATTTTCTTGATGGATTTGACTAGCAATCCGAGAGCACGAGATAAATGGAATCCGATTGCTCATTCCCAGGTTGAACATGGAAAAGCTCGACATCGTAGTGTTGGCCAGGGATGTGAAGCAGAGGGCAGTCGTCAAAGTACCGCTTGAAATCGTCTGCGTCAAGTGTGGCGGACATGATAATGATCTGTTACGGAGTGTTGATTAGTATTAGCAGACTCAAATAGACTATACCATATTGCTTACACGGAAGTCTCGGCGACGCGCCACTATACCTTTGAGCAAGGCCAGGAGCAAGTCGGTATCAGCGGTCCGCTCATGGGCCTCGTCGACGACCACGCACGCATAGCCCTTCAGATCTTTATCGGTGCCCGTCGCCTTCCGAAGCAGTATCCCTTCGGTCATGTACACCAGACGAGTTTTCTTCCCAGTCATGGCTTCGAAGCGGACATGGGAGCCCACTTCTGCGCCATGTACAACACCCATCTCGTCAGCAACGCGTTCGGCCAGCTCCTTTGCTGCCAGGCGACGTGGCTGAGTGCAGGCGATTTGGAGGTCGCTAGCCCACTTGTCGTAAACGAGCAGCTGCGGGACCTGCGTTGACTTGCCCGAGCCGGTGTCACTCGACAGGATCATCACCTGGGATTGGTGATAAATGTCTAGGATCTGCTCATATTTGCTATAGACCGGAAGCCTGCGGCGGGTGTTGAGAATGGCCTGGTGGTTAGACGGCCAGGAGGTTTTGGTGAGCGTTCTGAGGTGCGTCTTCCAGGCGCCGGATGTCGGCTACGGTGAGCTAATTGCGTGCAATATAGTCCATTGTATTCTCGTTCTCGGACTCGACGGTGGACATGTTCTGGATTCTAGTGTTTAGTTTGCTGAGATTTGACGATCTTAATGGTTCTGTTTAGTATTGGATTACGGTCACCGTGCCTGCATTTGAGCTCTCATTAACGCGTGTGTAGAATTTTCCTGTCCGTACCGCCCGCCGCTAGGAGACGGCCGTTAGGGCTTAGGGTGAGGGTTTGGTAGTTGATATGGAAACATTCTACCTGCTGGTCGACGAAGGGGTCGAGGAGAGCGAGGTCGCTGTCAAGGTACGTAACGACCAGAAGGCGGATGCTGGGTTTCAGGCTGAAGGCCAGGGCAATGATCATATGCGTACTGATGTCCCCGCTAGAGAGTTTCTTGCCACAGCTACCCGTATAGGTGTCCTCATCCATGCCCCATAGTGTTATGGGTCGACCGTTGTAAACGACGATAAGCATTCCGTGGCTGGTGGAGAGAGTGAGCGCATAGAGGAATCCCCGTGGTAGCCCATGGCCCAACTCTGGTACATCACTCCAAGGCTTTTACATGGACGTTCTTAGCCCAGTTGCCAGGGTGTGACATATTTCTTACAGCTCGTAATCAAAAACGTGTTTCTATTGTGAGAGGCTTCCCCCCAGAACAGTGGCCTGCTTGGGGTGCCGATTTGCTGTGATTACTCTACTTAAGGAGGGAAGGGGAGAATTCCAACAGTCCCCTTCCCTCGAGGATCTCATCTATAGAGTTGGGGGGGGATTCACGGCGCATCCACCTCTCCGGTGAATTCTGGGTGGCCGCGCCTACCTCCCCTCATCCGTCAACGCGTAGTCACGTGGTCTATGACGTGACCTGGGTTGGGCACAGCCCCAACCGTTTCCTCCCAGGCCTGGCCTGTCACGGATAGAGTACGATTTCCTTAAAAATCAAGATTATTCATAAAAAACCCTTTGAACTTACCCAAAATCTGTTTGGTAGTGGTCACTTCGGCCTTCAGACGCTCGTTGTCGCGGTGCATGTTTTGGTGTATATTCTTCATCGCCTCGGTGGCTTGCTCGAAGAGTATCCATGCGCCATTGATGTTGCTGGTGGTGGCTGATTTGACGCGCTTGTGGCTGTGGTCCTCGGGGCCTGTCCCGATGTGGCGTCTGCCTACTTTCACAGACGTCGACAAGCTCACAACAATCTGTAAGTCGTCACTCGCCTGCTCGATCATGCTCGCTGGGGTCGGGTCTTGGCATTCCGTCGTCTAGTATATAACGCTCACTTTGTCTACCACTGCCAAGATATTGACCGGTGTCTTGGCCTTGCCAGTGGCGGCAAGCTCTGCGTGGAATGCTCTGATGTCGGTGATATTGTAAATCTTGGTAAACAGTGGATGCTAGCCCTTGGACATCCCTGGATTAATCTGGGACCAAAGGACGTCGGATGCGAGGAAACTTTAAACGAGGACCAAAACAGGACCAAGGCCCAAAATAAAAGACCCTTTGTAAGTATGTGTAGTCCTGAAAGTTGACCTTTTAGGCAGCTCAGCCAAGCCCAGCCCTGCTCAGTCATCGCTCAGCTCTCGCTCGGCGTATACTCAGCCCAAAAGGCGAGAGCCCAGCCCAATGTCCGAAAACGGATTTTGGTGAGCTGAGTTTCGTCTGTGGATTAATATCTGGTATCTTGTTACTACGCGTGCAGGGCAGAATCTGTCCAGTCAGGGGTAAGAAGATGCCCTAAGTTACCTGGAAAGCCTTAGCTGTGTCTAATCAAAGCCCCCTTAATCCGGCGTTTACTATCAGTCAGCAATAATAGCAAGCAACAGAGTAAAGGTTCCCTCTCTTCCCTGCTCCCTTGCTGAGCTACCTACTTTCGGCCCCAGGTCTTCTCAAGCCTATCAATGACCACGTTCTACATTACATTCACGGAGATATTGGGAACGTCTCGTACGTACGAGGGCATCTTAACATCTTAAGGTTCCTAGCCTAGCTAGCTTCTCCTCTTATATCCTGGCTGCGCAGAGGTAAAGCCTATGTAGATGAGGGTAGTCTCGGGTAACGACTGAGGTTAGGGGTTTCTAGCTGCTAGGAAATGTAGTCCGTAGGTAGCTTAATACAGCTTACTTTAAGTGTAACGAGGCATGATGTGCCGGTCACAAGTGGATTCGCAGGGGTCCTGCAAGGACCCTGCTGAAGCTTTGGGCCTGCTGCTGGACAGCATTGATCAATGACATTCCGATTACGGCACAGCCGTACGACGATTCATTGTCAAAACCTTGGGCTGCTGCAGCAGGCCCAATTCAGCATTTCTGATCCTAATGAAGCTATTTTGCTGCTGTATAGTGGATACACCGAGTGGGCTTACAAGCCCGATTCTGAAGCTGAGATCCTTAAGATTCAGCCTTTGTTTCTATCTAGTAATAAGAGCCGCCCGTGTCGACGGCCCCTTTGTTGTTGTGCCTCCCTAACCGTGAGTGTGTCCCGTACGACCCTCTAGGTTTCTCCTGTTGCTAGGATTCCCTTATCGTTACAAGTTCCTAGAAACCTACGTTGTATTGTAGTCTCTATACTCTAGGATCTATTTCTGTAATGTATTCAGTCCGAGGCCTGTTGGCTCGGTTGGGAAGGGAACGGGCAACCAGGTAACGGTACAACTTCAGGAACGCATCCTTACAATTCCATTACTTTCTAGCAGTTTCTTTAGCTTTTCATAGGTGGCACGCAGATTTCTAGTAGACTGGCAACTCTAACCGGGTAGTCCAAAAACAAGGCTCCGTGACTGCGCCGCAGGCACAGTCAAGCACAGGGAAGCACAGGCAAGCACAGGGAAGCACAGGCAAGCACAGGCAAGCACACCCGCTAAGCAGGTTAAAGCGGCGGCAGCACAGGCGCATTCACAAAGGGGAAAGTAAGTAAAACTCGATTCGTCTGCTGAACTGGTCTGTTTCAGTTCCCCTTCGTAGGCAGCGTCTCTGGACTCCATGTTGTGTGTGGCCGGGGGTGCGATAGATCTCCCTCTTCGACAAGGTCAGTCTCAGTGAATTTGCTGAAGAGAGACAGGAGGATTCCCCGCATCATTGCGCAGGCTATTCATAGACTTATTGTATTCGAAGGGGTGGGTGTGGGGCAAGCTCGGCCTGCAAGAGTCTCTCAGCAACATTTAGACCATCCATTAGGTTGCGATAACCTAGTACTGCCTTATCTAGGGCTTCAAATGTGGCCTGAAACGAGTATTGCCTGCATACGGCCCCAAATGTGGCTTGCAATATCGACAGTTGTGACCTAATCCGTTCCCACATGGGTCACGTTTCTCGGCATGGTTGTTCGCGGGTCGGAGGGTGTCAACCACCCATTGGCTAGTAAACGTTCAGCTCTTGCATCAGGCAACGAAGAATTGCAGCTGTCAACCCTTTGTGGGAAGTTGGGGACGTTTGATAATCGCCATATTCCTTGGAGACATCCAATAACGTAATTAATTCAAGCACAAGCTTCGCTGCTGTCGAATCAACCACAGCTTGCTGAGGGCTGCATTGGCGGGCCTCGGAATGCGACGCAAGTTGGACCATGTAGCCAACCCCCCTCGCTGCTTCGAGATATCGGATGATGGCGAGGCTCCATGTCAACACGGACGCGCACCACCTGCGTGCAGGGTGGAAGTCGAAAGAGGTGAAATGTTGAGATTTGTTAAGGTTGAAATCTGAAACGGGAGCACCAAAAGTAGAGCGGGAATCAGTCTGCCGGGTAAGATAAGGTAATTATGAAATGTAATTACTATCTGAACAAGACAAAAATACCACAATTGCCCTACACCACACCTTTCGCGTCCAACCCCGAGTTCACTGTTCTGGTGATGCTTGCAAGTTGCTCAAGTGTCTCTGCAAGCACAGACTTAACAAGAAAAGAAAGCCAATAGGTTGACGAGGGAGAAGATATTAATTCCTGTTCGTCAAGGAGACCAAGGCACTCTAATGATGTATGCACCCTTACTCGCCCATTCTTGATTACCGTCCCATGCCGAACCGACCCGACCACGACTTCTCAGCCCGCAGTCGAGGATTCTAGACTAAACTGAAGACCCGTAAAACAGAAGAAAAAAAAGTTAGTATAGTAAGAGTCAACCAAACAAGACGAGAGCACAATGATACTTGGTGCTCTGTCCTTCGCCAAATAACTTGACGGGGATAAAAGAAGCAAAACCGGGCCTGCCGAGGGCTGAAAAGTATGTCGTGGCCGCAAAGACGAGTAAGCACATGTGCCCATAGGCAATCTGACCTTTCCTCCCTGTTCCTTGCAAAGTGGCCGCAACCAAACCTGCCGATAAGGCTATGATATTAATATTCATCATCGGCAACGTGGCAGGGCCAAGTCTCCCCGGTCCGTGTCCTTTCTTCCCATGACCAAATGGACAAGGGAATAACGCAGTCAACCCGAGGCGGATGTGGCACTGTCTCGTGAACACCATACTTTACGTGCTCAAGCCATGCTCAAGCCATGCTCGGTATAACAGGCTTCGGTCCGGAACTTATCCACTCCCCTCCACTGCTGAGGGTGTCAAACCGGCTAATACCACTCTCCGGGCCGTCAAGAATAGTGCCGAAGCTGCTGAAGTAATAGCCGATTACGACGACCATGTAGCTGAGCAGCAGAATGCTGCCCTTGAAGTAGTTGCTCTTGCCCTCGCCGTACATGTAGCTCAACAGGAAAACGCACAGGATCACCGTCACCATATCCCACTGGGGGAAGAGGAGTGTGAAGGTGTATCGCGCAAGGTCTTCGACAGGTATGTCGAGAGGGTAGATGGCCGAAAAGAGGACCAGGGCTGGAATCTGCAACAGGCAGACTTGGAGAGCGTAGGCTGAACCGATTTCCATCGAGAGGGCAATATTGCCATTCATGGCAAACGAAATGGCGTTCAAAAACTCCGTCGTATTGGGCACGAGCGCGAACAGCGTGATGCCCAGGAACTTTTCGTCAATCTCGAAGCTTTCGAGGACAACGTCCACCGTGTCTACCAGGATCTCGGCAACGGCGGCATAAAGCACCGTAGCACCCATCAAGATGATGGAACTCTTCAGACGGCTCCAGTTTGGTGCGTCGTGGCCTCCATGTCCGCCTCCGGAAGCCCCAACAAACTCGCCGGCGTCTTCATGATCCAAAAATGTAGCACTGCGGATCGGAGCGCTACGGCTGCCCGACGCAGAGGGCTGAGCCGGAGTCGAGACTGAAATTCCATGCGCCGAGGTCCGCCTTGGCCCCTGGACGTTTCGGGCGGCGACCGTTGCAGCCGTTGCAGCTATCTCCGCAACTTGGTGAACAAGGTTATCATTTTCTGCATCACTGAAGCCCGGAATATTGATGCCAGTGCCAATATTGTCGGCGCCGTAACCCGTTGGCTTCGGGGGCGTGATATGAAGCGAACCATTGGCTGGGCCTACCGGAATGGACGAGTTATGTCTCGTCTGTTCTTCGGGTCTGGGGTTATGGCCGACCTGGCGAAGAGACTGGCCTAAAATCCGCTTGTAAAGATGCGAATCTCGAATGTCAACGCTAGTGGTGTCGCCCAATGAAGCATGTGCTGAAGCTCGCGCGGGAATGTGAGGCGTCATACCGTCCTCGTGCTTCTTCTCGTCGGCATCGGTGTTCCATATGACGGCGGCGTGTGTGCGAAGCGTGAACCAGAGACCAATAATGTACGACAGAAAAAGCATGCCGGCCGCCATATAGCAATAAGGACGCACAGCTTCGATATAAAAGCGGTCATTGAGGGTTGGTGTTTGTGAGAAATAGCATCGGCGGCAGTCGCGCGATTGCCCCCCGCGGGTAGGGCGGTCGAACCCGATACAGTCCTGGCAAGTGAGCTCGTGGGTGCCGTATATTTGATAGAAGAGCGTCGGGCCGAAAGCACCAATGACGGCAAAGAGGAGCATAGTCGATGTCACGCCGGCCGACTTGGAGTTGAAGCGCTGGGTCTTGCGCTTGATGGCTCCGCAGCACATGGAGATGCCGGGGAGGAAGAGGATGCCCGCAAATATGCTGCCAACAATGCTGCCTTCAACCAGCTGGCCCTTGCCCTGTTTGAGGGCGACGCAGTAGAGGAAGACCTCGACAAGGGTGGAAAAGAAGGCGTTGATAGCGGCGCCAAGGCCCATTGAGGATTGTGCCGAGATGGAAGCGACAGCTTGGCCGATGAAGTATGCCAAAGGGATGATGGATGCCAGTCCGCCGACGAAGAGAAACGCGGGCGACGTCAAAAAGTTCTCCACGTGAAGAATGCCTTCCAGTACAACCCAGTCAAAGATGACGAAGACGACGATGGCCATGAGGTTAATCAGGAAGACATTGGTTCCATCGATTGTATACTTCCAGTACTTGAGCCCAACAGCGCGATAGGTGCAGACCAGGATGGAAGATTGCGGTGCCGCAGGGTGGCGAGCAGAGGCAATGTCGGAATCGAAAGACAAGGCCAGAGGATGACGTCTAAGATGGTCGAGTAAAAGCATTGTGACCTTCCCCATAGGAATCCAGAATACTAAAAAGTAGCAGAGGATCGACGTGATGAACAGCGAAGGCATGATCAGGAAATAAAAGAAGACGAAGAAGACAACACGGCCGATATTCCACTGGCCGCGGCCAAACAGCCGTCGCTTCATCCGCGGGAGATCGGGGTCCGAGACTCCCCCACGGCCTCGGCCGAGAAGGCTCTCCGTCTCATCGGGCTCCGAGTCGAGGCTTCTTCGAGACCGACCAACGATTGACCGGCCCGTGTCCGGTCCGAAAAAGAGTCTGCCATACTCCAAATCGCCGCTCTGCCACTGCTCGTACTCGCTAATGCTCCTTCCCTCGCCTTGGTCCTCGTCCAAATAGGCCTCCTGCTGCTCCAAGCGAACGAATTTTCCGAACGGGTAAAAGAGATATCCAGCCAACCCCCACAAGACGCGCCCATACTCTCGCCCGCTCGGTGCGGCAGCGAAGAGGAAGCAGATAACGGCACCGACAAAGGCAATGAGTGCCATCCACCAGCCAAAACCTAGCGTCCAAAGAAGGTTGAAGAGGAGTAGCCAGCGACTGACACGGCCACCGGGCGACGAGTGAATGTCACCTTCGGCGGTCTTCTGGACCGATCGGTCTTTCTTGTAGAGAGCTGGCTTCCACAGTCTGATTCCGAACGGATGCGTCTCGTTAATGGCCTGCTGACGATCCTTGAGGGTGAAGCTCTCGGCGTCACTGATATCATCATCGTCATCAGGCGTTTCTCCCACGGGCCCCTCCTCGGCAACTATGTCATCCTCGGCTTCTTCTATAAAAGATGGTTCGGCCGCCTCCTCAACCTCGTCCTCGGGCTGCTCCTCTATCTCCTCGTCGTCACGAGCCGAGTGTACTCGTGATAGTGTTGGCGGTGCGAGAGTTCGTCTTCTTACGGTTGAAATATAGCTGTGATGCCGTCCGAATGTCTCGGCCTCGACCTCGGCGATGCCATCATCCACAGAGAAGTACTCCCCTCGGTGAGGAGCTTGTGTGTTGGAGGATGTGCGGCGCGACATAGGCGGCTTTCGCGGGCGCGGGCGACCTCGGTCAGGGCCTAGCAGCGGCGACCGTACAGGTACCACAGGGGTTGTTCGTGGAACGCCACGGTCAGAGGTACCAGTTTGGCTTCCTCCGTCGGCGTGGATGCTGCCTGCTGTGGTGGGACTATTGATGGACCCTATAGATAAGAAGGGAAGATGGTCAACTAGAGTCCACGAGTCTGGCTGGGGAGCCAGGAATTGCACCCACCATAGTTCTGCTCCGGTCTCCTCCGCACGGTTTCTGTCGACTGGAAACTCTCGGAGAGGCTGTCGTCTGCGCCAGTAATAGACTCGTACCGTGAGGGCCGACGGGTGTCAGTGGGCGAGGGATCGCTAGACGAGCTACCATCGCCCGGCTGAGAGGGAGGATCCATGGTAGAAGATGTTGTGCAACGGTAATGACACCGCAAACTGAAGTTATATACTTGTGATGTGCTAAGATGTTTGGTCCGGCCAGGATACTTGTTTGCACTAGAAAACCCTGAGCGCGAGTCGCAAGCAGGATCGCTTTGGATGGATTAGCGTGTGATGAAGGTTGGCATCACAGTTGCACGGATCGGAGGAGTCGAGTTCATAGTATGCGGTTTCGGGTCGTTCTGGCTTTCGCGGGAGAAGGCAGCTCGAGCGACGCGTGGCTAGCAACTGCAATACCGCAAAATAAACAGGCAAGGTTGATGGGCAGCGCACTTGGGAATCAGCATGCGGGGGTGGCGAGAACAAAACGGCCCAGGGACGAAGATTATATGCCGGTGTAGGTGCGACTGAGTGTTCCAACAACGGAATGCGCCTACCTGAGGCTTTTGCAGTGTCCTTGCCGGCCGAGGGGAGTTGGCGACAATGAGTTGTGGGACTTGAGCCCAAAACGAGGTGCCGCAGGTGTGATCCTGGGCGGAGACAAGGATGGGCGTCCCAGGTGCCAGACCTTAGCAGGCTGCTGACCAACCTGTGGACCTCCGTCGGCCTTCCTAGCGTCTTGATTTCTAGCTTAGGTAGGTGCGATTCCGGCGCTGCCATGGCCTGTCAATTGGCCGACACAGGCCCTGAAAGCTCAGGCGGACAAGGCACGGCTTCCTCCAAGACTAGCCTCCACAAGTTTCCGTTTTGCGGGCGGGCAGCACCAACACCGGACCTGATGCCAGTCTTGAATCCTTGATCTGGGAAACGTCGATCTTCCACGCCGTCAACATTGGCTGCGCCCGACCCTTAAACAAATTTACCGAAAACCAAAGTTGACATGCCTGTTGGCCTGGTTTGATCAACGGCGACTAAGACTCGAGCCGCTCACTCGCCTGGGCATCTCGCCTGGGCATTCCAGATTTGCATGCAAAGAAGATCATAAATGAATGAAGGAGACCCGTAGCTCCTGTGTGAGGATCTACCCCACTTACCCAGCTACCTATCACGGACATCCCGATGCATAGGTAACTATCTGTGTGAAGAGGTATGGAAGAGGGGATAACGTGCGCATGCAGCAGTCCACATTTGAGACACGACACAACGGTTGGGTAAGCCAAGACGAAAGGCACGGTTTGTCGGGTTGGGATCTGAGCAATGGTGGCACAGCTTCGACATCATGTGGGCAGCTCCGATCAGGGGAAGCCGGCCGACATCGCCTCTCGAAGTTGGTCCTTTGAGCGAATGGAAGCGCTGAAAAGAACCAATGCTCAGGACCGGGCAATTGAGATAGGACAGCCCCTCCCAAATGACCGATAAATGCAACTAACTAAACTTGAGAATGAAGGGCAGGTTCTGTCAACCAGAGAGCTCTGCTAGCTCCCGAAGTCAAGGTCCAAAGGACAAAACGTACCCAATAGTACGCAGTTAGGCCCAGTAACGATAAACTGTAACTGACAGAAATCCTACCGTATATGCTTCTCAGTTTACCTTTAGGCAGGTCCTCATGTAAACATAAATGACATCACTGGGCTGGGCCTCAGTGACAGCACACGTTCTAGGTGATCCGTCCGTCCCGGGCCGTGCGACGATGTCGGGCTGTGGAGTCGATGCACTGTGCGTCACGTGATGTCTTGGCTGCAGCCGCTTCGAAGTCTTGGCATCAGGCACTTGCGCCGCGTTGCGTGGGCCTTAGCTGCCTCATCAGCGAACGGCCGACGACGTGCTGTCGACATTGACATCTCAGCACCAGTAAACCCAGCGAATGAATCTCCATCTTCACCAAATTCTCAAAATCCAGTGATCTCAACAATCCGAGCCATACCTTGCGCGTGCGACTTCCGATTTTCCATTCCAGCGCCGCGGTTCGCAAAGCTTCCATTTGAGCTGCCCGCCGGCCACAGACAGTAAGCGAATTGAGCCAAGCCGTCACAATGGCGCTCGACAACTACTATCACAACAAGATCGAGGCGATGCTGCTGGAGATCCTCAAAGGCCAGGCCGTCTTGCGCCGGCTTGAGGCACAGCGCAACGACTACAACTCACGGGTGCGGCTGCTCAGAGAAGAGCTCGGCCTGCTGCAACAACCAGGCTCCTACGTCGGTGAGGTGGTCAAGGTCATGGGCACCAAGAAGGTGCTCGTCAAAGTGCATCCTGAGGGCAAATATGGTTGGTTGCCGTGTTATTGTACGCCTCTAGGCCGAAGTTGAAAGCTGACAGAATGACCTGCAGTGGTGGACGTCTCGGACGCGGTCGACATCACCAAGCTCACAGTTGGCAAGCGTGTAACGCTGCTCTCGGACAGTTACAAGCTGGAAAAGATCCTCCCGTCGTCGGTCGACCCGCTTGTATCGCTCATGATGGTCGAGAAAGTGCCCGATAGTACATACGATATGATTGGCGGCCTGGACCAGCAGATCAAGGAAATCAAGGAGGTGATCGAGCTCGGCCTCAAACACCCCGAACTATTCGAGTCGCTGGGGATTGCGCAACCAAAGGGCGTGCTTCTTTACGGTCCCCCCGGTACCGGCAAGACGCTGCTGGCACGTGCCGTGGCTCACCACACCGACTGCAAGTTCATCCGCGTGTCGGGCTCGGAACTTGTGCAGAAATATATCGGCGAGGGTAGCCGTATGGTGCGCGAGCTGTTCGTCATGGCCCGTGAGCATGCCCCTAGCATTATCTTCATGGATGAGATCGACTCGATCGGCTCGTCTCGTGTTGAGGGGTCTTCGGGCGGCGACTCTGAGGTGCAGCGGACCATGCTCGAGCTGCTCAACCAGCTGGATGGATTCGAGCCGACAAAGAACATCAAGGTTATCATGGCGACCAACCGGCTGGACATCCTGGACCCAGCGCTGCTGCGGCCCGGCCGCATTGACCGCAAAATCGAATTCCCGCCACCCAGCGTCGAGGCCCGCGCCGACATTCTGCGCATCCACAGCCGCAAGATGAACTTGACGCGTGGTATCAACCTGACCAAGATTGCCGAGAAGATGAACGGCTGCTCCGGCGCCGAGCTCAAGGGCGTGTGCACCGAGGCCGGCATGTATGCCCTGCGCGAGAGGCGTGTGCACGTCACACAGGAGGACTTTGAGCTTGCTACCGCCAAGATCCTCAACAAGCACGACGACAAGGAGGTGTCGCTGGCGAAGCTGTGGCGCTAAGGGTTGGATAGCATTATCATGGTTCGAGAAAACATATTTTGCCACAGCAGCAGCAACAGCGAGAGTGGTAACGACTGTGTATTCTGCGAGCTGCTAGACCTACAGCAGCTAGGGGCTCTGTAAAATGGCTTATACTGTAAAACATTGGAAGGGCGTAGTTAATAAATAGACTGACAGCCGGGCTATGGCGGCCAAGTGGTTCGCTTTTGCACGGATACTGCTTACCTTACTGATAACCGTGAACTGTTCACAGTTTATGACGTTGTCGTGTTGCTTTTTGACGTCTAGGCTAAACGGTTCACACAGTCCTAAACGGGCCAAACTTGACAAATAGGCATATAGCAACAACAAATAGTGCATTGAAGACGCCGAGGCCGATAGGATGGGCGATATAACAGCGTATCTCAAGTACACCCCCCTTTCATTTCGTACTGGACTGCAACAAGCCTCTACGGCAACAAAGCACCGTCGCACATGCTCGTATATATACAAGCCTCCCATCTAATGTACGATATAATGTATTGAATGCCATGAAGGCATATATATATATACCTGCTCTAGCAAACCGAACCTGATATCAACAAGTGCCAGAACACCAAACATCCAACCTATGCAGAGCCCGCTCCGGATGTATCATGCAGTAATTATGCTCCGGGCCACAGTCATAGCCCATTTTCCCTATCCTCTACTTAACAATGCTGAAAAGATGTAAGAAAGTATCCGCCATGGATGTGACCTTGAGCCACGACCGGTCTTTTCACGGTCTCCCAAACAATACCATACATTGTTCCTCCATTCACATAGCCAGGCTCCCGCTCCCGCTCCTCCCCCTTCCCCTTCCGCCCTGGTTCCCGCTACGGTCCTTGATACGTCGGATCCATTCGAGGACCGTCTCGTAGCAGAGAACAAACTGGCGCAGACTTTGCACCATACTTAGTCGCTGCCCGCGGAACTCCTCAACAGTACGAGCAATAAGATCAACGCTGTCATCATCGAACCAGCTGGTATCGATGCGTATGTCGTCGGAATATCTACCGGTTTCGGAGGCAGGATGCGCGGTGTCGCCCATGGAGAAGTATGCGGCCGGTTGCTGGGACGTCGTGAGGAGATCGACCTCTTCTCCACGTTCCGACATTAAAATATCCCCGTCCATGTCGCGATCCAGTGCTTGGCGTTTAGCTCTGGCGCCCTCGCTCGTCTGCTGAGAAAGAAGCGATTCCCTGTCGTCATTCCTCTTACGGGCCTGCTCCTGCTTCGCAGCACGTAGCCTCTGGCGTTTGAGCATATCGATAACGCTATCGACAGTGCAAAAGGCACCCGTGCGGCCACACCCTGCCGAGCAATGCACCAACATGGGCCTAGCTTGATCGCGAGACTCGGGCGCGTCCAACAAGTTCGTGGAAGAGAAGCTGTCACTCCCTTTGGAGCCTTCCATATTCCTCCAAGCTCTATCCCGTTCGTTCATGGGGCTAGAGGCCTCGTCGAAGGAACCGCCACGTCGTGGTACCGATGGCAGACCATTCAACCTGGAACCATCAACCGGGGGGGCAGCACGTTGCATAACATTGGCAAGCTCAACTAATGCAAGAAGATGGCTAGGCTGCGCAGGGGCACCGAAATCAGGCCAAGAAGGATAGTGAAGTTGAGTGATCTCGCGAATAGTCGAAAATGGATGCGCCGCATGACTGAGCGCAAATTTCCGGATAATGACATATGGCGCCTCTCCTGCGCCCGCGAGCTGCGGACCGAGACCGGCTTTAGGGGGGGCGGTGGCGCTCGAGTCGAGTGTCGTCGTTGTATTAGCTCGACGGCGAGCCCCTTCAACCTTCGAATGGCTGGGCGCAGGCGACTCCTGTACAGACTCTGCCGGCGGCGCACCAGAAACCGAGGCATGCCGGGTAAAATCCAGTATCGTCTGGGAGCTTGGCTGGCGCTTGTCGATATCCAGCGACACCTTTTTCTCCGAGAGGACCCGGAGCCTAATTGGGCCAAAGTCTTTCCCTTTCCAGTATTGATGGCATTTGAGCTGACCTCCTTCGGATTCAGCTGTCAACATTACAATGACACGCACATCCTGGTCCCAGATTACAGACCAAAAGTCCTACAATGCGGTCAGCAGATATTCTCCGGGAAAGCGAGAAGGGTAGGCGGGCAAGAAACATACGTCAAACGTCGCCGGCAATGGCCCTTGGCTGGCGATATATCGCTTGTGACTTCGGTTGGCTTGAATATAGCTGGCGTTGACGTAGTCGCACTCGCCCTCTGTACGCCCTTGAAGCCTAACGCGGGCATGCTCAAACGGCAGGATGTCCTTGTACCGGTTCTTGCCACCCTTTTCGATGCCCGACAGCTGTACCTTGGTATTTTCGCGGGCAGCTTCACCGGCCTGGACCGGAATGAAGGCAGAATACGCCTCCTTCATGCGCGACTGCTCTGTCAGCTCGATTCGCAGGAACTTGTCCGATACTTTCTTTCCGTGGTCGCTGATCGTGGTTGCGTCCCTCAGCCAGCGTGGCAAGCGATCCTCATCAAGCCCTGCAGGGACGCCAATATCCATCTGTCCAACTCCATCTAGAAGATCTTGGTTTTGCCGAATGTTGCTGAAAAACGGGTTAGGGTTATTGTTGGAGTTGGGCAACAAAACACCTCCGATAATAGGAGGGATGCTAGACCGAGGGCCATTTGATGCCGAACTAGCACCCAAAGACAGGCTCGGGTATGATCGGCCAGAGGTCCGATCGACCAGATCGGGGTAGGCCGCGGCGAACGCGTTGAATCCTCCGCGAAGAAGGTTTGTGGTACCAGTGTACCCAGCATCAGTGAACTTCTTGACCATGTTCATCCCCGAGATCGCGTCGCGCTTCTCGGACGAGAAGCCATCGTAAACAACCAAATTGCTTGCGTTGCGCCAGCTAGCGAACCTCTCTTGATCCTGATCTGTTTGGAAGGTTTGTTGTAGTTTCTGCAGGTTAAACGTTGCCCGCTTCAGAAGGGTAGTCGGTATACACAGGTTCAGGGCACCCTTGATTCTGGACTGTGTAAATTGGGGCGAGACTCTCACGTCCAGTATCAAAATATCTGCACCAGTGGAGCTTTCTATCAGATCTCTCAATTTGGTTGGCGATAACATCGCAGTACCGCCGCCTTCGGGCTTCGGCGGGGCAGATGATGATGTATCATGTTGGCCATTCTGGTTGGTAGGCCGAGTATCAATCTTTGGGCTGCTCTGGAATGGCGAGTCGAGCTGAGAGGGTGATTCAGATATCCCAGAGTTCAAAAAGGATAGAGGGTCAACAGATGCCTCGGAATTGCGCTTGGAACCTCTGGATCCATATGCGGAATCTTTCGGGCTCTCTAAATCGACATTTGACTTTCTCCCAGAGAAATCTCTTGTTTTTGGTGGTCCGCCAACAAATCCTGGCGCTTGTGGAAAAAACGAACCAGAGTCGTTTCGATGGGTCTGCCAAATTGCAGGAAACGGCCGCTGCAAGCCGTACGGTGTTGCGGCTAGTAGACTTTGCGTAGCGACGTTTGTGAGGCTTGATGTCGACAGACTAAACCCCGCTATCCCTCTATTTGAATCGACCTGCCTTCGAAACGCCTCGAAGTCGGGATTGGCATCTAATGGGGTTTGCTTTGGGAGTGCCGCCGCAAATGACTTTACTGAGGATGTTGGAGAGCTCCAGTTCTCCCGGGGCAACAGCGACGAGTCTCGTGGATCTGGGCCAGACTCGACGGCAAGGCCGAAATAATTGGGACTTGGTGGTCTGCCAGCTTGTGCCGCACTCCAGGGCGCACTCGGCGAGACCATTGGAGGGTATGGCTGCCCGACGGAATACGGCGCATGCGGTGGTGACGCAATTGGGGTGCTCGTAGATTTTGGGGGGAATAGCGACTGCGAGTTTGAGCGAGAATGAGCAGCAATCGCATGCGTTGAGACAGGTAGTGGTCGACTGGATGTCTTCATGATGTAGGAGGTGATCCGATCGTTGGGCCTATGCTCGGGAGGCATAGCTGCAGCAAACTAGGTATGCAGGGGAAAAAAACAAAGCCCACGTATGCCTGTCCTGAGTAGTCCTGCTCAAACAGATCTCCCCCGTATAAGCTTCGTTGTCGACAATTCCTCATAAAATCTCCATCCCCGAGTCGCCAACACGGCAAGAATAATTCGGAGAGGGAATAGAAACACGGGGTTTCTAAGTGTTATCGCGTCGTCAGCAAGTAGGATAGACCCAGTGACTATGTTGCGCCAGCGGCGGCAAAGAGCAGGGCTCTCAGGCTTAGGACCCAAACGAGAATCTCGGGTGGGTGGGTCACTAATAGAAGACAGCCAGAGCCAGGTGAAATGAAATAGAGAGCTTCAACATCTTTGGTGGAGAATGCGTGCAGGCACCTGTGGAGTCGTCTGGCGTCTGGCGTTCGGTGGGGTTGGACCGGCCGTTATTTGGGCGGTGATGTGTTACGTATGTACCCTGGCCGAGGTGCAATGACGGCTGTGGGGGCGAGAAGAGTATCGGGTCTCTAGCCCTTTGTATCGGAAATATTTGGCCGCTTTCGCCTGGTGTCGATTTTCGGCGTCTGTAGGCGGGGAATGTTTAAGGGGCGTCGGACGGGGTCGTTCGGTCCAAAGATTTGTCGAGTCTCTGACGGCAGTCAGGACAACTAGTATACGTCTGGCAAGAAGGGGGTATGCCAAGGAATATCGTCATGGACGGAGGGGACTTGAAGATGGCAGACTCAAGGGGAGGCGGCCTTCAAGACCGGGGACCGACGGGAGGCCCAGGGTTTGAGGGGCAAGAAACTGTAACTGAGGCCAGGAAAGGAAAACAGGGGCCATTGAGGTTGATGTCTGGACGTGCAGGGGGGGGAGGGATTTCTCTAGTGTAAAAGGCCTACCAAGGCGGGAACGATCTGCACTGCTGAAATGGCGAATGGGCTACCCTGACGCCACTCCCACATCGAGGCGAAAGAAAGTACGGCAAAGTTTGGAGACATGTAGCAAGTCGGCACAATGGGCTAAATAGCTCCAGTATGCTCAAACCCGAATGCTGAGGCACCTGTCTAGCTTGCTACATCTCAACTGTTCTTTGAAGAAATCGAACAATGCCCTCACCGCCGAGTCTCACGGTCTAGGCAGGCTGGCTTTCGGAGCGTCGGCTACTAAATCACTTCGTCGTCATCGGGCACTTGTACCCACAATAAAGGTTCGAGTGCCGCCGTTGCGGATTCCCGTAACCCGCAATTCCAGAAAAGCTGCGCGCCGCGAGGCGGGGTCTAGATTCTAGAATGAGACAAAGAGATGAAGCCGAATACGCGCCAAGCATTATCGATTAGGTCAATAGAAAGACCTAAAAGTCAGATTATTTCTCTCTCGTATCAGGCCCTTGCTCCTTTCGACAACCAGGGCGGCAACCCAAAAAGGACAGCGCCTCCCGAACGCAGCTCTGAGGATTCAAAGACGGGTTGCCAAAGCGCCGATTGCGACGATAAGGTAGGTACCGGTACTTGACCTTCCAAAAGAAAGTCCCGGGGAATGATGAAATGGCAGGATAGTCAAAATTGGGACGTGGCTTGTAGTGCATGCACCCAGGATGTCGGTGGGGTTGGTAACGTCATAGGGCAGACAGAGGCAGGCGCTCCGAATTTGAAATCCCCGCTCGTCCACCGCAAACCGCATCCATGTAATAGAACCCATCATCAGTGTACCTACGGATACCTAAATGAAGCTGCCTTTCAGCTTGTCGGTGACACGACCATCGTCGCATTCTTTCAGCATCCCTAACTCCCGTCTGCACCTTGATGGCGGGCACATTGTCGTGTATGTTAGGCGTATTACGTCACGAGGCACCCGTTTCGATCTCGCCTGGAGCAGCGGCTTGCAACCTACTAGATTGTGCTTGGATAGAAGCATGGATATCGGGGCATGGTTCAGGCCAGTCCTCTGGAACAACTGCAGTCTTAATGCATTATTATCTGGGCCTTCCGAAATATAGAATGGTGTTTCTTTCGAATCTGCTCACGAATTGCTCCGAACGTGGTCTACTGTGTATTCGGAATACCTTACGGGTTCCCAAAAAAAGAAATCGACTCCCGCTGGCTGACTGCGGGGTCTTATTGGCGATGGGGGTGTTTTAGGGGTCCTGGTCTCGCCAACATTGCAGGAAGGAATGGCACGATTTCCACATTTCTGCTGCCCGCCGTGACGGCCACACGCACGTCGTATCCCTGATTGTGGGATGCCCGCCACGGCCTAGACCCGAGAAGACCGACTCGTCATGCAGCCGCGACCAGGATCCTGCATGCTTGATGACTCCGCTAGAAATCCGTCTCATCGGTTAGCCCTCGTCGGTCAGGGCTGACGGTAATGTATGACCCGAAACTGGAATGCTCCCGGATTAGCACGGATTGCTCGTTTACCTTAGCCGGTGCCTCTACTACAGAAAAACGAAACTTTGAGTTCGGATGTTGCGTATACCATACTTAAAACCTTCAAGTACCGTGCCTCTGAGCTGCCTCCCTATACCACCTTTGCCCAGGTGCACACTAAATTGGAAGCCTCACGGGGTTCAGTCCTCAGTCACCGGTAATGCCGGGAGTCGTGACTTCAATATAAATGCGTATAGGCGTTGATTCCGTCTTTCAGTCCGATTAATATGGTCAGATCATAGCTTGTCTGATGCGAAGACGTCATAGCCAGCATAGTGCATCCTCTCCCTAGCTAGGACTGTTGTCTCGGAACTTGGGCTGCGACGGAACCGGGAGCTATTGAGGGATGGCAGGCGGAGAATTTCGAATTGACATCTTCTGTCCAGCCTTGTTGCTTAACTTTTAGGTAGCTTGTGCGCAGAATTGGGTTAACTTCCCGAAGGCGTCATTGATCTGTTTAAAACTGTATTGTTTGTGGAAGATGAAGATTCGGTCGGCTATCTGCGTTGGTGGCCGAGTAACACGGGACACAAACAAATGATCTCTGGGCATTCTCAGGCCGTTCATGGCCATGCAGACGCCTCGTCAATCAACGACTCGATTTCAATGTTCCTTCTTTCTATGAAGCCGAAATCGTATATACTGAAGTTGGGGAACGGTGTCCTCTGTGCAACGAGACAGCGTGCACAGAGAGGCCATAAGGTAGGCGAGGGCCGAAACAGGCCTCTTTGTTTGATGGGCATTCTACGCGGCCAACTCCAGACTTCCCTTTTCCTTCCTCCCCTTTTTCCCAGTTTCCGTTTTTTTTTCGCCCAGTACCCACACAGAATTTACCGATTCTTGGTGTTGCACACAGTCTACACATCCGGTCAGCTTCCCTCTTGAAATAACTAGTATTACACCATGGAAGCATCCAGATTCCCCAAAGGCCCTCAATATGCATCTTATCACACGGGCATTGCACGTAGTGCATGTGTGTCCCGCGCCTGAGGCTAGCGTGGATGCCGCGTGGAAGACAGGGCAATGGAGGATTCGACCGTCTCCCCGGTCCGGCGCTCTCCTAAATCAGAACGGGAACCCAAGGCCAGTTCTACGTGAGTGACATACCTTGCTTACATCGACAGCGAATGCTTAGTAATGGACATTACGAGCTCAATATCGGGACTCCCTATGCCAAAGCATGACGCGGGCACTGGTTAGAAAGGAGGCCAGGAGTCGGCTGTGGCCACGGAGACAGCCGAACAACCGCTGTCTTGGGACACAAAAGAACTCTTTCGTGAGAGAGGGGATGAGCTAGGGGCTTAGAACAACAGTGACATAAAGTGCAAGATAGGTGTTTACAATTAGCATAAGGTACCTAGGTAGCGGATCGGGCGTCATTCCATTGAGCCTGCTAAAGTATCGCGGTGGATATGGATTGAACAAGCTGTTCATCCCAGGCTTAGCCAATATTCGATACCATGGTCCCCTCGGTTCTCACGACACGGCACAGGATATCCCAAGCTCTGAGGCTAATTCTGGAATGTAATTATTGCACCGCCGTTTGTCCCCCATTTGAAACCAGTTTGCGAGCGAGCGGAGGTTACGGGGTGAGGCCGGATGATGATTCATCTCGAAAATAGCCATCGGCTTCTATCTCGGGGGCCTCAGCACTTCTGTCGTCACCCCGGGTAGGCACCTCCGGCTTGCCATTGTAGGCAAACGGTTGCTAGAACTCATGTGCTTGGGAGACTGTGGCCTCAGAGGTACAAGGTCGGGAAGCGGATATCGCAAACATGCCGAAGACATTTGGACGCGATGTGACGTCACGATAAACTACTGGTACCACAACTTCGTGATCTAAGCAAACATAACGCAGAAGAAGATTATAATTTTAGGGCCATGTTCTATTCTCTTGTTGTTCGAGTCTGAACTGGACTTCGCAGCGCTTGGTTATGACGAAAGTTTATGTCATTCTGCCCAGAGCCAGATGTGATTCACTTACGGATACATGTAAACCAAACAGGTTCACTGTTTAAAGCTAAAACAGGGACTTCTTCAGATACTAGGTAGTCATGCTTGAGTAGGTCGAGAAGTGTGTAGCTGGCTGGTTACAATAAGTCCGTGTAACTTCGCGATTGCCATGGCATGCACCCACATAGAATCCCATAGCGCAATATACCAGACCAAATTACTTGCGATGCGTATATGTTGAGATGCTGTTGGAAAGCAGTACAAGACTTCAGTAACTAGTCTATCTCCTGGTTTAATGGAGGTTGTTAATAGAGAATAGAATCTGACAAAGGAAACAGTGTGTGTATTTGAACTCAAGACAACAACTACCAGCTTAGCCAGCTACTGGGACCGCTTTGGCTCAACACGTAACTTCAAAGTCAACCAGATGGTAACTCATTAGGTTGAAGTCAAGCCAAGAAACCAGAATCAGGCGTCTAGTGGCATGGTGAAAAGGTAACACATCGAGAATATACTCTATTCAGCACGCCATAATGCGTTCCGATTCTTTCTGTCACAATATTTGAGGGCCACTCCGTCCATCCCAACACATCAACCGGGGAATATTAAAACCCGAAAACGCCATAGCAATGCAAATTCCGCGCTTAGGTTTGGCAAGCCTCCTTCAATAAACAACCAAGAGAATAGACACCGGCAAAGTCACATATACAATAGGGAAGTTGGGGGAAATAGAAAGAATGTCCTTACCCCCATCTCAGAAGGCCAACAGATACTCAGGCTGCCAAAAGCCCCCGACCTTTTGTAAATGACACGCTGGGCATCTATAGCCGAATGTAGAGATCGAGACACTCGACTCGCCATTCTCTTCTCCCCAACAAACTTCGCAACCATTCCATGCCGAGTCCCGTCCATTCTACCTTTGTTCGTGTAATCTGCTCCGTGGCAGCGGTAACTAATGCGCCGGCTGTGGTGTTGAGCATTTCTGTGACAGCAGCTGATGCTGTGGCGTTGATGTCCTCTGTGGCAGACAAATTGGCGCCCCCCTCAGACCTCCATCCCGATATGGGCAGGTATATGAAGCTCCCGCCCGGCCTGGACTGAAACCAGTTGCTGTTGAAGTCGAAGAAACAGCGGTCGGACCAGTTGCAGGAGGTCAAGAAGAGGATAAGCAGGAGAAAAGAGCAGTATACGCAGGGCCTGTTGAGGAAGTAGGTGCAGACAAAGAATAGAAAGATGAAAGCCGGCGATGCGTTCGTCGGGATGAAAAGGAGAGGAAGCCAGCTAGGTAACGAAGACCAATGTTAGATTTCACGGCGCATGCATAAAGCGGGTTACTCCGAGGTTGGAAATCTGAAGGTGTAGGGAGTGAGGGCCAAGGGAAGCGAACCTGCGGAGGCAGAACATGGTGGGAGAAACCAGTCTCTGTAGCGACTTTGCGCAGCTCCCCAGGCCGGCAGTCAGACAATTCAACGACAGCAAAGGAGCCAGTAGAACGAACGCCTAGGCTTCGAATAGGAAACAGAGGACAAGCCCTCTAGTTGGCGACAGGTGGTGCGATGTGAGGTGGTCAATGTGGACGGCTTTCGTTTGCGACGGCGCTTGTGCCTAGGCGCCCCAGTCGGGACTCGCCAGTATCAGTCGGTCTGGCAGATTCCGAGGCAGGAATAAGGAGGGATGACGAAGTAACGGCAGGCTAAGAGTCAAGGTGCAGCCAAAATCCGCCCTTGATGAAGCTCTCGACCGCTTGTTGGTCCTGGGTGGCTGACACTGGGTGGAATTTAGGTATCCTGCGGCCCTTGACAGGACGGCACCACATTTCTAAGATAGCGTTGAGATCCATCAGATCTTCGTGTTCGCTTATGTAAGTGGCGGCGGGGGGTGGGGAGCCAAACATCCGCTAGTCCTGAACTTGCTAGCACCTCTCCACCTCAGGCATCCTCTCTCACGCTGCCGGGACATGATGTTTCTACAAGCCCCGGAGCTACCCAAGCAAGTGGTTGCCAAAATAAAAGGCACGCACTACCTGCGAGTACCTAGCCCACTATAGTAAATTACTAACAACTACAAGTCGCCTCCACGTACTACCACCGAGTCACTCGACCCTCCCCTACTAACACATCCTGCATTCACACTACCATCGAATCAACCCATTTGTTTACCGTCTCCTGGGTGAGTGGTGTGTGGTTTAGTGTGGTGTGATGGAAAGTGGTAGAATTGCTAAGGCTCCTGTTAGTGGTCGACCTGCATGGGCTAGTTTGGCGTGCCTTTTATTTTGGCAACCGATTGCCAAGGTAGACACTTTAGTTCCTGACTCTGCGTTTTCGAATGCCACTTTAGTTGTGAATTGCTTGTAAGCAGCCTCCAAAGAGGGACTTCTACTCCGGTCACACCCTCAGTAGGTGCACAGAGAGAGCGTATTTCAGGTACCTTAGGTTTCGGTCTTGAGCTGTTATTTTGCAGAGAGGAAATGGCCAGAGGGCTTATTTCCACGGGGCGACGGGAGGCGCCCGCGTGGAGGACTGGGGTTGTCGAAACAAACAGCGCAACCCAACTTAAACGCTACCGGCGCGGGATCCCCGCCATCTTGAAAACAACATAGGTAGCAGCGGTCTGCACGACGCCAATAGGTAGCCCTGTTTTTAGATAGCATGCGAGATTTGTCCACCACTTTGACATGATGCTCTCCTGCCAGCTCCTCGAGGCGCCTCATTGGACACCTCTCTCGGGCCAGCCCCACGATGTACACGTGTAGACGCTAAGTGGCACGGGCCACCGCCACAAGCCCAATCCCCAGCCTCAAGCCTCCAGCGACTTTTTTCTGGACTGCCCATTCGAAGCGCAGCAAACGCAATCTCTGCATCTTCGCGGTTGCAGAAGCTGCAGCTTTCTCTTCCCTCTTCCTTCCTCGCCTTGCACCATCCGGCGAGTGTGTATTACCAACAGCCATCGTCGTTACAGTGCAATACTCGTCAGTTGGAAATTGGCGCCGCTTGTGTTTTCTGCATCCAATCCTTCCCTGCTCTTCAAGTTCTCCGCCGACAGTAGCAGCGCATTCCGCCCTTCACCCCGTCGTCAGACTCCGCACTATTCGGCGGCGCCACGCACAAACAAGCCTGACGTTCTGAAGGATTGTTGATCTGAACACGCAAGGTGACAAGGGCTACTCGAGACATCTCACAGTGTCTTGGGCTCGTCCGCCATCGCCGCCATGTCCAACTTTTCGGCGCCGGGTGGCTCTGGCGCGCCCGACACCGACTCCAGTGCCAACTTTGAGTCGCTCCTAGCCCAGCTCCGACGCCAATCCTCGCCTAGTCCTGGACCTGCCGCCGCGCCTGACCCCTTGGGTCAGTTTGGCTTCAACCAGGGCAACCAGTCGTTTTACGGTCACCACCCCAATCCCGACTCTCCTAACCTGCCCAATTTCCAGGGTACCATGGATTCGCCTGCTTTCCTTCCCGAGGCTCCCACACCACCAGTTAACTTCTCCCACTCCCAATTCCCCCCTGGCTTGATGAATCCAATCGGCACGGGCCGCGCAGGTGGAGGTGGCGGCGGCGGCGGCGGAGACGATCGCACAGCTCATCTGTTAAATCTCCTCAAGTTTAGCGGACAAGGCGGTTCTTCGAATCCGCCCCATTCATCTCGTGAGCCCTCGCTCAACTTTGCGCCCGCTCCCCCAGCTCGAGTGGTGCCTCCGATCATCCATGCACCCGCTCCGACGTCGGCAGACCCAACTGGCCTTCTTGCGGCCCTGATGAAGGGAACACTGCAGCCAGAACCGCCAAAGCCAGAGCCTCCGTCGGCAGCGTGGAACCCAGCCGTTCCTCCTTCCGATACCCAACAGTATCTGCTGAACCTTCTAAACCGACCCAAGCCGAGTCAAAACGATCTGACCGATTCCAACCTGTTGACCCCGCCCCCTGGTGAAGACGATGCAAGAGATGGAGATGGCTCAAATGGCGCTCGGTCTGCTGAGCCCACTCTTGTTGGCACTCTGCCATCACGATCGGAATTCGATTTTGAACCTAAGGGGCTGGGATCGCCTCCGAAATATGGCTCAACTCCCCAGTCCCAGCATTCGCAAGCGGTCTCGACGACAAAGTCGGCTGTCCATGGCGGCTACTCGAACCCATTCGAGGATCTCTCTGGATCTTCTCCCTTGAACCGGACGCCCAAGTCTTCCACAACGCCCGGAGCATCTGGCCCCCCGACAAGCGCCAGCTTTTCTGCACCTGTCTCAATCCAGATCCTCAAGAAGCCAGACTCTGCCGCCCAGTCTCCAGATCAGAAGCGGTCTTTGAGTGATCGTAGCATAGGAGGCAGTCCAGAGCACTCGAGACGTAAGCTTACGCATGCGCCCTCGCCTCTCTCTCACGGAAACGTTCCTCGCCCCGCCCTCGTGAGCGTATCTCCCTTGTCCGATACTAGCGCCGAACAGGCTCAGCTAGTTTTGGCCGGGGAGAGCTCCGCCGAGGATAACAAGAAGGAGAGCGTGGCAGACGCTCTGAGCGGGCTTGCCGAGCAGGTTGACAGAGAGGCCCGGGAGGCTCTGACTCGCGCTGAGGACGTGAAAATCAAGGAGATTGCCCAAGACATGGAGGATATGATGAACGCCCGAACCGACGAGCAGTTTGTGCAGTCCGCGCAAATTACCGCCCAGGCTATTATCAAGGAGCTTGACAAGGACGAGAATAAGACGGCCCTCGACTCCCTGGAACCGGGACTCGCTAGGGAAGCGAATGATATTCTCGACGAGGCTGTTCAAGGTCAAGGGAACTTGGCCCCAGTGGCTGATAGCTGGGAGAGCGCCGAAGCCGACGAGATTGTGGTGATTGAGGAAACCGCGACTCCCATCAAGGTTTATAATTTCCCCATGAAGCCCTGGATATCCATCGCTGTGCAAGAGACGGATGAGGTTCGCCCCGTTTTCCGTGAGGAGTCTATTTTAGACATCGCACGACTGAAGAAGGATTTCGACCAAAACGACCGCAACCTCGTTTCTGCGTCGGAGACGTACATGGCTTATGGCATGTCTAAGGCGGGCGGACTTAGAGTGATCAGGCAAGAGGACGGCAAGGACGCCAAACTTTTCACTGACACCAAGGACCGGATCTTCAACGTGGCCATCTCAACGTCGCCTTCAAATCAGCACGCCAAGGAAGCAATCATTGGTACTGGTGTCAGTGGTACCGTCTATTGGGTGCAGCTCAAGAAGGGCAACCGTGACCACTTGGAGGATGCTCACCCTGAGCAGTATGGATTCGCCCTACCACCCATTTCTGGTCAGGAGGGCGGCGATACACCAGGCGGCGTCCTCAAGACCCGAGCCAGGACCTCTTCGATGCACCCGGACTTTTTTGCTGTCGGCCGCGGCAAGTCGATCAACATCATCTGGCCCTCCTTTATCTTTGAACACAATCTGTTCAAGACTGGTCACGACCGCGTCGTGGATACGGAGAAGCTTCTGAAGCAGTGTTCGTTGAAGATCAACACTGGCAAGGCTGGGAAAGACTTCACTTTCAGCCAAGACGATACTTTGATGGTCTCACTGGATAAGTCTGGCCGGGTCAAGTTCTGGGATGTGCGTGACCTGACGGCGACGAAGGAAGGGTCAGAACCCTCAAATCCTCTGCCCTCGCGGACGTCTCTCGAGATCAAGGAACCACTGATGACCTTGACCTCTACGCCCGAGGGCGAGAAGGCATGGCCTACCTCTGTATTGCTGCTGGATAAGTTCCGGCCGTATCAGAGGCGTGCCGCCTTGAGATACATGATCGTGGGCATGAAGCAGAATCACACTCTTCAGCTATGGGATTTAGCATTAGGGAAACCGGTCCAGGAGTTCAATTTCCCGCACAACAAGGAGTCAGATGCGGTCTGCAGCGTCATGTACCATGCTCCGTCGAGCATGATTGTTGTCGGGCACCCAACCCGCAACTCGATCTACTTCCTCCACCTCTCAGCGCCAAAGTATAACCTAAAGAACGTGACCCAGGTGGATTACATCGAGCGGCTCGCCGCCCAAGATCAGTCGGTCCCCCTGCCAGAGGCAACTGCCGTCATTAGTGGTATTCGGGAGTACTCTTTCGCGAACAAGGGTGTACTGCGCAGCCTTAACATTCTCGAAAACCCCGCCTCGTCTGGCGACGGAGATGAGCCAACCCTCTTTGAGCTGTACGCTATGCACTCCAAGGGTGTCACCTGCCTCAACATTAAGCAGAGCGAATTGGGTTGGACCAAGGATAACAAGGTTATCGTTTCCGCTGATGCGGTGGAGCTTGGCATGGTGAAGATCTCGAAGCTTATCTCGCCCCCTCTGCCACAGCCTGCAGACCCGCAGCACATCAATACCCCGAGCAACGAAACCCCGGTCCCCCAGATCCGCATTGCTACGCGCAGCGCCAAGGATACGCAGCAAAAGACGCCGCCTCAAGGCGACGACAAGAAGGGTCCCGAGTCTGCGACACCGGCGAAACTGGATCAAAAAGCGGAGGTCGAGGCCCAGACCCCGATGCATCAGCCCGAGAAGGCAGAGAAGAAAGGCCGGAAAAAGAAGGGCCAGGCAGCTGCACAGGCGGCGGCGGCGGCTGCAGCTGCAGCATCTGCGGCAGGTGCGGCAGGTACGGCCGATCGCGACTTCGGCTCAAACGGTGCGGTCGAGCTAAGCCGAACTTCGTCGCAAACCAAAACTGGAAAGAGCTTGACCCGCGCCGGCGGCGACGCATCTTCCACACTTGCCTTGACCCACCAGCTCAGTGATCTCACGTTGGTACCCGCCGCTGTTTCGCCTGAGCACCTCGATGCTGTGGTTGCCAGCATGGAGTCGCGAATCGTGACCAAGCTGACTGACCGGTTCGATGCCCTTTTCAACGAGCTTCTTAAGCAGATGCACTCTTTCCAGGAAAACCGCGACACGGCCTTTGTCACAAACCAATCCGCCCTACTTCAAATGGTTGCCGACGTCTTGAACGACAATACTGAGGCTGTTCTGAAAACTCTCATCATCGAGCAAATTAACACGACCGTCATCCCATCTATCCGCAACGCAGTAGAGAATTCAGTTTCAGATCAGGTAAGCGCCAAAGCTACCGCTCAGCTTAACGCCCTGCAGAAGGAGGTCCAGAGGCTCCTGCCTGGCGCCGTCAGTCAATCCATGCAGAAACCCGACATCGTCAAAAACATTACAGACAAGATTAGCCACAACGTCAACGCCCACGTAGATTCACTCATTCAGAAGGCATTCGCCAACCAGGCGCCTAACATCGCCAAAATGACAGCCCAAACCGTGCAGCAGCGCATCGTTGATGATGTCAGCAATCAGCTCAGCTCAGCTTTAGAGCGGCTCGAGGGCCGCAGGCGCGACGACGATGCAAAGCTCGATCGTCTCATTGCACAGACTGCTGATCTCTCCGGCATGATCTCGACGTTGGCCGCCTCTCAAACCCAGATGCAGAGCGAATTTGCCTCTCTTAAGCAGCAGATGCAGCAGATGCAGCAGATGCAAGAGCAGAGCCGGATGCAAGAGCAGAGCCGGATGCAAGAGCAGAGCCGGATTCAAGAGCAGAACCGGGAGCGCGAACTGTCTGCTGCCGCAGAATCCACCCACAGCCATGCCCATTCTCGCGACAGCGGCGGATCGCACGGCCAGGTTGGCACTGCCACCCGAGAGGCTATCAATTACCCTACGCAACACCAGCATCAGCCTGCCCACGCACACGCACATGCCCATCAGCGCCAGCATCAGTTTGGCGGACACGACCAGCAGATTGGCTTTGCGCCCGCGGCCCGCGAAGCGCCCGAGGAGAACTTGGTCGAGATAATTGATGCATTGATGCGATCCAACAATTACGACGAGGCCATTCTGCGCTGGCTCCAGTCTGGCGACAGGGCTGAGGAGATCTTCCAGAAGGTACTCTCCAATTACAACCCGGTCTTCCTTGCAAACTTCCAGCCTCTTCTGCTTTTGTCTGTGGGCGCCACGGTCTCTCTCGAGTTTTCGCGTAGCACGCCGAAGATGATTCAGAAGGTTGGCTACATGGAGGTCGTTATCTATGCGTTCAATCAGATCTTGCCGACCTTGGTATGCACTTCCTCCGTCCACCCACTTACATACTTTTTCCCCATATTAACCAGTAACAGGATGACCAAGTTCGCGAGGTGACACCCAAGATCATGTCGCTCTTGAAGACGCGAGTTGAGCAGCTCTTGCTTGACATCAGCCGTGTGGCACCGCTTGACAATTCTCTCAAGACACTTGCCAGCATGGGACACATTGCTGGCCGCATTGCCGACAGCATCCAGTCCCAGAACATGTCGGCTCACGGAAGCAGCATCTACTAGGCAACATGGTTACGGTAGATACTTGGGTGAAGAAACGGGCGGCGCAACATTTCCCCCTGCAAGCTGCTTGATACCTATTCCCTCTTCCCCTCTTTAATGCTTCTCGTCGCCGCTTCTTAGGGTTGGCAAAGGCGCCAATCTCGTTCTAGATGGTCACCAACTGTAGACTGCGCATGCAGGCTATGGGTGATATAATTGGCGCGGCGGATGGAGTGATTCCCCTGTTTCTGCCTTTTTTCCCTTCATTTCCTTGCGCGGTTCCTTTTGATCTGAAGAAAGTCGACCAGGCATTTACAATCCCGAGACGAATAGGATGCCAACAAGCCAGCAGGGAACCCATAATCTGGTCCATCATGTGCAGCACATCGGCGTCCGGTTGTCTTGTGACGGATAGCGATGACGACTGGGACGACTTACTCTTCTTATTTTACGAATTTGTCTGTATAAAAGTTCCCAATGAACATAAATTGCCAGCTACTTGACTTGGGCCCTGAAACTCGATCCCTCTTTGGCTAGTGATGATGTGTGATGACAAGAAGTTCGGATGCCGAGGCCCAGAGAAGCAGATCAGCACCATCGGCCGACCCCTTACGCCACGTTCATGTAACTCGCCCTGGTTGTTCCGGATTAGGTGTTGCTGTCACGTGTGTGGGAAGCTGTCCGTGCGTTGATTCCATGGCAACGAGTGCCCGTTTGACTTGGGATGCCGTCGACTAATTTGATCCAGATCCACCTCAGCTACCACGGACGCCATCCCATTGCTCTCTGCCAAACTCGGGATTCTGGCCCGCGCTCATCTAATGGTTTGTCGATGATTAAACATCCCGAAGTTCGTTGCCTGCCAACCGTTTTGCTTCATTTTTCTGTTGTTCCCTTTTATGTAAAAAAAGAAGAAAAAAAGCTTCCTCCCATGAATACAAACAAACAGACGACCGCCGTTTCTCACAATCACATAGGTCCCCATGTATCTTATTCCCGAATGCTCGGCTTATAACTTGAGGTCTCGCTGCGGCCAGTATCTTGAGACAGAAAACGCCCCAACCAGTATTAATTACGTGAGTTAGGTATCACTACCACTCACTAGACTCAAAACTCACCCAGTGACCGAGCGATCATAGGACTCATTCTCATTTTTCTACGCATACAGTCTTGGCTGCATTTTCCTGCTAGTAGACTCCTCTAGATCGACTACTGCTGTGTGGCCAAAGGCAATGGCGTCTCGACTGGCACCGAAGCCGTTGGCGTCGTGCGTTCTCGAAGTAGAGAGAAAGTTCCGCACCATCGCAGTCCGCGAACTAACGCAGCATGGCGGCACACCCCCCTTTCGGAGCCTGTCGAGGCTCCCTGCCAAGACCATCCAGGACTCGTACTACGACCGCTCTGACGTGCTCTCGGCGGCCGGCGCCTGGGTCAGGAACCGGGACGGCAAGTGGCAGGCCAAGCTCCGACTTGGCGGCGACTTCAAAAACTCGCGCTTTGAGGAGCTAGACGACGCCCGCGACATCGCAGCGTGCGTGAGGCGCCTCGCGGGCATTCAGGGAACCGAGGCCGACTGCTTCGGCCTCCTCCCCATGGCGACCTTCTCGACGCGGCGCGAGGCGTGGGTGGCCGACAGCGAGTTCCTCATTGTCCTCGACTCCATGGATTTTGGCCACGAGGTCGGCGAGGTCGAGCTGCAGCAGGTTCTGGGCGGCGAGCCGATGAGCGAGGTGCAGAAAAAGGCAACGATGGAGGAGATGGACAACAGGATAGTCGCGTTTATGAAGCGCTACTCGTGGGCCTTTGCGCCGGGCCATCCCACTGGGAAACTCATGGCCTACTTTGAGCGGATGCGGGCCTCGGTCCCGTAATTCAGCTGAGTGTTGAATATAGCGGCGGATCCACGGATGGAATACTAACCGAGGCTAAGGCTCTGTAACAAGAGTCTAAATATTATATGTTAATTTCTTCTCTAATTAATTAATTAGCATTCAACAGCGTAAACCTATTCATCTTCATAGGCGCAGGGAAGAGAAGCACATTTCTGTCCTCTTTGACAACCGTATTTCTCAGTATTTGATGGGGCATGATCAAAATCTAGTACAGGATCCCGCGGCCGAGCAAAAGGGAATTAGAAGATCGGGACCATGGCTACCTGTCAGACTCACTATAAAGAAGTTACATTACAAGGGCTACTTGAGGCTTACCGTGGTTCCCCTCGCCGCTGACCACAAGCTTGTGCTTTCAGGGCGTGGGTCTCGGGGCCTGGACTGCCGATGGAAATCCAATGTTGTCTCTTTGCCACAGATGTCCAGTCAGCCCCCCGCTGGTGCCCAAGCCAACCGTCTGCGTCTCCTTGTTCCTGTTTCAGTTGCATCTTTCCAACTCTATTTTGAGAGGCTGTTGTTGAATGGCTATTCAGGGAACTTGCTTCTGCATGAGTATTAGGAGTGACCGGTTTCTTTCCTTTAATACCTGAGCAGAAGGAGGTCGTTCAGACCGGGTTATGCTTATGATTGTTCATGTTGCAAACCGATCGTGGTGTTTAAGATCGACAAGTTATTAGCCAATCACGGCACAAGACGGATATTAAGGGCATGGCATGTCCGATATAATAAGTATACGTCTTCTTGAGGTTGAATAACCCGACAATACTAGCGGATAATAAATAATATGCCTCTTTTGATGCACTCGCTGGTGATGGTACCGTGGAAGCAGTTACCGGAAAGTCCAATTGTTAACTCTTGGCGGCGTTCATAGAGGGTGGGATAGTGTCAAGTCGGACGAGAGCATCAGAAGATGCAACTAAAAAATTGGCTCCCGAGCAGTGGTTTCACTGACCCAGAGAACAATTAACCCAGAGTGGATGTTGAGCAAAAAGGGATGCGTCAAGAGGGAATCGAACCCCCCCCTCAACCTTGGAAGGGTTGAATCCTAACCACTAGACCATTGACGCGATCGTACTCGGGTAGATGGTGAAATCGCAGAAAGATTTGGCCTATGGCATCATGTGCGGTGTCGGATTTGAGCAGCGGGGGTGGATCCGGTGGGTGCGAGGGAAACTTTGAACCTCACGCACCCAAGGCGCACCCCGCAGCATGCAAGCTTTTCTTAACACGACAAATTAAATGTTGCTGTAGGCCTCTGGCAATCCCCAAAGCAAGACAAGCCAGATCAACAAGAACGGTATTGTTTGCCAATATTCCGGCGCAAACCAATCCCAGTTGTGGCACGCCGGTTCGCGCCCTGCTAGGCATCCTGTCATGGCAACACCAATCATGAGCCAGGGCGGATCAGTGGGCTCTGTTGCGGTCAGTCCTCAACTCCAAGGTTCTTCACTGCATTGCCTTCCATGTTCTGTCAGCTAATAACACCAAAACCGGCAAACATAGGACTTTAACCCTTGTTAGATGCAAAACCCATGTTCCCATTCCAGTAAGCACGTCTGCAGATGAGCAATTCATTCCACTCCGTTGCCTGTCAGTTGCAGGTGGCCTCCGGCGCCGACCAGGACGGCGTCAGTGGTGGCTTGGCAGCCACTAGCGAGCGGTTCAGGGACCTCTAGCGCACTGACAGGGCCACCAAGCCGGGCACCACCCCACCCCCTACGGCGGGGGCCTCTCGTCTGGGGTGCAGCCGCTGCGCTGCGGACCGTGGGACAATGCCGCTCCGCCCGTTAGCCCAACGAGGCCTCGAAAGCCACCAGCGGTCCTGTGTCATCCACTCCAGGCCTGGCCAGGTACCCCGAATCCGACCCTCGGTCTGTTGAAGGCCGCGGAGATACGGTATCTCAGGTTGGATTTGACGTCTATTAACTGAGGTGCTTGGCACAATCTTCTTCTCCGGCTTGGATTTCCCGAAAGCCTTTCCCGTATCTAGTTACGGATAAGAAGTGCGCATTTCATCCATGTAATATGTATTGTACAATACATCCAAGACGTTTGCACTTGTCAAGCCACCATCACTAATTCCCAAGGCAAGGCAGCCACAGCCACCACGCTCTCTGGTTCCCCGGATGAGTCCTACCGCGGCGCCAGGCAGACAGGACACAGATCCCTGCCTTGTCCAGGACTTTGTCGCTATGACCACGACCCATGCGCAGCGTACCTACAATCCAGGGGCTGTTTATATAATATTGGTCCCGCTCCCCTTCCCCCCCTTCTCGGCTCTCGTTCGTCAACATATCTAACCATTCTTAGTGGCAGACATCGTCGTCGACGCTGTCTGTCGATCCTATCCTTGCTTGCTTGCTTAACACTGTCTACCCTTTGACCACACATGATTCGTCTCGAGAATCGCGTAGAGCCCTAGACGCCGACGCCGGATCTTGATGACCCTGAGGTCCTCCGCAACTGGATCCTTGCCAAACCCCCCAGCACTGATTCTAAACCTACAGCCCCGATGCGAATGGTCAAGGAACGTCAAACAGGCCTAAGACGTATCGCCAACATGGTGGGCCGTGATGAGATCTCAGAGAATCTCTGGAAATGGCGCTACAAGCTCAAGAACATCGGCAAGAGCGGCGAAAAGACGCTGTCCGATTTCTCGTCGGCCGAGGTTGCCAAGGCTGGCGAGTTTGACGACACTGCCAAGACTAGGTCCAAGACGAACAAAACCTCCAAGAACCCGTTGGCGTCCTCGGTTCCAAGCAAGAACGCCGACCTAGGGTCCAGTGTCTCGGTGAAGACGCTATACGAGGGCCCCAACAGCCACGATGATTTCTACGACTGGGTCGACTACCCGCCCAAGCAACTGAGTAAGAGTGCTGTCAAGGCTCAGGACCGTGTTGCCATCAAAGTGTTCAAGGTCAAGGACACGGATAAGCCCGTCATCTCGGGCCGCTCCAGCCTGCGCTATCACATGGTTGAGATCCAGAACCCGCTGCTCCTGGCCGCCCTCGGCAACATTCTGAAGAAACAGGACGTGCATCTAGACGCAAACGAGAACGCGAGCTTCCAGCACCCCTTCACCAAGCTGTATTTTGGCTACCCAGATATTTTGGCCGCCTACCGGGCACTCGGCAATGACGACGCCAGCAACGCCCTCCGTCCCTTCCTACTCCTTCTCATCCGCTTGCTCGATGACATCTTTACCGACACGCGGGCCAAGCTCGAGCAACTCCGCGCCAGCGGGCTCGTTTCATACAAGCTGGCCTGGGCCTTTTTCCCTCGCAACACAACCGTCATCGCATGGGGCAACAACTGCGAGCTGCTCTGCAAAGTTACTGATACGGCCTACAACTGTGCCGGAACTATGAAGTTTCTGCAGATCGAGGGCAAGGTACTTCGCTTCAATGGCCGCGGCTTCCAGTGGGAAGATTACCAGATTAAGTTGCCTGAGTTTTCCGGCAACAAGCTCATCACTCAGCTGCCAGCGTACCCCCTCGAATTCCACGAGGGAGCCGACGAGGTAGAGGCGCGGTTGACAGCGCGGGGGCGCAAGGTGCTGGACTACCAGGGCCTGGCCTATGTCAACTACACGGGCATTGCCATGCATCAAGATGGGAAGGATATGCAGAAACACAATGTTGACGGCAGGGTGCTCATCGACGTGGTTGGCTTTAACAAGCATCACCTCGCGCTGGGGTCACGCGAGGGAGGCGACCCCGAGACGCAGAAGCAGCAGCTGCCCGTTCTCGGCGACGGCGACCACGATAGCGACGACGGGGACGAGGACCACACAGCCCGCAATCTAGCCACGGACGCGGCGTCGGGCGGCACCAGCGCCAAGAAGTCCATGACCAAACGGATTGGGCAAGCGGCACAGAGGCGCAACCGGGAAACACTTCTCGCCTGCGAGGCCAAGGAACCGCACTTCATGTATATGCTGCCGCTGATCGAGGGTTATGCGCTTATAAACAAGCTGTGGGTGGCCTTCTACGTCGAGGACATCTCGCCGGTGGTGTGGAACGACCAGGCCTACGACCACCTCGTCTACGACGAGCAGCAGAAGGACCTGGTCATGTCGTTTGTTGAGAACCACGGAGCTGTCGCGGTCCAGAAGCGATCGAAGGCGATGCAGGATGTCATTGCCGGGAAGGGTGAGTCTTGCTTTGTTTACACTCCGGCATTTTTCCAGCCACGCTGACATTGTCTCTAGGCGAGGGTTTGATCATTCTGCTCAGCGGTCCCCCAGGGACGGGCAAGACGCTGATGGCCGAGGCCGTGGCGGACCGTACGCATAGACCGCTCTTCTACCTGCAGGCCGAAGATCTCGGCACAAACCCGGCCATCCTGGGCGCCAACATCAAGAGGGTGTTCGAGATGGCGACCGAGTGGAACGCCGTGATCCTGCTTGACGAAGCCGATGTCTTCATGGCTGAGCGACACCCCTCAGACATTACGCGCAACGAGCTCGTCTCCATCTTCCTGCGCGAGCTCGAGTATTACCGCGGCATCATCTTTTTGACCACCAACCTGTACAGCACCATCGACTCGGCCTTCCGCAGCCGCGTGAGTCTGCACCTGCTGTTCAACTCGCTGACGCCCGAGGCGCGGACCATTGTGTGGCGCAAGTTCTTGGACCGGCTACCGCCTCCAGTTGCCATGCCGGGCAAGAGCCTTTGTGCCGGTGCCGATGACGAGGGACCACTGGCGGCCGTGGAGCTGACTGAAGACGACGTCAAGGAGCTGTCGGCGTGGCAGCTCAACGGCCGCGAGATCAAGACGGCCGTCAAGATGGTCCGCACCTGGTGCGACCACAAGGGCTACGACATGACGCTGTCGCGCCTCGAGAACGGCATCAAGGTCACCAGCCCGCACGCCAGCAAGAGCACGAGCGACAACGACACGTCGCTGTACGATGACTGAGACGGGACGCAGCCGTTGGTATAATTGGATTTGGGGTTTCCCTTTGTCTATTGGAGGTATTTCGGGCTAGGGCCCGGCGTGTGTTGTCTGGCGTTGTGAGATACCTTACTATTGTTTGCTGGGGCAGTCAGATGGTGCTGAGCTTGGATGTGGCCGCCATTACTCCGTAGCGGGTACCCGGAGGACAAGCTCCTACCGATCTCCTTTTGAGCGTATACGCGAGCCACATGTACTCCGTAATTAGTTCAGTCTAAATTATCGAACATTGTCTCGTATCGCGGGTCTGTGAGCTGCCCCCCGTCCATCGCACGTCTCTGGTGACGCCGGATGCCTCACGGGCGGTCGAATTGACAGGCAACGGCCGGCTCTCAGTGGAGGGACGCTAGCCTGCGGGCGTGGCTAGGCTGGACTGAATACGAGATTCCCATCGCACAGCGCGCGCTGCCCCAATGGCAGGCCGCGATGACAGGTGACACTCGGAACACGAGCCCACGGAATGTCTTTCGGCACGTGGCACACCCACACCATTGTCCAAGATGTATTGACTCCGGAAAGACGGGGTGTGCCAGATGACTGACTGTTTGGATATAAAGCCACTTGCCTGTTCCTGCTGTGACTACTTCTAGCCGATGAGAGTAAGGTTGACCGTGGCACAGCAAGACAACTCCCGCCGATCCGCAGAAGCACAACCGCGCTTCCAAGTGTCTGTCTATAGGCTCTCACGCAAAGCAAAAATAGACATGCTTGCATTCCTTCCGCTCGCGCTGCTGCTGTCTCTGGCGGCAGCCGCCGGCCCTGTGGCCAACCGCGGCCACGATGGCGATGGCCATGGCGATGACAGGTGCGGCGCGAAACCGTCGCGCGACGGCCAGTGCTGGAAGGACATGCTGAAGCTGCAATGGACGGTGCACGGCTTCGACTACCACGCGTCGTACGTCTTCTCGACGCCGGCGCACCAGAACTCGTGGGGCTACGCCAGCTTCAACCTGACCAGCAATGCCGTGCCGTCGTACACGGCCGCCTGCACCGCATCCAGCAGCCAACTATCCAGCTTTTTTTATGGGATTGTTGTGTATAAATGCGTCTTGCCGGCCACGGCGCCCGCCGGTGCCGCCGCGAGCTTCCGCTTTAATTCCCTGACGGGCGAGTTGGACATTGATCAGACGGTCGTCTGCCGCGAGAAGAACACGCAGTAGGTCCATCAATCATAATGCCTGAGATAGCACATCCAGTCTGGGGAGGGAAGAAAGGGGCAAGCTGATTGATTGATTAATCATGTTGTGTCTTCATTATCTAGGGCGTCGTTCACCGCGTCCGGCTCAACTAACCTCACGCTGAGCTGCACCGATACCAGGACGGTGAATCAGAACTGGACCATTGGCGAGATCTATAGCGACGAGGAGATTAAGTGCGCGCCCGTCGACGTCACGTTCAGGCCAAGCCAGGTTGTTGCGTAGCGTGACGTTGTCTTGGTTGGTGGGTGACTCTGGTGACGTTGACTAGTTTCTGATAGCCATGACGACTTGCAGTATAGGGTTTGTAGGTTAATTAAGTCAGGTGGGGGACTTTTGGAACACCCCTGCCTATGGAACAGCCCCTGAATCGGACCCCGCACAACACCACAAACTTCAATTGCCAACAACTTTGTCAATTAATTAGCTACAATAATGAAGTCTTCAGTATCGGATTCTCCTGATTCTTCTCTTTCAGAATAACTAAGGTCCTCTCTGCCAGCCTCTCTCTGTGAGGCACGAACCTCCTCAATTCCAGCGAACTGCGTATTAGGGTCGACTTGGACCTTCCTTCTCTTTCGGCCTCTTGTGCGTTCTAGGCTTTTTTCTGCAGCCTCCAATTGATGCGCCGTATTGGCTAGTTGGAAAACCACGTAATCGAAGGCTTTTGCGGCCTTGCGTATGAAAAGTCGGTCGTTGGCAGTCCGTTTCTGGCCGGCTAGAAAAACCTGCCCCTGAATACGGAAATCCTTCGGCTTTTTAGGGGTAAACCATATAGGCCGGCCCTCCGAATTCTTATTTAGAATGGGGTTATGGACCTCTTGAAGGTCTATAGAAACCGTAGAGGTCAGTTGACCAACGTCGCCGTTAGAATTCTTAATAACAAGGCCGTTGCTTAGGGGCTTCCTGAGGCTGACTGGCCAGAGGCCTGTAGCTTTCCAGCCGGCTTTGATATTAGATTCAGTCATTCCATAGACCCTGGCTTGCCGGTAGCATTCTAGGAAGGCCCTCTTTTCAGCAACAGTCGAAGCCGGAAACAACCTCGTTATGCTTGGCTCTGTACCGGGCTTTTAGAGGGCCGAAAACCGATAAATCCAGGGGCTGGAGAACGTGGGAGGTGTGGGCTGGTAGAAATAACAATTGTACGTTATTAGAAAAGGCTAGCCACATGAATTCTTCGGTGGTATGACTACCGTGGCCATCTAAAATAAGGAGGCGCTTCTCCGAGGGGGTAGCTGGCCGAGTCTCTGGAAGAAAGATATTGCGGAGCCATGCGACGGTAGTATCATCGTCAGACCAGCCGTTTTCAGTGGGTTTCCACTTCCAGCCCTTAAATGGCTGTAAATCGCGTGGATACCATTGTTGTTGAAGGCTTCCACCTTTGAAAATGACGACTGGGTTCAAATACCGGCCGTCAGCGGAAATACATTCGATAATCGAGGTCCAAATTCGGTCTCCTTTCTTCTTTTTCTGGAATTTCTTTCTTTCCTTAGATCCAACAACCAGGCCGTTATCTCCAATGCCAGAAGCAATGCCAGTTTCATCTATATTATACCTATGCTTGGCTGGAATAGCCTCCACGCCTGGAGGCTTCAAATAGTCAACCCAAGGCCGGATAACGGCCTCACAGGCTCGATCAGCACGGTTTGCATGGATTCTCCGAGGCCTAATTGTAGAAATAGATGGATTTCTAGCCAAAAACCGGCTAGTCCAGCGTTTTCCGAGGGTCTCGTTATCTTCGAGCATTCTTCTAGCTAGTTTCCGAATTTGGGCGTGGGTTGGAGGGTGACCGAGCGACCCTTGGAATAGAATCCATTCGGTTAAGCGTTCTTCCATAGCCGGAGAAAGCTTTTGATTAAGAATTTGGGCCTTGGAGGCTGGCTCGGAACCACGAACCCGATTAAAGAGAGTAGTAGGGGGGATGCCGTGATTTTCAGCAGAGCTACGGAGTAAGCCGGTTTCTGCATACTCTGCCAGCGCATTCTGCAAATCCAACTGAGTATATCGCTTCATCTTTCATTTCTCAATTGAATGGAGAAAAGAAGATAAGTATTGAAGTAGAATTGGTCGAGTTGCAAGCGATTGAAATAGGTGAGTTGGGTGGCGAGCGGCAAGTCCTTGATGACAAACCTTGTTCCAAATCCAGGGGTGTTCCATAAGCAGACCACCTGACTTACGTTAGCAGTGACTGGGGAGACTATTGCAATCTGAGCTCGATATAAGTTTTCTCTCTGCCTTGTGACCAGGCCATATTGGCTGAAATAGCCTTAGTTGAAGCTTCCAGACTGTAAATTCAGGGGATATCTCTTTTCTTTTGTCTAGTTACTCTGGGACTTTGTCTCCTTTTGGAGCGACTTCTGCCTTTCACATGGTAGATTCGTCACCGAAATGAAAATGACTTCAACAGATTCGGGAAATCTTTCGAATCAAAATTAAAAAGGCGCCTTGCCCCCGAGACTAGTCGAGCTCCAGATAACTACAGTGCAAAACCACATTGTTACTTCCAGTTACAGCTCAACAACAACTGAACTGTATATGAGGTCTAGAGCCTCTTTAGTCCGCTCACGTCAAACCCGGGTATCTGCGCGGCAATCTGCTCCCTGTTTTTCCCTGCTAGAAGCCCCAGAAAACTCACGTAGCGTTGCTGGTTGCTTCCCGCCGTGTTGTCCTTTAAGATCTTGTACATGGTTACGTTCGCCCACCCCGAGAAGCCATCCCACACGCGGTTGTTGCCCGCCTGGATGTGCTCGACAAGCCAGTCGCGATGCCGGTTCTTCAGAAATGCAGCATCACCGACGTCGCCGCCACCAAGCCGCGCAGCGAGCCGAGCCGTGACATGAGCTCGCCGCCCCACGTCGTGCGGCCGCTAGCCCCGAGCGCGGCACTCGTGTCGGCGAAGAAGATGTCGCCGAGCTCCGCGCATGTCAGCAGCCCCGCGTTTCCGCCTTGCTGTGTCAGGCTGAGCAGGAACTGCGCGGCCCAACTGGCCTCGTAGACGTGCTCGGTTGCGTAGCCGCACTGCTCGGCGGCGTTTCTGGGCGGCTCGCCCGCCATGCCGTAGTCGGCCAGGTCGTCGGGCGATCGGATGCGGAACCACGGCGTGATCCGGAACGCCGCGCCCCCCAACCGCTCCTGGTCGCTGGCTGTTGGGTAGTCGTCGGCCTCGAGGTCCACCACGGCTGCGCCGCTGGATCCGGCGCCGTCGCATACGAGTTTGACGCTCTTCTTGGCGCGCTTCTGCTGCTGTGCGCCGCCCACCCCCACGCCGCGCGCCTCGACGTCGAACGGCGCATGCTCGAGTTGTCGTCGGAGTCATCGCATGTGTCGCACCCGGGTGTTGGGCATACTGAGGCCGAGGATGAGGGCAGAGCCGAGGTTGTGGAGGTGATGTTTGAGTTTGATGTTTGGGTTGTTGATGTTTCTGTCGTTGGTGCTTGTGTTGCTGTTGTTATTTGTGTTGCTGTTGTTATTTGCGTCGTCCATGTTGGGATTGGTGTCTGAAATGACGTGTGGAGTGAGGTCTGGGATGGAGCGATGATCTGGACTAAAGATGATATCTGAAACGATCTTGTCGTGCTCGCCGTCGAGTCAGTCGTTGTCAGCTCAGGGCTGGACTGACTAGAAGTCTGCAGCTCGAGCGTGCTCGACGTGGCACTCTCAGACACCGTAGTAGTAAGCGTTGATGAAACGAGCGTGGTCGTCGTGTCTGGTTTGCTGGTGGAGTCACTGGATATTGTCGTCCCCTGAGTCGACCTGGATGATGTTGCTGTCATCAAAGTCGAAGACGTCGTTGTCGTTAAGGTCTCGCTCCTGGACATTGAACCGACCTTGCTAGACCTCATTGTGCCACTGGTGGTCTCAACCTTTTGTGTTGTCTTGGTGGGCGTCTTTACTGGTGTGTCACTGCTCCTCTTGGACGTCTTGGGCTTAGGCTTGGGCTTTTTGGTCTTGTTCTTTTTAGGCGGCTTGGGCAACGGCCCAGAACCACCTCCCGACTTCGCATTATTGGGCCCAAAAGCGTAGCAGTGGGAAAATAGGGGCCATTCTTGGTTGAATAGCGTCTGCTCCCAAAGAGGGTTTGCTTCGTTTCCGGCCTTGGCCACTTAAACCGACAGGTCAACCCCCGCCGATGCGTCGAGATTAACACCGGCCGACTTTTGCGTCCTACACACGCCGCTCGAGCTTGCAACTGCGGCAAAGTCGATTTCGACATAGGGCATTCGAAGGTCGAGGCTCAGCTCTAGGCCGTGGTTCAGGGCTTCGGCGCTGAGTGATATTGAGGGCTGGGCGTAGAGCTGCACCGAGCCGGCTACTTTGGCTCCGAGTGTAAATGGCAGGGCTGTGAGTGCCGGATCCCATCCAGAGAACCTGCCGTGAGCAAAGTCAAAGACTTTGACGTCAATGACAGCAGCATTGGAGAGCGCCATCTGGGCCCCGAAGCTGGTCTCAACTTCGCCCGTCCACTCGTCAAGACTGAGGCCGACCTCAATGTCTAGGAAAGCACCAATCTTGCCAATCTTATTGATCTTGATGCCCTCAATCGAGATCGACACCAGCGTCTTTTCCCAGCGGAGGGCTTTGGAGAGCGTCCCCTCGGCCGACATGGTCAGCTGGACAAAGGCAGCCACGTCTTGCGGGTTCACCTTCATCGAGAGCTTGGGGCCCTTCCAGCCAACGTCGAGGTCAAAGTCAACGAGCAACCGCCCGGTGGTGCCGCAGTGCGAGCAGTCGACCGAGAGGTCCAAGCCCGAGACCTTCTGGTGGAACAGGTTCCTGTTGAAGCTGCTCGCCAGACTCAGGGTAAAGTCTGGACCGCGGCGATCAAGAGTAGGAGTGGCATTGACTGCTGGCGCGTAGCCAATGTGGAACGTGTAGTTCTTGGCCACGTCGATCCAGTCCTTGGGCTCGGCATCGAGGAACACCTTAAAGCTTGGCACATCAAACTTTATCTTGCGGACGAGAAAGGGTTGGCGGTCTACATCTGCGCCGGTGCCGCACCTCTCGGTCACCATGACGAAGGTGTTGTTGACATCGTCGTTGACCCAGTTCCAGATTGTGCTGGCCTGGGTGAAAGACGGCTCGTCCCTGAACTCCAGAGTCATGGGCTGTTCACACGCGACAGCCTGAAGAAGGCCGTCAAACCGCTCCATGTTGATGATAGACTCAAACTCATCCTTATAGAGGAGCGTCAGGTTTGCGTAGATGAGATTATCGCCTCCTGCACATCGGTCAGCAGCTGATTAATTGTTAGATCAAAGATGGCATGAAAATCCGACTTACCATGGCCGCCCCAGTAGAAGCTCTCGAAGTCAACCAGTTCCACCCCAAGGCCGTCGTCGGACTCCTGCGTGTTGTCTGCCTGACGCTTGAGTAGCAGGGACGGATGTTGAGCGGGGATTGGGACAAGATCGAGAGCAGCCGTGTTCCAGACATAGTAAAAGAAAACCAAGAGCGATTTGCACTGTGAATAGGACATGGCATAACAGGAACCGACGAGAAAAACGAGAGGGATTGATTACCTACGCAGGCATGTCGTAAACCGACCAGGTGATCGGCCCCTGACAGAGTGGAGGGGCGGATTCATCTTGACAAATACCAGAGTCATGATTCGGTCTCATTTGCTTCAACGCGTTCTGCAAGACTAGGGAACACAGTTACACGAGCTAAACCCGACACCGAAACCCATTTCTGGATATTATTAAGTACCTGAAGTTGTCGCGGAACGAGGCTGTAGGATCTGTAGCGGAGACGTCCGCCAAGGCAAGGAACTGTCACAGATTTGATGCCAAGTCCAAGAGCTGCGTGGTTAATTAGCTCAAGGTTTAATTGACGAAACTTAGACGTCGAGGCTAAGGAGCAAGAGCGAGGCGGCAAGCAAGCAGGCACGGGTTCTCCAATGGGAAGGTGCCTTCGCCGCACGCTGACACAATGAAAGCAGAAAAAATGCACTCTGTTTGCAGCCCAAGGAAAGGGCAGGCAGGATAATTCGCCCGACTAAGGAATGCTTACGGGCAAGATGGATAATGCGAGGGCGCCCGAGAACTAAAGATAGGTCTTGTCGCGTATCATCCATCTCCTAGGTTGGCGTCCATGTTCTGCTGTTTCGCACTTCAGCTCTGAGCACAGCCACGACACATACCCGGTACCTGACGGCAACAACGAACAACTCCGGAGCTGCTTGTCCGGGCTCATAAATCGGCCTGCAGGGTTTCCAGTTGCTCGCAAGACGTAATAGCTGTCCGTCACCAATCCCTCGGTCGGCGCGTCCCCTTTTGCCATTTTATTCTGTTTAGGGCGAAACAATCTGGACCAGACTCGTCTAGACTTCAACGTATGTCGGCGCATTCAAGTTTTGGCATATGATTTGCGTAAGAAACACCAGGTGTCAACTAGAGATAGATCAAGCGAGAGTTATAAGAGAAAACAGAACCCAGTTTACTCACTTTCGTAACCAGTATATCATAGACTCAGGCTTGTCGTGGACCCTGCATTTCTGGGGCCGTGGTCACGGACCCGCCTCGCCTCATGGACAAGGGACCTAAGGTACAGTACCTATCCAACCGCGCGCATTCCGACAAAAACATTAGGTCGTCACAGAGACGGGCGAGACCCGGTTTTTGGGCGGTATTACTTGTTTGTAGCCTGTTCGCATTGCGCAATAACAGGTTGCCGACTCCAAAAGCAGCTCCTACCCCTCTATCCTGGGGGCGGAGCAGGATATGATATCGGGCCATGTCTTGGCACTACGGTATCCACAGTGACATCATAAGCCTCATCCCGACATCGAGCACGGCCATAAAGGTCGCTGTCCTTTGTTGAAATCCCAGCATATCCTTTCTCTCTCTCTCTCTACCAACAAACACCGCTCTCCAGCACAGCACTACCACTCCTCTACAATCACCAACATGGATCCATTTGTCAACAAGATCAAGTCCGCCACCAGCAGCTCTGGCAAGGGCGCGAGCGAGAAGAACGAGGATTATCTTGACAAGGGTACGTGACAACTTGCCACCCGTTGCTTTATCTATTAGACCCCCAAGCTAATAGCCGAGACCAACAGGCGTCGATCTAGTCCAGGAGAAGGTATTCAAGCAAGGGCAGCAGAAGAATGAGACCGACGGCGAGCAAGCCAAGGACGAGAAGATCTCAGACGGTATCCGGACGGGCTACCGAAAGATAATGGGAAAGGATATCCCAATTCAGGATAAATAGATAATACGTACGTAGAGGAATCGATAACGGACTTGGAAGGAAATAATAATTTAATAATAAGCACTCTTAAAATCTTAAACCAGCAGTGGCTTGGCTTTTATCGCTATTACAGCTCGCCCTAACACCGTATATTCTCTCGAAAGTCGAAAATAAGTAAGGATGTTGGAATAGCGACACTTTGGACCGTACGGCAAAAGATGGAGGGTCGGGTGCGCAGGCACGTGACGGAGGAACATGCTGCACGGACATTGACCCGCACCCACTTAATTAGGCCCCCGCCAGCTAGAACCGTAGGTAGCACATGAATCAACGTACTATTCATCACCCCCCTAAGGTTGGATCGCGACACAACGCCTAGGCACAACCGTAGCTAGAGCGCCACGAACAAGGGAGGTTAAAAATAGAGAAAGCTGTCTAAGCTATTAACAACCGTGCGAGTATGTTGACTCTTCTTAAAAAACTGGCATACATGGTATCTTTGATAATAAATTTATTGTAGTGCACCTTGCACATTGTAGTAACTGACAATGCATTTGTTTTTAACAATTGTCGTAGGTCAGATCATTCTTACACATCTGTGCTAATTAATTCTGTGCTTCGAAGACGTTACATACGATTAGTTGACTGGGATAGTAGCCAACTGTCTGTCCCAACTGTTGAGCAAGTTTGTGCGACTTCAGGATGGTCGTCTAAAGTCTGATCCCTTGAGAAATGGGGCTTGTTGGCTTCCGAGGGCTGTGTGACTTGAAAGAGCTGCCTCCTCTCGCCCTTGTACTAACCACGCTAATTCTTTCATAGGTACAAACAATCTTTTACCCTCGAAAATACGTGTGCCTAGCGTCAATTTGGCAACACCCTCATCTCTACCCTTTGCCCACACCAACTTTGCTGTCGTGTGCCGATAGCTTGAGCTGCACCTTGGTTCTTCAGTCAGATAGAAACCGCTGTCAACCCCCCCCCCCCTCCAAGAGAGCCCGAGTCCGGCCTCATACTAGACACTTAGCAAAATGGCCTCGGACGAAAAGACGCTGCAAAACTTTGTCCAAGAGAACCCGGCCACCCAAGATCATCAGGCTGCAATGGATCGCCTACTCGGGCATTCTCCGCGCCGCTTCGTTCCAGTTGCACGATGTCTGCGAATAGCCCAGGGCGAAGAGGAGTACCTGCTCCCGCAAGTGAGCATGATCATTCCCGTCTCGACCGCTCCACAATGCTTTCCGACCGGCAACGACGTCGAGATTTGGGTGCTACGCCCTGACTGGTCCTCGCTGCGTCGCTGCGGCTTTCGCCCGAGCCATGCATCCGTCATGTGCTTCCTCGAACACAAAGGGGCCTATGACGGCTACAGCAAGTGTCCTCGTATGTTGTTGTCTCGCACGCTGCACCGGCTTGGCAGGGAACGGGGCACCAAGGCCTTAGCTGGCTTCGAGATCAAGTGCATGCTCCTAGACCAGGATTCCCAGCCTCTCAACCAGCTGGACCGGCTCAACAGCTATCAGAAAACGGCTGTTCTGGCCAGAACCTGGACATCGTCGACGAGATCATCGACCACCTCGCCGTGTCGGGCATCGGGATCCAGCACTTTAACACCGAGACCCACGACTAGATCGAATTCGCCCTCAGCCCCGAGTCACCGCTGGCCGCCTTCGACTCGCTCGTCCTAGCCTAGGTGTCGCCCAGATTTGAGCCACTTCAAGCCACAGTCGGCTTATTAAGTCGTCGGCTTATTAAGTCGTCGGCTTATTCCGTCGTGGCTTATTCCGTCATCTTACGTTTGACCTTTGTTTGAAGATGTGTGTTGGTTGAACCAACAAGACGATAAGCGGCGGAGGCGGCGGTAAGAGGCACAGGGCTATAGGGTCTATATAAGGAAGCTTATGATTTCGTCCTTTGAACCTTACTTCTAGCCTAAGTAGACAATTCAATGCGCTGTCAACTTCGATCATGTGTAACAGTTATGAGCCTGGCCTAGCCACCAAAAATCGCTTCTGCAACAGCATTTCGGCATTTCCAAGCTCGTATTCTTAGCTAACAGACCACTCTCAACACCTTTCTTTCCTTCCTTTTTTCTTTCCTTCCTTTAATCAGTCAAACCGATAATGGCTTCTTGTCACGAATCCCTGAAGGGATGCACCTCGGGGGTCCTGTTGAGTTCGGTGACAACCAATCAGGAGTGTTCCGCGTCTCGAACACGGAACGCGGAACTGAGTTTGGAGGTAGCCAATTAGGGGTGTCTGTTACGGATTCCCTTTGCACTGGTTGCGCTGCACTGGAGTGGGGCTGAGGGGAGGCCCGAAAAGAAGTGGGTCCTGGCTCGGGCCCAGGCCCGAACGTTATTAGCTATCTGTTCGGGCCCTGTTACGATCCCGGTTCAGAGGTGCAGAGGCGTTGTCCCGCCCGCTGCAGATTGGCTGGAGCGGCATTTAGGGCAGGGTGTCACGAATCCCTGTTCGTACTGGTTGGGAAGCAGGGCAGGGGTGGCTGGACCCGCCTCGGCTAGTCACGTTAAAGGAGGGGCTTGGACCCACAGTTGCTCTGTTCGGTGGAGAACAGAGCAGAAGGACCCGCATTTGCTCTGCACGGTGGAGTACAGAGCAACAGTTTGGTTGGCTGCTCTGTAGCTCTGTCGGAGAGCAACAGAGCAATGCTCTGTAGCTCTGTCAGAGAGCAACAGAGCAACGCTCCAATTGGCCCAGCTTAGATAGATATATACGATGACCGTGGCACCGGTCTTAGGTAGTTCTTGCTTGGTTCTTCAAGCAAGCAATACACATTCACTGCACTCATACACTTTGAGTGGCACTCCGATTTGACTGTATTACCCGTGCGATAGGAGCTTGCCCTTTGTTCTATCTTCATAATTACCAACCCAGCATCCTGTGGAGCCCGTGCTCCCTTACAGACAGACGACCCTGACAGTCGAGTGGTTTGTAATACAGGGCTCTCGGCAGGAAGGACGCGGCCAATCAGGAAGTGCTCTGCGCGGTTAGTTGCCAAGACCTGGGAGAGCGCACGGAGCAGGGCGATTAGTGGCGCCTATGGCGATCTGTTGGCAGATAGCCCCGGGGCCTACAGAGCGCAGAGAAGGGACCCTGATTGGTTGCTCATAGTTCTTTTTTTTTCTTTTTTCTTCATTACACGCATGCAGCCTCTAGGGCTATGGCGTGGCCAGTCAAGGACTGGCGGTCTATCTACCTGGTGTACTAGTAGGAAATAGAGAAAGCAAGAGCTAAGTACATCGTTAGGCGCGTGGCCTTATTTTCGTAATAGTTTCATAGTAATAGAGTTCCTTTGGCTAGACTTATACTGTGCCACCCTCGCGTCTGAGTAATACGGAAAGTGCAATGTTATACCAATAGGACCAACCAACTGAATCAGGAAATATATGGATAAGAATAAAGGAAATAGATCAATCTTTGTTACAATCTGGACAACAGGTCCACGGAGCTAGGCCCGGCCTAGGATTATGGGGGTCTGGACGGCAGGTACGAGATGACAGGAGACAAGGAGTATCGTGCACAGATTGCGAAAGACAGGCTTTCAACACACAACCAATGTATGCTTAACCAGATGCATTGATAGCTGCAGAACCGTTCTCCCAGAGAGAGCGTGCTGCCAGCTCCTATATAGAACTATGAGCAACCAATTAGAGTTCCTGCCTTACATGCTCAGTCGTGCTCAGTCCTAGACGCACTGATCCCCACTGAGCTCCCTGCTCAGTGCGCTCAGTGGGTCTCGGCACTGATCCTACTGAGCTCAGCCATGCTCAGTGCACCTTGGCAATGGCCCCACTGAGCACTCCCTAATTGGATGCACCTTCTCTTAGCGAGAGCCCCACCCTAAGTGCCGTTCCAGCCAATCCGCAGCGGGCGGGCAACGCCCTCTGCACCTTTGAACCAGGATCGTAACACAGGGCATTCGCTACTCTCCACTTTTCCAATCTTCGCTAGATAACAAGCTAAGAAGCCAATCCCGGTCTTTAACTGGATATAGGCTGACTGATTTGGTCGAGGTAATAGTGGTATTGTGGGCTTGAAGTTGTAATAAGTCCCGGGCTACCCTTCTATAGTGTGTGCCTAAGCCTTTGGATTTCTGTCTTGTTGCTTCCCTATCTTCTTGGCTTAGCCAGTCGGTTTTCCAGGCTTTTTTCAATAAGGTCTTGGCTTGTCTTCGTAGGTAGGTATTACAAACCACTCGACTGTTAGGGTCGTCTGTCTGTAAGGGAGCACGAGCTCCACAGAATGCTGGGTTGGTAATTATGAAGATATGTAAGGAAACCACCCTCGTAACCACCATGGCCACCGCCACCAGGGCCACCCTCGCCACCATCGCCACTATCGCCACCGCTAACAGGGCCACGCACTATCGCCACTACCACCCTGGCCACGCAAGGATGACTCGTAACCCCTTTCACGTGTATATAGACCATGGCCTTCGCACACCTCTTTAGCTCAGGCCAGGTTGAAGCCTTACACCAATACCAGTCATTGCTCGCCCTGCTTGTTGCTCCTATTGTGACCACCTTGATCAGGCGTACCTGCCTTCTCTTACACTGAACGCTCCCAGCATCTGTTTTACCGCTAGGTTCTGTACCGTTGGTATTTTTGGACTAGCTCCTGCTGGTGGTAGTGGCCTTGGTTGTCCTTATAGCCTCTCTACCATATTTAGACGCCGTAGTCGGCTACTGACGTGATACAGGCTACGTATAATTGCCTTAGTGCCCTGAACGACAGTCCCTTTTGTATTGTACCGAGTCTTTGTAGGCCGTAGTAGACGGCCGTAGCCGCCTCTATCTTCTTTTCCACGTGTGTTTTGGAGTCTAGTTTTCTGTCCAGAAATACCCCTAGCCAGCGGACTACTTCTACTGGTTTAACCACTATAGAACCAATAGTTATTGAGTCCGCTATAGGTTTTCTCTTATTGTGGAAGTGTATAAGCTCTGTTCTGGCCTCATCAAATACGATAGTCTTTTCTTTAGCTAGTTAGAATAGTTGTTGTATGATCCCTTCTAGTTGTCTACAGTTCTTGGCTGCTGACGTTGACGATACCGATATACTGAAGTCGTCGATATACGATAGTTGTAAGCCCTGTTGAGCCGTAATGCTCTCGACGTATAGTAAGAATGAGATTGGCGATATTGGTGAGCCTTGTGGGATTCCAGTGTTAACTGCCGTACTTGGTTGTACGTGGCCTTCAAAGGTAAGTTGGATTTTCCAGCCACTGCAAAATGAGTCTACCCAGCTAACCAGGCTTTCTGGTAGGCCACGGTTCTTGAGTACAGTTATCAGCTGTGGTTTGGATATGTGGTCAAACGCTCCCTTCACATCTAGGAAAATCGTGGTGGTTATAGTTGACTTTTTCCTTTCTTTCTGTTGTTGTATGTGATGTAGTAGTAGTAAGACCGTGTCTATTGCAGATCTTTGTTTCCGGCCACCTAACTGTGTGGGGTTCAGCAGGTTAGAGCCATTGTTGGCTAGGTAGCTCAGTCTTGTTGCGTAGATCTTTTCTAGGGTTTTACTCGAACAGTTGAGTAAAGTTATAACCCTATAGGCCTTTAGTATAGTATAGTCTCCCTTTTTAGGTTTAGGTTGTATAATTCCAACGCCTTGTGTTGAAGAGAGCTTTGTAGATTTAGTTGAATAACGTCGGTATAGCTTGGTAGGCCTGTTGTAATAGCTCGAAGTTCAACCTCTCTGGGCCCGGTGCTTTAGTAGGGTTTGAGCTGAATATTACTCTTTCCACCTCTATTGCCTCTAGTTCTGGCCATTCTGTTACGATCCTGGCTCAAGTCTGCAGGAGGCGCTGGAAGCCGACTGCTGATTGGGCAGCACTGGCGGGCAGGACGGGTCCCACATGAGCTCGGTGCGGCCAATCAGGCGGCGCTCAGTGCGTTCGGGTGCCAAGACTGGGAAGACCCCCTGAGCAGAAAGAACAGCCAATCAGGAAAGTGCTCAGTTACCATTGAGAGCTCAGTCGTCCTTGAAGACTGAGCGCCCCGGAGGCCCTGAGCACTGTAAGGGAGAACCCTGATTGGTCCGCCTTAGATAGATATATACGACGACCGTAGCCACGGTCCTAGATAGTTCTTGCTTGGTTCTTCAAGCAAGCAATACACATTCACTGCACTCATACACTTTGAGTGGCATTCCGATTTGACTGTATTACCCGTGCGATAGGAGCTTGCCCTTTGTTCTATCTTTATAATTACCAACCCCAGCATCCTGTGGAGCCCGTGCTCCCTTACAGACAGACGACCCTAACAGTCGAGTGGTTTGTAATACATTCCCATTTTGGGTTTTGCCTAGGCTGAGTAATAGGCTGGGAGACAAGCTGGAAGACAGACTGAGAGACAGGCTGAGTAATAGGCTGGGTGACGGGCTCTGGGAATAAGGTAGCTGTAATGGCCTTGCATTTTTCTTCAAAGGTGTTGGCTTGTTTCTTCACGCCCTTTTCTACGTAGTTGATAGTGGGTATTTTGGTATTATTCGTTGCCTTCGTATACCTTAGGGCCTTGAACGCTTCTTTCCCCTCTGCCCTAGTTAGGAACTCTTGCCAGTTTGCTGTTTTTGCAGCTTATAGCATGGAAGTACGTATTTCGGGCCGTCTTATAGGTTCGTTCCTAGTTAGGGTCTTTTTTATAACATAATCTACCACCTAGCAAGCCACACCACCTTGGCGAGCCAGAAGTCCCCACCAAAACACGACCCGCACGCGTGCCTATCACCA